ATCTATCTCATCGAGCTAATTTAACTATAAAATGCGCCAGTATGCCTATACTCCTTCCTCCTCGTCCTTTTTAAGAAAGCTAGCGTTGTACAATCAAGCAAAGGAAAGTCATCTTTCTACAAGTCGACGCAAGACCTCGTTCCGCCGCTCAAATTGCCTGTTACAGGATTAGAAACAGGATGGGAATGCTAAATGGAGGGAGGCAGATGGTGTTCATATTTGCCGCTATTCTGATATTCTCGTGAGATTCTAGCAATTGCCGTGTTTCTTTGATGTCAGTATTGGGGGTGAAATGAACGCGGATGAAAGGACAGAGGTATTTGGAAATGGAGTTGTGCGATTTGGTGGAAGGTAGATGGGGCCAAGTCTAGTTTGCATTTACTGGGCAAGATGAGTTTTAGAGGTTTAATTAACCGTTAGTTTGAGTCTATTTGGATGAGTGATCACCTTCGAGGGAAAAAGCGGTGTAAGATGCTCTCCACTGTAATTAAGTTTTCATGATCAAAACCACTCAAACTTATTTGATTAACCTACTGGAGAGTTGCCTAACCTTGATAACAAACAATTATGAATCACTGAGCTTAAAAATGAAATAAAATCCATGTTTTTTTATGGTAGAAGATCCAAATCATCAATTCACTTCAGATGCTGTCAAGGTTATTGCACCAGTGAAGTAAATCAGTGGCAGCACAATAAGGCCTTGTAAATCTTGTCACTGACTGTCATGACTCCATGTGTTTCCAATGTCCTTCAGCATTGATAAGTTCCTATTAGTGTGCAGACATATGGCTTACTTAAGTGAATTTACAATTGTTTGAGTGACTGCCTTGTAACAGACAATATCGAGCTATGAGGGTTTGTTAATCGCTTGAGGAAGGCACAATATCACCAATTTTCTGTTTTTTTCGGGTTCACTGTATGGGTTCTAGGACATGACTGACTTTTATGTGATAAGTGAAACGATTTGGATATGACATTTCGAGAAATATAATATTTTAGAATTGAAATGCTAAGTAGTATATCTAACGATGATGACGAGTACGCCGCGGTTCAGTCGGCCTGATGATTGGTGAGCATGGCAGTGGGGGGTTCGGAGAGAATAACTGCCCCTCATCACCTCCCTCTCTCGCCGCCGTGTTTGCCTGTCTGCTAGGCGAGGCGTGGGGTTAATTTTGCTGCGACCATTTAGAGCCCGAGGAAAATACCACTTCATTGAGACAAATGACTCAGAGCCATTGCGTAAATTCTGACTACAGAGAAATTGCCTACTACCTGTCACTTAACACCAGCGCGATATAAGGTGCTTGAAGAAAGTTCCTCCCCATTTAAATTGACCACTAGGTTGACCTTGTTTTGCTATGCTGAATTAGGCATCAAGTCTCTTGGTTCAATTTCAAATCCTAACCACCACTGTCAATTAAAAGGAAGTTTGCTTCTAAATTAAACATTCAAACAAACGGATTCTTTACTGTATTTTTTTTAAAGTAAGAAAGCCAGTTAGAAAAAGTGGCTTTTGATCGACACGAGCAGTAGTCTTATAAATTGTCCGCAAGTTTTGCCATAGTGACAGACACCCAGCAATGTCACTGGCAGTCAAGGAGGGCAATATCGAAACAAAAAACTCCCGAGTTTAGATCAAATTAGGGCAAATATATTGTTTAAGAGAAAAGTATTTTCCTAACCATCCATCGCGGTTCATGCTACTCCTTTGAACGGCCCACCAACCCTTACATATATTCACGATAAAGTTTAAACCGGAACCATGGTTTTAATAAAGCCTTCAAGGTGGACACGAGAGCTACAACTTTTTTTTCCTAGGGAGTGCACAAGTACCAGGTTTTCCACGCGTTATCTGCTTAATAAATCCTAAATTTCGTTAAAAGTCTAGAGACGAAAGTTCTCACGCAGAAAGTATCAGCGAACTGGCATAGGATTTAATAAAATTCTCTTAAAAACGCGAAATTGGCTCCACTTTGCACGAATGAAGCCTGAATTAACCATTTCTGAGGCAATCTTGGTTGCATGGAAGTGGCGCTTGCTAGGAGCTTCAAAGGGGGGTTAATTTCATTGGTGCATCGAGGTTAGTCCAGTAGCGCAATATCAAAAGTCCAATGGGGTTGAGACATCCAAATAGTGTCAGGTTTTAATCGCCTATCATCGTCATCATCACCACGTGCCAGAGTCCTCAGCAATGGCGAAGGAGGGTATAATTTATGGAGAAAAAAGCAGTGATTTTAAGCAAATTGATGGTCCTCTCAACAGAAAAAAAAATTTCTTGCAGCAGTTAAACCAACTGATTAGCACCTTTGCAAGTGTACGAACCTCTACCACAGGATCAACGAGTTCAACAACCAACACTCTTGCCCTCCTCCACTTGGAAATTGTGGGGTTATCTTATTACCGCAGTAGTAATTTAATGGCAAACTCTGACTTCAGTAGCAGTGTATGCCAATGTGTTTTGTCGTATGTAGTCGTCATTGCAGAGGGTTGGTAGACAGCCTATTTCAAGCTACAATAATTTGGTTAGAGAGTTGGCACGGTGGTGAAGCGGGGTAGCATCTTTGTAGGAAACACCTCTTTCGTGCATTTCACAGAGTCATGTGTGAAGACGCAAAATGCACACAAACTCATTAGGCTAATAGCCTTACTCCAATTACCGGGTAAGTTAATTTATTTGAGTGCCAACAATGAATGCCCTTTTGGACCGAAAAGCAATGCAATTAACCAGTCATCAAGGGGTGTTACTGTTTGCCATACCTTTTGCGTCTACCTGGAGGAGAGAAAGTCTTTTTGACTATGTCGTCAGCTTTCCCCTTTCACTGCATTGCGCCAAACCTCCTTGACAGGCCAATTGGAAAATGGAATGAGCCTCCGAAGGCATCGAACCCCCCCGATTGAGGGCATACAGACAATGTTGTTCAAATGGGGTAAGACATTTCTACGCGCGATTCCTATACTACAAGTTTCCAGGGTGTAGCATTTCTCGTGCGAAAAATTCGTTGGTATAAAACTTCAATTAGAGGAGGTATCTGATTACTAGGGTTCCATTTAACTCTGTGTGGGTGAAATACCCTATCCGGCTAGCATCAGTGGAGAGGTCGACAGGTTGAGTCACAACATCCTGACTCAGAAAGGCGTTGTCAGTGCCTCTATTGTGGAGGTGGAGCTTAAACAATAATTGCGGTGAATCACCATAACCATGAGTTTGTTCACCTAGTGAGGCAAGTCTACCTTGTTCCCGTCATTGAGCAAGAAATTCGCGAGGAGTTTGATTCTCCATTCAAGGTGGCAACGTTTTAACTCTCTTTTGTCTTGTGAATATCATTTTTCTTTCAACTGAGAGACCAGCTTCCTTGAATTGCTTTTCAATTGTCAAAAAGTACTTTTAGTTACCTCGAAATTTTGGTGAAAGAAGGAACCATACCCACCCTAAACGAGTAATTTCTATAAGTTACTCCGGGTTCTGCAAGCTTTGTAATGGAGTGCACTGTGCCCACTGAGAACAAGTGGTAAAAAAATTAGTGGTATTTCTGAGGGGCGCATTCTGGAATTAGGCAAGTCAATTAGATTACTCCATTGTGATGAGCCACATAGTTTAGGCCTCTTGCAACACTTTACTGGTCGACTCTCAATAGTTCAACAAGCAGGAAATCTATCTCAACTCCAGAAAGTACACTGTGAGCTACGACATACATCCAAAGGGAGGCAACTTCACGACACAAAATAGGGGGCCGCTTGGGATACCATGGTACCGCCTCGCATCAAGCTGACGCATGCACTTCAGTTTGAAGGGAAGGCAGAAAATCCTCCCCTAACACCAGATTGAAGAGTTCTTTTTCGGTTCTTGCAACTCGACCAAAATAAAAAGCATTGTAAACAGTATAACACCACAAAACCACTGCAAAAAGAAGTCAAGCCCATGCACAAACTTTGACTGGTTGATTCCGAACAACATCAGAAGGCCTTGAAAAACACACTTCATACCACTCCAAAACAGCCTGATAAAATCGGTTCCGAAAAGAAGTTAAGACAGGCAGCAGAGCTAGTTTATTCAATCCGATAATAACATACACCAGATAAAGCCCATTAATGCAGTTATAAAAAATTGGACATGATACCGCATCGTGACAACTTCGAACACACACACACAGGATGACAGCTCAGAACAGACGCTTCTCATATCTAAAAGGTAGAAGTGTGCCAAATTTAGAGAGTATTTTAACAAAAAGTTCTCAAATAAGGTCTGACGTTGTCCTTTTTAAGCCTCTAAAATACTTAATTTTCAGCCTGTGAAAAAAGGTAAGAGGGCAAGAGTGCTGACAACATCTAACGGTAAGGAGTGGTAATCGTAACCCACAGCAAGATGACCTACCCATTAACAGTTGCGCCTACTTTTGGCAAGGTATATCTACAAACAGAGGCAGTGGTAGCGCGTAAAAAGAAACATAGACCCAAGAGCCCTGTGCATGCCTAGCATTCAGAAATATGAGAGGAGGGAAAGAGTGGGGCGACGTACGAGTGGAGACTGTGCACCGACCCCTCGATTTGCGCGGAATGACTGCGGCGCTCAAAACGCAGTTCGCCACTGGCCATCTTCTCGCGTAGGATTGGGAGGGAGCGCGCTCCAATTTGTTGCATACCGTGCTGCAGACCAACAGCAAGATAGGGCACCAGTTGGTGGATGGAGCCGCGGTCCATGATGGCGCCCGAAACGCCCTGTGCAACTTTGATTGTATCATCTTCCAAAAAGTAGCGATTTTGGCTCGATGGGTTGGAAGACATGGCGTCGAGGCTACCCATACCTGAAACGCACAAAAGACGCGGATTACTTATACCACTCCAGTAGAGAGTTTAAGAACAATGAAAGGGAAGAAGAAAGTGCGCCTTCCCCAGACACTATCATGCGTCCAGATGTAAGAGTTTTACAGCAACGAATGCAAGCATGAAGTTGATTCTTTTTTAGGGCTACCTTGAGGGCCTGAAGTTAAACTCCTTTTCAACACACTACTACTTCTCCGTCCCTTCTGAACGTCGAAAGTAAATCTGTTTACAGACTGCTTCGACTTAATGTGTATTCTAGGATAACTCAAACGCTATATTCATAACATCGTCAGCGAACCCACACCCCAAGAAGTCAACCTGATTAGGTCAGCTGAGGGCCAAACCGTAACACCGTAGAATAAAAGCATCTAATCCGTGTTTGGCCCACACTAAGACGCCTATCAAGAGAGCGTCGAGTTTTGGCAACTATCCAGATCTCGGATGGGTTAGTTTTAGTGAATCCAAATTTTCGTTAAATAATCTGTCCATAATATCACGCGGCGAGACGCTGAGAAAAACCCAGAAAGTGGCCCAACAGCATTAAAGCGACAAGAAGGTGGAAAAGAAGAAAGACTACGGAGCATAGCTTCACAAAAACCCAATAATATTGGGTTTCATTAAAGGATTTTTATTGTTGGCAGCAGTCAGTGTTGAAAATGGGCTCGCTATAAAACGTCATTCGACCTTCGCCAAAATAGGGCAAGTGAATCGCTTTTCACAGCAATGGAAAATTATCGTCTCGCAGATGGCTACCTTGTGATTGCAGAGGTAAAGGAAAGGCCACGGAGAGTGTCAATGTAGACGCTCAAAAAAAGAGACAATATGATGCAACCATACCTATTCTAACTAGACTCTCAGTAATGCGTAATTTGCCGGACAATGCTGATGAGATGGACTTCGCCTTACCGACCGATGACCTGGTTGCCACCGATAAACGGCCAACTTTGTTCATTCATGTTTAAAAGATTTAAACAGAACGGTTGGAAAAGAGAACTGGAAGACTCACCGCGATACTTCTTGACTCGGAATCCCTTTGAGAAGAAGTACTCGCCAGGGGCTTCCGTGGTTCCAGCCACAAGAGATCCCATCATAACAGTTGAGGCACCAAGTGCGAGAGCTTTCACAATCATGCCTGCCGCGGAGATACCACCGTCGGCGATCACTGGCACGTCGTAATTTCGCGCGTACTCCGACACCTTAACAGCACAGCAATAATTATTTGACTAGATAGGAGGTCAGGTTAGGCCGAGATTTTAAACTAATGACAATTGCTTTGTTAAACGAAGAAAAAATTAGCAGCGTATTGGATTCAAGTAAATTAATTCTTCCAGAAAAGATTACTGGCACGCTTACAGGAACTGATTTTAAAATATGGTTTGTGAAACCAAAAAGCACATCTGCACAGATCTTTCTAAGAGCTTGTAGATGCCGTTCCCCATTGCTCTGGAATGTGGTTTCCAAGTAGAAAGGCATAATTTAGATTTAGACTGCCTACCACCTGAGAGAAAAGGTTTTGTGAAGCATAAACGTTGCAGGCTTTTAGCCATTAGTATCTCCTTTGGGAAAATACGGGCAATTGAAATGCAGCCAAATTGCCCCGATTGCAATATTAAATTTAAGGCGTCTTCCCGTCCAAACCTAGAGGTTTTCGGACGTCTGTAATATCCTTCAATCCAACAGGCCATAGTGATATGGCCAGTCACTAGACCAACCATTTAGGCCTGGGAGAAGGGAGGGTGAAGAAGAGTTTAACATACTGGCTTTAATTACTGGGCGGGATGAAGTAAACCATCAATTAGGAGGAAGGTAGACACACCCAGCCTCTCTGAGTGCATGCACAAGTTCAATAATCTATCGAAAGGAAACGGCGACGTCTCCAATTCGAACAGCACGATTTGAAGAAAAACCAAATTTTTGTATGTTTGCAGATTCAAAGTTTGGTTGATTGTAAAATCAAAGGGGTTGATGCAAGGGATAGTAATTCCGAGGAATAAATACGAGACCAATAGGTGGTGCAAGAGGGCGGACTCAGAAAGGTATTCCAGAGCTTTCCTCCTATGCATTTAGTTTCTTTTCAGAATATCCACACTATCAGTGAGAGGTAGTTTAAAATTGACGGCGTCAATTCACTGCCAAAGGTAGCAAAGTCGATACCAAGAGGTGGATTTTATTTATTAACGCAGGCATCAGGATACCCAATAACTTCGGTGTAGCATGATTAATGAACAGAGCAAGAACGCGCCAAAATAAACATCTAATGCTGGATAATCAACCAGCTAAGGTAGTAAATAGGTTCAGCTAGAGGCTGGTTAGACAACATTTCCGAGATATTTTGTCTAGCCTACCGCATTGCACCTCCATGTCGGCTGCATCAGCATCTTTCATTCCGCCATATTAAAGTCTAGTCTTTCAAATAGCTTGTAAGCTACCAATGCCTAGAGCACCCCTAAAAATAACTCGGATTCTCTGATATCAAATTATACGATTTAATACCAGTTGCATTCTTAAATGACTGAAATCAAGTGAGAAATAGACCTTCAGCCACAACCGTCCTGGGAGAGAGGAAGAGTGCTTTAGGCAGCTAAGCAAGAAGTGTCACATCTCAAACTGCATTCTTTCGGGTGACCATTATCAATTCGAGCTTACATTTTTGTGATCACCTACTGACCCCTTAGCCCCATCTATAAGTGCTTCAAAAGTTCTACCCGCGTAGAACAGACAATTCCAGACATTCAAAACCAATTTTTGGATGATAGTTGACCTGTAAATATAGAGCATGATGATGCACGCGCTTCACATGATTCAAGACCAAGTATTTACTTATTGTAAGTGGGACAAGAGAGGTGAGTCTTACCTTGTAAACGGCGGTGGCCTGCGAGCGTCCGACAGCAGTGATCTCCTGAGTGATGCAGATAGAGCCGCTGCCCATGCCCACACGTAGTGCGTCCGCGCCCGCGTCTATAAGGTTCTTAGCCTGCGCGCAGGTCACGACTACACCAAGACAGGCAAACAAGGTTCGCGGTTACGGAAGTGGTCGTGTAGGTCTTGTTAATAACACTAACATATTGTCAATACTATATAGGATTCACGGGTGGATCACTGCATGGTGCACGTATTTCCACAACTGGGGTTGATAGGAAAACCTCAACACCAACACCAAGCACATGCAGTTCCCCGATTTCCTAATATGGGCTTGGCGTCAAAGTGCCTTATCAGCTCATGATGACTGTTTGGATCCAATTGTATCCCAAACAGATTATTTGAACGTACAACAAAAAGGCGGTTGTGGGATGGTCTAGATAACAGAATAATGGTATTTTGTCAGTGCCTGAGCAAGAGATAAGCTGATTAGAAAATAATGCCATTCTGTACCACGGTGGAACAATAAAACATATGGGCTATGGTGGTCGAGTTCGTCCCATGAGACTCGGACAGAAAACGCGTTGACTGCCCATGAGTGGGGCTACCGTAAAAAAATTCATACTTTAGTAGAAATAACAGAAAACTTCGCAGTCACCCAAGCAAATAGGGGAATGGAAATGAGCAAAATCAAGCCCGTAGACGCTTTTTTGTAATTGTTCTTGCACTATCTATTTCGTCATCTTTGTCCACCCAATTAAGAAAAAGCAGCCCAAGCCATAAATCAAACAAAAGCACATTAGGATAGGTGTGGAAGTAAAACTGGAATCATAGTATTACAGTTGATGACAGGATAATACGAGCATCATGTCCCTCCTTTCTTGCCCCTGTTTTAAGGAATTATCAAAAGGATGCCTTAATAATCGCCTGAGGTGATGTGAATGAGGGTAAAGATGCTTATAAAAAACTTAGACTAAGACGACTGTGCTCGAACCTAATCTGTGAAGCAGCTCAGTTACTTAAGCAAGCCGGAAGACAATGGAGTTATTTCCTGGGATTACCTTGAGCCCTATGGTGACACCGCTCCGTCGAATTTGGAGGGATAGGCTTACGACACTAGCAATAGGGCGCGAATGTGAGATAACGCGAATGTTGATAATAAAACAGCGACTGTATCCAAGCCGTTAAAGCTTACGACGATCTGAGCAAAAAGCCAACCAATTAACCGTGTAGGATTAACCATGTTTAATTACCGCAAATGGATGAGGGAATGAGGGGGACGTTGAGATAAAGCGGCGACTGTCCTCACGTAGCCAAAACTTGCGATAACCTCACAACAACCAAGGCAAATAAACTGTGCTATTCCCTCTTTGCCTTTTTCATACTCAACCCCAAGACTATCCTACTGGATATAAGAAACTACCCCAAAGTAAGAAAGCAAATAAATGTGGTACTTCCACTGTTAGCATTAGCGAAGAAGGACAAGGAAATGAATACATCATCTATTGATTGGGTGATGTTTAATCCTGTGCTTGATAGACATAATAAAAGGCTCTAAAGTTCATGTTTTCGGGCAATTCCCCTCATGCCATATTTCGATGATGCCCTATCAAGTACACGAAAACACATTCCAAATCGCGAGATAGAAAAGAGTTGTATTTGTGGGCAGTCGCGTCCTTTGTAATCAAAGTCCGCGGTGACCTAGAGAGGACTGGATTACAAGTATCCTGGTAAACAGACGGTGTTTTGTTCTCCTGCAATCGCCTTTCTATGTATGTCATGTTTATTTCACTTCCAACTGGGTTAACAAAAAAAGAATCCAAGAGACCGGATTTGCGTCTTATAAGCACTCAAATACGGATTTTCGACCACTTTTTAGACACCATTCATAATAACAATTACCACTTTGAACAATTTCCTAGGAAAATCAACACAAATGCCAAAATAAGGGTGAGAATCGGTTGGTTTAGTTCAAATTGGATGACGAAATTATCTATTCCAATTTCGATAAGGAATCTATTAAATTCCAGTGTCTTTCTAACTATTTTATTAAGTAACACCAGCCCTTCGTCTGGCAGGGATAGAGTTGTGCTGAAACAGAATTTAAACATCCATTTTCATTAAAACTACCAAAAGCTAGTTCGCTTCCCACAAAATTTGCCATGCGGCTGATGTAATTCTACATTTCAACTCCGAATTTTGTCTGAAAAAAGAACGTTGGTAAAACTGGCTGATTTTAATGCAAACGGGAAAAAGTTGTGCCCTACTCCATGGGGCACAAATTTTAGGATATGAAAATGCAAAACTAAACTTAAAGAAATGGACATAGAATACGAAAGACATCTGCGACCGACAGGCTTAATTGTTCACTTAACGCATTAAGATGCATTTACGGTGACAACGGCCAATTGATGAGGATTAAATGACGTCCTGTTTATTTTTGAAGTTACAACAAAAGCCCCACCCTGCTCCAGTTCCATTTCAAAGGAGTCCCACTTCCTGTTTCTACGTCACACTAAACGGAATAGTGATGAACGGTGTCGTAGTGCGGTGGTTAAGCATTCGCAAATGGGATGTCACTACTATATGCGGGGCGCTCAATTCAAACCGTTTTTTTCATTTTGGAGACTTGAAAAGAGCGTTGCGATGCCTGTATCATACACGAGTGACGCCTGTGTCCTGTTAACAGATTTCAACCCACACACTATTTCACTTTGAAACAGAGGCGAACATCGAACCGGTGGGGCGCTTACCAATTCACCGATTGCTTCTGCAGGTAAAGTGTTGGCAAGTGTCGCCAGGGTCAGACGCACAATTACCTACATGGAGTTTCTACTCCGTGTTTAATAGTTTCATCGTGTACTGCAGCAATTACACCTTGATAAAGCAAACTCGATACGCTCAATATGGTGGGGCATGGTACACGATTACGCGAGTGATAAGCTTCCTTGTCAAAATTAGTAAACAGTCGAGAGCAAGGATTTAACCGGATAAATTTGAAAACGGACACAACAACGGAAGTTCATCATCGCTGAAATCAGTGCATGCATGGATGCATGTCAGGCAGGTTTTTGCTAAACCATGCATCAGAGCAAGGTCGTAAAATTAGCATAAATAGGTGAAACAGAATGGAACTTACCGTTGCCGGCAATCACGTCGACATGAGGATGAGCCGATTTGAGCCGTTTTAACATATCCAACTGGAAAGTGCTATTGCCCTGTGAAGAATCCTGGAAAATACAAAAAAGCAGCCGATAACACTCATAGATCCTACAATTTCTTATTCTTGTGATATCGGTTCGTGATTACGTTCCTCCGAAAATGGCTTTTAAAGCCATGGATAAGCCAGCCCTCCCTCCAAAACAACGCAGCGTAGACAGACCAGAGCGGAAATAAATGTTAGGCTAACAAAAGTGCAGTGGTTGATGGTTTCAGTTATCTTATCACACATAAAGCCAATCGCGAAAATAGATTTAACCGGGATTATTTAAACCAAGCTTTGATAAACAGCGGTATTTGACAGCAAGACTGAACGAATTAAGACAAAAAGATTGGATGTGGCACTAAGATAACCAGATCAGTTCCAGCTTCGAGGTTCACTTTTGTTATCGTTTGAAAATCTAAATTGGGCAGCTCATACTTGCCAATGTGATCTACTAAGGGCTCCACGATCAGCATACCTGCAATCTACAAACGCATTAGTTCAGCACATTAAATGAATGTCTTTCAACAGCGACAAGCTGAAATTTGTTTTCTGCACGGCTACTAGGCAGGAAATGCCGTTTTGCCGCCTCTTTTAAATTATGAATAGCACCAAACCCTGCCCCATCGCAGAAAGTTTGAACATTTTAAGGCTGGAGGAATGTTTGATAAAATCACCAGGAGCAAGAAATCGGCCCCAGCATCGAGGAGGGCCTCTGCGCGGTCCCAACCATCAGCATGTGTCGAGATGGCCCCACCGACCAAAAGTCGTTTCCTGAAATCGGGAAAGACCATTCAATATTTGTAGTCTGATACTTTTGTTTACAAGTTGGAAATACAGCGCTCTGCCAGAGGAATAAGAGAGCGTACGTCTAATCAAGCCCGTGATATTTTTGAAGACAAAGCATTTGATGCCTTAATAACGCAGCCAAACTTCCCGGATGGGCTTAATCGAACCCCATGATATTTTAAGATCTTGACCACCCTCACCTCTGGCTATCTGTGGGCACGGACAATGCCAAATCGTGATGAGCAATGCCTAGGTGTAATAAATCTTGGTTGCGAGACAGTGTATCAGAACAGAACTATTGGCATTTTTGCCACATGTCTCAGAGAAAAGTGAATTATCGTAGCCCGGATGCAGCACTGCTCGAATATAACACAAACACGCGCTATGAAGCTGACAGGTTCACCTACTGCTTAAAAATTTAGAAACAAAAGTATTTCCGCAACATCCTACATCGTCACTTTTTAATCTCGGTCACGCAATGATGTCGAGATTAGATGAGAAAACGGGGACATTGCATACCTGACAAAAGGTAATAGGATGAGTAAAATATACAGTTCATTCAAAGATTTCGTAAGCGAATGCAACAGAATAGAAGAGGAGAATGGGCACTGACCTGGAATCTTTAGATGAGAGGGGATACCTCAAATTCTTCTTCAAGTCTGTTCGAGCAATGATAGAAATTAGCTCGTTGTTTTCATTTACAATTGGAAGTTTCCCTGGGTTAATAAAATAAAGATTTCATCAAAGGTCACATAAATTCTAAGTTTCGATCAACCCACACCCACCTTTCTTGCTTTTTTGCATAATTTTGTTAGCTTCTGAGAGATGAATTCCGTGGTTTGCTGTGACGAGCGCATCAAACGGTGTCATGACCTAAAATATCACTAACTAGTCAGAAATACCAGAAAAAAACACCGCTTTTGTCTAATGGATGTCTTAGTTTAAAATCTGCCATACTGTTAGTTAATTAATTGTAGTATCTGTCAACAAAATGCACGAAAGCGGATAAATGAGTGCCAACCTTAGTAACAGAGCAACCCAATTGGCTATCGTCCAAAAAGTCTATATCCCGGAGAGTTACCAAACCTAGAAGTTTGCCACCAATCTTTCCTGTATCGGTAATAGGAATCCCACTAAATCCATGGTCTCTTCTAATTGCGAGGATATCAGCTGGAGTGTTGTTTGGACCCAGCACGATGGGGTCAACTATGAACCCTTGCTCATATTTCTAACATAAATGACGGTTATGGGAAAGAGTTCTACAAGTCTTACTTTAACTTTCCTCACTTCGTTAACTTGATAATCGATGGAGCAGTTGTGGTGAACAACACCGACGCCACCACACAACTAGAAAGGGAGTACATAAAGAGACGGTAAAATTTACGCCCATTGCAATGGCCATGTCAGCTTCAGTCACGGTATCCATAGGTGAAGAAATAAAGGGTAGTTTTATGTCAATATTTTTAGTTAATCTAGAGGTAAGATCGACGTCCTTAGCGAGGAAATCCAAATATCCCGGCAGTATGATAAAGTCACTGCAAATTATAAAAAAACACAACTTATCAGAAATTGACCTAAAGCTTGGATTCGTAAATCTGCTAGTTCCATAAAAAACAATGAAAAAGGGGCAGGGAAACGACACAACAAATTTAAGCGTCACAGATGACACCACCTTGAGTATCAAATAATACTAATGTACACTGGTGGTGCAGACAATAGTCAAATTGACAGGACATACTTGTAAGTAATACCAGCTTCCTCACTGAACAACTCCTTTGCAGACAGCCCATCTTTAAACAAAACATCCCCGGACATTGTTAACGTGAAGAGCAAAGAAAAACCACTGAAGTAAGACCAAACACGTGAGCGTCCAAAGGCAGTCCAGGCAAGCCTTAAAACTAGGCATACTGACCAATCAGGGTTTCAGGGACAAATTGAAGTCTAGGTCAAGTAAAATTAAAGAAAGATACTAAAAATTGTCCATAAGGCAAAAAACTGCCACCGACATAAAAGTCGAAGTACTTTTAAAACAAACGTTGATAAATAAACTTCGATTAGTGCGGATCTCCGTAAGTGTGATAGTAAGTGACCTAAAATTCCCCGAATATTTCTCTTCTTTACTTTCATGCAACAAGACTGCGAGCACTATTTGATTAATTAATTTTTAGAACGTAAATCCAAAACATTGCAACGTAAATAAATGGAGAAAAGCTGTCATCTAAGATCTGTTTCTAATCTTAACCTATTAGTTCCATCAAAAATATCAAACTATGGCCTTTGCAAGCATAACTGTAATGCTTTGGTTGTTTGTTTAATGGTCAGTGGTTGCGAAAGTTTACTTCGTCTTGGGCACTGTACTGTGGAGCGAGACTCCTCGGTCCCCGCTTCCCGATTCCTAGCGTTCCTAGACAAGCCCGGTTGGCTTGCTTTGGACATCTTTATTAAAGACGACAAGATGTATAGGGAAAATACAATATTCAAGAAGGAGGGGAGCCGCAGTCACTAGGTAAGGGAGAGGGCGATCCAGTTACAAGGTTCGAATTCCCTGCTTGCCTCCTCCCTGAAAGGCACCTTAAAACAACATAAGTATTACAGTACCTCGCCGGATGTGCAGGCCTCCGGGCTATGCCAGTTGTAGCGTCCCGAGACTCCCTGAAGACGAAAGAAGACAAAATACTCGGCCAGTATATGTTTTCAGCACAGAGAATGTGTTTGGGCTGCTGGCATGGCCCAAAGGCCAGCCCTCACAGCGCGGCCCTAAGTGACCGCATAAACTAGACGATAAATTAAACAAATAATTCAAGTTAAACATAGCCTACCCCCCACTACTTCTAAGCGTCGTGTCCGGCTTCTTACTTGGTCATTCTACCGAGTCAGCCGTTACAATGTAGTCGACGACGTAAGGTAGAGCATTCACTGATCAATCACGCCAAATAGCAAATTTCCACGCACCAGAGAAAATATCTTACTGCAGTGTCGCATACCCTCTTGGCAATTTCACTGCATCTGGAGTTTTATCTTACTTGAAAATTGTAATAAGAGATGGGGAATATTATGACCATCTGGAATGTCTACCGCCAGCAGCAAGTACACTAGCCTAAGAGCGGAGTTTATAATAGTTTTATTAAAGTGGTTTCGTTCCTCTTCCTACTTGCCCCTTTGTTTGAGAGAGGACCTAGATAAGTACACAGGTAGACTACACAGAGGTTAGAACAAAGTTTTCGACTGCCTGTGGCTTGTACTGTCTCAATTAATGATGGCATTCCTGTGAAACACAACGCTGAGCTAGTTTCTAAACGTCGACTCCATTTTTTGCCCTTCTGATAGGGTTGGTCACAAATCCTAATATCAGCAGCATATATCCTTCTTCCATCGCGTCATAGCTCAGTACTTGGCAATTGACATCAAACTGATTGGCCTTTGTGTTTAAGGCTACTTTATCTTTTATTGATGAAGCCTCCCAAGACAAGTCTGAAGTCGAACGAAGACTTTATACTAGAGTAAAATGTGTTTTAATAACATACAGAATGGCTGAGGGGCTACTGGTATCGCATGAAAGCCATGCCATCTGACAGAAATGCTCAGGCGAAGCCTTCAGCATTTTTGAACCTAAAGGGAAGAGCTAGAGTAATAAAAGCATTAGCACACTTTAGTTCGAGTTGTTAACTGGGGTCAATTTGGGGATCTTACATGTCTCTCACATCGTCTTTATCGTACCTTACGTATTTTTATTAAGCTGATTGGTGCTTCTTATTGCCACCTTTGTTATACTTCAATTTTCTGCAGAACAAAAGTTAACAACAAAGTGTGCTTTATTTTGTCCTGCTTTACAAAAGCCTCACATATGGCAAATTTAGCTAATTGTGGCTGCTGCTTATAAAAAGTGATAGCAGCCTTCTCTACTTTATATTTAAATTTACTGATGATATTTATGCGAACGTTTTCGTGGCGCGCTGGTTCTCTTGACCTTTGTGTCAAGGTTGTCCTCTGTCGGTTTACCATTATTTTGAAGCGGTAGACTGATAATGATTTCCATGAAAATGTCGGCTACTTGGGAAGTAGAGAAGTCTTCGTCCTGTTCCGTCCGAAGGTTTGTTATTTGTTTGCCTCGATTTAGTTTGTTTCACGATTTTTCTTCCATCTTTGTCCATCCCAAATTCTGGGAGGTCTCTAGCCTTTTTGCCTATTCGGTGTTCCTTTCACTTGAATACTTCAGGCCATAATTGTCTAAAATTATTTTGTGTGCCTTTCGCACCATTTTAACTGCACGATTTGGCTGTTTTTGGCTTCGCATGCATTGATGTATGCTTTTCAACCGTTTAATAACTCTTTTTTGCCTTTTTGATGAATCATTCCTAAACTATAGGCTTTCTGGGTCAAATTTTATGGGTCTTGGTAGACGGAAATGGTTTGATCTCATGATTTTATTTTGCTAGGTACTTGTTGCAGTTTGCGTTCCCATCAGCACGATTCTGTAGATTTTCCGATCATTTTTTTGAATTCGCTGACGCCGACCAGCGTCTCTTGGTTACATTCTCTTTCGCAGACTTTGCCACATTCAAATGGGACAGATAATACTGGATAGACCAATAGATCTGGGCGAAAATGCTTCTGGCGGTGTCCATGTGGCGCTGAGAATGCGTGGAAACACGCGTCGCATTTTGCGCTCCCCCGAAATTAGTCTGGTTGTCCCCAAACATCCCTCCACCACTGCAACTGCCAATTCAGCTACCCGCGGCGCCGGTGCCTACATTCCCATTGATCTCAACTGTACCATTCAGTACTCTCATGTTCTCAAAATGGACTCTAACATTCTACAAATCCTCCTTCAGAAACGCAAAAAGTACAAAAACACGACAATGAACCTAGGATATAAAACTCTGGCCTATTGCAACATCAGTCTCTCCCAGGTATGCCTTCTTGTACCTTTAACCCTGCCCCTATTTATGATCTACCTCCGTGCGTACTTTGTTAGAGTTTTGAAACATGATTTGTTCTGTGCGAATAAAATTACAAACTTTTGTGTAATGTATGTTGCGTGCTTCCCCGATCTTCTTCCTGTACGTGATGCACCATTGCTGTAAGCGTGGTCCTTCTTTGTCACTCCATGAAGAGCTTGGCAGGAGGCACAAAATTTAATTTTAAACCTATGCTTTTGTACTCTTTGGGTTTTTACGCACTTGTTGAAACTTCTACCTCTCCTTCCTACGTCTGAATCCTCTCAAGTCCATTGATTAAACTGCCTGACCAAGCAGAAATGGCAGTTGTTGTACTCTTTATCTGACCTTTGATGGAATCTTTTCCTAGTTCAATTTGGCTCTCATTGTGTATTACAATGTTGCTCCTCATCGAACTCCACGATCTAGTGTTTTATTTGGTTTTTAATTGGTGACCAAATAATGTATGTGTACATACCCACTTCCTTATATTAGTCTGCCGATTCGCCTCCACCTTTTGGAAGTAACAAAAATTGAATGACCCTTTATGTTTGTTCTAATCCCATGTAATTTTGACTTATTTTCTTTCTAAAGGCCGAATAATTTGGCTTTAAGTCAGTTGTTGCCACCTCGATTAAATCCGTGTACCCGCTGTTATGACTTGCGTGTCTCTCTGTCGATGTTGAGACTGGTCCCTTTCTTAGTACCTCCATGCATACTTTCAGCCTGTGATCCTGTGGCATTCGGGAGCTGGGATGACTGCAATTGCACTACTCATGATGAAAGGCACTCCTGTGTGAAGCCTAGCTCACTATTTTCTGTTTGATTACTTGAACACGCGGCAACACCTATTTACTTCTGCCATCTTTGGCCCCGCGTTTGTGACTGATTCACCTACCGAAATAGGATGTTTATTGCGTTTCACATGGGATCAAATCTTGATATTCTTAGGCCACACTCATTACTCATTTGGCAGTAATTAATTCGGGCTTGATCTTTTCACCAAATGCATCACTCGTATGTGTAAAACCTGAGCTTTGATTTCAGCGCCTATCCCTCCAGGTCTTGCTTTCGCACCGAATAGCACGAATTTCCTCAATTTAAGAATTGCAAAACGGGTTTCATACTAGTTAAAAATATGGCTTTTGTGTGAGTTTCTCATTCCCAGCATCTTGCATTTCCTTTTCTTCAAGAAAATAGTATCGCTTCGCATTTGACATTTTGGGTTGCCGAAAGTAATTATCTTTTCCGTATTTATCTGGGCTCTTAGTTCATGGTTTGTCTGCATAATATTAATCGTTTTATTCAGTATCCTGCTACTTGCTATATTTAACACACCCATTGCCGGTGTCTCACAGGAAGATCGACCACCGCAGCTCGGACGTGTTATTGTTCTGTGATGGCGCACATTATTCTTGTTTTACCTCTTTCAACTATAAATCATTTCCTCTTAAATGTGTTGCACGCATGAAGTGTGAACCCAGGGTGGATAAATGGGGACATGACACATGTGCCAGGTTTTTTTCTTCTGTCTGATTCTTCAATTTACCTTGAGGTATCTCTTCTCAGCCTGGCTATGTGACTTATCGGTGCCTAGGCCACACCCCAAAGTGTTTGCGCTTTCAGTGCTTCCTCTGTGCAAACGCATTAAACGAGTAAATACTGTTATCTCACTTGTCAAATTGGATCTCATTAACAGTAGCAGTAGTAAAAACATTGAAACTGTCAAACAACGGCTAACGTTTTTGTCATCATTGGTAGTCTGCTTAATTGTCTGAACCACACACGCAACTATTTGTACCGTCAACTGGTATACTTCTAATCGTCTGGCATGTCTGTGGTACCTGTTAGCTTCTGATTAAGAAATTTCTCTACTTTTCCAGGTTCTGCAACGTCGTATCGAACACCGGTTTCTCAGCATGTATCCTAATCCCAAGTGCATTGGACCTGCGATTGCTCGCATAGAGGTTCACTGCCTCTCCACTCTACCCTGGGAACGTGATCCCATCAACCCTGAAAATAAAGGTTGGTTGACACCTCTTCACCCTCTAATGACCGCTATTCTTTTTCGATTAGTATCGGGAGTGGTTCTATCGGAAATGTATATGCTAGCTAAAAGGTGTATTTGTATAACTCTGCCACGGTTGAATCGACTGCTACTTCCATATAAAAACTCGTTTGACGATTCCCTTTAAATTGCCTATAAAATTGGGATTCGCCTCATCTGAATGCCATATACACAAGCTCGCCTTTCTTGATACAGGCCTATATCTGTGATCTGATGCAGTTCTCTCACCTCTCTTTGGCCCAAGCACTCAGTCTCCTCGAGGCTCTAGGCGAGGCGGGAGAGGGGAGGGAGGAAATGCTGCCAGTCTTTCTCCTGTCATTCGGCTCTCCTTCTTGCCACTGATTTGCCACTTTCATTGCCACCTCAGATAGCACACTTGTGAATACACAATGCGCAGCTTTCTCCACACTTCACGAGTCAGTTGCACTCCATGCAGTCCATTATGCTTTTGATGTTTTATGAGTTTATAAATAGTCCTTAAATTTGCTTCACATTCCGCGCGTATATCCTTAATTATCATAGAGAATGTTATGAGAATCCATATCAAATGAACAGGTGAAACTTTTTGCGGTATAAACTGAAATTCCCCCCATGTTCGGCCGGCAGCGTACTTGCCTTTTCTGGAGCAGTCACTCATTCGAGAAAGATTTTGTAGTTTACAAGATATCGCCTATTGTGGAAAAGGAGAGGGGTTACTAGCGGGCGCTGGTCTGTTTGCCTTTGGATTATCCACTGCCTTCCCTTAACAAGCATTCATCTCTGTAGTACGACTAAGCTTTTTGCTTTTCTTCCTGACTGACTAGCTAGTTATTCCTACGCTTCTTACACGCCTTTCTCTTACAAATAGTGACGAACTCGTGCACTTGTATGCTCTACCTTTTGTTATATTCATTGCCAACGCTATGATTTCTTACCTGTCTTGCCTCCATTCTCCGCTTCTCGTCCGATTTCTTCCTCGTGTAAATTGCGAAAATATTCCTCAGCTAGTCCTGCTCTTTTCGCTAAAACGAGACCTCCTACTTTTCCTTCCGTCTCAGTCGCATTGTGGAATTGACTTCATCTCCCAATTGTTTAGAAAGTTGTCAAACGCACACTGGCTCCCGTTGTTGGTCATTATGACTAAGATGTAGTACATCCTGTCTTAATTCACTTCTTCATATATCTTGTTTTGTGTTGGTGTTATGTGGAAAGAGTCTTTTCCAATTTCAAACGGCTTTCAGAGACGTAACCAGAAAGGTTCCTACAATTTTCGATATTCCTTGATGCTATAACTTTTGTAGGGATCTGCAAAGTACATGCAATTGTTTGTAGACGAGTATGAGTAGGAAACACGAAAAGTGGAAATGCCTTAATCTATCAGTACAATGCTTCTTATTGTTCTCCACACCGCCTTCCTGTTGCTTGAAGCACAGCGTCAGTTGAAGGTGCTGAATGTGAACCGAGCTTGCCTGCCTTACTAACGCAGTTCAACACGTTTTCAATGCCGCAAATGTCAACCTCCTTTCACATTATTATACTACATTCAGAGAGGAGGAGGAGAAGGAGAAGGAGGAGGCGGCGGTGGTGAGGTATGTGGTAGTGGAACCCACCACCCACAATCAAATGGCTTAAATGAAGTGAATACTTTGTCTCCGATGATGAATCACTTAGAGGTGGACGCATTGCGTCCATGAAGATCTATTCTTGATCAGAGCAGACAAATATGCGTCCCTACTACTGATGTGTCAAAATAAGGTGGAATGAGGGTGTTGATACGAATTTTTGGTGATGTTTAAAGTGAGTGGTACGTCAGTTTGTGTTTGCCTACACCAGATGGGTGGAAGGCGAGGTTGTAGTGTGGGAGCTACAACGTGAGTTGGTGCCATCCACATGTCGCGTGCATTAACCGGAGAAAAATAGACATTAAGGACCGTCAGTTTGCTCTTCGCTACACCTCTGCTTTACCTTCGCTTTACCCTATTGTGCTTCTACAATGTACAGTGGAGAAATGCACTGTGCACTCTGGATTGCTCGTCGGCATACACCGTTTCATCGTCAGGTAACATTACTTACTTTGTTGATGGTTTAATGGAAATGGAATTGTTTCCCATGAACGAGTCAGTTGTTGAAGTGCAAGCAATTGTGGCAGAGGTCTATCCCATCGAGCTTGTACATGTTGAAGATGTGTGTAAAGCCTACGATTCTTCTTCCTCCGCTTTTAGAGAAATTTCTACCGCTAGACACTCAAACAGATTAAAGTGGTCTTTTTACAATTCCACCTGTGAGGAGATTGGAACCTTGGAATGGGAGTTATAGATTGATGGTGAGGAGGGAGGCAAATGGTGCTTCTTCCTTATCTGTAGCCTCCGAACCCTCATTCCACTATACTCGTGATATTCAAGTGATTGTCGCATTTTCTTGGTATCTGTATTAAGGGGTGACATTAGGGCGGGCGAAAGGCTTAGAGGTATTTGAAAAATGGAGATGGCTGTCGGTGTGTTGGATATGTTGGTTTAGTTTGCTTCTATTGACAAGATGTGTTATAGAGGTGGAATTAACGGCAAGTTTGCGTCTTTTTGGGAAGGATTAAAATCCAGGTTGGCAGGGTGATTCTTTCAATACAAAAAACGTTTTAAGTTGCCCTCTGTTCTAATATAATTTTGATTTTAAAAAACCACTCGAAGTTATTTGCTTACCTTGTACATTTCAGTATTTTCCACTGTTACACTGCCTGCAAACATAAATTTCTCTATTTTGCCTTGGGTATGGTAACACGCGAGAATTTGTAAGGCATCTCATGCAGTTGTCTACGAGTTCCTCTCCTCTGGTGTTCTATTCATCATCAATCACTCAGGTGTGTGTGTGTGTGTGTGTGTCAATTTTCCACACCTGCTTGCCGACAGTTAATTAATCTATTATACGTGTTACTAAGTTTTGTCGACGAAGGATTGATAAATTGACTAAACTGTGCATCAACTTCAACTTTAATAGCATAAATGACCTCGCAATTAGATCCATTACATGGAAAGTGCATCGCGCTGGGTCTTTGGCAGCACTCACTGCTTCAGTTGAAGAGGGTAAGGTTATGCTTCGCTCCCTCGAGAACGAGCGAGGTACGGTTTGTGAATTGCATGATTGCATGTTCCACCTTTGTTAAATAGCAGGGTGTAAAAACGCTCATCTTTTGAAGTAGGTCATGTTTCTTACATCTTTTTAATAACTGAATTGTCCTGGAGTGTATCCTACGCACTCGCAGTACCGCCGGTTGCATTTCCAGAAAAAAAGGTTATTGCTATTAACATGAAATACATTGTCTTTTTTGCCATTTAATACATACATTTGTGTTAAGTTGCTTTCTATCTTTTAACGGGACATCTCCAATGTTTTTTACCCAGACACTATCAGCCTCTAGCGCTATAAGACTTCTTGAATGAGGAGCCTGTTTTTCCTACTCCTTTAAAATGATGGGACGATGGCAGTTTTCTTCCAGACCTAGGATGTGTACGACCGATTTTGAAAAATCCCTTTTGATTTCATTGCTCTCGGTGAAGTTGTTTTGAAATTGGCTTCTTGTTTTGGTTCACTTCGACTTTGAGTCCTGTTTGCCTGTTTAGAGTGCTTTTTCCGACTGAATCGCAACTCAACTTCGACCACTCCTTACCTACTCAAACTTCTACAATCACTTCTCTACCATCTTATTTTCAAGCAGGAAACACTGTTTTCACTCATCTAGAGATCAAGCACAGGGCGTTGAAGAGAGAAGTGATCTCAAATGTTGCTTTCAGACTGACGCCTCCGAAGGGATATCGAGTAGAATGACTTAACGCCATTCGATGAAGACAAAAGGGAACTTAAATTGTGTAAATGCGATTTCTAGACTAGTCGAGTGCCTTTAACGTGAAGCGAGCTAATTAATTCCACACCAATGTAAAAAAAGAAAAGTGCGAACACCAGCAGAAAAAGAAGTCGGTTTTTTGTGTTGCAGATCAAAGCAGGGTAATCCATTGATTTGGGTTAATAATAATCCGGAACACGAGTAAACAACAGCCGAAGTGAAGGTGAAGCTGGTGTGCTACGAGGTCTGTCTTTGAAAAAAATTTGGACCGTTACTGTTCTGTAAAATTTATCACGGTTTGCATGTTTTCATTTCATAGTAAGCACCATCAACGCTTTCGCCGAATCCCCAGCCTACATTAGTGCCTTGTTTGAATGTTCATTTACATCACTGAGGTAGAGAAATATCAGGGATCTCTACAAAAAATTGTTGCGTTCGAAGTGACCACATCTCCCTCAAACATCTCTCTCCTCTTCTTTAAAAACTCGGAACGATTTTTCTTTTCAAAATAAACTGGTCAACAGAGGGAAAAGGGTCTCGTACAAAACCTACTTTGGCACTGGATGTGTACAGCATAACTTTGTTTCCTTTTTTCATTTCGATATTGAAGTCGTTTGGTCGAAAACCATAACGTATAGCACAGCTTCATTTCCAAGAAGGAGTGAATACCCCCACAAATAAGTGTTGCATGTAGTACTATTCTACATGCTATAGGGTTTGGCAAATGAATATGTGGTTCCAGTGTATTGCTTCAGACCATTTTTTAGCAATAGTAGTGAGCACTAAGTACTACTGTTGAGTGAGCCCAATCTGAGCCACTAAATAATCGACTCTACACTGTCTAGCAGAGGTAGAATTCGACGGGTGCCTGGAGGACGGCTGCCTCCTGCCAGCGGACGTCTTCTCGGATGACGCGGACGAGGATTCGGACAGTGAGGAGGAGGTGGACATGGAAGACGTTGACACTGGTCGCTGTGGACAGGTCGGTGGGGTATCTTCCACCTCCGCCTCTACTGCTATTGCCAGTCGCGGTGGGCAGAAGAAGGTCCTCAAGTCCATGTCTGTTGGGGTAGGCTCTCCGACTTACTAACGATTCCCTATATTACCCCCGTTTATAACTAATTCGCACCAGTGTTTTAGATCTCCAGTACCTTTACACCAGACAGAATTGCGATTAGCGGTAGCGTTTCATTCGTGTGAAACTTGTTTGTGCACTCTGACCAATCTGCCTTCCCTTTCCGTGTCTGGCTTTAACGTTGCTGTGATAAGACAACATTAATTCTCCACTTTGTCTCTGTTTTCGCTAACTTAGAATTTCATTTTAAACCTCTTGTTTTCTCGTAGGAGGTGCTATTGCTCTCTGTGTGATTGTCCCATTGGTAATGGGGGCTTTTAGTGTCCCCTTTGACTTTTTTTCTCTACTACCCGGAATCAATTTCTTGCATAATCCTCATCTTTCATTGACTTGGTGCCCTATCTTGAATCGCTTATCTCCTTACATCAAGCAAGGTTGCAATCATTGTAGCCATTACACCTGGTTTATTTCTACGACCTGTTTACGTTCTTCAAAACACACCTTTGATATGCCTAAAAAAACGCACCAATAGATATTGGGAGTTAGATAATCACTAAGCCCTTGTTATGTCAACATTGTTTATTTGCGAGCAAGGGCAAAGTGCGCGTTTTTATTGCCTTTTTCTTCACTCTGGAACGCGGTAAATGAGCTTACATTAAATAACTGCTTTCATTCCTGCTTCATTGCTTTGCATTAATGCTTTTCGTTTTCCTTTTTTCTCCACCTCCTCCTCTTCTCATTCGTCAAACTATAATAGTGACAACGATTAATTTATCTGCGATTTGGAAAAGGTTGGCCTCAGGACTTTTGCGTCCATGAATATCTAATGAATCTTCCCATATGCGTGCGTCTGCATTCCGATGCTTTGGAACGCCAGAGGGGAATGTGGATTAAGAGTTAGGGCATTTAATGAAGTGACTGTCTTCCTTGTGCGTCAAGAGAGCCTTTCTTGCTTAGTCCTGAATTTGTGGAAAATTGCAGTTCCTTTAAGCATTTGTGTGCTGTATAATTTTGCTGCTATGCTCCACCAAAATGTTTTTGACAACAGAAACCAGTTGTAACGCAATTTCCACCCGTTCATTATTATTATTGCTATTATTATTATTACTAGTGTTCAAACAAGTCTTCCTCCTTTTTCAACCATCCATCGCAAATTACTCAACTGCCTTCTTCTTCTCTTGCCTATTCATATCATTGCTTAAATCGTAACAGAAATTTGCTCTCATTACCTAAAGTCCGCAACTATTTGGAATTAATCCTTTGCTTTTGCGAGCAGTACGCAGGTTCATTTCCTTCCTTTGTCTTTCTACAACCCACTCCGAAAAAAAGAGAAAGACGTGTGAAGTGCAGGCTGGGTGTGCGCGTGGGTGTATTTGTTTGCCAAGTATGTGCGGTTCAGCGCATGGTGCTCTGTCATTTTTGCCGTGCCGTCCCCTCTCCATGTCGTCTTGAGGTTCGTTTTTTCGCCTCAGCAATACTTGGCACTCCGAAACATCAATAAGCCATGTCGGCTCCTGTCCTGACCAAAAAAGCTTCTCTCACAGTATTCGGCGCTTTTAGTTGCTGAGGCAAGAGCTCATAAATTGGGCATTCGAATGGGATGTGTTTGTGCACCAGTTCCGAAATTCTTTGTGAAGTTAGCATGACCTTGGCTCCTTTACCTCTCGTCAACACCACGACAACTTCTTTGTGCGTATTCGTACTCCTTGTAAAACTTTTCCCTCTTGTGTTCTTGCTAGTCAATTTTTTGTTAATTATTTAAAACTTGTTCCCACTTTCCTTATCCCACTCCTATTTTCCCTACCATCAATTCAACTACAGCACCTTTCCAAATTATGGAAAATTTCTACGTTATTTTTGAATTCAAGCACATGATACTTCAATTGTGGCTGTGGTACTTAAACGGACTGACTCATCTGTTAGTGTAACATGCGACGGCTTTGTTTGTCATGCGCATATTGGCACGACGGCAAGTCGGTATCTTGCTCGCTGTGTTGTTCAGCGTCAGTTTTAGTAGTAACACCAACTCCCTCCACTCAACTACTTTTGGTCAAAGTCTCCACTGTATTCAAAACCGTTTTGCTTCTTCCTCATGCCAACTTCTTAATTTGCCGATTTCATATTTTTTTTGCTGTGGTATGCAGAATAACTCTTCCGTATCCCCTGCATTTTACCCTTGCATGCGAAACTTATAGCTGGCGAAGTTTCTGCTACTCTTGGATACATTTTAAAATTCCATGTGAGCCAATTCGTGCTTTGAAGTGCGAAGGGGTGGTGTCATATAATCGTCGCAACGGGTACGCTGAAGTACCGAAAGTCATCAATGGTAATTTCATGCAGCTTTTTTGACAATTTAAGTAAGGAGTAAATTTAACGCCTCTCACTGGATAATCTTATGGACTTGCTCTCCAAACTATCTTAATTCGAGATACAAGTAGTCAGCTCCACTTTTAAACATTCATTTAGTTCATTTTGCGCACTTCTTGGAACCTTATCCATTCTGAAGGAATGTCTAGACATTGGTTTTTTCCAAACAGCGAAAACCCCCCATTTCCCTATTGGTATTTTCTGTGCATTTTGAAATTACTTAAGAATGTGACTCGCTACTAATCCTTCCTTTCTCCCTTTTTACAGCAAATCAAACAAAAAGTTATTAGCCTCCTCAAGCGACTCAAAGTTGCTGACCCCAATGAGGTGAGTCTCCTTCCAAATTACCTTCTTTACCTGTAGTCTTTAACACTGCAAACTCTTAGATTGCGATTAGTCTTGATAGCTGACTCTATGAGCCTACAGTGTGATTAACTATGTGCCATTCCATTTTGTTTTCCCTCTTTTAAATATGTGTTACTTCCCTTCGGTAATGGTTTCGCATAAATCATGCCGAGCGATTATCCAATCCGAAGTCTTGTTGTAGTGTGCACTGGCTCCTTGCAGCACATTTGGGTGAAATCAAATTTTTCTCGTCAAAAATTTTTGCTGCTGCTAACCCTAACTCATACTTTCTATTACCGGAACCGGACCCCACAATCTCATTTCTTGTCTGCGAAAAGTGATTGAATTGCGCAATTCAGCGATTGTGTTTGATTCACTCCAAAGGGCAACTGCCTCTCAACAGCCTAAGTGCATACTGGCTGGTGAAAGTGGTTTTACCTTTTGCCTAGCCTTAGCAAACTCGTTTCTTGACGTAACGGAGTCATCTCTACTAGCTAACATTGTTAATGCTACATGCAGGAATTCACTCTTTATTTCACATAATCCATACGACGTTAGCCCTCCGGTAATGGGGTAGCAGACTTATTCATCTAATTCGCTCTCATGCTTCTGCTGCGTGGGTTACTACGTTCACTACCAGGGTGTCGGAGGAAAATTGACCACCATGATTTGAAGCTGCCATTGTACTCTCATGGCATCGGTGTCCGTGCTACCGAATTAACCGATTTAACTGATGCTTAAAAGCCAGGCAATGTAATCCTCAAGACAACTTGTAATTCATGCTATTCTTTAGAATCAAATTTGTACAGAAAGACTTTGCATATCCAGTGGTTGTAAAATAATTTAAAAAATACGTCACTTGTATGTGACACTGGACTCAGACACAAAGCTCTGGGCGTCACATGGACATGACCACGCCTGGGTGCATTTTGTGTCTGAGGTTCAAGCATTTGGTATCATTTAAGTCACGCGATCCCGAATGGCTTCTAGACGTCATCTCAGAGTGTTTATTTGAGACGGCAATTTTATATCCGTCTGTCACTAACTGTTTGTTTATACACAGGAGTGAGCCAAGTTCTCATACTTTTACGGCGCTAATAAGTCTGTATATTTAGTTCGTGTTTTGATCGGTGTGTTATATTTTGAGTTGTCAAAGGAGCTTTTCAGTAAATTGGCAGCTTACAAAATACAGGGATTCTTAGGCACCACAGGTAAGTGTTTATCATCTAGGAATCGAGGTGAAGCATCCATGCATTTGAAATCCATGGTGGTCAATTCCCATGAGGGGTTGCTGAGGAGTAAACCAATTATTGCACCTACAGGGCTTTTTTGATCGGATTATCACTGAATGATTTACTTTGTTATATCGGTCGTAGAGCTCTTTGTTGTCTTACGTGGACGGTAGCAATCGACCATTTGATTCCTTCGCTAGGCGCAGAAGCGAATTATGGACAGGCAACATTTATTTTAAGGGATCGTGCTTTTCCTGAAGGAAAGCTTTTTGCATTTTGGCCCCGTTAACCACCTCCTTTAAAAAATGGCCATAAATTGTAAATGCTGCCTGTGTAACAACTTTTTCAATTTACCAGTTTGCACTTTTTCCTAGTAACAATCACTTGTATTTAATGCATGCCACTGGATCTGAGAGCGTGATTTATCTTTCACCTACTGAGTTAGTGATTAATTACTCCGAATAGAAGGCACTGATATATGCGTTTATTGTCTTGAACTTTTGGTTGAAATAATTTTGCCTTAATGGACTCTTAACTTATGTCAGAAGCATCAGGATAGGCTGCAACAATATTCAATGCGGTTTTACAGCCCGTAAGACACCGACAGAGTGCCGCATTCAATCTAGCCACGATCATCCGGTGGTTTGGCTGGACTGGTCATTAACTAAGGCTGGTGGCATCCAAACTCCCTTTCAATTTCCTATTGGTTGAATGCACCTTAGTGGAACAAAGGCACAATCAAATGACATCCACCAAAAACATTGTTATGGAACGTGTTTGACCTTTCGGAGGCAAAAAAGGAAAAAAATCCCGATATTGTTTTGGGCCGCCTGTTTAAGAGGCACTAGCATCACATGTGTGCTGCTCTCCCTCCAATTCCTAGGCGCATCCCTCTGGGTGACAGTAAACCCAACCGGAAGAGGCCATATGTGTGTGGGCTCTGACAGCATTCTTGACGGACCTATTTTGAAATTTTTGTTGGCTAGATGTTTTGATTCAACCAAAAAATAGTCCTATTGATTAAGTTGCTTTCACTGCTTGCAAGTGCTTAATTTTGTCCACATTGGTTAAACTAGGGCTTTTTTCTTGGGGTGTTTCACCCAAACTAACCCCTCAACTGACTGACTAGTCTCAGTCTCTCCATTGGGGAGTATTCATCATTTTTGGGGCACTTTAGTCTTCTTTCCATGGACAGTTTTCGCTTGGTGAGATAGTGTTTGTTCTAACCTTTTTTGTTGATATAATCAAGGTCTCTTTTCTTACCCTGGATATTTTTTGGGGGGAAGAAGGAAAACACTAGCATCTCAATCAAACTCTTACCTTTTGAGTTCTAAAATTTTTGTGCAAAGTTTTTTTTGGTGACTTGAATAAGTAATACTCAGCTCGTCTTTTCTGTCAGTTAAAGTGATCGTTTTTTTTTTCTGTAGCTATCCCTTTAATTGCTTCAATTACTGAATCATTTAATCCTCATAATTGAAATGGTGTTGTATAACAATGTGGTGAACCAACTTTCCCAAAGCCTATTTAAAACCCGGTTAGAATGAAAGGTTACGTAAAGTGATGCATCTTCTCTTTTCAACCATATAAAATTAGGACTTGGAACTGTGCGTTCTCCTTTTTAATTAGCTAATTTTGGAATTTACTGGTAATCTTGAGAATTTTTGAATGCTCTCTAAACGTTTTGCACGCATTACTTATCCCTTCAGATCTTTTGATTTGATATGATTTCCTGGTTCAGGAGATTGATACAGGCACAACATTACACCTCTGGGAGGAGATCGATAAAATGGAGACGGTGAGTGATGTGGACGAGGACTCGGACTTGGACACTGGGGCCACAGCCGAATCGGGCTCTCTGCAGAGTGTACCTCGGCCCTCTATCCGCCCCTTTTTTGGGCACACTGGTAGCTCTGAGGAGACCCTTAGTCTAGTGAGTTCTCTTATTTGCTCTTTCCCGCCCTCTTCACTCCAGATCCAGCCAATTTTCATTCAAAACCTTCGTGTTCATAATTGGTATTTCAGTTCTAATGTAATCTTATTGGTACTGCGATTGGTGTTATATTTCATTTCGCGTTTACTTTGAGTTTTCTTTTCGCACATGAAGTTATCATGTTTGAAACGTGATTTAGCATGGTGTTCTTGCATAATTTTACTAGCCTTTCGTTTGTCCGATAGCAACATCTCCACTCCTTGAAATGCTTTCATTTTTTTTAAACAAGATCCCTTTTCGTATATGTTGAGGCTTCGTGTTTTTTTCAAAACGAGGCGATATGCAAACAACCCTGTTTTGTTTATCTGAAGAAGTACATTTACTGAGCCACTAATACGCTCCAACATTATCTGATTCTGATCACTTTCACCATTTCCGGTTAAGACTGAACACGATTTTCGAATCGAAGGTTGTTGAAATATGGGCTCTATCAGTAGTACACTTAGTGACTCTTTCTGTTCCTCTACATTGAAATACCGTTTTAGTGTTGATTATGATGTTCAGGTGTGTGTAAAGAAAATTTATTGTAAAAACTTTTATTTTTTAAATTTGATACTTGAAGTGAGTCCAGAAGAAAGTGCACGTGTCTGCCATTTTTGAACTTCTAATTTCTTGCATAAATTTGCAATTCATTTGAGTAAGAAGTTACAGTTCCAAAAAGTCACCTCAAGGACACACTTTGGTTTACCTGTTAGTATCAGTAGCCGTACGGTTCAGCGTTGCTTTTGGATCCCCTTCCTGTTCCAGGAGGTGACTTGAAGAGAACCCATTTCAAAAGGTATCTGAAATGGTGCGGCCAGAAGGCAATGCTGTGGAGAGAATTCTGCATAAAAGGGTTCCTTTTTAAGCAAAAAATCGGATATGCTCAGCAGTTTATTGCATTAGAGGGGGGTGAGCTGGATGTGGCAGCGCTTTTATCAGCCACACTGCACAGCCAGCACCAGTGAGTTGTCTCCCAACGGGCGCGCGCTCTCCCTCTCGTTCTCCCTTATCTCCCATCTTCATTCCCCTAAACCAGATCGCGTGGGTGTACACACACGATCATCACTAGCTTGCTGCCTCCCTCTCTTCACCATCTTCTACTCCGCTTTTATGAATCCCAGCTGTGCTGATGGGTTCTGATCTGGCAACCGGCTCACCTAGTGTTTTAGTCACTTAATTATGCGCATAAGTATCGTTAGCCCCCTAATTGTCCAACCGTCTTGGTGATTTTGGTATATTCACCTCAGTTTGAGCGGGGGCGGTGTGTATACTGCACTATGTACTAGTCTAGTGTTGTTTTATAAACAGTCAGACCAGTTTGCTGTTCAACATCACCGCAAGTTTATTTTTATTTTATAAATGGATTGGTCATCTCACGTGCCTTTAAATCCCAGCAAAATTTAAAGGCTTTTATTTTGGGTTGGCGTCAGTGCTGGGTCGCTAAAACCTCACTTCCTTTTTTAAAAATTGGTTTATCAAGATTGTTCTGCTTTGAAAATGCTTTTCTTATTTTTGTATTTTAGTTCGCCTTAACGTTGTTTGATAAGCTGAAGCTGGTTACCTCCATTATATTTACTTACTGTGATGATGTGAATGAAAGCGCAGTTTCAACTTACCATACGACCACCGTCTAAATAATTTATAAAATCCCAAAAAAGGTGTGAAAGCGCCATATTTTACAAGGTAGAAGTCGATTGTCATTATGCTGACCTCTTTAGCCTCATTTTTTTATCAGCAGCTACACTAACTTATTATTTGTCCCGGACAGTAACTGCGTATCCTCCATTTATATGGTTCACTTCTTGTAAGCCAAGGATGGAAGGTGCCACCATTGGTCTATTTCACATTGATGCTGCTCAGTTTGCCACTTTGAATCGCCTCAACCTTACAGGCACATTAGCAAACGATAAACATCCACCTGCTGATATTAACGCCAAAATGTCACATGCTGGAGGGAATGTGATTAAAGCAATTTAAAGCAATTTTCCAAGATTGGTCCTGGTGAACACTTTCACGGTCCTTTTTCTCTCATATTCAACTATGTTGCTAATTTATCAGTTGTTGCACTTGCACGTTTATTCCTATCTGGTCTGTGTTTTAACCTTTTTGGTTATAATCTTCCGCATTTGAATGATGCTGATTAGCCAGTTGTGTATACTAGTAATCTTTTTTTATCAAAACCAGTGATTCAAAGTGTTTGTGCTTATGCCACTCATTTGTGAAGTCTTTTGGCGTCATTTTAGAAACTATTTCAGAACTGGGATTATCTCTCTCTTCATCAGATTGGTCGTCTTAACATTTTTGCATTCTAAGAATATCTAAATGGTAATCAGGAGTCGTTTATTATTATAAAACCTTCCCAACGTAAGGCAAAAACACAAAACCTTTGTGGCTTGGCACTGATAAGGTCAGAGAACGTCTGCCAAATTGGTTTCAATTGTTTCTTATCTAAAAGTGATTGTAGAACCGAGTTGCTCCTTCCAACTTTTTTTTGTTTACCATTTACCACTACAGATTGTTCGTTTCTCTACTGGGGCAGTGCCAGTGTTCCAACCCTTGACGTAGTTCAGTTTTGTCAATTTTGTACCATTAACTTTCCTGTCTGTTTATCCGTATTTTTTAGTCAAAAGCCCTGTTCTCTATTTGCGCACTCAGTGATGTTTCTTAATCTACTTTTTTGATTACCTTAACAATGTCAAGTTTCTACCTGCTAGCAGTAAATTGAAGTCACACAAAATTTTTAATTAAAGTTAGGTGTTGGTAAGTACCTATGGAATTTGCTCTCCAGCAGTTGTCAGACTAGCCTGTCCATTCTCCTCCTTAAAAGGGGCTGTTGTTTGAGGTCAAGATTCTTATACTTTCCACATTATGAAAGTCCATCTACGTTAAAACTGCATCCTTGAACTTTCTATTCTAGATTGCCTATTTTTAACGTACTTTACACTTCAACAGTACTGATGTCAAAATGTTATTTGCTAGAAGTCATTAAACTGAAGCACTTTCCACTGACTTATTTCTATGCACACCTCACAACTTATTTCTTCACATACAATTAAACCATCAATGTTTAGCACTATTTTTGTAGCTTTTGCAGACATAGAGCTATTTTCAACTTTAGAAGCACTGAGGGCTTTTTCCTTGTTAAAGGACGCTGGGGCTCGTCTCTTACGCCGGTTACAGAAGGAGGCACTGCTGACGTCGGATCCACTGCCTTCCAGACAGGCAACAGTTCCACCATCACCAGCCGCAGCGATAACAGGCCCATTCAATGAGTCTTCCACGACTACGATGGCGGAGCTGCGGCGCCAGACAACAGCCACCACCGGTGGAGGTCGTGGTGGCGTCAAATTTCCTCCTTGTTTTGGACCAATCAAAACACGGCGCACCATGCCCACCGCCAAACGGCGTCAGGTTACACCGTCATCTCCAATGGCTGCTACCCCAGTGCCTTCCAAGACACCTCCCTTCCTTAATGGGCACCATGAGGGTGGGGGAAGGAGCCATGTGGAAAACCCAGCTATTTTTAACCTCCCAACAGCAAATGACGTTGAACCTCTTGAATATGTGAGTTTAATGTTCCTGCTTCTGTAACTTGAAATGCCAAATTTTACTAGTCTTTGTGATAAAACCCTGGGGAAGGTTTTGTGCTTTCATTCTAGGCGAACACATAGCTTGTGTTCACGCTTGTGTTCATGAGATCGGCATGAAGGTGATTGTCATCAAAAGGCATTGACAATCATTCATTTGGAATTTAATAACGCACGCACACATGCTGTGGTGTTGTTCATTTGAGAAAAAAAGAATATTTATTTCGTACAGCACCGCGACAGATGTGATGGGCGATTGGTACTACTGCGTAAGCAAAAAAAATGATGACAGGTGATTTTTCGTGCTGTCTCGAGCGTGTGTGGTCTAAAGACGTTTATTAATTTTAACTATAATAGGCTAACAAAAGTTGCACTGGGAAGATTGCTCCTTTTGCCACCGCAATGTTTTGAGGCAGTGTTCTCCCTTGTATGGGCTCTGTACTGTGACCCAGATTCTGTGTTACAATACGCGAAGCTTTTTCTCGATAAATAGCTCGAATAGCTATGGCAAAATGTAGACTGGGAAATGGAGTAGTTAACCGCCTGTAAGATAAACAGAATCGTAGCTTTCGCTGGTGTATTTCAAAAAAATGCAAAATCTGTAAAGACTTTGTTGCAATCAAGACGTTGCAAGTATTCGGTTATTTAAACCTTACAAGCATAAGCACATACGGGGTGGTACGTGTTGCCTTGGTGTTAGAAAACACAATTGAAAAAATATACGGTTAGCGCCCCACCATGTAAACAGAAAGCCATTTGTACCTAAGATGAATTTAAACAGAATGATGCAAGCACAGAGATGGGCTGCATCAGTGAGACTGAGATACTGTCACTGCCTTTTCTTCACTTCTCCTCGATGGATAGTGTGTCTTTTTCCCCTCTGCAACTCTCCATGGAACATCTGATTTTAGCCATTCTATAGGCGGCATTGCCATTTCCAATCCTACCTAGGTTTCAGCACTCTGAACATCGGCAATAACTTGGGAATCTTCACAACCTAATAGCGTCCAATGGAGAATGAAATGGGAATTTATCAACTAGCCTGAGGTGGGTTGTAAGTGTGCTGGGTTTGTCTATGTCCGTGCAGGCGGACCATCAACACCGAATAAAGTCGCGACATGAAAATGGGTAACTCCGTAAGCAATGGCAAGGGTGACATTCTTACCCGCTACTCAAAATGCAGACGCTATTGATGACCATCATTCACTTACATGTTGGTAATAGGCAGTTTAAGATAGGGTCATTTTTCTGAAACTAGGGGAAAATATTTGTTGCACGTAAAATCTTCCCCTATCTATGATGTTTCCCTATCGGAGTTGTCTTTTACTCCTGCTACTCCTTGTCCCTTCCTCCTTTCTATCAAGATGAGAGTAAAGTCTAGTCAAAATTAAGGAAAACGCCTTCCTTCCTTCCCTTCCTTCCTTCCTTCCTTCCTGCAGCCGATCTGAGCAATGCATAATGAAAGTGGGTTAAAACCTTCAAAAGTTCTTCGTTTCTTGAAATACGGCATTTTCCTTACTCTTGTCCTCAAGTACTATTCAGGTTACTGAGATCACTGTTTAAAAATAACTTCCATAAGTATTTCGAACTTCGCTCGAAAAATCTCATCTGCCTAGAGCTTGTTAACTATCCAAATTTCCTTAGTGAATTTGCCTTCATGTCCTTCTCGGCGTTAATATTTGAACTTAGTTTTTTGTGAAAAGTGATCATTTTTAGAAAATGGAAGGTATTAATTGCGTTGAAATCCTATCTCGGTAGCTTCTGAAATTGAAGTTCACATCTTTTTGCGTTTGATGTTAAAAGAATTACTGGTTTTCCCTTTGGTGTTTCAGTGGAGAACAGAGGATGAGCCCTCCGGGTCGATGGTTCACACCGGAGGTTCCACCTTTCCTGAGTCCCTGGCCGATGTTCAATTTGTCGTCAACATTTTGGAACCTGGAGGAAAGGTGAGTCCGCGTATATGCTCTTCATGGGGAGTGGCTTTGTGTTCCTGAATCTGTTTGCTGCTATTGAAAATACTCTTCATCCTTAGGCATATCTCCTCTATTGATGGCTATAGGGTTGAGTTTGGGTCTTGCCGAGGGGGTCGTTGCTGTCGTTGTTGTCGTCCTTAACTTAGTCAAAGCTGCTTTTTCTTCTACGCTTACTGTAAAGAAGATTAACAGTTGGTTGGACTTTCGCTAAGCTAATTCGATGGATGCTTCATTTCCTTCCGCGCTCCAGGTGGCAAGTACTGCCAAAATGAAACCAAAACTATCCGTGCAGTCAAGCATGTTGCTTGGTTTTTTTTATCTTGACCTAAAAATTGAGATCTCAAGTGTGATGAAGGTATTTTTAAGAGTGTATGAACTTCTGTCCTCTCTGTTAAAAGTGTACTTTCTTTCACAAAATGCTAGTCAAAGCCATTCAGAGTGGTTATTGGTACACTTTAGCATGCGTGCTGATTTAGAGGGGCTGAGTCGACTTTCTTCTGCTGTGTTGGCTTCCATATGAACCAACTGTGTTTCGGGCAATCAGGTGCTTTGATCTTTGTCCTCTTATTCTGTACTAAATTGACTCGACCAAAATCAGTGTTCACTTTGTTCATAATCGGAACACTTTGGGAGAGGATTACAGTCGGTACGCTAATGCCTTTTTATAGGTGTCGGTTTGCTTTAAATGTGTGCAATACACGAGGATGTATGATTAACTGGGAAGCGGCTAATGGAATAATACATTAGCAGCTGACAGCACGCCCTGAATTCATTTTTAAATACTTTCTAGCTCCAGTAAATGTTTTGGAAGCTAAAATAATCTAGCGGCTAAAATTTCATTGCCCATTACACCAGAGGCCTCCGTGTGCTGGAAAACAACTGAACGACCTGCTTTTTTATGGTAATCATCGTTTACTGTTAATGGTTGCCAGTATATACTACTAATTAGATGAACTTCGCAAGTAGTACCTGCTCCTTGTTTTCGCCTTATTTTTTTCAATAAAGGTGGCCAAACACATTGGACTGCAAAGCACCAGTCGATAACGAAAATTGGCATTATGGTTAGTGATTAAATAATCAACTTGTGCTTCAGATTTGGCAGTCTAACGTTTCACGGACGTTAGTAGTTACAACCGGCCTGGTTGCATTAACTCGTTTTTTCGTTTTATGCGTGATGAACTCATATTAGAATGATATGTTAGTAAAATGTTGACTTGATGAACATCTCACAATCACTGTCAGAACATATTTACAATACACCAGTAGTTGGTCATACCACCTTCCACTGAACCCCTAATAGCCTGTAGCCAATCCCGCTACTGACTTTTAACTCGCTGGTCACGTGGGCCTCTTGGTCCGGTTGAATTCATGTTGTTAAGCCTCCTTCACTTAACTCATGCAGTAATTTAAACTAGTATGTTTTAATAGTCGACACCACAGTGCTTCCAGTTACCACCAATTCATCGTTACAAGCGACCAGATATCGTCAGCCTTATTTTCCATTTAGAGCATAGCAAACTTGTAGAGAATACCAGATAAATAATAGGCGATTAAATACGTGTTTTTTAAGCATCTGTGACGGACCATAATTGGGTTTCCCCCAAACGTTTGCCAGAAATAAGTTGATTCGCCTTCGGCAGTTTCTGTTTCGTAGATGACTTGGCTGATTCCATAGACCTATTGGTAACCACCTACGCGACTTCCCTTTGAAGCTGGTATCGTTTCTCAGCATTACCGAAACTGCTGATTACGCAGGTCTTGTAGTTCGAGTTGCGTCGCTGTCAGAAATGCTTGAAGGAAAATTGCTAGTTTTTACTTTGATGAGTTTCAATTTTCATGAATGGAAAGAGATGGCTAGTTTTTATTCATGTTTTGCTGATTTTGTAGTTGGAAGCAGGCCGTAAAGTAGCTATTTAAACTTATAGAACCCATGAAAGTTTGTAGACCATGCTGCAATATGAACAAATCGTTCACAATACCGTATTACCGTGGAACATTTTTTGAGGAACTACGGGTCAATTTAAGCAGTTGAATTCGCCGATCGCTGTGGCAGACTAGGCAACAGCTAATGTGGTAATGAGTTAAAAGCTGATAACACGTCTCATCCTCACTTAAGATTTGTTAATTAGTTCAGATTAGTTATTTATAGACGCCTGAGATTTTGTTGTCAAATAGGCTGGAGGCTAGTTCATCTTTTGTTTACGTCCTGGTGATATGTGGGAAGCTCTGTGCAGGAAAATCATGGGTACTACATTACACTCTGGCAAATAAGATTTGCTAGTCTTCTCTCACTGTAAGACAATAGCGTTTTAAATCATAGAGAATAAGTGAATAACAACGTACTGGCTGGTTTTTTAATAAAGTATGGTGATTCAACCTTACTTTTGAATAATGTGTAAATTCCGTTAATTACCTGGATATTTTTTTACCAGGACTTCATGCAAGCGTACGTGAGCTAGGGGTCCTGGCTTTTTTGCTTTTTCCCTTGATCTGAATTCTAAATAAAGGAGAAATGCATTGTAATCAGTGATCACGTCAACCTAAATCCTTCTCAAACTCGCGACCTGAGAGCAACTGATCTCTTTTCGGTGTTAATCCAGGCCGCAGCAACGGCGCTGGCACAGGCAGGTTGCGCAAAGTTGGCGCGGGTGTCGTCCTTCCAGGAGGTACGTCAGGTGCTCAGCAGCCTGGTTTCGTGGGTACAGATGCACCACGTGGAGGACGGGAGACGAGAGATCCGTTTTTGCGTGGTAGGCGGTGACGCCCTTCTCAACTCCGTCCTCCGAGCCTTTGTAGAAGTGGCAGGCGCACGTTCCGAGGCCGTCGCCGCCGCTTTTCGCTTCTTCCTCGTTCCCGTCTCCGGCCTCCTCCCACCCCTTCTTTCGCCGCAGCAACAACAACACTTGGTCTGTCGCCATCGGCGATCCATTTCTTCCACTCTGCCACCGTTGTCACAGCTCTCTTCCGGTGAGTGTTTAAGCATGATTGACAGACCAGCTTCTACCTGCATTCTGAGCAATGTTTATGCGTTCGATCGGCCTTTGTTTTAGACTCTCTGCTTAATCTCAAACCTCTTCCCCACTAGTTCATCAAATAGAAAATGCGATGTGATAAATCAACTTCGTTCCAGCCATTCTATTTTCCACTGAGTCGGGGTTATTCCCCGAGAGGCTAGTGATAAAAATGATTCCCACTGGTATGTGTGATGTCTTCGTGTCACCGTCTGTTTCTGGGTTGACACGAGTGCCGTTTTCTTGAAGACATGTACCTTAGGTCAATAAATCTGAAACACCGAGTTTTGAGGCGCAAGTTTGTTCATTATGTCACGAATGGGAAATATAGTAGCGATTAGTGAATGCAAGTGTGCATCTAAACGGTTGATGATCTAGTTGTTATCCTAGTAGTGGACGATGGAATCCCGAAGGACGTTCACAGCTGAATGTCTTTCAGAACTCGTAGAAAGAACGAACCTTATGCAGCGTCCGATTTATCCCTTAAGATATTATGGGACATATTAGGCTCGAAGCAGGTTTATTATAAACACACTGAAGCGTTGGTAGGCTAGTGGCGAGTTTCATGTCATCATTACGGGGACCAAATCCCTTGAGTCTGAAAGGAACTGTGCTGTTAAATCTAAAACTAAAGCTAATTTCACTTAACTTGACTTGTTTTTGAGGCCCAGAGGCGTTTAAGTGGCTTGTTAAACTAAGTCCAATGTTCCCCGAAGTATTTCACTGCCTAAACGACTCAGTGCTCAGTGAGGGCAACATACACGGGTTTTATTCCAGCTTCCACCCACAGTTTGGGTGGTGTTTTAATGTAGTCTAGCGTTGTAGTTATTTCTCAATGGATTCGTCCGGCTAAAAAATTTCTGATTTAAGAAACTCTTAGCTGTTCTACTTTCTATTATATCGAAGTTATGTCTTAAGACAAGTCTGAAGGTCGATGCACAGTCCAAAGAAAGGACCGGGAAGCTAGTAGCGAAAGACAAGACTGATTTACCTGAAACGTCTGTGTAGTACAGAGTGAAGTTGTCTTTGGTTTAGTGTAAAATTTTTAAATGAGCTTATTTCAGTGGTGGCGGTTATACCGATTCTCGATGATCCATTGCATTTATATAGAGGATTTTTCGAGGTCTTGATGTTGCCCTGTTTACGCTGGTGGAGCCAAAATGGGAAGAGGAGGTGAAATCAGTGAATCGTTTACGTCTCGACAATGTTGCATTGTTTACTTTTACTCGAGGTCTGTGAAGGACAGACGTTTATTTCGAAATTAATGCAAGAAATTGTTTGTTCTTCTATTTGAATCAAATCCAGCTGTCTAATTTGCAGTCTTCCGCTCTCGTGCTGTCAAATTCTTCAACGCAGACACACTCGTTGTGGCTCCTAATGATGACGCCACCTGGCACGTTTCTCTTTGGATGCTCATCCTTTTACCTCATGCATTAGGATCCATCCAGTTATAAATTTTTTGTCCTGTTATTCTGTTCTAGACAATCCAGTAATCCACGCTGTTTCCTGTGTGATTTGGGAGGGCTTCTTCTAGCTAATTACTATCGGCCATGGTGTAAACTCGGCTCTTCAACGTGGCTCATTTTCAGGATTAAGTTTGTACGCTGGAATGGGGGCTTATTGGCTAAATTTCGTATCAATCCAGCACTTCGTAGGCTTTAAGTTGCCTTCAAAGATGTTGGAACGGTAATTCTACTCAAAAAGTGACACGAACTTGTTCTCTTCTGCTTTACATGTAAAACATTTAAAACTAGTTTGCAAGACGCATTTCTGAACTATTAAGATGCACCTTTGCATTTAATAAATCAAACCAGTTTTGTAAAACTTTAAAGCTATCTAGTCTAGAACGTGGTACTTACAGAGGTTGCGGTTATTCCCTTTACCATTGTACAAAGCAGTGTAAACTGGTTCTTTTGAAGCTTCACGATGAGTTCTTAGGCAGAAAAGGTGGTAAAAAGAGTATTCCTTTTATTTGTATTACCAATTTAAAATTAAGGATGCTTGAGTACGACTGTAGGTTTTTCCCTTTGGATCAACTTACTGAAGCCTACAAATGGCTACATGGAGCTAGTTATCTACCTAAAAATTGCACAGATAAAATAAGCTCTCCTTCCTCCGCCGCCTTAGATCTCGTCCAACCTACTAAACCAGGCTCTCCATCAATTTCACGGGAGTCGCACCCACCACCAGTCCTCCCATCCTTCCCCAACCTCGTCGCCCAGCGTCTCTGCAGCCTCGATCCGTGCTACGCTCGCCTCTTCAGTCACCTAGCTGTTGGCGAGGGTGTGAGTGAAGCAGATGCCACCGCGTCCACCCCGACTCCAGTTCAAATCAGACGGGTATCGACGGAGGGTGGTAGTTTGGAGGGCGAATTTGTGCGCCGAGTGGTAGTCTACCTTACCACTGCCGACTGTCTCTTACCCCTGCCCATTGGCGAGTGTCTGGTGGCGGGAGTAAGGAACAACCTGCCTGTGTTAGGCAGTGGGGGAGTTGGGGGAGCCTTTACCCCTACTAGCGCTGCCACATCCTGTTCCCCTTCCTTCAATCCGCCCCTTCCGATGGGAGTTGCCAGCATAGGTTAGTTGGTAAAGGTCAATGTAGTTATAACCAGTAGATGTAGCATAGTTTATGTTTCGTGGTAGGTAGACGGTGGTGTAGCGGTCGTCATAAGATTACATAATTCTACGTAGACCTTTTAGGTGTGTGGAAGGGTTGTTGACTATTAACAGGAAGGTTACCTCACCAAGATGGTAAGCGATATTTACAGTGGCTGTAAAAGGTGTGATTGAAATAAGTGTTGTTTCAATGCGGTAGTCAGCCCGGAATTCGGGATTTTAGTGTTGGTTTTTTTTGGTTTTTCCCTAAAGGATGTACTAATCCCACCAATCGGTGTAAGAGGGTTCTATAGTACTAAGCTAAAAAAAACTATTATTATTATTCTGCTTGCGAGGAGAGTAATAGAACTGTTCGGCGTCGGCATTTTTGGTTTGCTGCTTGAGACAGAGATCGTCTTAAGCGAATGGTTGACGCGGTGCACTTAAAAGTGGAGTTTTGCTTTGTTCTAAAATACTTTAATTTAATTGTTCTTTTGAGCATCTTGGAATAAGCGGTAGTCTTTATGAATATCTGTGAACAGTGAGTTGTTTTAGTAGTAGCACGAACTCAACGAGCTGTTTGAGGGCGAAGTGAATAATGCTTGGGAATGGGGATAAGGAAATCGTCACATTTTGAGAAACTTGGACCACAAGTAGGGAGAAGCTTTTGAAAGATTTAATTTACTTTCGTTATACAGCGCTTAGATTGTCTGTAGCAAGAAAGGAAGTAAGAAAGGCGTTTTCCTTCATTTTGACTAGTCTCCAGTCCCACCTTGACAGAAGGGAGGACGGGATAAGGGATAGGAAGAGGGAGAGCCAAAACCGACAGGTACATATTACAGACGGGAGTCACTCACCCTTATTTCACGATTTTATTCTGTATCGATGGTCAACCTGTATGGACATGGACAAACCCGGCACACTTACAACCTACCTCAGGTTGGCTGGTAAATTCCAACCTCATTCTCAATTGCACATTATTAGGTTCTTCCAGAAGTCTCCAATTCATTGCCGATGTTTAGAGCGCTGCTACCTAGGCAGGATTGGGAATGGCAGTGCAACCTATCGAATCGCTAAGATCAAGTGTTCCACGTGGAATGGTAGACGGGAAAAGCGATATGCTTTATATGGCGAAAAAGTAAAGACATTGGCAATGTCCCAGTCTCAGTGACGCAGCCTGCCTCTGTACTTGTATTATTCTGAAAATCACTTCATGTTACGTCTCAAGTTGAAAGCATGACAATGAAAGAGGGTAAAAGGAGTGAGTCACGTGGTGGTGTTGACATTGGGACACTTTGTTTAACCTGTGAATCTTGTTACACAATTTTGCGACTTAGGCATTGAATGTGCAGACGCGTGTTACCGCCTAGGGAACATGTGTTGTGCCTCTTTTCGCCGCGTATCGCGCTGAAGCCAAGTTGGCATAAATGTGCCCATTTGCCATGAGTGGTACTGCTACTGCCGCTACTGCTGCTACAGCTACCGCTGACACAAGGGGTGGGGGGAGGGGATATCGCGCCAGAGGCGGTCAGAACGCGCAGCTTAATGGAGACTGTGGGGCAGCCAACAAGGGAGGAAGGAGTAATAGCAGGCAGTACTGGGACGGAAGAGGTGAAAGGGAGAGTAGGAAGAGCAAAAGCAGGGAAGTACACACGCACACACAGGAGGACCTTCACTGAATGTTAGGTGCACGTCAATCTTCTGAACGTTTCACAGGCTGCAATTCCTCATTGGCATGAGGAAAATTATTACTGGTATTGCATAGGAAAACCGGTAAAGGATAGCGATGGTTATCATTATTGAAGTAATGAAAAATTCAGATGGCGTTGTGAGCCCGAAGATAAGATGAGGAAGTGAATCTGAGGGGGACACAATGCACGCCTTGTAGGTGGAAGTGGGTATGTTGGTTGGGCAATTTATCAAGTTCATCGGGGGAGCGTTTTCTGCGACGGAATCGCTTTTGCTCTTTGTTTTTATCCCCGTCTAATCCACTTATCGTTTTGTAGATGATAGAACCTCCCCTGTTGCCCTTCTAATGGCAATTATCTTGTTTTACACAATGGGCTGCTTTGGGTTAAGTCTTAGGTTTTATTCTCTTAAATCTTGTTTAAAATCCACGTTTGAATGTACCTTTCGTTGCCCCTCCAAACCCCCCAACACCTAGTAATGACGTTATAATTCACCGTGCCCTTTTTAACCCATATGTTTTTACTGACTAATCTTGTTCTCCTATTTAATGGTTTGTAAATTTAACTCACAAAATATCTGACAATTTGCTTGGTCATTCCATGCGATGCTTTTGAACTCTCATGGTTCATTCGTGTTACGTCTGTTTCTTCCCAAGCCTTTGTAAATATGGTCGTGTTTTTGCAATTTACTGATCGCACGATATTTCATGAGTTAGTTTGAGAACATTTGATAATTCAATGCTTGAGTGCTAAAAGAGGATCATCTACAGTGATTTAGACATTGTACAGTATTATTGTGACGCCGGTACTTGTGCTATCGAAATGAACAAAATTATTGTTGTTTAAAGGATCAGAAAGCTCTTATTCTCCTTTTCCAGTATACCTATTCCATCGTGTTAAACTCGAACAATCTATTTGCTACCCGGTGTGGTGCAACCATTAATCCCAGACCGATAAGGAACACACCACAGACTTTTACGCCTGGCTCCGATAAGAAAGTCAGGAACTCCCGTGCGTCAAACTTGAACGTCGTCAAATCTCCTCAAAACTAGTTCACAGACCTTACTTTTGTAAGAGATTTTTAGTTATTAAGTGCTTCTGAACAAATCACTTCTGCTGCAGGAATTTTTTTCATTTTTTCTTAGATTATGAGCACCAAAACTCCCAGTGCTCGTACTTATGGTTCCCCATCGGCAGTTGCTTAGGTATTTACTGAGCTTAGAGGTGTCGTAGCCTAGGGCTTGGGCAGATCTAGCACTTATGTTCAGTCTTCCTGTTACCTCTTTAGCTACGAACCTTCCATTTCCGTAATCAGCACCCTGCACCGTTTGAAGATTTCATTTTGTTTACAAGTGCTTATGAAAATTTTGTCCCTATACTAGGTACTCGCCCCAGTAGACATGAATTTACACTCCCATTACACCTAGACAGTTTTTTTTCACATCCAGGTAATGGAGCAGTCGAGCTGCAGAACAGGGGCTACCACGTGATGCATTGAAACACAAATAATTACTACTACTCCTGGTTTTTGTGACCTTTTTTGCATGGACCTCACGTGTCTAAGCTACCATGCCTCTATCGTCCTACAAGATTTAATCAAATAGACACTTCTGCATGGACTTGATACGTCTGTTACAGCCAAACGTAGACACGCTGCCTTGAATTAGGCACACGTGATAAACTTGACCAGATCCGGAATTTTACGCAGAAGCTAGGCAAATTCTGTCCTATTCGCGTTGTAAATGCAGCTTTTTAATCCCACCGCTTCTTTTTAGTCAAATCTTCATTTTTGACGAAGCACCACTATCGTATCTTGGTTGGTTAATCACGGCAAGGGTGTTAGATACACGCTTGTGTTCCGACATCTCCTAGTTGTATCTTTGCTTTTTTGATGTAACAAATTTCTGATTCGTTTAGTCTACCCCTTTGTTAACATCAGTTCATTGAAGCATTCGACTTCTATTTTCTCATAAATCAGTCTAAGGGACCTCCCTGTCACGGATTATGTGACTGCATGTCATAATAAGTCGCATACCCACCACTTTATTCTGAATGATTTATTTCTATTCCTTTTGGCTTTCAGACGATGGAAGCAGTTTAGACGAGGAGTCAGGAAAGCAAACTCTTGTGCCCTTCCTCCTCTGCATCCGCCTCGGTGGCGAGACCATTCTGCGTGGTTGTCTTGGCGATGGGTCGGAGAAACACGGGACCGCTGTCCGTTCTTCGGGTCCCGGTGCCGGCGCCGGTGACTACCATCCCCCTGGTGCTCCTCATCTTACCCCTCGCTCACCTTCCTCATCCTCAACCTCTGTCTCTTCGCCATCCCCCACTGTCTTCTTTGCTGCGGGGTGAGTTCGCGTGCTCAATATACGGCATTTCTATTTTTCTGAGCGTTATTAGTGTCCAACTCACTACTTTGCCTTAAACCAACTTGTTTTGCTCATACAATTTGTTGTGTAACACCTGCGATATGAGGCATACGGCTCCAGGCGTGGTTTTATTGTATGCAAGAGCTGGAAGGCTGTTGGAAATGCTAATTGGAAACTGAGAAATTTGTAGCATGTGCAGCTAAAAACGCTGCACTAGAACAGTTCCGGCTTTACTTTCAGCGTCGTTCTCGACGGTCCTCGTAATTACTCCTGAACGTGGATAGCCTTAGCAACCTATTTCATTAGTGGTGATAAATGTGTTGCGTCTAGACGAGGCCCATCTATCAGGAGAACTGCACCAGAAGAGTGATTCATTTGCCAGTTTTGGTGCTGAAGTTTAGTTGGTGCTCTGCAGCAAATGCAATTTGGCTACCTATCGTTTTTTGTTTAATCATGTGTCTAATAGCTTAAGCTTTAGACTTGTCTAGTTTTCTCTTTCCACCGTTGCTATTTCAATACTGGCTAATCACAAGTCTGGGTTGTGCTCATTTTCTTGTAAGATGGAGAGGCATAATTTAATATTCTCGTTCCAGGAGGCTAAGCGGTTCATTAAGGGAAGACTTCGTTGTATTCCGTTTGGCTTTGATCGTTTTCCACTACTGGCTACTCTGCAAGACTTACTTCTTCACTATCAAATTAGCTGTCTTTTCGAACAGAATGATTGAAATTAGGAATGCCTAATACTTGTTTTAGGTCCTATAATTGAACCGTTTTGTCGTCATTTCACGGTGCTCTAAAATTTTGCCTTTCAATGTGAACCATGCAACCTACGGCAAACAAAAAATATTCATTTCAATGTGAACCATGCAACCTACGGCAAACAAAAAATATTCATTTAAAGAAATTAATAAATTGTTGGTGATTTGTCTTCGACTTTTGCTTAACGAATCGCCAATTTTTCTTCATATGTAACACACCAGGTTGATTGATAGATTAGCTTGTACTGGTCAGAAAAATGCGAATGCAGAGGAGAACTTTTGGAAACCTTTAGTGTAGATGCATTAAGGTGATTTATGCGATACCTGGTACCTCGGAATTAGGCGAATGGGTCATATACTTATTCCTTTTTGTGCACCAATGATAACACGATGGATTTGCCGGTTGTTTAACGGATTTTAACCAAGCAGAATGCGAATTAAAGACTGTACAAAAAATAACTAGCTCAATGGCCATGTATCCAGGTGGAGGAGCAATGTGAAATTGTAGGGAGCCTAGTCTACTAGCTTCAGCGTCAATTTCCCGAATTGAGAAATGCGAGTTCACAGTGATCAGTAAAGAGGTGTTTCGCAGAAATCCCATTTTCAGCCACTGCGGATCTGTCAGTTTTTAGAAATCACGACTTCATTGTGATCACTTACACAAAGTTTTGTAGAGGATGTGTTTAATTGCGCGGCCAGGCAACACAGTAGGATCAAATACAGAGGAGCGATGCGGAGTAGAATGATAGGGTGATGTGGAAGGGACGTCCCCTTACTTAAATCAAACTAGGGCATAAGTTTTTGCTTCCGTTTATATCTGTCGCGCTGGAATTAGATAATCGACGTCATGGAATTGCATTTTCAGCTTTCTAAGTCTACTTTTTATTCCTATTACAGGTCCGATAAGCCGACATACGAGCTCCAGCTGGAGTACTGGGCCCTCAACGCCCCAGGTTCGACCTCCGCCGCTGGCAGTTATGGTGGCTCGTCTTCTCTGGTTCACCCCTTCAATTTGGACGACCGTGGTGGTAGCATTGTTAGCAGTGGTGGTAGTGTAGACGGAAGGGTTGTGGCTCGACCCGTCACCTTCAAGGCTGTCTGCAGGTCTATGTTGGTCGGTCTGACCAGCAGTCCCCTCTGTGCACCCATCCCACTACCGCAGAAACCCTCCACTCTTCTCAACCTTGCCATGATTACACGCGAAAAGAAACCCAAAAGTAAGGCATCTCTCTATGTCTTACTAGTGCTAAAAGGTCCGTTCAAACTGCACCCTACTTACCACTAGATAGGTCCCCCATCTTTTATAGTTGTCAATATTGTATTGCTCAGTGAATGCAGGGTTTTTCTTAGCGATGGAACATAGACTCACCAAACTGGATAAACAGACTTGAAGTATGGTAACGGCGTTTTTTAATGTGAAGTACATAGTTTGAGGATTTTGCATTGTAGTGTAGGGTGTACAGCTAAAAGTTTTTTTCTCTTCTAAAGTGTTGATGCGTTTATCGCTAACAGCGTTACTGTATTTATGTAGGCATTTTATTTTATGAGTCTTCGGTTTTGCCAAGCCCTCGCAACTTGCCGTAAAAGATCGCAAATCGTGATAGAAAGGACATAATGCGTAGACTCATAGGAATCTATTTTATAGGGTTTGCGTACCGTAGGAAGTGTTATTACCCACACCCCGGACTTCTGTGGGATGTTTTTTTGACGTACTACACTGAATCTCAAAACTGTTTATATTGCTAAAATACAAAATTGACGTAGATATAACTTCTTCCCGGTGACGTTACTCTCATGGCCGATTTTTCAAATGTGGCTATAGCGTTTTTGTTCGCGAATTTGCATCACTAAGCTTAGTACCTTTAAGATGATTAACATTGCGGATTTATCTCCCCCTACTCTCCAGTAATGCGAATCGGTAAGAAAACAAGCAAGGAGGTGACTTTTAAGCCAGACCTAATTGAGGGCGTGACCCGACTGATCTGCACCTGCAAGGGCATCGCCTCCCACGCTTCCGTAGCAGCGGAGTCTATGGAGGCGGGTCTGGGCCTCACACCAGTTGGTCGGTGCGCCGACATCGCTCCTCCACCTCCATCGTCTCCGAAGCATCACCAACTATCACTGCCTCCGCCCCACCTCTCGACAGGTGAAGCGGCAGCAGCAGTAGGGGAAAGCACCGCCTTCTGTCACCCTTCCACCTCTTTCTCAGTCCGAGACGACCTCTCCTGTGGTCTCATCGTTCCTGGACAATCGACTTCTTCCTCTGGAGACCATGTCTTTGTTCGAAGTAGGTAGACATCCTTTATCTATCTCTTTCCTATCGCAAAATTTCACCTTTATCACACTAATAATCTAGTTTTTCAATTTGCACCAGCATCTACTAAAATATCAGACAGGAATCGCTGCTTCTGGGAGTATCTTTTTTAACCTAGCATAATTCAACTCACATCAATATTTGCTGTAGTTGTGACTGAAAGTATAAGTGGATATGTTATTTAACCGGAGATATAGAAAGTTGCACCAACACTTTTTTTCACTCATATCAGTATGGCTTTCATTTTTAAAGTTGGAAAATTGATGTGCAGATACCAAAAGATTGTGTCCAATAGCTGCCTGTTTATAGTTGCTTTTTTGTCATCTTCATTCTTATCAATAAGTGATGTCCATGTTTTATGGGAGTCTCTTTTCTACCTCCTAACCATAAAATACCCTTAGCTGGTTGTTGATCTGTTTAACTGAGTACGTGGACAGTTGCGGCGGTGTCGTCTCCAGTCGAATTGAAGAGTTTCATCGGCATGAAATGAATTAATGCCAAAAAGGGGTTGTCGGAGTCTAAGGTGTTTGAACTGCCAAAATATAATCGTAAATAATTGTATTGTTGATTACGAAATGTTATTTCGGTCCCGCTACTAATCTATGAGCTGTCAGCTGTCGCCATAACCATCCGTGTATTTCTAACTCACAAGGAGTACTTTCTTGTTTTTCTTATGAGCACTATTACTCGCAATGAGTTGTTCAACTCGACCCCGAAAATTGCTGGTATGGTGGAGGATGTGGAAGACTAAACTAATGTGCCAGGTCAAACATTACCCTCATCAACACATTACATCAGTCATCTTGTCACCTAAATCGACCAAGCGGTATGTACCTTATCTTACCTTTGTGTCAGAATGAAGAGGCGTTTGAAGATGGGTGAGATTCTTAAGGAAATGAGAGAAATTAGTTGTGAGGTCGACCGGTAACTATGTTCGAGGGGAAAGTGGATTAATTTGTTTGGCGAAGGAAGGGCGGAGGAAGACATATCGTCTCATCCTCATCCATATCCGTCCGATACGTCTCCGAGATCCGAGTGATTGTCGTACTTTCTTGACATTAGCATCATACAGTCGCATGAACACGGATGAAAGAGAAGAGCCAATTGGGAAGTAAAAGTGAAGTTGAAACGGTGACTGCGGTTAGGTTCGGTTGATTACTTCTAGAGACGAAAGGTTTTGCTGAGATGGAATCCACAGGACGCCTATATTTTGTTGATGAAGGGTCAGCTTATGGATTGCAGTGCTGATTCTTTCTATAAATAAAACGCTTGAAGAAGCCTTCCGCTGCAGTTTGTCGTTTATTATAAAAACTCCACGGGCATATTTAACTACCTCACATTGTTTGTTAACTCTCAGATCTTTTGATAATCGCCGTAATCTTTGAAATCACACATTAGGCTTTTGTGCAGGAAAATACTTTAAGGTGAGTCTAATTTTGAACTCACCTCTCTTCTCAGAGTACTTCACTGCTGGCACCGATTTGCCTGCAAAACCGAGAGGACTAATGTCTCACACGTCATCATGTGTTTGGACTTTTGTCACAAGACCTTTCACGCCCACTTGTTGTGAGAAATTTTCTTTCTAACTGAGTCATCTCCACTAAGCCAGGTTTTGCTCACACCAACTTCTTACTCTTAGAGCGGCGGTCCCAATGGAATCTCCAACACACACTCACCTGTCCTCCTGAGACTTTCTGGAGTGGGTCTTCTTGCTATGATTTTCCTTTCTACTCTGGTGGCACCTCGCTATTCATGGCTTTTAACCAACGACTTCGCCCTTTAGTTGTGGGTGAATGGGGGGAAGAGGGGGTACTGCTTCCCTCCGCTATGAAGCACACACCGACTGGTAGATGAAGGTAGTCGAAACTAACAAATGTCCCATCACCCTTTATTTCCTTTCCGCAGTATCAATAGACGGCGTGGACTGGCCAACTTCGCGGTTCTTCCAAGTGGCGCCAGGCTGGCGCACACATGTGAAGGTCTTCCCTCTGGTCTGCATGTCGCCCCTCCCCTCCAGTCCAGCGTTTGCGCTGCCCCTTGCCAAAGTCATGGTGGGGCTGTCCGGTCATGCGCCGCCTCCCACGTCGCTCCTCCTTTCCGCCACTGCCGCCACCTCCGTTACTGCATCTGCTCCGACACAAGCGCCAGCGATCACGCCCTCCTGAGCCTCGGACTTCGTCTCTCCTCTCCTCACTGTGATTTTCTTTTTTTGTTCTTCTTCCTTGATTCTAATTTTGTTGCTGCTGTACCTGCTCTTTCCAGTCACCGGGTCGTTAGCTAGGTAGCTGACCGATCAGTCAGCAGCCCGAATTCTCACTCTCTCTTCTCTATTTTTTCTGGACCACTTTGTTTTTTCTCCATGGGACGATTTCACGTTCTGAGGGCTTGAAAATTGTAAAAAGTCGAAAATAAACGCGTTTTGAAAAAAAGTAGTGAGTACGAAAACCTAGTCACTGAGTAAAGAAAAAAAGGAGCTTGAAAATACCAGTTGATTGAATTGCCATGATAATTAAGCTCTAAGGCTGCGGTATTGTTTTGTCTACCTATTTGTTGTGACCGTGGTGATAGAAATCGCCAGTGGAGTGCATTGTCCCCCCAAGAGCAAGCTTAAGTAGAGGTGAAAGTTAACCTCACGTCAGTCAAGTCAATCATCAATCCACTGACAGGCCTGTCGAGAGGTGAAGTAGTGTTTTTGAATCACCCAGCTTCGAATCGTGCATCTTGATTTCCTAAAATTCACGTAAAGCCTTAATTACCTTCCTTTAAATCAAATGCTTCCTATCTGACTGTAGGTACTTGGGTTGGTTGTGGAGTTGACTTTTCGCATCAATCTAGACAAGAAATTGTAGAACTGTTTGAAGTGGAAACTTAGGCTACCGACTCACTAATTTATTCATGGAAGGAGTGAATGGAATCTTGAAGTGTTTTTTTTTTTGTTCATTGGTTTGGACTGAATGGTTTTCCACTTTACACTCTCTTGAAGTTTGGAAGGCTTGACAGATAGCTAGTATGAGATCTTTTTAGACTAGGCTATGCATTTTTATTTCTACTATTACTATCAATCACTAGCTGGCAGGCTAGGTCTACTGTGGACCGCTTTTGGTTTCGGGGTTTGAACCTTGTAAAACGGGGAAAAAACGTGTTTCGTCTTCGAGACAGGGAGAAGTGTGGACAGTGCAAAAAAAATGAGCTAAAACGTGAGAGCTAAACGTGATTAGATTCCAGTGCTTTGGAATAATAAACTAGTAAATAGTTTATAAAAGTTCCCGCTTCCTGTTTGGAATTTGGCGGTGTGAAACACTGCCTCTCGAGGACGAGCGTACTGAAGCTCTGGAACCAATTTCACGACACATAAGTCATATGGTTAAAGTAATAAATGATTTGACAACCAGTCTGCTGACAGATGAATTTGACCATTTTTAATTACCCAGCACTGACTTGCGTGATAGCTCTACTTTTGAGGAAAAACAAGCCGACCGCTGTCCTTAGTCTTGTTTCCTAGACTAGTAATGTTAATAGAGACTCGTAGCGTACTTCTTTTGATTTGAGTTTTTGACTATAATTGCTAAAACAGTTTAGCTATTACGAGGACATTCTGTATTAAAATATCTGATTCCATTCTACCACAGAATTAGTGAATTGAACGACTGATAGCGGGTCTCGGGATCGCCAGCGCCAAGTGGTTAGCAGTGAAACGAACTCCCAAAAGACAATTCACTCATCTCGTTAAATTCTTTGCGAACATTTTCACAGCCTCCGATAAGTGTCCCACTGATAGCTGACATAATATCCAGCAGAATAGGCATGCTGCATGTAATCATCGGCCTACGCAGTCTGGGCCAAACTACTGCAAAAGGGGAAATACAAATTTTCTCAAAAATGTTTAGGCTATCATGGGGATATGGGAATAGAGAGCTAGTTGAAGGAAAATGGGGAGATTAAGCATGGTGCAATTTGCAGCCGTGTTCTCAAAAAATCGCCGGAACTGATCCCTATCCAATATGTTAGCATTGACAGTTGGAAGTGATAGTCGTCTACCTAAATCGCAAGAGGCTGAATTTTAAAATCTTTGCTAAGTTTTCGCCTATCTACCCATTAATTACACCGAATGCTAAGTGTTTCGATGCTTTTCTGAACACAACATTGCAACTGTTCCAAAAGGATTTGCTTTTTAGCGTAAGAGTAGGGAAAGAAAACTTGAGGCATTTAAATTCTTTTTTTATGTCAGTTAATTTAACTTACATGAAGCTCTTTGTCTCGGTCCGTTGCCTTTTTATTATTGAACTGAAGCTACTCACGGCCTTCTAATTATTTTTCAGCCCTGCTTTGTTGTTTTTTTGCGAAATCGTTGTAAGACCAGGAAACAAACGCCTCATGAAAAGAGTACATGATTATGTTTTAATTTTGGGCAAGTAGAGAGAAGAGATGGTTCAAGTTTAACTAGATTGTAAAACAGGAAGTAGGCATAATTTTTTAAGCCCATCACGTTCGCAATAGTGAAAAGTTGTGTCATAGAAGTGATACATTATAAGCATACAATGATGAGGTTTTCGTAGAAAATCCTTTAAGGGATAAAGTTGTTGTCGGAAGTCCATTTTCGGACATTCGATACATACTTGTATGCTGTGTTTGTTGCTTGCTAGCGGAACCTCATTGGCTGCACGTTGAAATAAGTGTTTACCTCAGGATAGCGCGAGTCCAAAACAGTTTGCCGAGTTGCAAGGCCATCAAATACACCCTGTCCAATTCTGTGTCAGTGCCTCGTTTTACCGCACCTCAAACAAAGCACTTGGCAAAAATATTGGGAACATATTTCGTACGTACGGCCAATAGCTGACGAATAAGCTTGGACAGCGTATAAAATCAAAAATAGCCTTTTTGGGCCTGTTGGATCTATTTGAAAGTCTTAATGCCATTGACAGATCGGTTGCATAATTCGCGCCTTACCTAGAGTGAGGGGTGGTGATCTAGGCCACAATCACTCATTCAACTTTGACCCATTACCTTTGATTATTTGCCACGATCACTGGACCAGACATCCTTGATTTTGGACTGTGTTTTGACGCCTCAACTTCAATCGTTAATCGGGCTGGAAGGCTGTAATTGTCCATTTATCATTAATTAATGAGGTATTCATGTAAGGTGTTGCCTTGTAAGGAAACGTTAGAGGACTAGTTAGAACAGTAAAGTTTTGAGCCGCTCAGTGGTAAAATCCGTTAGGAAATACAAGCATCTACTTTTAATCGCGCGTCTTCAAAGTGCGCAGTTAAGCATTTTGGATTTATGTGAGTTATTAATGGCATGGCACCGATTGGCATTGACGGCTGTCTTTGAAGTACGTAAAGAATCTAAATGGTGTTTTGGTAGTACTTAAGTCTCCTATTAATTTAAACGTCTGCCCTCTAATAATAGCCATTAAAATAGTTTGTTGGACACCGCTTATTTTAAAGTTATGCGAGCCTGAGGTAAACTGGTAACAGTTAAAATAGGGTGGGCTGAAATCCCGAAGGGTGGTTTTTTTCTAGCTCACTGGTTGATTTGGGTGCTTTCGCACATTGCAATATGCGACTGAATACCAGGTAGGCACGATAGATAGATAGACAGTAAGTGTTTCTATCATTACTGCTCTCTCTTCTTTCAATCACCGGGCATTGTAAAGGGTGGGAGCTGTACAGCATCCAAATTTACGCCAGCAGATAATTCACAAAGAATCATCGCGTTTTAGCCTTGAGAAAATAAACAGAGTGGTGATAGCGTCGCACCATGAACATTAATCTCAAGACAAAGAAGCCAAAAATGTAAAGTAGTAAATCCGTCAGGAGATGAAATTGCTACTGAACGCCCGTATTTCAGTAGTTTGACTCTGATTTGCTAATGACCACCTAAATTAATATCCGTCTCGTTTGTTTATAATCCGTTGAATGCAAACGGAGTATAATTGGTATCCTTGCGAAATAACTTGTTGTTGTTTAAATTTTGCCGTGCAAACGGTTTGAAAGTGTTATGGAGGCAATTACTATTATGCCCTCAGAGCTAGATCTACCACTACAGTCAGGATGCTTTGTTGGCAGAACAAGACCGAATGTTTACGTTACCGAAACGGCCAATTCACCTGCTATGGAAAAACCAAGTTGGATAGCCCTCAAAGCCAGAACACCCTCTATGCATTTCAACATTGTAAGCCGAGCCGCTATGATCACAACGTAAATCGGTGCAACCACTTACTGTAAAATGAGAAGGGATACACTTCACAAAATTGTTTATCACACTTCAGATAACAGTTAGTGAAATTACTCATAATAAAAACACAAACTGAATGCTCGGGAGTACTTGAGGCCAGAAATTTGAATTGTGTGTAAAATCAGTAAAGACGCGTTTGTTTTAGCTTTGATGTGATGAAACAATTGACCTGATATCTAAGTCTAAAAGACTTGGTGTTGTGCCGTGAAAAAACCTTACTTTTACCTCTCAGCTGTATTTTCGGTCACGTTATTTGTGCGAGCAACATGTGATGCCTGAGCCTCGCCCCGCGAGATGGATGGCCTCTGTCAGGTGACAAACAAAGTTGACGCGCTATTCGATACAGCTCGCTTCAGAAAATTGTTTCAAAATATACTACTGGGTGGGGCTTGGTAGACGCTTGCAGTGATTCAGAATGGATACATGTCTGCCTGCCTTATCAATTGTAGACGTACCTCACTCACTCCGGTGAGGTTATTGTCGGTACACAACACTACGCTACGCTTTCCTTTATTTTTATCGTTCTCTGCACCATCTCCCTCTTACCTTCGCCGCCCGTTTCGCAAGATGCCGGCTGCACCTAACAGGACCTAAAGCTACCTAATGACTGTGGCTGCAGCTTACCTGCTCTATGAACTAAGGTAAACTTGGCTGCAAGACTGCAGAAGGTAGCTCCTCTCGTCGTCACATTTACTGCTGCATGGCCTTTTGAGAGGAGTGGTTGTGACATGGAGCAATGGATCGCACTGTCCACAACCGAATGCCTTAAGCAAATAACTGGAATATGGTGCAGATTCACTCCAAGGCATATACATCACCCGCACCTCCATCACCGACCTTCACGTACCTCCATTCCATTTATGGTGCGTCTTAAGAACTGGAGAATGATGTTAAACGTCAGCGTTAATACATTCTGCGGAAGGCTTCACTAACTAGGATGACAACTTCGCAGTGGAAGCTGCTAAGCGAAGTGGTGCTTCATGCTACGCTTTAATTGATGGCGGTAGGCTTCAGAACTGCCAGTTAGTTCTTGGCTTTCCTTCGCTTCGCTTCACTTCTCTTCACATTTTTCGCCAGTCGTCTAGCACACAAGGTGCAAAACACGTGGCGCACTTTAATTTGAATGTCAAATAATTGACTAACCAACCTGTGATGAGCCATTTCCTCCATATCCTAAGACCGGTAAAATTAACAAACATTTCGTTCGTTTTCTTCAAGCTATCTACTATTCAGCCCATGCTTCCAGAAAAACTTCTCACCTCATCCTCAGAAGGCAACACTAGTTTTGTCCATGGTATGCCGCGAACGAAATTGTTACCCAATGAATGTTTCAGTTGTTGTAGTTCAAGCAATAGTGATGAAGATCCATCTCCTTTAGCTGACACAACGCAATAGCAAGTTGAACCTATACTTCTTCCTCTTCTTCTTAGATTCTTGGTCCTCGTCTACTACAGAAAATATTCAGCACTGGGCAGTCAGACAGAAGAAATTCGCTTTGTTTGTAAGGCAACACAAGATCTCATACTGACACGTAACTTGCCTTTGCGAAGAATAAAATCTTGGGATGGAGGTGATGGATGGCGGAATGGCTGGAGGCAGTAGGTGCTTCTTTCGCACCCATTCTCTTCCTATTATTCCCATGACATTCAAGTGATTTTTGTATTGTCTTGGCACCCCTGTTAAGGGATCACATGAGCGCGGGTAAAAGGGGAAAGACATCTGGGAAATGGGGCTGGAGAGACTGTGCGGGGGGTGGATGGGACCAGGTATGTTGGTTTAGTTTTCTTCTCTTGGCAAGATGTGCTGTAGAGGTGGGATTAACGGCTAGCTTGCGTCTATTAGGGGAAAGATTAGAGCCCAGATTGGAAGGATGATTTGTTCAATGAGGAAAGCGTCTTAAGATGCTCTCCACTGTAATCAAGTTTTAATTCCAAAAAACTGCCCAAACTTATTTGAGGGCCCTGATTTGATTATTTCATTTCTAATTGCTCATTTTGTATCTACCGTATAACGGAATGTCAGATTCTGACCCATCAGCTAAGCACATTTGTCCTCTCGATCTCATTTGCTGTATTTCGCTCTTTAACCTTCATTTATAACTTGACCTGAAAGTTCACTTTTGTCAATTCACCAAACAGCAACAAACTCACACGTCTCTCATTGATTAGCTTACCGAAACGCGGCAACTATTCATTGAGTAAATGAACCGTAAATACAAAATACTAAGCTGCTTGTTTACAAGCCTGCATTGCGTTGGATTTGGCCATTTTGTTTGGCAACCCTTTTGAAAGTGGATGGGAGGAATGGCCGGTCGCCTTAGCCTTTAGCTCTGTTGTTACATTTTCAAGCAGAGTCTAAAAATCAGTTCGGATTGCTTAGTCATCCCCGCGATTCTTCACCGACAGTTCGTTTTATTTTGCGCCTTGCAGAAAGCGCCGTTATCATTAAAGTTCGCGCTTCAACCATTGCAGCCCGAACCGCTAGCCCTTTTACGCTACTGGTTAATGGGTGGGCAGGGTGCAGTGACATCTGACAGGCGTTTTTTTTTCAATTTATCAGTTTACAGTTGAATTTTTTTAAAGCTCTACCTAAAGTTATGGATTTTTTGTTCAAAATCTGGCGCGTCACTATTTTGGATTTCGGTGTTGTTTGTGGAAGTACCGGACGATGTTCGAGCGTTGCAACTCAACTGTCGATAATTACGAGTCACTAAGTTGTAAGAAAAATTTATCCGTTGCAATTGTCTCACCAGATCTCTAAGCTTTTTAGCTCAAGGCTGTGTTTTAGTGCCTTCCCTTTAGCTAACAGTTTTTTGTGAAAGTTGACAGCTGTTAACTAAGTTTTGGTGTTAACACAATGTCGAGAAAAGGGGTTCATCCTAGGACACAATAATAAAGTAGGTTTCAAAAAAAAACATTTATCCTCTGGTGCTCTCACATTTTGTTCCAAAGAAGCCTATTCGCAAGCTAAATGTTTTGTACCCTATATTTGTTTTCGTATGTGTCTACCAGCGACCTCGACAAACTTTATTGTTTGCTTGCTGCCGCTAAATTACTGTTTCTGCCTCTTCAGTATTGTTTCAGATAAGTTTTTCCTGCAGGTAGCTCCTGTGTAAGAAATTCGCTCCTCTTACAGAATGTTATTTTTTTAAAACACTTTACTGCTGCCTCAAAGTGGGTTGGTTCTACAATGGCTCTCAGAAAAGAAAATTCTAAAGTTAACCACAAAAATTTAAACCATGGAAATCTTGGGCAGTATTGCTTTCCACTTTTAGTATTCGAGAGAAGTTTAACATCTAAACAACACTTTCAAATACCTTTGGAAATGCCGATTGATCGCACAACAGCTAAGACTGAAGATTTCCATCTCGTATAGCACATGGATATTTTATAGAGACATAAAAGATGGTTTCTTGTGTGGATTCTATGGGTGCTTGAGGATTTACAATAGCTTTACTACGAAATATGTACACAACGAATACGTTAAAGAGATCCCCCGGAGTAAAGTCTCAATATCTAGGTGCTTTAAATCCTCAGTGTATTTATACTTAGGCATTTATTTTGTTAAAATGCTGAAGTCTTGTTTACCAGACACCGGAGATATTCATCTAATGGGTCCCACTTCAGAAGTCGCATTTTGGAGCAATGCTTTCCAAAATGCATTAAGTATTCTCTTCCTGATAAATTTATCCGCAGCCCGGTTATCAGCTTAATTTTGAGAAAATCTTAACATTTTCCGAGCTTGCCAGCACAAACATGTAACTGTTCTTCGCCAGTTTCTGGTAACTCGTTGCACAAAATCGTACGACACGATGACTGTTTGAGCTTAAAGTGATAAAACCGAGGTAGAAAGCTCTTGTTGTGAAATTTACCAAATTTATTATTTCTATTTTAGCATTAGTAGTGTTGCTGCCTTCTCCTACTGTGAAGATTGCTTTTCCTCTACAGCCCTGGCAGCTAATACATTAAACAACTTTGCGACAAAATGCTTCCCCTTTTTTAATGTTGACATGGTGTTTAAAACTCCTCACATCCGACTAAAATGGCACAGGCCTCTGAATCCATGAGTCAGTTGTTTTTACTTACACAACTTCAGCAATCTTACGCCGTATCCTACTAGGACCGTTTATTTTTTCGAAACCCAACCAACAACATTTATTTTATTCAATGTTGTAAGGTTTCATGCAAAAAAAATTAATTGTTCTGTTTACCAGGGAAGCCGAGCTCCAACACGTAGTCATCCTCTTGCCCGCTGTGTTCCACTTCCTGTCTGAAATCCCATTAGCCAATGCGAATTGATAAAAGGAAAATTTTAAAAGTACAATTACTGTGCCTGATAATCCTGTGTAATTTAAATTTAACAAGCGATTGAGGTCAAGTGTTAATACCACTGATTATTTTTTTACATGATTCCACTAATTTTCTTCATTCGGTATTGAGTCTGATCTTGCCATTTCAGAGGAGGTCACTGGGCATTTTAGCTCTTACTCATGGGAAGTTGTTGACAAATCATCCTTAAAAAAACTATCGACACAACAGCTGTTCCATATTCCATGGTCAAGTGGGAAAAAAGTTCAGGAGCCTCTGCAATCTTTTTTATTCCCAGCGCTGTTTTTATTTGACTGATTGATTCACGTGCAGTTTTTGTGCCTGTTTAGTAGACTGGAATGAAATTTGTCTAACTTTTGATCTACCAATCCACGCTTTGTTGCTAAAAGCGCAAAAGTGTGTTGAGGAACTAGTTATAATGCTTTAATAATTTGGTTGAATCTCGGTTTTGGTAAAGGGCTGCATGGGGCTCCGCCATTGTACGTCGACAATGCATATTCTACCCGCGAATTATGTCTCCTTTCGTCGGAAGGAAAGCCTAGAGGTGCTACACTGGTATTTTAATTTTTTTGCAGACGTCACAGCTGTCGTTCGTTGTCTAAAAAGAAACAAGACAAACGATTAACTGTTGGAAACGTTAATACTTATCTGTACCTAGTAGGGAGTGCTTTTACACCATTTGCGCCTAGTGTAAATAATTAAGTCAAATGAGAGAAAAGTAAGTAAACAGTCTCCTCTACCAATATAGGGGTCCGGAGAGAGGGATTTGGAAGCTTGGAGGGGATTCTTTATCTGATACACTATGCTCCATTCCACTTCCGAAGTAAGCCTAGAGTGAATTTGGTCTCTTAAATTAACAACTAACTGGGATTTAACTTTAAGAAGTTTTGTTGCAATCTAGGGCTGTAAAAGCTGGCAAGGAGAAGAAGGCTAAGGAAAGGATTAAATTGTAGCAATAGTCAGCGCTCCACGAAATTGTAATTGCAATATTTATGTGCTCCTTAATGCCGCTGCTGCTTAGGCGGGTTATAAATAGGAGCACTTGAAAGCGCTTTTATGGAGGCATGAATTTTAAACATACCCTGGGGACTACTTGATGGCGTCAAACGCTTACCAATTATGTTCTCAAATTCAACTTTAATGGATAACATTCTTGACAACCATTTCATCATCAATGTGTCTATTTTATGAGAAAAAGGTAAGGCGTTTTGTCAGGACACTGCTATGATACTTTTAAGTATGCTTGTGACAGTTGTGTAGCGTCCTGTGTCTTTCGTAAAAACAGTAGCAATCAAAATTCTGGGACAGAAAATGTATTATCGAAGTGTGAAACGGCTAGTGGAGCTCTGGCATAAACCGGAGGCCATGCCGCCTGGCGAGGAACAATGGCGGAGCCGTAGGTGCCCGCGAAACAAAGGCAAAGAGTTAAACAGATAATCAAAGTATTACATAGCCCCTCACATCTTTTGAGCGTCGTCTTCGGCAATCCCTTTGGTCAATCTCCCGCGTCAACCATCACAACGTAGTCGGTGCTCTAGGAATAACACCCACTTGCCAACCACAGCGATCATCAAATTTGCGTAAAACTGAGACGATATTTAAACATAACAGCAGTGATTCCTCCTAACAATTCCACTGCACCTGAAGTTGTGTCCTGTATGGGGAATCCCTCGGGAAAGGAAAAATGTGCATGTTCATGTTGCATGTTCATCTCTAGTCGTCAGAACACTGGCCATCAAGCAGTCATTGAATGACGATTGGGTTTAATAGAATTTTGTGGGAATTAGATATCGCGTCTATTCCTCCTTTCTAATTTGGCAGCACTTTAATACTACCTAGTCGTATCTCTTTGAGTTCTATCCAGCTAGGAGGGAGGTAGAGGTGGTGTCACCTGTTCGCTGGATTGATATCTTCATGCAGGTACCGTAGACAACTATGTAAAAGAACTTTGCAGGTGGTTCACAGATAGCATCGCTTCAGTAGTTAATAGTATTCCTATAGAACACGAAACTGGAGTAGTTGCCGAAGGTAGACATTAATTTCGACCTTTCTGTTGGAGTTTTCCACAGATTCTTCCATCCTCAGCACACGCCTTTTTTCCGCCGCTTTGAGGCTTAGTATATAGTAATAGAAAGTAGGGTTGCCACCCTTTAATATCGGGTTTGCTTGCCACTCCCTACAATGCAGCGCTCTGAGTCTTTCTTAAAGACGAAAGAAGTCATAATACAAGTACGGAATTTGTACTGAAGCTGTACAGAAGGGATTGTTTGGATGGCGTAGAGGCCAAGCCAAATTGCAAGGGAACAATGGGAGAGCCTCAATTGGTCGCGAAGCCAAAATGAATAGTTAACCAAATAATCATATCTGAATGAATTACAAATGGACTTTGTCCCACTTACATGTATTCCTTAATCAAGTAGGTATAAGTGTGGTTCAGTTAGGACTGTTTGACAGGAAGCTATACCCTTTAGTTATGTAAAGCAACTGACAATGTAGGGTGACATAAATGTAATCATAGGCGAGTCGCATTTTTCTCCTCTCTTCTTCCATACAAACATTATAAGCGCGCATTTATCACACTGAACCCACTTTGCCATCCAACCTCACCACACCCAACTTTGCCCATTCTTATCATTATAGTAACTATTACTGCAGTCACTATTCTTTGCTTTGGCAATAAATTTCATTGCTAATGTAGAGGAACCTGGGATTGCCTAATGGTGCTCCATAAAGAGAGACAGGATGCTTCTTCAGCGTGCAAAGCCTGCCCGCTGTAACGCATAGTAATGGCTGGGACAGTGCAAAGGTGCATTACTTTGCCAATTTCAGGTAGAGGCAACTTTGTCCCAGTATCCCTCAGCCTCAAAACCAGAAACTCAATACTGTCCAGAGCAGCCTAACATTTACAAATTTAAAAACCCATGTGAGGCTTAAAATTTAATAACTGGATAGTAGCACAATGCATGATTGTTACCACTGGAATTTGTGTAGAGAAAATGGGGCCTCCTTGTTTTTCTTTGTTAATCTGATTCAGTTGATTATTTATATCTTCGTGTTAGATTCGCCTTTAAATTATGCTTCGCTTTCGTACTTCAACAAAGTGACATGGCCCAGAGGCCGTGTCAGTAGCCTTCCAACCCTCCTATGTGTTAGAAGTACATGTTCTGGCCTGGTAGTGTGCCTTCTTTAGACTTCATGGAAGTTCTGTAACGCTACATTAGCGGCAGCCGAAAGCAAACCCGATTCTTAAGGACAACCGCCTTGATTGTCATTCCTGTTTGCTAAACATTAGTGTGAAGGAAAAGGGACATACGCTGCAGTGACGACCCACAGCAGGAGAGATGTAAACGGCGTATACTGTCGAAATCTACCTCAGTCCCTTGTTCTGTAGGAGTGCTATCAACAATTGAATTGACATCTGCCGTGAAAAATTGGCAAATTTTCGTTAGGGAATTGTCTACGGTACCTGTATGAAGACGTCAATCCAGCAAACAGGAGACACCACTTCCACTTCTCTACTAACTAGATAGAACCCAGATAGATACGGCTGGGCAACACTGAAGTGAGAACCAAGTAGCAGAGAGGAATAAACACAACACCTTATCTCCAATAAACTATTTTAAACTTTGACCTTCATTAAATGGCTATGTTCTTAAGTCAGTGTTCTCATGACTAGCGATGGACATACGTGATGACCAGCACATTCTCCCTTCTTCCAATGCAGTTCCCACGCAGGACGAAACTCCAGGTGCAGTGGAGTAGCCAAGAGGAAACAGTAAACTTATAGACAGATACCATCTCGGGAGCATGGAAACAACTTGATGAATGGTGCGGCTGGTTTTGGCGGGTTGTATACCTGGAGAGGGGACGACGCGCATTAGGGAGGAAAGGTTTTTGTTATATTTTGATTATTTTTTCATCTCTCTGTTTTGGTAACGCGGGTATCAAAGGCTCCGCCTTTATACTTTCACAGGGCGGCATGAATTAAAAGCAATTAGGCAGGAAAAAGTGAAATGTTTCCTAAAAGAAGGTTTTTATCCTTTCTCGGTCAATATGAAACAAAAGTGGTTAATGAAAAGGTTCACTTTTAAATGGAATACTGTAAGAAGATCATCGAATTCACTCTTGTCTCTAAATTGCTGACCAACCTTTCTCCTAATCCGATGAGTTTGCTAGAGAAACAGCCAGGTTCTCCTTTACACTGGCCTAAAAGCAGAATCGTGTAACAAAGGACGAGGGGGGGGTGGAGTTTCGCTTCTATTCCTTCTTGTCGCATTATTTTTACTTCAGTGTTGTCCACCCATACCTACCTAGGTTCTCTCCAGCTAGGGGAGAAGTGAAGGAAGTATCGTGCGCACACCCAATTGAGATCCTCCTACAGGTAAGTGGGAGATGGCTCCGTAACGAAACTTTCCAAACAGTTAATGGCTAGTGTAGCTCGACTGAAGTTGTTAATGGCATTCCTGTAGAATACGGGGTTGGAGTATCTGCCAAATATAGACTTCATTTCCAACACTTCTGTTAGGGGTCGTCACCGCCTCTTCTACCCGCAGCACATACCCAGCAGTAGAATTCAGGATATATGTATTCTTTAAGATCGGGTTTGTATTCCGCTGCCACCAATGTAGCTCCAGGAGGCTTCTCTGAAGACGAAGGCAGATATGCATATTTGACATATAAAAGGCCTTAAGGGCCATTAGCCTGACCCGGGATCAGGCCGCTGGGCAAAGGTGCGATGGCGGAGCAAATAAGTGGTCCCTTGAACAAACAACCCAGGTATTACAGGAGATACTAACCTCTAGTGCGAGTTCTTTTTTTATGCTCCTTGATGTATTCAATGCAGAGCTGGAAAACTCAATAAGATTCGTGACAAATTCCCTTACTTCTCCCATATAATACTTAAATTAGTGTAGTAACCCACAGACAGGGACTGTAAACGGTTGGCAGAATTTCTTAAGGGAAACCTGATGCACTATTACTAGGACCGGATTAAATTCTGGCTTCCTTGATTCAAATATTCTTTTATAAAATACTTACGTTGATATTTTTGAGGAAGGCATTACTAATGGGTCTATTATACCAGGGACTCAATGTTATCTAGCATAAAGGATGTGGAGGCTGAAGTATATGCACAATATTCAGCAGCCAGCAGTCAGCTTAACAAATGTATCGTGGCAGTTAGAGGAGATGTATTAAAATTTCGCAGGAAGGACGAATGAGAAATAACTGTAGGGGCTTCGGCAATGATTCTTATTTTTTTAAACAAATTTTTGTTTCTCATGCCTGTGGATAACCAAAACAATTCAATCTATCGCAATCATCATAGTGCAAGCGTTTATTTAATGCCAACAAACATATAATCTGCGTTATGGAACAACAGAGACGTCTACAATACGCTTCACCAATATCATCATTCCCATTCATTAGATTTAAAAAAAATGATTTTAACTTTTAATATGGTTTTCGGAAACTTGAAAGTACAGAGGGATTCCTTCAAACCTGATTGGAATAAATTTTTTAGTGGGAACAATTTTTCGTGACATTCGCAACTTAGCATGTCCTCTCTTGCCTGTCTCGGCTATGCTGGAGTAGTTTGATAGTTATTATAACTACATGAGCTCTGCAGTCTAATTGATATGTACTTTTGTCTTGGTGTTGTGGCCTTCCGGTTATACCCAGGAACCCTCAGTCCTTCCGTCAGACAAGGTGTGCTCAAACGCTTCAACTTTTTAAAAGCATTCCCCATTCCTGTAAATTGCTCCTTATAAATTGCCCTTTAGATTATATTAGGACCAGCTGGGGCTTGGCCACCGTGCCTCCGTCGAGCTACCGGGCCTTAGGCCATGCCAGTGGCCCCCAAGCCCTTCTATGAACCGGGATTACATATTCTGTTCAAGAATTATATCTTCTTTTGTCTTCAGGGAGAATTTTGGATACGCTTTAGCAATTCCATACCCGGCCCTTACAAAACCTGCAAACCATCAGCAAGTTTCAATTTATTTATCAATCACTACTGCCAATTAGGTATACATCAAATATGGTTAGCTATAAAATGTTCACCCTTTATAACTTTTTGAGATTTCCTTAAATTTTTTCCATAAATTTTGACTGCAATCAAGACCACATCAAAATCATCCTTGTATCAATACAACTACGTACCATCGGAGGGGTCTCTACCATGACCCACTTGAATTATCTATTGTTTTAAGTTAAATAATCAAAACGGTGGAATATTCTTCTTGAAGAGTAATGTGGTTTTTAAAAAAGTAATTTAGTAAATCAAAATTGAGTCTGGTTTAAAAGGCGATGTTCTATAATAACTTACTAAAGTTTAATTCTAGAGCCAAAAAACAAAAGATAATCGTCAATCTAGGTGGAAAGTAATTTTCATTGGTGTGCTTAAGTCTGTCAGAGGGTTTCGAGTTTAACAGGGTTCTACTTTAGTTTATTTCTGACACGGTCTCATTTGGCACTTAATTTTAACACCTAACCAACGCCCAGACTGTTTCTGCGTAGGTAGGTTTACCAGCACAGTTGAATAAGTCTAGGAAACCGGGCGTGCGCTGGCCAATTGAAATGATTACCTTCTATAAAATGATGTGTTCACCATTACTGCAAAAGGATTCAGCTAATGTATAATTTTGTCATTCATAAGAGCGGGTTAAAAATCTAAAGGGAAGAAGGACGTGGTACAGAAACGGATTACCACGGCCGCAATCGTTACTCTTCTATACAGCGTTATGACCACTTAAACATCTTATTACGACTGACTGTCCCATCACTAAATTACCCTCTTCTCAAAGTCTCCCGCATGTGCAAATCGAAGCCGATGACAATCAAGTGTTTATTGACAAGAAAAATAGCTTATTAAAAAATTACAATGGCCAACTGACACCTTGGACAATGATGTGTGAATTGGGCCGCAATTTATCGGCCAGGCTTATTGGGTACTAGAAATAAAACGCATTTGCCACCTATTAATGCGCATAGCAGGCCAGGATAGTGTTCTTCATGGAGGCTGTAACATTAAAAGTCTAGCTGAGCAAATTCTGTTCCAGACAAGGCACTCCAAATAAAAATTTTGCCTCGTTTTGCTCTATTTTCCTCAGTAGATGCGTAGAATGGTACTGATTAACAAGTGGGAATAACTAGTAGTCATGTGGCACACATTACGGTGCTGAAGAATAAAACACCGTTGTACACCTAAATTCCTTTCGATGCAACAATTTTTGAACCCACAGGTCTTTTTTTCTACAGTCTGCGAAGATAAGAATACCTCGTGGATGAATAATACGCCTACCAATCATGCGTCTGAGTTTGACGATGGTTTTGACTTTCATTTCTATATTTGACGCGGTTTTTGATACAGATTTCCTCCACTGCTTTTTGTGACTCAGCTTACAAAGTGGGACATGTAAGGCGCTTGTCATGGTGTGGAACGCATCCATCCCTGCCTGCCTGTCGTATCAATTACAAATGTACTTCGCTCAGTCCGGTCAGACTAAAGGTGCCCACGCCACGCCACGCCATGTTAGGCCACGACACATCACCCCACGCCATACCACGCTTTCCTTTACCTTTATCGTTCTCTGCACCATCTCCCTCTTACCTTCGCCGCCCGTTTCGCAAGATGCCGGCTGCACCTAACAGGACCTAAAGCTACCTAATGGCTGTGACTGCAGCTTACCTGCTCTATGAACTAAGGTAAACTTGGCTACAAGACTGCAGAAGGTATCTCCTCTCGTCGTCACATTTACTGCTGCATGGCCTTTTGAGAGGAGTGGTTGTGACATGGAGCAATGGATCGCACTGTCCACAACCGAATGCCTTAAGCAAATAACTGGAATATGGTGCAGATTCACTCCAAGGCATATACATCACCCGCATCTCCATCACCGACCTTCACGTACCTCTATTCCATTCGTGTTGCGTCAAAAGAATTGGATCTTGACGAGTCGTGAACATCAATGAGTGATGTTCAACGTCAGTGCTGACACAATCCGCGAAAGGCTTTACTAACATGGAAGACAAAGCAGCAGTGGAAAATGCATGCTATGCTTTATTTGATGGTAGTAGGCTTCGGAACTCTAGGTTAGATCTTTGCTTTGCAACGCCTCACTTTACTTTGCTAAACTTCTTTCATATCCAGTGTAAAATACATGGAACATTCTAAGTTTAATGCAGTCTGGTTGACTAAGCTACTTGTGATGGGCAATGTCTTCTATATTTCAACTTTCAAGCAGAGAACAACAACAGTTTTGGCTATCCAAACATAGCTTTTCAATGCTCATATGATCCAACCAAACTGCTAATACATGAGGCATTTCATCTCCAGAAAACCATCCATGTTGTGTCTACATGTGACAGAGTGTGATTTCATTAGCTCACTAGGAATTGCGTACTTGTTAATGTCCCAACGCTAAGTACTGCTGAGACCTGTCTGATTAATGCGACACAATCTGAAGACGGGTTGGACTAAAAATCAAAAGGAAAGTCTTGTTCTCTGAAGTCAGTGTAGTAAATCATGTCTCCTACTGCTGCAAAATTTACCAATGAGAAGACGGCTACTCTGCCCAGGCTAGGAGGGAGAGAGAGGTACCCCCCCCGCACCCATACCCTCCGTTTTCTACCTTTCGATATCTCCTAGAGATTGCAATGCCATTAAACAGTTGCACACAGGATTAAGAGGAGAGCCAATTGGGAAGCTGAAACGAGATGGAAACGGAGGCGGATGGGGATGGGTTTTGTTATTTACCTCCAGAGACAGGAGGTTTTACACAGGTGGAATTAGTACCAAGCCTCTATTTTGTCAGGAAAGGATTGGTTTATGGAGTGTAGTGTTATTCCTTTCGACAAGCAAAACACATGAAGAAGCTTTCACAGCTGTTGTTTATTGTTTACTACACGAAAAAATCCCACGAACTTATTTGGTTATCCTATGCAATTAGTATCATACAAATCTTTTTGATACTTTACAGCCACTCACCTTACAATCAGTAAACGCTATCACCTGCGGTCTGATAGTATTTTTATGTATCATTATGTGTGGTTTTACTGTATAAGTTTGCTTTGTAAGGATCATCAACAAAGATTTTGCTTGCCTTATCGTTTTACAGGAAAACATTCCGAATTATTTTAGACAAATTCAGCATCACCTTTTTTTCCTTCCTTCTCTCCATCACAAAGTTAGAATTGGGCAAATGAGGCTCTGTGAAGGTAAGGTCAAGCCAAGGCAATCTCAATGTCATGGTGGATTGACTAATTGAAGGGTTAATAGGTCCAATGTCTACTCATTAGGTAAAAGAAGGAATTGACCCTTCTGTTAATTACTTCTCCCTGACATTGGCTGGAGGGTTTGAAAACAACTGATGAGGAATATTGGGGATCCTATCTACCTAATTGTTGCTTCACAATACCTCGATCGTTTGTTAAAACTTTCGTTGTGCTTTCAGGGTCACTTATGTCTCCACCAATGGACTTTAACAAGATGGCAAGGCCAAGGGGCCATGTCAGTAGCCTCCCAGATCTTCTGTACGCTGATAATACCTATTTTGCCCTAGTATTATGTCTTCGTTCGTTTTCTGGAAGGATTCAGGACGCCATCCTAGTGACAGCATAAAGCAAACCTGATCCAGAAGGACAAATACCTTGATCCCTGTTACTGAGAGATAAAACTTAACGTACCGGAAGAGGGGCACATGCTAAGAGTGGGAGAATCTGTGACGGCCTACAACAGAAGGGCTGAGAATGATGTGTACCTAAAGGGAACAACCCAGTCCGGCATACTGCAAAAATACTAGTCACAATTGCAGCATGAAACATTTGGAAAGCTCCCTTACGGAGTTGTCCACGGCACCTGTAAGACGATGTCAATTAAGTGAACACGCGACACCTCCTCCGCCCCTCCATTAGAGGGATAGAACCCAGACCGATTGTACATCATTGAAATGCACACAAAGTGGTGAGGGGGAACAGACGCGAAACTTTCTCCCTATTAAAGCCATTTTAAATCTCATACTTCAGTAGATGACTCTACTTTTAGGCCTGTGTTCTTACAACTGAAGATGGGCGTGCATGATGGCCTGCATATTCTCCCTTTAACCAATACGGTTCGCAAACAGGACAGAACTTTAGATGACTGGCTCGGTTGGTTCATGGATGTTAATCTTACAGCGCCGCTCTAATGGTCGACAATAAAAGTTGATTAAGCGTACCTCTGGAGCAAAGCATAAAATGAAGGGGCCAGAGCTGTCTTACCTTAATTGTTTGTTTAGCTCTTCGGTCTGATCACCCGAACACTCAAGTCTTCGCTACTGTACTTGAGCTAGGAGGAATGGCCTCTGGGTCACATCATTAGCCCCTTGGCTCTTATTTACGTCGACAATACGTGCAATTAATATTTCCTTTGTCTTATGGATAGACTGGGGAGGGCTATAGCCTGTCTTTTACAAATAAGCAATCTGATTTCAGTTACCCTAGCTCTTTGGTTGTCTCTCGAAAGTTATTCATTAACGGTCGCAAAAGTCGGATTAAGGCTACAAAATTTATAATAATAAATAATAAGTTTTCAATTTATTAGTCAGGCTTCCTCCTACGGCTGAGTTTTATCGAATCTGGATTTTTGATCCCGACTGAATTAAATGGAAAGAGCAAAAATGAGACAACTTTTTGGAAGTGGGAGCTGACTTCTTTCAATTTTGAATAAAGTGCTGCGGGATCTGATCATTGAAGGTGACAAATTTTGTTGACCGCGCAGCATATTTAAACAGCACAGGAGGCGTCTTCTGCAGATGGTCAAATCTGCCCAGTACTCACAACAGAAGGGTCATGGAAAAGACATCGACCTCTTGACGACGCCTATGACCTCGAGTGAAACAAAATAGTCAATAATGTAGTGAGACCTGACTTGTGCGAACCAAACAATCTCCCAAGGAGTCGCTCACGGTGTGGAAATGAGTCTGAGCGAGGGGCGCGTTCCCTTCCTCATGTTGCGACTGACATTCGGGATTTGTCCACTGAGGCGCATCAGTCGCCCCGCTCTTTAATGCGATTTACCCTACAGAGGTTGCAATCTTCAGGAATCTTAAACAAATCTACACTTTTGCGATGCTAAAATCTCAATACACTACTTTTGTTCCTTGCTCATGGTTGCCTACACCTCGACAAACACTTGTGACGGCTGAGGCGGGGTGGCACAGGGAGCTTGGGGAACGATGTGCATAAAAAGAAGAGTATTTTATCCCAAAAAGTTGTTTATTTTGGTAGTATATATAGCGTTCCGCCAATCCAGAGGCCTCCCAGCCCCCCCCCCCGCCCCCACCACAGCAACCCAATAAGTCAGTCTTCCCCATTACTGCCCCAGAGGTAACTTAGGGTGCGACACATCTATAATGTTTACCGACCATGGAGTGGCACAATAAAGGGTGGAAAAATTGCTTATTTTTAGTTTCGTCTTTATTCTTTTGAATTGTTTCTTTTTTCACATAAACTAAAACAAGAATAGTTTTGAAAATACTTGTATTTGGCGCTTATTTTGTAAGCCAAACATGACCTCATTAAATAACTTTTATAGTTTTATTTTGAATATCCCTCTAGCATTTTTTAGTCAATGCTTATTCCTCTTTGTCTAGAGAAATGCTTCCATTCAAACAGATGTCGAGAAGACTGCAAGTGCACTGTGCAAGAAGTGTTAGACTCCAAAAATAAATTCAAGGGAGTGCAAACCACCGCTTTACCAGCCGCTTCATGGTGCTGTCTCTCGTTGTACTGTCTGTCTTCGCCCAACTCGCCCCATTTAGTGCCGCAGTGCTAAAAAAGTGTCTTCCTGGTATTCACAGCAATTCCTCACTAATGACGTCGATTCCGCATCGAAGCAAAAGGCAGCCAAAGCATGTTGAGCCCAATTTTGTGGTGTTTGCCCAAAAGAGAATGCAAGCGCTGCATGCTTGACCCTAGTAACAAATCTCTATTTAAACACACGTGTTAATAGAATTAGCTCTGACATAAGATAAATGACTCTATTTGACATACATTAGGATTAGTGTCTACCAGATGTGTAAAATTGCTCCTTCAGTAATTCAGTACCACAATCACACTTTCAAAGGACTTGATAAAATGGATTACGACAAGCAGATGTCTAGCCAATCAGATGGCGAGGTTGTTTGCTGTTGAATAATGTCGTCAGTAGAGGCAAATCACACAGACGGCACCGCTCGGCTCCTCCAGACATTTGGGTGCCAACATCATCATCGATGATGTGTGTAAACCGGCACAAGCTTCAGCCTGCGCATAATGGATGCTTTGAAAGTGGGTGTTTCATAGACAACCGACCCATGTATCTCACTAATTAACGCTGAAAGCGAAGCATAAGGCATGAGGCAGAGTGGTGAACAGCCTCCGCTAGAGTGCGGATGCACAGAGACCCATGTGTGTGCACGCACGCAGGTATGCACGTATACACAGTTATTGGCACACAGAGAGCAAGTGATAAGTGGATTAATATGGAGGCAGTCGCCTGTCTGTGATTGGTTGCCAGTGGAAACGAAAATGGGCTCCTGTGCGCGTAGGTTTGTTGGATTTAGGGGAAGAGGGCTTTGGGTGGGACATGGAAATGTCACCACCACCGCCTCCGCCGCCGCCGCGCCGAGGGTTGTTGTGAGCAGGCATCCGTCTGCGCGTCTGTGTGCAGAGGAAACGTCTTCAGCCCAATGAAATTTGCCCTCAGATGCACAAAAGTACTCTATGATGTCCTCTTAACGCTGACCCTTGTGGAGCTTACCGTCGCTATCATTTATGTAAGCTCATTTTTACCTACTCATCATCGTCACAACCGTTTCACTAGTCAAATTCAATTCGGTAGATGTTTAACCGATAGAAAAGATTTATTAAAGCTTATTTTAAGTTACATTCTTACATTTCTTAATGTGACACTTCAGCTTTGTGTAATGAGCCAACTTTATTTAACTAATATACAGGTTGATAGCACCGACCCGTAACTTGTAATTTAAAGTTATTTTTTGGTCACTGACGGCGCTTTGATAATGTTCGATTTATTATTCCACAAAATCGGTCTTTTCCACTGCCCAACAAAATGTACCTAATTTTCTTCCAATCATCTAAACAAATTTGTACGTCTGCGATCGTTTCGGCAAAAGGGTTTACTAGAAGCTTGCCTGTCTCAGCAGACAGGTCGTCTCTGGTAACAAATTAAGATGATTTGGATATTTTACGTTTAGCAAATTTACCTGTTTTAAAGATAGTAAATTATTTTGAATTTGCTTTTTGCTAAGATATGAGTTTGAAGAAGCCTGTGGTTTACTAAAAAATCCAATAAATAGACTCCTCTTACATATCAGGATCTAGATATTCCTTAAACTATTGAATAGTAAAAGTGTTTCTTTCCATTTTTGTAGTTTAACTAATCTTAATCTTTGGAGAGTAATGTCTTACAATATGAAAGTGAACTGCTCCCTCATTAACACTTTCGCTTCGGGCGTCACCTATATGTGACGTCCCAATTTTATTACCTGTTTCTTATCATTTAATGATAAAAGTTGCATCAAATCGTGTTGAAAATGGATCTGTGAAGTTTATGATTGTAAAACTGATGTCAGATTTTGGTGGTCACGTGTTGAATGCATTTGTTTTTGGTTTGGGGCTGAATAGTTGGACTAGAATAACAAAACAACTGGGCTGCGGTAATTGCTTTTCCTCTAGGACTCTGATGATGAATGTGACAAAATCATCTCCACTGTTTTGATCAGCACAAATTACAATTTTTTACAGTATGAATGCTTCATATATAAGCATAGGTTCCGTCACATTCAAAGCAAATTTCACAATTGACACACGTTTAGGGTTACTAAAGGGGAAACTTTGTATTCCTCCGATGTTGCCTAAAATCAAAAGGGCTCCAGACGTCGTTTTAAGGCACTCCGCTAAGGTATCGGCGCCTAAACTATACAGTTAGTGATATCATTCCATCCATTCCAGTAGTTTTACTGCTTAAATCCAAGAGCACAGAACACACAACGCCACGACTTTTTCGTATTGACAAACCTTAAATACTTTTTTTGCGGGAATGTTGAATTTTGTAGCAAGAACTCGAGTTTTCGGACAGTCATTACTGCTGCCCCTGTGCCGCTCTTGCTTTCCCCCATGTAACCATGAACAGGCAGTAGATCCCAACTCCAATCAACCCGGGGAGTGTTGGACGCCATTGGAAACACTTGGCCTCGCTGGTCCGTTTAGGGAGGCGGGTCTAACAGTTGCTTAAACTTCATATCCGGATACGCTGTAGTCAGTGGGCACCACAGTTGGTGGGTTATTTGAACGTGAAAAGGTGGGCTGGTGATTGTGCATAATTGTTGACCATAATTTGTCTGTTTGTGCGTGTGTATGTAAATGGTGACCCAGGACTAGAGATGCTCTAAAGGAGTGTTAAATAAAGAAAAATTTTTCGAAGCCCCTTGACACACAATGACAACGACACGAATGGCATTTTCCGTTATTTAGAGGTCCACATTTTAAAGCACATTCACTCGAGTTTATGGTGCAATAGTATGCTTCTAAGGATCTGAACAACGTAGACGTTTTTTAAGGAGTGTTATCATTGTCATAGGTAAAATACTCGACTTCGACATTCAATGGGTTGGAGCCACTTCTGCATACTACTGTGGAGCGAGACTCCTCGGTCTCCGCTTCCCGATCCCTAGCGTTCCTAGACAAGCCCGGTTGGTTTACTTTGGACATCTTTATTAAAGACGACAAGATGTACAGGGAAAATACAATATTCAAGAAGGAGGGGAGCCGCAGTCGCTAGGTAAGGGAGAGGGCGATCCAGTTACCAGGTTCGAATTTTCTGCTTCCCTCCTCCCTGAAAGGCACATTAAAACAACATAAGTATTACACTACACTTTTAATAAAACTGGACAATTTTCTATGAGTAGTCTTTTAAGGTTGGCAAAGTTTATCCAAGCTTTTCCTATTGTTTTAAATACACCATGATGATTTTGCTTAAATTCAATGATAAAATGGGACTTTTGTAGTGAGCTTCTGGTAGGTAGCAAAGAGCAGATATGACGCAGTTTGGGTTTTCTCAATGCTTCTTCAATCCTATGCATTCGCATAGAAGAATATAACTTTTCGGATTAGTGTCTGACGTTTCTGATCAGCAATTAACTTGACAACCTGATTTACACTAGCAGGGATCTGCTTTTTAAAAAAATGATATCCAACTACTATTGGTCAGAGATGTCTGATGAATGCTCTATTCACACTCCTGTATTAACAAGTCTGAATTCATGCATTTTCTAATTGTCAACAGTTAAAAAGGTAGTTTATAAAAGCTGACTGGTCTCAGGGCTTGCATTATTTTATCTGATTCCATAATGACCTAAAATGGGTTAAAATTTCAGTAAAGAGGTTTATTCTGAACTTTTCGTAATTCAAAGTGGTTAAAGCGGTTAAAAATTAGCTTTATTAAAGGAGAAAAGCCACAATGCCCTATAAACTTGACCTAAATCAATGAATACATAATATTTTCAAAATTTTTAATTATATTACTATTTCTTCCTCTGACTAAACTTCTCAAAAATTGATTACAGCCCGCAAAAATTCTAGAAAGAAGATTAATAGTCCCAAATGTATGGCAGATATGATTTACCTGTTTTGTTTTACCGTCCTAAGTAAATTATAATTGATCTGTGAATGCTTTGTGATCTTTCGACTTTGGGGCGCTAGATGAATGTATTCGATTGCTTATTATTGATAACGGCAATGTTGGGCGGAGAGTTTCAGATGGTTTAAGGTTTTAGATATGTTGTGCCTTATTTCTTGTCGTTGTATCGTATCGACCAGTCCTATTTCAAATTCCCCACCAACCGTGGGTTTTCCTAACTTGTCGCTACTACTGATTTTGTTCCTTCGACAAAGATATCACTTTTAAGAATGAAGATGCAAAGGTGTATTGCTAGGATACCTTTTGTGTCAAGAAGTATACATGAGTTATTTCAACTAGGAGTTTGGAGACGGTGGAGATAAGGAAGAAGATTTGACTTTTGTGCTGTTGAGGAAAGGCTTACACGGTTAAATTAGCTTGGTTTTTTCGTTTATGTCACTTGGTGTTCTTACTTGATCCAGTCGTTTCATCCTAAAAAGCCTGTCTTACTACCATTGTTTACAACCTCAAATGTGTTCTAGACGTAGTTTCTCCAAATGTCATATATTTATCGCTTAGGATCTTTCCATTTTCTTGTGGTTATCTGAATACTGCCCAATTATGGAAGTCGGATGAATGCGTAATTGGGTTTTACCCTATTATCTTTGCTACTAACACCTCAAGATAGTCTGAAAGCAGCCTTTTCAGTGTTTTGTTATTTGATTTCATTGTGCCCTATTATGCCTCGAAGTTGTGTCAACTGGACCTATTTCATGTTTATGGTCAGCCACAAAATGTTAACAGCTTTTATAGGTACGTATCAGATTACAGTTCCTATTCTTTGCCCTATAGAGTGGCACTAGATCCGAAGTATTTTGTCAGTTTTCGTCTGAATTTTATCCACCACAGCTACCCATAAATGCTGATTTTCCACTTAAATTTTTAGAAACTAATTTTGATGATAAACCTGGTGTTCTTAGTCAATTCTGGAGGCTCCTTTGTGCAATACGTATCAAAAGTATATCAAGCGAATTTTTTCCTGTCCCCTATCATATGGTCAGCTTTTCAAGATATCCTATCATCAAAAGGATTCAAACTCATTGCATCTAATAATTTTCAATTATTCATTGTATGTCTTCCAATGAACCTAAAATTAATTTTTGGCATTTATCAACCTCTTATGCATGATAGTTCAATCTGAGACAATACTCAACATCTTTTCGATCTACCTTTCATTCATCTCCTTGACCTTTTTGATTCGGAATATTGATTTGTTGATGAGAATGTATTGTCGAAATGGGGATTATATGGATGGTAAGGTCTATGAAAAATTGGGACTTGTGTCCGCCTTGAGAATCGACGGTGCTGTCTTATCCCCTCAATCAGTCTTACTTATGCACTTAAACATACGTGTACCGCGATGCCAGCACTAACTAGCTGCCTCATGTCTTCGAACGCACTTTGACTACCCAACTTTGTGTCCGATTAACTATGGAATTGTGTTGTTTTGTGATTCTGTGCGATTTTGACCGTTCGTGTCATGGTATCTATCAGACACGTAAAACTCGCATGACCAACATTACCTCCAGGCATGTCTGCTCTGAAGCTAGCAGTGGGCAATGTGCACTTTGCACCAAAAAATTTTTGTCAAACATGGTCTGAAGTTTGTTTTAATAAAATAACTAGGGGTGCATTCTTTCCAAATAAGCTTCCCTTCTAGCCCAACTTAGAGATTGGTATAATGAAGTATCCTACGTCTATTTGCTTTTGGAAAAAAATAATTTTTCATTTTGGCATTAAATTTTTGGTCTTCTTTAGAATACCGGCTAGTACTTATGCAGCCCCTTTGAGATTTCTATATAAACGAAAGAAGACATAATGCTCTGGAAGAATGCGTAGAGAAGGGCTTGGGGCTAATGGCATAGTTCGCAGGTCGTGGTCCCCAGCAGAAGCACAATGGTGAAGCTTTCCTTGAGCGATTCCACCACAAAAAGTTAAACAAACTGCTAAGACATTACCTAGTCACCTTTCCTTTTGAACATCATCCCCTTGTCAACTCCCCGCGTCAGCCATCACAACGTAATTGGTGGTGTAAGAAAAACACCCACGGGCCGATTGTACCAGTCATCGAATTTGCGTGCAAGTGAGAGAATACTTGACCGCAACGTCACTGATCCCTCCTGACAATTCTGCTGGGTCTGAAGTTTCGTTCTGTGTAAAAACTGTACTGGAGAATGTTGCCTATCACTCGTGTTCTTCACTAGTCGTAGGAACATTGGCCACAAAGTAGAGTCTAGTAACAAAGAATGGGGTTTAAACGTAGTTTCTTGTGGATAAAGTTTAGTGCCTGCTTCTCCTTGTCAATTAGTTCCTGCTGTATCGCTGTCCAGCCATTTCTATCTGCGTTCTGTCCATCCAGTAGAGAAGTGGTGGAGTATCGGGTCTTCACTTAATTGATCCACTCATCTAGGCATCCAAATCAGCTCTGTAGCAAACTTTTCCAGTTGGTATAGGGCAAGCATCGTTTCATTTGCAAATAGCATTCCTGCAGAACAGGAGATTGGGGAAGTTGTCGAAGGTAGACATAATTTTTGACCTTCCTGTTGGAGATAGTCGCAGGGTTCCCCATTCGCAGCTTATGCCATTCTTTCGCCCCGCTATGATTTATCACACAGCAGTAGAAATCAGGATATTTGTTCTTTGAAAACGGTTTCACTATACGCTGCCACCAAAGTGGCGCTTCGAGACTTCTCTGAAGACGAAGATAGTCAATACCCGGGCAGAATATGCATTATCGGCTTTCAGTAGGACTTGGACCTGCTGGCATGGCCCAAAGATCAGGCCACCCAGTGGAGGTACAATGGCGGTGACCCCAATTTGTCCGCTACCAGATCTGAAAGGTAAAGCAAGCGGTTACAGCGCTACAAAACTATCTCGTTGTGTCAGCCTTGTCTGTACGCCATTACATCACAGTTGCCTGGATATTCAGTCTTTTGCAAATCTCAAAGTACATTGTGTTTGACAGAAGTCATGCGTAGTGAACAAAAAGTTAGTAAAAATTCCCTCCTGAGCATATTTCTGCGTATAGGGTATTCTGGTGGTGGACCAGTACTTTACCATTGCTTATTTGATGCTATGCAGAACCATAGCCAAGGGTTGCTCGGAGCACTTGAAAGGAAACAGAAATACTTAAAGGCTAAGTGTGTGACTCAGAAAATAACTCCAAATGCATTGCTTTTAGTAGTAATTGGAGGAAATATGGAGCTAGCTCACTAAATATTTACTCATTTAAACTGATTTAAGTGGCATTTCCTCTAGCCCAAATCAGGTCATGGGCATTGGCCTGTTCTAGATTTTAGATAATACTTTCCTTTCCTGGTATTATACAACTGCAACTGATCTCAAAGGTTCCAAACATAGATGAGGACTTAATAATACAATATAGTAAATAACTCCAAAAAATGCGTCGAGTTTTTTTAAAAAGGTGTCATATAGCGCCCCGAGACTTCACTGAAGACAAAAGGAGACAATACTTGAGCAGAATATGTATTTTTGACATACAGGAGGGTTGGGGGGGCTTCGGACCGGGCTAGCAGGCCAGGCTGCTTGGCGGACCCCTAGGTGTCCCTCTATTAAATTCGAGAGTTAACCAAACAATCAAAGGATAACAGGTGCAAATTTCTAGATTTGTTTTTAAATATTTTACATTTTTATTACGAGTTCAAAAGTACACGCTTCACATTTCCGAATTTTAGGAATGCAAATTGGTGTCAGGTAGATTTCAAGTACATTTTACTGCACCTATTATTAATTTTTTTGCTTCGATGTTACTGTGATTTAAAATATTTTTTAAACGACTTTATTGTGGGATCATTAACTATTCATGCCCTTTGAGACTGACTCTATTATGCGCACCTCATGTAATATTAAAAAGCCGCAAGTGTCGGCTTTAACCACACGGCCTTTTATTTATTTTTCTTTAAATATGCGTCCTATTTTAAAAGGGATTTGGATAAAACTTCGATGTTTGAAACTTAAATAAATACTCCTTTGCGCTAGTCACAAATACTAATCGGTGCCATGGCGCAAGAGTACATGTATTTAAAAATTCTGAAAAAAGTAATTCAGTTGGGTTCCTATGTGTCTACAAGCTTGAATAAATGACAGAGAAAATCATCACCAATCTTTACACTAAGGCTTAAAAGCAACCCTTTTGGCTTGATAAATCTGCCATTTGTTTAAACAACCTCTCTGACACTCCATTTAGTGCTAGTGGAGAACACAATCCCTACCGTTCCAACGGCTTTTATTAAAATTTTATCATTCTCACTCAGACACCATCAATCTTCATTCACAATGAAGTTTATAAATAATAAAATTGCAAAACTAACAAGGAATTTAGCTGAAGTGTTCGACTCCAGAAGGTGTCCACCATTACATCAATTTGTGAACGGAGTAACTAATTTGCAAAGCAGTATTCCACTTCCTCCTTTTTCAAAATCTAACACATCGAGTTAGCCATAAATATACCAAATGCAAATCAGTTTTAGCAATTTGCCATCTAAGCCTTCCCATTTTGGCATTCTCCATCATTTGTGTCTTGTCAAGACTTAAGTTGGGTGTTCAAGCCCCATTATAACCGCAAACGACGGCCCTCAGCTTATCACTCATGGCTTATGCCACTAACCCGATCTCCTTAAGGCATTTTCAACTCCTCAATGTATAATAGTTGTTGTGCTCCTCTGTGATTATAATTTGCAATAAAAAAAACCCCAGATTTACCTGTACTTGGTGAGCGTATGTGAGTAGATTCGCGCCGAGTTTATGCAGCTATTTGGATCCCGTGAACGCCTTTTTCGACATGAGTTTTCCGTTCCCAGTTCACCCCTCAAACAATAAGCCCTCATAAAATGCAGATTGTGTTATATCTCCTGGAATTGTTGAAATTGGTAAATAAGGGAAAATGCTGCTAGGTATGCCTAAGGAGACTCCTGACCTCCCGTAGTATTGAAGTCTGGAACTGGCTAACTGTTAACAAGGCAATCCCACAAGTCAATGCGATGGCACTGAAAGTTAAAGTAACACTTGATCAACTTTTGTTATATCTCACAGAGTATTTCTTTGACAGAAGGTATGGTGTTCAAACACACTACGAGTATTTTGTACGATTTAATTTAGCTGGAAAGTAACTCTTAGAGGCACGTATATCAGGATCAAGTCTTCAAGAGTGAACCGTGGATATGGATGCAATAAATTTTGCATTTTTCCCTTCCACACTTAGTTTCCTCCCCTTTTAACGAGAAGAGTGAGTAGACAATGTCATCTTTTACTTGAGCAGTGATGTGGAAATTTACAGGTGTCACGGCTTAAGGTAGATTGGGGCTCGCATTCTCCTTGGAGGTTAAAGGCGGTTAATGTAAACCGAACGTTTTTCATCTCAAAAGTAATTCAAACATACATGCACCACATAATTACTTCATATAACTACACAAATCTGATCTGCATCTCTATTTTATGTGTCGACGGGTGTTTTTGCTATAATCCCTTGAGATTTCCAAAAGTGCTCCCACAGTTCATAGAGGAAAACCTGGCGAATCTCACTGACAATTAGCAAAATCAGCTCTGGCATTAATGCCTAGCTCATGGGCCTAAGTTGGTTCTCTTATCTGAGTGAATGCCGAGGGTTAATTACGTGGGATATTTTAGCTTTTGGCCATGATACATTGTTGATAAATTAGGATATTTTATCCAAAGATGTTAAATCTGTCAAAAATTAGTTTAAAAAACGAGAACTTACCTTTTTTCCCTTGTGACACTTTCACCAGCTGATAATTTTAAGACCTAAAAAATTTCATAAGCCATACTTCCGAATGAGTTGGAAGTCCGGCTGTCAGGCGAAGATACAATGGAAGAGGCCCTAGGTTTTTTGAGAGTTAAGCAAACAACCTACGTATTACATAGTCCCTCTCCTCTCATGAGTTCTGTCCCCGCTTCAGTCATCTCAACGCAATCGGTGCTACAAGAAATCACCCACAAACTAACCCCACTAGTTCTCGAATTGACATGCAAATGAGAAGGTACTTGATCTCAACTTCACTGATCCCTCCTGGCAATTTCACTGAATCCGATGTTTTGTCCTGTATGGAAAGTGGATTCAGGGACAAAGTGCAGTGCTAGCCATCTCATTTGTTCATCGCTAGTCGTAGGGACACTAATCTAAGAGCAGAGTCGTTAAAAAAGAACGGGATTTAACAGTTTTGTGGAAGTGAAGCTTCGCGTCTATTCCTCTTTGCCACTTTGTTCTCACTTCAGGGCTCTCCAGCCATTTCTGTTTGGATTCTCTGAAGTTAGTGGAGAAGTGGAGGGGATATTGCGTGTTCACATCATTGACATCTTCAAAAAGGTACCGTAGACAACTCAATAACGTACTTTTCCAGATGATTCATGGTTTGTGTCGTTTCAATTGTTAATGACTTCTCCTCCGAACATATAACTGGGTTAGTTAACGAAGGTAGAAGTTGCTTACAACTTCTCTGTTGGAGGCTGTCATATATCCTCCCAACCCCATCTCCTTCAGCCACGGTAAAGTTTACCATTCAGGAGTGTAAATTTGGATAGTAGTCCTAAAAGGTCGGGTTTGTTTTCGCTGCCACCAAAAGGAAGCATAGTGCCAGAGCAGACTAAATTGCTGAAATATAAATGGTCTGGAGGGCTACAGACAGTTTAAGGGGCCAGACCGCTCAGAGGAAGTAGATATATGCGGAGCCTGAAGTGTTCGCGAAACAAAAGCAAAGAATTAAACAATTCATCGAAGTATTCCACCATATATTTGGCTTTACGACTTCGCCATTTGCTATAATAAACAAAGAGGTGTGCAGGAAACTTTGGTACCGCCGGATTGTGCTTTACCTAACTGACTTTACCTGTTCTTTAATGTATGAATCAAGGGTTTGGGAGGACTGCTAGAATTTTCCTTTAGATCTCCAAATGAAAAAAACTTTAGGGTTTATGGATGTGTCCAGCATGATCCTTTTTGCCGATGAAGTTTTAGCTCCCCCGTTTTTTTACCAATAAGGGAGAAGATTTTTCTTTATTTGTTTAAAAGGTTGAAACGGAAATCAAAGGGTTAATTAAACACGGCGCATTTCCCTTCTTCTTTTCCACATCACTAACCCATATCAGCTACCACAGGATAGTCAGTGCTTCAAAGGTTACCCAAAAGCCTAAAAAGTTGCCAATTCAAGTTTTATGGAAAAATGAAGGCGGTTGACTTCAATATCAGTTATTCAGCATTGCCTACTTCCTTAAATTTAGAAATGTCATTCTGTTTTTAAACTCCATTGGGAAATGCAAGATATGCAACGGCTATATACCTTATTCTCAGTTCACTACTCTAACCGTCGACACGGATTCCACTCACCTACTAGAGACGTGGGGCGAGCATTATTTGTTTACATAAACCACGCGTCTTCATAGGAGTACCGTGGGTAACCCCATAATGAATGAGTTCAAACCTTTCAGGTGTGGAATCACTTCCGTAGAACACGAAGTCATAGCTGATGATTAAAGTGTTCATGGCTTTGACAACTTTTTTGCTGAGGGCCTCTGCATATTTTACCATTTCAGGCAATTTTCCCTCTCTCTTCCCTCCGTGACACCAAGACCTGTTTTGAATGAGGTTCACGCCCCGTGGTCATTAGTGAACGACCCAAGTTTAAATTGGGATGTTAAAAAGCCTAGTAGTTAAATTTACTTTAAGACAAATATCCAATGAACACAAAAGAGGTTTAATTAACAATTGTTCTTTTCATTAAGCTTGATTGTTTACCAAGCCGGTTGGTGATGCCAACCCCACGAAAACCACGAACGGAGGCGTTTAGTTCAAATTGAGAGGCACAAATTCTCCTGCGTTTTGACACTATTCGAAGCAAGATGTTTCATCCTCTAGTCTTAAAATATAGTGTACATGTTTGGTGAAAACCTTCCTGGTCTATATGCCGGAATTTCAGTAATTTCGGTTTTATTCACTCTACCTCTCTGCCCGTCACCTTGACGCATGATTGGATTAGTTAGAAAACTTGAGCTAGATATCCTGAAGCATCGAAAACAATACGAGCCTACTTTTTACCGAATTTCCTGCTATTTGGTTCATTTACTATTTATCACCAATCAAACTACAAAGTAGCTCTATTTAATTTCGACTCGGCTATAAAATTGCACCCATGTAGGCCTAAAACCAACTTAAATCCCCTTCTGCATGATTGCCTTAAAAGCCTCTGAGGTCCATCAGTCGTGATTATGGCAGAGATAAGGTTCACCCTATTTTCGGAGACGGATATGATCGTCCAGAGAATGCCCACTGCTCTCTTGTGCCTTCAAAGTCATAATAAAATCTGGAGCGGAATCCAATTCTCAGCGCAGACAGACACTTCTTCTGTTTATAGTTGATGGTTCACCAAATCCAGCTTACTTTAGCATACCTTAGTTCAAAGTTTAATAGGACAATAATTCACATACTTTAACTAATTATGGTATCAGTATGGGGTATATAATCCTCTACTCTATTTAAGGATAGGAGATATTCCTTTTGTTGCATAAAATCGGAACCAGAATTAAAGCCTTCACTAAAAGTGCCTAATTATGAGCGATTTGTTGTAATTTCCGATGCTGCACCTTTTTCCCTTCCTGAGGTTGTCTGCAACCCCAGAATTACGTGCATGGTCGAAATTTTAAGATTTCTAATTGATAGCTAATCTCCCAACCTTCCAAAAGGTAATGCTCTCCCTCAGGCCTGCCTGATTGGTCGACATCCAGTAGAAATGTACTCCAACTGTACCAATAACCGCTCGAAGTTCAAGGTCAAATAGTCATTACAGCAGTGACAACTAGACACAATTTGGTAGTCTGTTCTCTGGCTGTCGGACGCGTACGTACTGACTGTGTCCGTTTGTGCATTCATTGTACTTGAAGTCTATCCATCCACTACCTGGTTTGAGGTCCGGATAAGAGGCAGACAACTCTAATCTTTATATAACTGGCAATTCGGTCTGTAACAGCTGTCAACGTACTTTTTAACTAGTGTCAACCCTATTCATATCACCTTTCCAAATTCTGAATAGCAAAAAATTGGCTAAAGGCTAGTTTCTCCAGCAATGGAATCAAGTTTACCTCAGTCAGTAGAGTGGCAACTCTTCAGTCACAGCCAACAGGTTTGACCGATGTTTTATGGAGTCAATGTTCAAAATAGCAAAGGTCAAAATGAAGTTTGTTGACCTGGTAGACTAGGGCATATCTTTGCTCTATAATGCATTGTAAATGATGGCATGCATGTCAAAGACTCTTACCAGTTATAACAAGCCGCTGTAACGTGCCATACTGAAAAGCGCTTTGAAAAGTTCTTAATTTTCTCATGCGTCTTCTCTTCGTAGCCTTAAAGGTTCAGTCAAAATGGCCTTTTTAGCCCAATATTAAAGCTTAGCTTTCGTATTCAATCTAAAAAAAATTCCAAAATATTAAATAATATGCAAACACTACTTTCTCCCTTTGGGCTATTTACCAGATTAAAAGTAAATGGCTCCACAGTCCGTGGGATTTGCATGCGAATAACCAAATATACAGAGAGACGGGGCGTGAAATTGTAGGTGTGCATCCCCAATGACCCAATGAACACGACTTGCACTAGGATCACTCTGCCCGCCAGCATCTTCCGTCCCCGCCTCATCACTCCACATCCCCAAAGTACCACCACGAAGGCGGCGACCTCCAAGTCACGGCCACTGATAGACGGGTTCACACGACGACTGAGAGCCCAGCGAACACGGGTGTGTGCGTGGCTGGAGCGCGGCGGTGTCTTCGACAGCGCTCTAATGCCGCAGCCCCGACCCCGTGCTCTTCTGCAAGACCGCCTACGCTGCGTCGTCCCTGCCAGTACTAATGGCAACGGCGACAACGCCTCTCGATGGGGCCCAGCGCCCCACGCCTGCAGTCCCAGCTGGGCTGACTTCGACGATCCGCGCGCCGTTACTTTCAAGTGGATTGGAACCGATGGCAAGTCAATCTCTGTCCACCCTTATCCACTTTTGCCTCCATCACAGTAATGCTGCAAGGTGTCATATGGACATATAGCTAAATGCTATCAGGTTTCACCTCAAATGTGCTTTAGTGTCAAATAATACACAATTGTGCAGTACCTGATTTACTCCTGAAGGCGTGATATAAAAGCAGATTTATTAACCGATTCATGAAAGGGTTTAAAATTACTAGAAATTGGTAGCAATGTATGGTTGAATCAAGGATGACCCTGCGCTTGCTAGAGTTTGAACTGAGTAACTTTCTGGCAATGATCTGCCGCCGGTTAGCGAATTCCCCAACCTGTAAGGAAGGCAATATTTGTAACAGCAAAGAAATGCAATCAAGTTGTCGTTCATCCTTAATCATAGTAAATAAGTGAATCAATATGGAGTTGGTGGATTTTGGGAGCTTTCCATAACACCGCATCATCCCTACCTTGCTGCTACCTTGTAGATATGCCCCTCTATGAATTCCAGTTGCACACTTGCGACAACCTCTACTCTCCACTCACGCGGTCGTGTTGTGAGGGTGACCAAATCGCCTTTGAGCTGCAACAGAGGGGAACGTGGCTCTACCTCAGCGAGTTTCGCTGTCGATGTCGCACACCGGCGGAGATCCGCGAAATCACATACGCTAGACCCCTGCCCCCGGCCAGTCGTGCCATCGAACCGCGGTTTATTAGTATGACCTGCCAGGCGCCTGTAAGCTCTCTCATCCCCTCCACCTAAAACTGGCGCTTTTTGTCCTCTTACAGCCACTTTTAGGCCGGTTGTATTCATGCAAATGGCTCACTAAGGTCATATACGTTCCCTCGCCTAAATTGGAGTAACAATCCTGTAAATAGTGCCAATAGGAAAATCAAGGGTACGCCTAAAGACCACATGATTTATGCGAATGCCTAGGGGTTACTAGCAAGGGTTTTAATTTTCTTCCTTATGAGCTGCATACTTGGAACTTTTTCAGCTTCCCGCTCAGAACTCGACCACTCCATTACTTAACTCAGTCGATTAGGTCTGCATATTCTAGCGTTGACTCCGTTTTTCCGGTAGATCGCCCTCTACTCTTCCTCCTCACAAGTTAATTAGAATATGCACTAAAATCTCAATTGACTCAAGCATTAGCCGGCAAAAGAAATTGGTTATTCACACGCTGGAACTCAACCGGAGTTTCTCCTGGTCCCACTCTACACCAGATGATGAAGACGGAAAGTGACAACTCTCTCCTTAAAATCTGACCTATTAATCCCCACCTTTTATTAGCCCTCCTTCAGATTCTAGCGTCAGTGAGTGTTACAGACCATGGGTGAGGTGTATCTCCCACCTCATTAAAAATAGACGAGAAGTAAAGACTGCCAGGCACTTAATCTGCTGATGGGTTGAGCTCTTTTATTCACTTTTATAGACTAAGATTTTGCGTGCAAATAAATTTTGGGGTGATGTTTACGGAAAAATTTGCTTGATCTTTTCCATTCATACTCGTGTTGAGTGGTTAATTGCTATGTTGAAACATCACTAGAATTCCGTCTTGGTGCTGACGATTGGAGGCTAGTAATCGCTGGTACGCCTCTTCAATTTTAATCCAGTCTCCATCTACAGGATGCGAAAAGCATTATAGAAACTGACGTTCTTGTCTCCGTGGAAATCAACGTAACGAATTGCTTAGAATTTAGGTATTTGGTTAAGTCTATGGAGCTGGGTATGCTTCTCACAAATGACAAGCTGAGCACGTCGTACTTGATTAATACATCAGTTAGTCCTGGTCTGACATGCCACCAACTGAAAACTGAGGGTTGATACCTTTCAATTCATTAATCATTCGCATTTCTACCATTATTGTGGTGATGACTTGTCATTGTCGATTCTGAAGTCCTATTATGACTTTTCACAGCCTATCTGCCGGAGTCTGACAACCCCGTGTTTTTACGAGGTGCCGAACATTGCGGGTCTGTTGACCAGCGGTATCTACGTGTGCCAGTGTCCACGGCGCTACTTCTGTGACGCCTACCATATGCGGCGTCCGCGGGTGCACACAACAACCAACACGGGGCAGAGCATCTACTTCACCTTCTGTCAGCTGTCTTTCTTTTGATGCAACCGCTTCTCAATTCCGCTCGTCTTCGCCTCCTTCTCCACCCTGTTTTCCAACTCCCTAAGCCCTCACTTCACCTCTCCTCCTCTCCCCCTCCCCTCTGTATATAAAAGTGTACACCGCCTTTTGAATATATGCACCAGGAGCAGCAGCGGCAGCAGCAGTAGTAGACAGTTTAATCTGTCTCTACACTTGCGTTTGATAATGCAGACCGAGTTTGCTGCTGTAGTAAACTGTCCTGTTAATGCTTTCGACGACTTCCACTCGGGGACTAACGTCCATTGCCAATGCAAAGGATTGCAGCCTTAAAATTACCTTCGAAAACTTGAAGGCGATTAGGCAGATTTGTGGATTCAGATGCACATTTTGAATGAAATGACCACCGCAAATTTTGGGGAAAGATAGTCGGTTAAAGATGGCCACGGGGAGGTCAAATAATTAATGACTAATAATATGAAGCCCTCGGAATTATTCTCGTGATCTGGAAGGTGGTTCATTATTGCCACACACAAGGCCAGCAGATCATGGATGCGAAAAGGACGCTAATAACAGCACGGCGACTGTACAAATATCGTTTCACCAAAGTTGATTAAGAGGTCTGAATTTTTATAAGATGTTATGAGGAAACAGTTGCATTTAAATATGAAGCCGGCTGCATAAAGTGTTCAAAGAACCATCGCGCTATCTGTGATGGGAGAGCTGATGAGTGATAATGGGGGTGCGCCCATTTTTCACTGAAAAGTATCAGCAAACATTTGTCCAATCGTTTTATTTCCAACTGAAACAATCTCGTTGTCATTTCATCTCTCAATCACGTTTGGAGGTCATTTGTGTCATAAAAAACTTACTATTATTCTCAAACGAATGTCATAAAAAGCGGGGAAAAAGCTAAAAGGGAGTATCATAGACGGAAGGATTTCTTTAAAAACGTATGTATTCATTGAAAAAATTGCGTTTTTCATTGTAGAGCACTATTACCAGGACTTTTTAATCAGATTTATCTTCGGCACATTCAAGCTCAACGGATTTTGTTAGAAAAAAATTGGCTGGTGAAATGAGTTTTGCAAGGGTTCACACGCAAAACTTATTTACACATTCTAGTGGCTTGAAATACACGTTCCATCGTGAAAATAAATAATAACACAGAGAGGCAGTGAAAACTAAACGATGGTTTTAAAAACTATCAAGGGATCTATAAATTCCGTGCAGTTTTAGAGATAGCCCATCGCAACGACTTGTACGAACTTGAATAAGCTTTGGACAGCCACAGAATGGTTTGTGCTGGATGCATTCGCCTTACACTTGCTGTGATAGTTTTTCAAGTAGTGACAACTACCTACCCTTGTTCAGCACTAACAATCACAAAACCACATGCAAAATAGATTAGACAGTTAAGATATCAAAGTGTGGTAGACAGAAACAGATGCAGCTAAATCCAGGTTCTTTCTGGGGGCAAAACATTTTATAAAAGCGGGACTCAAACCTAGACCAAACAGTCTTCTTACTAAACACGTACCCAACTGGAAATGATAAATTTCAGTACGAATGAGTTACACTGAGAAAATTTCTACCGGTTACAAAAGGACTCATGAGTAAAATGTATTTTAAATCCACAGGACTTCAAAAGTCTTAACTGCAATGCAAAGGCGCATCATCACTACCTCTGACTCAGGCGACTCTTCGCCTACGTTATCTCCTGATTTCTCGTATTTATGACAGCTGGTGAGGATGGTATGACAATCCGATGCTTTTAGAGGTTCCGTCCTAGCGGGCGACTCAATTAGTAAAAATGAGTCAGCCATATAAGAGACACGACCTGACATCAGGGTCGACACACAGGGAAAGTGGTTAAAGAGGAGAAAGCGCATCACAAACTGTCCAACAACTAGTGGTAAACACGAATAAAAAAAAAAGTGAAACATCGTGTGAACGAAAAAAGCGAGTAACAGAACGGGAACCGTCTCAACTACCCATTAAAACCTCATGTAGTTATAACTAAACTAGCACTACTGAACGCCCTAGCCTCTTAGTTAAAGGCTTGACTCTTTCCAACATTTGAAAGATAAGTAGCATTTTCAACGCAAAAGAAAATTTGCATTACGAGAAAGGTTCACTTAAAAATGAATTTACAGATTATACAGGAGGAAGAGAAAGGGGGTGTTGACCGGTGTCTAGGGTTCCTTAGCATCTTCGCTCAGCGATGGGTGCGCGGAGACCTCCAGTTCCTGCTCCAGATCTAAGATAGCCTGCTCAATTTCGTAGTTCTTGCCCACAAGGGAGACCCATTCTTCTTCCAGTTGAGTAAGTGTCTCGCCTGCCACCATTTGCTCCTGTTTGCGCTGCCAATTGATCTCCTGTACCTTGCGTCTGAGCACAAAAAGAAGGAATGGCAGTAATACTGCCTCAATCATAATACAAAATTCCCTTCCCCTTTCATATAAATCCCTTTTCAGCTCTTTTAATCCTTCTTTAGAGACATCCCTCCATCAATAGGGGTGAATTTCCCCATAGCAGTGTGTTTGGATTTACATATGGACAAAGATGCTGGTATAATCACGGTGCATTATTGTCTCCCATCGACACGCTACAACCTATGTGTAAAAAGTGAGCAGTTTTATTAGACCTCTATGCTCTTAATTTTAATGAGATCCTACACAGAAACGATAAGTTTCTGGTAGTGTCACTGCCGAACTGTCAGAAATATTTGGTAAAAACGGTCTTTCACTAGGATCGAGGAACCCGGCATTTATCCTTGTGTCCCTTTCCGCTTATTTTGTACTGAAATAAACTCTACTCAGAAAATATAGAACGTTTGTCTCTCAGCGCTTTGACTGTGTGAGTCAGAAATTATGCTCAAATTTAACCAGTTTATATCTATCTATCTACATTTCCTACCTCATCAAAGCAACCTGCAGAACTACGAATGAGTAGTTTTCAGAAAGTTCCTTTCTAACTGGAAGTAACTTTTCTAAATGTGGTTCTAAAAAATTGGGCCCAATCAGTAGGACCTTTGAAACCAGTTTAATTGACATCGAAACACAAATATACCTCATTTCGAGAAGGTCCTTCTCGTGCTTGCGAAGGATTCTTTCGAGCTCCTCGTTGTACGACTTCCAAGCTGTTGAGCCGTACTCACTCATCAATTCCAAGTTGTTGATACGCGTCAGCTGGTGCTCCAGTTGAGCCTGTTTATAAGAAAGAATTTCACTGATAAATTAGCCATTGAGTTGAAGCTAATTTTGAAGCCCCAGCGTTCATGCAGATGGCATAAATCCAGGAATTAAGACAATGACAGTGACGAATCGGAATAATGGATAACTCGTTAACGTTAGAGGAAGAAGCTACGTCTAATAAGATGTTAACAGACAACTAAAAGACTTACGATCTAAATTATGCATGCAATGAGGAGATCCCACTTTCTAGAGAGCAGTTCTTCCAACAGCAAGGGGGAAAAGCGGATTGTTTTTACGACAAGAGAATGTATGTCGAGACACAATATTCACGCATTATTCGAGATTGTTTCAATTACTCTGAATCAGACCCGACAAAAACTACAGCGGTTTTGCGTTTGTATCATCAGGTGAGTGAACAGGAGTGGAAAGTGAACACAATAGCAAGTGTAAGATCAACGGACTTTATTCTAAAATTTTTTGAATGATCTATATTCATATTGGAGATCTTGTGAAAGCACCAGTTAAGCTAACGATACAGCGAGTGCTGACAATTTTACCATGCTGAGGAAATCAGTAAAACCTAAAGAGAACTTTGTCGAAAAGTACGTATAGATTTGACCTTATGTGTAGTCTAAGCACAACGTGAAGAGAACTTCACCCCAAGATAAATAGGAAATAGATTAAAACCATGTGAAATGGAGTGTTTCACCCCGAGCCACTGCATTAGTTAAATTGAGCTTGCACAACTTAGCCTGATTTAAATTCAATGAAAACTATAGTGCTCCAGTTGGGTCAACACTTTGATCCCCTTGTACTCAAATGGGAACTCTTGCAGTTATGTGTTAAGATGGTGAAGCAGTGGGTATTGAAAACCACTACAAGTAAAAATAAGAACTCTGTCGAATGCGGGGCCAATGTGTAGAACCAAGTCTTATAAGGCGATAAATCGTGTGTTAGACAGAGCCCGTTTATTAAAGAGGGAAAGTTGTTAAAATTGTAAGAAAATGCGAAATTCCTTCCCTTCGACAAAAAATGAATAAGAGGTGTTTGCTCTCAAGTTCTTGGCCAAATTAACTGAGGTTTTGTAAATCCCCACGATAAATTCGGTAGAAACTATGGCATCTGACGAGCTGAACGCATGAAAGAAATGAACTGAGTAGTACACTTCTTACATGGGCATTTTCGATAGCTTCCTGCCAAGAACGTAGATCGCCCATTTTGGCCGATGGAGGCGGAGGCAATTCGTAGCGTTTCATGCTCATCAACTCCATGGGCAGCCGATTGGCAAGGCGGTCAAACTCTGTACGCACAAGTTCAGTCTCAAATTTCGTTGAAATAGGACCAGCTAGCGAGGGGAAATTCTCCAAGTAGTTTTTGGTAGGTCGATAGCGTCGCATTTCCTCCGTTAGCAGTGCATTGGCCTCCTGCATACCGCTCTCGCCGTAACCTTTGTCGAAATACGGCAAGGCGTCAACAACCACATTCTGCTGGTCCATTGTCCGTCTAAAAACAAGCAAGATTAGCAATTAAAGATGACAAGGTACTAGGGATAAAATACGCCAAGATAAACGCCCTGGTGATGATTGACGGTTCCATTCAAGTGTACCGACTTATTTCAAATATCCCAGTGTATCGAGCAACACCAAATCCCTGCCAATTTTTATGCAGAAGATGTAAGGAGTTAGGCATTACAAAGTCCATAAAGTTAAGTAGATGAGGAATAAGCACGTAGGAATACTGGCGACTGGCAAAAGAGATGACAATGTAGCTAACCAAGTGTAAGTGAATCTTAACAGGGACTACTCGAAAGACTCCTCAACAACGAAATATCATAGTAATATCAATAAGAGGTTTTCGAGAAAGAGGCGAATTTTATCCAGATCCCAATTCGGATAAGCCCAACATACTCCTCACACACACGCTGTTAATGAATGAAGAACCAATCACCTACTGGTACACATCGACCAGACAGTAAAACCACGACTGCCAATGCTAGGGCGTCAAAGCAGTGACTTTCTAACTTCAACAGAGGAAACATGACGATTAAGACCTTTGCAGGCATCGTATTCAACAGTTTAGTAAATTTGGCCTAGCAGATACAGGCAAACCATGTGAACTTATTTATGATTCCATTCGCAGTTTTAACTATAAAAGCAATTATTTTGGCAATTTTGATGCCGTAAATAAATTATTTGCAGTAAATTTGCTTGTACATTATGTTAGACTAATTGTGCTTCGGTGTTTTGAACCTGAATTATGGCTAATTTTCGTTTATTTGACATTGCCTTCCCAAGAATTAGGGTTAACCAACAGCATTATGCCCCTTGTAAACATCGTACTGTAACAATCTGATGGTTTGCTCGACTCCCTGTTTGATAACTTGGGGATTTAAGTCAACGCAAATTATGCTTCGACCCAGTTTCATGGTCTCTGTGCCGCCAGTAGCTCCTCGGGCATTTTGGACGATAGCAACATGTGTTTCTGGCATACTTCTGTGGCTTCTTCCAACTTCAAGGAAGGCACAGGCTACTGCAGTATGTCCCTAGTAGAAATAGCAAAGGTGGTTTGAATAACGAATGGGCAAGGAAATACCTGTACCGAAAATAAATTCTTGCGGCATTTGTAAATGGTTTTAGTCTAGAAACCCATCTTAAATCAATTTATTGGATACTTAAAAGAAAGCAGGATGGGCAGTAGCGGAGGGACTTATCACTTTGACCGCACTGCAGCAAGACTTCTATCAGAAAGTCTGCCTTTTAAAATAAGTAACGCACAGATTTCATTAGTAAGGATTGCTTAAACAAGGAAACAGGCCGGGCAAGTCAAATGTTTGTTAGAGCTACTTACTTATTCCTAAAACACTCTTCTTCTATTTGTGCAGTTTTAGTGTCAGCATATTGCTTTCATTTCTTGACGATGCAACTGAAGGATTAAATCCGTGTTTTCAAGGCCGCTTAGGTATTGCTTACGTAGTTATTCCTCCATTTTTAATAGAGAAGACTAGTTAGGAGGAGACGTCCTACATCGAGCACTACATGGATTCTACTAATGACCAAATTTGCAAAATTTGAGTTCATCTAAAAGATCGATGGCGTCTGATCCCTAACAAGATTGATGTAACCTACCCGCTTCTCAATAAAAATGCGCAGCTAACAAATTGTGAATCGCCCATGAACGACAGTATTAAATATTTCACCTAATGCCATTACCACGTAGAAAATAAAGCAAGGGTTTCTACTCGAAACATGCTAACGAGTAATGATTTAAGAGTATTGCCAGTTTAAATTTAATATCAGATGCACAGTTTAAAATTGTCTTTAACCGAGTTCAGAATATTTATTCGAACAGATTAAACAATCAATCAATTTTAACCCTTCTGAAAACAATTTGGGTGAATTTGTCTTCAACTAACTGAAAAAAACTGAATAGAAGTCCTAAGTGCAAGCTCTTCTAAATAAGCTGTATATTAAATTCAAGATTAAAGTAACTTACCTGCAGCGAAAAATTTTATTTGGGAAATTAAATAATTTTACATGACCATGCTGTAATATGTTGATTTTTTTAACTCCCACTGTTGTCGACGGAGCCACTTTGTGTCCTGGCCATTGTATCTTCCCCGGTGGGCCGGTCTCTGGGTCATGCGGGTGGTTTCAACCTCTTCTATATTTTGAATACATGTATTCTCTCCGTGTATAGCCTTCTTTTGTCTCCAGGGAAGTCTTGGGTCACTGCATATGCAAGCATGAAAGTAGAAACACAAATTAGCACTTTATTTTTTTTCATCACGTATTAAGTAGCACTGCATTTCGAAAGTTTTATGCGTAGGTACTTATGGCAATTGTAAGTATTGTCACCACACTTCGTTATAATTACGCCCATCAAATCGCCAAAACACATAATTTTATTTGCTTTTTAAAACTCTTGAATTTATGACTCAGGTGCCTCTAATGCACTAATGGCTCGATAAAGACCTATGTTAATTTGTTTGATTTTGCAAAACAAATCGGCGTTTAGTTAATGTTGCTAGTGCTGTGGTTCTATTGGCTTCCCCCGTAGATTGGGGTTGGTTTGACCTTGTGGGTGGATAAGCGCGGTAAGACGTTATCGAGTTAGTATGCTATCTCTATCATTTCGTTTCGTTTTAATAAGCGGAGTCGGAACTAGACTTTTGTACTTCCTTAGTTGGGTCTTCAGCATAGCAATTCTCCGTCTGGGACTGATTTTAAACCACACCATGCATGCAAACGTGCTTCTACGTGATCACCACTATTCCAAATAATGTTCACTTGCCTCCTCTGCCTTTTTCAGCAATTTGCCTTACAACCATGTAGTTCGCCATAAGCAGTTGCGTCTTGTGTCTTCTCCCCGCAACTATTTTTTTTAATTTTCCGTTTTTGAAATGGGTGTGACATTTATTGTTAGCAAATCTAGTTTAGTAATGCAATTTGTCTCATACTACAATGTTAGCCATTATTTGTTTGGTATAACGCTAGTTATTTTTCGTTTATGCGTGGACCTTTGTATATTTGTGGCAAAGATACAATTTTATCGGGATCGAACTGCTTGTATATTTAGAAAACAAATCCTGAATCCTTACCTCAATGCCTGAACGTCTTGCCGCAAAGTTTTGGCACATTTTCAAGCGTTCCTTTTTATGTTTTATCCGACCTTATACTATAAGTGCCTTGTTGAAAAACGTAACTTTTATTCGACTCATCCCAGACCCATAATGACGGACCACCGTCTTTTCGGGCAGACCGATATTGATGAAGTAGATGGTGGTGAACTCAGTCTTTGTTGCATTTGCGGAAAGACCTTCCTCGATCGAAGATCCCTTCATCTACACGTGGCCATTGATCATGAAAGTACGCAAATTACGTCTGCTACCAAGAGAATGCATTTTTTTATAACCGTAACCTCGTACTTTTATTTTGGTGGTCGGCATGGGAGTTTGACTTCCAATTTGCCTTAATTCTACCCCATCCTGACATTCTAATTTTTTCTAACTCCTAGAGGAGGCATTGACGGTTTCTGATACCCCACCGTTGGCTCACTCTTCAACGATGAATCAAATAGATGAGGTCGATACATGTAAGTTTAGTTTTATTTTTATCTTACTATCATCTTCCGTCTATTTCCCTCGGAGGTCTTGGTATGTATAATAAAACCCACATTCGTACCACCTTTGCGAAAAGGGTGCTAAGAAGCTCCATTTGAGCTATTTAGAATTTGGTCGCCATTTTTGATAAGGCTCAAATCGAAGTTCTCTACTTGTTTGTACTTTTGTTAGAATACTTTATATTATTCGATTTCGTTTTTGTTCACATATAGTGCCAAACAGAAATTAATTATTGGTTATTGTGTAGTAAAGAGGAATTAACCATGTGGGAAATGGAAACTATCGAAGGTAATTGTGCACGGGGACAGTCTGCTCACAATAGCAGGGGATTAGCTTATCTGCTTGACTGAATCGCTTTGTGGTAGCTTTATCCACCTTGCCTTCCTAAACATCGCTTTGGTGCGAAGGCTTTCCTGACTTTGTGAAGATTGGAGTATGGGCGTTCCATTGTAGGTGTTCCACTGCCCTCACTGGTTGTAGCAAGATCAGTAGCAGCAGCAGCAGTAGCAGCAGTCGATGGTGCGGACGGCGAAAGTAGCGATGAGTCATGTCGACCACAGGACCTGCGGATACGTCGGTCACCAATCGATTGTGTATCATCAGGCTCGGTTGCTGCTCCGCCACCAATTCTGGCCCTACCGACTGCAAATTCCCGCACTACACCCCCGAGCTCCTCTCTCATCGCCACCACCTCCGCAGCCTACCTCTACCAAGATGTCTCAAGTATGTGCCACCAGTTCACCCAACTTTTGGAAATCTTGACCCACTTGTCTGATCTCTGCGACTAAGCCAGGAAGCGAGCGCGCACACACTCGCGTTGCGCTATGCCTCGAACACTTGCATTCATTCATGCATAGGCACAACTAACACACCTCGCGTGTGCATACCTTCAAAGGACTGCTGCAGTGGTGGTGGCGGTGGTGATGCTTGTGTTAATGCGAAGTGATGTTCTGCATAGCTTCATCCAATCGGGTTTGCCCTCCTTCTGGATGTGTATGTATGTGTATAAGCCATCTTCAAACTGCAGCCCTAATTCAACTCAGGTTTGAATCTGGAATTTGAATCGACTACCATATTCCTAGTCAAAGCTGTGATCCCTTCTCCGTTGGTCACATTCTGAGGTTAGCCTCAGTTGAGATCGAGTTGGATTTTCAGTGATTAGGTGGTGAATCAGTGACGAGACGTTTGTCAAGCCCATGAACGACTTTCATATGAATGCTTTAACGCCGTTATTTAAAAAACTAAACCTCTCTCTATCTGCCCTCTATGAGGTGACATGACTCAATAGAAAGTCGTGAACTTTTAAATAGCTGTGACAGTCTGTGAGCATGTGGTATTGTGTGTATGGGAGTGTCACAGTCTTCAACAACGCCTTCAGGTCTCTTTTAACCACGTGTGCTATGAAATAAAAGCACCAGCATCTTCTACCCGTATCTATGCATATAGGCATATAAATACATACCTACACTGAAGCGTGCTCTTGGTTCCACGGCCTTGCGCATTCATAGTGAGGATTTTGGCACTTCGCATTTGCTGTACTCAACAGCCACTGAAACTCCGACTTTGTTTTTTTCCTATAAAGGAGTCATCGCACCAAGTTAGAGAACATTTAAGACACTGCATGGTTTTGAAATGGATGAGAGAGTTCGCGATCCAACTTATGAGGACCCTACTTCATGTACTTGTATCAATAGCTTATCACTTTGTTCCGTCCAAAACTACTCTATCGTGTAATATTATTTTGGGTCTTAATTACCTCTGGCTTGTTGGTTCAAGAAATCCAAAACAACGGAGTCCGATATTCAAAGAATGAGATCTTGTTAACCCGAGTTTCAGAATGGTGTCGCTGAGGCAACCGGGATCACTAATTGACAATTTAAGCCTAGGTAACAAAATGCGTTATTTAGTAAATCGCATCTCCCCAATGACTCGTGTCTCGTAAGTTATTCTCATCATTTCACTGTTTCAGCTCATTTTCACCTTCCAGTAGAAGGTATGGAACAGTTTCGGAAAACCCTTCCCGCGCTAACATCCATCTTGAACCCAAGTCTTTGAAAATGACTTTTCGTTTCATTTCACATGTATTTGTGTTGTGTTTAAGATGAGTTTCGGTTTAAAGTACTTCTGGACCTCCTTTACCAAGTCAATCCACTTCAGTGAAAGTTCCAAAAGAAGGGTGTCTTGAATCTCCTTTCTTGTTGAAGTATTTTTAGACAGTATTGCTGAACTACGGCTTCTGATGTAGCGGAGTAAACACCATTTGCCGCTACGTAATCCCTGTTGCTTATCGACAGATAGCAGCGATGTCTAACGTTTTGGGTTGGTTCATCACTGTAGGCAACCATACGATTATTTTCCTTGTATGGTAAACGTGTCTCACTGGAAGCTATTCTAACCTTGAATTTTCGACCACTGTCGTCTTTTTTCCCCTTATTCGTACTATTTACAGCCTCTTTAATGTTAGCAATAACCTGTACTTCGAGTACTTTTATCCTGTCACCCCGTTAGGGTTACAGGCCGTAATGGGTACAGTCTAACCGTTGGGATTCTAGGCTATTGGTATTTGCTACCTGCCAGGCTTAACCTTTGCTTTGAGGTGATATCTGAGTGCCACAGCTACAGTTACCATCATTAAAGTTGCTACCTTCGCCACCACGACTATTCACAAATCTGGCACTTACTCGCATTCCTTCATGTGTGTCCTTATTTCGTGTGTGCTGTTATCAAGGTCGTGGTACCCTTTCCTATGCATCACCAAACACCCTTCTCTCCGTGTAGCATCCGGCAATGGTGCGTTTTATTGTTGATGTTGCTGCTGTTGTGTTGCCCTCGCGTCGTTCATACCACACGTCTCCGTCTGCCCTTTTAATGTGGATGGTCACCAGCCCTCCTTCTAATTGTGACTTATGGAGTGCTACGAGATTAGGAAACTTCTCGCCTCCAGTCTGTATTCTACTGTTGATGAGCTCATGAATTGGCATTGGCCTGATTATAACCGATGAACAACGGAAGGAACTCACTACTGTAGAGCATGTACTATAAAAGGTAATACATTTTGCCTGTAGAAATTGCGCTATCTTGTCCCCAAATTCCCTGAATTATTGTTATTTGGTCAATGTTGGGGGTAAGTTGTGAATTCCAAGGTGTTTGAAATGCCGAATGGTTGCCCTTTACTCTCGTTTCTTTTATCCTGATAAGGATATTAGGCTAACGAAAGGTGTACACATCCCCCATGATAAATGCATCACCGCGAGAAAGAGGAAAAACGGCCAGCAAAAGGGTGTGTGTGCGCGCCTCTCTGTGTATGGTAACTTCTATTCCAACAACAAATCGACCCAATTTTGGCCTTGCACCTGAGCCTGGAATTGACTCCTCTTAAATAACTCATACAGCTATCCTACATTCTCCCACTCCCTCTTGTATCGGAGACGCCCAAGTCAATTGTGCGGGCACGGTCTCGGTCCGCCTGTCCGCCATCGACTTTTACCTTCTCGAATCAAGGGATAGAGCTGCATCTCCTGAGGATAGGGTAATTCGTATGTGTACTATTAACTCCGCTTTCAGTGTTCACGAGGTCAGTGTTGTGTTTGTCGATGTGTGAACGTGTTCCTGGGCGAGTGTTAAAATTAGGCGGCTATTGCCTTCTAACGTCTCCACTTCTCTCCTCGAAATTTAGATTTAACCACATGAGAAGTAATTTTTTCCCGTCAAAATTCATTGTTTATCTGCACTACATTTCCTCGACTTTCGCGATTGAACTGTCAATTTGCCTGGAATTTTTGTGTGGTCATTTTTTATCGAATAAAATTATCGGCATTTTTTGGAAATAAGTGGAGTAGTGCACGATTTTTGTGTCCGGTCTTGACAACTTTGAGTTATTTAAATGAGTATTTTATTACAAACAATTGGGATGTTGCAGAGATATTACACCTACACTCTTAAAGGTGGTAGGTAGCATATTTTATCAATAGAAAGTGGGTTTTGACATAAGGTGGAAGTGCAACCAAAATGTCGTGTCAGTCAGCCTTCCTACAATAAAACTGTGGACACATGTAATCAGATGAGTTTGTATGCGATCCGTGTATTTATTCCACATTGGGTTCCACTTTTACAAGCTTTACTTCATGTTACCACGGTCAACTCTCACGTGATCAAACACTTGGCAGATGTCATATTAGTCTCGATCTGTATATTCACTCTACAGGCGAGGTTTCGAAGACATCCGAATCCCTTGAAGGTGGTAAATGACATTTCAGCGTTTGGGTGTGTAACCGTATATTTGGCCAAAGAAAAACGTCTCTTTCATCTTCCCCACCTCCCGCTTTCTTTCTCATGCCGCTTGTGTGTGTTTGCGCTAGCGGATGTGTACTTTTGGGCGATCACACGCGCACACACACACACAGGCGAGCGCGTAAACACACTTTCTCGCTCTCTCTCTCTCTCGCATCACTTTCACCCTCGCTTGGATCACTCAGCGAGGCGCGTGTGTACCGCGGTTGACCCCAAAAGTACGTGCGGTGTGTATGCATGCATGGGTACGCGCGTATCTCCGCTTGTGACCACGTGTGGTTTGAGGACGCGTTGTGTCGGTGATAGTGTTAGGGATAGGAGATAGGGGATAAATGTGGGCAATTAAGGTTCTTATTGGGCAAGATCACCACTCCCTCTATCATGTGTTGTTGTTGTGATGACCTCACCTGACTTCTGCTTTCTATTCACATTTCCTATGGTAGATAAACCTTCGAAAGGCCTTAAAACGTCCATCACCGACGTCACATATGTGTGACCCACGATTCTTGTACCTCCTTATCTGTCAAACATATATAACATGTCAAATTAAAAGGAATGGAAGAGAAAGACAAAGTGTAATCAATTCGGGTCATATTTGGGAAAAAAAACGCCCGGGTCTGCGGTGATCCATGTGTCTCCGCGACTGGTTGTAAGCGATGTAGGTGTCACAGCGACTACTGCTATCAATGTGATCGGCTGGTATCAGGGGTCATTCACTGTTACTTTTTGTGTGCTGTTAGCGCTTTTTTACCTGTCAGTACTGTTTCCCATCAACAATATTGACTGTCTAGCTATCCATCCCATCGACGAAGTTTAGTGCATAGCTCAAGGGTATTGTTTTTGATCGCTTCTTTTTTCACCGTAGTTTCTTTTTTTCCCTCTGCCACAGTGTACATTTTGAGCTCTAATATTTTCCTACACGGGACTTTTTAAAATTGTGAATTTGCTGTCCATTAATTTTTCTTAATTTAAATGGATTTATCAATTTCTTTTCGTGCTCTTTTAAAGTAGCATTCCAATGTGATTTTTAAATGCCTCTTGTCGAGAATTTATGCTTTTCACCATGATTGTTAATCTGAAAGGCGTCTCTAACATAATTAGAGCGAACATTTGTGATTCGTTATAATCAGGAGATTACCATCACCACTCCCAAAATGTCATCGTCTTCGAGTCTCGATGTCTCCTTAAATAATTTTTTAGTGCTCGCCTAACAGTCCTTTGTGGAATTGTGTTACTTCCAGAACAACGAAATGTCATCAAATAGTGGATTTTGTTAATTAGAAGTCCCGATGTTGACCGCGGGGTTTCGAATGCTCCAGTCCTCGTGCGTTTGCTCCTCGAATACGAGTAGGCATAGTTGCTCAATCACTTCCATTATCATCGTCGTCAGCAGCGGTAGCAACGGCGTCCTCGATATGGTGCATTTAGCACCATCATTTTGTTTATTAAGTAGCTCTAAAGTACAAAAAACTCAGTTATACTGTTTGTACGTGTGTGTATGTATGTGTGTAATTAAATGTGCTTTTTGATCCACATAAAAAGACTCGTCCTGACAATTTGTGCACCCAGTTGCATTGCTTTGACTGCGGATTTATTCATAACTTTGAGGAGGGCGAGGGGTTACACCGCAGCATGAGAGTCGGGAAACGGCGGTCGCGTTGTTTAGATGTAAGAATAGTATGGGATGAGTTAGCTGACTCAAGGTTGTCACATAGCACACAAGGCACTCTGCCCCAATGCAATTGAAGTCTTGCAATTTTTCGTGTCGATTTCACCGCTACTGGGTAGCCGTACCATCTTGTACTCTTAGCACGTGTTTCCACCTTGGATTTTGCTTTACTTATCCATCATCACGGGATCCACTGTCCCCTGCCCTACATCGGATAGCAAGTCGTCGAAGCTGTACGCCGCAAATATCAATTGGTTTGTTCAGTTTTCAAGCAAACTCGGTGTAAGCTTTGGACAGAAAACAAAGCAGTCTGCCGGACAGAAAGCTCACTTGCCCACTGTTGTTGAAGTTTCTACTTCACTGAACACCTCAATTCAATTCCCTTAAGCTCCAGCCTGGGTGAAAACCACCATCAATCTTCGTTGTCATTATTACCCCCTTCAACTCCTTTCTAGTTAGCCATTCATGGATTTTAGCGTTTTTCTTTTACTGAAAGTGACATCAAAGATCCCAATGGAATGTTTTAATTTCCCTCGTTATTATCCGTCCATCACCGTGAATCACATCTCTCGTAGTCAATAATGACGGTCAACTAGATCAGGTGATGTTTACATATTTCAAAGTGTCTTCACGATACTATTTCTCCGTCATTGCAGTAAGCCAGATTTACTTTGACCTTGACTCTTAAAATAGTCATTCGTTGAGCTTGTTGAGCCTCTCCCGTTCCAAGACCTGATAGGTAGTTGTTTAGCGCAGTACTTCGTAGATGCGGCCGCACTCAAGATGGCCGCTAGTTAACAGCGCGGTATATGGGAAGGGAGAGATTGTAATGCTCATGTTGGATGGCAGTGGTGATAACGGATATGTAGTTGTTTATTCGACGGCCTGCGGAAACGTATGTGTACACATACACAAAGACAAACAGGTTGACCTAGTTTAAGTTCATGTATACGCGCAGGCGTAGACACTCAGACAGATGAAGGCGCGGATGCGCACGCATGTACGTATCATCATACGCTCCTTTTCCCCATTGGCAAGCCTGCCCGCATTATGCGTCGCCCTCTGGGTGTTTGTTTCCCCTCCCTCTCACGCCTCGCATTGCCCTGCCTCTTAGTCATGCTGCGAAACGCATGCGCGCGCCAGCGGGTGGACGACTGGGAATCGGACCGTCGGACCGACCGCTTGCCCACCCACGCGCACCGGTGTATCCAAATCTGGGGTTTGAGGGAGGGGAGTGCGTGAGCAAAAATGCTTCCCAGGTGATCTCCCTTCCTTCTCTATTTGTTTAATAGAAGTGTGAAAGAGAGCGGGATTGAGTGCGTTCGTCAGCTCTCTCCTCTCTTTTTGTCACCTCCACGTAATAATAACAGAAATTTATCCCCCTCTGTTAACTGCGCAAATCGTTCTGCAATTTGTTGTCTCTAAGGCTCAACACCATTTACCGCCTTTTTGATTTATGGTTACGAGAGTTACACTGACATCTTAAAATTTGAGTAAAGCCATAATTCTTACAAAAGTACCCTTTTAGAAGTCTTTTATTCGCGCATTGCCACTCCTACTATTCGAGCGCTACGTTGCTCCGGCGTTGTTGATGAATCAGTCTGTAACGGCGTGATTTGTGTAACCCTAAATTCATTAAAAATTATAGGTGTCAATCGTCGTCCCTTGGTGAAGAGAATTTCGTTAATTTATTTTTACTTTGCGTAGGATAAGAAATGCAATACTTTTTCTTTCCCCATTATGAAGCTTGGTTTGTGGAGGGACAGGCAGTGGCTGAAATGGTGAGACGTTACAAACTCGAGGCGAAATTAAACGTCATAGTTACTGAGTAACAGCAATGGTCTAAGCCTCATCACCCTATGGAGGGAGAGAGAGAGAGGGGAACACAGCCAATGAAATGGGCAAGTTAATCACTCATCCTGGCTCATTATCTACGCTTCCTATCCTCCAAATATTTGCATTGTCTTTGAAAAAACAAGGGTCTAGAAGCTATCTTTTCTCAAGTTTCAAACGGGGAGTTTAAGTCTATTCGAAGGAAGTAAGTGACACACTATTACTCTAAGTCTCCAGGCAACTTTTACTGCCACCTTAAGGAAATACTCCAGAATTGATCTTTTTGTCAGTAGTTAAACTTTCGATTCTAGCTTCGCTTCTGTTCTTTGTTCTCTTTGCGGTACTAAAAAGTGAAGTCTAAGGATTGTCGATTCTCACATTCACCGTGGAATGCTTGAGCCGGTAGAGTAACCGTTTTGCTGGAATTGGAACCTCTCGGGGAGATGTTCTTTTGGCTCGATTTTAAGGTACGCCGACACTGCTTCACGCCTAAGAAGTACAAGGTGGATTTATGAGCTACAACGACGCGTTACCTTAGCGGACGATGCGACAAGTACACACGTGTGTTTTTGACAGTGTTTATTGAGAAACCTAAAGCGACCCAACTCTTCTTCAACGCGTGACTACATAGTGAGTTTTGTTTTTCGAATCCTCAAGCGGCCGGTGTATGTCAATAATTAAGCTGCTGCTACAGTAGCAAGTTGAGACAAGTCAATCGTGAATGCTGTGAAAGGCGAGAAGAGGAGGGAAGGAGTGGAGCAATTTCAACGCCACTAAGCACATGTTGAACAGCGTGTGTAGGATGTCCCACCCAACGCTCTCGCCACGCGCATACTTTTACCACTCCACATGTCTATCGACGTCGCCCGCGCGTTTGACGCAATCCACTTTGACACACAACATCAAAATGCGGCACAATGCAGTGCTACCCACACTACTTCCATGCATTGCACTTCCTGCTGTCTAAAAAACTGTTAGTGCTGTGTTCCGTAGTACGTTGGCTGCTTCCAGCATCACCACTGGTAGTAGTGGTAGTAGTAGCCATCATCGGGACGCAGTCATCGCTCCGTGGCACGACTTATGGACACGCCTGTCTACCGTGTTTGTTAGTGTGTGTGTGTGTATACCTCCAACTTGGGTATCGTACATATACGCGCGCATATGGGTGTGTGTGTGTGTGTGTGTGTGTAACCTAATTTCTGTCTACGCCTCTCCCTGCCTCTCTCTGAGCATGACTGTTCGGAATTGTGTGTGTGTGTGTGTGTGTGTGTGTGTGTGTGTGTGTGTGTGTGTGTGTGTGTGTGTGTGTGTGTGTGTGTTTGTGTATGTGTGTGTGTGTTTGTGTATGTGTTTGCATGTTTACTTGTGTGTTTGGCTGTATGCACATGCGTACATCTGTTCTTCGGTGACTTACAGGTTTAATTTGTCTGTGTAGCCGTAAAGGAACCTTTCCATACTGTGAAGGCGTAATAAGGTATACTAGCGCGAGGGAACGCCTATTATTGATGCGCAGGAGGGTTTAAAGGGTCTAAGCATAAACAGGACGCCTTGACAATCAAGATGGTAGCCAAATTAGGAGGACCGAAGATCCGATGTGTTATTTTCGCTCCAACTTAATTTACTTCGCTTGAATTGAGGTCATCCAAAGTAGGGTTGTCTGAACGGGGCGCCTTTCCGATGCATATTTCCACGTTGTGTTGAAGCAGCATCACAAGTTGATCATCCAGCCTTATATGGGCTGGTCGAAACAATAAAAGTGGAACTACAGTTTTGCCCAGAATTTACGATAAACTAGGGGATTCACATGATAGGACCCTGCTTCCAAGTCTTGGTAACTCAGAAAGTTTGTTCCGCCGTAGCGCCAATTCACGCTTCAGACCGGCCTTTTAACCTTTTCGATGTTTGTTTCAACTTGGTAGGATGAGGGCTTCTGTAACTCTTCAAGCATGCGTGGAGGAGCACTTATGGATCTGTGGAGGTTTTGTTTCGAATATCTGGCGCTTGAGATTAACCTCGGCAACCTCTCCCTGATTTTTATTTTAGTCCATGTAGGACTAACACGAAAATGGATTCCCCTTATCCTCCTCCTTGAATACGGGGGATATTTTGGTCAAGACTTAGAGATCGATGTTGCTAGGTGAGCGAAAATTGGGATGTGGAGGATCTGGATGGACGAATTTATCTTAACTTCTTTTGCACTCTGTGTTTACTTTCGAACGTGTTTTGACATCCTTGCAGCATCACTGATCCCTGTATGTATATCTCACTAACCTACATGAACGAAAGTACATGTCCTTAGCAGTACCCTAGAGGCTAGAAATTTTAATTTTTTGAAAACGTCTTATCAACTCCCCTAGTTTTATTTGGGCATTGGAACTAATGTTTATTTTGAGGTCATTTTAAAGTAGCATCAAGATCAAATAACTTCTGTCGTTTTCATTTCCACAGGCCTGGCGTACCAACGATTTTGATGGCCCCTAATTCATCATAAATACCCAAGACTTATTTATTTAGAATTAGGGTAGCCATGCCCAGTGCCATTGTTTGTGTTTTGTATGAATAGCCATAGACTGAATTATAAATTCCGGTCCCACTTTGAATAGAAGAAAGCCTAAATGGCATTGTACTTAGCCAATGTCTAAGATGAGGACTTGCTGACCAAAGCTTAAATGGCATTTGCGAAATCTCGACTCTGCGTTTTAATGCGGCAGGAGCGCAGTCGAAACACAGTAACTTAGGCAGGGCGGGTTAGCTTTGCCCGTTCTAACGCATCCCCATGGCATCACGTGATGAATGGAAAGGGTCATTAAACTAACACAACTTGGAAGAGGCGTACAGTGGAATTTCTGTCTTTTAGGGGAAGCCTACGAGTCGCAGAGTGATGCGATCAACAGTGGACAGAGCAGTACCACCGAATTTCCCTCCAATGAGCATTTGCCCTCCCAAACAAGCAGTCCGGGTAAGCCTTTTTGTGCACAAGCTTACCTCAAGCTCTTTGTACCCACGGCCTACCACCTAGGGGAATTCTTTTGAGCCCACGCTGTTCGAAAACACGTTCAGATCGTGGTCTATTTTTGTGTTTTGCCTCTCTGTCAGTTATAAACAATTACCAGAGGTATTCAAGGGAATTTTCTGGTTTTTATGGCACAGCATACCATTTAGCCTTCGATGGTGGGATCGCCTCAAATTGTTTGAATTGTAAAATACACATTACTTCACCATCCGAGTATACGCCATGAACATAAAGTAACTTGGAAATGGTGCACTTCAGAATAGCTTCAAAAGACAAACGGTCGGTGCTAGTCGGCTTTGAAGATAGGGGAAAAATACACCGAGTTAGGCAATTTGCAGGGAAAGAATGGGGATCGCAATAAACGAGACGCAATAAATTTTCGTGAAGGAGTTCACGTCTTCAATTTTATTTGCGATACGCAACAGTGGAGTGGAGTTTTCTTGTCTGCTTTGACAATATATGGGCTTTCTCAAAGTCTTAATCAAATTTTTATTAACTCCAAAAAGTTGCATGCTGATTGCTACATTGAAACAGATTTTTTATTCACGGAATTTTTACCATTTGACTATAACAAAAAAAACTAGATATTTCAGCGGAGGGTTCTTGAATGTACTTTCGTTTTAGGTGGTCAGATTTGACTCCACTTATCCCTAATTTGTTTGTTCACTTCTCACGGGCCGAATATTCAATTTGTTAACTTTTCTCGTGATCACATCGATTAATCAACCTTATGAGGCTGTGTCAAGAGGTCAGGTCAACGCCTAAGCATAGATTGAGTACTTTGCTATGTTTTTCAGGTTTTTTTGTGGAGTTTTACTCAAATGTTGAAATGATTTGATGACTGTAAGTACACAAATCCACAGTTCTTCTAAGGGCACCACGAAGGCTTTGTATAGACTATTAGACAGGGGTGGCAATAAATCGCTAAGGTTATCAGCAGCAGCAGCAGTAGCAGGTGAAGGTTTGCTGACACAAAGGGTAAGAGAGTGAGAAATAGGGCGCTCCGTTCTTCTTCGCATGTTTGCATCCAACACTCCCCCTCCTCCCCCCCTTCTCACCTGTCACTTAGCGCAGCCGTGACTGTTGCCGGCACCGATATCCTCACCGTGGTTACGGCGCACACGCATTAGCACACCGCTTAGAACACGGTGATCTCTTTCGCCTCACCCAGCTGCTGCTGGTGGTGGTTAGCGGGTGTACAGTCAATCCCTTTAATCAACCTATCGGGCACCAAATCTTTGTTACTTACACGAAACGACTCACGTGTTTTGCCTTCGCTAGCATGTGTGAAGTAAGTTTCTTAATCCATTGTATTTCGCCAACATCAACTCTTGTTGCCTTTACTAAAACACTCATCAAACATTCAAACACTGTCCTTTCCGTTATTAATTTGAAATGCCAAGAGACTGCGGCACGGGTTGGGGCAATGATTTACTTCATTTTGTATAATTCTGTCCCAATGAAGATGTCAATCCTGCAGTCTTTCCGCCAATTCCTTGTGTAGGAGTGACTGTAATAGTAAAATGGAATGCTACTAAAGGAGCAAAAGGATAGTAAAGGGAATTGTAAGTCCGCATTTCCTGGCGCTTAACAAATGTTACCTTAGCTGCTCAAGGAAAAAGATTTTGAAACAGAGAAAAGGCATCGAAACATGGTCAGCATTGATTGCGGTTTAAAAAAATTTGCTGCTTGGAGATGTGAGTCCAAATTATTAGTGATTTAAGAAGCGCATATTAAATCCTTCAAAAACCAATAGAATAAAAAAGTCTCCGGTGTTTTTTAACAGTAAAATGTCAATCGTGGTGTGCCGGTAACAAAGGTCTCGTGTGCATTGTAAGGCGTTTAACCCCCCAATTTTGGGGCGTCACCATCAGTTGGTATTACCAAAGAAGGGATAAGGTGATTTTCATGTGTAAACCCTGTTATCAGCACTCTAAGTAGAGTTGTTTGAAAATTCACCTCTCCAGCAACACGCGGCACGCCACCACGCTTAAAGTCAGTTTCATTAAGGTCAAATCGTCAGACACATTCTGTGTAGTCGCAGTCGAATCTATCTGGTACTCATTATCTTTTCCGCGTAACCCTCTTCAAATTTATTGAAAGACTAGTTATTTCCGTCAACAGAATAAGGCCACACTCCTGTAAGGTGTTGTATCTCCCCAAAGCAACATTGGATGGATGGGAATAGAAAAATGTTCTTTATGACAATGATAGGTGGTGCTGCGCTCTGTACAACTAAAGGTAATAGCCAGCTCTAGAGGCCATAAAACACATTTTCTTCGAGGAGATATATATCCCCGGCGGTTTCGTCGGCGGTGGCGGTGCTATCACGCTCATGTTCGGTTCAAACGAACCATTTTCAGTCCTTCTAATCACGCCCTCAAACAAGTTGCATAAGGGTGGCCAACCATATCATTCATCGTTGCTGCCACCCTCTTCAGTGGGATGCGACCAAGCCCTGCCGATAGCTCCATTAACCATAGATGTCCGCTAGGGTGAAGAGATAATTGAAATTATCAGCGTGTGTAGATGGAAATGGTGGCGTTGGGGCATGACACATGAAACTCACGTGAAGAGGTGGCGGGAACGCCTCGCCGCCATCGCCATCATCAAACGCGGTATAGAGGCGTGCTTGTGCGTGGGTGCGTGCACGCAAGCGCGTGGTACAGCCACCAGGTTGCCAATGTTTATGTTGTTGTTACTACTGCTACTGGTGCTGCCGCTGCTGCTGCTGTTGTTGACGCTATTTTGCTGCTCTCCTACCACCGTCACTACTGCTGCTGCTGCTACTGTTGGCACTGTCACCACTGCACTGTAGTAACGCATCACTTTCAGATGCGTCGGCAGAAGAAGCAGAAGCCTCGGCATCGACAACAACAATGGCAATAACGATGAGTTCCGCCTGAATTTTTGGCCTCTTTAGCGTTGTGATGTGATGCAATGCTATATGCGTGCACCCGGAGCAGGTGAATTTGTGTCCTTTTACTGATTTCTCAATGCACACACAGCCATGTAAGCTGAGCACGGTAAGTGCTGGATAAGTGCCGCAATAGCACCTTTATCCGGTGACCAGCAGGAGTGGAGTGATGAAGTGGAAGTGTTTTCCTTCCAAGTTGGCGATGTTACACATAACCAAGTTATTTAAGGGGGTTCATTTTTGTGCTGTGGTGGTACGACATCCTGCAAAGTCCATTCAAATCTCCATCCAACTTCTTCGGTTTAAATGGTTGTGAATGATTTGCATCACACGGGCTAGCCAAAACTCACTGCTGTATGGAATGACACCTTCAACAGGAGCCATTTTGGTGATTAAATTAGCCCAAAGTGAAGTCCTTTGGCCATTGACTAATGTGCTGAGTTTAGTAGCTAACCATTTCCTCCCTAGCCAAGTGTTTCACCCATTGGTGTTTCGAAATGCCTGTGATATTGCACTGAATCATAGTCGAAAGGATAACGAATTATTTCCTAATGCATGAATTTGTGGCCTCTCACAAACACCAACACTCAAACTTCTCACCTAACAACGAATTTTCATCATACAATCCCGAAGCATGTCTTTTAGAAAAGGGGTGGCTACCAAGGCGTTAGGTGGGGGAAAATAGTAGGAGTTGCATTTAAAATCTGCCTTTATTTCAAAACAGTTTACACCGACAATGGAGTGATTCATTTTAATCCTCAGAAGAGCTGCATCTCATTTGTGCCCGTATACACAAACATACGCCTCCGTTTGAAATATATGAATGACACGGATCCTAGTAGCCAACTATAACCTCATACTCCACTCCAATTCAACTCGGAAAGCAGGCATTACTTTCTCACAATGAGATGGTCGCCTCTTTGAACCTCAGGGCTGTTTAGATTACACTCAGGTCATTCACTCTGCGTAATGGTCCCTGAAATCCCCAATAAAATACTGCCTCTGCGAGGTGAGAATTGGCTTAGTGACATAAAAAGTACCTTCTTGTGTATCGGCTCTAATTAAGCCAACTTCTCCACCCTGCCATTTAAAATCAAGCATTTTATTAATGGCTCATTTATTGACTAGATGGTGGACTCAACTTCACACCTACCTCTGCCCCCTTAATATTACTTCTAAAAAACTGGGTTTTGCGGCAAAAAACACTGTAGTGCTCGTCAAATTATGTGGGTACTTCATTTGCAGGCGAGGTGTGACTTATTGGAACCTCAACTCACCGTTTTAGTGACCCTCTACTTGTTTACGTGTCGCCATTTTCTAGTTAATCGTAATTAACTACTAAAATTTGACAAGTAGCATCATTTTGGGCACGTTTCAGCTGGGAAATCCTACCACTGCGAGCTCTGCAACAAGTACTTCACCAAGAGCTGCAACCTCAATTCTCACGTGAAAGCTGTTCACAAAGGTACGTTTCCGGAGCAGTTGAATTACTGAAGGAATCAAGTTAAGCAAATAATATATCTACCTGTCATTTATTCATTGTAAGCCCACTGAAACTTGCTATTATTGCATTCTACTGCTCATTAAACGAATTGCGATTTTCATTTGATTAAACAAGTTAGATTGAGGTCTGGCTGATATTTTTGCCAACACAAGTTTTACTTGATTATTTTTTACATCAAAGGGGATGTCTTTATTCCTGTGCTCCAATAGAAGTCTTTCAGTGCTACTATCTTTGTCTGGTTTTTTCATACTGATGTATGTTCTCATATTATTTCAATGAAAAAGTGATATATTTTTTACGCTAATTAGTCAAGGCTCTCCTTAACAAAGTAGGAATGATGTTCATGCTCGGGAGTCTTGATTGGCAAATAAATATTCTTTTTAATTGTCTAACAATTGACTCCGTTGTTAAGATAAGCTACACACACAAATTTAGGAAAATCCGGGCCATAAGCTCCCTCAAAACCTTGGTATAACTAAAAAGGGCGGTATGTAAGGTAGTTTTGCGGTGGATTTATCACCCACTAATGCTGGAAACATCAAAGTAAACTCCATATACTAGTCATTTGGTCATGTTGACAACATATGTTGAGACGGCGGATCAAACGTCCGTAGTGTGTGTGTGTGGGTAGTTTTAAGACTACCCATTTACCTCACTTAGTCAAAACTTAGTGTAACTTATTATTGCTGAAAATTTTGGAACGCATCAGATACACCCAAAACACCCGAGTCGTCTGAAGTGATGTTTGAGGGTAGTTGTGCATCGTCTTCCAAGTCTCTCGAACAATTCCCCAACATTCATTATGATTATGAACGTAGCCAAGAGGGGAAATTACACATTTAATGGCTGAATAAGTTGAGGAAATGTTGAGGTGAATGTTACCAGAAAAGTGGGATCAGGCAGAGGAGATCTGTGCGTTGTCAAGTGCGTCAAGAATTATCCAATGTCCCATTTTATACTGGTCAAGTTGTCGGTGCTAAGTAGTATTCGGGTGTTTTGCAGACGTTTAATTGCTATTGCGATGATTTGACACATGTGCTATTTTCTAATGACAATGACCTAAAATGACTCACAGTGACTAGAAACATATTTTCTTTGATATGGTTGGCCTGTCGTCCCTCTTTATTTGTATTTTCTGCTGTTCTTATTTTTAACCCTCGTATCATAAAATGTCCGTTGAATTTGATGGTTGTGATTGGATCCTACCTGTCTCATAAATAGAGTTTAAATTGGTTCCCAAGTTGTAGAAACTGACGTCTAGTCAATCTCGTTGGACAGCATCTGGAGAATGTATGGTATGTCGTGGCAAAACGCAATCCTCACGACCAAAGAGTTTGTTAAATAAACAATTTGATTTTGGTGCTTAATCACTCAGGAATGGTTACATCATTCTAAGGGAGGAAGAATCTCGCCTCTGGGCTGGAATGGAGGATTGCTTGTCGCTATTGAGATGTTGGGTCTGAAGTAACGTGTTACGAGCAATTTTCAGGGATGTTGAACGCGAATAATGAAACAATCCATTTACGCCAACATAAACTGGGAAGGTAGAGTCGTAGTAGAAACTGAACCAATTGGTTCCCTATGGTACGTGGATTATCAGATGGCAATAAGGTTCAATGACTACTTGTTTTGAACTTCTTTATTATGCATCATGAAGGCGCGCTGTTTGTCTTGGTTCGCTGATTGGTTGGTGGTGAGAGATGGCCTTCGCACTCCATGGAAGTGAACATGTCATTGACTATCCTCAAATGATCCACTCAGCGCCCACTCACTTCCTCCTCGAAAGACTACTTATTTCGTGTGCGCGGTGGACTGCAGACACAAATGGTCATTTGTTGAAGGCTCTTTCTGCTCGATACGATGCAGCTCAGAGATGTGTAAGAAAATTTCTCGATAAGGAAATAGGACTAGTGAGTCATTGGAAAGTAACAACTATGCGAATTGGATAAGGCAGGACCTATCACCTCCTCTGGCATTCCTCGAGTTACCTGTTCCTTATTGTGACATTCGAAAATCACTTGAGGAACAGGGTGGGGAGCTGGTAGAAAAGGAGTGGTTATGAAAGAGGGGTTGATGGGAATTCTAGTTTCCCTTGTGGATCAGTTTCCAACACCTATTGAAGATTATTGGCCGCTTCCCGTTCAATAATCTTCAATCTTCTGGTACTATGAGACATTTCACCTCGAATCCTAAATGCACTTTGAACGTTAGAAATGGTGTTGGCAGGAGGGATATTGAAAAGTGGTAAATGTAAGGAGTTACTTGGGGGTCTACTTCCACCTATGATTCAACTAACACAATGATGGAAAAACAGAATCACCCTGGGTGCCACCTGGATTATCCAATACCATCCTCCCTTTCTATTGAAATGATGATCGTCGTAGTAAAGAATGGAAGTCGGAAATTATGTAAGAAAGCGGTGACGAACTGCGGTTTGTTTATGTGTTTAGGTGTCCGAGCTTTTCAATGCAGCGAATGCCAGAAGAGCTTTTCGCGCAACTCCGACTTGCAGAAACACATCGACGCGGTGCACAAGGGTCTGCGGCCCTACGAGTGCTCCACCTGTCAGAAGCGCTTCTCCCAGAAGTCCAGTCTCAAGCGCCACCGCGAGGCTGTCCACGAAGGTGAGGTCCTCATGTAGGTCTCTGGCCTCCCTCCTTTCTTTCATTCGTCTGTCCGCTTGCTAACTTTGTGTGCGTGCATCCCATCCATAAAGTTAGTTAATGTGTGAAACCTTAGCCTCTAATCAGCGTTGCAGAACTTCCGGCCATCTATATTTTCGTTTTTCTGTATGACTGTTTTACCAAATGGACAACTAAGCTGCCATAACAAATTGAACTAGCCTAAGACACAGAGATCCATCTTCGTCTTGGGGTTACCATCTAGACTGTCTGTTCGTTTATCAATGTGTCTCCTCTTCTGAAACGGTTTTGCGCAGATTCTATCTACCTGATGGACAATCAATGTCTTCTCTGAGGGCGTTGCAAGGCTTACAAGTCTGGAAGGGACATAGGACTAGAGCCACAGCTCCATACCATCAGCGTCGTAGCCGAATCACGAGTCTGAAAAGACCCACTCAATGAGTAGAGTGCACATCATTTTAACCAAAACTCTTTATGTTTTCGGAGTTCCTATTCAGGCATTCAATCTTCACGTTCTATTTAGCCAATAGTATTAAAGCGCAACTTTTAAAAAGTACAGACAAAGTGCTGTCTCTTTGTGTTGATGCAGCATCCTTACTCTTGAGTACCGACTGTTGCGGCGATGTTAACAAAGCATTTGAATACCTCGAGATGAAGCACGATACTGGTGTAGCGCACTGTCACAAGTCCGCTGCTGTGTGCTTGATCGGTCCAATCTTATGGACTTCCTTTTAGGATTGACTCAGAAGTTTGTAATTGGGTCATTACTACTATCCTGGTGTTGTGGAACGAGGTACGATATGGCATTCGAGGATTCGGATATCGTCTGTGGAAGCTATCGTCATTCGAAAAGGGACATTTTTAAGGCATTGTCTGTCTTTTTGGTTTGTTATGTTTGAGAAAAATGCAGGTAATGCTGTATCAATCCTCCATGTACGGTGAAATGTGGCATATTTGAATGAAAGTGTCGCTTGCATGGTTGGATGCGCCAGAAAGTGCCCTCTAAATTGTTGATCCAACTCATCGCCTGACAAAACATTAAATAATTCATGTGGGGGCGATATCAGGGCTTGCTGTCAGTTTAAAGTGCCAAAAGTGACTTTATGTAAAAAATTTGATCTTAGGTGCAGCTAGGTAAGAAGCCATATCCTTCGGCATTTGTAGGGGCGGTATTTTTTTTTCCTAGATGAAACTGTTCTATTACCCCGGAGATTATATCGTCAATTTTTTTAAAAGGGTAAAATAAGCGGTCCACCTGTTGCAATTAGACACTCAATGTAGACTAGCGACAGTGATAACCTGCAAGGCAAGGCTGGGTTTTGGGAGCGAATCCTTCGATGCCAACTACTGGCGAAAACTGTTACTTGGAATTGTCCCAAACATGTAATTGCTGTCCAGTTTCACTCATCAACAGTTAAATTTCAGGTCTACTGTTGAACTTTTTCATTTCAACTCCATAATCACCCATAAGACTTCCTTACATTCTAGGTAGGAATTAGTGTGTACATTATCGTACAGCTTTAGCTGTTGCTTGACCCTTGATTTAAAGAAAGTACCATCTTTAAAACACCAAGTTTACAAGTGACCCATTGGTCAATGGTATTACTCATGACAAACTCACATTCATTACTAGGTATAGATCTCCGAGCAAGGTACGCTACGTGGTCCCACCACTGATCACTTTATGCTGATTATAACATGACGTGGATTTCATGTCTGGGGTATTCTTTCCCAGCATCTTAGATGTTTTTGAAATGCTCTAAGTAGACGCCACATCAACTGTCATTACCGGTAGTTTAATAGAAAATCTTCAGTGTAAAAGGCGCCTTCTGCTGTCACATTGCGGGCTTTCCTATCTCCCGGCTTAGTCCAGTGTGTCACACTTGCTCAATGATTAAGAGGGTTTTTTTTATCGTACTAGGAATTAAGGCCTTTCAGTGCAGCCACTGTTCGGCGAGATTCTCCTACGATGTCCATTTGAAGCGCCACATTAGGGCTAAGCACAAAACGGTGTCGGGCACCGCCACCTCTGCCGCTGCTCCCTCTGAGGGTGTCTCCTCCAGCAGTCTGCCCTCCAGTCCCGTCTTCCAGCCCACCTCTCTGCGTCAGGCCTCCATTTGAGCCCCCCCCCCCCCTCCTTCCACTTTGCTCAGGGATGGTGCCTTTCAGCTGCACCCCTCGCCTTAGTATCTCAGGACATCCATCCATTCACTCCACACCCCTCAGGGGTTTTTGCTTCTCGTTTTACTCTCTATTTTTAGTGTGGATGTATTGAGACATTGTTACGCCTCTTCTCTTTCTCTAGCACTCCCTTCTTCTTCCATCTCTTCACACTCAGGGGCACATATTTTTGGGTTTTATTTTGTGCTAGTGAAAATGAAGACAACACACGTGTACGAGGACTGTTGAAACAGAGTTTGCTATGTCACAGTATCTACTAAATCCTTTTTATGTACAAACAAACCGGGTTTGTCTCCCTCCCTCCTCCTCCTTCCCCTTTTTCTATCCCTACCCCAACTCCCAATTTGCAACGGCAGTAATAATTAGTGATGACGTGTGTGTCTGTGTGAAACCACGTGTGGTTTTGCCTTTTTTGTCTATTTGGCGACCATGGCACATGCTATTTTGGTTTTTCCTTTCACTCGAATTCATGCAAATTGTATTATAAATTATTATAAAGAGCAAATAAATTGTAGAGTCCACACTAATTCTTTTACATTTCAGTGCTAATGGTGCATGAAAACGTCAAAATTCATGTGAAAAGCGTTATTACACTTGGCCAAAGTTGTGTACCACTTTCATACCAAACAAACTTGTTTGCTTGGATCATCTTCAAAGTGCTCTAGGTACTAGGGCAGATATGTTGAGAAGACTAGGCTGCAGCAAACGTTGACAGAATATTTGGTACATCCGGGTGATTAAAACAGTGCAGTAGTCAAAAGGGCCTTACCATCATCAGGATGAACAGGCGCGTGTCAAATTTTTTGTCAGCGCCCATTAAAAGGGGTGATCGGAATGGGCACTCCCCACAGCTGAGGTGTCGTTTCTTCCCGAGGAGGGATGCAATTTATGCGCAGCTAAATAAGTGAGATGCTGTCCTATTCACTGCGGTCTGTAGAGTGTGAACGTTGGGAAGATCACGCCATAATAAGTATTTAACACGATATACCACACCTAGTCGTTAGAAAAAATATTAAAGAGTAGTCACTAATACCGTTCTGATGGGATCGGCTATCGTTTGGCGTTCTCTTTACTGTGGTTTATAGTTAACGATGCACAGTTAAGTCATTTTGATATTTACGCAAAAAAGGAACAGTTTTTGCGCCTTAAAAACTCATTTTTTAAATTTGCGTAGGTGCTATTCTATGATACATTCCTAGAGCACAAATGTTGAGGGGCTTGTGTCAAAAAATTCCCCCATTTAACTAGTTTACGAAAACATTGCAGAGCAGCTATAAACCAATATTTTATGCAACCCTTCCGCGAGTCTAGCTACCCACGCGCAGCGGAACTTGCTTTAATGTTCAAATCAATTTCTCTGCATCGCCGCGATACTAACTTACTCCTCGTTTGGGTGTTTTACAACAGGTGAGCTCCCCTTCTCCACCGGTCTCGCAACCACGGTGAGACATCACAAAGGCCTTGTCAAAAATGAGTTCAATTTTCAAGGTCACGTAAACGCCCGCGTTATAGTCGGTGCGCTTGGAGGTTACCGACTTACTTGCCACGAGATAGAATGCAAGCCCCATTCTAAATGAAATCACCGAGTTCACGCGTCCCTAAGATGTTTTTTTTTTCGTAGGCGAGTGTAGAAAATGCAAATTAGTGGCAGGAGGATCAATTGGTTTATCGAATGAATGCAAACACAGGGGTAGGCTAATGGCATTACGGGTCTGACTTACTCATCTTGTCGTCGCAAATTTGACTCTGGGCACAAACAATGCCTGCTAATTAGTTGGAATTTTGTTTTCTTCGAATAGATCACATCCTTTGTGAGCGGCTCATGTAAAACACTAATATTCGAGTGAAAAGATGGCTGGAATATAAGGCATGGATTTGAAAGTTCTTTTGGATTTTGAGAAGAGACGTCTTATGTTTATATATCTTGCAGGAAAAGGACATTTCCGAAAAAAATAGCAGAACGTGACATAATGATTGCGTAAGTGCGTCAAGTACTGCTTTATGAACGTGAACGGCAACGAACTCTTTGGGTTATAGCGCATTACTATGAAGCTCGGTTTATTCTACTTATGTGATAGCATATTTTCAATTAATTGAAAGGTCAAACGATGAAAACTGTGATAATAATTTTGCACAGCAGAATCGTGCCTCATGCGTCCATTTTTGTAAGAGGTGGAAGTCCACCAAAATATGTGATAAACTGGTCTACCCACAGTGTAAAGGCATTTTTCACAAAATAAGAACTTAGGTGACTTTCCTTTAACCAATCTACTCCAATGGATTCTCGCCCATATGTAATAAAAACTAGCAAATGAGCGCATTTACTTGCACATAGGTGTTACTTAAAAGGTCTCAGTGAGTAGCATTTATTGCACGCGACAAATTCTTGGGAAAACTTCATTTTATAGTGCGTTTCCTGTGGTTGCACTTAAAACTATTATTTACTTGTGAGAAAAGTGATATAGATTCGCTAATGCTTTTTCGTCCGGAAACCGGAGGTTCGGGTTGATTATGGTTGCTAAATTGTGATGTATACGTCACTCTTAAAACGAGTTTGGCGTCATTCTGCACATGTTTTAACATTTGACGTCAATATTAACTCATATTTCGGGGATGACATATGAGGGAAAATGTAAATCGAATCTGTATGCGACGATATTGCTGTACTTAGTAATTTATTCTATCATACTCATTTTGGATGTGTTGCATCGGTCATTTCACATATTTATTTTAACAACATAGGCACCAATTTGATACAGGTGATTGACTGAGTCGAAGAGTTTCTCATGTAATACGATAATTGCTTACCTCTCCGTTTTGGTGAGGAGCCACTTTTGACTTGGCATCGTAACACGTCCGAAGGGCTGACATTTGGGCCATGCTAGTAGCCCTAATACCTTCTGCACGTCAGACATATATGTTCCGCTCGAGTATCTTGTATTCTATCAGCTTCAGGGAAGTCTCGGGACGCTGCACTCATCTCATATAACAGGGAGGGTCAGGGCAACTACTAGCGTAGCTGGGTGCTGTCATGTGTCCGAGAGAGGCTTTGAAATATAGCAGAAATTGAACTTTAGGATATAATTAAACTCCCTCTTGCTAAGTACTTGCGTCAATGGACCGTTAACAGCTTCCTAAAAATACAACCCATAACATAGATTAAGAGCGGTTCGACGAGCCATAACACGTAAGGATAAAGGATATCTTTTAAGAATAAGATTTTTAAGAGCAAATTGTTGTAAAGTTTTAAAGTGAGTTTATAAGCTATTTATAATTGTAAAAGATATTTCATTAGCCGTCAAGGAAATATTGAGTAAACTAACTGCAGCGAATTAAAGAATTGCAGGTCAGCGCAATAGGCGAAAATTCATGAAGATACCAAAAGCAAGTCTGATTATCATTTTATGAATTAAAAACTAGTTTTTTCAAAAAACATTTTCCTTTTGATATGATTGGTTTATGGGTCCCTCAATTGGATTGGCTATTCCGTGCTTAAGTTGTCGATCATGCCAAAAATTTTTAAGCCGAAAATTAAAGGTGGTCTGTCTCAGAGGTCTCAGTAAGCAATCAGTGTGGGTGTTATTTTCTAGGAAAACCGATGAGAAGTCAGTGGCTGTTGCCCAGTCTCAAGTTGCAACCTCAGCGGACCCACTACCACCTGAAGATAACACTGGAAATGAGCCATCAACCAACACTTCCGTTGAACACCAAATAACCGTATCGGTTAAAGCGAAAGAAATCAAGACACCAGAAAACTCTACCACTTCTTCACCTTCTTCCACCCCTTTGCGTAGAAAGGCGATCTCCCCAGGAAATGGCTCCCCACCCGTCATACCGTCTCCGTAATTCCTAACAGCTTACCATTTTAATGTTGCTTTAGGTTGGTTAGTGTAGATATTGATGAAGAACCTTTTAAGTCTCCGCACAAAGAATCTACTTCCTCAAGCCCTATTAAGCTCTTTGTTGTTAAGCAGGTGTGTTTCCTTCCTTAATTTTCTTGTGATGTTAGAGATTAATTTTTCTCATGTTTGCTTTCTCACTGCAGGCACCAAGACGACATCAAGTTTACGGTGATGCTCCTCCACCAGCGGACAAGCCGCTTGACCGGTCAACCGTCACTTTACGATCGCTTCTTAATTGGATTCCTGCAAACAAACCCCCTCCAAGGTTACTTTAATGTATTTGGTTGTTTTTATGCTATTTTCCATATTTGTTTGTTCTTTAGTCTTTATGACTTATGTTAACAATAGGTACATAGCCCCATCTAATGCATCAATGTCACAGTTGTTTGACCTACATATGCTGGTTTTTATCCAACCTGAGTGTATTTTCTTTTTAAAATTAAGGATTCGTGACATCCAACCGAATCCCAAACCATCCAAGCCTGAAACACCGCGGGTGACGTCACACATCAGCAAAAGCGATGAGAAATTTGAAGATACAACGACTCCTGCACCAGGCGAACCTCACATTGACCCACTCGCACCGCAGCTGCGTCTAGATGCAGATGGGAACATCGTGTTGGATGAACAGAGTCTTCAAATCAGCCGCCCCGAAAACGCCACGGAGGATCTGCGACATGTAGCGGAGGAGGCCGGTCTCTATGGCACCACATACAACAGCTTCCGTCGTCGTCCCGTCCAGCATCGAGGGCGCAAGTGGACGGAGAGGGATACCACTCGCTTTTACCGAGCTCTCAGCACTATTGGCACTGATTTCTACTGTATGACAAAACTCTTTCCGGATAGAACGAGGAGTCAGCTTTTGGTAAGATTCCAGCATCATTAGTTAACCTTCGTATTTCGAGTTCATTAGCTTGTTAATGTTCGAGCTACTCCTGAAGCTCCTACAGAACGCATTGTTTTGTCAATTATTTTTAGAGACGCAGCCTAAATTATCATGCAATGCCGTGGGGATACCTAATGTTTGAACAATATTGTTTTTTCAGCAGAAATGTGGTGCAATGCGTCCTACTTTCTAAATTTATCTTTAGATATCTGAAAGTTGTGTGAGTTACCTTCTAGAAGTTTTGCATTTCTTAAGTGAACTTGGAACTAGGGGAGCTAGTATGCATTTCTGAAGCTGCAACTGCACAAGCACCGTCTTCGATTAACAGTTTTACTTTCGAGAATATCGACTAAGGTTAGCATTGGCTTACTTCGTCGTCGACTTTACATTCATGAGCACTGCGAAATTGTTGAAAAACGTGTCGTAGTGGAAACGGAATGTGTTCTCATAGTCGTGCCTGTTTTATGCCGATTGTAACCCCCAAACTGGATGTCCATTTGACATCGATCTGTCCACCAATCGACTACTTGATTCACTCTTAGAAAGTATCAAAAGGCACTTGCATCACCTCAAGTAGCTGAATAATTTCTAACCTACAATTATCTGAATTGAGATCCCGTAGTTATTGTTTGCATAACCTTCCTCGGTTCAAGTGAAGACGTCCCGACATTTATTAACCGATATCCGGAAAAGTTTAAACTTCTTGAGAACTTCATGCTCTTAGGTCAACATGAAATTGTCGAACCCTTATGATCTCGTCATGTGATTGTGTAAGTATTAGTCGCAGTTATTTTTGATTAGTTATTAGTGCGTCTTCCTGTAATTAACTACAGTCACGATGGGCCTAGCGCTGATCCTTTCAGATCTCTTCTGCCATGCACGTTCGCTAAATCGTGTAAGCTTTCGTAAGTTTCACCTGATATTTGTACTTACACCCGATTTGTTCTCTTTTGCCGTTCTAGAAGAAATTTAAGCGAGAAGAGCGCCTATTTCCACACCTGGTAGACGAAGCATTAAGTAAGTTGTCGGATTACCATTCGTCTAACTGCCTTTCTCTAGAGAATAAACGCAATTATGACATTACTGTGTTTTACAAAAGTGAAAGCGATTCGGAGGAAAAATATGAGAAGCTGACCAAAGATGCTATTGTAGAGAAAAGGAAAGGTAAGTTGCAGTCTAGTTTCTCATCCACTTTCATTCTTCTTCACGGAGTTGACTCAAACAATTACGCCTTCCCATTGTTTAGACCCACCTATTCCCTTTTAAGACTTGTTATTTTGTCGGACTATATTTGGCCTATACATAATGTTAGTATCATTCTAAAATCTTACAATTTGTGCTCCTTTGCCCTCTTGAACTGCCCAACATCGACCCACTGGTTCAGGAACGTAGTCTACCTTACTATAACCAAAGACAAGTGATAGCTATTCACGGATAAGGCTAACGTTTGCTACCCAAGTCTCCAAGGAAAATCAAACATCTAATCTCACATCTATTGTACTCTGCATAAAGTTATGATATCTGAAGCTAAAAAAGACATATTTGCCTTCAGACTAGGAACATCCCGCACGTTTTGTTGTTTTGAGCTTAACCAGTCCCTTTGCAGTGGAGTTTGGCGTAAATAGTTACCATTAAATTGTTAGGGAACGCATGTCGCATGCATACAAAGCTTGAGTATCAATTTTCTCCGTGTTTGTTCTCCCGATTCGCGACCTAGTTCACTAAATACGTGTTTTGCTTAGGGTTGTGTGGTTAGTAAACTTGCGTATAGTCAATGCCGTTATTGGAAACTCAGATCTGGACAGAGAATGTCACTTCGCTTTTCAAGATAGGCTACTTTGTAGAATCTGTAACCTTGTAAAGGTGGTAGATTTCAAGTATTTCTTATCTTGTAAAGTAATCTTAGAGGTGTGGATGGTATAATACAGAATTACTGTTACACGGCATGGTAGAATAACCACTAGGTAGTAAAATGGATAAAGATACTTTCTAGTGTGTAGTTGTTTTGAAATTATTCAAAAGTCGGAACGGTGTTTGTGTCCGATGCTGGAGGTGGTAACGGTAGTTAATAATGTCTATCAAATATTGCAGCAATTTTCCAGCTTGGGTAGTTTTATTATAATCTGCACAGAGTGATTAGAGGCCCGGTCAGAATCACAAGCTTATTTTGCGACAAAACGAATTTTCCGCGATGATTACAACCATCTTCATCACTTCTTAGGCAGGAATACTACCTTGAGACTTCCTTGTGCGTCTCCTAGCCTCACAGATACTGCTTTTAGTCAGTATTTCTGCCAAATTACGTTTGAAGTCAAGCTCACTTTCAGGCAATTCTTTTATTTGAGTCAATGAGTCTTTAGCTGGAGGGAACTCTTGGATTACCCGTTGAAGCTTCAGTACGCATCAACACAAGTATTAATTTGGCATGCAAATATAACATGCGTGGTTATAGTGGCATTGTATTCGCAGGAAATATGGCCTGTTTAATACCTAAAAGAGAATACCAGGTATTTTGGTGTGAAATGTTTTGTTTTGAAATTCGAATCGTGAATGTTACCTCGTATAGTAGGGCACCACTTTTTCCACTTAGCCTTTAAAGGTAGAAGTTACGTTAATAGTCGTTGCTTTTACTGATCACAAGGTCCGACAGTGTGTTATCAGTTTTACGGATCTTGACAGGTTCTTTAAGTTCGTGTTGATTTGGTCCTTTACCTTCGTTTTTGGCTCAAGAGTGAGACACTAAAGCAGAACAGACTGTCAGTCACTTGATGAGAAAGTGGGGAACAGATTTCTGACTTTCGGCTATGAGCAGCTAATAGGCGACACATAAGCGCCCTCGGAGAATATAACATCACGAATCCCCATTTCCCTTACCACTGTTGGAAAACCTCTTGCTACTTCCTTTTGGTGACACAGATCCATGGGCGAGCCAAATACAGTGCCGACGAGTTTGTTTTCCTGTTTAGAAATTAGACATCGTATCTTCATTTTTCTGAGAGTTCGAAGTGTGGCACCATTCTTTAATTTTTTAATGACAGCTTGTGCTTTTTAAACAATCCTCAAGACTATCCATTGTCATTTGTGTCTGAAGATTAAGGCATTGTGTATAAAGATTGCACTTCCCATTTTATTTTCGGCTTCACAGCGCGATCAAACCTCTGATTAAACAATATGACAACATGAAACGGAGTTTGATTTGCCAAAAATAGTTCGACATACTTTTTAAGCTGCCAGTGAGTACTATTATTGAAAAGGAAATAAAAGTATGCACTATTTCCCTAACTGTACGTAAAAGTTGCATTTTATGAATAAACTATCGGGTGGTGAGTTCCAAGCCTTTTCCATCGAGCGGAGGTTGAACTGATTCCTCGTCAACGCTTTTCTTAAATGCTTCACTTTTACGCAGCCGGTTTTGGTGATTTGCTTCATGGTCAGGTGAAAAATCCATTTAGGTATTAAGAAAATGTAAAATCCAGACTTGTCTTATTACTGGTCTTCCGAAATACAATCCTATAATAGCCCTCATTTGCTATACTCGGGGAAAACGGAAAGTGTAGGCGCATTTAGGTTCCTAAGTGACCATCCAATTTGCCCTTTACTACTACCTTTTTTTACTCAAAAGAAAAGTATGTATTCAACTTTGCCATTCGTATCTATTGTTTGCTCCGTAGCAAGGCCATTCTCAAGCAACACGATGGTATGGATCGTCGCTCGGACCTTAAAGAGAGCGACTACTTGATGTCTTGATTGAGTAATAGGTGGTACACATGGTCTCCCAATGATAGGTTCATCTTCTGGCAAGGCTACATAGAAAGCTCATTCGAAGATATTGCCATTTTTCAATTATTTTTCTTGTTCATAAGCCAGTTGTAGCTAGGTTGTAGTTTCTTCAATCTGCTCTTGGAAAGAATGAAGGCAAACAAGTGTCTCTGTAACGCTACACAGAAAGACCTACTAGAAGTGTCCATTGGCATACAGAAAAACTATAACTAGCCTGCTGTTTGTCACTACCATTATCCTTTATCTGTATTTTCAGCGCCAAAGGATAAATCCAGCCAGCGAACACCAAAAAAGCGCTCATTCTGCGACATCTCCGCCATAATCGATGAGGTGTTGGCGCGGGACGCTACCGGACCTAAGAACGATGAGGGTGACCCCATTGGGCCGCGTAAGGTACCCAAGACCACTTCGGCCGCTGCCTCTGCTGCTGCACCCTGCAGTCTGGTGCAGATGATCGAGAAGACAGTGGAGGAGAGCAGCAAGGCAGGTGGGACTGAGAAGCCTCTCTCCTCGGGCATCACTTCTTGATAGGGTTCTAGTAAAAATCCTGTACAGCATAATTTTAATACAAAACTATTACTTAGTAGTGGCCTTTGGAACGGCTACTCGGGTGGTGTAAAGGGTGTCAGACGAAGGCAAAACTTGATGGAACCGAGGAGATCCTCTGTCAGTTTCACTTTCGGGACGGAGGCCATCATGCATTCATAAACAATATTTAGTATAGTTTGAGTGCGGGCCGTATTACCAAGAAGTGAACGTGATTCTCAAAGTAGTCCAACACCTGGGATTAGTTAGCTGTTAAGAGTGGTGGATGGGAAATTTCAAGTTCATTTCCATAAATCTAAGATGGAACACTTGAAGAGGTCAGATAAGTCAAACTAATCAGCTGCACAAGGGGTTTTGGTTTTGCTACACTTTCTTGGGTTAGCTCCCCAAAGGAACAATTTTTCAGGGCCGGCTGGTAGCAAGAGATGGGATCGCAGCGGAAGTCTTTCCTTTACGGCTTGTGAAAATTGGACCAATGCTTAGATCTGGCGGGCTTGACATCGTTCAGTGGACTCCGAGATCCGTAGCCGGGCGATAGATGCTTCAAAATTACCGCAGCACCTGCTAGGTGAGGGCTGCAATCTGTGGCGTTTTACATGCGCCTAATGCAGTCCCCCACATTGCGAACCTCCACCGGCGAAGCACGCTGATTGTCAAGCTGAGATGTGGAGTTATGCGACGCATTCACTTTGTAAGATACTCGTGCTCCTCAAGAATCTGTCTAGATAAATCAATTGGGGGGAAGAGATCCAGGAGCAGCTTCCTCAAATTGACTGCCTGTGCTGTCAAACATAAAATTGGGAACTAATTTTGTCATACCTCAATCAAGAGATCGTTGAAGTAATCGCTGACGACTTCACCATATGTACACCGAATATGAGTAGAGGAGGCCATAGGAAGAGCGAAATAAGCTGGCCTTTAAATTGAGTTCTGCATTTTCAATCACACCAACTTCGGAGTTCTTAAATTTAGTAAGGAAATCCCCCCTCCCATTCATCGAAAAAAACGTCACACAATAATAGGTCATTATCGGTGAAACGATAACAGCAGTGAAAAGGGAAAGGGGAGGGAGCTTCAGGAAGTTGTGATTCCAGCCTGCATGACAATCACGTTCATGAGAGCAGATAGACTAGACGCCAGCCTATTAATCGCCTCGTAGCGCGCTTCCACAGAAGATGGATTGGGGGGCGAAAGGATAAGCACCTCGGCAGCCTGATCGATGCGACCGGCAATGGTCCCGTCGAGGATGCACGCCACCAGGAGAGCCTCCACCTCCCGAGGCTCCAGGTCTAGCTGGCGTGAGATGAATGGTAGACGGATACGGGTGTAGGGCCGCAGCAGTTTTACCAGCACTTGGGTGCGAATGTTATGCAACAGGTCCTCGATATGTTCTCGTATAAAATCATCGCTCATGATGGATTCACGCTGCTCTCGTAGGATACGCTCGAACCCCTTCACGTCGTTGTTCTGGTAGGCTGTAACTAAACTCGTAACGGCAACTATCTGTGGGTCCATTTTGTAAGGCTTCGTCTCCTACAAAGCAACCAATCGACAATCCGTTGAGTTATCCATATGTACTCTAAGTGAGGATTAATGCATCAACTGTTTCCGAATAAAACTTATTTTATACGAATTCATTTCTTGCAACACACGGTACACTGCTAGCCCAATATAGGAGAGGCTGGAGTTATCATCTGTGTATGTTTGCAGGGTTTCATATGGAGGGTTGGATTTGGTTTGGTTATGCAAGCCTTTTCAGTCCTCCGCGATTCGGCCTCCACACCAGTGTCATGAGGTTCTGTTCATGCCAGAGATGTAACTAACTTCCCAGTCAATCAGTACTCCTCCTAGCTAAATGGCTTCAGGACTCTTACATCTTATGGCCTGAGCGTTTGTCAGTTTCTACCTCAAAGCAAAATTACCGTGTGTTTACGATCAAGCGCGGTTCTGTTCCCATTTCGAAAACTCGCGTCCTAAAGCAGTGAACGTAAAGATCTACTCTAAAAATATTTCAATTATCTAACCAAAAGATAGGAATGCAGCTCTACCCATGCTACCTGTACTACTTGTTTGTCGTTCCTTCTGTATGCAGCCAATAAAGCTTCCACTAGACCTGTACATCTTAGGAACATTTTCGGAAAGGACTGAGATATAATAGGAGAAGTGCAGAATGCCAAAAGCCATGGGACCCTTTGTCAAATGCTTTATTAGGGGTTACACATGGAAGAGTAGACAGTGAGAGCACTGAGATCAAATATAAAGCATGACGACGGCTATGCAGTGGAATTATAATTTGCCATTTTAGTCCCCTACCATTCGGCCTTTAAGCGCGTGACACAGAGCTATATTCAAGCCACCCATGTTACAAGCTTCTCGCATCTCTAATGTTTATAATGCATCTGCTTCCAGATTCGCGTGCCTTAAAACATCTTCCAAAGATGCCTTGGGCACCACAAAACTGCATTGCTAATGGTCACTAGCGATCTACATAATAAGTTAACGTCTCTTGATCATCAGAATATCACACATCGGGAAAGATGTTAATGACTTGCTAGCTTTGTAGTTATCGCAGAATATAAATGCTACCTAATGTATCACGAGATCTATTTGCAGTGGTATTGAAACCGGAGGCTCGTCACTATAGAGCGAATCCAATATGATGATCAAAAATGGCTGAGATCAGCCATTCATCTGTCAAATTTGCTTAAATACTTCCATGTTCTTGGAGTGATATAACAGAACCTTGGAAAAATCTGGATAGAGAGGATCGAGTGAGATACAAAGTTAAGCTGATTTTGTAAATTCTTTGCGAGGCGATCGTCATAAATCCCTAGACTAGATGAAGTTAAGTATCCTATTAGAGCAGGAAAAATTAGGAATGTCTTTTGGGTTTTGTGCTTACTCAACAAATCCACTAATAATTGTGAAGTATACAAAAAAGAATCAAAAGTGAACGCTTTGAAGAAGTGAACTTTAAAAGTAACTTTTGAGGTTGAGATATTCACTCATTTAATTAGGCGGATTGGGAATAAATTTGGTTCCCACAACAGCACCAATGTCCTATTAAGACAAAAGACCTGGAAGTGTAGCATAACAGGACAATATTGGTACGTTTTCTCTATATTTGCATGAGTACGCAGGCCTTTATGGGGGTTGCAGAGAGCCCCGATCAAAGGAATTATGATGCTAACCTTCTAGTCTTTCCCTAAGCTTATAATAATGCTACCTTCGCAGGTGTATGGTTCACAACTTCTTCAATTCCTACAGTAATTCGGACAATGCTTCTGGCCTTCAATCCTCCCGTTAAGTTAAAATAAATTTACACACAAATACCCATGATTAGTGATAGGAAGGGTAAACTTACTGGTGAGTCGAAGGGATTAATGCCAGACTTAGAAAGCATACTTGCGAGAACGAGGTACTTCAGGCACTGGGTCCGGCGCGGAGATCCTGATTCATCGTAGTTCTTGAATGCTTCAAAGAAGTCAGTGTGTGCCCGCTGATACTCCCCCACCCTAAGGTGCATTTTTCCTCCACACTCTCTGATAATGCCCATGATCATAGGATGCGGGATGGCTGATTTGATCTGTAGCGACTGCTCGTATAGCGCCTTCAACTTCTTGTTGTTCTTCTGTGCTGTGTACATCTGAATTTCAAGTGCGTAGATCTCCAATAGCTGAGTGCCTTTTTTCAGATCGTCTTCGCCCTCATCCGTCTGACAGGACTCTCGCAGCTCTCGAATGATCCGCTGCAGCTGTACATAGTCGCCCTGCTCGAGGAAGAGCTTGCCCAATTTGGTGTTTGTCTTGAACCACAGCCGCTCGTTCTTTGCATCCTTCAAGGCGTTTAAAGTGGTATTATAGAAGGTCTGTAGAAGGTCCATCTGCTTAGAAGTGGATACGTAATCCAGAATAGAGTTGATAGACTTCTCCGAGTTATTTCGAGTCACAGCTGTTTTGATATAAGTAAGGAGAGTGCGATAGTCCTCCATCATGTCATCAAGTCGACCCAGACGAAATTTCAATTTGATCATTTGTTTTAGCGCTCGAAAGCCCCAATCACCCTTGGCGCCACCCTCGGCTTCGATGGCCAGGACTTTCTTAAATTCCTCAATGGCTGCGTCGGGATTGTCATCCTTGCGTGATTTAGCGTTATAGTACTGATTCTCCAAGTCAACATCGGGCTCTGAGTTATCGTCAGAGGAGTAGGCTACTGAGAGCTCCACGTCGTCGATAAACATGTCATCATCATTAAATGACATGGCGAGGCTCAAAGTACCAGTATATTTTCGCTCTAAAATTAATGAAGTCCAATATCATTAACTTATCGCCGCAAAAAATTGCCATTGAAGGCTATCCAACGTAAATATTGCAACCGGCCAAAGTAAATCAAGCACCTATTAGAACGTATTTTGACAAGAACTCTGAACACCATTGATGATCACATACGATGTAGGTGGACGCAGTAAAGATCCTTACTACAAGTCGAGATTTTACATGAGATCAAGATTGTGTCGCATTGACAATGGCATGAAACTTGGGAACTGATGGTAAGTGAACAAAAAAACGGTATGGTTGGGCAACGCCTGCCAAGTAGGACAGTTAGTGATGGGCAACGATCACAGGTTTGGAGAACGTTAATTTCATTGAGGAAATATTGTTGGGCCACTGCTCGTAGAAGCTTAAAACGAATTCAGGACACTTTCATCCAAAGGTAGAGTCCGAAGTCTTCTGGAACTGTTTTGCGAATTTCACGAATATCACAGGAAAATATGCTTGCTAATTAAAATACAACACCTAGGAGATTTTTCTCGAATAAGCTATTGAAAGGCTAAAGTTAGTGTTGGGTACTTAATTACTTATGAATTCAGGTAAAGTACTTAGTGTTCTGCGAGAGCGTAAACAAGATTGAAAACTAATAATTGTACCAAATTATAGCGCGGTGTGGCGATAATTGAAACTCTCAACACAGAACTGAGGAATACTATTTTGGGAAGAAGCACTCTAAGACGATACGCTTGCGCAATCATATGATGCTTATCTATCCTAATTTTTACGAGTCAGCAGCGATTAACAAAGACCTGTCGATAAATGGGACCTCGACAAAGTGAAAGAAAAAACAGTACAGCTAGCTAGTCAAGCCAGAAAACGGACTCAAGTTGCACAAAAGTGAGAGATACACTAGTAGAACTCAAAAAAATCAAAATTGTGGCAAAATGACACATTTAGACATACAGGTGTGGGTAGAAGTGTGAGAATGGAGAAGCGCAGATATAGACTAATTGGTACACATATGCTGACGATAATCAAACGGGAATGCATTCTTGATTTGACCATAAATAAGCAAAGCCATGGAAGGCATCTCCTTTAGGCGAGTTCGTCCACTAAGTGTCACTTTATATTCATGCTGCAAAGAGTAATACTTTAAAATAAGACGGGAGAATATTTGCCTACACATAGTCCTTGTTCATCCATGTGATTAGTTTCACACTTAACCTGAAAGCTCACATCTGGGCTCGAGCGCTGCTCGTTAATGCTTATTGACTCGTTCTGTGTTAACGGTAGTTGGACTGTAGATTACCCTTTATTCCTACTCCGAGGCACATTTTTGTGTCATTCAGGTTGTCACCCAACCGCAGTTACTAAATCCAAGAGCATATTCTTTAAAACACCGTCGAAAATCGTACCTGAAATATTTTTTAAAACCCTTATCTCTCTTGATACCGGTTCAAATGATGCATCCGTTTGCTGTCCCCATATTTCTTATAACTTCAGGATAAACAGAGTCCCGACGGACGATACCAGACCTTACGTTAGGTGCGTCTATGTAGTTTTCAGTGGTCATGACGGTTCGTTTCAAGCTCCGCCCAACGTACCTTCTGATTCCGGCAGCGCTTGCCGGCGTTTAGGCTTGGCCGTACGATTACTTCAAACACTTACAGCTGAAACCATTTTTGCGGAGACTGGGTGTCGCCGTACTTTCGTCTGTGCTGGGGACCTATCTGCATCATCAAGACTGCAGCCCCGCGTAGACGCATCACCGGTATCAGCAGCTGTATGGTGTATCCAATCAAGAATAAGTTTTCAGGAGGCACAAAACTTGCCACCACTCCGCCTTTGGGAGTGCCTTGCTCGAGAACTAGACGTCATATTCTGGGAGGACCGAGGCAGAGCGAAGTGGCTGGCACTTGCCAGTTGTACTGAATTCAGGCCTATGACTAGCTTTAAAATGATGCCAACATCATATGAAGAAGTTATCGCGATGACTAAAGGATATTGTGCCTTAGGTAAGAGGACGAAGGTATCGCTGATTTCTGTTGTAGGAACTGGTGGCTTGGCACTTATCGGATCGGGTACGTTGTACGCATGGCCAGAAAGCTTCGAGGAGATTGGTCCATGTCTGTCAAATACATCAGAGGTTGACCGGCGGAAGTATCTCGACGATAGTGGATATCGGTATCCAAGGCAATATATTTGAAGATTTTTACCCTAGTGGCACTTACTGGGCAAACTATACAACTGCTCTGGGAACTATGCTCCATGAATTAGGTCACTGTTTTGATCTAGACCATAACTTCGAAGGGATTATGCGACGCGGTGGGGACGACTTAAACCTCGTCTTAGCGTTCCCCCCACCTGGGAGCTCATCACTACCCGAAAAAGTAAAACGTGAATTGTGTCGACTTTCTAGGTTCAAAATGAGTACTCCTTCCGAAGGTTATCGATATTTCAATTCATTGGCGTCACTTTTTATGAAAATGTGTTACAAGTTACTGAAAATGCCCAGAATCAATCAGAAATTTTCTGGGGAAGATGCGAGTCTATTGGGAATTGCGGTGGAGCGTTTTGGAGGAAAGAGGTCGCTCAGTTCCTGTCCTTTCACCGGTATGCATTCATTTTTAAGCATCCAACTTTTCAGTTGGTTCATTGAATCGCCAAAGCCCATGGAGGGATGCGAGACGGTACTAAAAGAGTAAGCCCATGTTTTGCCTATTTCTAACTCAGTTTAGCGGAATCTTGAAATCTCCTGCCGGAATCCGCCTACTTCAAGTGAGAATTAGTGAAGATATCAGCTCTCCGAATCTTACAAAGCTGTGGAACTTGACTCGTCATTCATCCGCTCCGGAGCTACCCTTGGACGCGAGTCTGATGCAAGGTTGTATCGTGTACCATAAGCTGTTTGGAGAATCCCAGAAGAGGCTTCCAATCACAAAAATCCTGCATAATGCCTTCTCACGATTAAAAGTCCCCACATTAAAAGTTGCAGTCCTGGACAGTAATGGTTATGTCTTTCAAAAAACTATCTCAAACGACTGTCTAAAAAGATGATTCTTTTTTAAAAACAAATTTAGATCCGCTTTTATTCTGGAGCATTTAAAAAATAGACGTCTTAAGGAAAAGAATCAATTTGTTGGAAGATTTATACAGAGGGTAGAGGCGAAACATCGGTCAACCCACGATAGCCGAGTGAGGTGTCTCCACCTTTTCCAGTTTCTCGAAGTACTTCTTGGCGTTTCGGATGTTGAGAAGGGTAGCAGAGGAGGCTAAAACCCAATAAATACTCTGGAATGAAGTGATCTTAGACTGAAAACGCTCAATAAAATTACATCCGTAGGCCTATTACTGACCGATTGTTGGATCGGACATTATCACCATGACGTAGGTGTTGGGTGTAAAGACGTCAATGAAAGCTGAAAAGTTTGGAGTTTGTAATTCGATGGCGGTGAAGTTGGCACCGGCTTTGCTGCATGACAACTTGAACTGTTTAATAATTGTACTAATTTTGTCAAACCTGCAAGGAAATATGGAGGTGTTCAATTGCAATTATAATTCACATTATACATAGAAATGATACGGTAAAAAAACGTTGCGGTTACCGATGTGGGTCCGGGTGTTCCTTGGTGGTGTGGCAGGCGATTTCTAGAAAAGTGGATCTCTCGAATAGAATGATCTCGTCTGCCTCAAGCACATCACAGAGCTGGATGAGATTCTTTTCTAGAGCTTGCACATTAGGTACCATTTGATAGACTATCCTTGACCAGGCCTTGTATAGAGTCTCATCCCAAATTGAGGTTCCGAAGCAGACACACTGGTCAGGTCGGGTAGCAGCAATGAGCTGTCTTTCGCGCTCAGTGAGAACCTACAAAAGTTGTTTCTATCAAATTCTCTGGCATCGAAATGTCATTGCATCGAAACGAGTGCACTTACGGCGCTACGTTTAGGCTCACTGACGAGGTCCATTTTATGGACAAGGCAGAAGATTTTTGCACCAGGCGAGTGTTCATTAATGGCCTCCAAACAGGAACGGTAGTATGCCATATCCTTTTTGGAGTCTTGGCTCTCTACATCGAACACATAAATTAGAACTTCGACGTTGCGAAAGATGTTCTCCCGTTGAGTTGCAAAATAACTCTCCATGAAACCAGCTTGTCTATAAAGTGTGTATTTGGACAGAAATAATACCCTCCACAGTCCCAAAGATTTAGAACCAAGCCACCCAGAAATCTCAGATGAACGTGTTCGACATCCACTAAAGAGAATAAGTTACGACTGAAAAGAAAGTACTAGTTGGACCAAGACGCCTTGTGTCTCTAGCGATGAAGTTCGAGAATATTATGCTTCTCATGCTTGTCTTACCGGATCCAGATTTTCCCATTAACAGAACCTAGCGCTAATTATACAAGCATGCGAACAAACCTTCTTTCTCATCTTTGGCAAAAGACACCCAGGAGATTCAAGAGTGGAAAGTGCTTATCAGTCCATACAAACTCATTGAATCCGAAACGCATAGAGACTTCAACTTTCCTGTCAACTCATCCCATGCAGTTTAGTTCTAATTATTTATTATTAGGGTAGATTTTGTTTTAACGATCACTTTTCAATTATTTTGGTGCGTCTATTTAACTTTCAGTACCATCGCTCTATTTTTCTAATTAATCAATTGTTATTGAATATTGAGCCCCACTTTCACCATATTTTGTGCATTTTTTAAAAAAGAACATGTTTTATCAGGTGAATTGTGGCTCAATTTATTATTATTTATCTGTACAAATTTGACCCTACGCTTATCAGACTGAATTTATCGAAGTTAATAAAGGGTTGCTGGGAGACCAATGGTAGATATCAAGAATAAATGGTGCAAAATACCAATTGCTCCCTGATTTCAGTTAATGCCTCAGCAATCAATTACTGAAAATTAGAAATAGATCTGTTTTTTTAACAGGTTGCTTCAATTGCCTGTGATAAGTCAAATATCATTGGAAGTGAATTAGTTTTCCACGACATATAGTGTCGTAACATTATACCTTTCAGAGTTAAATACTTTGATCAATTTACATGGTATCGAATATTCGAGCCAATTCCAGTTCCTGAGTACAATTGGCAAATGATTACGTGGAGGCAACCATTCGAAGTTGTAAAAGACACTAAGCGGACTCATCTGCTAAACAGCGATTTAACAATATCATTTTTGTACAGAGTAGTAGCACTTAGTTTTGCTTGGCATTCCTTATCCATCGCTCCCTCAAGAATGCCTGAACAAGTGAACATTGTTAAATGCTATCTCTCGACCAAGGTTTAGAGTGTTGCTATATCTCCATGAATGTGTATGTATTTTGCCTTTGTAGCAATTCCCAATAAATGTGAACCTAGAACTGTTTAACTACAGTAACGAAATTCAAAGCTTACTTTACGAGCGTCAGTTTACCGTGGATTTGTGACTCCATCATTTGTCCACCGCAGTTAGTTCGCCCCCCACCTGACCCACGATCACGGCTATCCGCATTGTGCACTACTGCGGTAATCGGATCTGCCGCCAAGTTTGGCGTGCGTCAATGACGAAATAATTTGGACCTCTTACTGCAACCGGGCAGGAGCCTGACGCAGGCTGCAATAAACATTACTTTCACTGCTTAAATTGTTACGTCTACAGATGCTGCACTTTTTCGCCGTGAAATTCTGATTCAAAAAAGGTCAGACCTTGAGGAGCACACACTAGTTAAACCCACCACACTTGGATGTTTCCAATAAATAGAACATTATGGTCTTGGAATTGCGATAAATATTTGAAAGGAAACAAATCACCCAAAACGGCATTTTTATTTGATTTAGTATCAGTAGGTATCCTATGGTAAGGTAGGATCTGGAGCAATGTAGAGTCTAGACCCAATTATAGTTAAAAGGTTAGCGGGGAGGCACACATATCGACACATAAATATATTCATTCCTATAAAAGTTGATAACCAAGAGACGTGAAACGTGGAGATGATGGCTACACAAATGCCTACACTGGCTATTTGTTGACCGTGCTGTACAAAGTGGTGTCACTTAAAGAGGCTGTGTGTCTAAATGACAACTAAAATGACCTCACTTAGGGTTAACAAGAAGGACGCTAAATTGCAAAAGTTTATTTTTTGTCAAGAACACTTGGACAATAAAAAGTTCATAAGCAAATGCATTAGTGCTTAAGGAAATCCTGTTACCTTCGTGCAACTCGTTGGTACCACAAAAAGTTGAGTGAATTATTCTTTCATCTCGAAGAAATGTGTTTTACCCGACGTCCAGTGGCGACTGCAAATTAGTGGAGCGCATGCCGATGAGTCGGTGGAATTGAAATTTCCCTTAATTCGAAACCAGGCAACCGACATTCATAGGTTGGTTGGACCTCAATCACCAGAACACATAGTGCCTGCCTCCACACAAGTGTCTATGTGCTTGCAGAGATCAGTGATACCTCCCGAGTTGATTCATCCCCAACAATCAGTTTGCAAATGCCTCTAGGGCATGCATTCATCCCACGATTGTCATTCACGGAGTTGACTGCCTTGATGAAAATTAATCAAGCACATCGCGGTTCATTAAACCCTTTTTTGATTCCCATGCCACTTTTAGTTTTAATGGAAAGTTTGCTTTAATTAAAAATTCGACTTAGTGGTTTACATTATCAGGACAAATGCCATATGCAGCACCTCAATACAGCCTTTCATGGGTGGAGTAATGACACACTGCCATTGTGTGCTAAATGTTACCCACCTTTTCGGCTTCAATATTCACACTATGGAATGCCAAAAACCACCCTCACCTCAAATTGTGACATTGGAGGCGTGTTGACACACAAATCGCTAACTCCGGCTGGACGTAAAATATGCGAAATGAACCGACCGAATGCGGTGCACAAGGCGTTTATGTCGAGACGAGGGATCCGACGGCAAACTAATCTGCCTGCAAAGTTTCAACAGTGTAGCTTATCACACCCATGTCGATGCACATTCCCCACTGCATAACGTCTGTTGATTCAAGTCAAACGCCGTGTCACCAGTCCCCAGAAGCCAGGCACCCGTCAATGCGGACTGCATTGAGGCACTTGAGAGCTGGGAGCAGGACGAATTACTTGACGTGATGCATGGGCACCATCGATGGAGAGTAGGTGCTTTTCTTCGTAATGCTTCTAAACCTTTAAAACAGGGTAGATATTAGGTGTGAAAACATTTCCGAAGTAGTTCACATGTTGCGATTTTGAAGGAATTTGTAAGTGGACAATAAATCACAAGCCAGAATGATATAACATGAGCAAGTTATTCCTGTTTACTTTCCTCAGAAAGGTCCTTTGGTATTATAAGGCAATACGTTGATTGTTTGTTTAACTCTGGGTTTTGGTAACGAAGACACTCTCGTGCTCCGCTATTGTACTTGCACTGGTTGGGCTGGCCTCCGAACCATGCCATTAGCTCCAAGCGCTACTGATGCAAAATATTTTTATTCTGCTTGAGTATTATGTCCTCTTTATTCTTCGGAGGAGTCTAGAAGCGCTACATTTGACGGCAGTGGAAGGCGAACCCGATATTAAAGCACATCCATCCTTATTTCTGTTATGGAGAGACGAACCTCAGCGGGACAAAACGGGTACAATTCGCTGTGAATGAGAGAATATGTGACCACTCCTAACAGAAGAGCTGAAAATTACGCCTAACGCCGGCAACTATTGCACTCCCATGGTCTGTAGGAAAGCCATCAGCAACTGATTCGACACGGAGCCGTCTTCGGTACCTGGATGAAGATGTCAATTAAGTGAAAAGGAAATACCTCCTCCACTTCTCTACTAGCCGGATGGAATCCAGGTAGTAGCGCTGAAGTGAGAAAAAGTAGCAAGGAGGAATAGACATGAAATCTCGCCCTCATGGAACGATGTCAAACCTGGTTCTTTATTAAGTGATTCCACTTTTGGGCCAGTATTCCTACGACTGGCTATGGACACGCGTGATGGCCCGCACGTTCTTCCGGCCCGCCAATCCAGTTCGCATAGAGGACGAAGCTCTAGATCCAGTAGAATTGCCAACAAAGAGTAGTGACGTTGCTGCTGCAAATTAGATGACTGGTATGGTCAGTTCGTGGGTCTTCTCCTTACAGCATCAGATGAATTGTGTTGGCCGATGCGATGGGTTGATCAAGGGGAGGGCCGAGGACGACGTCCAACAGAGGAGAGAAGCTGTACAATACATTGGTTATTTAACTCTCGGTTTAGGTGAAGGGCTACTTTGTGTCTCGGCTATTGTACCTCCTCCAGGTGGGCCATACCAGCAGCCCCCACCAAGCCCTATCGTATGTCGGCAATACATATTCTGTCCTGGTATTAGGTGTTCGTTCGAGTTTAGGTAAGTCTCTGGGCGCCACAATATGATTATAAACATTATAATCCCGAACAGAATCAGCACTATCAAAACTGTAATATCAACACAGGCTCAGACCGTAAAATCTAACAAAGTGTCATAGCTGTCTATCCATTCACTCTAAGTCTCATTTTGTGCTGTAAAAGAGCGCTTTTCTTTTCATGCAAAATTTACGGATAGACATCAAACAGACCGCTGCCACCGCAAGTCACAACCATAATTGGTATTGATTTCCCTTCGGTCGGTATCTGGGTTAGCCACGGGCTACGTGCGACTCAAGCGGGTCTGAGTGTCTCGCCCACCGAAGAGGCGCATCGCCGGTGAGTCATGCGCCTCCCGTTTATGCCATTTGCGCATGCACAAACTCGCTGTGGCACAGTACAATGCAGCCTCCGGATGTCCGCATTGCGTGGACTCGTATTTGCTGGAATTGTGCGCTTACCGGCCTGCGTGGCGTAGAGCCATGAGCTGTGGAATAACCGACTTGAATACTGGTCTTCCAGTTAGCTAAATACAGAATTAAAAAATGGTAATGACGTGCTATGCATTCAAGGACATAGACTTTCCCGTTCATTTTTACAATTTAAACATTTTCACTCCGATGTTTTGGTCGTGGATAGACACTTAACCTCGCAAACTTTTATGCGCATTGAAATACGAACCTTGACAAAAGGTTTTTTATAGCTCCACAATTATTCCGCCTTGTGATGTATACGTAGCCTGCCGCAGATAATGGACACTCACACTGTGGTAGGAAGGTGTCGGGGGCAACATCTCGTTCCACGCCGTGGGCCAACAAAAGCTGCATGCTTCTACGCACCACGTGGAAAGTGGGCAGTAATTGGTCCCCCCTACGGCCAATAAACGTTGAACAATCAACATGCTGACCAATCACCTAGCTCGAGCAATACATCTGGCGTGATGCAAATGCAATGCATCTCCCATTGGCAAAATTGCCTTCATCCTGTTTGGGGGACGGTTGTGTTCTCTTGCTGCCCTTTCTGCTGAAACGGCGTGGGGATTGCACATTGTGGTTTCAGGTGAATTGCCCACTTTTTCCTTAGTCTATTTCATTGTTTACACTTGCACGAGTAAGGTGGTGTTAATTTTTGTTGATAAGCTTTTCATTAACTGACGTACCTAGGTTTAAGCCTAGTCAAACAACAATAAGTTCTTGTCATTTCCTAACTGCAATCCATATTTCAGTCTTAATTTCCAAAAGAGTTTTATCAAGACCGTTGACTATAGCAGGTTATCGGGTAAGTTATTTGGACAGCCTTAATAGTAGCGCCCCTAGTTTCTCCTGAGTCTAGTAAGGTGTACCAACCTAGAAGAATGGTTAATTAGCGGCTGTGGATATGGCTGGAGGGTTATGCCCTAAAACAGAAGTAAGGATCACGAAGGCTGGAGATTTTGCATAGCCAAGTATCCAATCACCGCTTAGCTCTCTCCCCTTTTGGGCGTCGTCCCTGGCGCCCTTCTGCTTCGGTCGTAATGAGCCTTCGTGTGAAGTACAGTAAACCGGGCGACGAGATTGGAGATGGCAATTTCCCATCAGAAAAGGAACACCTCCTAACTATGGTAGTAAATGCCGTGGGTTTGGTCAGGATTTTTGGCTATCACATTCTCTGCACTTTAAACCGTATTGAGGAAACGCCTCTTTGGGAGGTAGTGCTAGGAGTTGGTTGATGTTCTGGAGTAGGCATATATTGCCTCAAGGCAACATTATGAAGGAAAATATCATATTTTTAAGGTATGCTATAAATAGCTTTGTTTGCAGACCTATAGTAGACCCTTCTTTGTGGTCGATTGGGATTTATTGAGACCTGGTCTAGTTCCACCATCGGCTAAAGTGTAAAACTCGCAAACATGGCAAGTTTCTGCAGATTCGCCCATCTATAAATAAGTTCGTCCTTATGCAGAGTCTAGATTCGGTAACCAGACAAAAACGATAATTTTTCTTCACCTAAATTGGATTTACGTGTTGCGGCCGCCAGTGCAACCCTCTGAGTAGTCTCGGAGGTCCCACTAAGGCATGTCCATGGGAAATGGTTTATTTTGGCGGACTGGAGGCCTGGATGGCTATGCACAGCCGGAAGGTCATGCCACAAGGCGAAGACTGAGGGGTCTACATAATTAAATGTGAATTAAATCGCTGTAAATGAAGTACAATTGCCCTAGAAACCACGAGGCCCATTGGTAATCATAGTTTGAACTACTTTTCTTGTATCCAGACAGTTATATTAATGCATTATTTATGCCAGAGTACATAAATAATATTTTGCCACGGTAATCAAACTTTGAACCGACATACGCGAATGGTTTGCGGCATAGGGAGTCTATACAAGTCGGTTAACTTTGGAGTCAACTTCTTTTTTCAAAATGAATAACCTTTCTACCACCAGCATGAGCTACGCTTTACAACTTTATAGGCTGGAATTTGTGCAGTCTTCGTTCACAGTTAGGTAGACAGTGAACCAGTAAGAGAATTTGACGTTTTCTTCCCTCTTAATTTGCAGTCACAATCGTCGGGTGTTTGTGAATACAATCCTTTAAGTTTGTGGAACTAAAATTCATAAAGCTTCTACAGGCATTCTAGATTTTACTGCATGACAGGATGAAGAACGATAGACATCTCTCTTGCATCACCGGTAACAGACATATTCGGCCGCCTCTTCTGTTGGCTTTGACATGACGTAGCCGTGTTTACTTATTGTGTAGCCAAGGCTACAACTCTGTATCTAGTTTTAGAGAAATAGTACAGTGTACTTTATCGGTGCTGTACTACCATTGCTAGCGGACTCATTGCACTAGCTTCCAGTAGTCACTGCACGGCCATACCTACTTGTTTTTCTAGTTCACAGTCTATCCCCTTAAGAGGCTGCAAGCCATACTGGTCCGGAATTATGTTTATCATCAACACAAAGAAGGGTCACGTGGCCAGTAGCAAGGCTCCGAGTTACCGGTGTGATAGCCAAACACTGGGAGAGTTCGAGTCCTATTTTTAGAGGACCTTATGCTCGTACTGGTGGAAAAAGTGACTGCCAAATGTTGTATTTACTAATTCGGTTCCAAAAGTCTGATTAGTTAACACTAGTCTTGAAGTTTCTGTTCACTATGATATGCATAATTGAATCTGGTTTGTACCAACTGTCCGATCTATCAACAAATCTTGACAGACAATTTCTAGATTTTTTGATCATATAATGCAGAACGAATTTCATATGGTGCCTGCGTTGTTCCCGAAGAAGACACGAGATATGTGAGTCTGGCAGTAGCTTTACTATAAACCTAAAGAAATGCCAAGGGACTGTCAGCATAGATTTACACTAATTCTCGGACCGCAGGTGACTAGAAAGGTTCGCTAGTTAAACATGCGGTTGAAGTGACAACTGGGATATATGGCTTGCAAGTCCCGAAGTAGCTTTAATAAAAGCGTAGAGAGTTTTAAAGAAACTAGTAGCAGAGCCCTGACATTATCATTGGAGTTGAGTTGCAGGAAACTAGAACGAGCCTAGCATACTCAAACCGCATACTGTTATGTTTCAGCGTCTCCGCTACAACTCTAATTCAACATGTCCAGTGACGTAAATACAAAGAATACGGTGAAAGAGAAGGGAGATTTGCAGTCCGAGATGGATGATAAAGCGAAAGAATTGGAAATAAACTTAGAGGAGATTGAACTCCCAGTACCTCCGGATGGAGGTTGGTCCTGGGCGGTGTTATTGGGTAGCTTTATCTGCATGTTCTGCGTCGATGGCCTCTCCTTCTCCTTCGGAGTTCTTCTATCTGACCTCCAGACGAGTTTTGAGTGCACCACAACAAAAATTTCAGTGGCTAGCTCCCTGATTGTCGGATTCACACTCATCTCAGGTAAACTGCCTTCTGCGCTGTATGGTCCTCTCACCATTCTTCCTTCCCATCTCATGACCACTTTTCTGTTCCAGGTCCGGTTGTCAGTGCAGTGTCAAATATATTAAGCTTTCGCTCTTTGGTCTTAGTGGGCTCCGGAATATCGTTTTGCTCGGTGCTGGCCTGCGCCTTCGTCTACGATGTCAACATTTTCATCGTCCTCTTTGGCTTTGTTACTGGTGAGTTTGTACTGTTGGTTGTCCTGAAAGAATCAGGATCCTTTGCGTTGCATGGGAGATAAGGGTCCATTGTGAATGTCATCTCAAAGGCAAATAAGCATTAGCAGGTTCATCTGTAGACGACAAATCCTTTATTATTCCAGAGTCATAAGTACTTTACCAGGTAACCAGTGTCATAACATAAAATTAGGGATCGGACACAAAGCGCGGCATTTTAGAATAAACTTAATGAATAGTATGGAGCGATGATTATCTCTAGTCGAGATTAACACCAAAGCGACGTGAATCCACCACTTAATTGGCTGGCATGCTTGCAACTTGAAATTTGTCTTGCGAAGCGAGCTGCTGGATGTGGAAAGGAGCAAGGTCAACTGCACGATCGCGTTGAAGATAAATGTTAAGCATTTCACAGTTCCTGTGGAAATACATTTTTTTGGCTGTGATGTCCGAATGATCTGCAAATACACGAATTGCTGTTAACTCGAACATCACATTTACTGCTCCTCAGTTATCGAATGGGCTACAGCCGAAAACTGTGGGGAATAAATAGTGAAACTGCATTTCTTTGTTGACGCGCTTTGAAACGAGAGTGAACTGTCTCAGTCATCTAATTGGTTTAGTGCTCTCCACTGGGTACCTCTTTCTTTCCTATTTCAGCAAGTGGAATGTCCTTTTTTACATCATCCAATGTTTGCTTTTGCACAAGAAACCTTCATCTGTAAAATTAAGCTCAGATGATAGTCAAAGTTGACGTTCATTCAAATGGGAGTGGGCTTAACGATCTGACACTGGAGATACCAAAGTACTGCCTTCAAAATACGAAATAGGATTTTCTTGATTTGTGTATTTAAGCATACATTGTCGAATATTTGGTTCCTATAAAAGCGCAGTTGTCAGGCACGGGCGCCTCAAATTCCGGTGTTGCGTAACGAGTGTTGTCAAAATGCGCGGAAACGGGGAGGGAACCTGTAGCGATTAACATCAAATAACCGTTAAGGTTGCATGGATAGGCATTTTAGAAACAGGACTACTGATAAATAACGATGAAAGTGTTGGCTGTGTTTAGATTGCTTGCCACACACATTGCAAAGTGCAGATTATGCTAGTTCAAAGATCACCTCATAACTTTTGTGCAGCCTGATGTCGACTTTGGTGCCAAACTGTTCCGAAAATGGACACACCTGGACGCCTTAATTACAATATTTACAAATGCGGTGTTCAATGAACAAACAGGTTTTTTTTTGTTTACAAATTTATCTGAATCTATCGCTGTGGCATCATAACTCCAGCTATATGTGGAAATAGCTTGTCGCTGAATGCATTTGACATTAAAATACTTGCTGCAGTCCCCGTCCTTCAAATCAAAGATCTAGCTCACATTCTTCTCCATCCGGGTCAAATATCGCTACTGACGATAGGGATTCAGACTGTTCATGGTAAAGGCCTTGAATAGTGATGGTGCTGCCTGCAAATTCAAATAAATCTTGCGTAGGAAGGATACCAGAGGGAGTGAATCACTTCCGTCATCCCAAATCTAGATGAGTCAGTAGCCAAAGCGACCAGGCAGCTATTTTGCCCTCTATGTTCTGCATTCAATCCTCGTTTGACGTGTTCTCTTCTCAGTTGGCGTTGAAACAGTTTCACCGAACCGTTTTACGAACAGATTAGCTGAGTTTAAAACAACAATTGCTCGGTTAGTTTGATGCTTCTAGTGTGGTCGATGTCCCTCAGAGCCAGATATTGGCTCACTTCGGCCGTGCTGTCAGCCTTCAAATCCCGTTGATTAGCGTACAATGTACTTCGAAGGTCGCTAGCAAGTCCTACGCTCTGGCCGATGATTCCTCCGCCGCCCAGAGATACACATACAAACACATTCAGAAAAGAGTTGGGCCATTCATACTACTAGATTAGCTGCGCTATGGCAAGTTCAGTTGATTATCCAGGTCATCCCTCCCTCTTACCTCCACTTTACTGCATTCTCTGTCCAACTTGCTGTCAATTTTGAGGGGGAATTAACTGTTCATGGCATTTTAACTGCGAATCGAATAGAATACACAAAATATTTTCAAATTCAATTACTTCTAGTCACATAGACCTGCACTTATTGCAGGTGATGGTTTTATTTGCAAGGCTTTCCGACTTATTCTTCTTTTTGAGCCATTTACTTTTCATGAATACCCCTCTAATAAGATAAATACTCGGTTATTTTGAAAAAAAGACGTTGAATCCCGACTTTGCTGCTGGACCAGGCTAAATATATTTCCCAAACAGCGTCGACGACTCAAAATAGATGCGAATTCCGCATAGTTGGAGATGTCCATGGTAGACTTAAGTCGCAATGGAATAGGTTGAATGCGTAATTACTACACCATTCTTGAATAGCCGGTCTTTGCTTCTACTAAATTCGATGTTGAAGTTCTCTAGAACCATTATACCGCTTCATGCTTGCCACTCGCCTTACAAATGAGCAATTAGGTTGGCAACGGCCCATCCAAAGGATGGGTGCTTGGTGGATTTCAAAGGGGGGATGACGAAGCGTATTCGTGCATGTTTTGTGGGCGGTAGTCGAGCTGTCAGGAGGAACTATAACCCGTATAAACAGGATCCCTGTACCAATCATTTACACAGCAAATGCGGCAGTCCTCTGCCCCTTTCAATCGCGGTCACCTCTGCCCCATTGATTTCACGGATCTGTCCAAGCCAAGGCGGCACGTGCGCACCGGCATCGGCGCCGGCACTGCGATGCATGCATGCGTGGTGTGTCTTCCCGCCTGTGACGTGGTTCTCAATGATGAAATACTTTCACAATCACGCATGTTTGTGTGCTTTGTCGAGGCCTGGGCATGAGAATTACTTTATTTGCTCTACATACTTGACACATCCAATCGTCTATTCGCGTCAAGCCATTACGTATCAACTATCTTAGACGCACAGACATAACTTTTTCGGCGCAACAGCTACACATATGTGGCTCCTCGATCTTCTTTATTTAGTCCCTTCATCAAAAGTATCTGAGGCGTTCTACCTCAGTTTTTGATAATTTGATGTACTAAACTGTGTTTGCAATGAGGCTGAACTTAGAAGGGTAAATACATGTTTTTTAAAGTTTTTTTGTAAAGCATCTGATTATCTAGCAGTCACTTTTCCTCTACTGCGATCTGCTGCCATCAATTGAGGCGGTTGATGAGGGAGGAGCTAGTGGTTAAGCTCTACAGAGCCTGAACCTGAACTCGCACTAGGCATTGAGCCACTTTCTGTAAACTGTGGGGAGGGCCTCCTTGTTTGCCCCATCTTTCTAGTTTTAATTCTTGACACAAAAAGGTTACCAAGGTTGTAAAAGTATCCCTTGCCTGGTTTTATTGCACATTTTTGGGGACATAACAAATAATTTGATTCAAAGCAGGCTGTTTTTTGCTGGGTTCATAACTTGAATCATTCTATTTTTTATTCAAGATTTTTCTAATTTGTAGGAAATGTAGTATCTTTTAGCTTATAACTTTTAGGGATTTAAGACGAGGGTCATTCCAGACATAGTAGTCGGATATCAAAAGGTGAGTTTATTGGAGGAATGTATGTATGTATGTGTGTATGTATGTATTTTAACATACAGAGGGGCTTAGGGCTACTGGTATGGCCCAGAGGCCAACCCACCCAGCGAAGGTACAATGGTGGCTACCCGATGCGCCCTCCCTATGAAAACCGAGAGTTAGCCGACCAACGTATTACACAGCTCCTTTCCCCTTCTAAGTGTTGTACCTGGCACCCTTCTTGATCAACCTTTTACGTCAACCATCACAAAGTAACCGGTGCTGTAAGAATTACGCCTACGTACCAACCTTGCCAGTCACCGAATTTCCATCCGTCTGAGGAAATACTTAGCTGCAATATCACCGATCCCTCTTGGCGATTCTACCATATGTGGAGTTTTGCCTTGTATGGGAACTGGATTTGGGGACGGGAAATTGTACTGGCTAACATACGTATTCATAGCTAGTCCTAGGAGCACTGGCCTGAAAATGGTCACGCAACAAAGGACGGAGTTCAACATGGTTTCGTTTCGGGCTCTATCCAGTTGGTGGAGAGGTGAAGGTGGTAACGCGAGTTCATATAATTGAAACCTTACGGAGACGGTAGGCGGTTCCGTGACGAACTTTTCCAAATGGTTCACGGCTAGTGTCGTTCCAATTGTCAATAGCATTCCTGTAGACCATGGGAGTAGGGTAGTTGCCGGGGTAGACGTAATTTTCAGCCCTTCTGTTAGGAGTCATCACCCATTCTTCTATTCACAGCAGTGTACACTTCTTGTGCCCTGCCGAGGCTCGTCACTCTTCTGCAAAAATCAGTATAGATGTGCCCTGAGATCTAGCTTGCTTACCGCTTTCTAAGATTGCTTTCGCTTTCTCCGAGACTTCCCTGAAGACGAAAGAAGACATAATACTCGGACAGAATATACATATTCGACATATAGAAGGGATTGTGATTACCGACATGGCTCAGAGGCCAGCCCACCACCAAAACCGAGAATTAAACAAGCAATTAACATATTACACATTGAGTGAATCCCCATGCCTCGAACAAACCCTAGGCTACCTATTGTGCCACACATTTGGAGTTTCGGACAGAAGGGTTGGACACCCTGCTGAAGCTTTCCGCTTCTGAATGCTTTACTTTTCTCTTATTTTGGTATTTGAGCCGCTGTATAAGATCCAGCAGGCCCATGCAAATATGCGTAGGAACAATCGCGGCATTTTAGGATTTTTGATCTCTAATTCATCGACAAGGTTAAAACTGAATGGTGCACCTTCCCCCTTTTGTTAAGTATCCTCTCTTATTAAGACAATTTATTTGATCTGTTTTTGCGGACCTTCTTCATCAAAATTTTAGTTTTGTGAAGGTTTCAGCCGAGGAATCCGATGCAGGTTTTCAGATTCATCAGTTTTACAAATCGTGGAACAAATAATACTCCTTTTAATTCCAGTTAGTTTTAACTTCCCCTCTACTTTGTCAAGCGCGAGCGTTTTTGACACTATGCCTACGTGAATCAAATCATCCCACTTCATAAATAAATCACCTCCAGTGTTCATTGCTACAAAACACTGCTCAAAATTATGAAATATTGTCAACAATTCGTTTATTCTTACTGCGATAACTGATCTTGTGTGTGTCTATCAGCACAGGCATGTGTGTATCACGCCTACTTTGTGACGAAGGCATGTGCTTGAAAGGTTCAAGTCTGCTCCGTGAATTAGTTCCAAGACTACTAAGGCTTTGAACGAGCTTCAATACGCACCAGCAATGTCTAATATCGCTGAATAGCTCGTCTAACAGCAGAAAATTTGCGTTAAATACCACCTTAATACGTTTTTGTGTCCAGAGGGCGACATATACAATATTATTTGACTCGCTTCAATATCCTTGTGTAAATTTTCTGATTCTATAGCAGGATTGTGGCAAACACGGTTCCCAAGTAGGTCACCCTAATGCCTTTTTAACACTTGAATTCGTTTAAGCATGATTCACAAAAGAGAAGATGCTCCTGTCATTTCTAACTTTGACCTTATCATAGGCACCAGCTATGGCATGATCTACCTGCCAGCAGCGACGATAGTGTCCCAGTGGTTTGCAAAGCTTCGTGCTACTGCTACAGGCATCTCCATGTGCGGTAGCAGTATAGGCACCGCCGTCTACTCTGCCATCCTGCCGAAGCTGCTGAAGATCTATTCCTGGCGCGGGTGCATGGCCATCATGGCAGCAATGTCGTTGCATTGCTTTGCTGCTGGCTGCCTTTTCATTCCCCTACGCGACTATCAGAGAGGCCATCCAGTTAAGAAGTCTGAGACGGAGAGAGAGGCAGAGGTGGAAGATGCTTCCAGTAGACCCAAAAATGGCCTCAGCGACGCCAGATTCAGGCGTTCAGTAACACCCAACTTGGGTTCTGTGGCAGAGAGTGGATATCTAAAGCATGCGGATACTGTGAGTTCGCTGCTTGAGGCATGCCTTAACTCGATCACGGTGGGGAAGAGCGGAACATAGTGGTGCTAAATATTCGCGCTTATTATGAGCGTTCCAGAATCTGATGCTGCCATTCACTTTGATGAGAGTTATTTCAGCTGTTAAAATAAAAAGCCTAATAAGTTGCTCCTTTTAATCATGTATACATCTTTTTATCACCTTAATTTGTAGTCAAAAAAGCAATTACTTCATGTATCGCTGTGACACCTTAATACGAAATCGCAGTTCTTTTTTGTCTAAGACAACAGTTGGTTCCTATGCAGCCTTTCATCTATGATTTGTTCAAACCCATTTATAACCTCGAGTTCAAGGTGTCCTTTCATTCAATAGCTGTGTGGACAGTCAGTGTGATTCATTTTAAAATTGTTCATAATTTTTAATGAGATTTATGAAGTGGTAATGTTTGTTGAGATTAAAACGTAGAAAGACATGCTTTTTCTCACATAAGCAATTTTTTCTGGCTTACCAAATCAAGTAGTCTATTAGCGAAAAAATTGTGCCCATCTAGTTGCTGAAGTTCCACAGTTGTCTACTCCAGAGAGATCATACCGTCTTATATGCAGTCATCACATTTCTTCCCGTTCATGAGACCAGGTAGTTTTCAGACAAACTTGTGGAAGAATTCTACATTATCTCGGTCAATTGAATTTATGGTTTATTTTTGAAAGCACATATTAGATGTTGTGCATTGACATAAATCCCAACTAACAAGCTAAGAAATGCGTTCAACAATTGTACCCTTTAATGTATACTGACAGTGCTTAGTAATTCTCCCTCCTCCGTTGGTAATACAGGATCCGGAGTCTCCAACGCCAGTGCTTTTAAAGGTGCCGAAGTTAGATCGTAGTGACCCACTGAGTCATCGTGTCCCCAACTTCCCAGCATCAGTAGTGAAGGATCTACTGGAATCTCAGAGTATTCATGGGAGTGAGTTCTCTCCTTCCTCTTTATGCGTATCAGATCGTATCTGTGATAAACTCTTCTAGGTCTGTTGGCAATTATTTGATTTAAATGAGGAGTCATGAGAGGGAAAAATGAATTTTAGTAAATGGGGATTTTTTTAGTTTTATGAACGTCCCTAATCCATGTGTAGAGGAAGGTGAAAGTAAAGTGAACTAAAAGTTGGCCCCATCATATTCCAACGTCTATTACCGTTTATTCAGGACTTGAGCCACACACTAGATGGTGGACCACTCAATGCTGAACAGTCCCGCAATGACTACTATCCTGATCTGACGCAAAAGCGACACTTCAACATTTCCGGCTTTAAAGTGGGAGGAATTGCGCTAGCTGAGAGGAAGAACTGCTCTCAGGATTACAGCAAATAGGTTTGAGAGTAGAGGAAAAAAGAAGACAAACTTAAGTTTAAGCAAACTGACACCATGAATGGCATGATTAGAGTCATGCACAATCGGTGTGGTAGTCGTAATACCATAGACTAAATGTTCTTTGAGTGATAGGCTTTATTACGGCATATTTCTTGCCTTACCTTGACTTTAAGCATCGTCCTTGTCGTGCTCAGTTGTTACATTTGTGCGTGGTTATCGAGTCGACTATTGAGTCAACTTCACCACAAGATGGCATCTAATATATCGCGTGACTTTGTCAAAATCGTCTCTCACATCCTCGGTTAGACCTCCCGTATTGAAGGAATTCATTTGAGCAGATAAATATACTGTTTTACTTATCTTTGGGGATGTTGTGAGCTATAGAAGCCTATTGATAACTGTAGTTTGCGATTAGCAGCGCTCCGGAATGTGGTTGCCTTCAAAGACGTCGTAGGGGATATGGGCCTGGGGGTAAGTTTGTCATCATGGGTAATTTAAGCGAAGCTGAATCGTGAAAGCTTTAGAGAACTCTCATACCCACGCACAATGCAAGGCTAAGTGTTGCTTTGTTACGGTCAACTTCTGGTAAGTGAAATCAACATTAAGATTGGACTCCAGTGGGACCGGAGAATGGACAAGGTAGTAAATTAAGCCTTATAGCATTTGCAGGGTGATTTGATTTGTGTATGAGAAACTAGACAGATGGACGGATGTGGGTGTATATGTGTGGGATGGAATAGAAGTCCAGCAGTTCCTATGCACATGACTTTTTCCGCGGTTATTTTATCGTCTACCGTGTGATTTGCATGTACGATAAAAGCCACTCGATTGAGGTGAACAATAAAAACAACAACAACTAGACAGCACTCCGTATACGTTTAATGTGAATTGAGGTGACTCAGGCAAGGGTTTGTCTTGTTTTCCTCTCGGCAAGTGTGAATGGTTCTGGTGAAGGAATGCAGCTATTAGAACTTTTGGTGCTTTTTTACGATTACGAGAATGGGGCAAATGCCATGTATAAGTATGTATCATGTGTGACACCCCGAGACTTTCCTAAAGCTAAAAGAAGGCACAATGCTCAGGCAGAATATGCATTATCGACACATAGAGGGGATTGCAGTTATTGGCGCGGATCTGGGCCCGGCTGTCCGGCGAAGGTACAATAGCGGAGGCTCTTAGTGGCTTCGTTACTAAAACCGAGAGTTAACTAGACGACTAAAGTATTATGTAGCCCCTCCTCTTGAGCGTCGGCCCTTGGCGCTCCCCCTAGTCAATCTCTTGCGTAAGCCGCCACAACATAATCGTTGCAGTAAGAACACCCACGAGCCAACCGTGTCACCCATCCAAATTCCAGACAACTGAGTAGACTCATGCCAGCAAAGTCACTAATCCTCCTTTGCCAATTCCACTGGATCTGGAGTTTCGTCCCGTATAAAAACTACTGGGGGCCGAAGGAGCGTGCTGGCCATCGCGCGTGTTCATTGCTAGTCGTAGGAACACTGGCCTAAAGGCAGAATTGCATAATAAGGGAAGGGTTTTAACAGTGCTGTGGGGTTTGAGTTTAGCGCCTATTCCTCCTTGTTACTTCCATTCTCATTTTATTGTTGGTCAGCCATATCTAGGTTCTATCCAGTTAGTAGAGAGGTGTAGAAGGCAACTTGTGTTCACACAGTTGAAATTCAGGTAAGGTAGACGATTCTGTAACGAACTTTACAAATGGTTCACGGCTAGTCTCGCTTCAGTTGTTGATAGCATTCCTGCAGACCGCGGGAGGGGGGGTAGTTGCCGAAGATGGCCGCCATTTTCAACCCTCCTATTAGGGGTTGTCACTGATTTCTCCATCCGCTGCATGTGTACCTCTCTCGCCCCCCCCCCCCCCCCAAAACGTTTATCACCCAGCATCAGGAATCGAGTAGTTGTCCTCTAAGAACGGATTTGCTTCACAATGTCACCAATGTAGCGCTCCGAGACCTCTCTAACGACGAAGGAAGATATAGTACTTGGACGGAATATGTATTGTCGACATACAGAAGGGATTATGGTTACTGGCATGGTCCAAGGGTCAACCCACCTGGCGGTGGTATAATAGCGGAGGCTCTAAATGGTCCTGTTACTAAAACCAACGCATTACATCATGCTAAAAGGTGGGTCAGTGTTTCCACAATTGCAGTATTTTTCTTCATTTCCTTACTCGAGGTTGGAGCATTGGACTAAATCCGATGTAGTTTTGACAACGCTGACATTAAAGTTTGTTCTTTAACGTTATCCATAATGCAGCGGCCGATTTGTATCTGAGGAAGCAATGAGGCCGTTATAAAAGTGGAAGAGCACTGGCAGGCTCTTATCATGAAGACCGAATCCGGGGAAGCTCTAACGGCCTGTGGCAAATATAATATACAGTCATTCCCTTTATCCTTATTGTAGGTGGGGATATGGTGCGTATTCAGGGGATCGAGAAGCATCAACCACCAATGGTTGGCTTGAGTACGGTGAATAGAGTGGTGGGAGAAGTTCTGTCTCATCAGGATCACAGTCGCACTCAGTCCTCGCGTCGACGCACCGTCTCCGTTGAGCCCTCGCCTGGGGCCTCTGTCTACGTCAAGGTGGTTGTCTACTCCATTTTTTCAACTCAAACATGCTTTATGCGAATTGGGCACCAAAATGGTTTGTTGAACCAGTCAGTAGCGCTAGAGGGTGAAATAAACCTCAAAATCATTCAAAGAAATTCATTTAAGGGGAATTTTGACGAAGGCTATCTTCTACTGATTAGCTTGACAACTTAATGGCGCTAATTGACATCATTCGCTCATGAGATTGTATTGAGATTCTTTAAAGTTTTACTGTTCCTTTAAGTAACTATTCATTTATTCCTTCGCCGTTTGCTCTTGAATACAGCTACTTCTCTCTAACTCCCATTTCTGACGAAATGGCATCGCGTTTTTGGAACTTGGGGCTTTTAACATTCGATCCATTAATTGCTTTTTTACATTGCCTTGGCACGCACATACAATCCGCCAACTCCATCACACAAAAGACGTAGTTATTAATTGGATAAAACGGGAACAGTGGGATTGAAGGCCGTAAAGTTGGCTTCTGGAATGACGAGGGCAGCTACACACCCGAAAGGCTTAATTAATGAGCATCGGTGGGTGGGTACTTCCATCTCGACTATTAGACACACAAGCAGGTGTTTGACGCAGTCTCCAAATCGCCAAACTGACAAAGCATTCACGACATTTGTTCGAGGTTAGATGTACAGACCAAGGCGGTATCAACATGTCTATTTCATATTCGGGTGTTTTATAGTGTATTTGTGCGTATCTCTCTGTCGTAGATGAAGCTAGTCTGTTAAATCGTGTTTTTTTGTGCAGAGGTTGCTTATCCATTTAGATGCTTTTGACTTTTACTGGCATTTAGGGGCGACCCGTTCTGAGCAAGTAATTAGAACCAGCAATGAGGTAGTAGCAACGAAACGTTTGAAATTGTTGAAAATCTCCATCCAAAACCGACTTTAGGTGTTTTGTCTAACTGAGGTATCATTTGGTTTTACACCTTCTCTTATAAGCCCTTCATACTTAAACTGCCTTTATTTGAATTAGTCTTTGAACCTGGCTTGACTAAATTGGCCTAGTGATATTTGAGGCGTGGAGAGAAGTAGATAAGAAAATTAGGATTATTTAAATAGCCCATTCGAATTCCATACTGTGTATTTCGCGGGTCACTTCATAGTCCATAATTTTTATCATTGTTAGAGCATTCTGTGCGACTTGTTTGAAGTTGTTCATGGGATGGGAAGGATCATAATACCGTTTGGTTTTTTAAATAAGGAGACACTAGGTACCAATGTCATTTTGACGCCTTTCCTCTTTGTCTTAACTAGTTATCTTATATCTCTGATCAACGTTGTACAGTAGAAATATTTTTATTTACGTTTTGGTAACTGGAAAATGATAGAAGACCAAATCTTGTATTTGCATAAAATTAGCATTTCTGGGGTATTTTGGTCAGACTCGTGTTACTGCGTTTGTTTACGTATTTGTTTAGTCGAACTACTATCAAGAGGCCAAATTCCAACCACAAATGCATAATTAGGAAGCGAAATATTCATCATCATGGGCGGATAAAAGTACTTACCTTAGAAATGGCCCATTCAAAACTATACTCGGATCGGTTCAGTAGGATTACGCTGTTTACACGGAGACCGAATAACTCTTTGTTATTGTCGAAACATTAGTCACCCATCCACGGCTTTTAATATCCTTCTATTCATCCTCGATGGTTCTAAATGGGACTCTAATAAAACATTAGTATTACATTTGAAATGGTTCTGATCTGTGGCGCCTAGATGGACCCCCTGAGTTTTCATGTAACCAACACTCAGTGATGTAACAGGTCTTTTTCATTTTCCATCCTAATAACTGAGAGCAGTCGGGATTGGAACTGCTATTAAACAGAGTGGCTTGTTCCCTCCTGCCAAAAAAAACTAATGCTATTTGGCCATTTCGCCTAATTTATGTGATAACTTTAGTAGAAAATGGTTTGATTAGTGTCTGGGTAATTCATGAACTTTACGAATCGGTAATTCACTAGTTTGTGGTCTCTCTGTTTCTGATGCACTTTCTTGGAAAAAAATGCGTATTTTCGTGGTTGGTAAGGCTGTCAGTGGGTGCGGGTTTCATTCTTGTTTGAACAAGTACTCTGCCGCTTGTTAATCAGATCCACACTTAATTTCGTTTGTATACTTCCCCAGAGTTATTGTGTGTAAACATGATGCGCTTTCACCAGACACGAACGCTTGCCCATTCTCTCGGTTCTACGAACTATCCGGGTGATGCAAGGCAGTTATTTTCACGGATGTGGATGTGCCTGAATGAACTCCGCGCTTCCTTTGGCAGGATATCATTGTAGCGTCCTAGGACTGCCCTGAAGACGCGAGAAGACATAGTACTCGGGTGGAATATGTATTGTCGAGATAGGGGAAGGTTTGAGGGGTATTGGCACGACCTGGAGGCCAGGTCACCTGGCAAGCCTAAAGTGGTGGAGCCTCCAAGTGACTCAGTGCCAAAATCGAGTTAAACTAACAATTGGAGTACCGCATCATTTCCAGATTCATTATCACTTGAAGGGAATCAGACTCATAAATTTTACAACGAATTTGAAGTATGATGTCTGCCACAAAGTCGGCATCATGATGAACAAGTGGGATATTTTAATTATAAGCCCGTTTCTCCATTCAACTTGTTGACATTGCTACATTCGATTCAAGGATTCGAGTTAAATGGAGTCTACTTGTTACTTCCCTTTTACAAGTCTTTTGCATTCAATGACCCTTCTTTCAGTTGAGCTAGAATAAGATCGAAAATTTTTTTCCAATTATTGTTGTCTAGTTAAATTTTTTGCCTCTGATGGAATCTTCTATCGCTGCTGCCCCTTCTTAATAAGAGTAGTCGGAATGGTCGCTCCATATTTGATGGAAAACTAAGGCGATCAACAAATCTAATGATCTGCAAATGAAATGGAGAAGGTTTACATCTAGGAATAACTAGCACGACAGTAGAGAAAGGGCCAGATATGTAAATAACATGATCCCAGTTGCACATCACAAATATTCAGCTACCAGCGGCAATATCTACATTATCAGTCATCGTGGTCTAATGTTTCATCACTCCTCGACTTTGAAGTCAAAAGTGGTCAGTCAATTCAGGTCAGTCTGGAACCCCAAAGAAAATCAGTGTTGTCAACCGCTATTTTTTTCCAGGAAGCTGTTGATTTTAGTTTGAACTCTTATGTTTGAGTAAATATGGCCATTACAGCTACCATAATAGTAAGGGAAGGTTAGAGACTATTCATGGGAATAGTTGGGTTGGTGAAATACATCTTATACCGCGTTTACCACGTAATTCAGCTATTGAAAATAAGCACCCCTTTGATGCAGTCTTCTGTCTGTGATGGGATGTCTGCTACCGTTATCTTCTACGCTGTAATATCTCCCTTTAATACACGGATTTCGAATCGGAATCGTATCTGAAATGGGATACAATACTCCTCCTGGTTACTGAGAAAAATCTTAATGTAACTCTAGTCCATCTTTGCGCATGTCACTAGGGTCGATGTATGGGGACTCGTTTCTTCCATTTCCTTGTCCACGGTGTTGTTGAATTGTAGTTACCAGAAACAGATGGTTGGTATTTACGTCGGAAATCCTTCGTCGAAAGTTGTAGTAAAATAAGCGGATTGAGGTTGGACAAAGCCTTCCTACTCTTCCTTTGCGTGACTCCTATGTCCAGAATCTGATGCGCTTTAAAATTGTTGTTGTTGTCGAGCTAAAAATAGCTTCGAATTATGCCTAGTTGTAATTTTAACAATTATTTTTCCATATTTAGCTAACATTTAAAGCACAATAGCCAAGGCGGTTATTGTTTAGGATCCAGTTGAAAAGAGAATTGTATCCACTTTGAATTGCCTTGGTCAAATTAGCTATGAAGATGCAGCCTTAAAAATAGTTGCCTTTACAGTACAGAAGCGTCGGAGATTTTAAAATCCTAATTGAAAAAAGTATTGTAAACCACATCCATCGAACAAATAATGCACTCCCCTTTATTACAGCAATCTATTTGCGATAGCGTTGATTTAGTTGCTAAAATCGTTTGTACTTCTCTTTCTTTTCGTAGAAAAACAGTCTGGACCAACTCCTCGTACCTAGCTAAAACCTAGACCAAATAGGATTGTCAATCTCTATGTATATGAGCAACGAGAAGTATAACGTATAAGTTGCTCCTGGAGGTAATTTTCTCATTTCCAACCGAAACTGCTGCTATAACGTATGCGTTGTCGGCTGGGTGGTCCAGGTAACTCCTGAATAACCACGTCTGAAGCTATATTATGTAATAGTAATGATACAAATCGTGTTGATGGCGTAAGTTAATCGCCAGCACTAATGTCAATTTACCACGTATTGCTGTATGATCAGACGGGAGGGAATCAGCTCTTCGCCTCCGCCGTCTCTCTCCGCCCGATCGCCGATGCGGGTGTCCACGTGGATCCCTTTATCCGACGTGAGATCGTGCACAAGTTGGAGCGGGAAATGGACCTGCCCGCGAATCGCAAAGACTTTTTCTACTCCGCTAGCATGGTTCATGTCAATGAAGTATGTTAGACCTCTTTTCAAGACGTTTACTGTCAAATTCCTGGAAAAGGAATAGCCACTAGGTGGAATCATGTTCAGGCTATGAAAGCTCCATTATCTATTGTGTTGCCTTGGGCGATTTTGCACAGCCAGCTATTGGAAACTCTAAAGGAACATAGGGCACATTCGTGACATAGGGCTCATGTCACATATATATGACATATTTCAGACCCCTAAAAAGATTGACTAACGATCCAACGCCAACCGATTAGCGCATCAGCTTAATATGCTGCTGAAAAGCAAATTAGCTGCATTCTTCCATTCCCTCTTAACCCTTCGGTGTAGTACGTCTCCTCCTCGAACGTGAACGAGTACATACGCAGCGTGACGAAGATAGGGGCGGGCGAGATAGAGGAGGAGGGGACTGTGGCGCGTCCTCCCAATCACGTCCTCAAGATGCTAAGCGAACTCTTCGACTTTGGCCTCCTTCGTAGCCCCACCTTCCTTCTCCTCCTTGCATCCAGCGTCTTTGGCCTTCTTGGTGAGTCTGTCAGGTTGTTAGTCCGTAGTTAGGGGAACTAAATCCCGCACTTTTCTCTCAGTATTTGCGGTGGTTCACTGCAGGAGAGAATACCTTTTTGAGAAAGTAATTATTGAGAAGTATTGGAAAAGAATGTTCCCAAAATTTGATCTGTTTTTACTATTCACGGTGATCTGTGTTGGCTTACTCATGATCCAAGTAGTGATCATAAAGACGATGGATCAGTATCTCAGAAAATTGCAATTTCGTTAACCTGATGCTCCGAATTTGAAGTCTTTTATATCATTACGGCTCCAATCATTCCTTCTCATTGGTGGTGAACCGATGTTTGAGAAATTCGTCACCAGGAATCTGTCGAATAGAGTTGGGGACTCCATCCAGCCTCTAAGCCCAAAATCTTAGTATTTTTTATTCCTCGTGACTACTTTCGGTGATTGTGGAAATGGAAAATGAGCTTCTAGAAAATCCACAATCTCAGTGATCTCATAAATACTAACTCCATCTCTCAAAAATTTCATCAGTTTTCAGGTTCTCTTGACAACTTAATGTCCCAATGCACTACGTCTAGGTTTCGAGTCGAGGATTTCTCTTAGATTAGAACTTTTTGTCCATGTGCTTAAGGAAAGTTGGACCAGTGAAATCGTACGAGGTGCGTCGTTTATTTTATGCTGCAGTTATTCTCAGAAAGTACTATCTTCGAGGCCTTATGATTGGAGAGTCGACGTTGTTAACTATCTTGCCATGCCAAATGGGTTTCGCTCCGTCGATTTTATTTGTTTGTTACAGAATAAAATCGTGGAATTTAAACACTTATGCAGCGCAAAATATGCAGTTGATCTGATTCAGTATCTCTACGCCTATATTCACTGCATCAAGCCCTTGAAATTGGGAAAGGCTCGTGCTGATTCACAGTGATCATTTTTCGGCAAAAAAGTGTAAAAAAGCAACTGCTTCCTCAAATTTGCGTTATTTGTCTTCTTTTTAAGAAGTTTGCTCATATGCTTCTTTCCTAGTAAATATAAATAATTAAGAAGTCCTTTTGAAAAGATGCAAATAAATGGAAGAGGCAGAGCTCCCGCCTTCTGGAAATCAAATTCATCATTTGCCTTAGAAAATGAATTATCCAAAACATCTATATATGGTTCATACGAACCTGGCAAAAATAAAAAAAGTAGAAAACCATAAGGACTGATAGAATAACAACAAGGCTGGTCCAGATGGACCCTCCTCTCACTTTTGCGGCGGTTGAAAAATGAGAGCCTGGAAAGATTAGTGTAGTCAAGTAAGATTACTATTATTCCCTTACAAAGCTGCCGCTATTGTCTAAGGATTCATCCCCGGCGTTTGTGCTTCGCTCTGTGCCGTCAGAATGGTCTTCAATATAATTTTCATAAAAAACTCAACTTTTAAATCACAGGTTATAGTAAAATTGTTATAAAACTTTAGTATGGCCGATGGAAGCGACATTACGGTTGGATGCAGGTGCTGAACTGCAACTAAAAGGGTAGTGAAATGACGTTAGGTATTCATGCTACCATAATCTTGAAAGTTGCTGGAGTAGATTGCCTGGAAAATTGAGCTTCCTTACACGTTGCTTCCCTCATTGCTCCTAGGTTACCCAGTGCCTTACGTGTTTCTGTCAGATGAGGCTCAAACTCTCGGCTACTCGTCCGAGGCATCGGCTAACCTCCTTGTCTACCTATCCTCTGTCAACACTGTTGGTCGTGTGATGGCAGGTGGGTGTTTGGATATTAATGAAGCCCAAATAAAGTGTGCTCACAGCCAGACCTCCTCCTCTCTCTCTCTCCCCCCTAATCTTAACCAAATCACAATTTTTTTCGGACCTCAGCGGTGCCTGTCGATAAGATCAGGATCACGTCCCACTCCTCCGTTTTGGTTCTCGTAGCGATGAAGCTCTAAATTGTGATCTTACGTCAAGTAACCGGTGGCGCTTCTTTATTTCTCGAAACCATGACTGTTGTATCCGCTTACAAGGTGTCTTTCGTCTTGCTTCACAAATGTTTATTTTTAAGAGAGCTGATTGGTACTTCGAGTTGAGTTTGTCGGTAAAATCATTAATTTGTGATTATTTCTGAACCACTTCTTAGAAGGGGTTAAGATAGCTACAATCACCTTATTTTGTGAGACAATTCTGACGTATTTGGGTGAGTAATTGACTTTCATTTAGTAAGATTTGGGGTTATTAATGAAACAGGTGGGTTACCACTCCTTTAAATTACGATAACACTCAATTGGGAGGTAAATCTTAACTGACATTTTTGTAGCCGACTTCTCTTTACTCCCCTGTTTTACACCAATTTTAACTGGATTCAGAAGAGTATTATTAAAAATTTCCCATTTTGTAGCTAATGACAACCTTAATAAGGGGTATTTAGCATAGGCTCTGTGGAAAACTTTTAATCTGTTGAATAAAGTCTACAATCTGGGCACGTGGCCCATATTCGTATCAAAGAGGGCTCAGTTCTTTCCTTCAAAACTATGAATATTATGGACGAATTGGACGTGAATCTACTCTATTTTCAGGAGAGTTATTTCAACGATTAGATGGCTGGTGGTAATTTTGTAAACGAATGTCTTTTTTGGTTGGTAAGCGGCGGAATAAAGCTACAAAATGCTTGGGATTGTCGGCTCAAATTTCCAGTCGCACCAAGTGTCCGCCACCTTTATGTCCACTGTCAATTGGTTATCGTAGCACTCCGTCTCTGCGTACGGAGTAGGAGTAGCAACCATTTTCTTCCTTCTTTAAGCGATTTTCGACCAAGTTACTACTTCGCAAATAGCCGATTTTATTCAAACCGGACTCTGCGGACACTCATAATAATTGCGTAGTAGCTTATAGCAAGGTGGTGACTCAAAAAGGAAAAAGATGGTATTCTGAAGCAGTGGTTATGACTGAGGAACAACAGATGCGCAAAAATCACCCGTCTAGACTGTTGGTACATCCACTGGATGCTGCAGGGATGAGCCTCAAACCCATACACGTTATAAACTTTCGTTTATGGGGATGAGCTTGCATCCCTTTGAGCCTCCGAACCGGAAAACTCAATGGACAGATTTTGGTACAGAGGTCTTTATTTCCCGAGAGGTGTGTGGGAGCATGAGACTGTGGTGTGAGCGCACTCGGGAGCTGGCTGGCCAGTGGAGAATCCTGGCGACACAAGATGTGAGCGGCTTCTTGAGCTTTAGACATCTCAAGAAAAATTCGGACTTCATACACATTTCTCTCAGTAAATGATAAATTGTAACACCATATTAATGCCAACTTTTTACTTACCTTAGAATTAAACTATTTTTTGAATCAGATAGCCCAGTTAATTGGATGGAAACGACATTTAGTGTTTCGGCTTGAAAAAAAAATGAAGACCACTTCTGTTCATCATTATGTACACAGGTCATTTCGACAGCAAAAAAATAACTTTGGGGCTAGTTTAGAATTAATATAGCCATAATAGCTAGTCTTTATTGAAGTTGATACAAAAGATAGGCCGGTAATGTAGAAAGCACATCATTAGCTAGCAGAAGTATTAAAAAGCGCGAAAACTTTAGATCTCCTCATCTGGTAGTCATCGCAGTTACTCAAAAATCAGAAATACGGCACTTCTTCAGTCATTTCTTCACTCTTCTGGGCGTGCAGCACTGGTCAATGCCTGTGTGATCCATTTAGCATCGTCGTCAAGCCTGATTGATGTTGGTCTCTTGGATCTGTAATTCGAATTCGCCATTGAGGAGTAGCAGATGGGATTCTAGTCATTATTCTTGGTGTACTTTGAGGCGTGATCTCGGACTGGCCGTGCACGGATGCACTGTTTGTGAACAATGCAGCCCTCATCATCTCCGGCGTTGCATGTGTCGTCCTGCCTCTGATGCCCTCCTACATCGGTCACGTCGCCTACGCTGTCACCTTCGGTCTGGCCATTGGTGAGTGTATCATCGCCCAACTATAACCTTTTATTCACTGAAAACCCAAGCGCTGACTCCGGTGGCCATGGATATTAAATGTTCTTTTTCCTTCATAAGACTTTGTCGACTGATTACAACCGATTGGATGGAATAAGTAGGCAGATACCTTGATCAAGGCGATACTTGCCTAAACAGCTACAATCGGTGGATTTAGAAGGTCACCGATCTGCCAAACTTATTCACCAGTACTGTAACTAGCTAAGCAAAGTCTTGCCTTCTGGCCACTGAACGGACAACTTTTTGTAGTCAACAAAGGGGTCCTTTATGATTTAATCGCTTCCTTTGCTATCCAATGGGTTGAACGCGTTTACAAGTTTAGGCATGGGTAAGCTGAATTTAATAAGACTGACTTCTGTTTCGGAAGTATAATTCAATATTTAATGACCTGGAGATAAAAAAAGGCATGAGAGGTAGATATGTGTGACGCACAGGTTCACAAATGTCTGCTCTTGTGAGAAGATTTGTTTCGTGTGTGGTGGTAGTTAAGTGTAGGAAAACCGGATGCTCGACAGAAGCTGATGTAATACGCCTTCGTTAAAGCTAGAAGATTTCCAATTCCGCAGACTGTAATGCATTGAGTAGATTTTTAAGGAAGTTTATCCATCATATCTCCCACTTGGAAAACCGCAACAAGCTTGAAAGACCGGCTGCTTTTCTACTCGCAGCGCATTTTTAGTGTCTTGATCTCTCCTAAAACATTTTCCTCGAAAGCAAGATCCATCTGACTGAATGAAGTAGGATTTTCGACTACTTTTTTTCGGGTCATGATGGTCTTCTTCTTTTGTGCTACCCATCCCCCCATCCGCGAAGAAGTTCTGTATTTTGGTGCTTAGTTTTTCAGTTACCTCCTCGATGGAGCTATCGCTGAGCGAAAGGTTCCACATGAAAAGGAGAGGGGGAAAGAGCGTATGTGGGGAATTCATCTAGTCTGTCTTAATTGTGAATTTCCAGGGGTTACGGGACCTACATTAAACATACTTCCCTTTTTTTCTTCATCATATGTTGAAAACATTGAGTAGTATGACCATTCTTTATTACTACGGATCCTAAGAGGTGAATGATGTGTTTATGTTAAAGGATGTGAATAAAATTAGGAGTAAATGTGTAAGGATTGGCCAGCATAGTCCCAAAACATACAGTTACGACGCACAATCCTATTCCCGTTCTCTTAGAAACAATCCGATGTCTCTTGCTCATTTGGGCACACAAATTCCGTTTTTTTTTATCTAAGAATTTCCAACAGTCCGATACTGTTTCAGATTCTCCTGTTCTTGAAATCCTTATATGGCATTCTAGTTCTCCACTCTCTGGACACAGATTGAATGAGTCAGTGTATCTTAACATCTATTTATTTATCTATATAATGATAGAAAGGTCAATATTGAAGACCTCTGAGTCTTCTGAAGGCGAAAGGAGTCGTAATACACGGGTAGAAAATGTATTGTCGACGTGTGGAAGGGCTGAGGGGCTACAGGCATGGTCTGGAGGGCATATCGCCCCAGCAAAAGTACAAAAAGATGAGGCCTAATTGCTGGTGTAAACAAAACTGAGAGTTAGGCAAAGAAATCAAAGTGTTACATAGCCCTCTTCTCTCTCTTCTTTTGATGCACCGTCCTCGACGCGCCTTGTGGTCAATTTCCCACTCCGGCCACCACAGCGTAGTCGGTGCTGTAAAGAGAAGCGTCCATGAGCCGAATTTGCGTACAACTGAGGAGATGCTTGATCGCAACATCGCTGATCCCCCTTGGCAATTCTGCTGGATCTGGGCTTTCGTTCTGTTTGAGAGGTGTATTGGGGGAAGAGGAATTGTGCTGGCCATCATGTATGTCCATCGCGGAGTCATTTAATAAAGGGCAAGATGTAAAGTGGCTTCGTTGGAATAAGATTTTGTCACTTTATTCTCACTTCAATGGTGTCCAGTCATACCTACATGCGGTCCATCCAGCTAATAGAGGGGTGAAGGAGGAATCTCATGTTTACTTCATTTATACTATCCTTATACAGATATCGTAGGTGACTCCGTAACGGATTTTCTAAATGTTTCATGACTGATATCGCTCGCTGCAGTTATTACTAGCCTTCTTGCAGAACACTGGACGTCATTTTCAACTCTTCTGTTGGAAGTCAACACGGATTCCCTCAGTAGCAACAAATGCCCTTCCTCCGTCACGTTGAGGTTTATCACTCAGCATTTCAAACCAGGATAGTTGTCCTTCAGGATTGGGTTCGCTTTGGCTGTCACCAATGTAGCGCCTCGAGACCTCCCTGAAGATGAAAGAAGTCATAATACTAGGGTAGAATATGTATTGTCGAAGTAGAGAGGGGCTGGAGGGATGTTAATGGCACAGGCCGGCGGCCAGTACAAAAGGCGAAGCTTTGAGTTTCCGCGAAACCAAAACAAGGGGTTAAGCAGGGTAACCAACGTATTACAACTATATCCTTTAAATTCTCTTTTGTGGCAAAACGCTTAGTAAAATGTATTTAATTGTAATTATTGGTTTCAAATTGTTTTTCAAAGGTTATAAGAGTTGATTTAATTTGGCGGGTTATTAGGCTTTATCGCAAGCTTGCTATTTACTGAGTAAAGAATTGCGGCATAATTTTAGCATGAAAAGCTCTTAATTTCTCCAACTGCGTAAGCCTTTCGATAAAGGAAAGTATTCAATCGATGTCCTATCAGTTGCTATCAAACTTATACTCATCCCTGTTAGCTACCACTAACCCTTTACGAGGAGTTTTGATTGAATAACCTTTGTTCGATGTAATTCCTAACTATTTTTCTTTACTTAATCAAATATCAGCGGCCTTTGTGTCCCTGCGTATAATTTTGCTCGTGGAGATGTTGGGATTGGAGCGTCTTACAAATGCCTTTGGATTCCTGCTGCTCTTCCAAGGTCTTGCCTTCATCGTCTCGCCACCCATACTGGGTAAGACACTCCTTTGGGTGATGGCATCTGCTTATATTATTTAAGTAGGCATGTTATCTTGACGATTGCGTCCCTCAAAGAGACAAGGTCTCGTCAAAAGCGACTCTTTCGGATTAAAGTCTGGCAATTAAAGTATGATACGTAATCCTGTACACGGCCTATTTTGACGAGAAGCAGTTCAAGTATTTTGATTTTAAAAGGCGCAGTGGTCGAGGGATAGTGTTGGACCAATTGTATCACCTACCTGCCTTAAAAAGTCAAATTTGTAGTAAGCAAATCATTACTTTTACCTAAGAAATGGCCTCGTGGGTATAAACGTATTGGAGTGGGGAGACTATGCCGTGGTTTTTGATAATATGCTAACACTTTAAGACTCGTTGGCTTTCACGTTCAAAAATCCTGTATATTACGTTGGTAATTTCCTTTGTACAGTGACGTTTTTTCCTTTCTGATCAATCAAACTTCCAATAGAAACTAACATTAGAATGGGGGAATTCGCTAAAATTCCTTTACTGCTTCTGTCCATGCTTTGCTTTCGTATTTATGCATTATTTTACTGGATCTAATCAAACTATCAAGAACAGTTTCTAGTGATCTAATTTTATACTAGTTTTAAAAAACTGCATGCACTAAACCAAGTTCGAGGTGGGTAATATAAAGTCTTTGGAATTATTTCTGATCACATTTATTCAATGCAGATCTAGACTGTGTTCTTTTACAAAAAAAGGTAGGAGAATGGTAGCTTAAATGGCTTGAGGAAAGCTTTATGCCATCAACGTGGAGTTCGCATCACGGGGGACTAAAAGCACACAACTAAGGTAAATATCATTCTTGTATTGCGATGCCACTATATACTTGATGGAGTAGTGCGTAGCGAGCTCAGAGATCATGAATAGCTTGCGTTACTCAAACAAACCCACGTTGTAGTACAATTTGGTGGAAGCATGCAGAAAATTGCGTTCTACCGCTAGCCGAGTGACAAAGTCCTGACAGGTCGGTGGAGCTGGTCAAGTGTTTTCTTGGGTGTCCTCGAATTCAGTGTATCCCATCATAATTCGAGAGCTGGGAAATACATTATTAGTAGAAAAAAAGCCTCTAGCGTGTCATGAAGTTATGATATATTTTTGCTTTACTACGTTTCTAGCATCGTTCTACGATCTGTTGAAGAGCTATAATTACACCTTCATCTTGGGCGGGGCGAGCCTCATCTTATCCGCACTGCTCTGCTTCCCCCTGCGTCCCATCCTGCGCTGGGAGCGACGGCGACGCGGCGAGGTGGTGCCACCTCATGAAAGCGGTCACTGTATCCGTCTAGTGCGACATATTCGCGATCGTTTTACCGTATGAGAGATAAGAGAAGCCACCCTGTTTTCTAATTTCTATTGAAATAACGCCAATTTTCATCCCTCTTGTTGCTAAATAGCACCTCTCTTTTCCCTCGATGATGCACTGGATCTGCACCAATGTAGGACCTGTTTTGCATATTGTCTCCCTCACCCTCCTTCTTCGGAGTGGAGATTGGCCTTTTGGGCAGAATCCAGTAATGATTTAATATAAGTCCATTTTATTAGCTGACTCTATTGGGTCTTTGATTTCTTCATTGCAGTATTTATGGAGATAGGCGAGGCCTCACCACTCCAAAATCATCGCATTAAAGTGGTACTTTCCATTATGAAATAGATCTACTATCAATAAGGGGAACTAAATCCTTTCCAGCAGTGACTATTGCACAACCTTCTTATTAGTTGAACAGTAACGACCGAGCATGCCAAACCTGGGTCTACGGAGGAATGGATTGGCATGCTGTACCTCTACGGTTGAAGGTTGCAGATTTGAATAAGACTGGGTTAAAATTTGGCATTGCTGTAGTGCTATTTGGAGTAGCGCTATTGTTTATTGCTTCCTTTTTCCATGGGGAAAATTAGCGGTAGTATTAAGTTGTCAAATCGTAAGTAGTAGCTGTCGATGTATCTTGGGTTCTCCTTTTGACGCTGTTTGCCCGACCTAGGCGAAGTGGAGCAATGCATCAGAACTCTTGCTCTCGTTACCGCTCTACATTAATGAAATGTGGATCTGATCAGCCTTGTTTGTAGAAAGTAGTGTTTTTGACGGGACTTGTTTACTCCTTCCTTCATGAAGTGAGCATTTTTTTTTTTCAATCTTATAAGATATTAGTGGATAGCAAAAAAAATTGTACGGAGATGAGTCGCGTGAATTGCTTTTGCGCTTTTACATGTATGTTTGTAGAAATTTTCTAAATTATCATAAAGAGTTCATGCATTCAAGTGCCGTTGCATTATAACTTTCGAATCCCTTCATCACACAATGGACGTAAGTTTAACTTGCAAAATGGAAATGAAAATAAAAGTAAATCAGTAAGAATGCAGCTGAGTAAATCGTCTTTTTGTATTTCAGTAGTTAAACTGTGCAGTTATCAAAACGACTGTAGGATATAAATTGAAATCAAAATTTTGTATAGATGTGGTCCTTGGTCCGCCACAAATTTGTGATTTGACGTGATTATTATCAATCCTGGGCATGTTCGGTAAACGCAGTGAGTGCGGGCATGTTACAGAGGCCCTGATGGATAAGTCAGCTGAAGTGTCAGGAGAGCAAACAGTCAGACCGCAATAGGAGTAATTGACATTTCAAAGTCCTTCTGTGGATTGCATGTGGTCTTTTGAGCAGGGGTGTTTGGTAGCCTAACTGAAAATCCTGCAGCGACCGTTAAATTTTTAGCTTCTCTGACGCTGCTTTGTGCCTCGATAATATTATCTTGAGTGCATCATAGGGGCTCCCAGTCGGAATGCGAGTTAACCGAAACCTCAAGTCGTGACAGCAAGAAGATGGTTACGGTCAGATATCACCACTGGATAAAGGGTGAAAGACTTTAGGATGTTAATTTCAATCTCTTTTATTTTTAAACAATAAGAAATTTTTGTAGTCCCTTACTTAAGCACTTTCTTCACACAGAAAAAACCCAATTACTATTATTGGGTGATCAATGGAGAAATAGGTAGGAAGATAAAAGTGCAGCACCTACCAAAACGCTAGGACCTTGTGTTAAAAACTTGTTTCAAACAAAAAAGAAAAGAAAAAAGGCAGCAACGATCCTTCAGTCTAAGTGCTCCTAATGACGGAAGTTTAACAGTATCACACTGTAACAAATAATGATGAAATTCTGTCGCTGGCCCTCGTCTTGTAATGCTTTCAATCCATGTAAACAAGATGCAGTATGCTAGAGAGAGAGCTGTTGGCAGTCTGTTTTGCCGTCAAGCACTTCATCAGCCTCTTTGATGGCCTTGCTATTCGCCACATACCGATCCCAAATCTATGCCACACATTCCAAATACTGCATCCGACCATTTCTCGCCAAAACATGACTAGATACTTATAAATTCTCTCACCACTTACCACCGATATGCCTCAGATCGAATAAAGGCAGAGCGTTGTCGTTGATGTATTGTACTGTGCCGGACAAACCACTTAGAGAAAAAGGCTTTTGATTTGAAATTTTCCAGCTCCGATTCCAGGGTGAACAAACTAATCTATCACCCATCCCCTATTTTATGCAATTTTTCCTGAAGTAATAACGCAGTTATATGCAACGTTCCCACTAACAGACCAAAACGCTTCTTCCCAACATCATTGAACACTTGGCCGCTTTCCTATCCAAATGTTTGACACACCTCAAAGGCAGTCTGTGATTGATTGATTTGGCCGACTATATAAACCATTTATAACGATGGGCAATGCCTTGCAACCTTTACCGTGCCAGTACATTCTTGTCACTGACAAGTGTTTTAAGCATCAGATTGGATATCTGTGATCCTTTCCCTCCTTTTACTGGATTAACTATCAGGTTGTCTGTAAAGACCGTCACACACCATATAGCCACACCTCCACTAACGGTGGATCGACCAGTTTACCACTACTACCACGATCAAGACTCGCAGTTCGTATCTGCCATTTTCTTGGATTCAGACCGTTCAATTAGTTGTAATTGTGCAAAGACTGTTGCTAGTCATCCTGCCACCAACGGATTCCGTAAACACTTACCACCGGCCAGTTTCCATGTACTGTAAATTGGATTTCTCCATATTTTCCCATTTGGAACTCGCTCTACCATGAAAAATATTTTCAGTTACCAAATTCCTGAATTAGTGCAACACGTCCAGCCCTTATGGGGAATTTCCACTAATCTTTCAAGCATTTTTGAGGTCGACCCAATTAACTCCCATATCTACGCACCTATCTGAGAACGAATCTTGATTCCCGGTGTTGATCAAGTGTAAAGGCAATGCTACATTGCTGCGAAGGGTGAACGTCTACACATATTTTAAATCGCAACAGGTTTTGGACTGACACTCATAATTTAAGTTTAGATACACTAAATAACAACCAAAGGGTAAAAAAAGGAATTATAGCCTCATTTGTCAACAAGTGACTATTTCAAAAACCCATGTAGAGGGCGATTTGCGCTGTTACCCACAATTCAATTTAAATATACTTGCAAAGCGCGGCCGAGCAAAGGTCAATAATTATGGAATTGTGGCAAACAAGAGCAAAACGTCCGAATTATTGATGCTACTCTATGCTGCATTTAACTCTGCAATAAAGTGCTGGGAAACACACTAATCCTCAACTCTTCGAAGGAGAATCTAAATGTCACTGGTCATCATATAAAAGCAATTAAACCAGGTATAATGCAATTTACATTTCTGAGCCTGATTCACTCCATACATTCATTCAAACCATTCGCAAGAGCGGATTTGTTTCCATTAGCGTTGAGGTCCATTAAAACGCGGTGATCTAGGCAAATGAAATCAAAACTATGTGCAAATGTAGGTGGGTGTTGCTGATTATTATCAACTAAATTATTTTGTTACTGTTTTACGGGAAATCAAAAGATTTTCATGGGACCTCTATAAACCATTATATAGATTATAAATCAGGCAAAATTGCACCTATGCTTAGCCTCAAGATGAATAAAGTTTATATATTTTTTAACAAGCCACAATAAAATTTAAAACTATCTTAATCTGTTTAGCTTAAAAACTGTTCTTTTTACGCCTTATACAGTACCCCTAGGTATTATAAATATACGTGACTGTCAATATAAACTTGGCAACTGTGACAAGTGATGTACTCTTTTGTCAGTATATTGAACACCTCCAATTTCCGTTTCATAGTGTATACCGTTACAGCACTCTTCAGCCAGTTGGGAGAAAATTCGCCATTGTGCCAGAAATATGCCAAAGAACTTCTCACAAGTTTAATGATGTCAACAATCGTGATAAATCGTTGCACAAATTTCAGTGGTGCTTTAGTAAGGTGGATATTTTCTGAGGGAAATGCTAGGCTAAATGGTTTCAGCCAGCACCTCATCATAAATATCCGAAAAGTTTGGTGGGTTACTAACGGAAATAAAGCGAATTCATTTTTCTTGCTCTCAAATCAAGCCAAAGCCTTCAAAGAATACAGAATTTTCATGCTTAATATACGAATAAACAAAATATTCGTCTACCATATGATCTGGCCTTCTGGGCAGCGTTTGTGGCACCTCTTGTGGCAGCTCGTCTACTTTAGTCGCTAAGCATCTTAGCGTGTTTCATGCTCCGCAAGGAGGACATGAAGATGCTACAGTTAGTTTGCATCATGGTGACTTCGTACCTTATTTTATTGGCAAAAGCATGTGCTTTGGGTTTGGCTGAAAATTCTGAATATCACTTTGTTTGGAAAGCGAAATTTAATGTAGGGGCCTCATTTGGGGTTCAGTGCTAAAGGCCTATTAAATGCTCTATAGCGGACACTTTCCGTATTTCAATTACTTTTCAGGAGTGTTTGCCTAAACTTGGAATGGGGAGGGGAATTATAATGTCTCAGACTATGAATTCAGCTAAGGGCGGTCGTATATAACAAGCACGGTAATTGTTCAATTATCACTAATGGGACTGATTTGTGATGGCTCAAGTCACATTAATGTGCTAATTTTGGCAATAAACTTACTCAAGCTCTGCCCTGCGGCGTATTCAATCCACAGAAGATGAGGACACTGAAATGCGATTGGTCAGCTTCACCATCCCCACTTAAATCGAGACTTCCCATTGGTCCAAATGGGGAGTCGATGGCACGCCTTCTTCCTCACCTATTTTGTCCTGCCCAGTCGCCCATGAGCTTCTCAATGCGGAAGGTAAGATGTTACAGCAAATACTTTTCCATGGTCTGCTAAGGAGTCGAGTTTGTCTTTTACATTTTTAGGCCCCTTAAATTAACCGCTTGATTCGTTCGGGCGTCTGGTGTTGGCCATTGTCAACTGCAAAATGAATATATTCTTTTGAAGAATTAGCTAGACATCATTTTATCATGCTTCCTAAAGAAGAAAACAGAACAATAACCGTTTCTTAGGGGGAATCAATCTAAAATTAAGCGTTTCTTGGATGTTAACACGAAAACGCGGATAAATGAACTTGGCTGCAACAGCAAATAGTAGACCTAATGACAGCAAATCGTTTCACATACTTCTGGTAAATAAACTAAACTAAATGGAAATGCCCAAAAAGATGTGCAGTTACTCTTGCGACCCTCTCTAAAGTTCCACTTCCATAGATACTTTATCAAAGGAAAATGTTAGAATCCACTGTAACTCCGCGACTTCCCTGAAGATGAAATATAAAATACGGAGGGAAAAGTGTGCTACCAACGTACAGTGGGGCTTGGGACTACTGACATTGTCCGGAGACCAGGCTGCCTGGCGGAAGCACACCGGTTGAGCCCCTAGGCCGCCCCTTACCGAAACAGAGAGTTAAGCAATTGAAGTATTGTACCCCTGTTGAGTGAAAAAGTTTTGTAGAACATAGCCTAAATGTTTTTTAGAATTAACTCGACTATACCTCCTTCCGCAATTTGGTTTTTTCGTAAACGGCCAGCTAAAGCTGACCTGTCAGAATTGGTACTGATTTGCTTTTAAAAGGTTAAAATTTTCTACCATCTGCACCAACTTAAAAACCAGCATTTCAAAAATTTCTTTTCAAAGATATTTCAATTACTCTTGTGTACTGTCTGGAATTCTCCTTCTCGGAAAGTAAACATAGCCTGTCCACTTTCACGGTAAACAATCCATCTGCATTCCCTTTAAAGGCCCATTTCCCGTGCAGTCAAATGTTAAAACTGAAAGGCTGAATGGTCGGTTTTTAGGAAAATAAATAAATAAACTGGTAAGTTAGTTTAAACTTTGCGCTGCCCTAGTCGATATTGCTCATTTAAACAAAACCTGGCATTTTCGTGGAGGCAAATATTTCCATGGATAAACCTTAACATTAGCTGATAAAATGCACCAATACATTACCTGGGGCCACCTTTCACCTGCCATTGGTGTCGGTTGACAAAGCCCCTCACTTGACGTATAACCAAGAAAAGTAGATTCCCTCAGCGTAACCAGTTCATCCGTTTCATCGATGTTACTACTTTCAACAACACCATTAATAAGTACGATTGAAATTTTTCTTTGTTAATTCACCATTCTAGTTTATTGTTTTCAACCTTCCCCTTATAAAGATGAGAAGTTTGCTCGTAATGTGTGTGTGCGCCATGGTAGCATCAGCAAGAGGCAGCAATTACGATGCCTACATGGCGGATTTGGATCTTCGAAACCGGGAGGTGCACGATGCCTTCCGTCGGAGCTATCCCAATGGCGCTTACGTTCTGGACTACGTGGTTACCTCACCGGATTTTTACCAGGTGAATCCAATCCTCCGGGAATACGAAAGTGGGGAGGATTACGAAGGTAATTGCAGCGTCATTCGTGTAAATGTGTTTTCTCCATACTTTTGAAGGATTGGCATTTTGGCTCGTAGAACTCTGTTGTAAGATTTCGATGGCAGCCTTTATGCAATTTATGCGCGTCTCCTGGGGCATCCAGACTGCTGCATACTGCCACTGGTGAAAGGGGTAAGAGGAGAATCCGATGGTAATAGATGCGCCGATTTACTGGTTTTGCAGACATGGCCAACAACGACGCCTGGGACCGCCTGTTGGGTAGCCTCGCGTTTGCCCGGGATATCGCGGTTGATCCGGACACCAACATGGCTGCGAAGCGTTTCCAATCCTGGTTGTCTGAGCAACAGACATCGACAACCAACAACACACCAGCTCGGGCGCTTGTCTACCCAGCTTACGCAGGAAGCGAGTTCGCTCCACAGGATTCCACGTGGGGCACTCATCGAGTGTCTGGCGGTTCCTCCGAGGTTGGTCGATGGATGGACTATGCGGTGTTTGGGGCACAGGCCCAAGAGGAAGACGAAGACGATGACAGGGAAGAAGTGTTGATAGCACCGAAACCGAGACCGAAATCGGAAGTGAAGATGGACCAGCTGCCGGCCTACTGTGACCCCCCCAATCCCTGCCCCATTGGCTATGATCCTGCCATCCTAGCCACACCCTGTGACGGAGGTGTAGTCAACACGGCGGAGTTTAATAGGAACTGGATCCTGCGAAGAATGCAAAATGGCGAGTGCTTGTGCGATGAGGAGCACATGGAGTCATGCCCGAGGCTGACTCGGGGCAGCAAAGGAACACTCAGAAGTCTTCACCGGGTGAGCAAAGCACCCCATTATTATATGCGTTAGAAAGCAATCAGCTGAGACCTAATTTATAACCTTGACCTTTTTCCCCCTTTTAGCCATCAGGGGTGAAAATTTACGTAGTTGTGCTATATTATAAAAAAATTACGCCTTTGTTAATTTCAAGGAAGATTGACTGTGAAGGATATGAGACGAACAGGCTACTTCGTGATCTTTTCGTTATCGCCTCTTGCACTTTGCGATCTGCAAGAACCGAAGATATTCACACGATGTGTGTGGCGCCCTGAGACTTCCTTGAAGTCGAAAGAAGAGACGAAACACGGCAAGAATATGTATTATCGACGTACAGAAGGGCTGGGGGGTGGGGAGTACCGGCACTGCTAGGATGCCGGACCGCCCTGCGGAGGAAAGTGACGGAGTCCCTCAGTGGCCCGTTACCAAAACCAACGTATTACATAGCCCCTTTCCCCCCATAATCTAATCGGAACGGCCGAGCCGAAAGTCATAGACAGGTTGGCAGAAGAAAATACAATAAATTTGTCAGGTAAAACGGGTAGCCACTTTGAAAAGTTGAAAAACCTTATTAGAAATCACAACGGTAAAAAACTACCCCGGCACGCCTCCGATTTGAAATGGAACCCAATTTGTTTTATCTAATTCTACTTTTAGAAGGCTTCATCTTCTGGAGAAAAAAAGCATTAAAAAAACTTGTTTTTGTCGCATTCTACTGAAGAATTCGGCTAAAGTTTAAAAAGGCGATAGATGAAATCTCGCACTACTTAGTGATAAAGAGGTTGCTTGATGTTTCATTAATGAGAATATCGCTAAACTCTGTTCTACTTCCCTTTATTGTTTTTATACCTATATTTGAATTATGTTTCTGCCATTGCAAAGCCGCTATGCATGTCATAAAGTGTGACTTGAGGTCATGTTATGGCTTTGAACGCTCTGTCCTCATAAAATAGGACGTCAACAAATTGTGGGCATTCTTTACAAAGACCGCATTATCTAACCAAATAAACATGCAAATGTAAAAGCCCCGACAATGAAGACCACCTCATAAGGAAGATGAGAGAAAATCGGAGTAAATCTCGATCCAGCTTGTCAACACTGACGCAAAAATCGCAGTTTGCGCGGCTCTGCCGAGCCTTCTATCAGGAGAGTCAAAGCAATTTTGCTGGATTACATAGGAGTGCTTTATTCGATTCAACGATTCTACGTAGACGGAGGGATGAAAAAGAGCCTTTTTCAGGTGGTGTTTGATGAAGCATAAAATGAACTCTCCTTTTCCCGAAAAAGCATAGTTTAAAGATGCCAGTAACCTTGGTCTTGAATTATATCTCCCTCGAGGTGGGTAGTTCTTTTCCATATTCCTATACTTAGGCTACCCTACCATCGGGTGAGCAGCATAGGAACCAAATTTCTGCTCGCGTCGATTGACTAAGTTGTAGCTCCTCAAGACATTCCTGTAGACGAAGGAAGACAATGCGCGGGCAGGATATGTATTGCCGACGTAGAGGAGGGCTTGGTGCTACCGGCATCGCCCGAGGGCCAAGCCACCCGGCGGTAGTACATTGGAGGAGCCACTCAGTGTCGCGTCACCAAGACCGAGAGTTAAACAAACAATTATTAAAGTATTACACAGTGTAAACCGTAAAGGATGGTAAAATAATGCGGTCTTATAGAATGACTCACACCGATTAGTTCAAAAGTTGATTTTCATCTACATTTGCTTTTATAAAACACATTTCTCTTGGCAGACAGCCGAGAGTCGCCATTTCCCTTTTTCTACTAAGTGAAAATTGTTACCAGAGGTGTCTTTAGCGTGACTGAACGCGATGTTCCGTTTAGCTTAGTTAATGCCCATAAATTTGCCTCAGATCTCACAGTGAAGGTTGTAAGAATCGGTTTGACCCTTCTCTCAATGTAATATCCAAAAGTCAAATTACACAGAGAGTGGTGTTTTACAGAACGGGATCTTTCTCGCGAAAAACGGAAGGTACTCCAGGCTCCCTTAACCAATAGAGTCACGAAGTGGCTTATGCTTGCCTTGAGTTAAATTTTCTATACATACAAACGTGAAAAACATTAATGGAAATTCAAATGAGGTTGAGCCAATAAATGAAGTACGGAAATCCCACTTGTTTGATTTTTTTGTCGATTAACCTTTTTGAGACCTCAAAAAGCACAGACTGCTCCATTTCGTTGAACGATTATACCTAGCTGTTCAGGTGAGAAACACTTTCCTTTGCAATTAGATGGAGGGCAAAACAGAAGCGCGCTTGGCTTAGGCTGACAGTATGCAACTGTGGAGTACTTACATAGTTATTAATCTGAATTTAGTTAACTACTACTTAATTATATGGGAGGCGTCACCTACTTTACCAATATGGATTGATTAAGCCAAACTTGTATAAACGCTGATAAAACGCCGCTAAACCACCCAAGGAAGGTGTCATGCTTTAGCCACCTAAAACGGTAAAAACTAGAAATGTGTACACGACAATGCAGAAGAGAGCTGAAGGGGTAAACCATTTGCTCAAGTGGTCGAACGAGGAAACCACTCTCGCAGGTTCGCATCTCGCTGCCTTAACCTATTGACCCAAGGCTGAAAAGCCTATAGTCGCCACCAGGACAATCTAGTGACATCCCACTTGTACTAAAGTGCCTTCAAACACCTGCATTACCTGTCCTTTTATTAAATAAAACAATTTCCCCACCGACTACAGCGCAGACTTCAGGAGACACTTCTCGGGGAAAATCCCTATCTTCGTGGTCACAAACGCTCGGACGTGGTGGCAAAGAAGAACCACCACAAGCCCAGATCAACGGTAAGACCCCCCCATTCCCTCCAAAGAACAGCAAAAGGAAGCACTGACTTAGTCCTATTTTTTTGTAACTTTAGATTCACGAGAATCCCTACTCTGGGGGCAATCGACTACGAAGTATAGTCAAGAAGGCGGGACCCCGTTTCTCAAGAGGCTAACATACCGAACATCCCTTGGCAATAGTCAATGTCATATTCTAGTATCGTCTCTAGTCACGTGTTTTAGCAATCATTTATACATGTCCATTTGTGATCTGTTACTGTCCGAGCGTATACGTCTCAATCTATGTCAAACTAGAGAAAATACAAAAAATATTTATTACTTTCTTGAATTCCGACCAGTAATCTCGACATAAAAACGCTGGTCACACGCCGGTAGAGCCATATCCATTGGCACCGCGTTTTGTTTCATCCAGAGTCTGGCATTCCTTTAGAGAGGGTATGAAGATGCGCTCGCAGATAAGTTGAGCGATCCGGTCACCCCGTTTGACGTGGAAGTCTTCGTCACCAAAATTGAAAAGGATCACCATGATATTGCCACGATAGTCCTGATCTACAACTCCGGCACCCACGTCGATGCCATGCTTCAGAGCCAATCCACTGCGGGGAGCTATCCGACCATAGCAGCCGGGGGGCAAAGCGATCTAAGGGGGTCACGAATGCGGAAAGGGGATGGTGAGCGTACCTGAATGTCTGTGTTGATCAGCGTACGGCCGCCAACTTTAACTACACAGTCAACAGAGCTGTAGAGGTCGTAGCCGGCTGCCAACTCAGAGCCGCGGGTAGGGGTGTAAGCGAGGTTAGAGACTTTACGAAAGCGAAGAACCGGTTGATCGAGAACGGCAGTAGCCATGACAGAAATGAATTCTAAGAAGTGAGAATTTTCGAAATGCAAAAGCGCTCCGTGCCATTTAAACAATCAGTTAAAATCATCCTAACTAACAACATAGACACTACAGTTAAATGTTCAGAAAAAAATAACATCTAATAGCACTTCGTAGAGAACTCGTCTGAGACACTTAAGAACCGCAAAAAAACAACCGTATACTACATTTTGCAGATGTAGACGACCAGGAACTGAACAGACGAGACAAATCTTACGCACAAGAACCACTTAAACTATGTAACCATACATATTACCTGAAAACCGACGCAGAATGAACAAAAAGCAGACCGCCACTATTTAATTTCGAAGGTCCTAAGAGCTAATACAATTGGTGCAGAAAAATCGCCTTTTTCTTGAAGAAGTGTTTTGGTAACCAGTAGTTTTGAATTTAAAATTTATTTGCCTACAATTAAATATTTGTACCTCTAAATGCACCATACTTAAGGAAGAAGAAATATGCCGGTTTCAAGACATTGGTCTGAACAGTTCCAAATATCATAGGCAGACTCCAAAAAATAGGTTAAAAAGAAAATCAAGCAAGACCGAAAAAAGCAGTTTTAAGTGATTTTGCTGCCACTTAGGTTTTAAGTGAAGGCTATGACAGTCACTTCCGACTGACCGCATTAACATCCATGGGAAATATTGATTTCATAGGAAAGAATTATTGCCTTGTCCAACCGTGCTACCAAGGATTTTAAAGTTATTTGAGCTTATTTTAGTTCGGATATAATTTTTGAATGCACTTACTCTGACTTAGGAGGCAGTGAGTTTAAGCCTTACATTGAAGCATCTCGTCCTTGGGTTCCTAAGAGAACGTACCCAATTTGTCTTGCAGTAATTTATTTTTACTATCCAAGATCAATTTATGCCCGGCAGGAACTCTCCTATCCCCACTATACACTTCATGGTGGCAGATTTTGCTAGCCCTAAATTGTTAGCCAAACACTCCTTTGGAACCCCAGCTAGAGGTACATTTGGTAGCTTTACTGTTGTTCAGACATGGATGCCGAACAAAACTAACCAAAGACACAAAACACGGAGATTAAAGCTGGGTCCGCGCTTGGTAGCTCGACGGCTTCAGCACTAAACGGGACCTGTGAGACACCACAATCCCCACTCCGTAGGGCACATCGTACTTGACGCATACATGAGAGTATTGGTGGTGGAAACGAACAACAGGCAGAATCTACCTCGCCAGGGGATTGGCCTTAGGAACTAAATAATACGAGACTAACGCTGACCGAGCACATGCGGACGATGACCCCTTACGTGCACACAGGCACACCCCACGCTGTTACCATGGTAAAGCAACATCATTTCTACTAAAGTAATGATTATCGAAAAATGAATACAGCAAACGCAAAATGGCTCTCATAACTAGTTGTAGGTCATGTAGCGGGGCGTAGCACTGAACTTTGCATAAGACTTGATCACCTTATTCACTGCATCCAGGAAATCCTTCTCTGTGGCCATCTTGCAGCGTGCTCGTATGGCGAACATCCCGGCCTCAGTGCACACGCTTCGAATTTCAGCGCCTGTGAGTAGATGCAGAGAAAACAACCATTGCTACATAATGCCCTAAGACACCAATAACTTATGATAGAAGAATTAACATCACAAGTGCTTATGGATCAAGGAAAGTGAGAAGGCTCACTAGATAAAGCGAACTAGAGTGACTTCAAATACTTTTATCAGCATCAGCTCTCGATCCGATCAAAGCGTTAATTTGATTGCTAATGATTAAATCAAAGTTAAATCATCATGCTTTTAGCAACAGCACTGATTCTAATTCAGTAGCAATAACCCGTGCCTAAAACTCTCAAGCATGAAAGACACAAAAATCTAACACTAAGTACCTGAACAACCGTATTTTACACGGAAAGGAGATAGTGCTTTAGCAATTAGCAAAAGTTGAAATAAAAAGACATTTGCGCTATTAAGATTTCCAAGACAAAGCACAATATGGACACGCATACCAGTGCTATTTGGGCATAAGCGAGCCAAAAGCTCATAGCGAATATCCTTCTCCACGGACATTGACCTTGCATGAATCTTGAAAATATGCGTCCTGCCTGGAAGATCAGGGAGACCAAACTCGATTTTCCGGTCAAGACGACCCGGACGAACGAGAGCAGGATCAAGGGTGTCTGGTCGATTGGTTGCCATGAGTACTTTAATGTTGCCCCGAGGATCAAAGCCGTCCAACTGGTTAATCAGTTCCAACATGGTTCGCTGCACCTCATTGTCACCACCGGCACCATCGTCGAAACGGGCACCACCAATAGCGTCAATTTCGTCAAAGAAGATAATGCAGGCCTTCTTGGAGCGAGCCAGTTCAAAGAGCTCACGCACCATTCGAGCCCCTTCACCGACATATTTTTGCACCAACTCCGAACCAATTACACGAATAAAACAGGCGTCTGTACGGTTGGCGACTGCGCGTGCACACAGCGTCTTGCCGGTGCCGGGAGGACCGTAGAGCAACACGCCTTTTGGAGGCTCTATGCCGAGACTGACAAATTTTTCCGGCTGCAAGTGCAACAATGCGAAAATACTAACGTCAATCTAGATAATCCCCACCTGCTTAAACGATATGCTAGTCAAAGTAAATGATGCCTTGATTACCCAGGATAAATAACTGTTTACGTCTATATAAGTTCAGGTAAAACAAGCAACTTAATTGCGGTACAAATCAGGGATGCAATAAACCAGAAAGTTGTATAAAAATTGCATAATATTTCCACTTACGTGGAGAAGGGGAAGCTCGACAACTTCTCTCAGCTTCTCAATCTGTTCCTTGCAACCACCGACATCACTGTAGGTTACATCCGGTTTATCCTCAACTTGCATCATAGTAACAGAGGGATCGATCTTGGGAGGTAGTGGAATGTGAATTTGATACTTGGTTCGATCCACACCCACACGCATCCCTTCTTCAATATCAGTTGGTGCCACGGATTCAGCTAGATCAACGACAAACTTGGCAAATTGCTTCACATTGATGATGTACTTTGGCTCCTCAGAATCCGCATTTATTATCTTTGTGCATCGCGCAACCTGAAGGGGATGGTCACCTAGAAAAGATTTATGGGGCGAAAACATAAAAGCTTACTCGATAAACAAACTTTATCAGCAACCAGATCCCAAAGAGCAGGTGGAGCGAGACCAGTGTCTGATTCCTTAATGCCTAAGTGAAGAAGTAATAAGCATAGCATTAACAAACCAGTAAGTTCATTGACACGCTTCATTATACTGTTAATATCATCCTCACACTTCTTAATTTCCTCATTGTAGGGAGCAGCTCCCTGGAGAAATTGGAAGTAAAACTAGCTTACATATGTCTTCAAAAGAGCGATATCACCTTCGTCAAGAGCTAAAGAATAAACCATAACAAAAAGGGGTTACCCTTTATCTCCTTCTCATCTTTATCATCTTTAACGCGCCTCTGATCCTCTCCTAGATAATCCTTACCCATTTTTGACTGCAATGACGGCTGCTTGGAATTTTCAAGGCTGCTGTACGATTAAGCAAAATAATGAAAACAACGGCAAGCTGTTTAATTGAATATATGAATAGCAGGTAAACACTAGCATTATTTAGATATTTTTGCTAATTTCAAAGCATCAAATATAATGTGCGTTTACTTTAGCGTTGAGTCCAAAAAGTGCAAGCATTTAAAATTTTTGAATAGCCGCTATAAGGTGGTGGTTCAGCTGAATCATTGTGAACATGAAATGGATCCAGACAGGGTTACCGCGACTTCCGGGTATGGTTTGCCCCTGTCAGCAGTAAGGAAGTCCGTGACCAACAAAAGTGCATATGTCGGTGGCAGTGTACACGAAAGCGTAGCAAGAGCTGACGAGGCCTGATTCTTCTCCACTTCATCTGATTCGGATTCTAGGAGAAGGTGGTTCGGTTAGGTATTCCCTGGTTCGAAGCAGCCTCGGGAAACAGTCTCAAGTGTTACAATCCCTAGTCTTGGGCACCCCTACGTTTAAATCTTTCACTGTTTTCTCTTCTTGACGGCGTTGGGTAGCTTCATCAACACATTCTTCTGCCATCAACAATACTTACGCGTACATCCGTGCGGATAGTCCAGTCCAAATACTTACCGCACAATTTCCCCCTTTAGTTAGTTGACAATATGTCCTTGTATCTAACGCGTGCACTATTCCCTTGATTCATTGGGCAGAAAAGTGTAACTTCCTAGCCTTCATCTCTCTGGCCTGTGCAGTCTCTGTGGTGCCCAGTAATTGTCCCAGATGTAAGGGAATTTCGGGCTATTTATTTTCGGTTGGTTGAGTTTTTTTTGGCCTTTAGTTTTATGCTTTATGTAGCTCACTAAATGAGCAGCTTTTAATAATGGTTTATTTGCACACCGTTTTATTAAGTCTGATTTATTGAATTTGTTCTCGTGGTGATTTGTCTTCCACTTTTATCCCTATCAAACTCTAATTGTGGTTTCGTTGTTAGCTTCACAGCTATCATTCTTTGTCTTTCTTAGATGATTCTCACAATATTTTAACAATCACACATGACTGAAGAGGGCGTTATCGATATTCATTGGGATTTGACCGTCAGGAATCGTGAAGCTTCCTTGCAAGTCCTTTTCTCTTGTAATCTTGTCTTTCTCTGTAATGATAGGAGGAAATCTGAGTGGCCGGATAAAATCGATGATTGTACATTTTCTGATGCCCTTTCTATTTTGCGCGAAATCGAGTTGAATGCCGACAAGGAGTTTTTGATCAGGAAATATGCCTGTGAATTACTTTCTCAAAGCACCACTCCACCTAAATGCCAATATATTGTAAAAAAAAATTTGTTTTATTTCCTGAAATTGTTAAGAAGGTTAAAGATCTTGTTCAGAAAGCAGTTTCAACCTACACTGATTTACTGGGCGGTGCATTGGTGGTGGCTGATGATACCAAAATGACAACCCGAATCAAGGGCCGCTCTCTTTTCTCAATCATTCGATACACTCCTTCTCGCCTCAAGGATGAGTATTTTCTGCAGTTTGTTTTTTATCAGGTAGATTTTTTCTATGCCATCCTCATCCTCACATAGATAATCTGCCTCCTCGAGTACTTCCACCGACGAGGTATTCCGTATTTGAATCTGGAAACAAATAACGTTTTTGTGGATGAGCTCTTGCAAGTCAGCATTGCGCCCCCTTGTTTACAGAGCTTGGACAAATGCGCTGAAATTGAGACTGACCAAACTGCCTCTCAGGATGTTACTTCGCATATTCAATATTCAGACGAATTTCATGATGTTCTGAGTGGATGGATTCTTAGAAAGGTAAAAATGTTTTGAACAAGATGTGAATAATTTTTAGTGCATTCTTAGCGTTGCTGTAATTACCGCTATTGGCTTACTGTGGAGATCTTGATCGGTGTAATAAATTTGATCTCGGGGTGGAGTCGAAGTCGGAGCATTTAAGTGAAATTTCACTGTTTTAACATTACAGATCGCCTTTTTGCTGTGAACGGTTGAGATGAAATAATTTTAATTACAGTGTAATTGAAATAGAGGAGATGATATACTTTGGGAAGAATGCATGATTGCTGAGCTGCCTAACCTTGTCATGACATTACGTCACACATCTGTCGATTAGGCCGCTTAATCTCCCGACTCGTTTCGAAAAGTAATTCGAAAGAACGTGGACCACATTATTCAGAACGAAAAGTACCACTTTTCCGATTTACATGGAAAGATTAGGGAAGATTTTGGCTTTTCATATCTAAATAACTAACAAGGAAGTTTACTCCTCCTTTCTTAACATCATCCCCTTCAATTATTGTCCCGCCGAGATTACAATTTCGTCTATATCACATGATTAAACCATAAGCTATTGAAATTATGCTCTCCATTTAGTTAAAAACTCCCCTTCGTCTCTCGAGCCTTGTTCTTCTGGATTATAATGTAGTCGAAGTAGTCGCGTCACCTTGGACATTGAATCTTGTAATCATCCTCCTAGACCTACCTTGTTTATTAAACAAAATTATCATTATCTTCACGGATATTCCAAAAGGTTGAGAGATTATTTTACGTAAAATGACTTCTCACATCTAATCAGGAAAGCTTTTTCTTAATATGATCCTTCTCTCCTGACTCGTGACTTTTATTTGACTTTTTGTACGGATTTTTGTGCTACTTCTAACATCTGCCACGCTGCTAGACGCTGAGTTCCAGTAAAACTGCCTTTCATGTCTGGTCAGAGAATTTCCCTTTTTTCATTGCTCATTCTGCTAGTTGATATTATCCTTTAGATTATTTATTCACCTTTTACTTCAAGGAACAAACCTAATGGATGAACTTCATTGTCTCTGACTGAATGCATAAATTACTTTTCTCAATACGAGGAAAGTCACTGAATCATCTTCTGCCACTCATATTTCATCCTCCCAAAACTGTCTTCGAGGTGATGTTATCACTCAGGTCACAGGCTCTGCCAAAATGGTGTTTCTCCCTTCATAGGTCTCAAATTACGACTACCTAATGTATATCAATCGTCTCGCAGGTAGGAGAGCAGGTGACGCCACAGCCAGCGCCGTGTTACCCTGGGTAACAGACTTCTCTTCTCCTCAGGATGGGACACAGCATCTGCGCGATCTAACTCGCACCAAGTTTCGCCTGACAAAGGGCGAGCACCAGTTGGATGCCACTTACCTTCACCTTGACCAATCGGATCCATCGGCTCTGGCCCGGGAGGGTGGCAAAGTGGAGCCCTTTCTGCCTCACCACCTCCTTGATATGATGCCAAATCTTGCCTACTACACTTATAAGGTACGATGTCGCTAGTGCTACGTTTAATCCTTTCATGTCAACACAAGTATATATGGCTATTGAGTTTGTTTAAATCAATGCACGAGGTTTCATTTGCCGTCGAACTAAGTGGACGAAGTGGGTGTAAGCCAAATTGTTGTGCTATCGTATCTCAAATGCGAACTGATATGCCTAATTGGATTGTTAAATGCACTTCTGTTGCCTTAATGGTAAATTTTCATGCTTGTAGGAAGAGGATAAAGCCGAAAAGGGCGTAGCAAACAATGGAACATTAAGTTCATGTCTTTTGTCGCTCACAATGGACTGTCCATTGCTGTATTGGAGGTGTGGTGATCAGCCGCACTATTTTGCGAGAAACACATGGAATACCATTATGTTTAGGTCGTCTATTGACCTATTTTAGTCGACTAATCACTTGTCATAGTTTTCTTCGTCTTTTTTGCATCAGCGAATTGACCAGGTCTCAAGGAGCTTTAAGCGATAATGGGTACTGTAAGTTTAACCACCGAGTAGACAACGTTAGCTTAGTTTCAGTGCTTCATCTTTGTCCAACCAACACAATATGTAATTTCTGAGCTGCTTTTGAAAGAAATCCATCGTATTCCGTCGCATGTAACAATTGCTTCTACTTCGGGTCCCAATTTTGTGCAATGATAGCCACTCAAGAAGACCATGAAACATTTGTTTAGTCAACGCGATGAAACCTACCCTGCTATTTAGTTTCAATTTTTTGGCAGATCAATTCTAACAGTTCAAGAATATTTTCTTACACATCTGATATAATTTGGCCTAAAATATTCAATGCACCAAACTCGCGACTAGGTTTAAAATCACCAGCAGATTTGAACTTTAAATGCTATTGTGTTGATACCCTTTTAGCTTGGCAATTAAGCGTTCACTGAGAACCTGGTTACTTTGTGCTTAGATCTGTGGCTCAAAAAGAGTCAAGATTGAAACATGTGCCTCTAACTGTAACGGCAGTAGTACACAAGATGAAAAACCTGTACATCAATACTGGTTATCGGTCTCGACGATCTGACAACATGTTTGAATCGAGAAGAAAGACACGCCCATCCGAGTAGGTGGAATTGTAGACAAAAGTGCGTTTTAATTGTCTTCAGGTGGAATTTAAAAATGCCTTACTCAACGCATTGCTAAGCTCAATGTGTGGAACAGGGCTTTTTTTCATCCTAGGCTGGGAATAAGGATTTTTTAGATCGTTTTCGCTGCTCATAATAGCACAACTTATCTTAGTGTCCTAATTATCATTTACAGGCCCGACAAACCTCCGTGGAGAACCTTCAGCGTTACGTCCGTCCAGTATACCGGCCCGAAGAGTTCCCCACTAGCCTCCAGCGGCTCTACGCTACAACCCCAGAGGAGTGTATCCCGGAGTTCTTCACTGATCCCACCATCTTCACTTCAATCCACCCTGACATGCCCGATCTCCAATTGCCTGAGTGGTTTTCCGGTTCCACTTCTGACTTTCTTAATTACCACCGCAGCGTTCTGGAATCAGATGCAGTCTCAGCCAACCTGCATCACTGGATTGATCTTACTTTTGGCTTTAAGCTCCTTGGTGAAGCGGCTGTCAGTGCGAAGAACGTGCACCTGGAATTGGTCTCCCCCAACCCTCCATCAAACAGTCGTGTGACTTGCCTCTTCTCTTTGCCTCATCCGCGGCGTGCCGGCCCCGGGGACGATTTAATCGAGGTTTATGAGGAGATGTCTGATTTTTTCGTCAAAATATGTGCTTGTCATCCACCGGAAATAGCAAAACTTCAGCAGAAGCAATCGCGGCAGTCTTCTGTCGACGCCTTATTGAAAATGGACCTAGAAGACCTCGCCTGTCTTATCACTGAGGTGGCAGTAGGCAGCACCATTCCAGGTGTTATTCCACAGTTAGAAGGCGTTAAAAGATCTACTCGACTGCAACGGGCTCGTCATCTCTTTACTACTTACAAATCTACCATTCCGAGTGGATTCAGCAAACCCGTGGAACTGGTGCTTTTTGATGCCACATGGGGCCAGCTTCCCCTGGGACTGATCCGCCGATGCGTCTTCGATGTGCCGCCGCATATTGTCGACATCTATCGGGTGCACATTGGACTCCACGCCCGCGTGACAGCTAGACTGGAGCAGATGCATTTGAAGGATGGACCGGCGCCGGGCGCTCTGTTGAATGTGTTTTTGGCGACGGGAACGCCACCGCAGAGGTTTGATTGTCCAGCAGGATTACTAAATCTCCTGACACCAATGTTGGAGAGGGGTATTGAGGAGGCTCTGGCCTGTGTTGCGAACGCGCTGGTTTCAGGCAGGCTTGTGCAGTTCTATTTGGCAATCGGTGGAAAAATAGCAAGTTGCCTTTTGAGAGCTGACTCTTTGATTAGCGCCCGGGTTATCCTAGTTACTTTTCAAGTATTTCCACGGTGTACTAAGGAATGGCGACTAGAGACAATGAGATCTTTGACAAGCTATTGAGGATTATTGATAGAGATATGGTAACTCGACCTCAGTGGGGGGCTTTTGTAAAGAAGTCTTCCTTGTAAGCGGTGAAGCGCCTTTGCACGTAATCTCACACTACACAAAACCTGTTTGATTTGGTTGGGAGGCTCTTACTCATTCATCATAACTGCTCTTAAGAATGGTTTTATTTTCGTTCTCTGTAAACCTATTCAACACGCCATGCTAATTTCAAATTTTCGAAAACTTCAAATCGGAAGATCTATTTCGTAATGTCTGATGTCGTGGCTGTAAGCTGACGTGGCTTTGATTTGCGCGCAGAGAGACCTTTTAAAAAGATAATTTGTACTGTGCAGAGAAGTTGGATAGTATATTTTAGGCGTGCCAAATCCTTTTATAAAAATGTCAATTTTAAAACACAAATGGATCTCTTCGCATACGCTCAATAAAACTCGGTTTTGTGATTATCTTCATCTGCTTATGCTAATATTCACTCAGATCTAATACACACTAAAGGTTTTACCACTCCTGGTGCATCGCCTCTGTAGTTGTTCCAGAAGCCCATATGACCTGTTTAATAGACTCGGGCGCTTTTTCATCGATGCGGCGCTTCAAAAGTACTGCTTATTTATGGTTGATAACGAAATATTTACTCTCTTTATATTGAAACACTCGAGAGAGAGAACAAGTATGATAAAAAGGAATATTTGGGGTGTGGTAAAAAAATAATTTTTTAGCTTTCATTAAGACTTCCATTAGATTGGCCCAACATTCGTCTGGAGGAAATACTTTAGGTACCTCGAATTGGGATTACAAGGGCATGCGTGCCTGTCAGGTGATCAAATTGTTTAGGCATTTACTGGTATAGCTCACTCCGATGAATTGTAATGTGTGGGGGTTTGTAAGATGCATGCGGTTGATGCACAGACTACGGAGGATAGATTATGCGCCAGTCTAATGCTACGGTATTCTCGTGCTCTCTACTATATCCTTCCTTTGAATTCATCCCTATATTTATAACTTGCCGTTTGATTATGATTGATGCGATTCGATCTTGTCTGCTCCACAGGCCGACGTTGACTCTTCTCAAGCTGTGGAAGTTTTTAGTCAAATTAGTTGCATATCACCTGAGAATGTGCAATGTGCTGTAGCAAATGATTGAAACCGAAAGTGCGGTTATGGGATGAAATCACTCAAAGATGAATAGGTTACGCTGGGAAGGCAAAACCTTCTTGGTGATCCTCAGAGTGGGGGGCTGCGTGTCACTATTGGCAAGTGAATTGAAGATTGGCGTGTGAAAAACAATTTTCGTTGGTGTTCGGTAGTGTTGAATGTATACGAGTAAAGCAAAGGTGGTTTCAAATCGTGACCAATGAGAAAGGCTATGGGAATTGAGCAAATGGGTGTGACATTGACACATGTATGGAAAGGTGACAATAAGCTTCCAAGGCTATGGCTCTGTTCTTTACTGAGAAATGTATTCTAGGTTGCTTGTTGATTGACTACCTGACTGGACTGTGATGAAAAGTGGCTTTGGTGTTTTTATTTTCAGTAGGTGAACAAGCGTGTCATTGATGCTCACACACACCTCTAAAATGTGCATTATCTTAGGCTTTAAAGACTACCTTCTTTGTGCACGTGTGGTGGGTTGTAGATGGGGTTGTTTACTTGCTTACCCTGTTTTACTTCAAGCCAAATAGTGAGCACTACTGCTTCCTATTTACTCCGTGCGACATGACTTAAGGGTGTTCATAATAATCCTTCCCTTCTTTTTCTTCCTCCTCTCTCGCTTCTCGTGCTTTTTCTTGGCTCTCCTGAGAAACTGTCAGAAGTAGTCACTGAGAAGAACGTTTTCCCCTTATTCGGACAGGACAATGTTAGGCCTCGTACTGTGCATTGCAAAGCGAGAAATTTACTCGTGGGACAATTTCTACTGGAGGAGAGGAGTGAGGGAGTGGAGAAAGGAACCCACATCTTCACATAATCTGTCCTGCCTTTCTGCTGCAGAAATCTATTCGATCATGTTAAACCATTTAAATAACTTGATTTATTTCGTTGCAATTCGTAAGTAATGAAAGGGAATTCCCTAGACATTTCTAAGAGTGACAAATAAGCCTGCATTCCCTCATTGTTCTCTGCGCTTTAGCATGATTACACACAGATATGTAGCTGCAGTACTTGATAATAGGAAGGTGACTTTTTTGTCACTCCTAGTAATCGCTTGCCAATTCGTGATCGTGTTGCCTGTAGTGTAGGTGTCCTATCAACCGTCGATTTGCTATTCAGGCTGTGGAGAAGTATCTCCTACCACTGGTTCAACGTCTCCTTGCACTTAACAGTCGACTATGCTCAAGGCGCTTCATCCGCAACCTTTTCCTCTCCACCCGATTGCTTCCTTTCCTCTCCACCGTGCCGACTCTCCTTGCCAACAGTCTCCTTTCATCCACACCTCAACCATCTTCATTACCTCCAGCCACCGTCAACAGCGAACGCTCAACCACCACCATCACCACTGTAGTCGACGACGCCTTCTGCAGAGCCTTCCTCCTCACCCCCGACACAAGGCACGCGTCTTTCTACTTCCTTCCTTCCTCCCTCTGTTCCAATGTTAAAGAGCTCATCTTCTTGCAGGGAAGACGTCAGCAGAAGTGGCAGTGTTCCATTGGCAGCAGCAATCCAAGACAGCTTACACTGGTTGGCCACCAGCCTTGGACCCTTGGCCACCGCGGCACACCTCGTGCCGCCCCTACTGGCCGCGTTGACCTGCTGCTACTGGGGTGAGGAGAATCTGACCCCGATTGTGGTCGAGGGGAGGGCCACACGACTAAACTATCGCATCCCCAAGAGCCCATTGCCCATGCCGGTGTACACCTCGGGGAGGGTGCTAAGGGGGGACACACAGGCTCCGGGAGTTCTTAGGTGCTTGGAGCGACTAGCGTGTCTCTACGGGGTGGAGGTGAGTTGCTCCCTCCTCGGTCCTGCCCATAGCATCAGAAGCTGATCATTCAGTGAATGTGCAGTCATTGCAGAATCGAGTTAGTTAGTAAGTTGAAGATCACCAATTTCTTCACCACTCAAGTCAAAGCAGTGATTGATGCTGCTACAACGGAACTGCTGGCACTAGTTTTGTTATGCATATTACTTATTCCAGAGCCAAACTTTAATATATTTCCAAGTGCACTATTTAGGCCTTAGGATGGCATATTATACCGTACCTTTGGCTGCTTATGCAAAAGTGATAAGAGGGGGTAGTTTAAACGATGAATGCACTTGTTTTGGTCTGATTCACTCAATTTGGACTCTTAGATGAAACTGGAATGTCATCAACTCAAAGATAGAAGGTATTGGCGTAATGGACTAAAAAATACCCCGAATATGGAAGTTTTGCGACCAAAGATGAATCAAGAATCTCTACATGTCTGACAGTCAGCGAGACTTCTCTATCATCGGGATGATCCAAGGAATTTATCAACTTGTTAAATAATGCGATCATCCTGAGCTGAGAGTTTAAGATTTTGGATTTTGCTGTAAAAAAATAGAACTATGGTGGGATTGATTTCATTTGGTTGCTCAAACCCAGTGACCCTCCAACTGTTGAGCTCAGCCGCACAAACTCATCTTTTTCTTATAAGGTCATCACTGGTCTCTACCTCCCCGCGGTGAAGGCGTCAGTAGCCACAGGGGTCTCCACCCTTCGAAACGGGGGTGATAACATCAGTGGTAGCAGCGCCGCCTCAGTACCCTTATGGGACGTTGATTGTGAGGCCCGTCTCATATCCTCCCTCGTCTTTCTCCACCAGTTTGCCACCTACCTCCCGGCTCCCCAGCTCATGGACCACCTACAAGTGCGTTTTCACTCACCTATCACAGTGCAGTACCCAGACGCATTGCTGAGCATTCGTTGGTGTCCCTTTCAGGAGCCAATCATCTCCGTCTGCCTAACCGGCGCCCTGACCTTGGTTGGCCGCTTGGATGCCAGCTTCCCCAGCGGATCGCGTGGCCGACTGGCGCTGCTGTGCAAGAGCCTTGACTGTATCTATGTGCTGGGTGTCAGACTAGGCTTTGAGATGGTGCGCAGGCAGATGACGGAGCTGATACAGCTCCTCTTCTCCCTATTTGATAGATCCTTCGGTGTGGCCGAGAAAAGCGGCTGCGCTGACATTGGACGGGGCGGAGATGCGAAAGCTGTTGAGTTTTTTGCCATTTGCGAGTCAGATGAGGAAACTCGAGGTACATATATATGTACATGTGAAGTGCCATACTTTGGTACGAATACCACCGGCGCAACAGTTAAATTGTGAATTACCGAAGTGGTGTGCATATCCGAATACATAGTCAAATCAAGTACCATATGGTGTCCCACCTCACCGCTTTCCATAACCAGTTTCTGGTTTGGTTGTCGCTAGGCTTCCCTCGTGTTCTAATCGACCGCAGTTCTGGGATGAGATTCATTTAATATTTTTTGAAGGCGTATAATAAAAAATGACCGATACAGATTCAACGCGGTCTTACCAGCGAGCTTTGTTCAGCCAGTCGGCTGTGAAAAGTCTCAAGATGAAGCGGTTTTTTAATCTCCTGCATGACGTTTTTTAAAAGCTTGGAAGGCGTTGTAGTTATACCTAGTAGTACCTAGTAGTTGAGTGTGGTGAGTGCGTTCCTCAGTTCGGTTTTTGCCTTTAATCTCAGCTGTTATTTACACAAGTAAAACATGGTCATATGTTGTTTGTTTGCCTTTTGCCTCGTTTCGACTGCAAGTTGGAAGTATCATCACAGTTTCATTTTGCTCACGAAGCATTTGTCTATTACAATCGGTTGATCGGATCAAAATTGACCTGTTCTTTTTACCGTGCAACGGGTATTGCCACCCTCAGGAAAGTTTCTATTCTTAGCTATTTGTTACTATCCTTTCGATGAATCCAGTGCGGCAGTTTTACGTCTTGAGGGGGGCTTGCGGTTATTTTTTTTTCGATTTGTTCCGAAAAACCATGACCCGTTCCATGACGATTGTCTTTTGAAATAAGTTTGCCTTGAGTGTCTAATTTCTTTCGGACGTTCCAAATTGAAATGGATCTTGACAGCCGTAAATCAGTGTATCAGTTGATCGTTGAGGTATATCTGATTTGTTTCAGATAATAAATACCCTGAAAATGATTCCGATATTAATAAATTATTTCGTTCACTGAAATTGTATTAGCTTGTTCAGGAGGACAACTTATTTTTCTTTTATTCATCACCTACTTGAGAACCGGACTCGCAACAACAACAGCAACAAGTGGCTCCACTCTTCGTGGTAAAGTTGGACCGCCATACCTCCTCACTGACCGTCGCCAAAGAGGAGCAAAGAGAGGATCCCTCTCTCCCCTCGGACTCACCACTTGAACCCGCTCTCTCCCCTCTTTCTCCTATCACCGCTGCTGCGGATGCTGCTCCCGTGTCAATAGGATATCCGGCTAGTCAGCCGACTTCAAGCCAGAGAAGGCCTGCAGTTCTCACGGAGCTGCAAGCAACCTTCACTCCCGAAATGGCCTACATGGCATACATTCCCCTTTGCCGTCTTGCAGGTAGGCTGTCTAATATGTCTAGACATGTCTGCTCAAAATGTATCGGGAATTACTATGCTATTAAATATCGGTGGAAGTGAAACACGGCTGGTTAGGGTGGTATTAATGGGGCCCTATATGCATGTACTTATCACCAGTGTATGGTGGTACTTTGTAAAAAGGCTACTAAGATTTTTGATGATAGAGGAATTGCATTCCAGACGAATAGACCAATTAACTGTTGATCTATTTTTTGTGTGCTCTTTCCGATTAGTTTGAATCACACCATCAATTTCTAAGCTATTCCATAGTTTGGACTCATTTCTCCCGTGTAGCCCACAATACATTTCATTGTAGTTACCCTCTCATCAGTTAACTTCTTTAGCCATAGTTGAAAGAAGGTGGAAGACCAAAAGTTGGTAGATAAACTGCGTTGCAAGGGGATGGCTCTTCTTCAAGGGAGTGCGTTGTATAACTTTCAATTACTCTCCTACTAGCTGGTCGTAAGTCCATTTTTAAACTCGCTCTAGGCGGCAGCCACATTGAATCCAGTCTCTACAACATCGATCTCATTCACAGCCTTGTGAGACAGTATGAGGCATTTTTAAATGGGGGTGACAACGATACTGTCGATTCAACTGGCCCGTCCAAAGTTGCTATCAACACGGAGTACGAGGCCAAACTGGTGAGTGGCCATAATTATCGACTGCTGTTACTATACATTCTTTTGTCTATCTGTCTGTCTGCCTTCCAACCTTTTAGGCGGCCAGTTCCTCCGTGAGCAAGTCAGCAGCCACGCACCTTCATGGCGAGTGGGTGGAGTATTTCCGGGTCAAGGTTGAATCCTCTCCGTCGCTCCCAATGTCATCTTCGCTGTGCGGACACCAGCGGCCCTTGAAACTCCTGGGAAAACATTTGGTCTCATTTTCGGGTGGGTTACTTTTTCAGTTGATCGGAATTAAAGCCACATTCGGATGGATGTTAGCATTGAATGACATTTGAAGAATCTTATTTCTCCTGTAGCTAGTCGCGCCTTACTCTAGTTCCTACAGAAGTAAAACTGAAGACAATTTCTTGTTATTTCCATTCAAAAGCAGTATTCTGTGCGTATTTTCATGTGAAATTTACGGTGGCTTTGTTCTGCAGACCCTAACTCGAATCTTCCCTTAAGATAGTACTTCCTTGATACCTATTAATAGTTCTGTTGCCGGTTAGGGGCATTAGAAACCTGCTTGGAGGTTGAGTTGAAAGAGACTAGATATATTTGCAACAATGAATGTCAATCTCACCGTCTTGCGTTATCACGCAGTATTGCTTGTGCTTACTCCAGCAATTGCAGTTTTGTTTGTAACAGCTATACCTATACGTCTTCTTCATTTTTTTGGCTTCTCTATACTAGTATGATTGGCAGTCCACTCAAATTCTGTAGTCTGATTTTTCCACCTCTTCATCTCTCTTTTAGACCTCCGTGTGTGTGTTCACGGAGTGATCACGCTTCCAAAGGTGTTAATGCTGTGGTTTAGAGTACGCCGGAGATAAGTTGCGCTTGTGACTGCTATGTCCATGTCCACGGTGCCTCTGGGGTATTGGAATTCGGGCAGCCTCTTGGGCTCCCAACTCTCACCTATTTATTTTCATTTTCCAACTTAGAAATGAAAGGGAGAATTGGTGCATTTGAAGTGTATCTCCACGTGATGCTGACTGATCAGGAGAAACTCACTGAGAGCCCTGATTGTTTCTCTGATGTTGCAAACACCTTCAGCACTTTCTTTCTTTAAAAAAGCCTAATGGGAACGCTTTTTGGTGCTGACCTTTAAATCCTTTGTCCTGCGCCTTCGCCCACTGGACCTCACAGTAGAGTACACAGCACTAGTCCCAGCTGGCAACTTTCATTTAGCCACCACAGGTACTGGTGGGGTTTCGAGCGATTTGATGTACGAACGGTTCACTGAGCCGGCCCCATGTCTCCAATGCGATGGTAATGTCTGAGGCTGTGCCCAGCTATAGTCTTGCTGAATGGTCATTGAGGACGATGGTGTAGCTTTGGCAGCCATACACTGGTCTAGAAAACGGGATGACTGTGTGCATGGCTAGCTTTCCTTAGCTTATTCTGGCCGTGTTCCCTTGGCATTTTGGCACCAGTGTTGGAGCTTGACGGGCGGTACTGGAGTAGTAGTCTATGTTGACGAATTCCACCCTGTTTGCCGACTTTTATCAATCGTGTATGTGTATGCATGAACCGGTTGCGCTCTCAAAATCAAAAGTTGCAAAAACTTCAAAAGAATAGAGGTCTCAGTATCACGCTTGAGTACACCAAGAACCGGGTTCTCACGCCTGTGGCGCTGGGATGACGGAAGTGGCTTGGAGCCCCGATTCTAGTCTATTCATGGCCTTTTTGCGACTCCAGGACAAAGAGGAGTGTTAATACATAAAGCCCTCCTTCAGATAACATAAACCAATACAAAGAACATCAACGAAGTCGCGAACTGCAGAGCGTTCTAGACTTTTCAGGAGTAGGTACAAGTAGGGGACCGACTGAAACTTCTTGATGATCTAAACAATCACGTTTTCTTGGGTTACTAACATCCTCTGCATTCTTTTGTTCGTAAGACATTTTCGAAACTGATCAATATCTCAAGTAGTTTTGTAGATTTTGACCATTTGTCTTTTTTTTGCTGCCACCTTAGACTTTGTCTCCGGGACTTCCGACTGTTCGCAATATTTTTCAAAGTTTATCACGTGATCCATTTCTCGGCTTTAAATTGGCAATTTATCAGTACGTGTCATCATTTTTCAGTCATTTTATTAAACTACAACCGACTGACCAGACTTCGCGAATTTGTAACGTATGGATCACCAAGCAGACGCTATATTCATCTGCTGCGGTTTTTCCTGTGTTAGCTTCTATCATTTGTCTCACTTTTCAACGGTGCTCATATTGTATTGAACTAGGTCATAGACAAATAGTGGGGAGCATATCATCACCATATAAAACTATTCTGTTTGCTCTAATGTAAAGCAAGTCGTCAAATTTTACGGTTGGCTGGGAACTTGGCTTGTATTGTTATGGGTAATTACTTGACTTTTGGACCAGGTCACAGCGGAGCGGTGCGGAGTATAACGCCATTGGCAAACGAAAGTAGTTTTATCACCACAAGCAATGATCGCAGTGTCCACCTCTACTCCCTAACATCGGCACGGAAATCAACTGCCTGTGCAGGCTCAGGGTGGCCAGTAGGAACAGTGCGGGCATGTCACACCTCGCGCCGCTCTACCTCCGAGAGCGGTGGAATTTTGGATCGTCTTCCAGTGTTGCAGCCGCCGCCAACAACGGTAGCAGCACCGCCAACACAGCCAGCACCGGTTGTTCCGAGCCTCGCCTTCACCGGTCACCGACGCGCCGTTTTTGCCTCCGCCTACCTTCACTTTGAGCGCCTTGTTGCATCTCTCGATCCCTCGCTCCTGCTCCTTTGGGATCCGGTCACTGGAAAGAAGGTCTTTTCCTTTTTATGCCTAAGTAGTGAAAACTATTTCTTTAAATTTCCCAAGGGTGGAATGTGGAAAGGGAAATGAGAAGTGGTACTCGACTTCGGGTACACTGGATAGCACTACAGCAGTCCTCTTCGGCTCTCCTGGATAAGAATCTGTTAGCGTACTTTTAGACGTTGAGGTTAACCTGTTCCGGTACTAGAAAGAGGAAGACCAAATAGCGTATCACTGTGGTCCAACTTATGATTAATTTTGCTGTCATCTTCATTTTTGTGCAACAATCGGTATCAGCTTGTAAGGAAAACAGGTCAACGAGACAGAATTAAAAGTATGCAACACTCAGATGCGACGGATGAATCTCCCATCCATCTTTGTGATTTCCATAGAGATAAAATATTCTAAGACCATCAGGATGGTGCAAGTCTTGCCCAGAAATTCTTATTTTTAAAATTCTGGGAATTTTGGTACCTTTCCGCGTCACTTCCTACCATGGATATACCTTTGTGGAATTGTCTGTTAAGGTTAATTACACTAGGCTTGATAAATCTCGATTGTATCTTACCAAAATCCCTGGTTGATGTTTGCCACCCGCGTTTGGTGCCTAGTACAAGAGGTAATTTTTCGATTTGATTCAAAACGAAAATAATCGTGTGTTTGTGAAAATCGCACCAAGCCATGGAGTCACAGGAACCCGACTTTTACATGGGAATTCATGCTATCAGTCTAAGAAACTCAAAGTTAAGAAATATCACTAGATATGCTTGACTTTTATTGGACATCTAGAATCAATGATAAAGCTATTTTCACCTTTGGATATAACTGTTCATTTCAGGTCTCTGCGTTCGCACCTTCGGACAGTTGGTCGGAGGGCGGCGGTTACAGCGCGTGGGGTTGCGTGTTGCGTGGTTCTTCGGCTCTGCCCGCCAGTCTGTCGGCGCTGAGCTCCACGCCATCGTTTCGCAGCACCCTCCTTGCCGGTGATGAGGGCGGCTGTCTCCTTCTCATTGATCCGCGTGCCAGTGGTGGCGTCTCCGTAGTACTCCGCCTCTCTGCTGCCGTTGCCGTCACCGACGCTGCTGCCACTGCAAACTCTACCGGTGCTGCTGCTGAAAACTCTCCTTCGCCTCCTCTCGGAATCTCCGAAGCTCCCCTTATCCATTGTGACCTTGACAACTTGAGAGGTAAGGCTGCATCCCCTCACTGTCTTCCGCTTCATTTTGTCCTTTGGGTTGACTGATGTTTACCAGCATTGGCTTCCTTCCATATCACACAGTATAAACTTGATTTTGAACCGTGTGGGCCTAACAGATTTTGAGGGTATGGTCATATCCCCCTCTCTCCATTATCATTTGCTTTAGTAGATTTATTTCTTCTTAAAAAGTTGCCGACTTAGCTAATTTGCTATTCTCTTAAAGTACGAGAACCGCAGGCCTGTGATCATTTTTAAGGACCTGTAGATATAATTTCGTCAAAATTTTAGTTTCATTCCTGTTTAGGCTTGCCCATCTCGCTTTTAAACTGCAATAAAGCAAATAGTGCTTTAGTAGGCTCGCTAACAGTTTGGTTGGAGAGCATGTATTTCAACCGAGAATTTGTTAGAAATATTCGAGCACTCAAGCTATGTGAACGTTAGCACTGTTTCCCGAACACTTTTTTTCCCTCTTCATATTGCTGACTGTTGTTGGTTATGAACTCCAGAATAGATGTATAGTTAAATTTAGGCCTTCCTAGATCTCCATCATGGTGACTGAAGTTTTAGCGATTTGGGCTATGGGGAAGGCGAGATCTGCTCCTCCCACTCCACCCTCTGCATTGTCCTGATAATGTTTCTCCAAGCTCCAAATGATTGTCTTCTTTTTTTGACATTATCATTGGACAGTCGTGTAAACACATAATAGAAGAAATTGTTTTAAAATGAGCCAGATGGAAGCGGTGGTTAGGGCTAGACTTTTGATCGTCTTAACAAAGAGCTTTATGGGAAGGAAATTTACAGCTGGGTTGTTTTGTTGGAAAAGGATTAGATTGTGGATTTTAATGACAATCATTATTTACACACAAAATACTACAAGTTGCTCTCTATAGTCGATCGGGTTTTCTAGAAATTACGTAAACTTATTTGGTTGCCTTGTGCTGTTTTTAAATTCTCTACTAAATCTGAAGTAAATCTGCTAAGGCATCATAGTCCTGCGTTGTCTATTCTTCCGATGGTAAATATTGCTTCAGTGACTCGATTTAAGCATGGAATTCTTTAGGTCCGATGGACTCAGTGATTTTGACCACTTCCGCAATGCGAATCCAGTCTACCGTTGTACCTTTCTTATTAGAACACTTTTTGGGGCTTTTTTGCTCCTTCATCCTATCGATGACCAGATGACTAACGCTTTAATGGTTTGAAAAAGGAGAAAAAGATTTTTTTTTCCTTAAAACCTTTGTAATTCATGTAACGTTTTTTGTTGAGTCACTTCCCTCAATCCGACAGTTGGTGAATTTCTTCTCATTTGTTGAACACACTTCGTTCATCCTGAATTGTCGAGTGGAGTAATTTCTCCAATAAGCAGAGTAAGGCGGGGCCTTGTTCTCCTAAAACTGAACCGTTTGAGAATCAGCGGTTACTAGAACGTACGAGAAAGTGATAAGAGAATTTGCATTCTTTTATGCAAATTGGAGTTACTCCAGTGGATCAGGTTGTCCAATTTTGAGCGCATAATAGTCTAGTTAAAGCCACATTCCTCCACTGCTTATTCCCTTGCTTTGAAATTAGGAGTTGTACTTGCGTTTCACCCTTTAAGATCATCCATTTACTCACATCATCCGCAGCAGCCTACCCATACTCAATGCACCATTCTAATGAGATAACCCTTACCCCTCCTCATGGAGATGCGTATTTATTGTATTTACTTCCCTCATCTGCTTTATTTCATCGTACGAATACCTCGGGTGTTTTCCATCCACATAGACTATGCTCACTACTTTATGGGGTTATGAAGACTGTCTGTATTCCTATGGGACTAGTCACAGTTGTCCAGGCACAACTTCGTCATGATGGAATAAAAGCGTGTGTTACATTCTCAGGGCACTAAATGCACGCACGCATGTAAAGATCAAAATCAAACCATGCATGAATAGCAATGAGATTGCTGATTTTCCTGACTTTAGGTGCAAATAACGTCACGTCTACTTAATTCGGTTTCCACAGATAGGTGTGTATTGAACGCGCCAGGAGCGCTGCGCTGCGTAGCCTCGAGGCCGGAGGAGAACAACAGCGTCCTCTGTGGATTTGCGTCCGGCTTTGTCTCTCACGTGGATATTCGGACCGGTGGAGTGGTGGCTACGTGGCGCGCACACTCTGATGCCGTCTCTCAGGTGCGCCTCTTATGCTAATCGACCAATAATTCATTCCTTTAGCCTATCTCAGCCACATACTCGGTCCCAAGAGCACATTGTTTCTGTCTATGTTAACTGGTCGCATCAAATTGTGTTGCTAGCCGCTGAATTGGGCTCAGAACGCTAAAACAGCTGAAGGACGTTCTTTCTCAGAGGATGATCACATTTTGTGTACTTTTTAAGCGGAAAACGCTTAACGACGCTGGCGTCGTTGTCAGAATAAGACGTCTGGGCTGAAGTGGTTGAGTTTTCTCTGAGGCACTGGCAGTGAATGTTTACGTTTACTAACCTTTTTATGTCTAAAATGATTGTATGTGCACAATTCAACATTTGCCATGGTTAAATGACGCTTGAAAAAGGCTAACTTCGTAATGAAATGCCTGGTATTGAAAGCTAGATTGTTGTACCAGATCTGGAATGTGAAAAAAAGCTATGATCCTCATAAAAGGCATTTTATGCATCACCATCTTTCCAGCAATGAACTTGTTTACTGCTGAAACGATTCAAGTCGTAGCATGTCACTTGTTGAGTCTCGAGTGTTAAAATCAGTACCGCTGCGGTGGGTGCAAATTTTAGTCATTTGGCATCGTCAGCATGCTAAAGTTATTTGAATGGTGTCTCCATCTGCAATAACATTGGAAATGGTCTTAGATTGAAACAAAAAGATGGAGAAATTCTGAATCACTTTAATGTATGCATGCGGTTCATTGCCTAAGAGGCACTGAAGGTTAGCCTCTGCCAAAATGTAGTCGGTGGCGTTTTAAAGATTCACTTTGATGTCAATGTACGGGTTGTAATGACCATTTCTTTGTTTAAAGACTGAAATCTTTGTGCCAATTCACATTCCCCCCAATCTTCCAGTCAAAGACTGTGTACTTGGGGGTCCTATAGTGTTTCAGTGATCACGGACTTGGAAGTTTTGGGAAGTCCCACTTGGGCTGCACCCTTCATTTTGGATTACTTCACCACTAGTCACCAGAATGAAGAAAAAATCGCAGAATTGCGTGTAATTGTCACTGCAGTTGAAATCCAGCGACCTCTTTTTAGAGGCTGAATGTATTTTAATGACTACAGAAACGTTATGTTTTATGTAAAATATGTAATGTAACATAGTCACAAGTGAACCCCTACCAGGGCTCAAAATGATGCAATTTGGTAGCTCTGCAAAAGAAGTTATCCGATTTGTACCCTTTTTGTCAAGCATTAACCGTCATATGTGAGTCTGCTTTACCGATTTGAATAATAAAACCAAAAGTAATGTCTAGTTCTCATAAGTTATTTTGAAGTTTCCACGAAACATGCACAATCTTGAACTAGTAAACCCCGGTGTCCTTTTGAAACCACCTCTGCAATACATAATCTTTTTTATTAATCCATGCTATCTCAACACCGAGCGACTGCGATTTTGAGTACATTAAGACGTATTAAGCGCTTAGAGGGAATTGGACATTTAGATCTTTGAAATTGTCGGTGCAAGCGGATGCACATTAATCAAAGGTAGTCTTCCGTTTGAAATGGGTTGGAAGCGATAATGAAGCCATAATTGTTGCCATCAAACAAATTAAACTATTATTATGAATAACATATCCTTTCTCTTTTTTGGTTTGAAAGACTTTATAGGGGCGTTAAAATGGTTTATGAGCCTTCTAGTAACCTCGTCATGGATTCGAATTTCGGACTTTATTAACTCCTTAACATCTGTTTAAATTGTCATTCACAGAAAAGGAATGTGTAGTCTCCATGTTATCGGTGATATGAGGTACTTTTAGTCTTAATACCAAATATTCACCCTCATGCGATGTATCTAGTGGCAACTTTGCTGCGGCAAAGTCGCGAGGCATTGAGCATTACTACTTTAGAATTCCTCTCTTTCCGCACAGTTACGGGGTAGCCAAATTTCCTATGTATTGTTTTGATCTTGCAAGTGAGCCAAGCAGTGTTGGCAGGGGTCCATTCTACTAGAATGTTCTCCGTAGTGCTTTTTATTGTAGCAGTCTTTTAGCAATTCAAAAAACAGGATGTTTTAAGTTGTCGTGTGAGGCGTAAAACCCATCGCAGTTGTGGAGACTCTTCAAGCCTGATTATAATTAGCTGTGTTGTGGTGGCTTCTGTAGATCTTCTGCCATTCCTCGGGTTGGTGCTCAACCACCTCCTCCGATCGCACCATCGCTTTCTGGCGATTGGAGGAAGGAAGTACCTCCCTCACCTGTCACCGTGTTGCCCAGCGCTTTACCTCAATGGGTGGTATCGGTGGTGGTGGAGGTGGGATCGTTTCCTGCGCCTCTCAACTCCTCTCTGACTCCCTCCTCATCGCGGGACCTCCTGCGTCCTCTTCCATCGCAGCCGACTCGAGCCCCATTCTCCTACCTCCCACCTGCTTCCTCGGATGCTGTGACAACGTCCCTCTAGCAGCGATGATGACCGCACAGGGTGATACCATCTTTCGACCAATGGGCAGTGTATTACTGCGTGCGGGGCAGCTCTCTTCTATGGTAGCACTGCCTCTGGCAGACGCGGTCCTCACTGGCACAACTTCTGGCCTTCTCAACCTCTTCTATTAACGAACTAACTGATCCATTTCAGATGCACATTTGCCCTCGATGATTTTGTATTTCGTATACATCTGCATACAGTGATGGTTCATACACTTGAGACTTCTGTTGTTTTTCGTATCAACTACCTAATGCTTGCTGTGCTCATTGCCTTCACCATCCACCGTTTTCCATCCAACCTAACCACCTGTTTGAATGAGAGAAATTGGTTTTGCAGATTGAAAGCATGTTAATTTTTAGACGATTTCGTTCATTGCTTGAGTTATGGATGTCTCTTAGTACGCTCCAAAGTTTATGAAAGTCGTCATTCACGTCTGTTTGATGTACTCAAGCAGTAATTTTAAGTATTTTTGACTGACAAGGCGGATCTCTAATGGTTGGATTTTGTTCCGGCTACTTCGACAAATCTTGTCCTCCTCCTCCTTCTGACAGTAGTACCGTTGACCACTTTCGCGCTAGTAAACAATAGTAGGCCCTCATCAATTTGCATATTTTCATCACATCTGAAGATTCACTTTTCAGTGGATCGCTGAAAGGATCTGGTGTCAGGCTTCATTTGATGTTAAGTTTTGATCTTGACCGTGGTTTGGTCGCTGTTATGGCTGTTTGTTACCTCTTCGATTAACTCACTGACCTAAGTCAACCTTTTCTCGCTTCTTATGTGCACCTCCTTTACTTCATCGCGTGTTTACCCTAACAAAAATTGCTAATTGGCGGACTTCTTTTCTCCTTCACTTTGACTAACTGGTATTTGCTGTATTTTAATTGTTCTTCGGTCGCTGGACCATTGTTTCATCGCTCCAGAACATTTCCCCAGTAGCTACTGCTACCACTGATTTCATGAAGCGGGTTACAATTTCTATTTACGCCCATTTGAGTTTTTGGGTAGGAGGATTCGTATTCTCTTTTCATCTTCCCGTCATGTTTGTTTATTTGTTTAAGCAGACAATCGAATTACGTTTCGAAGATACGGTGTTTTACAGTTTATGTCTGACTATCACTAATGCATTGCTCGTAGAATCTTCCTTCACAGACGATTAGGAGTTTAAACTTATTTCTAGATAGGTTCCAATCGTTGTTGTTGTTGTTGTTACCGTTGTTTGACTGGTTCTCTTGAAAGATCAATTAGATTTCCTATGTCCATGCCAAGATTAGGGGCGTGCTAGGTCTTTACTACTCACTTTGAATTTTTCTAGTCAGTTTTTCAAACTCTCAGACTGCACCTTTGAGTTGCGCTTCAACAGTAAAATGTGCATATCATTTTTAATGCTAGAATTCATCTAATATGGTCTTCGGTTAGATTAGGGAAGTAGTATTACCATCTCTCCACCTTTGACCTCACTTTTTCGTCTTTCATGTAGCAGTAATTTTAATCACGCTTGCTTGTGCAAAAAAGTGAAAATATTAAGGCTGGAAAACCAATTTGCTTCCATTCATGCTCTGAACACATTTGAAAATCCATTTTTGGTGGTTTTTTAGAAGAAAAAATCCAGTTCTTGTCCTGAGCATGGCTTTCTTAGGAGGTTAGATTTTGTGCAAAGCCTTTCCATAACAAAAGTGGGAATCCGGACCCTAGATGCTGTCGAATGTTTGTTGCGTTGAGGCCTTTGCACACCTTTACGTCGGAACCGGGACATTGGTTCAGTGGTTGCCTCATGTCTACTTCCAATCAGCATTCTGTTTATTCATCTATGGCTCGACTCTGTGAAACTCCGAATCGTATAATGCGGTCACTGCTTTAACCACAAAATCCCACCCTAATCCAGTTGGTTTTTGCTTGATTAAAAGCACTTTCGTATCGCTTTCTCTCAGCTGAGATGCCAAAAGGAAAAGGAAAGGGTGGTGGTGGTGGCGGCGGCAGTGGTGCCAAAGCCGGCGCCTCGGGTTCAGAGAGCAAGAAAGGCGATACTGCTGAAGGTGCCTCAAAAGCTCCAGCCAAGGGTGGCAATTCCGTTAAGGTGAGGCGTCGGTTTTGTTTTTAGAACAGCGTTGTACCCCTCTGGCGTTTTAACGGCACTTCCAAACCAGTGCTATTGTGAAAATTATTGCGTAAAATGAGGCTGCTACTCCTTGTTCGCATTGAAATTTTCCATTTCTTCAAACGTCATGAAGTAGGAAACGGTGATGCTGCAAGAAATGAACCAGCGTTTCTTTCCTGTCACTATTAAACCTCATTCGTTTGAATTTGAATCATTTTTTGGGTGTCGCTGAAGCCGTCATAAGGCGTACAGGTCTGGGAGCAGAGAGGACGCTGATTTGATCAAACGAAACAAATATCTAGCGGTGATCGAAAATGGAATGACTGTCTCTGATTTGGGTTTCGCAAGCGATCACTTCACACTTCGTATTTTTTACAATTGCAATTTGAATTCGACACTTAGTCCCGATTGTCGACTTTAAACGGAACAAATGGCAAAATATTTGATTCACTATTGACAACTTTCACAGATTTAATCGTCAGCAGTCAAGAGGATGAACCAATTTTTTTCCTCGACGTAAATTTGAATCCCTCCTGAGTGTTTTTTTGTGAGTCCCTAGAAAATTGAATGACGGGAGATTGAAATAGTCTCTCCAGTTAGAAATAGGACTAAAACGTCTACCGTCAAGCATCAGCTCAACCTTTAGTCAACAAAATATGGAAAGGTGTTTGAGAGATGGAGGGTGATTTTTCTTTTTTCCACTTTCAAGGTGCGTCACATTTTGTGTGAGAAGCAGGGTAAAGCACTGGAGGCAATAGAGCAGTTGAAGAGTGGCCAGAAGTTCAACGCCGTGGCAGAGCAGTACAGCGAGGACAAGGCACGCTCCGGTGGTGACCTCGGCTGGATGGCCCGTGGCTCCATGGTGGGGCCCTTTCAGGTTAGCTTTCCCGCCCTTCGATAAATCAACTCTCACCGTCTATGCCAGCATTATGTGATTGTTCGTCGGCTATTTCTATAGACGTCAGGATTTGTTTACTGTTAGAACTTATCTATCAAATTAGATGCCATTAGCTGCCTGAGTCATTCTTGAAGTTGTAGGAAGTCATAATGCCAGTGCAGGATAGGTCTTGGTGGGATGCAGAAGGCATTGGGGCTACTGCTATGGCTCGGAGCCTATGCCACCGAGCGGAATTGCAATGGCGGAGCCTTAAGTGCCCGCGTAACCAAAATGAAGAACTAAGCAATCAAGATATTACAGGCACTACTATCTAATTCTCTTTCCAAACGGTTTCGTGTGTAATACGTCAACTATTTGTTTAAGTCTGAGTTTCGGTAATGGACACTTAGGAAGCTTTTCGAGATTATCTCTACACTTTTAATGCCAAACATTAAAAAGCCACTCGCGCAAGAGGGTTGTGCGACTGACCAGTAGCTGGGGTGGCATGAAGCTAGCTTGATGTCTCTGGCGTGGTGTTTAATCATGGGAAACTGGAAAGCTCTGTGTGCCAACATGCATAAACAAAACTACTAATCGACTTTACGGCGCCATGTATTTGGAATTCAGAGAATCGAAGATCGCGCCGGTCAGGCTGATGCTGTTTTGGCATCTAAGGGAACACAGGAACTAATTTCAGGCTGGTTTGTCCCTTCAGAAGGCAGATTTCTCACTGAACCTTGTGTCGTGTGCCAGGGAACATTCAGAACTGGAGTCATTAATCAAATCATGCATTTTTTTGTCTGTTATTGTTCGTTTCCTTTGTAGTAAAGTCTTAATTTACAGTGCAGGTTTTTGGTGACCAAACTAATGTCACTCATCCTTTAATACCATGTCTTAGTTTTACTGTAGGGTGTATTTATACCGCTTGTGTTAGTTGAGTTGAATGTCACATAAATAAAGTCCTTTGTAAGACACAACTTTGTGTCACTCAATGCTATTTTTTATCCTTTTAGGAGGCAGCTTTCGCACTCCCAGTCTCCACGGTGGACAAACCAGTGTACACGGATCCTCCAGTGAAGACCAAATTCGGCTACCACGTAATTATGGTCGAGGGCAAGAAGTAAAAATGACTCACAACTTTGCTACACTTTTTTTCACTGAACTTTTATTACTTCTTCGTGGGGATGTTGGCAATAATACGGTCGTGCCACCGAAGCAGAAGCGCCAAAGATCCCTAAAATCACTCCAAGATACACGAGTTTGAAAGGCGTCCCTTTATTGAGGTGCATAAGAGTAGATAGACTAGTAATGTGGGTGACACGAGCCGGATTTCATGCCAAAAGTATGGAGACTGATTCGCTTCGTTTTAAGTGCTATCTTCGACGACATTTTTGATGATTTTCTACATCAGTCACCTCGATAGTACTTCAAGTAGGCGCAATCATCAGCGTGGGAGGAGTGGACGTCAATTGACAAATTTCTAACTATTGTGGGTTTTTTGAATTTTACACTGCCTCTACGTTTAGCCAACCCGTCCTGGAGGCCGGATCATTGTGCATTGGTTCCACGCTTCATCAGGGTTAATGCAATCTCGCTGTTGGTGGTGTTACATGAGGTTTCATTCTTGTTGCAGTATCCGGATCGTCCCAAAGTGTGCTGTTCAAATATGGGATTTGGAGAAGTCCCATGGGTGATTAAAACAAATGCATATGTGTCGTGGCGTCTCGGTTTCCACCTCAGTAGCCTCGAGGGGTGGTATATTCCCTTTTTGAAATTACTACGGTAGCATAGTGTTCGTGCTTTGCCTCTTTTTAAGGGCAGAACAAATTCCATGGAAATTGTCTAATGAGCAAATGTTTTCGCTGCAGTTACTGGTATCTGGTGTAGATGTGTCAAGCGACGACGGTTGTTTGTGTGTACGCATTGTAGGACGTAGATGTGCGACAGGCGTTCCATTGTGTTCTCCTGCCTTGGGTATGGTGGACGTGATTCGATCCTGACTGCTCTGCGGACCGAAGTTAACGCTATTCTCAAGCTGTGGAAGTTTTTAGTCAAATCGGTTGCATGTCGCTTGAAAAGGGGCGCTATGCAATAGCAGAATGTACCGCCCACGACCAAATGATTGAAACCGAAAGTGCGGTTATGGGACGAAATCACTCAAAGATGAATAAATTACGCTAGGAAGGCAAGACCTTCTCGGTGATCCTCAGAGTGGGGGGCTGCGTGTCACTATTGGCAAGTGAATTGAAGATTGGCGTGTGAAAGACAATTTTCGTTGGTGTTCGGTAGTGTTGAATGTATACGAGTAAAGCAAAGGTGGTTTCAAATCGTGACCAATGAGAAAGGCTATGGGAATTGAGCAAATGGGTGTGACATTGACACATGTATGGAAAGGGGACAATAAACTTTCAAGAACAAGAATTCATTCTTCACTTCAACTGCGTATTTCCTAAAAACAAAAGGTGTATTTTGGGTCGCTTTCCGATTGCTTTACTGACTGGACTGGGATGAGAAGCGGATTTTGTATTTCCACTTTCTGTAAAAGGACGAATGTATCAGTGATACTCACATACACCCCCAAGATATGCACCACTTTATGCCCAAAAGACTGCCTTCTTTGGGCAAGTGTGGTGGACTGTGGGACGGGGTTGTTAACTTCCTCCACTTACTGCAAGCCAAACAGTGAGTGCTTCTGCCTCTTATCTACTCCAAACAACGTGATTCAAGGGTGTTTAAGAAAATCTTTCGCTTTCCTCTTCTTCGTCATTCTTATTGGCTCTCCTGAGAAATACTCAGAAGTAGTGAGTCAGTTGGAATAAAGCCCTATACTTCTTCGGGCAAGGCGACGTTAGGCCTCGTACTGTGCATCGCAAAGCAAAATACTTCCGGGCCAATTTCTGCTTGAGGACAGGAGTGGGGAGGGGGGACTCACAGCATTCATCACCCTCCATCCTCCAATAACATTTCTCCAAGCTCCAATCTTCAAGCTCTGAACTGCAAGTGATCACTATCAGCCTTCGGCGTTAGCATTAAAGAGTGACATGAACACAAACAACGTGGAAGAGAGGGATGGGGAGTGTAAGGTGGATAGACGTGAACGCCACTGGTGCTAGGTTTTATTTCTAGAGAAGATGGGTTTGATAAGGGGTGGGACTAGTAGCTTGCTTGTGTGGCTGGGGCAGGGTTGGATTGACGATTGCAATGGCGACCATTTCAAGGAATGGAATGTTGTGGGATACTTTATGCCGTAATTTAATTTTAACTACAACCACTGCATGAACTGGTTTAGTTGCCTTACAACGTTCGGTGGGTTTCTCAACTCCAAAAAGTGGTACTTTCAAATCGTTTAATCACTCTGCAAACGGCAATGCCTACGTTTTCGCCACGATCCTTGATTCGGGCGTTGCGATCCACATGATGGCTTTGAAACGTGGAAAATTGAACGGACTGACTGATTTTTAAATGCTTGTTTTCAATAAGCAGCCCTTACAACAGTACCCAACTGTTAGCGACTTAGTGTTTTGTGGTTCGTGTATGTGTCCATGAGACGTTCCTTCCGTAGTTGGTTCCTACACTTTTTTGCCCATTCACGAATTGCAGACTATGAAAGAAGTGGTATTTGAGCATTAGAAAATCCTCAGCAGTTTTGAGACCCTCTCTTGGAAGTATCCACAAGAGCTAAAAACTCGGATCATGTGATAACGTCCCTCCGTCGTGTACCTTTCTTGTCACCTCCCTAAGCTTGCAATTTTGAGTCTTTTGAAGAATTTTCCTTAAAAATTCAACTGAGGTTGCGCTACAGTACCGTCGGCCGGGAAGCATCTAAACCAGAGCTGAAATAGCCTGTGCGGTTTTAACCAAGTCCTTGGAGCCATATGACAACGTGATGTGGGTAGGAAACAGCCACGTTGTAAAATTCACCCAGTGAGGACGGACACATCAGTAAAGAGGTTAAGCATAGGCCCCGACAGTCACCCCATGCTTTAACCCAATTCTTCAATAAAAAATTTCACTTAATCAAGTGAAACTACCTACCTGGACACTGCATCTGATGGATGTTTACATTTACCGTTAAATTACAGGTATTTTTAAGATATCGTTCCAAAAGATAGGACACTCCGAACGCATTCGATGGATCAGAATGTGGACCTGGAGAATTGAGACGAATGCAGACGTGATTTATAAACAGTGTATAGTAATGTAACCGAACTATCGGCCCACCAAAACGGCTACTTATGTATTAGTAAAAGCTGACGATTTAGATAAATACAAAAAGAGGATGTACATTAAGGTACAAACTGTATGAAAACGCAACAGACAGCAGCATGCACCTACTAGGCACCCTCAGGGTCAACGTAACAGATGGAGGCGACAAGGAGGCAGGAGGGAGGGAGTTCGGGGGAGGGAGAGAGGACGTTGAAGTGGGTGCGGTCCTCGGCTACAGAGAGGACCACCACGAAGCCGAAGACAGGGGAAGAGGCGATTTGCTCCGGGTCAGTGGCCTGAGACACCGCCAGCATGCGATTCTTTAGTGCGTCGCGACTCACGGTCAAAGCGATCGGTGTTCGCCAGCTCTGTGTCTCCTCCTCTGCATCCCGTGCTCCGTGTGGAAGCAGGGCATCTGGAATGGCCTCGCTGCCAACTCTATACACAGTGTACTGTCGGAAAGGAGAAACGCAACAATCAAATACTGCTCTCGTGCTTTCGAAACCAAATCTGTTCAACAAGCCATTGGTAATAAGACAAAAGTCGCCTAATAAGGTGAAATCAATGACAGGGGAAAATGAAGAACAGAAAGGGGGAGTTACGTAACATGTGAAGGAAACATGACTCACTTCACTAGCGGATAGCCTCAGGTGGTGGGGATGCAGACGTCGTTTAAGATTTTCGCCATGGAAGTAGGCACTGATTCGCAAATCGCGTTGACGCATTGACTGCTTGGGGGTAAAGTTGACGGCACCGGAAGACCTCGGTAGTCGAATAATCGTAACATCCTTGGGCAGATCCTCCTGCAAAAATGTGCTCAAAAAGCCGTCCTCGATGACTAACACTGTGTCCACTTCAAAAGCTGCCGCCGTCGTCCGTATCGCGTCCAAACCCGCCTGCTTTTTTTCCGGTGTCTTTGAGAAGCCACCCATTTTTATAATACATCCACTAGAAAACACTTTAGCATCGTTCTCCGATCGTATGTTAACCAAATCAGCTAACTGGTTCACCTAATCCAGCACTAAGACATTATAAGATGTACGAGCTTGCCTGTTCCCTAAACAAATTTAAGTTGGCAGACGGATCAAGATGACCGAAACAGAAAACCAAAGGGTCTTCTTCAAGACCCCATCCCTCCAATAGATCATAGGGCTTAGTGACTGCCAGAGCCGCAATGGTGGAGGGAATACAAACCTACAAAAAGTCATAAAATGAAAATTCCCGCGTGCCTGATTTAGCCCAACGTTGACATCAACAAGAATTGGTTTGGAGCCACGTCTAGCAGCGTAGTTGGCCAAGGTCCTGCAGAGAACAGACTTGCCGACATTTTCAGGGCCACAAACCAAAACGCGGGGTCCACGAGATTGATCTTCTGTGGCCTTCTTACGCGCTTCTTGAAGATTCGCATGAATGTTTACGTAGACTTGAAGGAGATCATGGTCCTCAACAGCATCCATCACAAAAGCATCTAGACCTGAGCCTTTGACGGTGATTTTGCAGCCATGAAAAGTGACAACCGTTCCCCTTTCACCCGCTTCCAAAACTAGATCTGTGCCACAAACAAGTTCTGTTCCAAATATCTCTGCTGTACCCGAAGTCATGACAATTTTGACCTGTGCGTTGGCCTCGTAGCGTAGCATCTGGTATTTCTCCAGTGCATACTCGGTAGTGGGAGTAGTCGAACCGACACCTGCTGTATTCATAAGTTGACTTGGCGCATCCTTGCCGATTCGTGTAAAGCATAAACAATTACCAAGACTTAAAATGACGCAAGTTTTTAAATTAAACACCATCACAAACCTTCTTTTAGCGTTAATAATGAAAGCAGTGGGTTTGGTTTGAGTAAATATTATTAAACCGCGGGTGTTTTGACCTGAGATGAAATGCAAAGGGTGGGATGATGTAGCTTCTTTGTTTTCCTGCTTCTTACATTAAGTATATGGTCTTTTAAAAGAAGGTGGGTTTTATGGGAGGATGGGTGTTTGGTTCCTCTAATACTAGTTCTTTCACGGTCTCGATACTCAGTCACATTTGTAGGGTGAAATATATGTGTCATTAGTAAACACGGTTGTGTAGTCATAGTTTTTGTGGCGCCTATATATTTCATTGTGTATGCCACCATGGCGTGTGGTTGTTTCGAATGTTTCGTCTGTAAATCAATTTGTTGTGCTGTCGTAGCAAAAGTAGATTGAGATATTTTCATGTTTTACATCAAGACCTCTTATCTGGAATGTTTCCCTATAGGTCTACTTGGAGTACATTTAAGACAGTCTTTTTCCATTTTTTAACTTGACCTATCGTTATTTTTCGGCATTAGAATACCTATTATAAGCTGCGCGAAGAATTAGAACAGCTTCGAGCATCTCGAGGTGACCAGGTACCCCAACCCAAGCCCCCTAAAGCGGAACCCACAAAACAGGCCAGCGAAAAGCATTTACCGCCAGAAAACAAGGAGAGGGACTTTGTGGTATGTGGTCACAATCGTTTTGCTTACTATTTACTCCGGGGCACACAAAAACGCACGAGCATAGAATTAGCTTTTTGCTATCATACAAAGGGGCAGACAGACTAGTGGAACATAGTTACCAGTGGGAAGGTAGGCCACGGAACCATTCAAATGACCGTTTGAGGATTATTAGCAGTGATACACCATTGGAAGATGTGATGAGGTGTAGAGTTCCAGGTGTGAGGGTGGCTTTATTGTGACTACTAGCGTAGATGTCATGAGAGGGGCTCTGCACCACCAGTGAGAGGCCTCACGTGCCCGCGTAATCAAATACGTAACCGAAGCAGATGTATTTGTTCTACAGTCGTTTTTTCTGCGTCCTTAGCTGCCGTGGTGGTGGCGCCTGCTCTCATGCAGCTGGCGTGTGCAGATGGCTTTCACCCTGCTATTGTGGGCGACCCTTCTCAACGTGGGCTTCGGAGCTGTCTTCTTCGTATGCGCCTGCCTCTACTGGCTCTATGCTTGGGGTACGGAGACTCAGCGTCGCAATCTTCGGCCGAACACCATTCTCGCTGGCTGGTACTATGACAACGCACCTATCATTTGATGAAGAGCTCCAACTTTGTACTCAATTTTGATTTTACCTCAACCCCTCTTTTGCACCTGTGATTCCACCTTTTTTTATTTGAAGCAAAAACACCTCTATGTAATCGATTTAAGAATTGTCTTGGCCGGCTCTTCGGTCACGCTTGCGATGTTTGCAAGTGGCAGCCCTTTTGCCGTTACGTTTTAGTTTTGAATTGGTTGGTCGTCTTCTTTTACGTACGGCTTGTCATTAAGTTCCATCCTCTGCTTCTGTGATAAGTCCCCTAGATTCGTGCACTCCGCTAAACTGTTTTGGGGATGTGATTACGTCCCGCACGAACAGGAAATGTGAGCCTACGAAATGAAGTGTGCCGTCTTTTTCCCGCTGAAGACAACCTGTCCGTCAAAGCCTCTTTTGGATGTGTACCTGCCTGATCCTAAGGTAAGGTGGTGTTAATTCTGACCGCTGTATGATGGTGATCATTGTTTCACCTTGTCAAGAATACATGAAATCACATCACCGTCCACCTATTCTCGGTGATGGGTTAGTGGCCTGGGTATCACGTGTTGGTGACCCGGGGTGTCACTCCTGCACAAGGGTGTATTTCATTGGACTCATAACACAAGCTTAACCTTTGAGGAGAGCTGCCTTACAATTGAACATTTCTAACTGACGAGAGGTGGCGGTAGCTGGGTGAACGAATGTCTGGTCACGTTTGGGGAACCCAACTTACAACCTAGAAGATCAGGACTCGAAGACCGTTATAAAGTCGGTGGGTTATCGGTCGAAGGGCTTTATGTATGGGTTTTTGTGGAAAGGGTTTTTAGTGGATTAACATGGATGCAGGAAGCTTATTAGGATTATATTACATTGTTGAATTTTTCCAAAGGTAGGGAATAACAAAATCACGGAGCCGTGCTGTGTTTGAGTCGGTTTTGGTTTATATTGGTTAATGCCTCCTATTTATATGTTTGCCAGTGGTGTCCAAACTTGTGGAATACTATCTATATTGCATCTAAGAAAAAGTCAACTTAGCTAGTTGTTATAATATAGTCGAAAAACAGACTGTTGTATTAACAGCACCATTTTAAGCAGTCTTTTGCCATAAATTGCTATGTAGTTTGGCAACCTTAAATTGTTTTTAACGTTCAATGTTTAAGGTCAAAGTTTCGGACATGCATGAATCTTGCAACTAATTGGTGGGTTGCGTTACGTTGTTTGATGCGGTCTGTTCTGCATCTGTGGACTTCAATGTAGCGCAATCTCGTTGTTTTACGCTTAAGGGACATATTACTGAGGACTCGCATATTTTTTTCAGATATGGGGAATCGACTGATCTGTTGCCGCTTGTCTTGGACAAGCTTCACTAATTCAGAGTTTGATCTTTTTCCAGACACGGCATGCCAGTCGCATTTTCAATTCACGAATCATGGAGCATTTTACTCCCCTGCACCTACATTAGCTCAGCCCCAAGTTGTTTTATGTGATGACAGTTACCAACGTTTCTTGTCCTATTGTCCAAAGACAAGGCCTTCCGCATTGGATACATCTGTGCAGCACATAAGCGAGCGAGAGCCTGAAGGTATTTTTAGGAAGTATTTAGGTATTTCTTAGATGTCGACTTTAATCCCTCTTTAAATCCTTCCAATACGACGCTCTTTCTGCACTCCACTTTGCGTTCAATCACACAAAGCTCTCCATTGAAAAAGGTATGGGCACCTTGAATTCTCAGCCGTTATTTGTGCAGATGCTTCGCTTGGAAGACAGAGATAAGGTAAAGCATCTCAAAAAAGGGCTGCAGCGATGGAGCTCTTGTGGTTCTGTGTACATAGGTGAATGCTGCTTGTCGAAACCAGATTCTAAGCTGATTTTACATTGCATCTCTGTCGCAGTATGCTCATTAATCAAGTCTGAGAGAACGCGAGGCCAAAAAGATTTCGAAAACCTTTATTCAGGTGATTGCGACCCTCTCATTGAATGTTATTCTGATCAATCGCCCAGCCTAACTTCCACTTATGATCTGGAAAATGAATGCTCTACCGGACATGAACTTTACAAGGAAGTCTACGAAATTTACGACGAAAGAGTGCACCCATTATTTGTAAGCCCCATGGATATAGCATCTGTTGGTTAATTTACAATTTGCCATAACAAGTGAAGTATTTTAATGTTAACTAAGGTTCCCTTTCTGAGTGAGTCGAGGCTACTTGTAACGGATAACGCATCACTTTACTACAGGGTCTGCTCTTCTTATTTTTCTATTTTCATATCTTTTTCCTTTCAGCCACTGTCTTCGTACTGTCAGGTGGATTCACACTTCTCTCTGGGTGAACCTCCATACATTGTCCTCCGTTTTCAACACCAAATATTGTATTTTCTTAATCGCTTATTCTCCTCCTCTCTCCTTACGGCTGAGAGCGCAATCGTGGCTCTTGTAAGCAAAGAAAGAGCATAATTCTTGCCCAACTGTGCGTAATGGATTACTTCATTTCTAGGTTTATCTGGAGCGCCTGATAAGCAGCCTTGAAATGTGCGTCGTGGCTTGGTCTTGGCGTCGTCAGCTCTTGGCTTGCATCCTAATCGCTTCCAAAGTTCTCGACGATCAGGCTGTTTGGAATGCTGACTACTGCCAACTCCTCAAAGATGTCCATGTCAATGATTTGTAAGCGGATAATTGTGCTTTTAACCCATGAAATATTTTTGATAAGGGGTTGCCTTGATTCCTCGGAAGTAATACATGCAAACTGTTTCCGTTTGCTTTCAGTATATCAGTTGTTCTTAAGGTGTACGCGTCTAATCAATGGTGTTAAATAAGTTACTGTGTTTCCACTACTCCACTGTCTGTCAGCGCCGCGTGGTGCATACTTACGGTTGCGTTATAAGCTAATAACTGCTATTTCCAATTGTATTCTACATATTTTTAATTAGTGCGATTCACCTGCGAGTTTATTGTAGGTTGGATGTTATGCTCGGACATATCGGAAATGCTTAAGATACTGGGCTCTTTAGCGAACCAGCAAATGTTTCTAAGTTGGTATCTTGGTGCAAATGCTAGGTGAATAGGCCGAGACTTGATGTTTATGACCCCTTAGGTTTCTGCTGGAAACTTGCAATAGATCTCTTTCCTACCGATCGTTCGGATATGCCCCTTCACATACTGATACGCAAAATTACTCAAAGCTTATCGCTGTTATTGCTCACTGAATTTATGGGTCATGTTTTCTAATAAGTCATAGCATCATTTACGGCTTGTTAAATCCCCTTCTGTGTTCAAATCACCCAAAATTTGTAAGTTGGAAATGATTTACTTTCATCCCCATTTTGTGTGGATACTGTCGATTATTCGGTGCCAAAAGTCCAACCCGCGCAGTCTAAAGCGACCAGATGACTGGTCATTTGTAAACAATAGACACTCTGTGTTTCTCTAGCTTTGGTGATCACGCATCCATTGCATTTCTCATAAATCGTTGCGCCCTGCACCACTCAGCCTCATTAATTCGAGTATTTTTCTGGACATATTTTCAGATGTTTTGGCATTGCACAAATGAAGTCCGGGTTGTTTATCTTCCCTTTTAAAACTGCTATTTAGTCAGACACCACGGTTATCATATTTGTCCACTTTTCTGTTTGGGTTCTAAACCGTTGTAGATGGTGGAGAGCCATTTTATTCGTTTCTTTGATCTTGAAATACATACATAGCGTGTCATCACAATGCGGTGCATAAATTTGTACTTGAATTCTTCTACACACCTTTTTAAAGTCATCCTCTGGTTACCGACAAAGTTTTCTACCACCAGAATTTCAAGTTTGGTGACGAGGAATGCTCTGGTTCTCATTCGAAGAGTCAAGATCATTTGGGAAGCTAATGACAACAGTCCAATCGTCCTAATGGTGGGCCTATTAAAGGACTGATGCCTCCATCAAGCAATAGGCAGGGGGAAGAAGGGGAGGGCCGACTTTTGCTCTCCTTGTCAACTTCGTGGTGCAGCCGATTGGTGCAGACTCGACTGTTGGATAGTCGCCTAACCAGTCAGCGCACCCGTTTCTGCGCGCGGCAGAAAACTCGAACCGCCCGCGCTAAAGTTGCTTGGTGGCACAGATGTCTCCACATCTGCTTTTTGTCATTTTTCGGGGAAGTGAGAAGTCGGAAATATTTTCTAAACTTGACTGCGTTTCAGTAGAATACATTTTGCTCTTAAGTACTGGCGCCAATGCTTCTACGGCCTAATTTTACTTCGATAATGCTGACAGTCTCCTCCTTACATTAGGGGGTCCTTTCGACTTGTTGCAATGTCAGCTGTGAATATTATTGGTCATAATTTACTTATCTTTGAAGATGGAGTTCCAAGCAGTGGGTTTCGTTTATAGCACTAAGGTTTCCTACCAGAACGAATATCTCAAACCCCTCACTTTCTGTGTCCTTTTTTTTGTCCAAATCTTCTCCAACCAAACTTGGCATTCTTCGATGTTTCTAAATACCTGCATACTCGAATAACATTTAGGTGGAGAAAACCTATTCATTGGGAGAATCTGTTTTTACTCTTAGTATAATCGCTACCAGTGTCACATATATGTGCCATATGTTCGTTCTCCGATAACTGGTTGCCCCAAATCGTATCACAAACAGATTGGTTAGGTTTAAAACACTGAAACAGATGTAGGGCCTTCTTGTTCTGAAGAAAATTTTATTTGAATGCTGTGGCGAATGATTTCCTTCTGAGATTCTAGCGGCAAATGTATCGCTACAAGTAATTCAATGAGCTATGGGATACGGCTTCGAGTTATCGATGGTAGCGGACTACGATTGATTTATGCCACGAGAAAACGCATGGATCCATGACTGGTTTTAGCGCCTGGGTTGTCCTCAGAGAAATATTAACACCTACCACTCCGAAAACAAATTTACTAGCAGTATGCGAAAGGGTTGGAGGGCTATACGCGTGTCAGGCTTGGAGAGGATGTCATGACATCGGCAGCATAACTGAGTCGCAGAGACTGAAGAACCCGTGCATACAATGGTGCTATTCACAACTAATGCGGATATGTCGGTAGCGTGTCAATAGGTTTAACAAATCTCGGCCCCTTTGGCGTAGCTAACGTCCATGCGCGCACACGTACACACGCCCAGACACAGGTCCACTGCAGTCGGGCGCCCGTTTCGATGGCGCTTGCCAACCACGTGCCCCGCATCTTGTCTCGGAATTTCTCACCCGACTTCAAATACCACTAAAATAAACATTCTACACAGCGCTGTCCTGCATTTTCACCCACTGCTACTACCATCTCATCTGACCCCACGCTGGCTTGCAAGGCTCCACCAAACTGGACTGCTCATCGTCTAGTTTATTAATTGTTGCATGTGATACTGGGATTTCTACAGCTTCCACCCCTACAATCCCGTAGTAGTTCAATGCACAGGTAAATATTCAGACATTCAGCTCTCCTGTGAACACTGGCCCCACTTCAATACAATCTGTTTGTCGGAGACTCTTGCACCATGGAGTCCAGTTTTCTGGCTTGAAATTCCAAGGGACTTTAAAAAGAATAAACAAATAAACCATATACTGCTCCAACGATTGTGACTATTTAATGTCCATCCATAAATATAAAGTTTGCTGTGGCTCCTCGTTTCTTACCTTTTTCACTGCTACTTTATGCACCCACATTTTGGCCTGCATACACATGCCAAAAGGAACAAGATTTATTTAAAGCACGCGAAAGATTCTCTGCCTTGAAATAAAATTATTATTAATTATCAAACAAATGGCGGATTTGGTTTGCTTATAATATCAGTAACCTCTAATGGGTTTGTATTTTACGGAAAAATTATGACAATTGTAAATGTCTTGAGGGTGCACCACTTTATAAACGTTTGTTTTATTTCACAGAAGTGGCTTTTTGCAAAAGGAGGTGTTCTCTTTTGTCTCCAAATTCCACTTTTATGGGGAACATGACACTTTATCCTGCTCTGTTGGTGCTTTGGTGGTGTGTGGCAATAAATCGTCAGTTTGGCCTGCGTCTTCCTGCTCATGCTTACTGCCTTCATTATTCCCTGTGCCGCGTCCTGAGACTGCCATAAAGGCGAAGACGTACATACTACTAGGGCAGAATGTGTATTGCCGACGTACAGTGAGGCTTGGGGGCCGCTGGCATAGTCTGGAGGCCTTGCCGTCCAGTGGAAGCGTAGAAGTCAAGTCTTGAGCGTCCTTAAAATCGGAACGTGGAATCTAACTAATGATTAATGTATTGCACCCTTGCGTTAGCTCGATCTACTCTCCAACCCATTTCAGATCCCCAGAAGTTGCGTCTCCGTGCTTGCTCCTCTTTCAAAGAGTGTGAAAGCAGTAGTTACTGTTAATCTCAATTTGCCTAAAATGAATTTCTTTTAGAGTGGTGCATTTTCGTGGGCGAATCTAAACTGGCTGCTGGCACACAGGGAAAAAGAACAATTTTGACTTTGAATTTTATGAAAATGGAGGCTTTTGTGCTCTGATAATATGCTGCTGAATTTCGGTTTTGAGTAGCTATAGGTAGCTGCAACCTGACCTACTGTGCGGGGTTTTCCATATTACAGCATCATTAGCGGGAAGAAAGCTTGCTAAATTTGCCCTACCTCATTGCGCTTATCTCAGAAATGGACATAACCGAAAGGCAGAATTCGGCCTCCCCGGTTGGGATTTGTGGCGCAAATAATTAAAGTTAATGTCAAAGATCAAGTAATGCAGATTCGGCCGTTTTATCGCAGTGCATTAGGATGTAATCCTACGTATGCATATTTCTCTTTACCTCCAGTCAGGACCTAGTAAACCGTGGCGAAGTAGGTGACATTTCCAAGTATCCACCTCGGCTTGAAAGGTTGTGCCTCCGTGAATGCTAAGTTGTTATTTGAGAGAATGAGGTTAGATGCAGCGGCACGGTTTTACCTGTGGTGCATGTAAATGTTAGAAGAAGGTAATTTCTGCACACTTTTCTCTTTCATTCGTGATTAGTGGTCGAATCAACTGCCAATTCTTACTAATCAAAGGTCAGATCAGTCTGACTGCAGTATCTCATTCTTTTATTTTGAACGCCCCCACATCTTGAGTGCCCGCTCATAAAAATTTTATTTTTCTCCCGGGAATCCATACTGGATGAGGGATTGCATCTATCCGGTTATTGCCATGCAACGCCCAAGATGACAAGCCAAATAGTTGCTTGGATTGTTTGTTAGATTGCGAGGTTGCTCTCGTGAGAAGAGTGATGCCTTCTACCACCGACACACAAAACAGAAATAAAGCAGTAAAGTATTGTCTCGGGGGCCTCATTCAGGCTATTTCCATTAAATGGTCAGAAGTGTACTTTACTGTGCCTCTTCAATGCAGGAAACACCTGAAAATCCGGACAGTTGGTTCCAAGTTTGTGTAGGCGTAAATACTGGTGGTGTGCGGGTTCGGAATCCTCCTTCGTTCGGTAAATACCACCACCCTCTACAAAAATCGACATGACTTTGGAACTTACCGCATGATCGGATGCTGTGATTGTTCGACGCCCAGGCGGGTGTCTATCGCATAAACACAGTGGTCATCAAATACAAGTGGCGGTATTGTTTACCATCACAAGTAGCGATGGTTAGTGGGTCCCTAGGTTAGCGGCCGCCTGCATGCTATCAGTATGCTTCCTTAGTACCCTCTCCTCTCCCCCAATCTAAGAGATTCCTTATCACGAAGCTATTTTAATAACTTAGGGTATTGGTTAGATGAAGAAACACAGTTAGCCGATGTAATCATTCAATCCTTTCAACGCTTATGTTGCAACCGTCGGAATCCTCAGAAGAGCCTAATTATTTCTTGCAGTAATGAGTGTCTTCGCGCTACCATCATGTTTTCTCAAACTTTGCAAACATACGGGCGCTCATTTTCACTTTTACTTTCCCATCACCATAGGAACGACCTGGAGCGGCATACACTGAGCCTGCTACAATTTAACACAGGCGTGCCACCGGCGGTCTACGCACGCTACTACTTTGATCTGCTTAGCCTTGGTGAGGCGGTAGCGCTACCCGCGACAAACGTCGGCGAACGACGACGCATGACCCCGGGCCTGGCCCGCCACCTTCGCGTGCTGCCGGTGAGTGCGGAGGCACGCGCTGAGCATCTCGCCGCCGCGGCCTCCGCTGGCATTGCTTTTGGTGGTGGAGGAATTCTTTTCGACCTACCCTGTTCATCCCTTGCCGACGCCTCCTCCGATGCCTCGCCCCAACAGGATCATCAAACTGGGTGCCCCAGTCAGCGACTTCGCTCGCGACAGCGACCACACTCCGCCAGTCCATCGCTCTCCTCTACACGGGTTCGCCTAGTTAACTTTATATGTTCTGGCCTCACCAGAAATTGGTGGCGTCTGGACCGTTACTTTTTCTTGGCGATTAATTAAGTTGCGGAAAGTAAGAGGTCGCTAGGAAATGCTACTTTGTGGCTTTATTGTGTTTGTTTGCTGAATGCCGAATTTCACGAATGTTGATCAATTCCTTCTACTTCCAGTGGAATAAAATGGAGTTATACTATGTAGTTTTGCTGATAACCCGACAATTGCATGCGACATTTTTGCCTTTTTTGAGACAGAACCCGACTAACACCTGATTAGAATTCGTTTCTTATCGCTGTTGTCACTACTGGGTTAGCTCTTGTACCAAGATGTCAGCTGAATATCTACCAACACCGTCAGCACCACCACTCACAACTCTTCATTGTTCAACTGTGATACTAATTATTTCCACCATCTTCTTTTCAATATAATCCATTTTCCTTGATTAAGTGTGTCACATACACGTGGCGCGTGAGTTTAGGTGTGAGAACCTAGACGTCACCTATATGTGACGTATGGATTTGTTTCCCAACCTTATTTCATTCTTCGAAAATTGTTTAAGATAGTTATTTAGAAACTGTCTTTATCATCAAATATCATACTTTCATCCAAAAATACCATTTAGTTTTGTTAATGCTGCTTTTGTTTATCCGGGATTACTCCTTTCGATTTAGAGTAGTCGATTTTTTCGTTTTTTTGCTTATAAAGACTTGAATTATTATTCAGCAGTCAGGCCTTCCGGATTTTAGGAGTTACCAGTGTCTAGATTGTTCACCTCTCCTCCAGAAAGTCTTATTTTTTCTAGTCTAAAATGCGATGTTATTGCGGCTTGATTGTGGTCGTCTGACTGTTTGGTGCCGAGTTCTACAAGGGACTACTAATTCCTCTGTATAAAACTGGATTTCTTAACTTTCTTTGGTTAATTTCCGGCGTACTCAATAAAAATTTCTCTACTTGATTGTAAAGTTGGCGGTCAGTAGGTTATTCTCTTCTCGCACGAACGGCTTACATTGACACTGAAAACGTGGTCGTTGACCAGTCACAATTGTAACAAAAACCCAAAACGTAACCAAAAAGTAGTATTTGACTTTGCTTTCCCTATTACATTACTACGTTAGCTACTGCTTCGCGAACAGCAATTGGTTCATCTATCCTTTCCTCTTTGCGGGTCTGCGCTAGCGACTGAAGTCATTTTCCACCTTCATCCACCTTTACCATCTTAATAGATGCTTTTACTTAAAAGTAGCTTAGTAATTTCCCTGTTGCCGTTTTTGTCAGCGATCACTCTTCCTTCGGTATTTTTGGCATCATTGACTGATCCCGACCAAGTGGCCCGCATTCCAGCTCTATTCGAAGTTGTCGGTGCCCAGAGTGTTCTTCATTCATCTGGACAAAAAAATGCTCCATTTCTCTAAATTAATTTGAAATGGAAATTTGATAGTTATTGGTTGTAAATTTACTGTCGAAGTCTACGAATAGCTATGGGACCTTGAAGTTTTGAGCTGACACTTTTTTCCCATTCTTCTTATAACCTACTGACCGAAAATTCAAACGATGTATCAACAGATTCGCAAGAATTTTAGCTAAGCTCAGATAGGTCGCCAACTAAAGGCTAAGCAGTAAAGCGGCTTGGCTTTAATTTTTTTGCGGTGGAAACTGAGTGGCTCATCCAATTCCCCATTCTTCCTTTAGTTCTTCCCCTTGCTTAGGTAAGCTCCGCTTATTGGCGGGAGGTGTTATTGGCTTGCTGCCACCTTAGTGCATTCACCCATCATTTGACAATGTAAGACATTACTTTTTTACTCCTCGCCTAACTTTTAGCCACGCGATGTCGTGAAAGCAGTCGGTTTCATTACTTATATTTCCTCGACAAATTTCTAAACTAATGATAGAAAATTTTACTGTCTACATCCGACTGCAGTCTAATTAACTAGAATGTTGTAGGACAGTGACAAGTAATTTTGATATTGCTTTAATATTTTGCTTGTCTTTGAGCATTGGTAAACACTTTTCGTGAAAGTTGGTCGTCTCATTTTCCCCTTTACACACTTGTAGTGATATAAGAGAGGATTAACACTTCGACGGGCAGTTGTATGCCATGCTGTTTTCAGACCTGTTTGGTTTTTCTATCGAAGTCGTTCAGGTCATCCACAACATAAGGCCACCGTGACAGTTAAGTGGCAGGCGCGTTTCCCTTACAGGCGATGCAAATGTCATAGGTCAGCCCAGACAGTGTTGATCAAGATGACGGATAACAGTGCTCGTGGATGCGTGGAACACTGTGTGGTGAATGAGGCCATCAAACCCGCACATATTGCATCACATCCTCAGAAGACTTTAGGTGTAGTTCGATGCAATGGTGGAACGTCCAGCAATAATACCTTCCAATGGGGTAAACCTTCTGAAGACGTCTGCATGCCCGTCTGTCAATGACAATCTCATTCTCGGCTCACAACCTCTGTGAACATTGAATTTAGCACATGGAACGCCCGATCAGCACATAACTTGTGTTCTGACAAATCTACTTAAAAGATGTACCTTTCTGTGGCACCAGCAAACACAAGACAATCCTTCACGAATGCTTACATTTTCGAAAACCCAACACACACTGGGTGCCAAGACAACGAAGTCTCAGTCGTGCTGATAAATCTTCCCATGCCGGCCTGTTCACCAAGTATTTGTTATATGCTTGCATATGTGTATAGGAAAAAGAATGGAACTATGCCGAAAAACAAACACAGTTTCTGGGTTTTTAAGCTTTTTTTCGTTTGACATAATCAAAAGTCACTGTTTGACTTGAACTGCTTCTCATAAACACGGGCCTGGATTGTTGCTTACGTAAATTTGTCCGGGATTTCACTTATAAACTCCAAGTGATTCTGACTGGAAGTTGTTAAGATGGTTATGCTAAGATTATCATAAACTGTTTATGGCTCTGTTACTTCTTATAAACCTTTCCCTACGAAGCGTTAGGTCACCATGTCAATGGGGTAGGGGAGGCTTCAGAACCGAGAAACCATTCGTTGGCCAAATAAGGCATTTCTCTAGGCACGCTTTATTTTTATTCACAATTCCATCAACTGAGTCAGCTTCCATCGATGTTTCCTTAAAAAAACCTCGGGATGTTGCTGGGTCTTTACAACCAGACCAATGTATCAAAGACCTCTCAGTTGATGGTAGAATCTGGTGTGCCTTCAAGAGTGAGGGGTTCATTTTATCTGGACGTTGTTATCTTTTTCGTAGATTTTCATGCTCTTTCACATATCATAGCTCTAGGCTGGCACTTTTCCCTCACCCATTGGGGTTTTACAGCTAGTGGATGTTGTTTCTCACACATGCGTACCTTTGCCTTCATTAGCGTATCTGACCTTTCTAATTAGAGAAACGCAACCTTCAGGTATTTGAGCCTCTCTCTCAAGCGACCATGCCGTGTGCCGATGATTTAGCAGTTTATTTATGCCACAAAGCTCTATTGTTAGCTTTGAAAGCGATGCGCTTCTAGTATTTGCTCCAAAGGCTGGGACGCTTTAATTCCAACACTAAGATGATGCTTGAAATGCTCATTTTTGCGGAAATCGGCAAAAATTTCTCCTAAATATAGTTTAAGTTGTTTGTAGTTTGTAGAAAGAATTTAACGTAATGCCGTCATAATAGCTCCATTTTGTGGTGTCAATTCTGAGTCTCAATTTGACTCGAACGGTTCTTGAAATAATCCATTTAACTTAAATCAGGACCCATCGAGTTTATGTAGAGTTTATAAAGCACATCTTCTTTAAGAAGTGAGGGAGATAATTTGAATTTGACCTTAATTGGGAGGTTTTTGACATTCACACTCCTAGCCACGCCACACGTCCATGGGCACCAAGCCGAAGACTCGCCACCATCATCATCCACAGGCCGCCAGCGAGAGCGAATACGAGCAATCGACATCGGCGGTCTCGACATTCGCCTCCACCTCGTCATCGTCCTCCTCCTTGACGTGGAAGTCCTCTGCTTCTGCTTCTCCTGTCTCTTCATCCTCCACCTTTTCCGCCGTCTCGGGTTGTTTTCAACTGCCCACTGCTGTCTCCAACGCCGCCTTCGATCCTTGGACGACACCCACGGCCACCTTCCGCTTTGGTACTGGTGGTAGTGGTGGAGGCGGTGTCACTGGACGTGGTGACGATGTTGCAACCAGTAGCACCCTTTTTCTCCTCCAACAGGACTCGGGTCTCTACTGACACATCTCGTCTTTCATCACTCACTACTTCTACCTTGAGGCAACACAAAACGAAACAATCTGCCCAGCTCTGCGATTCCTGCGCCCTATCATGTGTGCTTTTATATGTACATACTTAAATACCCATTTAACTGACTGATGTGCATTAGTTTTAAAACCTGCTTCCTTTGCATTTGATGCCGTTGTCACCCAACCGCCCACAAATGGAACACATACAGTTCTGACAATCGTGAAGATTAGTAAATGATATCTGTTCATTTGAGTTCCTGTTGCTTTTCTATTTCCCAGAATGGGAGCAAGCTGGCAAGTTCATCTGTGGGATGGCCGAGGGAGATAGACAGGGTAATCAATGCGAGAGGCTTTTGCCACTTTACTATCACTGTAGGAGGTGGAGGTCTTGGTTAGTTTATAAGCCTTAATGGGTAAAATGGATGCGAGGTGACGGAAGGGGTCAATTTCGCACTCGCGATTTGATTAATCACCACCACCTACACCGCTCCAGCACGAAAAAAAGTGGTGCGGCTTTCCACCCGAGTTGTAAGCGTGGTCAGTTAAAAAGGTGTTTAGTGGATCTTGTGTATCCACGACGTGTCTCTACTGAAAGTCCGTCCGACCAAACGAGTTATTTGTTACCATTGAATTATCAGAAGTTGACGCTGTATCCAAGTGACCAGATTTGCCTCCAATTTGCTTCAATTCAATACGTGAAGTTTAGCCAGCATTAAAAACGGGTGAGACGCACTATTGGAATGCCTCCGTCTACTCGACCTGTCCCTAATGCATTTGTTTACCAATTAAAATGAAATTTTTTCACAAATGTCACCTATTCCGCTTTAAACCCGCGTTCAATTATCTAACCGCTGCGTTAGGCGCAGCTGGAAAAGGCGTTGAAAGTCTAAGAGCGACCTACAGCATGAAATTCCGCCTGAGTGAAGATTTTACTACGATATTTGGATGCACGGCTTCACACTTTTTAAATTGAATTGAAGTTTTAGATGTTACTATGCATGGCAGTTAAGTAATTTGCATTGTCGCCCGTGCTCCTCGTAAATACGAAACGGTAGAAAATAAGTTTTACTTAGAAATAATGCTGTTATTATTGAAATACTTGAAGGTGAGACCTAGGTAGTGGTTTGGTGCTTCAGTCTAGGAAATATTTGGCATTGGATTGTTGAAGTACTCCCTAGTAGATTTAATTCTATGAGGTAGTGTATTAAAGCTACTTATCTCTGGGACCAGGGAATGGAAGCAATGTCGCTGGAATCGGTACATGTATACCTATAACAACTAATACGAGCAGTGTGCCAACATGTCATGTCCACCCACATCGCTGCATTAACTATTCACCACGTTGGCGACCACGTTATTTCGAAACCTCGATGCGAACTATGTATTGGGTAAGCTTTAGTTGAAAATGTCCAAATCTTTGGTAGTCATTCATTCAGCATTCCGTGCTTGCCCTAGAGCTACGCTAAGCCAAATCATTGGGTGCATGCTCCAAAACAAGACTGTATAACTTAAAAAAGACATACATTTTGAAAAAATATTAAAAAAATTAGATAAGGCTGGCTGTTTTCACTTTTACTGGCTATCTAAAAAAGTTTACACGTATAAACCAAGCATAACATGTAAGAACTAGTGGAATTTTGTGTGTTGTTCGCATATGGTTTAGTCAACGAAGTAAAATCAAATACCATCCGATAAGAAAGCAATTATGCCGAAACCAAAATAGATACTTTTAAGTCTACGGGACTGTTATGGCGCCTTGAATATGATTCAACCAAAACGTTTTATTTTTATGGTCCGTAAATTGTGATAGTGTACATCGGGCTGACATTCAGCCTTTATTTAACTAAACCCGAATGTGCACGCGCGGGGAGCACTTATTAATGGGGATATCCTAGTGAATTTGCTTGCCTTGTAATGCTGATTATGAAATCATCCTTTGGCCGAAATGATGACATTAATAGACTTGTCAATATTTTCACGGACGACTTCAGTATCAGTGTACGTCGCACTTCTTACATTCTTATTAATTCTTACCATTCTACATGTATATCAGCAATTGTCACGACCAAAATTTAGCTGAATTGCAACATTTAGACAGCTTATTTGTTAAATTGATCACTTTTTCGGATCATTGCTGCCCAGGTTTGGCGCTCATTGCTAATTTATAAGAATGTATGAGATTAAAACCAACGCTTAGAATCCTCTTTTTTCGTATTCCATTTGGCATTGTATCTAAATTGTTCACCGATGCTTAGGTCTAGCAACGGTGATTAAATGAAACCCGTCGTAAAATTTCAGTTGCTTCCTCATTTATAGGCTTTTTTCGAGCTTGATTTAATTAAGGTAGCGCTTTAGTGCCTAAAAGTGCGTTCTCAAATAATGCAAGTAATTACAACCTGGTGTTATTTATTACGCTTTTAGATACCCCGCAGTGTTCTAGTCGAATCAAGTCATTTCTTTAAGGCTGCTCTTCAAAGCGGCATGTCGGAGTCACGCTCTGGTGAATTTTTCCTCTCTGAGTTTTCACCACGTCAGTTGCAGCACCTGCAACATTTCCTTTCGGATAATGACCTCTTTACCAGTAAAGTCGAACCTCTTCAGAGTGAGGGTGGGCAGTCAATTTCGTCTGACTGTCAAATGGAAGAGCAAGTGAGGCGTCTCGTGGAGGCTGCTTTCATTGCAGACTATCTGCAAATGCCTCGTTTTAAGTCCAAACTGCAGACGCTATTCAAGTACCTCATTCAGTCACTTACACATCCTCAATCACCTTGTTTTTTGCGCTTTCATGATTGCAACACCTTTACTGAGATGATTTTGATCCTCTCGGATAATCGCTTGAAATGCTTGAAGAAACCTCTCCTCCGACTTATCTACCGTTGCCCTACCGTTCTTCTGGACTCAAAATTTGTCCATTTTGATACTTCGCAGCCCTTTTTGATCACATCAGTGCTTCAGACACTGTCCTCTGACAAGATTTTTCTCTACAATGAAGACGAGATTCTCAACAGCGCCTGCGAATGGATTGAACACTCACTTACACCACCAAAACAATGTAGAAGTGGGAACGATACCATCACTGAAATACTGCTCTCTCTCGTCCATTCACTCCGCCTGGGTCTGCTTAGTCCCTCGGGTCTACAACACCTAGTCAACCTTCTTAACGAGCACCTACAACACGTGGCTTTAGATGCCACTCTCAGCCACTGTCTCTCCTCTACTCGAATGCTCCTCTCGCAGAATTTGCGCTCCCATTTTCAGGCCGCTCTCTCTGCCAGTCTCATGCGTCCTTCACCTTTTCACACTGCCGCCTTTCGTCCTCGTGCCGATGTGCCCACACTGGTCCTCGTGGCACGTCAAAACTCGCCCTCCTCCTTTATCCTTTACTTCCTCAACCTTCTCACTGGTCAAGTGTTGAGCAGTCCCACTCCCCTCTCCGTAGAGCGTACTCTTCTTTTTGAGCCCAGCGAGAGCAACCCGATCCACCTCTGCACCGCAGAGGCTGCTAGCTGCCAAAATCTAGTCTTCCTCTTTATTCATCAAATCAACACGGCCACTCTAAAGGGCATGGTATGGGATCTGGCCACGCTGCAAGCCGAGTGGATGCCCGATTTGGATCTGAAACACGCCTCCTTTGCTTGGGCCAGTACCTCTTTCTCCACCTTTTCTCTACCCCATGCTGTAGGCGTGGTCTATACCGCGGACGGTCTGATGGTCTACTGCTCCTTCACGCTGTGCACTCAGACAGTGCTCTGTGTCTACCGCTTTGATGCGCCCTCATGGCGGTGGATCAAGTACCACCCCAAGGCGGTGGAACAGAGCTCTGCGGCGGGACACAAGGTACTCAAACCTATGTCCCATGCAACTGCGCAAGGAGTGGGGGAACGCTGGCTCTATGGTACGTTAGACTCTGCAGAGGGCAGTCAATTCATCCGTATTCGACCCGCTGCAGCACCCGGCTCTGGCGACTACTCGGTACAGGTTCAAACCCTCCCTTCACCTGACTTCATTCTGCGTGCATACAATCTGGTCAGTGTTCATACATTTGCTGCTGGTGATGATGGAGATGGAGGAACAGGTAGGCTTACCTAGTTACGTAGTGTCTTTTTCTTACTTTAATCCCATTTTATCTGTTTTATCTCTCCATCTTTGGGCTGTTTGTGGCATGGGCAGTAACTGAGAGGATTTCTGTGCTGCCTTCGGAGATATGCTTCTTTTCTATTAGTAGCGTGCTTAATTGTTTCCATTGGTTCCTCAGTGTCTTTTCTGCCACTGTCATCCTACGTATTTACGATTTCAGCTAAATGTTTACAGTTTAGACGATGAACTTTCGTTGTTGTCGTTGGGCAGCTGAGATGTTTCTAATACATCTGCCTTCTATTTCCAGCTTGTATTCCTCAAACACGATTGACTTGTATTTTGCAAGTGAGATGTCACTTGCTTCTAAAATGTTTGAAATTTGATTTAATTTTTGCCCTCTGAATGAAAGTCCATAACTAAACAAGTCCCTAGAATATCCTCTCTCACCTAGAACCATTTTAGAAGCAAATATGTCATTGTTTTGGTGCACTAAACTTGTCGATAAGTAATGTACTTTGAGTAGAAGAAGGTGCTTATTTCTAAGAGTTAAGATCTTTGTGAAAAGACACCTTTCATTTAGATTTGTAGCTGAGAGCTGTTTCACGAGTGTTGTCTTGTAAGTTCATTGTTTCTGAGTTTGCTGCTTAGATAGTGATATTGAGTTCCTCGTTGATAGTGGACGAAAAATCCATTGTTATCGCTGCTTCTAACTTTCTTTCGCCTACTTTTTTTATCTAGTTGAATTATGCTTTACTTTTACGATGACTGCCTTATATCTTTTGTCCAAGGTTGCCACCTGCTTGTGAACTCATGATTGCCCTGTTTTGATTTTATTTACTTAAGGGCAACCAGTAAGTAAAGGAGTAATAGAAAAATTTCGTGGGTTTTATGCTCGCTTCGGAAAAGGTGCAGACTTTGGTTCTGACTTAGAGAACTTATTGATGGTATTTAAGAGATTTAACTTTCGTGAATGAGCTTTTTTAGTTCAAATAGGCGACAAGAGTCGGTTTACTAATTCGGTAAGTTCTCATGAGGACATAGACCCTGGATTGATTGTCTTGAATATGATTATTTGTGCGTCTGGATCCATTCTGCATCACTTAAGAGGATTTTTCTGACAACACGAAATATGTTCTTTTGATATTGAAGCCTTTTCTGAAAACCATCAAATTATATTCTTTCCCCTCTCATTGCTTTTTACGCATTGATTTCACAAGTTTCACCCTATTTCATTTTGATCTGCTAGTAATTGCGACGATCGTGACTAAAATTACACCTTCTGACTTCCCTTCCCAAGTATTCACTGACAGTATGGTTTATAACGTTGAAATTGAGGTAGATACTGAAATTCTAAAAATACCGTTTTCTGATAGATATCCATTCTATTGTTCATTTGCAGCGATTCCTGGGCGAATGCTATCACCCACATTTCAAACTTTGTGGCGATTTACTGTCGATGTTTTTCAACTAAGACCACTACTTCTTTGTGTTTGCTTAGTCCTTTGTGTAGAGGCTGCATTCCTAGTCAATTCCGTGGTCAGCTCTAACTGACGCCTAAAATTAGTATCTCCATCGGTACCTGTATTCACGCAGTTCATTTTCATTTTTCCTTATTGACGAATAGCAAATGTACCCTGATAATTTAAAAAAAGTTAGTCCATGACCAGTTTGTTGATATTTCAAGCTAGTCCCATTCTCTCAACTGCCTTTTGAATAGAGTACATGACTGTTAGGACATGTTCTTTTGGTGTGAACTCCATTTTATCGCCCACCTTTTATTCGTTTTGCGACTCCTCTAACTCAAGAGGACGGTCCAACTATTCTCTCCCCTGTCTGACTAGTCTCTCTATTGATTCCCTAAAAGGTTCAACATTATGCAATTCTGATTTGCGATAATGTTTGTGTGTAGGGGTCAACCCTTTAGCCTCTCTTGCCCCTCCTTATTGTCATGCATTTCTCCTGTGTGCCTTGCCCCTAAGTCCTTGATAACACTTTGCCCTTTAAAAATCACTAACCTTGTTAGCTAAACGGAGTTTACTTTCTTCTGAAGAGTCGTGAATTCAAAATCACTAATCGTCTGCCTTTTATGTTCTGACGACGAAAGTTTTTAGATCCGTATGCTTTACTTAACTCGTTTATTATTTGCAACCGTGTTTACATCGTGGGGTTCTAGTACTCAATTCTTTTATGCTTTTCATTGAATCTCTAATACGATTGAAGCTCTTTATTGTCACATAGATAGCACTCTCAAAAGTCTTACTATAAGTATCTTCGCTTTTTCTTATAAACACCATTAACTTAAACAGTGGTGCATCATTTTTTTACTTTACTTCTGGATTATATTCTGCTCCTTCTTGTGGTATGTGTGTCATGTTTAAAGCCCTTAGCGCCCAGCGGATAATCCCTGCGGTGTCGTCTTGGATTAAAATTTGAGCGATGGCGCATCCCTAACTTACGCATTTAGCTTGTTTCTCCAAAAGAGTTCTAGTGCGTCTCGTATTTTCCCTTCTCAACATTTGGTTTTATTTCAGGCCGTGCCGCATTCACTTTCCCCTTCAACGCCTGCCAGCGCGACAGCCAGGCAATGCGAATGTGCTACTCGCAAACACAAAATGCGTGGAACTCCTGGGAGCCCACTGCGTCTAGTCCAGCTCTCACTGCCTCTCCCTCTTCATCCTCATCCTCACTCTCTCCTACTACCTCCTTTTTATCAAGTTCCACCGAGCCACTCCGCTTTGCTCTCTCCCGCAATCACATCGGCTTCCGAGGTGTTGTGTGCACCAGTGGTCTCGCTATTCCACGTCACCGGCGCTCCGTAGGGAACGAAGAAGAGGGAGAATTGGAGGAAGGGTCAGAAAATGACATTGATGTGGAGATAGAGGAGGAAAGCAGTGGCACAGCAGAGGACCGTACGAGTTTCCTGCATCCAGGTGCCTACTTTGTGATGGCGGGTCGACTGTCGCAGTCGGTGTCACCGCCCTCACCCAAGGTCTCAGGTCTTTGGCTCCTCGATCCATGGGCTGCACGCGCTGCCAGTGATGCTCGGGAGCCTACCTTCCCCTTACCGCCCGATTTAGATGGACTGTTGCACCGCGCCACTGCGGTGTGCGGCGCTGTTGGACTAGCCAATTGGACAGGCCTACGTGCCGCTGTGACATGTTGCTGTGGTGGACAGGAGACGCAGACGGCTAGACCACCCCCATCATCCCAATCCTTGTTGCTTCCTTCTATTATGAGATTTGCGCGTCCACTTGCAGAGAACGTCGGTGGCGGCAGTGGAGGCCTATCCAGCCTCTCCGCCTCCGCTGCAAAGTTGTTCGCTTTCCATCACCGAAACAGCGGTGCTGGCAGTGATTCCGACTAGGCAACTGCCTGGAATTTCCTCCTTACTCTGTAATATACGCTGATGCTCCTTTTATTCTTCGATGGGTCTCGTGTTCCTGTAAATAGCAGCCTTGCTTTTGTCGGTGGACTTTTGAGTTGTAGCATGAACAAAAAGTGATTGCAGTAAAAATTTGCTTTCCTCGGCGATTTGGAGGTTCGTGTTTGGAGAACAATGCTTAACATTATTAAAGTGGTGTATATTCATGGGGAGTTGCGAAATGGCTTCCTAGTCTAGGAGCAGCCGTTTAATACCCCTTGAACACTCCTCCTCTCCTGAATACTTCCCTTCGCTCCCCAGCCAGGGTCACTTCCCTGAACTCTCATCCTTTGATGAGTCAGGAAGCTTTAAACAATTGACTTTTACAGGTGTTAAAACTATCCTCCTTTGAAAGGGAGCTTGTACGCCATTCACATTTCCGTGACGTTAATTCTTTGAATTGCCTCCCCTGTCTGTATGCATTACTTTTACCGCCGTCCATTGGGAGGTATGGCAATCAGGATGGTGAGACGTTGGGCTGAGATTTGCTATTTCATCAAAGGATACGAAAGTAAGGAGCATCAGCGTTTTTCAATGGCTTCGAATTCTGGTCATGAGACAAATTCCAACTCCTATAGCCGAATAAAAGAAGGAACGGTAACCTTCCCGTCAAAATTGCGTTCCATTCGGCCAACTAACGCCACTCGAGAATTGTTTGACATCCTTGGATACTGGCCTTTTGTATTGACATAAAAGCGATTTTAAGAGAAGTCTAACGAAATTTCACCGAATTCCCTCACATTTTGGAAGACCTTCGTCGCAAGAAGGCTGTCAGTTTACGTCGCGCCTCTGGAATGTGCCTTGCGTTCCTATTCAATTCAACAGAAGAGATTTTGTGATAGTTAATGAATTTGTTTTTTTCAAAGAAATCAGTAGAGTGCTACTGGTTGACGTTTTAACGCCAAATGATGCAGTCAAATTCAATCGTTCTCACAGTCCTAGCCGGTATCTTACCTTTTCCATGATTAATGGTAAATAGGCAATATGGCCTTATTAAACACTTCCCTTTATTCTTCAGATTGGATCATCTTCCATCAGAGGAGCAGGAGAGAATGGCTCGTTTTAACTCACTTGCAAATCATGATTTTCAATAGGCACTATAAGTCTTGGATAGGTGCTTGTCCATCGGTACTTCTCCCTCCATTGTGGACGTTAGCTTTTCATCAAATTTGTTGTTTTTTAGTCTTCGAAGGGATAAGGTGCGATGTGAAGTACTTCTGGGGATGTACTTCATTAGTCAGAAAACTATGTTTCACCTTTGCGTGTATGTGTACTTGGGTCAAACAAATATTACGACTGTGATATATTTGCTGAATACTATTTGATACAACTCTAAGGTGTACAGGAAACTGCTTCCTCTGAACCAGTCAGGCCTAGTCAAGCAACCCGAAGATGGTGCCACTCCTGTTCTGATAAGGCGTCGCAAGTAGTGATTATCACCTTTTCACGACATTTCCATTAGACAACCGCATGCAAAATGGGCAGACAAATGAACATAAAAGTGAGGTGGAAGCGGAGGTATGGAAAGCGCAGTGATGTCGAAGTACAATTTACAAGCTTGCGTCTCATAGGGAAGGGGTGATTGTTTGCAATGATGTCTGCTTCAACAAATAAAATATTTCAGGAATCTTCCTGCTATTGGCTACTTGGCATTGTACGGAACTGGACAAACATATTCGGTGACAGTGAGGCAAGTCAATGAGCCTTGAGAGCACACTGCGTTTGCCTTTCCCTGGTTTGCGTCCTCTGCCTATTTTCTCAAGTAAAATCCACCGCCCGGGAAAGCATTTAGAGCGCCTTGACTTAAGAGCGACTAGTTATAAAATCTAAAGTAAACTCTGCCTGCGCACCGAGCTGTTTTGCAATCTCTCAGTATCCATTTTTGCACGGACGAAATTTGTCGAGAATAGATTAGGTTCACAGATAACAGGCAATATACTCACTTCAGCATGAGGATATAACGCAAATGCAGCCCCTTGTACAGACGACAAGCACAGTCTTTCCATGTGGAGAGGTCAAGCTCGGTTCTGCTTAGCAGTTCCGTCTAATTTATTTCAACACCATCTTTTACTCTTGTTAAAGTTCTGCTCTATTCTTCGCCCCATAATCGAAGGATATTTTAAGGTGTTAAATTGACTTAAGAGCCCTAAGTCTTCCTTGAAGTGGAAAGAAGACCTAATATTCGGGCAGAATGTGCATTGCCGACGTCCAGAAGGTTTGAGGGATTACTGGCATGGATCGGATGCCATACCTTCATCGGAGGTACAGTCATGGGGCATTAAGTATCCGCGTAACCAAAACGAAGAAGTAAGTAAACAATCAAAATGCTGTGCAGCCCTCCTCTCCTATTTTCAGCGTCGTCTGCAGCACTCCCCTTGGTTACCTTCCCGTGCCATCCATTAAAACGCAGTCGGTGCTCTAAAAAATAGCAATACCCAAGAACCAACCGCACCAGTCATTAAATTTATTTGCAACCAAGAAGATATTCAACCTCGACTTCGCTTATTTCTCTTGACATTCCCACTGGATCTGGAGCTTAGTCCCGTTCAGGAACTGGATTGGATGAATAGCCAAATATCCACCGCAAATCGCCTGCACAAACAAGATCAAACTTCATCGTAGTGCAATCGCTTACTCTATGCTGTCCTCTGTAACAGGCTACGCCCGATTCCCTGTTGGTTTACACGCCCATTAAGATGTGAATATTTCAAGTTTCTGTGTGTAAGCATGCAAAATACGTTATTTAAGTTGTAATGCCCTACAGTCCTACCTAATTGCACCAGTAACGCATATTCTCTGCACAACTTGTTGAGCAATCACTCCAAATTGAGTCCGACATTCACACAACCCAATCACAGAAAGGCCTGGTTTACTCCGTAGGCTTAAATTCGTAGAAAATGAGGCCTTTTCCCTATCCATCGCTTTTGGGTTAGAAGATGATTAAAACCAATGAAGCATTATTTATGCTTTTTTATCAATAAAAGGTGAACCTATGAATACTTACTGATTATTTATCAGTAGCAATTTGACGATTAGTTTGCGAGTTAATCCTGCCTTTAAGAAATGTCAGAAAGTGCCCCTATATTGTGTACCATAGCGCAAAGATAATTACCTGGGTAAACTTTAATCATGATCTGGTCGAGCAGCTAAGCGCTGTTTTTTTTCTTAAGGTTAGTTCCTATTCACCTTTAGGTGTTATGTGGAAGAGTCAATACCTTTATGTAACATTTTTGGTGCCCTCTAAACTACCATGCGATAGCCGAATAAACCGGTCAGCATCGCATCAGACCCAGCCTGCCCTACCCGCAAAACATGTTCTCGTTTGCTTGGTAAAAAAGTTGGGTGGAGATTGGCGACTTCCGCGCGTAGCCCAAAAAGACCTACTTCTGATATTCTTGGGGGAAAAGGGTGACAGTAAAATGAAGCACTTGGATCCAAGAAGCCTCATAAAAGCCACTTTAAATCAGTCTTTTAATTATTTTAAGACAACTTGCTAAAAGGCTAAAAAAACTGTACTTGCTTTTTTTTAAGCTGCATCTATTACTCAGCAATACCCACAGTCTCTAAACTTAAAAAAATTTGTTTTTTTAGTGTACTACAAAATTTTCTTCTCAAGTATAAAATATACAAAATCCTCGGAGATCAAGAGAGCCGAAAGAGTGTCTGAGATCATAAAGACTTTCTATTGTTCATCCTCTTGTCTTCACTGGTTTTCCAATCCTAAAGGTGACCAGATCCGAGCTTCGTCGAGATAGAGCAAGTCAAAGATTTCTAAAGTGTGAAAAAGAGTAAAGAAAAGCATTAAAAATGGAAATGAATTATCGTATCGAGTCGATGGACAGTAAAGCATGCATTCATGACGAGCTTGATCCTCTCAGAATGGAGTCATTGCCATTTTAAACCATAGTTAATGTCTTGGCGGGGCGTTTGTTGAAGGGTTTTTTAGTGTGATTGAGCATATAACCTTCAAAAGAAAGTATTCTTGAAAGGCAACACCACATATACCATTCATTAAACATCTGCGTGCTTCTTTTCAATCGATTTGCAATCCTTTCCAATAGGGTTCAAAGAATTGTCGGATCCTAAAAGGCTCAAGTCTTCCGGTTTCCGGCATATTCAACCAATTCGTGGCGTAAGATCGCAGTACTCCTCTACTGTGTTAGAGGAGATTAATTTGACAGCTTCTATCGCATCACCAGAACCGCAAGACACGGAGTACTTAGACCAGAAATAGTAGCCAAATCCAATTTTTACCTAAGAAAATTTGTAAAGAAGATTACCAACAAGGTCGTCCAGCTCCTTCCCTAGACAGCGCACAGAACTCGACTTCAAGGACATCAAACCACTTCCATTTACTTCAGTAATTCGTGAAAAATGACCTCCGTTACATTCTAGTTATCCTTGTTTTTTCTTTCAAACTTTTAGATGCAAAAAAATTGACGGGTTAGAGCTAGGCTCCCAAGTTGGAACAGTCGGGAACTAAAGCACCCAAGCTCTGATTAATTGCAAAGTTACAGCTCGAGATATCTCTAAAAATGAATCTGGTTGTAAAGCTAAAGACTCCGATTACGTTGACATTCAACCAAAATTTCGGTAGGGAACAAAGTAGCTGCCATAGGATAACACTTCCGAGTCTAAGCTTCCCAGTGTAATGGGAAGTGCCGGAGAGTAGAATTCTTTCATCATTACATGTCACCATCACTTGGAGCTCGGAGAAGCATCACCATTATCAGTGGAATTAGGGAGGATGAGGATGTGGATGAGGTGAGGCAGTATCTCTTCTAGTTCTTTTGACTCCTCTCATCGTAAACAGAGTGCGGGTCTTCCAACGAGCAAGTCTTGCAGTGGGCGACTCACGACACGAGATCTAGTGATGTGCCACTGAAAGAAGAATTACCCTTCACAAGCCTTCGTCAGTCGTGATAGTTGCTTGACCTCCATACACACACAAAGTATGCAAAATCGTCTAGTTATGAACTGATGTGCCCAAAAAATGCTAAGCTTCCACAAATTACGGTAATCAACGACGACACACAATTTTCTACTCGAAAAAAGTGTTCATTTTTTAAACATTATTTACAGTTCTATAGTCTTACTTAATCATTTGATATTTCACCTTCCCATTATTTTGACAGGCAAGAGTGAGACATTGTACACCTATGGCTAAATGATATTCTTCTTGATTCCACATTTGACTCTACGGATCTTTCCAGCTCTTCGTGATTTCGTCTTCACGACAGTGGCACGGCACTTTGCTCAATGGACCTACTTAAACAACGATATGCCATTTATCAGGATCTAGCATCCCGATTTATTCTGCACTATTTATAACTCATTTGGCAGTAATTTGGATGCTGCGGCTCAGTGAAGCATGAAATTCGTGACTGATAGCCGTCAGAGACATTTACGCGGAGCATAACTTGATGTAACATCTTTTTGTAGACAGCAAAAAAGTTAGGTGACAGACATCCAGTAAACTTATGCTTATTTTAACCATTCCCACTTTACCAGACGATTTTGATATGGGTGGTGGACCACCTGAGCGTTCTGAGAAGTGTCCTAAGGACTCAGATGTGCCACCCTGACAGAATACTTTCTATTCCAACTGAATCCTTGACTACACGGCCTTACAAGTCATGCATGAACCAGGCTCCTATACCACACAAAGCCTCCACGAATAGGTCGAATGCTGTGAGAGAGGAGGAAAGAAGGCAACTTACCCTGAACATTAGCTTCAAGAAGGCGGATGCTGCGTAGGGAGCTGGCAATGGAAGGATGCATGCCAGTAGGCCTGCCGTTGCTCACAGCGCCCACTTCCTCATCCGCGTAAATGTCATCCCCGGCAGAGCAGTAGCCCACCTCCGAGTAGTCACGTCTTTCCAGTCAAGAGCAAAAACAAAAGACGTCAGCGCATCATTTCGCCGCACTTTGTGTGTGTAGGTGGGTGTTTAGACGCCTGGGGAATGCTATCGTCTGACCGCAAGGTTTGATTCCGCTACAGCATTAATGCCTCTTGAGATGTTTGGCCTTAATCCACGTAAATTGTGAGGATTTCTTGATTCTCCGCTCATTTACAATGTTTGATAAATAAAAAAGGAAAGACCTGTGACCAATAAATGTTTTCGACGTAATTTTCCCCTTGAGGTGTTAAGTAATGAAAAACTTTTTTTCGCGATCATTTTTCAACTTATTTTCCCTTTTGTTAGCAGAGCCCTACGTGAATATTCAACGATATTTATTTTGCCACTCAGATAAATTACTTACAGCAAGTCTGTGAATTGGATGACAAATGTCTCAAGAGCGTAGCTCTCTCAAAAGCGTCAGCACTGAATTATACCTCATGATTCATTGTCTACGGAGTGCGAGTATTATGAATTTCAAATAAAGAAAAATATTTGTACTCCTTAGCTGACGATCATAAGGCTAGACTTTAGTGGGGTATATACTACTTAAGACCGTGAGTAGGCTTTGGGAAGATCATCAATAAACATCGAGAAAAGCACCCGAATTTATGCTTGTTTTTTGCTTTGAAAGAATAGAACTTTTCCATCCCTTAGACGAGGAAATTCTATTTGGTGGGAACCACGTCGTAACATACGATGAGGAGAATTCTTAAACGGGTTTAGACCAAGTGAAGTGTCTCACTTTATTCTTGCTGTTCCTCATTCTCCTGTTAAAAAGTGACATGAGTACAGTGTCTTTTGACTTGAATAATTGCCTATATAAAACCAGATGCCTTCAGTTAAGGTTGATAGACGATAAAAACGCCCCAACGGAGACATCTGACATCATTTCCGCGCGTTTGGATAGGTATGAGTCGAAATATTGGTACCGAAAGGCAAGTTTATGGAGTTCCCCAAAGGATTCCAAAATCTATTTAACTGCAAACAAATTAACTCACATTTTGTGGCCTTATCAGACCCTTCTCCGTGGCCACGCTTACGACCCTTTACGAGACCCCCACTTAACACTTTGTTGTGACTTTAAGGTTCCCACAAATCGAAACGGCGACTAACTAGACTTTCAGCTTTGACTTTTTTGCGATGGCTTCATTTGACAATCCCGTATTTTCACTAATCACTTTCAGGTTCCTCTTTTTTTCCCTGTTTCCAAGCTGCCCTGTATCTGTTTCCTCATTATGATAACTTTTAACTCCATCAACTAATTCACTCACGTCTCTTTGGAGATGCTTTGTCCCGCAAATATCCTAGTCCAGGTATATTTCAATGGCTAAATATCACCTGTCTCCTTGAAACACTTTGTAATGCCTTTGCTGCTTGTTTAACTCTCCGTTTTGGTGACAGGGCACCTAGGGGCTCCGACTTTGAACCTCCATAGGGCGACCGGTAGCCCCTCAACCCCTCTGTAAGTCAGTAAAACATATTTTGCCCGAGTATTGCCTCCTTTAGCCTTCAGGGAAGTTCCAAGGCGCTACAATTTGTGACGTGGAGAAAATAAACTCTTTACTTTATTTCACAACTGGGCCTATTGTACACTAAACGGCTGTGCCATCAATTTTGCCAGAGGATAAATCTTCCCAAACTTTTAGTTGATACACTTCAGAAGTATCAGTTCATTTATAAAAAGATAATAAATAAGGCTTAATCAAACTAGTGAGGAAAAAAGTACTATGTGCAACCTAATCAAGCTAGCTAGAATGGATTTCAAGCCATCCAGCAATGTCACAAAGGAGGCAACAAAGAGCAGAGGCACTCAAACGACTTGTCATGTGTGCCGATTACAAAAGAAAAGCTATAGTATGCTTAACCAAAAGTGCAGAAAAGTTTGCTAATTTGACTTAGCATAGATACAGTGATGGGCAAAGAGAAAACACTCACTCTACGAGCCTTCGAAGGTGTATCACGTGTTTAGCCAGTCGATCCAACTTCTGACTGATTACTTCTACTGCTGCGTCCGAATATGACTAGGGAAAGAGTCAATTTTTTTAGTGCCGCAAAAATCTAGTTAGGAGAGGTGAAAAATCATCAAATGAACACACTTGTAATGCATTAAGCGTTTGTTTAACTCTTAGTTTTGGTCAGGGACCAGTTATTGTACCTTCGCTGGGTGACAAGGCCTTCGGGCCATGTTAGTAGATCCCAAGCCCTTCCGTGGGTCAACAGTACGCATTCTACCCAGGTGTTACGCCTTCTTTCGTCCTCAGGGAAGTCTTGGGGCGATGCACTGGTGGCAGCGGAAAGTAGACCCGATCTTAAAGAATAACTACACTGGTTTCCACTACCGGCTGCTAAATTTTAGCGTGACGGAAGAAAGGCACATGTCGTGACAAACCCTAACAAAAGGATTGAAAACGGCGTCTACCTTCGGCAACCACCCCACTCCCGTGTTCTGCAGGGTCGCTATTGACAACTGAAGCGACCGCAGTCGTTAACCATCTGGAGAAGTTTGATACGGAGTTGTCTACGGTACGCATATAAATATGGCAATTGAGTGAACACTCGATACTGCCTCCACCTCTCTACTAGCTGAATAAAACCCAGATAGATATGGCAGGATTGTGCTGAAGTGAGAACAAGGTGGCAAGGAGGAATAAACGCGAAACCTCATTCCCATAGGGCTATTTTAAAGTCCGCCACTTGTTACATGACTCTGCTTTTAGGGCAGTTTCTACGACAGGCGATAGTCATTTCCCCCTTCCGCCAATACGGTTTCCACACAGGACCAAACTGCAGATTCAACGGAATTGACAAGGGGGATCAGTGACTTCGCGGTTGATGCGGGAGGTTTATGATTGGGAGTGCTGAAGACGACGCTCAAAAGAGGAGAGGGTCCATGTAACACATTAAATGTTTGACTCTCGGTTTTGGTAAAGAACCACTATAAGGGGCTACGCTATGCCAGTAGCCACTCAACCCTTCTGTTCGTCAACAATACATATTTATCTCGGGTATTATCTTCTCTCATCTTTAGAGAGCTCTCAGGGAGCTAGACAACATCGCTTGAGATTGGGTTCAGTAGTTTTGCGCTTTTAACGAGAGCTTTCATATGTCCATCGTGGTTATGACCTCCTGGTAATTATTGAACCTAAATTACACCAATTCCGATCCACTATTTGGATAGTTTTTATCTAAATTAATAATGAGTATTTACGCTCGGAGTTTCAACATCTGCTGACGCCTTCTTGGACTTCTTTCGCTGGCGTTCGGATCAAGTTCGGTCGAAGGGTGAGTTGGTGGCACTACGATTGGGAGCATCTCCGCTGGTTCCCACGATTCGATGGTTCTACAATGGCACGCCGCAAAACAAACAATTCCAAGGATTAAACAATCCTCGTCGCACTTTTGCGCACCATTTTTGATCTGTGGGGTGGAGAAAGGCCTGCCTCATTTGCATACGGTGTGTGTGTGAAACACAGGATAATAATGTGTGAAATTCAACCCATTTAAGAGTGAAATAAAGCATCTGGTTGGATTGGAATCCGCTTCCCTTCGTTGATCTTATTAAACGGGTGCTCCAGATTCATTTTTCTTTCAAATGATTCCTTCAATTTCGCAATGCAAGGAGGTGGAGGTAATCTCATAGATGAAGACGGTTTTAAGCTCTTTAAAAAGCTTCTTAATAAAATGCGACACGCACACATGCAATAAAAAGATTCCGAATAACCTTATGGGTAGCCTAAAACCACATAATCTAACAAACAAACAGCAAACACATGAATCCAGAGGGATAAAAGCACTTTTTGACTGTTGTCAGACGAAAGGGTGGGTAAGAAGCGTCGGACGAAGTTGTACAGGAGTATACAAACGCTAAGAGAAGGTTTGTGATGGAAGAAGAAAATGAGATAGGGATCCCATGGAAACGTGATGGGATACAAGGTTATTACCAGTAGCCATTAATATGAGTCCCTTTACGGCGTGTCCGTGAGTAAAATGCTTAAGGTTAACGCAGGCCACAACACTAAATAATTAGAGCAGAAAGAAACAAATTGAGATATTTTTTGAGCCTCCCCTGGATTGTTCATGATTGATTTCTTTACATACGAAGTTTAGTCAAGGTTGCAGTAACATGTACGCGTTTGTGGAGACATGAGTAGGGAAAGCACAGAGGGCGTTTAGTGATAACTTTAAGTTCGTTTCTGTCGCTATTAACCACGGAAATGAGCCACTTGTAAAAGTAGACCTTAACCCCAGATCGATGAGACTGAGCCGAGAATAAGCTTTAGTGTTAAGGTCTCTCAAATCGCAAATGAAATCGCATCAAGATCTCCCAAGATCTGTATCCTAATAACAATGCTTCCCTTGGTACAAATCAGTACAATAAAGGAGCCAGGTAACCTGACAAGAGGCTTCTAGACGATTTGAAAGCCCGATCTTTAAGAAGCGAATCAAATATTAACTTGCCTTTGTCATTGTTCGCCCTCTCTGTGTGTTTGGGTTGTGAAAATCCAGTTCCTTTCCACATCCGTTCGGCATATTTGAGCCCTGTCTCACGCTAAAGCCGAGTATTACCCATTTGAAGACTGGTATTATCTAATAGCATGGCTATTAAAGCCGATTGGATATAACTACGGCCTTCTGATTGGTTGCCAATTGAGACCAGCTACTTCTAGCTTTACATGAGTCGCCTTTGGTGTAGCACAACCAGGTCGTATAATAATGCGGTGTCGAGGGAAGTAAATGTGACTATTTACATGGCATATTCATTCAACCAACCTCAACAAGTGTTATTAGTGAGGCCCAACATTTCGTCTATCATTGCCTAGCAGAGTTTTCTCGCTTGCATTCACGGTTCAACACTCGACATTGAAGTGAACTAAGGCTTGAGGTTAAGCAATGAAAAGTCGGTTAAAATGCCACACTCTGGTTGTGTCGCCTACGCGTCTAACAGACGTAAAACTTGTAAGTCTAAAGAACTTGGTTAAGGGATGGAAGACCTTTTAAAATTAGCTTTACACGGTTTCGACTTCTTTCACAGGTTATAAATTGTGTGTGTGGTAGAAAGTCCTCCTCAACAAAGTTCGGACAGGCACATGGTAACGAGCTTAAAACAAACACACTTCAGTAAAATTAGGAGACCAGCTTTCACCGGACTCCCTGCGTGCTCCTTTACGGCACAAAAGCTGGAGAACAACACGCAGAGGTCGAAATGCGATAGCAGATTGAGGTGTGATATGCTTTTGTGTAATCGGTGCAAATTTCGCATGCCGCACTTTAACTCCTTACTTGGAATAATTCCACAAAAACGCATGCTCTTGTAAGCTTTGCCAAACCACCATTCTGCATGGGAATATCGTTAAAAATGTTATGGCTAACCGGATAACTCGGCGGAGTTTGCTTGTTTTACTAACAGAATAATAAGTAGTAGGGGGAGACTCTGTTAATTTAAACTTCCATAAGGCACGACGTGCATCTCTAGGTTCATTTCCTCATTAGAAATACAGTAATTTGGATGACCATTCATGTAATATTAAAGTGCAGTCCGTCTTCACCCATTTTTGTGCAAAATCGAGCCGAAAATAATCCTAAATGATATCATACTTGATGAAAAGGCTTTGAACACCCAGGAACCCATTTTCGTCTGATTTAAGGGTAAAGGGCAAAAATGAAAATAGATTAACTAAAAGAAACGCAGTATAAGTGGATAACACTTCATTAAAAAGATAAACTTAGGATTACACTAATTTCATGGGCACCTTTCACATAGGCGGTAAACGCGCTCTACCCTACAGCTTTCAAATCGGCGGTCTCGACTTTGTTCGCCAGTAACAGGACTTGCTTCTGTCAACAATGTGCCTCTCAAGCGTTTAAGCAATTTAATGTTCGCAAACGTCAGAGACAGGCCTTTGCTTGCAATGAGTACTAGTATCCTCCGACTCCACTGAATATGAAACGGTACTTAACTCATATATTTATTGTCGCCTAGAGCTATCAGCACATTTCAGAGAATCTCCAATGACCCGAGGTAGTCAATATTATTATCAGATTCAATAGCGGTAAGCCTTTTTGCGTTAAATGATGAAATATCCCATTCCATGATAAGAGCGGTAGTCACTCCGAGCAACATCTTGTCAGAGCCCAGAAGCATTCAACGATTGCTTTTGAGGCCACTGATAAAAGTCAATTAGGGTCTTTAACATATCTTGACTACACGATGCACACTTAAGTGTGATTGTAGTGTAGTTCTTCAATTAGGTTTTATCAACCGGTTGGTCTTAGACGGGAACTGATTTCCTATTTGAGTTAGCTACTTAGATAAGTAATATTGTCTGAGAACTGACATGGATTGTAAAATGACTAAGACAAAATCGACAACAACTCCATTTCCACAAGCTTCTTAATAAAAAAAATGGAATTTGTCCTCAATCATTAAGTAATAAACCTCCTTTTTCTCACAAAATGACACCCACAATGTTAGCATAAGTGAACTCACTTTACATCGAGGCGCTGGAGAATCAGTCCTCTGGGTCACGCCTATAAGTTTCCTCTGACCCGGTGGGGATTGCACCTTGGAGTCAATGGAAGACTGCCTCCCGGTCGCCTTCGCTTTTGCTGCCTCCCCAACTTCACCATCCCTATTTGAGGTAGGTGTTGCACAACTTCCATCGGCATTGTTGTTGCCTTTCAATGAAGAGTAGAAGGAGTATTTCCATCAGTAAATAAATTAGTACGACTGTTCACAGTCAGCATAATTTGAAGGCGCCTCAAAAGGTCACCACTTACGATTTTCCCATATTTTGGATTTGAGGCGCTCCTTCGCGACGGAGGCCCGGGGATCGTACTCCAGGCGTCGTTGTAGAGACCTGTAGCCATTCAGTTGCCGCTCTGAAAGGCAGTCCGAGGGTTTTTGAGTGCGGATTTTGGCTATCAGTTGGCTATCGTGAAGATTTCGTCTTTGTTGAGAAGGTCTTCTTTCCCCCTTTTCATTGGTCGCCTTTTTGGTCAGGGATCTAAAAAATTTATGGGATTTATGGTTTCCTAGAGTTAATTCAAAATTTACAAATGGGTTCCCATGTGACTTTAAAAGCTTCTTCAGCTGTGAATATTTTATACTGCTCGTATTTGGGCAAAAACCCACTCACGCGGAAACCGCTTTATCTGGACTCTTGACCCACCGAGCTCGTGACCTGGTGTCCTCAGCCAGCAAGTCCCTGTTTTCGCCTATGCTTGGCCTAGTAAGAATGGACTTCGTCGTGAAGGCGGTAACTGCTGAGGACTTGTCCAGGTACTGCGCCTCATTGAGAGGCGAGGCGTGACTGGCGGAGGGCAGACCTCTCTTCTCATTTGACTGTGCAAATTTTGAGGCATTCCGGGAGCGAATTTGCTGTAGCAGTCGCCAGTTAACCCCCGGCTCCAAGTCACTGGCCTTGGGAACGTAGGAGGACAATTCTCCTGTGTTTGAAAGACTCGCTTCATCGGGACCACCGCCCTAAAATCCGTGGAAAGTTGCCTAGTGCTCGGGCAAAGTGTAATCAAACCTATTTTTACGCCCGAGCCGGCAATGATATTGCAATCTAGCTCTATCGTGATTCCAGTGTCGCGTCCCAGTCACCTCTGAAGACATCAAATGGGATGTAGTTCTGATTTGTCCCATCATTGACCCATGGAACAGCTTAGGAGCCGGTAGCCCAGATAGACTGGGCAAGGCAATTTGTCTTTTACTGTGGTGAAATACAGTGTCCTTAATTTATGTTACTGGTCAGTCAATGACGTCGTGATCAAGCATTGGCCTGGTGAGCTCAGTGAATTATAGGACCTGAGGACGTTAGAACAAACCAGTATGGAAGTATCACAGATGAACCGAGAGCCTGGTGATTGGGGAACATGAGTAGGACAAACTGCATTTTTTAGATCCCTGACAAAAAAGGAGACCAATGAAAAGGGGAAAAGAAGACCTTCTCAACAAAGACGAAATCTTCACGATAGTCAACTGATTGTCAAAATTCGCACTCAAAAACCCTCGAACTGCCTTTCAGAGCGGCAAACGATCTCCAAAACGCCAACACCAAAAATAGTATTAAGTGAAATGTTGGCTCGCTAAAAAGGTCCATTTAAGTGCTTTTCATTCATTGAAATTTCTATGCTTCAATTTAAGGCAATTCTTTATTTAAAATGCTTTTCTCCTACTGTGTTTCCGAAGTCTTTTTAATCGGCCTAAAGGTGGTGTTTGAAAAAGTCATTTGGAACTAGTGGAAAGTTTTATTTTGTGAGATTGATCGAGGGGACTGAATAGGGTGTCATGGAACTTGTGAGAATATGTTTCACCTCCAGTAGAGGGTCGTTTAAACTGTACTGCTGTACCATAGGAATGTTATAATTTCAGCCTTCAAATTAAGTCATTTATGCACGAATCGCTTTAAAAACATGACCTTTGAAGACTACCTTCTTTGCGCGAATCAGGATTTTGTCGCAATCACGGGTGAAAAATGAAGCATGAATTGCCGTTAGAGATCAATGTAAGTCGAAGCGGAGGGTTGAACTAGCGAATTCGTGATCACATTCACGTGGGGCTAGAAGTAAGCGTTCATGCTATTAAATTATCGCAGTGCCATCAAAGTGGATTGATATTTTGTGGAGCGTGTTGATGCAATGCGTACGGTGGTGCGCAGGAAATTGCACATGAGTAAAAGTTGGTAAAACAAATGCTTGTAAAATGGAAACAAAATATTTGCGAAATTCGTGATGGATAAAAAAAAACATAACTTAATTAGTAATATTGTCACCATTACAACTAAACTAGTTTTTGTTAGCTTTGTGACCTTTCGATGCCATGGTAGCAACCTAACGATGCATATTTAGTTTACAAACTCACGCTTTCATAGCTGAAAAACGAATTATGAAGCTTACAACATGCTTTGGCATTGGATAATTCCCATACTTCCCTGCAACTAGCAATATTTCCGTTAAGATTAAACGAGCAACAAAAACTCGTACTATGATGTTCAGGTTTTCACATTCAAAAAAAACATTTATACTTTAATTAATATGGCAAAAGAACTCCTACATTGGAAGCAGAGCTTTGGTAACACCAAGTCAGCATTAATGAGATCCTGAATTATCGTCAAAGTCCACAAAAGGTTACCCTAAAATCCCACTTACCTTGTTTAAGTGGTTTGTTTCTGCATCCTTGATCGAAGTTTGAGGTGAATTTTTATTCATGGGTGGGATATTTTCCAGTGCAGAGTTGGGAGAATCAAACGTTGCCTTTTTGGAAGCTATATTATAGTGGAAAAAGATTTGCTATAAAAAAGACCTTAAGCAACAAAACTAGCCCCATTTGCTTAATAGTACACTATCATAGCTCAGTTAGATTCATTTTAAAGGATTTTAATAGTGCAAGTGTGACCAACGCTAGCTCTTGAAAACACTGTTGGTTAATACGAACACGGGACGACAGCGTCAAACCAAACAATAATAGCTAAAAGCGAAAAAAATAATAAGGAATGTTTTACTTAGTGACAGAGAGTAAAGGACATGGTAGTGATACCGACTGAGCAGTTGAAGATGGTGGTCGTGGTTCGGTTTAAGTGTGTCGACTTAGTTGGCACGGCAATCACCTCTCACAAGGTCGCGACGTGAGTACGCGCCTGCGTTCGTACAGTGCGACTGAACGCCGCTCACTCGCTCATTCGTCCAGGCGAGACACACACACACCCACACACACACGAAGCTACGGCAGCTGTGAATGGCCTCAATCACATGCAGGCACGCCAAACTGCCCTCCGACCTGTACATCCGCTACTGCTTCCGAAAATGAATAATCACCCAAATTCATCACTGAACTTAACGATTAATTTACACTTTTATTCTACCAGCAACCACTTTTTCTAATTACCTGTGGAACTGTGTGTGGTGTGTGTGCGTATGCGTCGGAACATGTAGACAAAGCGATACTGACCGCGCTGGCACAAAGGTTACCATGCGTCCAACATTGGGGACGCGCGATGGCGTCGGTCAGTTGGTCAAAAAAGAAATGATTTTTAAATCAACTGCAAACGTTTTTGCCGGAGGTGATCAAGGTCAGTTTGTCATCATAGGGAATCAAAATAATCAATTTTTTGAGAATTAAGATAAGGTTTTGAGACAATCCAAGGCGGATATTTTTCCGATTAAGGTAATAATTAGGTAGTGTCAGCAGATTGCGATATAATACGACCTGGTTGATCAAATACAGTAAAGTGGTGACTGCTACCGCTACCTATTTGATGTGGTGGTGGAGATGGTTTATGATTAAGTGGTGTCTGTGTGAAAACAGCCCGCATTCGACCACCAACTCTCTGTTGAAGTTACAAGCGGACAGCCGCGTTATAAATTTGTCACGCACAGAACGTGGGTGGTGAAACACCCTTCAAGCACGCTGATTTTACTCAATTCCACTTTTCTCTTAACCGCTGTTTAGTCTTTTCACTGTCATTTGGTGTAAACAAGCGCGTGTTGAGATTATGCAATGTCGTCGCAGCTAAGTCGGGTACCACAACCTTAGAAACCATTACCAATTAATCACTTGGACCTAAATAAGTTTTTTAATAGTCATCTGTCAAAAGTTAACCTACATGGTCCAGGGCATTTTGTGAGGATGATCAACACATTGATTTGGAACCATTGCCAATCGTGTTTTAGAGCGTAAAAAAAGAGCTCGACACAACTGGGAATGATGATAAATGAGCATAAAAAGAGGCATCGTGCTTAATGGTGGCGAAGCTCAATGCTAAAGACTGTAGAAACCAGCGGCTAAGCAAATGAGGCGGAAAGAATGCTCCAAGCATTTACATTCACTTGTCGATGAACAGACTGTACGAAAGGAGGAGTGTCCGGAGATTTGCGGCACGAGAGCAGGAATGGGATGATAGAGGTCGGAGAATTGTTCCCTCAAGAGCCGGTCCGGTAGGCATCCCTCTATCTGGCTAATCAACTCCTCTGTGACCTTCCTCCGCCTTTCCATCATGTTGGCATTCATTTTGTGGGACTAAGTAAATGCTCCGATGTCGACCTAAAATAGAATTTGCAATTAAGCGAGCTACGCCTAATTCCTGTATCCTTCTTTACAGGATCACTGGTGACGATAAATGTAGTCGGGAGGTCGCAGGGATAGGCCGTGCTTTTTTGTGGCGTGGTCTCTGCAGATCATACAATGGACGATAGGGAGGGAGGGGAAAAGACTATGTCGGGAAAGACACCTTCCAGACAATACAGCACCTTTGCTCCATTTCAAGACTGTTACAGGTGCATCAGTAGGTTTGTGGGAAGGGTTTGTGACTATCTCACCGCCCACAACGACTAACACGACACATGGAAGAAGACTGTGCTTCGGAATAAATGAAATGCGCTTATTTGGTGTTACAAAGGATTGGAGAAGGCATTCATGGCATACGATCAACAATCGGGAAGAAGTCATGAATCACGAACTGAATGTGTCAGCTACTTTTCTGGGTATCTGAGCCCCTAAAATATTCGCCCGTTGCTGCCAATATCTTCACCCCGTCAAGGCTATTAGGTCATTATATTGCCAGGAATTTTATTGCATGTCACTGACGGAAAACGGGTTTAACCATTCCTCCACATTAAATACGCACATAAATGATGGATTACGTGAGAAATTAACTGAACTGTAGAGCAGCGGTCTGTTTCCATTACGATGCGTGTGTGAAAGCATTAGTGAAGCCTCAGCCCTTGACGGTGACATCTATGGTGACGGGAGTAAGTGGAATTTCACGATAAAGTTACGTAATTACTGCCACTAGAAGTAAAGTCCTGTAGCGTGTTCAAATACTTAGGCTTGGCATTGTTCAGAAAATGTCTTTCTCGGTGGGTCTCTCCACATTATCGCTGTTGTAAATTCACCCCTTTCTTGGTGTTACTTGATTTCTGACAGCACATATAGGTCAGGATGATGGTGGAGGCGAGTTGAGGGTGTGAAATTTTATACATTGAGATTTGCCTACTTATTTTCAGGGTAAATTTATTACCTGAGCGATCAGTGGGCTAGTCAGAATGCGCCCGCCGATTGCGATGTCAATCCCCTATCAAATGCCAATCAACACTGGTTATGGCCATTTAAAGATACAATTTTAGTGGAAAAATGAACACGACGTAAAATGTTTTTGATAAGATTTATAAAGAGCAAAGAGATTTTGGGCACTTTTTGTATAAGAATGCTTCAAAAGCAACGGTGAACAGATGGGAAACTACAATGGCTCCTCAAAACTACTTGATATCTTGTCAATGGCATTAAAATATGAAAAGGAGAGAGTTAACGAGAATTATAAAAGGGACAACAAAAATCACAATAATTTGAAAAATTTTCATCGTTTATTATGCGATTATTGAAATTAGTGTGCTACAAGTGGTGAAACATGCACTGCGTTCCAAGTGGGCATTAGATGCCAAAAATGTCAACTGCTCGATGGGTGAATTTTACTCGAGATACTTAAGGCTTGACAAAGTAAAAATCTAATTATTTACGTCATACGCTGTACAGATAACATAATGCTACGGGGAAAAATTAGAGTCTCAGTTGACATTGCAGTTTTCTGACGCCAGAGAGGCGAAGGTGGCGCGCAGGAACGATTAGCCCTCTTTTCTGACCGCGTAGAAATGCCCCAACCACGGTACTTTTTGATGGAGCAGTTAAAACTTTTGCGAGGGGAAGGTAGCTTAAACTTGGCCTGACCGAATCATCAAAGCGAAAAGGGCAGAAAGGCCGTCCGGGAGGTTAAACCGCCAGACGGTGATATTTAAGCTTAGTGACACGTAATTCGAGGACACTGATGTACCGACTGGATGCCTCTCTGTCCATCTACCCACCTCTTGCTTTAGTTAAAGAAAAAGTGGTGGTCTTAGCTGCAAATTTTGTTTCAATTAGGATTGTTCCTTAATAAACCAATAAATTGTCATTAAATGCGACTCTTAATTCCGTGTGCAGACGTCAATTTCAAAGCAGGCTGCCAATGCCAAATTAGTACCCTGTGTTAATAGTAGCGTTAGATGTAATCAAATTGACTTTATCTCGCGGTTCGGTCGAAATGGTGGCACCTAGTGCAGGAGTGCCGGCCAGCCAGCCGGCCATTAATTCGTTCATTCATTCACTTCAACGCCGACTGATTCATGCAAACCGGTAGATGATAGTGATGAATACGGAGGAAGTAGGACCATGCCTAGACAATAATTGGTTCCACGAGAGTGACTGTTCCAAAAACTACATTATTATTTCTGCACTAATCTGAGCAAAAAGTACTCAGAAGTGTTTAGATGAACAGCTGAGAAGATCATGCTTTAAGCGCTGAGACGTTCCAGTTGACGGCTCTAGTTGGATGTACTTGAATCATAAATCGGAATTGCGTGTCCCGGCTCCGCCGAATCATTCCAACGAACAGGTCGCATAGAAGCAGTGCAAAACTTTAGGAGGCCCTTGATGGATGGGATCTAATCTAGGCAGTCTTCAACAGAAGACTGTAGTGCCAACGGTCCAATATTATGAGTCATTCTTTGAGGGACGTCTGTGGAGACAAATCTTTGAAGCCTGAAGTAGTTTGTTTTCATTGGCCATAAGGGCGGTAGTCAACAAAATTCTAATTTTGGCTCAAAAGTTAGTGACAGGTCCAATTACAACTGATTGGCAGGCTAGTCTAAGGAACAGACATCTCAGAACTAATGCTAGAAAGATTCTTCACGAATAAGACCCAGTCCAGACGGAAAAAGTGATCGTGTATCACAAAATCAGTTACATAAAGGCTAACCAAGTGTACAAGTGGAGAAGAGCGTCAAAAAGAATTGGACGCAAGTCCAGACTTACACAGCGGTACAGGCGAGAGTTCATGCATAAAATGAAAGTCCGGTGAGAGTACCAAGGCCAAACACACACAAATACACACACACGAACAGAGAATAGCACATACCCACAATTATCTCTGCTACCATCGCGCCATCGCCACGAGATGGTTGTCATGTGTTTACGCTTGGCATACGCATACACGCGAGCACGTGAGCGCACGATCCTGGTTCGCTGGTGTGCAGGTGCACGTGCGCACGCAGCTGGCGACCTTGACAGCGGTTGTTCTTTTCCGGCCAGAGTAAGAATGGATAACTTGCTCTGTGAGGAAGAGAGGAGGTAGGTATAAATTATGGGATATATTATGATGATCGGAAGTGGTCGAGTCACAGGAATGGACAGGCTTTGATACCTTCTCAGTCGACAGTCGAAATACTCATTAAGGCGGGTTGATTAGAAAGATCACCTGTAGAATGGGGAATTTTTAGTCAGAAAAGCAGAATAAATCCATGGCGGGTTATATCCTGTGAATGCAATACTTTTTAAACTAGGTTATTGAAACTGGTTACCAGAAGGGTCCCTGCAAGAGAATGCATTATTGTCAAATTTCAAACCACTGTTAACGCCAAATTCCATGGAGTCTTGTGTGGAGCCAGTAAAAAGGATGTGGGCGAGCAAAAAATAGGGCAAAATTAAAAAATCTAGTGGATATTGCTGAAGAAAGAACGCCAGTTGATAAACACCAGGTTACCAAATAAGTTCGTGGAATTTTTTTACAAATACATTTTAAATACCAGCAGAGATTTCCGGATTGCATTTTACATATTTAGGTGATCACAATCAGTCATCCCTTCCCTAGGCAGTCCTCTATGGCTTCGCATTGTTCCCTTAAAGGGAATCAACCGGCCCCACTTTTGTTTCAACTGGCACCATCGCCATCTGTGGAATTCGCAGCATCCCAGATCTCTCATAATTTTCAAACGGCATTTTAGTTTCGCAAAGTGACACTTGATTGAGATTGACATTCCGCCTCTACTATCGCATAAGTGGGACAGGGAGGAGTGTGCTGAATTTCTCCCTATAAGTAAGCTCCCTTGGGTTTTTAAAGCGGTGGTTTTACAAGTGATCACGACTTGGCACAACGGTGGGTTCTGCCAAAAACTATTTCATGCATAGGTATTGGCAGTTCTGCATAAACACACCGAATCACCGCTTAGCTACTTACAGGAAGCCTTTTTACACTCGAAGATTCAACCAGTTTAGTGAATCATTTCATGATTTTTGCGACCCATGGTGGGGCGGGGTATTCATGCAGTTGTGGTTGACAGAGTACTTGAACAGATAAGTGGATTACGAACAAGAAAGTGGGAAAGGTAATGAGGAAAGACGAAATTGTATGCGTGGAGTAGCAGCGGTCCTCCTTATTCACCGGATACATGAAGCCCATTCCTTTAGTCACTGTTATCTACCGCACTCTACCATGAAATGCAAGAAATAATTTCTTCGGAGACAATAATCGTCTTTCGCTGTGGAATATTTAAAGGTGCTTAGGAAGAGGCATCATTCGACGAATAAGGAATTTTATGGGTTAATTTTTGGCACAAGCATTTGTTTCTTTTCACTGTACTCTGTTTGATGGGACTGTATCGCCAACTTTTAATTTATCCTCCCAAGCAGGCGCTAAAATATCCCACATCCCAAATATGGAGAAAACGCCTAGAGAATGATCACTTTCCACGACATTCTGTCGATTCGTGGGAGACAAAAACCACGCCTTGATGACATTAGAAGCAGCAGTTGACATCGTTGCCAAGTCGCTCTGATGTTGCCTCATACATATGATATCAGTTATGCAAGCCCATTTTACAGGATTGTGGTGCAACTTGGTCAATTTATGCAATTGGACCCCTCTATTTAGCAAAAATTGTCAACTTTTCACCTTTAGGGCAACCAGTATCCTTGATACACATTCTAAGTTAATTTTAAATGTTAAATTCTGGTTAATTGTTTGTTTAACTCCCGGTTTTGGTAATGGGCTATTAAGGAGCCCCACCATTGTACCCCCACCGAGCAGGCTGACCTCTGGGCCGGACCAGCAACCCCAAGCCCTTCTGAAGATTGACAGTACATACTCTGCCAGAGTAATGTGTTTTCTTTCGTCTTTAGAGAAGTCTTTGGATTTTACAACACAACTAGAGGCGTTCCCTTGCACTAATTTTAACAAATGTTGTTTGAGTTTGCCAGTCAAAAGTAGCAAAAATGAGATTTGGGTAATTCTTTCATTCCTTGTCATTACTGCATACATCTCATAAGGAACGGCAAAAAACTGCTCTCCAAAAGAGGCTCAATTATAAATTCGGACAGCAGCTAAGGCCAAAGCCTTTCTGATTCCATTTAAAAGTCCTATTTTCGAAAGCTAAGAACCAAACAACTTCCTCATCTTCACCACCACAAACCTGTTCATAAACAAACCGTTTACGTCTTTACAGGAGCCGAAAGGAAGGCTGAAATCTACTGAAATGATGCTTTCTAACCTCGGCCTTTTTCTCCTTTGGTCCGGCACATCCTCTTGTTATGGCATAAGATGACATTATCAAATTGTCACGAGTAAATGGAGGTATGCTTTATTGGGCTTTGGTGGGGTTGACGGCCCGTGTCAGGACACGGACACTGAATGTTGCGTGAGCTTGGCATAGGCGCCAATGTGGGCCATTGTCCCTCATGGCTTGTTTATTCATACCGGTGTCGCGATTACCATAATAGCCTTGCATGTGCAAGACACAAAATCGTCCGGTAACATGCCTCTTTTCGAAATAGCGTCTCATGCACAAATATCCCATCACTTTTCTATCTACTAACTAAATCAACCAACTAGCCAGCTTCGGGGCCAACTGAACACTTTAATCAGTTCGTTATTACTGAACACGTGTGCTAAACCGACTTTTGCGCTAGAAAGAAAGCAACCCGTGGTCAAAGCCTTCCGTTAACAGTGGCATATGAGTGTCTTTTTTTTTTTCATTCTGTCGTTTTCATGCATGTGACACGCTTGAATAAGCACTGCACTGGACGATGGGCTCTAAACAGTTCACAATTCTTGCATAATCAACGCGATGTCAGTTTAAAAAAAACTGAGTAGGCACTAATACGTAGTGGCTGGCCAGTTCCATTTCAAGGCGAGCCATGGAAACGTACAAATACCCTCGGCATAAGTTGTAGCTGACAAAGTGATGAAGGTTAATTCAACTATGTTCAACGCCATCACTGGCATTGTTTTGTCGACTTTAGGTCACCTTGAGAACAGTGAAATGAGTTCTTTTAGTTATGTTTCTAGCTTTTAAGTAGAAGGTATGAAAAGGCTTGATGGCGTAAATGACTTGTAGCTTTACGGCTGTTTTAAGCGTCTAGAGCAGTGGGACGAATGAGTCACAAAAACTGCACAGAATGCGCATTGAAGGCAATGTTGGAACAGCTTCTGGAAACATCTGAAACTGAAAAACACTTTACTATCTTGCATCGTCTCCCACTTGTTTTCCTTTCATTTCGATTAACTGAACACCACCCGCTCTGTTAACATTTCTTAGGCTTGTAAGAATAAATTTACTGTAATAGGCTCGGTGCATCCCCCTTCCAACCCAGTCTTCAAACCCGCGGAATGAACAGACGAGGTGGGCGAGGTCATGCTCTATGGGGTAGTGATTAAGGGATACAGATATCACGGTTAGGCATGTGTAGGGTTGACGACGTCTGTCTGATCCACTATGAAGTTTGCATTTACTAGCCGCCTCTTGCCTAAAAGCCACCTTAAAACAAGCATGCATTGTAGTACAGCTTGCATCATCCAACTAAGACCTTGAAAGCATTTCCACTCCCTTGATGTTGGACGATGCTCAATCTTCGAACATAATTTAACTACATTTTACATTTGTGCTTAATTTATTTTACGAGGGGCAAAAATAATCCATTCAACTCCCCAGTGGCGAAGCATAAAACCGACGAGAAAGTATGGAATTGAGTGAATAGATCCGGCAGTTAGACTTAAATGACTAAGAACAAATGAGCATGCATTTGACAGGGAGATGTGACATTAACGCAGAGAAGTGCAAATGTTTCGATAGATGAGTGGACGAAAGCCAGGTCGATGTTTTGCAAATGCGTCTGAGCTGTTATTGCCGCTTCGTCAGGTAGACAAAATTACACCAACATGATTACTATTTAGGGTTCCAAATTTTTATGCTTGCTATCATCCAAAGCAAGTGGACTGGTTGATCTACCGTCATTTGGTAGCTGTTACACGATAGCTGGAGTTTGGTGGATAAATTTACACGCTTGCAACTCCTAATGATGCAGATTCAAATTAACAGGTGATAAGGATCTGAATTATTATTGATGAGCAGGACAGATGGGTTTATTAGCCTAGACATGTACTCACGGCCGAACTGGGACAGGTTGGTAACCAGTCACCTTGTAACAATAACAGCTCCAGTGCCAAGGTAGATGATTCTCACTAATTTAGATTTATGACAATCCGGCTACAATATTCGTGAACACATGTAACAAAAATCCATAAGGACTCAGAAGACTTGAAACTTACTGTAGAAAGGAGCATACGCTGGAATTCAGCTTAATAAACGCACGGATTGGAGAACCTCATCTTTATACAGAGATTGTTTGAAAGTAAAAGATTAAGACAAATTATTAAGGATGCGCGAATTTTTTCTGAGAGGACTTAGCAAATGAAGTTCTTATTTGAAGTCTGAAAATCAGAATGAAAACGAGAAATCCCTCCACTAAGTTAGAATCCCTTATTAATAATAAAAACACTAAAATAACAGTAAAGTTTATTTTAAAACAGATTATAATTGCAGAAAGTCAACGAATTTTAACGAATCTAGTAATGATTTTGGAGAAAATTGTGAGAATTTTCTGCAGTGTTTCATTTGCAACGTTTTAAAAAATTTTGCCTAAAAATACGATGACAAAATATTTTACACTAATTCATTGTTAGCTAAATTTTTAGTTTGCTGTGCTTAAATAAATTATGCAAAGTAAACGACCTGTGTTTGTTCATACCCGTCAATACACACCTTCATAAATTGGCGGGTAAACTCAAGGCTTGTGGTTTTTGGTATGCCATGTACTGTTGTGAGGCCTCATATGTGATATGGAGGATACCAAAATAATTTATCATATCGATGATGAAAATACGCCTTATTTAGTGAAACTATCTGTGAATGCAGATAAAGTCACCCTTGGTGACTTCAAAGCTGCCTTGAATAGACCGAATTACAAGTTTTTCTTCAAGTCTGTTGATGCTGATTTTGGGTAAGATGTGCTCATAATCCATGCTCTGGTTAGTGTTGTGAAAGAGGAGATTAGTGACGACTTGGCCTGCCTCCCTTGTTTCAATGGAAGGGTTATAGCATGGGTAAGCTTACCTACCATCGTTTTCGTCGAGTACATCCTACTTTGTGTCAGTAAATACTTTTATTTATATTTTTAATGACTCATATAAATTGCTGATTTTATGCTTAGATTATGTGGTAGGCTATATTTTGTCCCTCACTATCCACTACGCACTCTTCTGGCTCAAAGCATTCGTTTTGAAACGTTTTAACCTGTACACGAACTTAGTTGTTTTGCCTTGTTTAGGGTAAACATTTTTAGCACGAATGTTGCAGACCGGGTGCATAGATTTATGGGGATTTTTACTCACCCGACTATCACCAAAGACAATGATTATCCTGATACTTAATGATGGGTTAACTACCGTTTGTTGTTTAGGATACACATCCGTGAATGCATTTTTTTGTAGTTTGTGTAAAAGATTTTGATGCAGTTGCTTGTGTCAACTTTATTGGTAGGTGTTACAGTACTGTAATACTGTTATGAGCATACTGTTTGATAATTTGGCTGCTAAAGTTAGTGGCGTTCGACTGTGTGTAGTGGTTTCAAAGCTTATTTTCAAGCTTTTTTTACGCTTAAGCTTGTCACTGCCGATGGAAGTGCCAAATCCGATAACCATTCATCTACTGGTGACGGACTGGCGTAAGTATTTTATGGACTTTTTTGTTATAGTGGCATCGGTCTTGTATGAATCTCTCTGTACCTTTCGTCTTACCCGAAAGTAATCAGCGTCTGAGAAAATTTGACATCCAAGCTTTTTAACAAGGCTTGGCAGTCGCTGGATATCATGTTATAGTGCCAAAAAAACCCTTGGACCACCTGATTACAAGGATAACCCTCACCCTTGTCGGTCTGTAAACAGTGTTAAACACATTCGCCTACTTTTTTGATAACATTTACCTCATAGATGTGAATCCACCCCTGATAGTATGCTTTATTATGTTCCTCGTCTCTTTTGGTGCATGATTCGCCACTTGTTTGATTGCTCAATACAACTCCAGTTTTTCCCACAAGAGATTGGGTCACCGAGTAGGTACTGTTTGCTTTTTCTTTGGCTCGTTTCCTTGCTTACATTAATAGGATCTTTCCCTTTAAGCGCCAGGACTGGTGATTTTCATGATGAGCCGAGCAAAAACGCAACTTCCAATAAAGCGAATGCCAATGACAACCGTGATGAATGTGAAACTTGTGGCGACAGTGAGTCGGTATGCAGTGGCGATCATCTCCCTCCCCTTCGGAACTTTCAAAGCTATAAACATGGCAAGTTTTCCTGTTCTCTCTCATTTTCGTACATTTATTGCATTATCTGCTATTAAATTTGAGCTCCGTGACTGTGTAGGTGTCATGGAGGACTCGACATCAGTAAGGCTAAAACATTGGTTTTTGGGTTTTAATGCGATGATGAAGTACCGGGTTGTGCAATGAGTAAGCCAACCCTTTCTGTTGTTTCTTCGACCTTTAGACTCGACACCTAGAAACCTATAACGAAATCAGGTTCACAGAAACGAACGCACAATTAAGTATGTGCTTGGTGCAAAAGCTTACTGCCAAAGAGGGAAATTGGATTAGTCATGCCTCCTTCACAGTTATTGCGAAGGGCGAAATGCCAAGCTGCATTGACGTTTCTAGGAGAGAATACATTTTGGACTTGGTCAAGTGCAAATTTTATGTAGCCTCTCTTGTTTTTTAGGCTCACGACTGGGCAAACTTGGAAGAGGAAACCAAAGCATTTATGATACCTCCTCTTCAATGCTTAGCTCCGATCTAGAGTCCACTAGTTTCTTTGATTCTGAGGATGAATCTAGCCGGTAAGTTGCTCCAAGGGAAATCTGCGGATTTCAAGAGTACTATATAGGAAACTGTGCCACTTAGAGTGAATGACGGTTTAACTATTTCTAAAATTTTGCCCATCAACCAATCAAGTTACCATCGAAAATCATTTCTTCACATTTTAACGTCATGCATCCACTAGAATCCTAGCAGTGGGTATGTGGCTTTAAGCTAATAAAAATTTTGATGTGTGACCAAGAATTACACACAAAGACTTCATTTGTGTGCTTGTTTTGAAGGTTCTCGACGGCCACTGGGACAACGATGTCCTCCATACGCTACGGGGCTTACAGACAACGGCGCCGTCGACGTTTTATGCCCATCAGTCGGATTAGTGAGGATGTAAGCCATGGGAGTTTATTATGAAGAGGTGGTAGGGTAGGGTAGGGGAGGGGAGGGGAGGGGGGAAGGACACAGATGCTATACTTGCATGATTGTCGATGGACGAGCGAGCAATAAAAGGAACGGGATTGATTGGACTGTTAGATGCCTGTGCATGTGTATATTGTCTATCAATGCACCAAATTGTGTGCTTGGTTTAGCATGTACGGACGCACACGCACGCACAGGTTTTTTATTTCACATACGTACATGCACACATTTATCATCTCTCCTCGTCCACTAATCATCCGTGCATGCACGCACACACGCAATTGTAGCTGCAGCACAGCGGCAGTAGCAGCAGCAGCAGCAACGATGTCGGCAGTTTGTGCACCAGCAGCCTCTTTATCATCTTTCCACGGTGTGACTCACTTGCCACCATCTTAACACGCTTACTGATCACCAGTTGACAATGTTTTCTGCACCACTGCGCCTCGTTTAAGCTGCCTTGTCTGGCTTCAATCCGAGTAGTACAGCCTAGAACGTAGTATTGACCATTTTTAGGTTGTGCCTGGGTTCACTTGTGTCAGAGGTAAAAGTTATTCAGGGAAGACTGGCCTAATTGAATAATACGTTGATTACCGGTGTCACGCATTTGTGACGTAGCGTTTTTTTATCTGAACCAAACGTCACGGATATGTGACATAACCCCAGTGTAAGTTTATGGTCACGTGCTAAAACAACAGATCGGTTGGGATTAAAAAGGCAGAATAGCTGTGAGAGTTAGTGGCTTATTCGGACCATAAAACATCCAAGCCATGGTGGTCGATTGTCCCCTTTCAAAAGCTGGCACTCTGTGGTCATTCAGATGGCTCCATCTGCACACTTCAGTGAATGCCACTTAATTAAAGATGCTTGAAGGAGGAAATTACCGTAATATGTCTCACTGTTTCGTCTAGCTTCCTTTGACAGTTGCTTTGGTGATGCACATAAATCACTTTGTCAGAGAAGAATTTATCGCCTTCCGGTCCTGGGTCATTTTTTGCTTTAATGCTTTTGGTACCCTTATAGGGATGCCCTACTGTGTAGATTCAGCATAACAATTTTATCATTTTTAAGCAACATCTAGTCGATTTTGACGACCTAAAAAATATTTGTTGATGTGTTTATTTCGTAAGATAACAGGAATTTCGTGAATTTAAACACCTTGCCGAACAACTGTCAAGGCAGTGCTCTGGTGACCATGTTACACTGGTAGGGAGGAGGGTTGGGGAAGACGTGGAGGATTGGAGGTGGGAAACCCCAACCATTGACAGTCAACAAAACACAATGTGACTCTCCCGAAAAGGAAAAGTAAGTCACGTGCCACGTCTTGAGTTGAGGTTTACAATGATACTCTGGAGATGCAATATTTACACCTGGAATGCCACTTGTTTTTTACATTTAGATAGGTTGGTGTCTTCGCCCTACCCCTTTTGAATTCGTTTATTTCGAGGTTTTTTACTCTGTGTGGAGCAATTTCATTTACTGTGTGAAGTTATACCAAGGTAGGTATAGTTGTAGTCTACTTGGGGACAATGCAATGGTATTATCCTCTTCAGTAAATCTGATTCCCATTAGAACGCAAGGAATGGGGATCGAAAGGAAATGTAAAGTACTGTGCGATGGTGATGCAAATCTACATCTAATATTGGGATTTGCTATTTTTATGTCTACAAAGTATTGTGGGAGATGCCCCTTTGTTAACACCGTGAACACGAAGACTGTAGACTGATGGGCTTTACCTACACAAAACAGTGGATTGGTACCCCATCATAGGCTTGCAGCATGACCCAAAAGACGTATTCCCGTTCTATCTCCTTTATCACGTGAAAAGCAGACTCGCAAATTTTATTTGAAAATGTATTGTCCAGGTTTATTTTTTGGGAATTAAATATTTGTTTATTTCATTTTCGATTTCATTCCCTGTGAATTCTACGAAGTGGTGGTTTCAATTAAGGCAGAAAATCCCTTGACCGTTTAACCCACGTAATTGCTATTTGTTGTCTGAAAATCATTTAAATCTGGTACTGAATGTTTATGACAAAACATTTCACTTCATTTCAGTCCTGGTAGAAAAAAAAACATCACGAAACGTTGGTTTTTATTCACGCATACAGGTAGGCCTTGTTTCATTTTCTGCAAGGGCTGCCAGATGCCTAATTTAGAAAACTATTTTTCATAACTTACGGAAAGTGATGAATGAATTGCGTGCTGTTTAACCACTAAACGACGACTGAGTTCCACTTTCAAGGCTGTCAAAATCAGGCTATTGTTTTTTTCTAGGTTAGAAAAAGTGCGTCTAGGCCCTCCTCTCCTCAAGAAATGGCAGTTACGTATTTGTGACTGTTATATTAGGGAATTGTGCAATTAAAAACAGTTTTTCAAACCTTTTTTTATGGTGGTGGATGAAAAGGTAGCTTGAAGGCATAATCAAGCTCATGACATTCGACATTGAATGTCTGAATCTTTCCTCTCACGTGCCTGCCATACCTTTAAATCCAAGAAAACACCACAGTCCAAATACCACCAGCCAAATTGATGGCGTTTATGAGCATGTGGTGAACGGATTTGGAGTCCAACTGCCGTTATAAGTCCGTGAAAGGGACAGGAAATGTGGACCGTAGGTGGTGTAAACAGAGCCCGTCTCATGCCATACCGAGGAAGATTTAGGGTAGAACCTACTTCATTAGTAGAGTGTTACTGTTAAATTATTGTCGCTCAGATCGGTAGAATGACACTCGTGTTGCCCTCTGGGGCACCACACAGCGGACAAAAGTACAACTTGTTACCATTCCCATAAACCGGTCTCAGATTAAATAATTGATCCATTTTATGATGATTTAGCGATCCTGCCAACCCTGAATGTGACGTGACTAACTGTAAGTACACAAATTAGTTTGATTTACCTACTAGATGAAATGTATGTATCCTGCTTGATGTTTGGAACAGTGGAGCGCCCAATAAGGCCCATATAATTGGGCGTACGATTAAGACATTGTCCTATTGCGTAGCTCTCTTGCCATGAATGACATTGTTAACATTTTCCGTGATTAGTTCACCTTCTTCGGTCGTCGAAAGTCTTCTAATAAATCACAGTAGCGAGATAAGTAGTACATTCCCATGTTTAATGCTCCCTGTCTGACTGATGCGAGTGTACGCCATGCATTTAGATCCTCTTCTAGAGTAATAACGGTCTCCATTAGGCGAGCTACATTAAAAGTGTTTTCATTTGGGATGCAGTGCTAAAGACCGAGCTGGCACACATTAGCACATCCTGTATATATCTGCCGCTTTTCGGGGTTACTTGCTTCACAGCAAAACTATCTCGTAAAACTTTGAATATGTATAGTTTATAGCTATGCCAATTTGATACTGTCTGATTGGTGTCTGGGGGCTTTACCAGTGTTTCGTACCATAGGTGGGTGTACAGACTCTACGCTTTGCTTATAATGTGCCTTTTTCATTAATATACACTTTACTCAGCTCTTTGAAAGGTTGTTTCAATTCGTTGAAATCTCGTCTCTCCATTTTCGTTTCATGTTGCCAAACTTGAGATTGGGATGGTTGCCAACAACCGCCGCGATCTTGGTAGCCTTTCTGCACCCAAGGAAGACGTTTCTCCCTTGTACCTTTTTTTGACATACCATCCAGTTAGCAAAATTAGAATTGTCATTGTTCTGTCAGAGTGGGTTTGCAAATACTGCCACCTGTGTAGCGTTTAAGTCAGACATGGAGGCATGAATCTATAAATAGCCTTGTTGGAGGTATGCAAAAGTGCTGGAGGACTGGGAGCATAGGGGATATCAGTTGAGTTTTGCCTTCTCTGATATTTCTTCGGTTTATTTCTTAGCTTCTACTGTCAACTGAATTGTAAGTTGACAGTACGACGGCTTCGTATTATACTGAGGAAGACTCTCATTTTGCCGTTAAACTAACTCTATGTGTCTGCCTTTGCTGACACTACAGGCCTCCTCCTACAGCAGCATGACAGACTCGACAATGTCGCTGAATATAGTGACGGTAACGCTGAAGATGGAGGCAGTGAACTACCTGGGCATCTCCATCGTGGGTCAGTCGAACCGTGCAGGTGACGGTGGCATCTACGTGGGCTCTATCATGCGTGGTGGAGCCGTCGCCCTGGATGGGCGCATTGAGCCTGGCGACATGCTGCTTGAGGTCAACGGCATCTCCTTCGAGGACATGAGCAACGATGACGCTGTTCGCGTGCTCCGTGAACAAGTTCAAAAACCTGGGTAAGCCACTCTTGTGCTTTAGATGCGGCCTCATTCTCTAATCATTCAAGTAGTTGGTATACTGTAGCGGTTATGTGATTGTTAATACTTTCTTTACCAGCTTCAAATGGATGCGACGGCCCAATTTTCTTAGTTCATCTCACAAATCATATATGTATGACGCGTTTAGGTAGAAAAAAATGCAATAGGATGTCATGTAGGACTCTGAGAATCCGGTAGCGAAAGTGTTTAGAACAATAGAAATATCGGAAATACCCTCCAGCTTAGTGTCCAAGTTCCTTGGCTCTTTCAGCGTCCTTTTTTCCATACTTCTAGCAAGTCTAGCATCCATTTTGTTGCGAACATGCTGGGCTTATGATTCCTCATTCTTTGGGTCTTAATAATTTCTCGTATTGAAATTGTCTTCTAGACCGGTCACTTTCCTTCCGCCTTTTTTGTTACCTGGCTATATCCCTCTGGAACAAATGATGCTCTATTTTAACCATTGGTAGACGAAGGTGGTATTGAAAATGGGCTAGATTATCTACTTACGCTTAGAAATATTACTTCCACCTTTTGTGCATAGAAAATAACTCAACTATTGCCAGCATTGGCTAAGTTTGATGTTTACGATGCTCTGATGCTATTGGTTCTGTGCGGTAATCAAGCTGTTTGCTGTTGGTGCGTTTTGGTGAAATCCTCATCATTTTGCATATTGTAAAAGAACCATAAATGCTACAAATATTGTGGGTTTACTGCTTTGAATTCCTGGGGTGCGTGTTCCAGGTCTGCAGCTACCTCCCTTGTTTGCCCTCCTACCATCGCTCTGGTGCTGTGCATTCCTCTCCAATTTACTGGGATGATAAACAAAGCTACTATTCTAAATATTCTCGATAAGATGTTTTTCCCTACTTGCACGTTTCGCATTTTCCTTCGTTTCTTTTTGAAAATGGCATAAATGTTTGTGCTTGTGCCTTTTTTGAGAAGTTTATTCAGACATTCGGGGTCAGTTTCTTCACTCTCATTCCCCTCTCTATTTGTAGCATGGTTTCATTTGCCTGATTTGTGTGTTTTGCAAAACCTAGGCTAAAAGCGTCAACATTTTAATACGATGTGGTAACCAGTGAATTCCACGCTTGGACCGATTAATCCCCCACTTAAGGGACCAGGGCTTGTAGAAGGTACTCCTTACAATTCCTGTTCTTTTTATCTTTGCGCCCACCGTTCCAGGGTTTTTTGTAATTGGATAAGATTTTGGGATGGAAATATTGAACCCATTGTTTGTTTGTTTTTAGTCCAGCTAGACATTTTTTGGAAAGTAATCATTTTACGTAAGAAAAAAACATTTCTGCCTTCACTAGATTGCGCTCCATTCAGAGAATTGTTTAAAAATATACCTTTTTTAGGTGTAATTGACTATCACTAAAATACAATGTTTTTCTAAAGTTTTTTATTGCCGACAGACGTTTGATGCATCCAAACGTAAAGTGATCATGTTTTAAAAGCAACGATCATATTTACCTAGTCAAACATATTACTATAGGCAAGGTTCCAAATGCTTTTAGTTACTTTCTTCACGTATGCGGTGTAACATTTGCTGGGATAGTCATCTGTAGCACCTCAAGACTTCTCTGAAGAGCAAATGAGACGTAACACTTGGGCGAATGTATTTTGTCACCATACAGAAGGGTTGAGAGGCTCCTGCCATAGCTCGGGGGCTAACCTACCCAGAATGGGTACAATGGCAGAGCCCTAAGTGGTCCGTTACCAAAACCGAGAGCTAATAAAGCAACGAAGGTATTGCAAAACCTCTTTCCTCTTTTGAGCATCATCCTCGGCGCTCCCCTTGGTCAACCCCCCGCGTCTGCCATCACAGCGAACTCGGTGCTGTAAGAGCAACACCCACGAATCAAGGGTGACAGTCATCAAATTTGTGTGTAGTTGAGGCGTTATTTGACGGCAACGTCACTGATCTCCCTTGGATCTGGAGTTTCATCCTGTATGCGAACTGGATTCGGGGAAAGAGGGAATGCGTTGGCCATCTTGTATGCCCATTGTTAGTCGTAGGAACACTGGCCTAAAGGCAGAGTCGCACAATAACTGATGGAATTTAACACAGGCCCTTTAAAATAAGGTTTCGCGTTTATTCTTCCCTATCACTCCGTTCTCTCTTCAGCGCTGTCCAGAAGTGGTATCACGTGTTCACTTTGTTGACACCTTTATCCGGGGATCGTAGACAGCTCCGTAACGAACTTTTCCAGATGGTTCACGACAAGTGTCGCTTTGGTTGTCAGTAGCACCCCTGTAGTTGCCAAAGGTAGACGTCATTTTCAGCCCTTCTGTTAGGGATTGTCAAATTTCCCCACCCACAGCATATGCACTTCTTTCGTTACGCTGTTTATCATATGGCAGTAGAAATTAGGATATTTGTCCTTTGGGGTCGGATTGCCTTTCCACTTTTACTCCCCTAGCGCCCTGAGACTTTCATGAAGAAGGGAGAAGACATAATACCCGGGCAGAATATGTACCGTCGATGTAAGGAAGGGTATAGGGGCTCCTGGCATGGCCCGGAGACCAGGCTGCCCGACGAATGTACTCTGGCAGAGCCCTTTAGTAGCTTCTCATTAAAACCAAGATTTTTAACAAACAATTGAAGTACTAAACATATAGTTTGTTCATTTTTGGTGCCTCTTCCATTGATAATGTCAATTCACCTTGAATAAAACTTTGCGAGAAATTGCATCACTAACTCGATTTTTGTTCTCACGTTTTAATTCTCCAATAATTTTCTTACGGTTGTCAGTTGACAAACTTAGTTACTTCCAGTTAATTTGGTTTTAGGCAATAATTTTTTTCAGCCAATCTTTTTCCTGGCTAAAACCAGCCTTTGTGGAGGGTGTTTACCGTTTTCACCAGTTTCGCATCCATCTTTGCCGAATGTGTAGCTATTTTTTTGAGGAAAAAAAATCCACTGCCTAGCATTAACGCATTCCAGATTTCAAGGGAGAGGTTTCATTTTTAAAAAAAACCATTTCCTAAAAACGTTGGTTAAAGATGGGTAAGTGCACCGGCATTGTCTTCTTGTCGATTTTAGTCTCTAATGTTTCACTTCTGGTGTCAAAATTATCCATTTTACCTGATTACTGATATCCAAATATTCACTGCCAAATTAAAGGTCTGCCCATTATTACAGTTCATTTTGTCTTAAAATAATTATTGTTTTTATTTTTTTCACTTACCGTCTACTGCAAACTGTGATAAATCTAACCCTTTTTTGACAGCTACAGCCTCCCTTCAAAAACCATTCCAACTTAATTCAGTACCTTCATAAGTAGCCGTCACTTAGGGTGTTGTTGAATAAGCGTTTCAAAGTGAATTTTGACAGTTTCTGTAGGAGGGATCTCCTTAAAGGCATTAAGCCACCAGTTACGAGTTTACGATGTGATCTAATGTTTACCTCCCAACTTTACAGTTGACTTTTCAAGGCTTTTTGTGCTGCCGTAAGTTGTGTGTGTGTATGTGTGTGCTTGTTTATGTGCAAGTATTATAAAGCGTCAATAGGCGTTAGTCTACCGTTGCAGTACTCCATTGCATTTTCCAGTATTTTTGATCCTCATGTCATAAATTGTCGATTGAAGCGAATGTGGATTCGAGGCTACCTTACTTGCGGCGCTGCAGAGGGCGGTGGGATGCGCTGGCGGAACGCGTTGAGAATAGGCAATGCCTTTACACTATTAATTGCAGTAATTCGTGTCCAACATGTCAGGGAGCAACTGTCACTACTATTTACCGTAAATGATGTAACAGCTAAAAACAGTTGTGGCAGTATTGGAGCCACATCAACAAATGAATGCAAACGAAATGTTTTTCACTTCTTTCGCGTACTTTCTAGCAACGCAGCGTCGTTAAATTTTTTGTTAACTCACTGACTTGTAATGCGAAAGTGGTTATCTCCAACTCACATGCAGTTTCAAGCCTTGCGCAGCTTCAAGCGCGCGTGTGTGTGTGTTGTGGAATACAGGTAGAATTGTCCGCTTGGTGAAGGCCAAACAACATATACGGGTGATATCTATTCGATGCAATTCAATAAATTCTTCTTTGTAAACAGTCAGGACTAGTTAATTAATGAGAAGAAGGCCCTTTTCCTGCAGACCAGTGGAAGGGCCTCATGCCGCAGCAACTAGTATTGGGATTATTTGCATTTTATTCAACTTGGTATTTCTTTAATAATGGTTCCCTGAACCCCACGTGCTTATACCTTTTCTTGTTATCAGCAATAGGCTATGGCACACTAAGTAGGGCAGACAACCAGGTGATAAGGCTGAAATAGAAATTTGATGTTTTCAGGTCTGGATTTCGTGCTTCCAAAGACCAAAACGTTGTGTAGGAATGGGATTCAGAAGCTCGTGTCCCATTTGCATGGGTTGATGGATTGCAATGGTGACTTTTATTTACTTCTATAATATTGTTGTGGATGACAGGAACTTTGTAATCTTCTCCTACACCTGACTACCACATTGGACAGATTTGCACAGAATTTAGCCATGGAACTATGGATAAATTGCATACGGAAAGGCGGGCTAGTTCGGCTCTCGTTAGCTCCTTAACCTTATTCTTTTTTGCCTCGCACAAATTTCAACCTCTCAAACTTTGAGCCATTTGGATTAAGACAGTTACCTTGCCTTACTCTCGTCTACACCTTATCGTTCCTGCAGTCCGATCACCCTGGTGGTGGCCAAGTGCTGGGATCCGAACCCACGGAGCGGGTGTTTTGTACTCTCGCGGCAGGAACCGGTGCGCCCTATAGATCCACGCGCCTGGGTGCTTCACACCAACGCTATGACTGCAGCTGCCGCTGGCTCTCCAAACGCTAACCTTCATTCTGATCCTCTCGGTGGTCTTTCCGATGCCAACTCCACTGCGTTCTGTGGAAGTGCGTCTTGGTTTATAGAATTGCGGGCCTTAAATTCATTATTTAATAGATAGAGCGATCCTTCAGAAGTTTATAAATAGGTGTTTCCTCCACTATGAAGTCAATTTCCAACAATGATTATTATCAACAACACGTAGTAAAACTACTTAAGTAGTCCGCAAGTAAATTTGGGTCTGGTTGTATGTTCCTATCATTACGATTCAAGCCTATTTTTGATAAGTACTGTTAACTTCTTTTGCCCAATCAAACACGTTTGTGTTGTACTGATACCCTGGACTCCATTATCTAATCCGTATTTGGAATTTCACCAAAAAATATGGTAGGGGTAAAGAAAAGTACAATTTACACGCGTGCAGAAAGTGAAATATCCCATTACAAGCGTCGTAACTACCAGTTAAGCCCAAACTTACAGCAAGACGCGGTTTTTTTTTTGCGTGGGAGGAGTGGAGACCAGATGCACAGTTGGTTTCATTGCCTTAGACTCAATGTCCACTTAATGTTAGGCCTAATATCAGTATGTTGCATAGCCCTTGCTCTGTTCTGGGGGTTGTTTCTAATTCTTCCTCTCTTTCGGATATTACAGTTCTGTGTTAGCCACTGGGATAGGAACGGAGGTGCTATGATAATTTGGCAGTATGATGGGAGCATTTCCGACTTGAGCAGTAGGAAGTGTTACAGAAGGTTTGTCAATGTTTTACAACCAATTACCAACTCTAAGTCTTGGATACCTAGTTCTGGTTAAAAGTTGAGATGGAACAATTTAGAAGAACAGCGGGCTTAGCAGAGTGGTGGGTTATTAATGTTGGTATAGATTTGTGGTTCTGAATCCTCCATTACTTAGTAACTATGCTAAGTTAGGTCGGGTTTAGCCGTGTACTTTTTCTTGGTTTGTCTCTATCACATTTTACTCCTTTTATTGAGGCATGGGGATTGACATTACTCTTTTTTTTGCACTTTTGAAGTCCTGAGAACAATTTTTGTCATTAATTGTACCCACAAACACGCCTAGTTCTTCCCCTTGATGTGAGTTATGTGGATTACAAAGAATCTGCGAATTCCACCTAGCACAAACATTTTGACTAAGTCGAAGTTTTTCATTCCAGCCTGTGGAAATTATTTTACTATGATCCTCTCAGGTCTGTGATAATTACGGACCCCATTTTTCATCTTATTGCGAAGCAATTTATTAATGCTCTCAGTACTCCCATCAATTATTCACTCTACAAATAGTAATATCTGTCTAGACTGTTCACCTTGTCTTCTTCTGAAACACCTATTTCCTCTTCGTTGCCGCCCCTGGTTTTGACATTTAGATTATCCAATCCCCCTACCGATGATTAGCATCGTGATTCTCAGTGGTAGATAAGTTCCAGTCCATGGCCTCTCTCGCCCTTGGTGCTTTCAGACTACCCAATATTAGCTGGGGGCGTTAACAGTGGCGGAGTGATGTTGTCAATGCCAAAAAGCAATGCTTCCAGTTCCTCGGTCACACCAAAATCCGCGCCAGATTCAGCGGGTGGTGGCACTGGGGGTGCTGGCGGAGGAGGTGTGGGCAGTACGGGTCCTTTTCTTACACACCACTCTCAGGCGGGGTCCACCCAACCACCCTCCGAGCTGGTGCCTTCTTCCACGGGTCTGGAGAAGTCGCAGCAACTCAATGTGGCTACCGACATGGCTCTCGTTGTGCGTGCGATGCTGCAACCCGATTCTGGCCTCGAGATTCACGATCGCACCTGGCTCAAAATCACTATTGCCAATGCTGTCATTGGTGCGTTAATTTGTGTTTTTTCCATTAATTTTTTGTCTTTGATGGCTAATTTAAGCGTTTGCACCTCTGTAACTTTCCACTTACCAGGATGCATTAAAATGCGTTAATTAAACCAGATTTTCACTCTTTGCCGTTGTGGCTTAAAGGTGAATATAAGCTGTACCTAATTGCTCTTAATTTTATGCGGAAACTTGCTACCAAGATGTCGGGATTGTTTATCAAGTAAGACATACTCGTTCTATTGGAAGAAATCATGCCACTGCGAATCACATACATCTAATCATGCTCTAGTTGATTGTATTTTAAAGCCGTCTTTATTTGCTCTAGGCTCAGATTTGGTAGATTGGCTGTTTGCTCACGTGGATGGATTCAACGATCGTCGGGAGGTCAAGAAGTATGCGTCAAATCTGCTCAAGTGCGGGTACATCCAACACACCGTGAACAAAGCCACTTTTTCCGAGCAGTGCTACTACGTGTTCAGTGATCTCGCTGGCACAGGCAAGTGTAATCTTTACTCGCAAAACGCGGCCTCTCTCTGAACTCTCACACCTGAGTGATTGACACATGCGATATGCATATGACTCACAGTCAAATGTGGCTAAAACTAGTCCTTCTCTCTCTTGTATGCAGTTCTGCTAAATATGGAGGAGATGGATTCAGTGTCAGAAATAGGTGGAGTGACTCGTCATGGCCCTAGCGGAGGGATAGGAATGATACCGGTGAATAACGGTGCCGGTGGCTCTTCGGTCACTTCGTTCGCGCGATCGCTGCCTCCCGCGGGATTCAGCGCTGCAAGCGCGGTTGCCAATACCGCCGCTGCCGCCTCTTTCTGGCCCTCCGCAGTCGGTGCGGCAGGCGGAGGAGGTATGCCGCAACCTGCTGTGCTCTTCCCCGGTCCTGGTAATCCATCACAGCCTCAGCCTCCACCACCGCCGACCCACCAGCACCTCACTGGTTTACTTCCCGTCTCCACAGCTGAACTGCAGACGGTGGAAATGAAGGGGTAGGTGTCTTTTATGGTACTCGTTCTCTGGTCCTGACAAGGATTTCCTCATTTTTTTTTTCGATTGGAAACGTTATACTCCTTTCCAAATTCGTCCCGTCACCTTCCTCTACATTCTCGAACTCATTGTTTTAAGTGTCATTGCTGAACAATGAGACAATTAATTTTGTTCATAGGTGCTCTTTTCAATGGCAATTTAGTACGAATCATCCCGAAGAAGTTCGCTCCTCCTGACTAGCCTCATTCCCTAAATGACAACTTTTTTAGCTTTTTAGAAGATTTTCTTAATAAAGCTTATTTGACGAAGGACGTGGTCACTATTGCGTTCCGGATATCCTGGCTTAGTCTGCACTCATCGTTTATGCATCATAATGCGTAAATGGGTTGGCCTCTCCAAGTACTTATGCAGATTACAGGGCATTGTCCCTAAATCATTTGAAAAGCGTGAATCTCTTCACCAACGAATTGGCAGTACAATATTATGCTGATACTTCGAGTCACAATCAAGGATATATTTTGTAATTCTCTAAAAAGTACTTCTATCCCCGTATTCTAGTGTGTTGGTAGTGTCACCCTGCTTGAAAAAGATGCGAAGTATTTTTTTCCCCAAATGCGCGGTGTAGATGTGGAACTGGTTTGTGATTTTTAAAACAGGCATCTCACATTTCACTTCAACTCATTCCATCTGACGGATTAACTGAAGACAGGATAGTACTTCTAATTTTGCAGTTGATTGAATAGTTTTTGGAAAGACAAAAACTTTTCTACTTTTTTGTTTCAACCCATGATTCTCCCAACCAAAGCCATCAATCATCAGGAAGGGGGATTCAGTCCTCCCTTTGGGCAAGAAAGTTAAGGCCTAAATTTATATCCCAACTCACTTTTCGGTAAAGCTAGCCTTCTCCTCATCTTTTTTTCTCTGGAAAATGATCTCTGAAAACGCGATGATTTTGCGATGCTAATGGTCGGGGATGGGTGGTGGTGGCGTCGGCGGCTAGTGAGCACATCACAAGAGACGGTTTTTTGCGGGCTAAAATAATTTGTTCTGCATGCCGCCTGAAATTTGCCTTACCCCTTGGGGTGTGAATCACTGCCTCATGCGCACACGAACTAGCTGAAATCAAAACGTCGTCATAATTTGCACTGGAACACCATGCTTCGACTCGTCCACTGGAACCCGTCCTCCTGACTCACACGCTTTTGATCAGATTTGTTTTGGTTGCTTTTCGGCAAACCTAATCCCTTGGTTTAAGCAACTCACTGAATAGATGCGTTTAGAATGGCCCCATTTTTCCTGAGAGGTATTTTTAAGAAAAGGAGAACTGCGAGACTAGTCGCTTGAGTGTTGTAAGCATGGCTTCATGGCACTTGCGTATATCACTGTGAGTAGTTATTTGTCCACTCTTTTTAAACGTTCTCTGTGGTCCCTTTTCTGCTTGATTCATAACGAGGTATTCGGGTACATTAGAATATCCTTTTTCACCACCACTGGGAGACTTGAATCCACAGGTGAAACAGCCTCTGAAGCGAGCGTATTACTAAAAACTTCTTTATAAGTCGCACATTGTGAAACTGATTTACGTAGCAAAATCCTGTATTGATTCCTTATTTACATTTTGTTGCCATTTTTAACTCTCTCCTGTCAATTATTTGAGTTTCAATTCGTCCGATTAGAGTTTTCTTTCATTACCAATCACTTTGCAGATCTTCTGTCTGGTAGGATAGACATTGTTATCACCCTCTAGGTTGGATTCTCCACTGTTCCCACCACTGCGGTACTTGAATCATTTCTAACGGCATTCAAGCCCAGTCTAGACAGGGCATTTAAAGCCTCTGCTTTTCTCTCCTCGTAGACACAGCATGCTTCCGACACAGCAACAGCAGCCGCACCAACAACAGCAACAGCAGCGTGCAGACGTGGTGGACGATGATGGAAGTTCTTCAGCCGGTTCCAGTAGCTCCACTTCAACCTCCTCCTCTTCCTCCTCCTGCTCCTCCACTGCAAGACAACCACCACCACCGCCACCTCCACAAGCGCATCCAGTCGACACGTTGGCACCATCGGTTCGCTCCGGTGAGTTGCCTTGACTATCAAATAACAATCATTATGCATAATAAAATATCCGTGAGAGAAATAACCTCCCTTGTTCTTCCTCTCGAGTTACTAATTCGCTTTTATGCATAAAAGAATCATATTTTGTGCGTTGGGACATTCAGATGTCATAAATGGGGAAAATGCACGCTCTGATGATATACCGCTTCTCACAGCCCATGACCTTTTTTCTATCAATTTGCTTGGTTGGTTGGAAATACCATCAATACTCTAGGGACGCCTGATAAGGTAATAAATGGTGCCGCGCTACTTTTTCATTAAAATTTATTAAAATTTTTTAGAAGGCCATGTGTATGACCTGCAACACTGAGTGAGATTTTTGCACGTGCAAAGCGCTGCACAAAAGGGGATGCTTTTTGTCAAACCTAGGGTAAGGCAGACCAACTTCTGGGCTTGTGAAACCTTTTCACACTAAATACCATTATGTATCACACTAGCGTCTTTAGGGCTAAAAAGTTACTCAAAATCTGGGAAAAATTTACTTGCCTTGGGCTTATAGTGAGATCTCGTAGGTTTTTGAAAGTGCTGTCAAACTACTAATTAAACATGGTAGTTATGAACTCCTTCGATTCTGGTGCGTAGGCGAGGGATCCTTCGTGATCAAGTGTAAGTTCTAGTTATTTGGACTTTGCATCCACCAAAATACTACCAGTGGATATCAGTCCAATGTCGCTTGGGGCGAATATAACAAAGAGCTTTTGATTTTACTCCTTAATGGGGCTCTTGTTACAAAAGTGTATATTGGTATCATTTGGATCTGACAAGAATGCTGAAGACTCGTTGACTGTCACCACATGTGGGAAAAATTTCGATTCCCTCCTTCTGACCTCGCCTCTTTCCGAACCAGCTTTGCCCTGCCTAGTGTAACAGTAGACGGCATGTTCAGCATGTTTTGTGTGTCTATCTGTCCGTCTGAACGTCTCTTCATGTCCCTTCTTTCCTGTTCTGTTGCATGTCTTGCTCGCGCGCGTGCCCGCTCGTCCATCTTCCGGTGTCTAGTTATCACCACCCCCTGCTCCTGCCTGAATCTGCGGCGTAGACGACGGAATCTGAAAGAGTCGCATTCTACGTCTCAACCGCCATCTTTCTCCGAGCATCCCCCTTCCACCGTCTCCAACCGTTTTGCCGACTTTTCTGGCTATGGTGATGAGAACGCCGTGTCATCGCCAACGTCCTTAGCTGCGGTGGGAGTGGGAGGTGTTGTTGTTCAAGGTACCGTGAGGTGGCCGTCCCTCTTCCCTTCCATTTTCGTCTCAAATCCTTCCATTATGTGATGTCCTTTGCATGATTTCCCTCTATCTTAACACGTTCTTTACCAGCGTCACGGATATGTGACATGCGTTATTTGTCTGGTTATGATGAATGACCGCACAAAATTGCACCGCAAATAAGTCGGTTGAGTTTAAAACCATTAAGTAGTATAGAACTATTTTGGTTTGATGGTTATTTCATCCTTAGGCATTCAAACGACAGTTAGAGTGATCAAAAATTAATGACAGCAGGTATGCCATTTGAATAATCAAGCATCTGAATTGTGGTTGTGGACTCTGCCAGCAAACATTAATCCGGCAATTTCTTTATAACTGACCGCTGTCAGCATTTGCTGTTGTGAGTATTGAGTGCGTATTTTTTGCTGATTGGAGACCAAGTTTTCCGTCAAAATGGACAGCACAAGTGATGGGTTAATCTGAGTTTCGGACACTTGTTCTCACGAATTTTTTGTCCAGTAAGTGGTAGTCTGTTGCACCGCAAGCAGTTTGGTCACCGAACAGGGCTAATGCCGATACCGGTGGAGGAGTCAAAATTACTCCAATTTATCAAAATTCATTTGGTGGATTGACCCTTTAAGTTTTATACCATCTAAATGCTTGTTATTGCACCGTTTTCCATCCTTCCAACTTACATCCTCATTCGAATGGTAGTGAAGTGGAGATTTGTTTTAAGCACCGAGCGTTCAGAAGTACAATCAAAATTTTATTAGTAAAATTTGTTAAAATAAGAACTAAATTCAGTCTGCTGCGTTTTATATCGTTAAACCTTGCGCGTGTTCCCTGCGTCAAGGCAGGGGCACTAGCCGTGGAAAGTGGATTTCACGCAGTTACCTACACAGCTACACAAACATGAGTTCACCGTAGTTGATTTTGTGCTTTTCCCCTACAGATGCGCGTAGTGGAATACTTCTTGGAGGGGGACCGAATCCCCTTCTCTCCCCACCGGTATCCTCGGGAGCAAGCGCGCGAGGGCCAGCTCCTCCTCCTCCTCAACCTGCGCCTCCCTTACAATCGCAAACATCCACGGTCGCCACCGGTTCCAGTAGCGATCACAGCCAGCACTCTCAACGCATGAGCTAATCTCTGGTTGTCCTGCTCCCTCTCTTCCTCACCTTTTGGTATGTTAGCGTCCTGAAGTCACCTGTCTAGACTGCTGTGAATCTATAGCATTGACCACTTGAAGATCCTATCTAGCGTTCGAGGAGGTGATAAGGCATATGAATTCGGGACCGGCTTTACTATGTACTTGCAGAAGAGTTGGCAGATCGGTAGCACGTTTGCGATTGCCAGGGACTAGACGAGGTTGTGTAGTGTTCTGCTAAGCCTCTTGCTTGATTCATCCGCATTTGTTGAATTAAAATTACTCAGGCAGTGTAGAATCTTTCTGCTCACGGCCTCTAAGGGTTTGCTCTCCTTACTTTATTTTCCTTTTTCAGCTTCGAGTCTATCTCACCACCGCGTCGGGCGTTTCAAATCTTAGTCCAACCGTTCGCCCATCTCTCTCAATCACGAGGCTATTTTACACGAGAACAATGTAAATTATTTCTCTCTCTCCTCTCACCACCCATTGTACAGCAATCATACATACATGCATATCCACGTACTTGGTAGAATCCCCCTCAACTGACTTGATTTGCGCATTCACCACTGACCGACCTCTGAAAATGCATTTCTGTGCTTTGGGTCTCCTTTCCACGCAGTGCGCCCTTTTGCCTGGTTATAAGGAAGGTATGGCGTTGTATTTTGCCAAAATTTTTGCGTGGTAGTTGTAGCCCACAAAGCCTGGACAACGGATTTTGCTTTTGCCTCCTAGACTACACAGGCAACTGTAGGTTGTGTGAGTCACCGTGACCCAGGAGACACCTGGACATGCAGTATTAGATCCGATGACTCGAATGTCCTAGGGGAGGGGCGTTGGCACAGTGGGCAGTAGTTCCGACGGCTTGAAGGTAGTTATTGCAAACTATAAGATGGTGCGAAAGCTTTGGTGAGGATTACTCCGCTGATTTACTTCACTGGGGCCTAACAATAAACGGTGCATTTTTAAAATCCACTCTTTTAAAACGGTAAGTAGAGTTATTGGTCTGCTTTCGAATTGTCGAGCGCCACAACACTCGCTTGACTAATCCAGCTGTTCGCATAATTAAAGTTTGATCGGAGCAATTTTCCATCAACCAGCGTAATTGCTGCAAGTTTTTTTCTGCACCCCCCAGGAGAAATTGCGCCTCGTGATAGTACCAGAAACAGAAGTTACCAACCGAGTATCGTGATTTACTCTTGGAGGATCCGAGGTTCATGCTAACTTTGTTGATTGTGGTTTGACTCTATCCTCTACAAGGGTGTGCGGATCTCGCCGATGCTTCATCAAGCTAATAAGATTTTTTCCGAGTTTTTTTTCACTCTTTAGACGCATTTCAAGACTGACCGTTCAACTTAACTGCTAGTCTGGCGCAGTTTCCTCCATGGGGAAAAGTGGGTTAGTATTTAGGAATATGTAGCCCTAATCTTTTATAGGTTGTCCCACTGAAGGATCGCAGCTTTCTTAAAGAGTATTTTACCTCAGTCGACCATCTTGGTTATTTTAACGCTCTACCATGGCATCAAGACTTGCACCACCAGGCTGATCCATTCAAATACTGTTCAAAAATGAAAAAATGCTCATTTCTCGTTGGATCAGGATTGTATCACATTCAGTTTGTTGCTTTCACCTCAAGCAGTCTGCTCAAGGCATCATTTGTTGCAGCCGACTAACGGAAGCAAATAAAGGATACGTGTCACATATTTGTGACGCAGTGCTCGGATAAAGAAATCGCAGCATTCTGAATATACGACTCCGGTGGCAAATATGGTAGTAAAATTAAATAGATTAAAACAGCAAAACCCAAATGCTTTGAGAAGATCTTCAACTATTATATTATTCGTTAAGTTGCAGTTCAATAGTCACCTACCATACACCAGCGTTCCCTTGAATTTTTTCCCACTGCTATCGAAATTAATTTTCGTAGGAAGGGGCAAGAAAACAAAAACACACGTTTAAGGTAAAATTAAGGCTAAAAGCTTACTTTTATTTAAAATAAAAGGCACTCTCCAATTCCCGTCTGATGAGGAAAGGCGCGCAACTAGCTACGGGATGCACGCGTACGCACATTAACGCCCCATTTGCAAAACTCTGTGATAGGAGAGGCAATTTTCAACCTCACCAGTTGTTTCCGTCACTCACTGCCTCAGCAGGCACTGCTATTTTCCCTCCTGTGTTTCGTCACTGATTTGCAGCAGTTTGGGAAACGAACGCTCGAAGTGAATTTTGATACCGTGGGTTTGTTTTAAACGGTGGATGAAACACTGAGAGAGTTCTTTGACCTTCTATTTTTGTCAAATGTGCATAGAAAATGGACGTGCAGAGGCGAGAGATGAAGCATCATTTTTACTCACAAACGGGTTGAATAAAAAGCTGTTCCAGTCTTGTATGTAAATGTTTTTATAAAACTCTGTTACCGGTTGGGTCATTTTGCCCAACAACTTGTTTTATACGTCTGCGTTTAAATACGCGGGCGCTTAAGATTCCGCGAATTGTAATTTGGCTTGGCAGTGCGGCTTCCAAGTAGCCACAGCTCTTCCTTACGTCAAAGTACTATGGCTTCTTGCTACTTCAAAAAATTAATTGGGCTCTTCAATCCATCATCGGTTGTCAAAACCTATTATAAGTGCAGTTTGGGACGGGAAGAGAGTGAGAGAGAGAGAGAGGTCGACCCGAATGCCACTTAAATGATAACATACAACTACTAGGCGAGTGGTTGCACGACACAATTGTAATACGATGGTGGTTTAGCCCTCGATATTGGTGAGGCGCCACTTTTGTACTTCGAATTGGTCCCCTTGTACCTCGCTGGGTGGGCTGGCCTTTTGGGCCATGCCAATAGCCCAGACACCTTCTCTGCGCTGAATATATATTCTGCCCGAGTATTTTGTCTTCTTTTGTCTTCAGGGAGTCTCGGGACGCTACACAATAGCCATAATAAGATCAAGATATTTTAAATACATGCGGTGCAATCCGCATTACGGTAACGGACAAGGCAGTCTAATATTGGAAAAATGCGTTTGGCAATTTCTCACAAGTAATGTTTGTGAGTTGACTAACTGCTGCTTACTTACAGTGATCAAAGGTTGGTAGCAAGTGATTAATGTGTTAGGTAATCGAAGTTATTAAACTATGAAGAAATATTTACCCCAAAAAATGGGCGTCACTGGTTAAGAGGCATCTCATGTTCGACTCCAGCAAACTGGAACAATCTGTAAGTCTAATTTCATTGTTGAATTAAAAGAAAGGATTACTCAGGTCTCCACAAGATAGCGTCCTAGAATATTGCATAAAAAGGGTGAGTTCATAAAATATATCGCTATCTCGGGGTTCAGTGTTATTATCATCCGAGAAACGTCAGGTAATTCAAAAAAGAAGGATATTTATTTCTTAGGATCACTAGCTTAAAGGCCAAAATTGTGTCTAAAGTAGTAACTATTTTTGAAAGCTTAGTAATGGCATATTGGAACCTCTGAAATAGCCACACAATAACACAGATCAACATTAAATTTGAGCTATTATTCCATGCCTATCCTAAATCCTTGTTTGTTGATTTGCGCCAGAAAAGGTCTTATTAGCAACGGTCTAAAAAGTAAAACACTTGCTTGACTAATCGTTATGTAATAACTTCTTAATATTATTAGAATTAGCAAAATTCATGACCTTGAGACGTTCGATTTAACTGTTTGCCAACTTTAAAATTATTGGTTATAGGTTCTACCTCAACTGCTTATTGGTTCGAGCCAATGACCTTAGCTATGCTTTATAGGGAGGCAATTTGAGTCGGTGTACTTCTAAAGTGACTCATATATTGTAAAAATTGTGATGGAGTTGTTTCGAAAAGAATCTATTTTTTTCACACTCGCATTTTGTACGTGGGCAGTCAATGGATTGGCAGTAGATGAAGATGGCAAATGTCCGTCCACAGCTAACATTAGCTGCAAAGATGGGCTATTACTGCCGGTATGGAAACCAAAGGACAGCACCAGTGTTGCTCGGATAGCAGGACGTGCCATCGTGTATTTCCTTTCGCTGATGTATTGCTTTCTCGGTGTGTCAATCATCGCTGATCGATTTATGGCCGCAATCGAAGTAATCACAAGTCAGGAAAAAGAAGTCCGAGTGAAGTCAAAGTCAGGAGAAGTTCAGGTGATATCCGTACGCATTTGGAATGAAACAGTTTCGAACCTAACACTTATGGCTCTTGGATCTTCCGCGCCCGAAATTTTGCTCTCTATCATCGAAATCTGTGGAACGAACTTCGAAGCTGGGGAGCTTGGTCCTGGTACAATTGTTGGGTCTGCGGCCTTTAACTTATTTGTCATCATTGGTACATGTATTGCTGTTATACCTAATGGAGAGACACGCAGAATCAAGCATTTCGGTGTTTTTGTTGTAACGTCAATATGGAGTGTATTTGCGTATCTCTGGCTCTACTTCATCATCTCAGTGACGTCAAAGGGTATCGTGGAATTCTGGGAAGCATTTCTCACTTTTCTTTTCTTCCCCATAACAGTTATTACTGCATATATAGCAGATATTAAGCTGTTCCAAAAGAAATTTTTAAAAAAGAGGTATAAGGCTAGGCGAAAGGCAAAATACATGATTAAAAATGCTTCTGACATAGAGGCCAATGGTAAATTTACAAACTCTGAACCCGTTTCAGAAAGCAGTGAAGGGTCGTTAGAGGAGGAGTACGAAAAGACTCGTCTTGAATACATTGAGACCATTAAGGAAATCCGCAAGAAAAATCCACAAATCGATCCTAAGGCGCTGGAAGAGCTAGCACAGATCGAAGTTTTAAACAAGGGTCCAAAATCGCGAGCGTACTATCGCATCCAAGCAACTCGACAATTGACGGGCAGTGGCAACGTGATAACGAAATCCAAACTTGAACGCAAACTTCCAATTCAGCAGACTGAAGTAACCGAACTATACGCACCTGATGTTCAGCAACTTTACTTCAATCCTGGTCACTACACAGTGATAGAGAATGTTGGAAGCTTTCAAATCACTATTTCTCGAAAGGGTGGAGACCTTCGAGATGAAGTCGCTATCGACTACGCTACGGAGGACGGTACCGCAGTTGCTAATGAAGACTATGAACCAACCAATGGAACGCTCGTTTTCCGTTCTAATGAACAACACAAACAGATATCCATAACCATCATTGATGACGATGTCTTTGAGGAGGATGAACACTTCGACGTTCGCCTCAGTAACCTTCGTGTAATTCACACCTCTGGTCTCACTTCCGAATGGAAGCTTGTGAATCCAGTTGTTGCTACTGTCATGGTGCTGGACGATGATCACTCCGGCGTTTTTCATTTCGCTTCTGAGTCGGTTGATATCAGTGAATCTTGCGAGGTCGCCGAATTCACCGTTGTTCGCAGTTCAGGTGAATATTGAGGCTTGTTTAAACACTCTTTTATCTAAATTCACCCTTGCAACCTGCCATTTCTTTCTCTCACAGGTGCCCGTGGTTGTGTACACGTTCCATTCAAGACAGTGGATGGAAGCGCTAAGGGAAACGGCAAGGACTACTCCGACACTTCTGGATTTGTTGAATTTTTGAACGATCAGACCGAGTACGTTCGTCCATCTTACTTTTTATAGCGACATATTTAATGTAAAATTTCCGCATTAAAGTGTGAATCTCTATTTTACATGTGAGGTCGTGTAATCAATCGAACGGCAATCCACCTGCTATTCATCATATTTTTTGGTTGAATTTGACCCAGTTTGAGATACAGAAGGAAATCTAAACCCTATGATTCCACTTCGTAACTGTCAATTCTTGGGGTGATACTCTGGTGTCTCTCATTACCTACAAGGTTTTTTGGCTAGGCGTGGGATTATTGCGAATGACATGTCTCACTTTCAATGAAATCACACTGCTTTTGATTAGACTAGTACACTTTTATGCCTAAAGAGGAGCAAATTTCTCATGAACTAGCAGGAGTATGAGACTCAAGACATTGCGTATCCACCCTCCCCAAGAAAGAGTGTAATAGTGTAGAGGAGTTTAGGCTTAGTGCTTTAGAAAATCCTCAGTAGTGATTCATTCGCACCTCGTAGTCTACAGACACACACCCATGCAAATCTACTCTCGTGTCTCTGCGTACTACGTGTCACTTTGATAAGGACTTATTTAAATTTTGTCGTCGCCTGTCACGCCATTGTGCGGTGCGCCTTTAAGTGGCTTACAATCATACTCGCATTCTGTGCCTTTTGAATGGATGGCAAAATACTGAGTTAAGAGTATGCGTAACTTTTTATATATTCGAAAAGGTCGGTTGGATTTTCCTTTTCTCATTGCGCTGACAAGGCTATAACAGGCTGTCCGAATAGTTATAACACCTCTCATGTTGTATTTTATGGTTTTATTTACTTAATTCCCCTAATAGTGGATCGGATTTGCTTATGTACAAAGAAGTAACCAAGTTGTTTATATATTTGCGTAAGGTGTCAACAGTAGTGATGGACTGACTAGCAGGCGGACGTGCAGTCACTTCCCCTTTTCCTTATGACTAAACGGAGAAAGAGAGCAAGCAGCCAAATTTCCTTCTTTCTTGAAACATGTTTTTTTTTTCACATATTAGAGGTAAATACGCATCAACTGGTTAAATGTTGTTCTCGAAATTTGATGTTTAATTTAGTGGTTGGATGCAATTCATTCACTTGTCTTTTCAAGGAGCCCACAACCAGCGCCTTGCGTGGTCTCGTCTTGCATGAAGAGAAAAGCAAGTGTCTTGATAACGATGTGGTTAAATTTTTCTCACCTTTATTTTTAGAAAGCCCTGCTGAGGCACACACCACTTTTCCAAGCGCTACATATGGAGCGCTATTTTTACGGTATACCTTATTTTAGAGGGCATAAATCATAAAGAACGGATGTTTCATCCCTGATCGAAAGAAGGGAAATTTTAATATATACCCCCTTCCCAATTCTGAACAAAGCATGTAATTATTATCTAATTCATAAACACACACGTTAGTGATTTATGGAGACACCAGGGATAGACTTCAAAATAGGGAGGGGATGCATATGCCCTTGGAAGTCGGATCACTAAATGGGTAATGTGTGCATTCGTAATTCTCCCAATTCTTGAGCGAAACTGCTATCGCTGAGTTGCAAAGTATCAAATCTCAATGGGCTTACATAATAACCAAGACGGTGCTTTGTGTTACCATGGTTAATTGTTTCAGCTCATTGATTTTGTAATTCGCCAGATGCATCGAAATAATCTGCAGAATAGTTTGCTACCTTAGGAGCGAATAAAAAAGAATTCCCTACATTGCGGCACATTACATTTTGCGTCACGTTTGTAGACAAAAATTTGTCTCAATGCTGCCGCCATCCCACTATGGCGCGGGCAATTTGCTGGCCCTTCTGCCTCCTTTACCCTTGTACCCTAGAGGCATGAATATTAGTTTTTGGCTCCATCTTTGCAATAACTTTCTTATCCTGTCTGGAGGTCTATTGGAATCATTTCACCGTGTTGTTAGGGCTGGTCAAGGTCCGCTCTTTTTTAAATGGAGAAGGGTGAACAAAACCAAGTGATAATTTCCCAGCTTGTTCACTGTACTCCAGAAAGAGGGGAAAAGATATCACTACCAGAGTCTTTAAGAATTGTGGTCTAAAAACTTCTAGCCTCTAAATTCATCTATGAATGAATTTCCGAAGAATGTATTTCTCAAATGAAGAAACTGTGCGCACTGAATCAAAGCACAACCGAGGGAAAAAGATTTGCAGCATTTGACTCTTTCTTTACTCCAGAATTGACGCTACCTTATACATTGCTGCTCGAATCAGAGAGTTCGCTTTAACAACGACTGACTGTCAAATTCTGAAGCCGATGCACTTGAGAGCACTCCTCGTGATCCTGGCACTCGAAATGCGATCAGAAGGCGTTTCAGGGATCCACACGATCGTTGTCTGATAACTTTGAACCAGAGTTGACAAAAATAACATATGCATGAACTTGGGGTCTTCTTTATTCTTCACTTTCTCCCTTTACAGAGGCGTCATCCGTGTCCCTATTGTGGACGATAATGACTACGAGAAGAGCGAGTACTTCTTCATTGAGCTCGGACAGCCAACACTTGTAGAAAAAGAGGGTAAGTGAACGATAAATCACCCCCTTGGAAGTGAGAAGAACATAAAGGAAATCTTCTGAATGCCATCTACAGTTCTATCTGACCTCATTTAATACAAATAGGGCGTGGTTGATTGGAACTGACTCTATGTTGCCTAACCTCTTGGTTTTTCTTTGTACTGTCATCACAGCGGGCAAAACTTATTAGGATTTGTGAAAATGATAAACTACGTATTCTAATAAGTGAAGATACTATACTCAGTGCCATTTTGAATCTGTCCTACTTGACATGTGGCCTGGTGCATGATGTTTTTCTTTTAAGGACAGGAATCGGAAAGTATAGTGGGTGAACGGAAAATAATATTTAAAATTTCCTTAATTTTGCGGTATGCTTTTGCAAGTATGGGGATTATCAAAGCTTTTCAAATTGCGCCACGTGGATGTTGGGTGCGAGTACAGTCCCACAATGAAATAACCTTCCTCCTTTTTTCCACTCGACTGTTCCTTTTCAATCTCTTTCAAATATGCTAATTAGTGTTCCTTCAAAGGATAATAATGACCTCAAAGAATGTTATGGCTTGTGCATCTTAACGGCTGTTTAAGATGCAACCCATATTACTTTGTAAATCGTAAACAGGGAGATGCCACACTCTAAAAAGTGGCGCTCTTTCCTTCGTGGATTTTTGCTTGACCATCTTTTTTTGTGGATGCTACTTCAATCACTCACTTGGAAGCCTCTTTCTTATTCGCCATGTTGATGCATAGGACAGCCGCCTTTGGCGCTTCAACCTATGCTTCCTTTTGCCCTAAACAGTTACCAGTGCACCGTCGGGAATGGGTGGGATTGTCTAGCTCCACACCGGCTCTTAATTTACAGCAAATGCCACACCACCAAGTCTGTTCCTATTACCAGCACTTCTTGTAGGCTTCCGTACTAATATCATTGTCGAATTCACCTTGACTATTTAATGTCCACCCCTGAGGCGAGAAAATATCCATGGCAATGGGACGGTATCGAGGCTCTCCGTTCAAGGGTGGAGTAAAAGGCAACAGGCTCACAGGAAATGGCATTCGGAGAGCTTGGAGAATTTGAAACGGTTTGTACGACCTAGGAAACTCATTAAATCGCTCTCTTGGTTCTCGTTTATGAGAACCCTAGTCATTTCCTTTAGCCGCAATTTTAAGGCCTCCATTTTGGCACGAATACTAAACCTTTCTAGCTATGCGATTTTTTTGATGAAGAAGCCCCTCCGAAAGGGTATTCAGTAGTATGAATTGAACCTCTGGTGTAAACTGAATGGTAAAACTCTTTTCCCAAAATATTATCCAAAAAGACCTCTCTTAAAATTAACTTGTCATACAAAATGCTTTGAACACTTTTTTTTGCATTTTCACACAACACCCCTCATCAATCATTCTTCCTTTATGCGTCAGTCTGGGCCAACCTCCAATCCCCAACCACTAAAACCATTTTAGAACCACTTCTCCTACTTGTCCACTTAAACAGTATCGCCAAATCTGATGTAAAATAGCAAGTTAGAACAAAGAGTAAATATGATGAATCGCAATCTCTCCATTTTTTGTAGCAACAGTTCATTTTGTTGGTGTTTATTTGACGTCAGACACCTCCATTGAGTTTTAGACGTCAGTATGGCAAGTATCATCAAACGACTACTTATTTACCAAGTTTTACATTTTTTTGCCCTACCTACGCTCGAATTCATTTATACGTATCTCCCCTCCCAATTAGTGGGGGAGAGTGCCCTCATCATCCCGTACTCGAAAATTTTGTCAGAGCACGGTCGGTGGCTACGATATTCTGGTATTTTTACTTACTCATGTTATTGCTAGGTATGAATCGTCCCCTTTGTTCCATATCACCTACTTTCTTACCCTTCATCCTACCACTTTCCTAAATTTGAAGGCGTATCACCTGAGCCTGGAATTGAAAGGCAGATCTCAAGCCTGCGACATACGGAGCTGAGACTGTGGTACACGAGAAAGATTTGGAAAACTCAATTCAGTAGGGAATACCTCACTCATAAAGAACAAGGTATTAAAGACTGAGCCTAATCTGCTGCAGTAAGGGACACACTTGGAGGTCGATTGGATAGGTTTCCTTCGAAGTTCGTCCGCGCCTTGCACACTCGTGTGCTTTGGCTTATCCAAAAGGAGTCATCCTTATTCTTTGCTCTATTTCATCCTGGTATAAAGATCTAAGCTCCTTTCTAATCCACGTCATGACCTCATTTTCATGCATTTCACCTTCTTTACGTCGCCCCCTGTGATGTAGTTGTCATTGAAGAGTGGGGTGTGAGGCTACATGATTGTCTCGACACCATCTGGCTATCTTTCGCTTCGGAGGTACAAGACACGCTAGTGTTGACTGGGCACTTGTTGAATATATTACTAACTTGATAATATTTTGAGCGGATTTCCTCACTAATCCGGCACCTCTTGCAACGCTAAAATTGTTTAGTCTCTCCACTTTTTGGTTGGAGGGGGATGCTGCAGACAATTATGGCTGCTGCTTATCAAGAAGCGGAAGGGAAAAAAGCCGGTAATTCTGTGTATCAAACACTGTGGGAGATTACTTATAATCCGGAAGTTGGAATGGCTTCACTAGTTGATTGGGAAATCTAGATTACCCTAAATCAAGTTACGACTGGAGAACGCTTTGTTACTACTTGATTTTTCAAGACAAAACATGTGTTATGCACAATTGGGTGCCTAGAAAGCACTGAAAATTCTGCAATTTTAACTGGTTGCTGTCAAGTAAAAGAATTTGGCTATAATTTCTTGAATTTTTGCTCCGCTGTTGACATTGAACAACTTCATTTCAATTCCCTTTTCTCTCCGGTGAGAGTGTCCTCTACTTCTTCTCCAGGCCGTGTCACTGAAAATTTCTGGCTTTGCATAACATATGTTCCAATGCAAAATGAAACCACCTCTGACAACTTTAGCTAATTTGTTTATTTTAACCAAGATTTGGGGAATCAATTAATTGTTTAACAAATGTACTGCAATTTTGTTACATGAACCGCATGTGGGGATGAAGGGCAACAGGAATGGTTTAAGGTATTATAAATTTATTCGTTTCAAACAATCACACCCTACTTTTAGCTTACCGTTAACCTCAAAAAGGTTATTAGGGTAGTGATTTATGGCACTTTGTCATGCCCTATAAGAGGCGTTATAATAAGCAGCCATGAAGTGCTACCACCGAAGAGACACAAAAGGGCCAAAGACAAAGGTAGCTAGAAGAAGAAAAGTGGTCTGAGTTTATGAAGAATAACTGCGTGATTAGAATAGGTTCCTCATTAATGGAGCTATTCTTAATAATTCTTTTCTTTTATTGTTTCTTTGATGCTACAAGCCTCACACAACTCTTAGAACTTCCAACATCTTGTTGCATGTGGACGGTAGAACTACCCGAGTCACACTAACGGTCATCGTAATATTTCCTATTTCCTCATTTAAAGTGCAAGCAGACTTACTGGCTGTGAATGAAAACTGAAGAACGGTGTACCTTTAAGGTTTTAACTTATATATTCACTTCCGTCCTGTCCGTCCTCTGCACAAATGAAAATGGTGAAAGGATGGTTGTTTGTAAATAGGGTACTGTTTAGTCTGTTCTTTTTCTAGGTTTTTTGGAGGGAAAAATGTTTTAACGCAGTCTTCAGACTCCTTTACTACATTGTACTAGGATAAGTTCATTTAAGCATACAAGCTCTTATAATAGTACTACTTAGAAGGGTGAACTTAAGTAGTATGCGGTTTTTATTCGGTCAAAAATGGTAGTGCATGCTTAGGCTAACAATCGGTACAAAGAGATTATTAAAATACATGAGGAAACGGTTTTCCTTGATTTCTTAAAAGTAGTTTTATGCAAGCTCATAAATGAAGTCGAATCCCCTGTAAGGCGCAGTATTCAATGTGAAGAAGATATGAGAAGCTGGAATTTACTGTTTCCATATTATTGTGATTCTGGAGTTCGTTCACGCAAGCTAAACCACCAGTAAGAATGGATCGTACTATTGTCGCCTCGTAGAATAGGCTTTATCGTTTGACTAGATGATTTATGAGCTATATTTGCTCGATATTTTATTCGTCTGATATTTCTCTTCATTACCGACATCCGCTTTCGTCACTTCGCACTGTATAATTTGTTTAAGATTCACTAAAATCAGTTAAAGTGTGTAAGAACCAAGATTTACCGTGATTGCTGCGATTGCTCTATTTTTGGTGGAAATCCGTTTCACTTCTCTGTCCTATGTCTGTAGGCGCTCACTCATTCTTCTCGATGATGTCAGAGAAGCTTTTCCCGGACACCTTAAAAAGGAGATCGTTGGTACGCAAGATAGATTCTACCAAGACTGGCGAGGTCACTGATACCGAGGGACTCGACCCGGGATTGCCGCGTCTTGGCCAATATACCCGTCTCCGTGTCAATATCAAGGAGAGCACCGAACTAAAGGTATGTCACTGTGATATGGTGCATTGAAGCTGCTGCACAACTAAATCCCGTATTTGTATTAACTTTTACCAAAAACCTCGGTTTTTATACCCTCCTGTTGGGTTAAGCTAGTGGGTTGACGAAGGTCATTTCTAATAGTCGGATCATGTTAAACAATAATCCAGGAAGACCTCAACTTTTTAGTACAAATCGACGAACAGGCTCTTTTATGATGAACGCCCAGAAATGGCTCACTGGCTAAATACTCTTTTACCAACTTGTGCATTACCACCAGACTTCAATAGCATTCTACATTTCGAATCTGCACACCTCATATCAGAGTATTAATATTAAAGACGTTTACTTTAACCTCTTCAAACTAGTTGCAACACCTTGAATCTATCCTGCAGACGATAGAATTGATAATGATAATGTGGGATATGTATTGCTGACGCATAGAAGGTCTGGGGGTTGCTACTGACATGGACCGGAGGTTATACCACCCACCGGAAGTATAATCGCGAGGCATTAGGTACCCGCGCAACCAAAACAAAGAGTTAAGCAAACAGTTAAAATACTACATAGCACCTCTTCCATTTTGAGCGTCGTCCTCGGCGCTGGCCTTGCCCATCCTCCCACGTTGGCCACCACAGTGTAGTCGGTGCTGTTAGAAGAAACACCCACGTACCAACCACACCTGTAATCAAATTTACGTGCAATTGAAAAAAAACTTTGACCGCAACTTTACTAATCCCTCTTGCCAATTCCACTTGATCTGGAGTTTTGTCCTGTTTGGGAAGTGTATTGGGTGGCCGTCACGTATATCCATCGCTTTAGTTATTAAAAGCATTCCTTTAGAATATGGAACCGGGTTATTGCCGAAGGTAGATGTCATTTTTAACTTTTTTGTTAAAGTTTGTCACAGATTCCCCCATTTACAGCATATACCCTTCTTCCGTCACGTTGAGCTTTAGAATTCAGGAAGGAAGATCATACTAACTGGCCGTTAGGATCGGATCCACTTTCCATTACCATGAATGTAGGTCCTAACCCTTCTTGAAGGGCTAAGGGGCTACTGACCTTGTCCAGAGGCCATTCTCTCCATCGTATGTACAAAGGAGGGGCCTTTAATGCCCACGAAACTATCGCTGGCAGCCTTCTGGATCCATCAGATATGGCTCATTAACAAGTTTCTTCCGCTTCTCCAATGTTCCTCATCTTTTTTTCTCAGGACGTGGTCTTGCAATAACTTAGCCATAGGGCGCTTTATTCGGCAAAATTTAGAAACTAGTCACTTTGGCTACTGATCTCCCCTTAGCCTGCTATTAAAGTAGCTGAGCAAGGGATTGGTTCGATACGTTCATAAACTCGGCGGGGACTTCCTGTTCATTACTTTGGCATCGCCCCGGTTGTTGATGCGGTGTTTCAAGCATTAATTCCCTTTGAAAGAGTAATTTTAGCTCCCGCATTGCCAAAAAACGTTCGTTTTTATTCTCACACCCGGTTCCATTTCATTTATGACTAACAGCCATTTGAGTTTTTTAGTGTAGAAGTTGTCGAAAATGGCTAGTCAAATAGAGTGCTTTTCTAGAGAGCTTTTAGTGTCTCTTCACTTGCTTGTGTTTAAACTCATTTTTTCACTCAAAAGTCATATATGCTCATTAGTAAGGTGTTGCAACAATCCCAACTGCTTGAAAAGCCGAGAAAATCCTTCATTTTGCCAAGTAATGTAAGACACTCGAATTTTGTTTGCCACGACAAAGTAGTAAGTGATAAAGTTAAAAATTATAAATAAGTGCCCTGCTACACAATTCTCTAGAGGCAAATTAGGGAAAAGCTTTAGCTTACCGTTGGTGGACGACTGATTTGAGCGATTTGAGCAATCAAGTACATTAACATTTGACCTGCAGTTTTGACGGATCCAATCACAGGTACCATCTGGTCCGCTTAACATGAGTTCTTTGACCTAATGTGCATTAAAATTGAATTGCAAGGAACCTTATCTTTCTTTTATCTGAATGACCATCCCGAGTTTTCGCCAGAAGAGCCCCTAAGTAAGACCTTCTTACAGTTGTCATCACGACTGAGCAAATGAGCCAGTTTCAACCCGTTTATCGCATCCCACACAAGCCCCTTCCGTTATACTCTTGTCACTTACTTCCTATCAAGACAAATCACATAAAATTTGGCGCCAAGAAAAGAAAATTTCGATGTGCATGCTTTGGAATTGGCTCCTCGTTCTATTGACAGTCACAGGTTGTTGATTTTGTCTTTCCATCTTTTCTTGTGTATATCAAGTCGATTTGTTGTGCCTACCTAGAACACTGTGGATCGTCTGGTTAAACACGGAAAGTGGGTTCTGCTTCTTGGCACTTCTTCCTGGAAGGAACAGTTTGTAGACGCAATCACCGTCAACGCTGGTACGTCTTCATCTATGCCTCATTATCTTTTCCAAAGTGTTTTTATTTTGTCAAATCATTTAAAGAGAAAATTCTCCACTTCAAATAGACACATTTGGCATATATGTAGCGTCGTTAGACTTCCCTGAAGTCGAGAGAAGGGTTGGAGGGCTACTAACATTGCCCGTAGGCCACGTCGTCCAGCAGAGCCTTAAATGCCCGTGATACCAAAACGAAGAGTTTCTATCCTCAAGGATAGGCCCACAAAATGCCAATTTCTTTTACCTTCTCTTTTTAAACCATTTTTTTGCCATACTGATTGTGAAAACCTTCTCTCACTTACAGGTGATGATGACGATTTGGAAGCGATTGCCGAGGGCGAAAAGAAGATGCCTTCGTGCACGGACTACGTTATGCATTTCCTCACTGTCTTTTGGAAGGTCCTTTTCGCTTTTGTACCTCCCACGGGTGCGTCTCTCCTCTGTTTATTCACGAAATGGACTTTTTTTTCCCCTAACAACGTAGTTATGCATGAGCAGTACGCCTAATCCACCCCTATTTTCCACCTCTGAGGACACGCGTTTCTAATCAAAGGTTATAAGTCTTTTGCTTTGTTATGATTCCTTATTTGCGTCTCCAATTGTCGTGAGGATCGTTGGCGGCGCAGCTCAATCGCAGCTTCCTTTTACCTCGTCCGAGGGAAGGCAATGTCACTTTTCAAATAATCGGATTGTTACGCAAATCAACATTACTGGCACTTGATGGAGACTTTTAGTCTCAAGTCAAGCAAAGTTGATGTCAATTTTCATGCAACTTAGAACGGAATGATAACAAAAAAATGCCGTTTTTTGCAGCATTTTTCGTGGCTTATTTCGTAGGAGGGCGCCGGAGCCTAAGCATCTCTTTCAAGCATTAGCTGTCTTTCCCAATTTTCCATTTTTATATGTATTTTCTAAGTCGCTGGCAGTTTGGCTGCTTTTGAAACACTGGCAAGAGGTGAATAAAGCCTTTTCCGCTCAATGCCAGGTATTAGGATGTGGCGACAAGTAGCCGAGAGGGTAACATCAGTTTTCTATCAGAATTCTCAAATTTTTCAGAGTTACTCCTGCAAAACCGCCTAACCCTGCTGTAGGCGGTGTTTATGATCGTCAGCATAAATAATGTTCCGTGCCTATAAATGCCACCATCCGTTGTTAGGACACCGGTGGACAATGGGAATTGCACTTTGTTTAAGCTTATAAAGAATTTCATTTATATGAGCGCCTTTTGAACGTTTACTTTACAAAATACAACAAAACAATGGTACTTTGGTACCGGAGCCTAGGTAATTATTCTGAGTTTGGTCCCTATGGTGTCAGTATTTAGAAATAGACCGACCAAGTTACTTAAAACACTTACAACCAGTTCAAGCATTATGGAACTGCGACCCAAGGGGTGACACAGTACTCAAGATGCCAAAGACTTGAGTCTTAATATGGTATAATCATAAAAGTACAGTCGGAACATTCATTTGGCCTTTGTGTGTTATGTCCACGTAGTATTTGCGAGTCTATGCCACGCACCGGCATTGGGGCACTTAATGAGATCGTAAATGGGTTCCGCTGTGCCCTCTTTCAATTGTTCTGTAAATATCCAGTGCTCGTCAAGTGCTTCAAACGTAATTTGAGATATAGCCGCTTCATTGTCACCTTTGATCCCACCTCCATGCCATTCCATGCCCCGGTAGTTGCGATCCTTAAAGACTGGATAAAAACACCTCAAAAACTGTGGTAAATTTCGTATTGGCTGGCGTCTCGAGGTTGATTGATAAGATGCCCGAAGTGATGATTCGGTTGTCATAGCTACAGCCCAGTTATTGTAGCGCCATTAGTTCTTGTTTCCATTATTAAGTTTTATGGATATAGGATTTTACTCCCGCCGTCCTGTTGCACGAAAACTCTCATATGTGCATTAACTGTGGCAGAAGAGAGACTGAATAAATGGACCAAATTTTCGACCTTGTGATAAAGTTATTTGCATCAAAAGTGGACTATGTCTGGTAGAGAATGATACTAACTAAAAAAATGGATTTAGGGTGTCATAATCACATTATTGATACTTCTGCTCTCTCTCTCTCTCTCTCTCTCGCTTTCTTGCTCTCACGTTTGATGCATGTGGGTAGAAGTGGATTAAAATGACATTTCCCATAATTCATCTTGGTGGCAAAACACGACAGAAATCGTACATTGAGTGGGGTCATCAAAAGCTCACTCACTTCAAAGGCATTCTTAGTTGAAATATTGTAATCCAACAAAGCAATTTTAACTTAGTGCCTCCTTTGTGTCAACGGGATGAGGGGAAGGAACTGCTGCAGTGGTGGAGAAAAGGGAAGGCTACTTCCTGTCAAACATGGTAGGCGCAAAGCGTTACCTAGTGAAAAAAATTCCAGATTGAATGAAATGCATGTCTATGTGCAGGTTTTGGTAATCATGGCTTTCTCTCCCGCCGTCTTCTCTATAATTGCCCCTACTTATGGTAAAAAATAATGGGTGTGCCGGGTTTGGCACCCACCGACTTTCAATAGCAGGTGTGCAACGAAGATTGCTACCACCATGCCCATCAACACCGATGATTCGGTTGACGTCTGACAGCAAGCTAAATTATTCAGTAATTTCACTGGATCTCACACCGATGCCAATTTTATTGTTGTTCGTAATCACAAAAGATGACTGATCCATGGCTGTGTAAATGATCCAAGTCTAAATGACGAGAAATGCAGGAAGCTTAATTGGCTTGCTGTTTTTTTATGTAACTAGTGTGGGGAAAGAGAGATGTTTCCAACTGTTTATTAAAGGGAACTAAACTGAAAAGTTTCCATTTTCCAGTACAAAATAGCAGTTTTCGCGGCAGAGGTTCGCTTCCGTCCTCCAGTACCGCATAAAATATACACGCTCCTGCTACAGGCTACCACAGTCTTTCCCACAACTATTAAAAATTAATTTGGATCACAAATTGCGGCACTTTTTTGGGGTGAGAAAGTTCATGAGGACTTGTGTTTCCCTCCATCCAAAAGATGGTATTATTGGTTGTCTATAACGGAGATTTGACTGGTAAACTTCACGGGTAATTTGTATCATGATTGAAAAGAAGACAAGGTGGTTCATTACAAATCCTGAATTTCTAGTCTTTTCTACAAAATAACACTCTGTTCTTAGCAATGCTTTTAATTTCTCATGCCACTTCTCTCCCTGGAAGAAGTAGCATGAGGTCTTTTGGATTTGATTTCGCAATTCATTTGAGGCAAGGTAACATATTAAGTCTCCCCTTAAACTTTACAAGTGAAAATCTAAATTCGAGAGCAATAAGCGTTGTACTGTTGCTACTCTTCAAAATTTCTCTCCTTTCACGACGTACTGTCGGGCGGTGGGGTTTCAAGGACTGTAGGTAGATGGAAAAATGCACAATGGACCTGCTAAAATGATTTTTACTGTGTTGTCGTCATTTCTGCTGATCCAGGGCGCCCTATTTATGCGTGAGGTGGTAATCAGACGACGGTGTCTATAAGTTTACCTCACTGATTGTACAGAGGAAGTCAATGACCGTGTCGCAGTGGCTTTTAATGTCGGCGTGATGGGGACACCCACTAATTTTATTTTGAGTGCTGCCAAAAATGGGTTTTTGTGAATAATTTTTTTCCATTCTTTTGACAATTAGAATACGCCGGCGGTTGGGTGTGCTTTGTGGTGAGCATAATCGTAATTGGCTTCCTCACGGCCATCATCGGTGATCTGGCCTCCGCCTTCGGATGCACTGTCGGTCTGACTGATGCCGTCACCTCCACCACCTTTGTCGCTTTGGGCACAAGTCTACCCGGTAAGTCTACCTGCTCCCTCTGCCTGAATGAAAGCTAGTCCTCTCAATTTTACAACATTACGTGCCTCCAGAATCTTCTGAGGCCCTTTAGCTCATGCAACTGGATTAGGTTCTGGAATTACCTGCAAATCTGCTGTGCTAAAAGACAACTTTGAAAGACAGCTTTTATGCCTAAACTCACTGCTGCACCATCAATTTCCTAGCATCTTTATTGATACCTGATATGACTTTTGGTGCCATAGTCTAACCTTTCTGTTCGGATGCCAAGTTGTCATCAGCTAAAAGTGTTCATAAATTAGGTTAATAGTAAGATCACTGCCTGTCAAGATTCTTCTTTATGCCAGACTTTGTAAAAGGAGTTGCGAGTTTGCAAGAGGGTATGTAAGTCCTGTTGTCTAGGCATCCATTTGACGGTTTCTTCCTGCTTTTTGCACGTACCATTAGTAACGGATCCATTTTGGCAGAATAAACGTAAGAAACTGTAGCGCCCTCTGCCATCGCTTCAATCGAGGTCATAATGGTGTTGCGAGAGATTTATCATCCATCAAAGGAGGGCTGCGAGGCATGGTCTTCTGACCATACAGTCCTTTTTCATACTAATGTTGAGCCATCCTCTCTTGGAAATTTGTTAATCATGATGCTCGGTTAAAATTCCTCACCTAAATGAGATCTTACAACGAGTCGAAAATTCACGCTGTAATTGCTGACTGTCAGTTTCAGGAAGCTAACTGTACCGGACAAAATGCCGCTTTATCATCTACTTTATGCGGAGACGATATCTCAATGTCGTGCTCACTTTCTCGTGACATTTGCAAACACTGTTTGTGTAAAAGGTCTTGGTAGGGGTAAATAAACAGAGAGCTGCTATTCCTTCAACATGAATTGGCAGAAAGCCTAGAGAGTAAACTAATGCCGAAGACTTATTGCTTCCCTATGTACGCGTAAATACCGTGATAGGTTTACTTGCGTGCAGGAGGGTAAACAGATCCTCATAAGTTCTTCCAGTTAAATTTACCCTCTTCCGGAGTCCTAGTTGCATTTAAAGAACTTCCTTTTGTTCAACTATAGCTTAATGTATCCGCTTACTACACTTGATTGAGAGGTACTTCTTTCTAATTTTGTGTAATCCATAATCCCGATTATAGTGCATAGCTCCAAAGTTCTAATGGGTAGAATCGGTACAGAAGCTTCGCAATCTATGATTGTCCGTTGATTTTGACTAGACACCTTTGCAAGCAAGGTGGCAGCTATTGGTGACAAGTACGCCGACTCCTCGATCTGCAATGTGACCGGCAGCAACGCGGTGAATGTGTTCCTGGGCATCGGCGTGGCCTGGACTATCGCGGCTATCGTCCATTGGGTGCGTGGCTCCACCTTCGTAGTGCCTGCCGGCTCTCTTGGTTTTTCCGTTACCATTTTCTGCATCTTCGCCCTCTTTGCAATTGCACTGCTTGTGCTGCGTCGTAAACCCTCTCTTGGCGGTGGAGAACTGGGTGGTCCTCGCGCCAGTATTAAGTGGGCCTCTGCCATCTTCTTTCTTCTCCTCTGGCTCATATATGTGCTGCTCTCGTCACTGGAGAACTACTGCTACATTGTGGGCTTCTGAGAGACCCCAACGCTCCTCCCTTTCTCCTCTCTCACTCCACTCCTCACTATTTATTTCCTCTGCGCATTGTGATTTCTAGATGATGATGTTGAGGTGTATTGTAGTTACTGGGACGTATTTCTCGCGCCCTCCTCTATCTTGCACCACCCGTGTTCACCCCTGTTGCTTCTCGCCCTCACTGCCCCTCCTACATCACCGGGACCTTGCTTCACAAAAGTGTGCGTATGTGCGTGTACACAATAACTGACTGACGGAATATCATGTCTTTTCCTATCAATTGACCCCCTTCGTGTTTGTGGCAGGCCAACGGAAGGGTGGAACCGGGGCTTCTTTAGTGCCTTTCCGTCTCAAATTAAAATAGTCACTTTATTGCAGAGGAGGCACAAATTAGCTTGAGGGGCAGTGAGATCCATATCTAGTGCCCACACTTTGTTCATTCAAAGAAATGGCATATTTGTAAAGGCTACAAATCTTTCAATAGTTTAAAGGATTGGCGGAAGGTGAATTGAACAAATGAGCAGGAAATGCTAGCCTGAATGAAACCTTAACATTTCTGGAAATATTATTCTGATAAATACAAGGAGCTCCACAAATTGAAGGGATACGGACTATTTACGGAGAGCGGAATTCCCAATCCGATCTAGCCATTGGCTAATGGGATTGCTGTCTGTTTGTTCTCTCGGTATTTTTACTTGATTTTTAAAGCTTCTGTAAAGCTTTCTGGTGTTCTATGAAGGTTTCCTGCTCAGGCATCTGCAGAACCGTATTGCAGAGGCACTAAGCATAATTCGCTAAAATTGGGATGCACTAGATGCTCCTGATACTTTAAAACATTGCAACCGTCAACTATTTGGCCCATAGGTGCCCGACTGTTGATGTAAGTCACTAAAGCCGAGCAAGAAAGTCAAAACATCACCTGCGTATGTAGTCGAATTTAAAATGAATCATTTCAAACAGTTACCAAGATAAGCGAAGATTAGTTTGAACTCTATAATAGATATGAAAGAAGGTAGAAGCCACAAACTATCTAAATTGAGGAGACATACCAACTACCCTTAATCACAGCTATTTCAAAGAAATGGAATGGAGAAAAGCTTCATTATAGATAAAGATAAGAGTTATGTTGGGTCCAGCTGAATAGAATCCCATTAAAGGGGCCTCAAGATGGAGAAGTATAAATAAGGTCCCTTACTACCAAATGGTCAAGAAATGACCACTTTTGTAGGCAATTAAAAGTTATTTTTTGGTTAGGTAGCACAGAGTAGTAACTTTCCAGTCGGTTGGTACTCGTCTTAGCGAGCCTCTACCACGCTGTCATTATGTAAATTAACCGTCTTCATTGCAAAACTTGATAAAACGTTAATTTCTCAGCCCCACCAACACCCATTTGGGGGACACTATTGGCCAGGCTTTCCCCATGAGAATAGATCATTTTTTTTGCCACGCCTATTTAGCTTTCGGCCATTACCTCGAGGTAATAAGGTCATTGCTTTCTCTGGGGGTCCAGTGCAAAACCACACCTATTACACAGCAAAATGGACCAATTTTTTCAACAAAAACAAAAAAACTTTGTTGTATTTGGAGTGACAGACTCCCCACAAGAATTTATAGCAAATGCAACGGGCAAGAAAAACGCTGAGCAAAAATGGGCGAAATGGGAACAATGCACATTTGAAGATCACCCAAACCCATTCATTTTAATATAAGGAAAGTCATTTAATCGGTATCTAGAAAGGCCAAGCTAACAATGAATGACCTAGGTACGTGGCACGGTTCCCACTTTTCGATATGGGCATCGTATTATTTCCAGCACTTTTCAATGACACATTCCAATTGTTAATCCCATCACTCTTACATAAAAATATGGACACAAAACAACCTTTTGTAACTTCTGAGACTCAGGAAGTGAATAAAATTTTTGGGGTTTTGTTAACCCCATACAATTTCCCCTGCTTTCAACCTGTTACTTCCATGAGATTTAACCTGTTGAGTACATTTTCCTGTTCTGCGATAAGATCTTCCGTAAAACTAAGAGAAATCCACAAAGCTGATGGGGTTGGGTACATCAACTCAACACTTGAAACCATTTGCATCAATGACACCGAGGAACACCAATGAATTTAGTCGCCACACAGAGTTAAGGTCATTTCTGACCAAGTAAAACAACCTGCATTTTATCCCATTTGGAAAGTTCGTGAAAAATTACTTAGTATGCTATAAGGGTGGTATGTAGTTCCTTTTTATATGCTTATAGTCACAGCTATATTAAAGTACACCTAACAAAAGAACGAATAATAGAGTAGGCTGTGAAACAATGTTAAAATTTTATAGATACTTTACCTCTTTTGCTTCCTAACGTGAATGATATATTGTAATACGCGGTTGCAAAATGTAAAAGAGGGCTGCGAAACTATTAGCAGGGGCAGAAAGCTGTCGTAAAGTGGTGTTACAGGCCACATGGTTTAATATACATCCAACCAAATAGCAGCTTGTTTTACTGCGCCACAATATGCAACCAAATTTACCATTTCCACTTCTCATTACCTTTTGTAGGTGGTTTTGTATGTTTAGGGGCATTACCGCACTTTAAATTTTTACTGCCGATCTTCATATTCCCATTTCTTTAAATTCTGACCAATCGACAATTCGACTTGTAATACGATAGTGGTTTATCCCTCGGTTCTAGTGAGGCGCCACTTTTGTACTTCGAATTAGCCCCCTTGTACCCCGCTGGGTGGGCTGGCCTTTTGGGCCATGCCAATAGCCCAGACACCTTCTCCGTGCTGAATATATATATTCTGCCCGAGTATTTTGTCTTCTTTCGTCTTCAGGGAGTCTCGGGACGCTACAGACTACTCACCGTCGCAGCAAGTCTAGTTTCTCATTAACTTAAAGTCGTGAAAATATTGAATTGTTCAATTCTTAATAATTTGCGTTGCAAATGTCCTTTACTACCATTGGAAAAAATCGTATGCTGCTTTGAATGCTGCCTACTTAAGGACACATCATCTGTATTCATAAAAATTGAGCATTTTGTGCTATTAAGATTGCAGCACCACCTGCTTATAGTCAATTTAGCGGTCTGTAGATTAAAGCCAACCTTTAAAAAGCTTGTTGAGATTTTTTATCAACCATTCCTTTGATGCATATTACGAGATGTGGTTCTGGAAGTTAACCAAGGAAGAACTTTGCATGGAGATCACCGGGGATCCGCATAGATCGAGCATCTCATCCTCGCGAAAATGGTTTTTATTGTGTAACTCGTGGAATGACCCAACATGTACTTAAAGGATCTAAAATTACCAACAAGTGCTTGATAAATTATTTGTTGTGTCTACAGTCAGCTTTAAAAAATGAATGAATAGTGCTCTGAAAATTATGTGATGTTTTATCAACGCTCTGAAAGCAAATGCCTTTGACCTGTATGTCATGCCAGTTACCCTCTGAAAATTAGATTGCTCAGTCTCGCTGTACTCACTTTGTCAATACCACATCAGCTTAATGGTTATAAAAGTTACGAAGTTAATAACATTCATCCCTTCCGTCCAATGTGCCAAAGTAAATGGTGGTATGTACACTACTTATCAAATATTATAAGTAGCACCACAGAGGCAATTACAGTAAATTACACTTTGTAATCGACTCTAGATTACAAAGTCAGCTTTGGTGATTAGTGGGCTTTGAATGTTTATCAGTTAAAGTTAATCAAATTAACTGTTAATTTGTAATGTATTCAGCCATTCATGGGTTGTACTAAAACAAACACTGAATGGGGGACGGACACTTTCTTGTCTCTGAATATTTTCTTGAGTCCAAATTGGCTTTCTCAAACGCACCCAAATTTTCTGTGTTAACAAATGACATTGATAAGTCCAACAACATCTGATCAACTGTTGTATCGCAGAACTGCTTACTAGTAGTAGCTTGAAACGAATGAACATAGAGAACGCCTTCCCGCCCTCATAGGGTCCGAAACGAACATATATCTTTTCCCTAGATTCCTGATATCAAGGGCGTTATGATACCAGTTATTTTGTAAATATCTTCGGGAGGTACAAATATAAGACCTTAATAGTTTGTTTAACTCTTGGTCTTGGTAGTGGGCCACTTGGGACCTCCATCATTATACCTCCCCTTGGGGGTGGGGAGCTTTTTCTTCGAGCCACAGCAGTAGCCCCAAACCCTTCTGTACTTCAGCTGCACATATTCTGCCCGAGTTCTACGTCTTCCTTCGTCTTCAGAGAGCTCTCAGGGCGCTATACAAATAACCACGCGATACGGAAAATCAGTCACTTGGTGAGTTAGTTTCTACTTTACCTATGTCAAATGGTAAAAAAATGATTGCCATTTTATTTAATCACTCAATATCTCAGTATGAATGCGAGTTCTTCTGTTCCTGATCACACATTGCATTGGACAAACATTTGCCTTACATAAGTGCACATTTCAGTAAACACAAACAGACAACAAAGAGAGCGCAATACCGGGTAGAGCCGGATAGTCAGGCAGTGGACATGGTGGGCTGGGAGAATGTGGAGAGCGGTTTTCGGTGAATGAGACTGCGGAGGCTCTCGATTTCGTTCTCTTGCAATTGCACCTCCGCGGTTGTTTCCGCCAGCTCAAAATGGGGGACACAAAACCGGTAAGTAGATTATACAAGAAGGCTGAAGTGAATTCGTATAATAAAGAAGTCAGTAGGCAAATAGACATCTCAAAACTCTGAAGTTACGACCCAGTAAAGGTGGACAATAGAACTAAACCACACTTTCACACAGGATTAAAGCGTTATTTTTGATTCAAACAGCCTTGCCGTTGGCAGTGATGAAGCAAAGACTAAAAGTCAGAATAACTATCAAAACTAAATAGGCCTGAATAAAGTAACAGCGGTGTTATGGAGACCCAGTGCTGTGCCGACATACACTGACGGCGAAGTCAATCGACTGCAAAGGATAGCTTCTGGAACTAACCGACAGGATGATAAGAAAATCGCAAATAAATAACCAAAATCTTCAAGCTGAGAAGAAAATCTAGCCATTCTGCTAGGAGGCCAAGGGTCGCCCAGAACAACTAGTAAAACCACCCGAACTGGAGTTGAATACGCCCAACTTGTTACTCGTCGGTCTGAAAGCTTTGCTTCAACTGGACTCCTTCTTGACAGTTACAAAGAATTATTTAATTAGTCTAAAGGGAAAGAGCAAAAACGCATTTTTTAATCTAATCACCCTTTATCCGTACGTCTTCTAGGAGCCCTCGATGGTGGAAGCGGTAAACAAGCTTCTGTCACCACGATGACAAAACTGTACTCCCGATGGCTTTAGGAACCAAATTTGATGGATGGTGTTGGATCTTGTTCGAGTGGTAATGAAGCAAACATTTAAAGAGAATGAAGTACTGCCTATTCAACGGTCAAATAGTTGACGAAACGGAGTGTAAAAGTGAGGGATGCCAAATGCCGCCTTGTCTCGTTGTTCAAATGTCTCCCCCAATCCTTCTCTCCTCAGACGTATTCACTGGTAAAAGTGATTGAGAAATTTGGTACGGCCTCCAAAATAACTTGCTATAAATTAAACGCGCTTGTAAAATTCATACAAAATTTTGCATGTCCTTTAAAGCAGTCCGTCGACACAGCCTCCTTTGGTGTGCTCTCTACCAGTGTCCCTTTATCGTAACTCCTTGGATCACAAAATTTTGGACAAATGCGGTGTATTTTGAGCTTGTCTACCCCCCAAAACGTCAAAAACTTCAAACGATTCGCGTGGAAGCATAATGCACCACCCAGAAGGGGTCAGAAAAATGCGATCCTCGTGATGCACGAGGATGCTGCATCAATTTCAACCGATCAGAAATAGTTTGGGGGTAACTTGTCAAAAACAAGTTTTGGTCACGTGCAGGTGATTGTAGACAGATCTTTTTAGGTCACCACAAACCATGAAAGAAGTCATGTAAGCTAAGGGAGTGGGGTGCCATATGCACTGTAAGATGGTAACAAGGCTTAGAGATAATTGTTTTACTTTATTTGCCGAATTGTGATAGGAAATGGCTTTTGTGCTTTCGTACTTCAAAGTTCATTAAGCAAGCACAGGACTATGCTTTCGTTGAGCACTTGTGGCGGACTACACACGGAATTGCTCGCCTGTTGGAGGTTAAACAGCAATTACGGCTGAGATTTACCTACTCCAATTGTTCAAAAAAACTTTTTCATAAAGTGATAAAAAGTCGCATTCCTAAAAGGCAGCACAAGATCTCACACTTCAGGACGCTGTAAAACCCCACTATCAGGATGAGATAGGAGGTGTTACTGCTTCACCTCAAACCCATTCTCCGTACGCCTCCGATGATGATTCTCCGAGCTCCAAAGTGATTGTCACCTCTTCTTGGCATTAATATTAGGCAATCACGTGAGCATGGGGTAAACAGAAGAGACGGTTGAGAAAGAAAAGTGGTACAGAAACAGAGGTGAATAGAGCTAGTTGTTGCTTTTATTTCTAGAGACAAAATTTATTTTCTTAGAGTGGGTTTCAGAGTACACTTGGCTCTTTCCATAAAGTCTAGGTTTTTGATTCTTGCCGTGCAAAGCCGAGGGTCGGTGACCTATCCAACTCTAGTTCACTGCACTCGCCCTGAATTTGAGGTTTTTAAAACCTGATAAATCTACAAAGAAAACCTACTGTCTAAAGTTTTCGTTTTCGAGGCACAGAACACATAAAGTTCCAAATGGTCCTGCTTCCCACTAACTTTTAGAGTTTGTACATGCGTCCGCGCCAGGCATTCTTCTATGGTTCATTTGGAAGGTGCCTCTAGAGAGTTTTAACTTTCTCAGGCCAGTTTTTTGTCCACCCATCGAAAGAAACGACATTTAAAAACTCCTAGTAATATTTAAACGCCATTTTTGAAGCACTTTTTGGCTAAAAAACGTAATCACGTTGAAAGGCTGCTTCAAAACCGGAAAACCAGTCCATCTGTCATGCATTTTTTTTCAGTGACACTTCAAAACTCTCCGTCGCAAATTCCAGATGCAGTTTGGAGGACATGCGTGAGAATCCCTATGAGGTATGAAAGATCTGAAGAACCGAGCAAATAAAAAAGGGCGCCTTCGGTGAAATCTTGACACCATTTTAAGAATCGTTTAGCTGAACAAAGTAAATAGGAAATAGGTGCGTTGCACATTCATTTTGCCCATAAATTTGCCCTTGCCAAGATAAAAGATGACAACTTTGAAGGTATTGAATACGCATCACGCGTCGTTGATAGGACCCATTCAAAGAATCAACTCGACGCCATAAATTCAATCCAGGTTAAGCAAAAAATTGAGTGTGCTTGACTTACCATATCGAGAAGAATATCCACCTTGATTTTAAGGAGGTTGTTCTCCTCGTAGAGTTTGCGATTCTCGTTTTTCAGCTGACCTGTCTCCTTCCCCGCAGACCCATCACCGCTATCACCATGACCGTCCTCTAGAACATTTTTATCACAACATAATAGTAATTAGGAAATATAAAAGGTGGATAATTTTATTGAAGCCCTTATAAAGGCTGTCTTCCAAAGAATCACTCTTGAGTGAGTTGGTAACTTTTCTCAGTGAGGTTGTATGGCTTTAAAAGACGTTATTTTATTTGGGGTTCCGACTTTTGGAAGTAAGCGCGCTATAGACAACTGTAAATGGCATTCTGAGACAAAATCCAACTGAAATAATTTACCACTGAATGAGGAATTCTCCAGCCAATATCAAATCTTTCACTCTCTCCAGTACCAATGAGGACCTTCTAGCTTCTTTCAGCTGGTGTCCAACATATATTAGAAGTGAAAAGAAATACTAGAAGTATCTAGGGGAAGTCGTCCGACCACTACAAAGATTTGGACGCCAAGTCGCAACCTGAATGGGTAGTTGGACACACTTTAAGTGAATACTACCATACTACTGAGAACGGAGAAGTGGAAAGGAACTATTTATTAGGATGTAAAACCAGGATTTAGTTGTCACGTAATCATTTTCCCCTCATTAGCTTTACATCTAATAAGGTGATTAAAACTAACTGTATTAGGAATAGAATGCACATGAATCCTCTTTATCTTCGATGTCTATTCAGTATTAGAACAAAGAGATAGATTTCGGACGTGACCCTGACTCCCCAAAACTCCCAGGTCTAGAAGCTAAGTCGTATTAGACATCAGAGGGACTTGGAATTCGACACATTTGACAATTACCGACCAAATCAACCGATTTAGACGAGCCGATCCCGATCAGTAGTAGTGAAAGAACTCACCTACTCGCCAACGGCCGTTTTTGAAGATGAGATTTCGACCACTCAGCCGGGCTTTGACAACACCGTAGTCAAGACCGAACTCATTGCTGCGAGTGCTGGCGTCCAGTTGACTCAGATTGGTCATGCTGGAGGCCTTGCGTGATGGCATCCTGGGCAGACTGAACTTTTTGCTGAAGATGGGCATTGCGACAGACAAGCTACAAGACAAATGGACATCTCGTTTCCACCTTTTTTTCTATTTCATACGGGGTGGGTCATGGCAACCAGTGCGGTTGCCTTACGCGATGCTCAGCAAGGATAAAATGGACGCGGGGATGCGTGATGCGGATAAATCAACAAAAATTTCCCTGTGGTGAACAGAGAGGCAGCCTTGTGCATCTAGTAGACAGGGAATGATGGTGAAGTGCTGTTTACCAGCAGGAACTTGCATCCGTAGAAACAGTGTGACTGGGGCGGAGATGCCCTCAATAGCGGCAGTTCCCTATGCCTCCATCCCAAAACTTTAGGTGATAAGGAGAATTCCCCGAACTCATCAGTCAGGTAGTCCTCGCTCAGCCTTGGTGAGACACTCGTACCTTAGAGCCTATAGTCCAGAAGGCGATTTTTTGGGACAGATTTCGTCCAATCGTCAGAAGGACGGTGGAACTGTCCGAACCACCCCTTCAGTGTAACTTCAGATGACAACAACTTCAGCGCGCACCGGAATACCAAGTGAAATCGACAGCGCCATGTCAAAATCCGTCAAACGTGACAGAGAATTGGACGATGGCGCTTCTGACTAAGCAACATAGTTTACATCCAGGGCTACGAGCGGTGCAGACTATCCTCACGATCCTGTTGACAATTTAAGTTACAACCAGGATTGTTTGAAAACTTTTAACTACTTTAACACTATGCACTGATTTGAATAGCGAGCGCTTGAACAACCGGAGATGACAATGTATGTTCCGAAACCTTGAATTCAGTGTAAAATAATCCTTCCCTCAATTGCAAATCATCTACTAATAAAAAAAACTCGTCTATCCGCAAAAAAGGCATCGAAACAGAACATGCCCACCTAGCGACAGTGTCAAACACGGAGAGGAGTGAGGGTCGGGAGAGAGGAAGGAAGGGAAGAGGGATAATGGTAAAGTGCCAAGTGAGAAGCCCTTCAAACCAACAAATTCACGGTGCGTGTATGTGTGCAGGGGAGAATGAGCAAGAACACGAGCATTTTCTGGTTGAATCAGTAAAGCAATTTTCTGTATTGAAATTTACACAAACGATCCATAGAACACAAAGAAAAGGGAGGAAAGAGAAAAACAACACTGCTATAGGACAGCTAACGCAGGAGACCCTCGTGTTGAAGCAGACGCAATTGGTCGCCAATTTGGGTGTAGAGCGCCTTCGCTAGGAGGATCGCCAGAAGCTGAAACGAGAAAATGCCACAACGATTTACTACTCAGCCCAACTGACCGCGGGCTTCACATTTAGGCTTTCAAGGGTGATGGTAAGTGCGCGGCAATGAGTGACGCGGAAGTCGTGTTGCAGGTTCGGTGGAAAAAAAATAGAATCGGAAGAGTCTAATAGGCGAGCCCGGTGTTGTTCATTACCAGGCGCTTGGTTGTAGAGGTACTCATTCAAGTCTTCGAAAAAAAAACCTAAACTGCACTTCTAAATTTATCAACCCCGAGCTACCTCTGCATATCAAATGAATATAGACCACAGAAGATGCCAATTCTTAAAGAAATACTCATGAAGGTACTAATATACTCGGTTCCATTTCCAGAAAATAAATTATCTTATTCTTTGTGGATAGAATTGATAAAGCAAAAGATAATCACTATCACACTACCACAGTTGAATAAAGAAGCAAAAATCACTGAATCTGAAGGAAATGCGCATGGGGTGGGGAAAGCTAGCGGTCGAAATTGATTGTGCAATGCTTGAATTGTTTGTTTAATCCTCAGTTTTGGTAACAGGCCACCGGGGGGCACCGCCATTGTACCGCCGCCAGTACAATGCAAGTAGTCCCCAAGCCCTACTCTAGGTAGACAATAATATTCTGTCCGAGTTTTATGTCGCCGTGCATCTCTTCAAGGAAGTCCGGGAGCGCTGCGTTAGTGACAGCGAAAAGTGAATCCGATCCTAAAGAACAAGTTCCCTGCTCTTCATTCATGAATGCTAAACCTTGACGTGACGGAAGAAGGGCGGATACTGCGGATGGGAGAATATGTGAAGACTTCCAGCAGAGGGCCTGAATGTGACTACCTTCGGTAAGTACCCCATTCCTGTTTTTTTGCATGAGAGCCATTGCCAACTGAAGCGGCGCTAGCCATAGCCGTAAATCATCTGAAAGAGTTCGTTACGAAGCTTCTTACTGTATCTGTTTGAAGACGTCAATAAAGCGAACAAGTGACATCTCCTCCTCTTCACTAGCTGGTTAGAATCCAAATAGGTTTGGCAGGGGAGCACAGAAGTGAAAACGAAGCGACAAAGAGGAATGGAGGCGAAACCCTACTCTCATGCTAAACTCCGTCCTTTGTTGTTTGACGCCGCTTTTTTAGACCAGTGTCCCTACGACTAGCGATGGGGATGCGTGATGATACGCACATTCCCTCGTCCCCCCAGAATAGTTCCAAAACAAAACAAAACTCCAGATCCAGTGAAATTGCCAAGAGGAATCAGTGACATCGCGCCGAGGACGACGCTCGAAAGAGGCGAGGGGCTATGAAATACGCTGGTTGTTTTTTTAACTCTCGGTTTTGTTAACAGGTCACTTAGGGCTCCGTCACTGTACCCTTGCTCGGTGGCCTAGCCTCTGGGCCGTGCCAGTAGTCCAAATCCGTTCTCCATGTCAACAATACATATTTCATCCGAGTAATGACCACTTTTGCCTTCCGGGAAGCCTCGGGGCACTACAATTGCATATGCTGGCGTGACAGCCTTAAAAAATAACTATAAACTGTAAAAAATTGCTAGACCAACTCTTGGGAACACTTTAAGTAAAACACAATCGAGGTACACAAATCCCTTTTGAGCTATCAAACGCGAAACCCAGCACAGGTATTATGGAAATTAGGGAGTGAAAGGATGAATGAGGGAAAGAGCATCACAACGCAAATTGGACTTTCGCGATTTTGAACGACCAATCAGCGAAGAAAACATAAATCCTAGGGAATGAAAGCAACATTAAAATATCTCGGAAATTTATTAATTACAATGCCAGGCTGGAATTCGGGGCATATTCTAGAGGCATCTAATAATGACTTAAATAATTAAATACAAATACAATGAATGGATAAAGGTAAACTTTGCACTACACTTCGATCCCGGTAATAAATGAAATAGGCCATCTCCGATAAAATAGTAAGCAATAAACCTATCGCAAATATTACAAAGACGCCTATTGAATGTCTGTAAGATAGGTAAACAATGTTTAAATACCTCCTCAATTTTCAGCGTCAGCCATCGTCATAGTGACTAAATATTCGCGACACTTTTTGAATAAAAGGGGGAGGGAAAGGGAACCGAGAGGTGACTTGCCTGAAGAACGGCGATGCCAGAGACGGCACAGGAGACGGGAACGACATTTGCTTCGAGGAGGGAGGCAAGAGCCTGCACGCACCCCACCGTCCACACTAGCGGTGCCGCCTGCGGTGGGGACAGATTCTGCACTCCATTTCCGCACGACGTGTTTATCACATTCTCCTACAAACGCACATATACACACCACATACACAGCCAGTTGGAGTGGTTGATGCAGATCTTTGGCTGGTTGAGGATCTGCAATCCAACGGAAGCGGGATTCGTCCACTAAACCTCAAGCATCTGCATGGTCAGCTAAAGCAACCACCGCAATTGTCTGCCAGGATATCTCTAATCCAGCCGACTTCAGGCATACTCTTATGTGGAACTACGGAAGTTACCGAACTGTGGCGTTAGTTGGCCGCATGGAGTTGTGTCATCCACACAGAGGTGTAAGTAGTTGGTTCAGAATTCTTAATTTAACCGACTTGTCCGCAATACTTATACCTAGAGGTATGGAAGGATTGACCGATTGTGTTGCTTTATCGCTAGAAGGTTTAAAAAGAAGTACATAGACCTGCAATTGGGTAAAAAGACTAAGGGCAAAAAACAGAGTATTTTATCAGTTAAAATTCTGAAGATCTTGCGCACTGGTTTGTCAGTTTTTTCCATCGTCCAAATGTGGTGGAAGCTCTAATGGTTTAAAACCATGTCGCTGGAGCGCCAGAAAATTAACAGTTTTATCATATATCTAGATCCAGCATATTTATGTAAAAAACACAAAGCGCAGCCATCCATAAACACTTTACCTGCAACGCGTTATTTATTGCTATTCCACTAACAAACAAGGTTGACGAGGACCCTTTAACATATCTATTAGCTTGGAAGTATCCAAATTTAAGGATATGGCGGAAGCCTGACTATGCGGCCCCTTTGCTAGCACTGACGTGTCTGTATGCTTCCAAGATTTCGCGAATTAACTTGAGAAAAGAACCATCTAATAAAGAAAAAAAGCTAAATAATTCAACAAGTAATGCAAATGCGGAACCATGAAAGGTCAAAATAAGTGACAACGTAACCGGGATGTTTAACCAACTACGGTTTTGGAAAATTTTAAGCCAGCTAACGACGTATCGTACAGTAAAGATGACATCAACTCCCTATAGTACAGTGTTTTCTACGGAGCAGATAGCTGCAGCGAAGCAGGGTACACTTTAAGATCAAACAAGTTATCATTTTGATTTCAATAGACAGACATTTTGTGATAATAATGCGTGATTACTTTGATGACTCAAGGCTCTTTTAACCGAACTATGGTAGGGCAAGCAGAAGCGGCAAAAATTTTCCCACGATTTAAATGCTATTTATACGCTAACTGTAGCTTCCTAATTCAATCAACGATCAAGGGAATATTTGCCAGGAGAGATTAAGTACCTACATTAATGTTGTTCATTCGTTTGCAGCAGGAATAGGGCACACCACAGGCCTGAGAACTGATGTTTGTGGAATTGCACGAGAAGTACCGATTTTCCGTCCAATCATTGTAGCTTTTCGCACCGCAGCATTGAAGCTGAAGCGAATTGAATTAAATAAAAGCTGATTAGTTTAAATTCGAGTAACTAAGTACTCAAGCAAGGATCAGAAAATTACGCAAATGTTTGGAAGGCAAGTCAAGAACAAAATCCAAGCAAAGCTGGCAATAAGTTTCGGAAAGACTGGCAAAATGGCTAACCTATAGAAAATGGAAACACAAAATATGAACATCATCGAAGAAATGGTTAGACGTTTCCTAGTAAAAATCACCTCAATCTGAATGAAATCCACGAAATTAGTCGAATCCTCGAATCCAATTTCACGGTACTGAGAAATGAACGTTTTCTTTACCACTTCCTCAATGCGACTTATCGCTGACTCGCGATACACAAAGAAGAACACTCCAACAATCGTTTCACAAACAAACAGTAGAGCCAGTGAAATGTAATACTAAAATGATCGTTTAAAATCCTTCAATTTACAAATTTGAGGAGACATTGATTTTCCCGCAGAGACCCGATAAATCCGGTAAATGCAACACAAGTCGTGATAAAACCAACGCCAAACACAAGCACTGTTAGATTAAATATCCATTGTAAGAGACTGATGCCAGATTTCCTATTTATAATACCTGATTCAGCGAATGCTATTACACCGAGTATAAAAAGCAAACACCCGGCCATCTATGAAGTCAGTTACACATGTATAACCTTACCATGAAATAGAAATTTGTAACGCATAACAAGTATTTTATCCATCGGTTTACATAATTGAATTTACCAGACGACCTGTGACGATATGGTTTTTTGGCCATTATGAACAACCAATCAAGAAAACAAACAAACTTTTTGACCTTGGGAATGGACAATTTGTCAACTTAAATAAGCGAAACGAATGGGACTAGAATGACTTCTTGGGGGCCAATTTTCAGTTTATTTAAAATCTCATAGCTGCCGCTTTGAAATCTACCTCAAGCAAATCATAACAAATTAGTTTGTCGAAGTCCGGATTAGTCTAAACTAATCACATCATGTAAAATAGGATATTTTTGCTTGTATACGATTACACTCGTAGTGGCGTTGCTGGTATGTTTCGAGGCCATCACACACGGCAATGGCGCAGTGGCAGAGACCAAAATAGCCCCTTCACCGAAACCGACATGTAGACAAACCATTAACATATTAGATATCTTCTAGTAGACGTCGAATGATTGCACAAAAATGAAATGGATGCAAACATTCCATCTTCCAGGTATGGCCTGAGGCGTCCAAGTCCTCCCCAAGGCGGTTAATAGATCGTAGTGTTCCAAACGAAACTTCGTTGTAAACCCTCTTAACAGAGGCGACATAGACCGAACGCAATACCACAAAGACGACGTCCGAAAGCTCGAGAACTGAACAGTGTACACGGATCACGGCTAGAACGAAATTGGTCTATCCTCCGAATCTCCTTGAGCTTTCTTCGTACTCAGCCTTCCACGTGGGCACCACAAGCTAGCCAGAGGTCCGGCATCCAGTGACACGCGTAGACTGGGGGACTCACTAGTTTTGTGCCGCTTAACAAATTCCGTACCTCTAAGGCGCAAATCACTATCCCCGTGAATGTTGCGTGGAAGCAAGATCATTTTTGAAAAGCCTAGGATAAAATGCAACCGCAGTGCGCCGCAAAAAATCTACATTTGCATTTAAGTATGCGGCGAAAATTTTTAACATATGCGCGACCAACTAACCACATTAACATCGCGAATTAAATAAAGACTTCCAAAATAAACCATCACTAACGACCGAAGCCTAGCTCCGCAAATGCACCGAGTACGGAACAACGGGAGGAGCATCGTTCCAAATAAGCTGGCGTAAGAAGTATGATCGAGTGGAGCTTATGGAACACTATAGTAACGTGTTAGTTTGACATGAACTATCAGAAAAACTCACTTAACTACTCTTTAAAGGCTAGCCAACGAGTGAAACGACCGAGCATGACTTATGGTAATACGCCATAAAGGCGTTATCAGGAAAACGAGACATCTGTCAAACAATTTATTAAGAACCAGTGCGCTTCAGTTGAATCCAAGCAAACAAGACAAAACAGATATATACATACCTACATGTACAGCAAAAGGATTCAGAAGGCCAATTTCTTCATCATCAGGTAAAGATGCTTCCCAACACGGAATCCTTGGAGGTTACTGGCATCTCCTGTGAGTTGCATTAACAGACCCCCAAAGGAGACATAGCAAGCCAGTCTATTAGTGTCGTCAGAACCATCCTGACCTTCAATACGATAAATTTTCCCATAGCACACGTAGTCAAACTCTGCCATTTTGCTATTATCCAACCGACCGTCCAGCTCCTCTGCGGCATCTTCATCATCGTCGTCGTCGTCCGCGACGTTACTTACATCATTTAGCAGAGATTTCGTCAAAACTAAACGAAATTTCTCTCCCTTGTTAAGAGGATATATCTGGGAGTGTATGTCGAGAATCAAACCCATCTTAAAGGACTCGCTTTCTCCAAAAATGCGCGAGACTTTGTCAAACTTCTTTCCATCTTTATCAACGTCTTTGACATCAAAAATGTCCTCTAGCAACGCAGTCATACCTTGAAGGATGCAAGCCCAAACCAGAGCAGTCGCAGAACTCAAAACAAGCAGCTGCAATTCACTATGTCAAAACAAGTGCACTTGCAACTGCAATTATGTACGCTTTTGAAAAACGAAATTGTTATACTTAAGCAACAACGTTTAAGTGTCAAATTTCAAAAAAATTTAAAAGGTCTTTACTACAGCATTTGGAGATTCCGGCTGGTAAATACCTTTGTAGTAGGTTGATTGTTAGTTTGAATCTCGGTTTTAGTTAAAAGTGTCTTTGTACCTTAGAGGTTATTCTTACTAGACAAACCAGCCTTTTAGACTACGCAAGTAGCTAACTCCCTCTGTACGTCGAACGCCCATATTCTGCCCGAATTTTAACTCATTTCGTCTTCAGTGAAGTTTCGGGACGAAGGGTTGATGGCAGCAAAAAGCAAACACAATCTTAACGGATGAAGTGCTTAATTTTGGCTACTCAGTGCCAAACCTCAGTGGAGTAGAAGAAGCGTATATGCTGCGAATGGGAGAATCAATGCCGAACCAAAATAGAAGGGCCGTAAATGACCTCTGCTTACTGCACTCGCATAAAGAAATTGATAATGCGAATACGTAACAAATCATTCACCTCTCTGCTCAGTCTGGAGTGAGTGTGAGATGGTAAAGAGGAATAAATATGAAATTTTTACGCCCATGGAGCTGTACTGAATCTCTTCTTTCCTTGTATGAATCCACTTCTAGGCCAATGTTTCCGCGTATAGTTAAGGGCACGCGTAATAGTCGGCACATTTCCCAGTTCCCGAATCTATTTTAAATATATGCCGAACTTTCAGACCTAGTATAGTTTTTAAAAGAAATCGGTGGCATTAGGGTTGTCTAAGCCCTCGGGGTGCATAGAAATTTGGTGACGGGAGAGGTTGACTCGTAGTTTTTTTATCGCAGCACTGATTACTTTGTGATGGCTGACACAAAGGTCAACCAAATAGAGCGATGAGAGCTCTTAAAAAGTCAGGGGCTAGATAACCCATTGATAGTTTGCGCCTCGTGCCTTGGATTGTACTCGAATAGTGAGTTGGCCTCTGGGCCATGCCAGCAGTACAATCCCCTCTGTATGTCTAGTACATGCATTCCTTCCGATCATCATGTCCTCCTTCCCCTTCAGAGTAGGCTTGGGAAGCTACAGCCCTGGTTTTGTTTCGTTACGATTATTCTTTGATGGATTTTGAATGTGTAAGGAAACGTTTGCCACAAAATGTATTCTGATGCAAAAATTATTCATTTAGACGAATTTGCTCTGGTTTTTCTATTGCTTATGCTGCCTAGTACTAAAATTGCTTTCTGGGCTATTTTAAGGCATTTTGAAGACAACGGAAGGCATAATGCTCTGACTTGGACCCATCGGCATGGTCCAGAGGCCTGCCCACCTGACGAAGATACTATGGCCAATACACGAAGTTGCTTTTTACGGCGACCGAGAATTGGGCGACCAATACATTATAAAATCGCAATGAAGTGATTGTTATGGCAAACAATGTTTGGCTAAGCCTTTTTGGAAAAGGGATTTTTTGTCGAATTGCGATATTCAACCGTTTTCACCACCTAAACACTATTTACGCACTTGTATATCACTTGTATAAGCTGTCATTTATATCAATTACCAGCGACAGTAGTTTCATAATGACGAGGAATCATAGCATAGATATAAGTCTGTCGGGTATCAATGGTTATGTTTAATTATACCAGTTTTTTCAAGGTTTCGCATATACTGTTGATGCGCGTTCTATAATCAAATGTAAGGAAATGTATCTGCCTGGAATTCTATTACAAATTATTCCAATACCTAGCTTAGTAAATAGCAGTCACGCTTATTTAACAATCATTTGCTTTAAGGAAAAGGATGACTACTATGATTGATAATCGGGAGACTTTACTAAATATAGTCACGAGCGTGTATATTTATTCTGAGATTATTTACCAAGCTGATATATAGTAGGTAATATTTTCTGGCGAAGAGCAGATTTTTCCATATTTAGTAGGCAACAACGTTCTCCCCTATGTTTGCAGTTAACCTGTATAGTAATGTGACCGAATAATTTGCACAGTTTTGTACAATTAAATAACCACAATAAGCACCTCTATCAGCTGTTTTTAGAATAAGCGCAGTTCAAGCATGCAGTTTTACTTTTAATTTAACCTTTTTTTTCTACGTATCTGACCTTAAGTACCAACAGACTAGGTATAGTCCCCCATGTTTATGTCTTGCTATTCCTTGTTTTGTTTGCTAAATAAATAATTGTTTGGTTTCAAAAGATGATTGTTATCATTGATAGAAGGAGATATTATCAGGAAGGCAGGTGGGTATTGATGTGATAGCATCTTCATCTTCGCAACTAGAACACAAATCTCACCAGTAAGTTCTGAAATAGAAGATTTTATTTTTCTTCATTAATATGTATAAGATTTGCTTTTGGTTAATTTATTGGTTTTGTACGTTGCTGGTAAAGAACGTCTTCCTGCCCACTTTCGAATTAGGTTTTATTTAGGATTTAGCGTATTTAGCGTGTACGACTGCAGTACATTACACTATTGATTCTTTATAGTCTCTCAGGGGTAAGGTGACTTCTCAGAAACAAGCATATGTCATTATGAGTAGATTGCTGATAAATAACTAGCGATGTCTTCATTGCTTAATATTATTGCAGGCCAGTAAATCAGCAAATGGCTCAAAGATGTTGACTACACTATCTTTAATGCGTAATTGCTTAAGGCATAAAATAAACTAAATGTGTTGCAAACTAATCACTCTTGATTACTGAACATGCTTAACATATATCCCCTTGTCTTGCATGTGTTCACCTCTTTATTTTTTTGCAAGTGATTTTCCACCATCATTCACGTAAAGTAATACCAAAGCCTTTCCTCTGTATAGTAAATCCAAAACAATTTAACAAAAAACAAAATACGTTTCTTTATTAGCAAGATCTTGCAAATAGGATGCATTAACTCTAGGTAGCTCATTATCTTGAAAATCAAAGTGCAAATTTGACGAAAGCTTTTATAGCTATGTGCCCATGTTGAGATGGGTTTCTAGGGGAGAAAAGATTAAATTGCACCAGATTCAATGAATGTTCGAAGTTGGTAGGCTTCAAAACGTAGGTGAACAACATAGAACACAAAACGGAATATCTTTTCGGTAGTCTGGCACATATCTATGGCTTCTATTTCATTTAAAAGATAAAATTTCACAAGTCTATACACGTTATACCATGCCATCGTAGGGAGCGATACTGGGAACTCCACTAATTTTCTTGGTCGTCTGGTACTGAAGATAACTTTATTGCCCTACAAAGGAATAACCGGCCACGTAGACTTCACATCAGCTTTCAAATTCCTATCCTGTAAATTATCAAATTCTAGAATTAAATGAGTAGTCACGTTAGAAGGCTCCAGTACCAGCAACAACAGCAAAGGCAAGCGCAGCTGCAAAGATTGTATGCACATGGCAGTCTCTCCTCTCTGGGACGTGGCTACGAGGCCTCCCTAACTGGCGTTGCCGTATCCCACCTGAGAGGAGTCAGTAGTGGTGCTGTTCGACCTAACCCCGGTTCCGTAGTCTCCTTCGACCATCCAGGCTATTCGCGCCAGGTTTCTGGTGGAAGTATGATGAGCTATAATCCCCCATCCACTCTGGCTAGCCGATCGCTCTTCGGTAGGCCTGGGTTGTACGCCAAGAGTAGTCTCTACCGGTCCCGCAGTCTAGGTGCATCAAAGGTTGGTCTAACCAGGAGAATCATTTCATCATGAATAACATTTTATTTTGAGTTAAAAAGTACCCTACATTATTATAAAACACCTAAGGTGATCTATTAGCATTTAAGCCTCTTTGATAATAAAGAGAACCCATCATTACATCCTTTTAGGTTTCCAGTAGATGGTGCGTTTAAGCTGCCACCACCGTCACAGAAGATACTTTCCTTCAATAATGCTTAAAGAATTTTCCACCCTTTTGTCATTTTATAACCCAAGCAATAATCCACTGCGTGTGGGAATTCTACCTCTCTATCCTACACTACTTCTTCTGGCAAGGAATGATCTAGTACACTAACTAAATCAGCCTAAACCCTTTCTTACTTCAACCATCCCCATGGCTATACCGTCAAATTTGATAAATCCGACGTTTATAATCCATCTTTTTCGGTTCTCTGAGTCTTTCTTATAGTACTTCTGACTCAAATCATTGTAGAATAAGGCAGGATATGAAGAAGACTTACAACAGGGAGGGCTGGGAGGCTATAGGTATGGTCAGGGAGCCGTTCGACCTAGAGGAAGTACAGTCTGCGGAGATCTAGGAGCCTCTACAGTCAAATGGGCAGTTAAAAGAAAGTCATATTAGTGTGCTTAGGAAATTGAAGAAATTCGAGAAACTGGATTCCACATTTACTTACAAAATTCCTTTTTGAAAGAGTTCTCATGGGTAAATACAACTATATTAGTTCCAACGCCTTAGTCTAACATAAAATACAAAGTACGAAGAAGCTGAAAGGTCATTTAAGTTAAAAACAAAGAATTGAAGAAGATGGAACGTGTACAGCTGTGCTGCTTCTATGAAGAAATTTGGAATTTATTCACCATTTTGCCGGCATTTCCTGATCCATGACTCTAGGTCTTCAAGTAAGTACACACCTTCGGTAGGAATCCGAAAAGCCACTAGCAACATCAAAATCCCCTTGATTAGGCATTTGTCTTGTCTCCTCTTGGGATTGCGTTGTCGACATGCCATGTAACATTTTCATGAGACGGAATAGTATGCTAAAGTGACTTATAAAGAGCGCAATGTTTACAAGTGAATTCTTACTTCTAGATCACTTCCGATCTTCAGGTCTAAATGTTGGTAAATTTTGTGCTTTCTGCCAGAACTTATGGAAAATGCAGACTGTTCCTTGGCAGTCAGAATATGTAAGGAAAAGAGAGGACAGGTTTTTGGGAGTCTGGCAGTAACTTAATGGTAGCTCCCCTGATTTGACTTTCACCTGACGCTGTACATAGTTCCTACATCGGCCATGGATCAAGAATTTCAACTATTCCGCGTGTATTTCCTGTCGGCAGCCAAATGTTTACGTATCCGAAACACATCAGCCTTGTTGTGTGGTCGTCTTAAAGACAACAAAAGCCTCAATTTGTGTGCTCCAACAATGGCTTGGATGAGTCAAAAACTGGTGCTATGATAGAACTTAAATTTCTGCGTTTGCCATTGGTTAACCTCTTGTTTCGTATTTCGACCGTAGCGCAATCGGAATTGGCGATGGTCACGCCGAGGTGATCACTTGGGTAAAATTACACAGTTCAACAATACCTAAACTTGGATTGTGGAGTTCTGCCTCAATATGCCGAATCTAAATACCAACCAACTGGGTTAATGTCTTCCTATTTTTCTCGGTGTTACCCATCACAATACAAAATCATGAAATCCAACACATTACTCCTGCCCTAGCACTATTTTTAACAACCTTTCCGTGGTAGTAAAACTTACGCTCACAGTCTCCCTTTCTCCCCTTAATTCGGCTGCTACGTTGTAATGCTCTCAACTTATTTTTCGAAGTATTGTAAATTCACTCGACTTTTACTGAGTTAAAAACATTGAATGTGAGGCTTTGGTGTCGGTGAACAGCTTGGGTTCCGTCAGATAAGAGGACTCCTCACTGACGATCGTGATGCTCAAGCGGTATGATAGACTCTTACGCTAAATCAAAATAGAAGTTGTCTCCATCTTTCGACATTTAAACATCCACTTCACACCCTGGAAGGTGATGTCGATGCCTTTAACATATGAGGAGAGTCTGCACCTCGTTGTCGTCGAAGCTGGCACTCAGAGCATGCTAACTTCCCCTTGTTTCAAACGTCAGTGTTCCTGGTCATATTCGTAGATGATTGTGCTGTGTCTACGGAAGAATGCGCCGATCAGGGGTTCAGAATCTGGTGCTCTGTGCTCTATCTTAGTATTATCCCACAAGAATGATTTCTGTCCTGCCCTGGAAGCCTAAATCCGCGGGACTGAATGCGGGACCATTATACAAACGTAGCACCGTGACTGAGTGTCATCACATCACCTTTGAACTGTGCTTGGGGTCCTCCCTAGGTCTGTATGAGTTTAACTGCTTTGCTCCCAGGAAACTTGATACAGGTACACACACGCACACACTACCATTACAGCCTTCCGCCTTAATTGTCACAGCGCCTAAACTGATCCGCAACCCATGGTGTGATACATATGCTACTTACTACTAGGCATAGCACCTACATATTTTGAAGTTTCGGTTTAACTTAAACGCCCTTCGCACAAAGACACTGGCTGTCAAAATTTTATGGTTTGCGAATCCCTTCTTCGTGAGTCTCCACTAATTCTTTCATTTACACCAATAATCTATCTTTGACTTTGTGGTTTTCTTAGATGTTAGTGTTTTAATGCCTTCATGACTGATGTAATGCTACTCACTGGCTCCCAGGTGGACAGCAATTTTCAAAGCTTCACCTTACCCAGACTACCACTACCCATATCTAACTGGATGACCCGCTTTCCTTAAGGCCTCCTTAGCCACGGTACAAAGTGGTCGGTCGACGATTCAAGCGGAGCACCACGACCGAAAGGTACAATTGCTGATCAAGGCGGTGGACTTTCGACGTGCTACTAAGCCCTACTTCTGGTCGATCTTTTTCTTCACTCTCTTCCTCTTCACCCTCTTCCTCGGCCTCCTCATCATTTGCCTACGTCATGTGTACATGAATCTCATCCTCTCTATCGACGTGGGAGAGTGCATTGGCCCTCTGCTTTGTGGTCTTTCGTTCCTCTTTCTTGGTGCAGGATTCAAGTTCCTCCATGATGCCTACCAGACGGGAGCCAGAGAACGCCAGAAAATTAAGGTGAGGTTACTTCCTTTCTGTTAGGTAGAAACCTAGGTCCAGTCTACTAGTGCCATTGCTCCCGAACCTATAAGAAGGAAAACTGCGGTGCTTCCCCATTCCTTGGTTGGGATTAGATTAAGTTAAGTGACTCTAGTGTAACATATATAGTAAAGAATTAAATGTAAAGATACTGCAAGATGTTGTAGGTGGTAAGTTAAGCCGAGACTTTAAAGTGAGCAGCAGTAATTGGTATACGTTTCACATCACAGACACTGTGATAACCAAGACGGAAAGTCGTAATGGTAGTGTGTGCATATGTGAGCCTATACCAAGTTTCCTGAAAGCAAGGCGGTAAAACTCGTACAGACCTAGAAAGGACTTCAAGCACGATTCTAAGGTGACGTGTTGACAGTCAGCTACAGTGCGACGCTTGTATGATGGTCCCGCATTCGGTCCTGCGGATTTAGGCCCACAGGACAGGACAGAAATCCTTCTAGTGAGCTAACATTAAGACAGAACACGGTACACCAGATTCCAAACCACCTGACTGACGCATCCTGCCGTAGATTCAGAACAATCACTTGCAAGTACGACGAGAAATATGGCATTTCAACAAATTTAAAAGGAGACCAGAAATATGAGGGCTTTCCTAAAAGTTCACTTTTAGTATCCCGTAATAATTTTACATTACCGGGATTGCGGGGATTAACTTTATTGGAGTTAATTCCCCACGTATTCTGCTAGGTCTTCGGAGGAGCCACAAATTATGGCGCAATTTTCCATTCTATTCGCATTAATACCGAAAATTGGCACGCCCTTGTACGTCGCTAAGTTTGTTTACCTCGTTTATCGCAGTTCTCATACACTTCAAATGATTTTTGGCACACGATAGGGATGTGAATTTAGGAAAAGTTGATCATGGGACCATATTTCACCGAAAACTTTCACCCATGTCTTGGATATGGGTCATAATATCTTCCAACAGCATGCCCATATAAATCATGAAGTTTATTTCGCCATTTCTGGGTTGGATTACATAATCACTAAGACCTCCAAGCCTGGGATCATTCCTTAAAGTGATAAATCACAAGCACGGGAGCTTTAGCATACCTGTACACCGGAACAAAATTTTATACATCCTCTTTACTGTTTGTCGAATGGCTTATTATACTGTCATTTTCACTAAACCCTTGTAACTACTCGGAGTCTTGTGGGTATGCGAATGCCCTGAGTAAAAAAGCTAAGAGAGTTCCGTATCATCTTTTAGTATGTACCGGACAGTGCCTCCACCGTGGCCGTCAAGATGACTGCCGCACCAGCAGTTGATACTACGTGAGTTCGGCATAATTCTCTCCTGCTGGAAAATTTAGACTTGTTTTGACCTTGGAATTTGGAGAATTTGAACTAAAATTAAGCCATAAAGTGATTTTTTGCAGGGTAATGGCTGGCAGTTTTAATCAGGCTAATAAGTGTGAAGTGCGCCAGCCATAAATGCAAGTTTTCTCCAATCTATTAATTGCACTTTGTGCTTATCCAAATTTTCGCTTCATTTACGACTTTCAAGGATTGTACCTCTCTTTTGCATAATGAAATCGCATATTTTGGAATGCGTTCTTTTTTCCTTGAAGGGAAGAACTTTTGAGTGGTAAAACGACCGACAAGGCTCTTACACGCGCCCCTATCGGCACACGAACGGTGAACCCCTCGGTGATGTCTTATTAACCCAGTTTCCTCCCATGCAGGCAACCTATTTCTGTAATTTATGGTAAAACTAGCAAACTATACTTATCTACCTCGGGTTTTGTAATGCCATTTAGCCGGTGAGAGTTTATACTCAATGCGCAATCAACTGGTATAGGCAGTTCGGGCATGATCTTCTCCTATAATCTTCGAAAATATGAATTTCGTATAAAGAGTCCTCAATAATATGAGGTCTCATTCGCTCCTAAAATTGTATCCGCTAATTGTTTAAGTAATCTATTTCGCTGTGGCGATTATTTACATATCCTCAAGGTGTCGCGAAAGCTCATAACGCAGGAAAGGAGTATACAAAAGGATGAATCAACTTTTGGAACCCGTAAGAATAAGTGTATTTAGAATTAAACCTCACACCGACGATCAACCTTCTCCTGGTTGTTATATACTTCAATATGACTTCGATAGCACTGTTGCAACAAATCTTAAAACAATCTCTTTCACAAACAACTATACAGAAAGAATTACGGGGTACCTATTCTACAGGAAACCAGTAACAACCTGTATAACATAATTCTTTTTATGTTAGGAAAGTGAAGTGTCGGAATGCGTCCAAATTTTGCGATATCGTCTGATGCCACAACCATTTCGAGACGTTTCATCTTGTGTTGACGTCAAAATAGACCTACCCAGTGACTTCCTCACGGTCGTAAGGGCGCAGCACCTGATTTGTATGCGATTCTTACTGCAACAATCAAACCACATGTGGGGCAGTTTTGGGATCAAAAATATAGCATTTTGTGGACCCACCATCCCCAGCCCCGTAGAAGAACCTGCAAACCCCCAGCCAGCAGGAGTCCCAGACACAGACACTCCGCCAGACGTCTCAAACATTCTCAAACTTTGCCGATGGCTGCGGAAGAGCCACGACCCAAACCACCACCAGTCCCATTCATAGACCTATCTTCAAAAATCGCCTCGAGCACCCCCCCCCCCCCAGTGGCCAATCAGAGTGGACCTAGAGATAATCGACCCATTTATAAATAATTACAATTTTAAATCACAATCCTCACCACTTTTTCCAGTTTCATAATGCTCGACGCATTAAAAAGCAAGTGAAGAAGTAGTCGAAATCAGGCGCACATTTCGCGCAGAGCAGGCACAATAAGTACAAAACTAGACAAAACGGAGCAAAGGGTAGACACGGCTGGATAGGTAATCGTAATTTAAATGCACAGGATGAAAGCAGTTCTTTCGGGGGCAGTCTTCTGATTCGCTGTGCTTTGGCCGCTTCTCCGGTCTGGAAACTAGTATGTCACAGAAAACTTTGTTGTTGTTCGCCAGATGGTCCAACCGGTCCAGAGGGTCTACCGGTCCAATGTAGCTCGTCGACGGGTTCAGGGTTTTCGCAGCTGCGATCCACTGACGCGCGATTTCATAGACCTTAGCAGCCATCTTGTAGAGATCCTTGATCTCTGACTCCACAAAGGTCTTGCTCGTAACGTAACTATGCGTGGTTTGGAAAAATCCCTCTGGCCCCTCATTGTCTACCAGAGGGGAGAAGCGAGAGGAGATTACTGGTCCCATTCGATGGATGAATTGGCTTTTGAGGGAGGAGTAGAATTTGCGATGCGATTCAAGAGATGAACCTAGTGCGCTGCGTGGTGGAGGCCTGTTCATCGCCTTCAGGTTTATCCCAGCGTCACGCTGCAGCGCCCGCATTGCATAAAGCGTCGCCACACTCAAGAACCGATGGATGTTCGAATGAGCAACCTTCAATTGCAAAAAACAAACACCTCAACGTAAATCCAACAATCCACTGAATTGAATAGCTACTTTTCACTTGCCTGGAAATTCCAGTAATCTGAACTAACGCTGGGCATTTGAATAAGAGATGAGATGGAGGGTGAAAGAGGTGTTTTTACTTCGGTCTCCTTAAAACTACCGGCAGTACTACCACCGTCGCCGCGACCACCACGGCGACGACGCCGCTTCTTAACCGCAGCAAAGGCAGCACTCGTATTCGATTGACCGCTGTTTTCCACCATCAGTTCCTTCATAATGTGATCCAAAAAGACGGAGAGATTGCGTTGTAGAGTAATTATGAGGGCGTAGACATAGACCCATTCATAGGTGGAGTATAGATCCAACTGGAAGCCCGTTACCAGGTAATCCCACACCAGATGGTAGTAGAAGAAACAGATGTAGGATGTAAGATGGATGGGAATGGGCGAATTGCGTGGCGCAATGCGAGCCTCCACAAGCTCCAGAGCGAAAGTGGTCTCCACAGAAACCGCGTCGTCAAGAAGTTCGTTGAGTATGCCGAAAATACGCTCCATGTTGGATCGCTGGCGAGAGCGATTTAAGGTGTAGCATCGACATATCTGACCAGAAACGGGAAAAGAATAAATCAGACAAATAAGCAAAACGGTCTAGAGAAAAGAAATCCTCAAACAAGTATGAACTTAACATGGACTGCGATTCTGGTTAAAAAAAAACTTTACAAAAGCGGCTAAAAATGTAGTCAAAAAGACTGGCATGGTGGGAATAGATAACGGGATAGTAAAAACTAAAAATCCATTAATCTTTGCATTACGGATGAAACTCTAACAATAACGTCAACACACGTTCTAGTACTGTACGACATAAAAGGATAGCATAAGGCCCAAAAATTCAAAAATTACTGCTCAAACAACAACTGCTCAGGGTTTTAATAAACCTGTCCAAACTGGACTGAATTTTTAGGGGAGTTTTGTAAATCTGCCGCTGGAGAACAAATAGATCGACATACGGAGTAAATCTGCATGAAGACATGCTCAAAGAACGAGGCGTAAGGAGCAAGGTATTCGATATTATCGAGCATATAATCGCGAGTCCAGTCGCATTCAACAGACATCCATGACACCACAAAGTGCATACCCGGAGGCGACAGATCTAAGGCCTTCGAAAACCGCTCGTTTGCATTGAGTGGACACTTTAAAATAACTCCCATAAGAATCCCCAGTATACCCCTAGAAAGAACACAGGATTTCAAACAGGCATTCTCAACCTTCAGCGAATCCAGCGCCTCTGCTTTGTTGAAAAGGGAATGACAAAGATTATGTCCGATAGTATGAGCAAGCGAGCACAATTCATGCAGTAACACAGCATTAATGGAATTTTTAGCAATAAGGCTCCTCAATTCTTGAAGCACTTTAACTATCCGAGAGAACGCGCATTCCAGAAAGAAGAATACAGAAGATCTACTGAGACTCCGAGGAAATCTCTGAACAGTCGCAGTCAGATTAGCAAGTGTTAGGTAGGGCTCAAAGCCAGGAATTGAGAACTTCTCACTTCGAGGATTATCCTTCCCAGGTCCAGCATCTTTCCCACAATTGGCCGACTCAACCAAGAGCTTAGAGATCCCAATAATTTCGGTGGAAATCTCCTCAATTCTTTGGCAGACGCTATCGAACAACTCAGCGCTAATTGTAACCCGCCTTTGTGAAGGACTCTCGCCAAAAGTTACGGGCTCACCATAGCCAGGTATATCGACGTTATTAAAAGACTCTTCCAAATCGTTTTCGCCAAGAACAGACAGGAAAGGCGCAAATTTTTGTCCTAATTCCAACATGGAAATCGCCAGCCTCAATCGAATAGTTAAAGCGTCTACAACTTTGGACGGTTCGGATTTGTGTTCGGATAATTTTTTCCTTTCTTCCTGTAGCAGCTCAATTAAGTTTTCATTTGAAATTTCGTAATATGAGTTGACTGGATTATGATCAGGAAAGGAGAACTTTGTGTCAGTCATCAATGGAACACCGTTGGTGGTCGGACAGAAGTCTTCATCTTCGAAGGAAGGCAGAGTCAGCAATAAGCGGCGAAAAGACAGGATTATGCGGCGCAATGCTTCACAGAAAAGAGCTAGACGAGAATCCTCAATGATTGGAATACAGTGCATATACATGCAAGTGTAAACGGTTTGAACAAGAGAATCGCCGGTAAGCCAGTTGACAAGTAGCACAATCAACTCGTCAATAACACCCAGAAGGATTTCCAGATCGGAAAAACACCCAAGAGGAAGATCTCCACTCTCAATTGCATCATAAAGATAGACGATTCTTCTCTCCTTAGCCATCCCGGCATCCATGCTTGGGTTCATAATATCGATTGCAGACATTACATAACGTAAGTGGAAATTTTTTTCATGGGCGATTGCTCCGGGCTCGAGGCACAGCTTACAGCACTCGAAAAACTGTTCTGTTATATCCTTCTGTTCCACACTCATATTTGTACGAATCTTAGAGACGATACAACATCTGGTAACCTATAATCACATCAATTGTGTAATCCCCACCTACACACAGATTTAAAAGGCCCTCGTCGTTTATGACAATTTAGCCATATCATCGAGAAATGCAGTTAAGATGTATGACAAGTGTAAAAGTTTAGCAAAGTTGCACAAAAATTGTCAAAATTTATCGTAGTACTCTTGGACGAGGAGAACGCAATACTGTTAAGTGCAGGTACAGTTAACAATTAATTCTTCTTAGCTGTGATAAAGATTGGTTTTTGATGTCTGTTAGATGCCCAGCATAAACCAAATATCAGAGTTTTGGCTGTTGGCCTACTTTTTTCGATTTAATTGCCTAGCTTTTATGTAATTTGACTTCAAGGTCGACATAGGATGCAGACAATTGCGTTTTGATCAAACTCAGTATTGCATGCGTATTATTACCAACTGTTTAAATACTTGGTGCTGGTAGTATTTTGCTAGATTCAGAATAATATTTTTCTATATTGTAACGCCCTGAGACTTCTTTGAAAACGAGAGAAGACGTAATACTTGAGCAGAATGTGCTTTTTTAACCTACAGTAAACCTGTGGACTGCAGGCATGGCCCGATTACTGGATCAGTGATGCAACACCTTAGTGGGCCCTTTACTAAAACCTTTGGTTAAGCAAACAGTCAACGTGCTGCAACAAGTTTGTTAACAATAATCGTTCATATCATACGTATAGCCTAAATATGAGCTTAAGGAATCATTGCGCTACTTTTAACAAAACCCGTACATATGTAGATCCTCGCAGCTTTGCCAAAGTTGCATTAAGGCAAAGCAGTACTAAAGGTGACTTGTTGTTTGAGTACAAAGAGCTTGGGTGGCTGTGGCTGTGGCAAGAAGGTCGTGGGACAGGAAAATGAGTTGGAGACTGGAGGGTATAAAAAGCCGGATTCATTAAGTATGCGGTAAAGCAATCGCCGAATCACTCACATTAGTGCGTTCGCTTAACCTTACCACTTATTGCCACAAAGGGTCATGAAGCTCTCGAACCCAAGGATTCTAGACTATTTTATCTCACAAAATCAAGAACCGTCTAGCTAACATATGAGATAGCATTGCATTTGTCTTTCATGTTCTAAGGGGATTTTGGCTTCATCAGGCATTACTAGGATGTCATTGTTGGATAGGTAGCATTTCCACTAGAAATGAACTCCTAGAAGACATTGGTGTCTCTGCATGGTTACGATAAGGCATATTAATGCAAAAGCAAGTTTTATTAACAGCGCAGATGCTGTAGGTATAGCTATGCAGGTAGATCCATGTCACCAAGGGACGTATAATACACAGGGACTGACGCTCCCCGTAGTTAAATGTTCAATAAAACACACATCAAATCGCATGACGAATAATTCTAGGAAAGTAGACCCTAATATTCTACTAAATATGAAATTATGCAGATTTGAATAGGCCGTTTCCTCAGTTCAAGATCATTGGAACCGAAATAGTGTAGGCAACATCTCCAGTGCTCATAAAATTACCCTTTCATAAAAATACTCAAGATATTTTCTTGTTTTATGCAACAAAATTATTTGAAAAAGCTAATTAAATCTTTCAGTTGAATAGTACTTGTGTTTGTAAGAATCTCTCATATTAAATGAAACATTGCAGCATCCCCAGACATCCTTGAAGACGAAGCAAGACAGAATATGTATTGTCGACTTATAGAAGGGCTGAGAGGCTACTGACATAGGCCGAAGGCTATGCCGCCCAGCAATAGTATCAAGACGTAGTCTTAAGTACTCTCGAGTTGGCATAATTGATACCTTTATAGAGGTAAGATAGACAGCTGCGTTACAAACTTTTCCAGATTGTTCACGGCCCGTGTCGTTTCACTTGTTAATTCCTGCAGACCATGGCCCTAAGGTAGTTACCTAAGGTAAAAGTCAGTATCAGCCCCTCTACTAGGAGTCGTTACCGATTCTCTCATCAGAAGCATATGCACTTCTTCCGCTACGCCAAGGTTTTATCGCCCAGCAGTAAAAATGGGGATACTTGGCCTTTTAGATCGGATTCGTTTTCCACTGTCACCAATGTAGCACTCCCAAATATCCCTGAAGAGGAAGGAAGACATGTCACTAGGGCATAGCATGTATTGTCGACAAACGGCCGGGCTTGGAGGCTATCAGCATGGCCTGGAGGCCAGCTCACCCGATGAAGGTACGATGGCAGAGACCCTGATTAGTCCCTTTCCCAAAATCAAGTTAAACAAACAACCACCGTATCACAGTATTCTTGTCAAATTTTTCTAAAAAACACTCTTTTGTTAAAGCAAAAAATTACTTTTTTATTAAAGACACGAGTACAATGTTGTCAAAATGCGGCAACATAACAAGAGGATGGGTGAAGTTTTATCGTATCTGGAAGAGGCCTGCATTTCCACATCCGTAGTATTTTGCCATCAATGTAGATTGGAGTGAACTCAATTAAAGCTTATTTACATTTACAAAAGTAAGCAAAATTATCCCTTAGAATTTAAAAGCGCTTGCTGCTAATCTATATCAAAAAATTTAGCATAATATTGTGTTGCGCTATCACTTAGTAAGGAATTAAATTGGCCGGGTCTTTTCTTATTGCAGCAGATGATATCAATTAATCGTGTTAATTAAGTCCCAATTAATAGCCTGTCAAACTAATCACCCAGGTAAAAATCGTCCATGTTACTTTTGCAAACATTTTTTAAAATATATCACAGTCATTAGTGAGGTCGTCAACTTTCCTTCTCAGCGATTGAGTTTGTGGCTCAAACCCCTAAATAAATAATGTTATTTTAATTAGAGAATACCAAAAGAGTCCTTTAACATCTCTCCCAAAGTATTGTTCCAAAGTCCGCTTGAATTATCAAGGGCAGACAATGGGAAAAAGTAAACTTTCCTCGGAATTGCTGAAATTTGAAAGCTTGATGATTTAAAATTGACATGTATAATTCATTTTCTTTGCACAAATTGGTTTCTCTTTTAGTTTCCGACTCCAGTGCAAGTCAAAAATAAATTTTATAAGCCATGTTACGTAAATGTTTAATTTTTAAAGTAGTTTTAAGAGCTTGACAAACAACCTGTAAAATGACGCTAAATGACAAATGCCAGGTCTGCATAAATGGACAAATTAGGAAAAAAACGATTCCACTAATAATTCTGAATACTTCTTCCTTCTAAAGAGCCAAACTACTAATATCTTGCTCCTTTCTTGCTGATCCATTTCTTCTTTTTGTTCTGCACGATAATGTGGGTTACTGCTCACCGCGCCACCACGTCGACTGTCAACTTACGTTTACTTTTACCTTGGTAACAATGCACGTCTGTCAAGATACCGCTCCACACATCCGACCATAATTCGACTCGTACAAGCAGGTCCCATGCTCAGCATAACCCTCCTCCCCTGCCAGTTGCCTACGCTTTCTTTTTCTGGATAAGACTTATTATTATGATATGGCTTTATATACCGTCTTTTGAGAATGACCAAGTTCATTGTTCGGGAGTGTGCTATTTCTCCAACTTCCAATGCTATGAACCAATTATTTAGTGGAAAACAAAAACCACAAACAGGAAATGAGGCCAAAAAGTTCCTGTGCTTCCTTATAAATTTGGAGCATTTTAATGTATTCCAACATTTTTGTGGGATTCCACATTCAACATGTGGTCTCGACGTTTTTTACACTAGCGTAGTAAATACAAGCAAAACCTTTTACCTCACATATAAATTCAAAATACATTATTTTATTCGATAATTAACGTGAATTTACTTCACTGTCACATCTTGCGCTCTCAAGGTTTATTTGGAATGTTTGAATTAACAAACCAAACCGGTCACGATTTGAGTTGTTTCTTTTCCGCTTCTTTTTTATTGGTTTTGCTCCTAATTTTTAAATGATACCCCAGTAACATGTTAGGGTAAAAAAGGCTGTTGAAATTGGCAAATTCTGCCCCTGTTTTTACAACCCACTGGAACAAGTTTGTTACAAACAGATTTGACTAGATTTCATGCACAAATTTTGAGTGATATTTGTTTGATTATTAAACACTTAAGACGTAACTTTGCGTCTTTTTAAAAAGTGGACACGTTTCCTTGGATTTTCTAACTCAGTCTTATTAGCCCATAGTCACGTTCTGATAAACATTCCAAACCGCGTAGTAAGCACGTTCTGCCTATTTGAAGGTTCAATGAAGAAATTAACCTCCTTGAATAGGACTAAATAAACTTCTTTATTTTCTCTTACCACTGCAGTTCTTTCCACAACTTCTCCAAATTATTTCAACTAACGTAATTTTTAAACTTTCCTTGGGAAAAACAGGCTAGAAGGGGCAACAGCTATGGCATGATTCTCGGGCGGTGCGCAGCGGGCCACCTTGTGTCCATTAGCAGCATCCACGGTTCAGTGGCTCATTTGACTTAAAGCAATGGACCACCTACGCGACAATTATGCTTGGACTGCCGTTCATCCTAGTGTATACCCTAGTTAATTTTCTGATGGATGTGTTTTTCCTCATCAGAATTAAAGGCCCTCGACTGCATGCCGTCGCTGGACGCTAATGGAGTTACTTATTCTCTTCCACAGGCCATTTTCTTTCACTCCGAGAAGAACGATCCATGGATTACTTAACCCAGATGTTTATTTTAAAGGGGAAAGCATTTTCTACTTTAAATTTATACCTATCTTTTCGGAGAAACAATATGTATTCTCCCACATAGACTAGACCGACTTTCGCAGTTTTGAACAAGAGAGGATCAGTTGGATTAAGATGGGCGACTAAATTTTGCTGAGAGAAATCTGTACGTAAAGCTGTCTGCTGAGACTAAATAAGCAAATCGGTCCTTTTTGCCAAGATAACAAACAAATCTGGTGCGGCATGACCTGGTACTCTGCTAGAGATGAAACTAGCAGATGGACGAGATTTGGCGAGATCCTTGAGATACCTGAATCAAACACCAAATAGATCATTATAACTGTAAAAGTGAAGGATTTTACATCCTTCATCCTACTCCATCGTCTGTTGTTGTGTTGCACTTCTTTGTATCTCTGTTTCCATTGCTTCTCTCAATCAATCACTCACTCAGTTAGGTCGAGACCAAAAAATGAGAATACACCTCCATCTTCTACACTTTTTTAATGGGACTCGCTTCTTCAGCACATTATTTAAATATTCACTTTTGATATTGTGGCTTTCCGAACCTTCGCTGAATACGCTGAAGGTCTGAGAGGTTACCAGGTTGGTCCAAAGGCCATACCACAGAGCGTAGGTAGAATCTGCGGACGCCCGAGTAGTTCAACACGCACTTCGGAAAAACTTCTTTGCTTTCACACTGAGCCCTTCTTATCTTAAAGTTGGAGTCGCCATTTAATCGACCTACAATACTCTCCCAACCATTCAAATTCAAGTTCATTTATTCCTTTCCCACTTTTTTTCAAAAAGTCAATGTTGTAAGCGCCTCTTGGGCACATTTGTCTTGCTGTAACTCTGTAAAAACGTCTCTCTTGATGATTCATTTTTCAGTCGCCATTGGATTTGCCTCCCCATTCCCTCTCCATTGTTCGCAATTTTCAATTACTCCATTTGTACCCTATCACTAATTCCCCCACTGCTTCAAGACGCCCCAATCTACTCCACATCCTCTTTGTTTTTTGTTAGGGAATAAAGGCATGTACCCATTTGTTTACCATTGCGATTGGTCGTATATTTTCTTGGCACGGCCATTACCTTTACGGAAGACAGCGTTTTTATGACAATTTACAGTAACTTAATTACCAGACTATGGAGAAAACTGTGATGCTGGGAGGCTTTTCAGCTGGAAAAGTCCGAGTTCCTTAAAAGAACCCAGACACCGGTCTACTGAACCTACTTGAACCGAGAAGATGTAGTTAACAGCGTGCTGTTCACCGAAGTTTTCACCACCTCTTCACTCTTATAAACTCATTAGTGAGTGGAGGCCGCACGCATTGTTATGGACACCAACATAAATTCGAGGTAAGAGTAAGTGGCTATTATCAGGCACTCAAATCAAATGGTATGGAAGGGATTTCAAACTGGGAACTATCGCCAAATATGAACAGTTGCCCAAAAGTAGATGGTGGAGCAGTTTGAAAGTTAGTTCCCAAAATCTCTCCCATTGTCTTGTCCCTAAAATAGATCTCTGTTGGGCAGCCAAAAGAATGGATGGTGATATCGTCGTGGAAATTAAAGGGACGACCCGCTGTATATTTTAAGATTCCCATTACTTTTCAAACTACCTAGTAGTAAAACACTTATAGAATTAGTTTATTTTGGAGAAGAACTGTGAATCGGCGGCTAATACGGCCACACTTTCCCAAATCTGTGCTTGAAGCGATACGTATCTACAGCATCCGTGGACGATGACATCAACATGGAAATGGAAGGCACGAACTCATCAGAGCCCATTGTCACCAACATCCTCCCCACTCCGCTGTAATTGGACTCAGAAGCTGACCAATGGGTGTGAATGAGCAGTCGCGTCCCATGTGTGTGTCTTCAGCGGGATGAATGCGTGCGTGTGTATGTGCGTGTGTAGGGAGAGCACGGGCACGTGTACGCCTGGAAAGATAATTTTGCCCACCTCGCCACGCAGCCTCCATCCACTACTACTCGATGCAACTTCTTTGGACTCCGCACTCTGGATCGCGCCTCACCCACTTTTTCACGTGAGTTCATCCTCTCTCTCCCACACATACCTTTATGTGTGCGACACCTGAGAAGTGTTAGTGTAACCCTTCATACCTCGGGTCAAGGTCATGCTTATTCCCAATAATGCCGTGTTTATTATCGAGAAAAACTATCTTAATTTTTAGGAGTGATATTAACCAAATATGCGATAAAGTTGCCCCAAATCTTCACATCCGACCTCGATATTTAAGCATCCGATGCTTTGGTCGGGAATTTTTGTTAAAAAAACTCCAATTGGCTGCCGCACATTGAAGAAGCAACATCAAACGTCTTACCGGAAACAAATTTCCACGCACATTTTTACTTTGGAGAATAAAAAGTAATAATTTTTGTGGTGTTAATACCACGCAAGACCTCACCGCCACCGCCGAGTAAGGCCAGAGCAGGGCCAGAGGAGGGCGCACGATCACGGCAATCACCGCCGTGTTCCAGTTACGCAACAATGATTTTCGGGTTCACCAAAACTTCTCTTTATGAAAGGATTTTTTTGCTTATTCGGCAGACTTACTTTTCGTGTTGACAACGGGTGTATTTAGTCGTGCAAATCATGCCTTGATGAGGGCAGCCTATCGCTCCATCACGCATATAGTCTAAAGTGCCATCATTTGGCACGCAACAATTACGGGAGTTGTGCGCCTCCGGCTCTTGGACCACTCTCATTCCGATTCTTCCGATTGTATCCCCTTTAACTTCGCCACTAGGGTAGACGGAAGACTCTCTAGTCCGGAGATTTCCTCCTCCCTTCCCTTCCTGCCCTAATCCTCCACAAAATACCGTATAAAAGCTTCTAGTTTTTCCTCGTTTACAACGGTTCAACTCACTCCCCCTCTCTCTTATCTCAAAGCAAACAAGCCAACTTGTGTCTAAGCCTCATTTGCGCGCCATATGGAATAGTTATACAGACAGGTATCCGGACTGGGTACTTGTTCACCCATCTGTCAAACTTACGATAACTGCTTTTTGTGATCCATCAAATGTCCCACTCTCTCCCTGTGTGTGTCTTTTTTCCTCAAGGCTTCATCCACCACATTGCATAATTGTTGAGGGCAGTTAGTCCTTGTCCCTCCCCATCTGAGAAGTGAGCTTTTTTAATGCTTAAATGCCTACCGAGTTGTAAGGTACTTCAGTTTAAATAACGAGCGAACATAAATGTTTTTATTCCCCCAACTTTCTTCACCAAGTGTCTAAACCAAATCATTATTAATTATGCAGGATTTACATTCTCCGATTAGATTACTTGATTAATTGATCAAGGTTAAAATTGTAAATTTGGGGTTATTTTCATTGGGCTATTTCATCATTACCTCTGATGACCCACTCCACCTTCGAGACTACTCAATTAGTAGAAATAAGTAGTGCTAAGGGGCAACCAGTTTGGCTTTTCACCTTTAAATACAACTGCAACTGTCTTTCCAGATTCAGTGTAAATAAGCTCTGGCCCACGGTCACAGTCGAAGGACAAAGGACATGGCAGCACCACTGGCAATAGTAATTATGGGCTTTTGGAACCCCTGGGAATAGGTGGGGGGAGTGAGAGAGGAGCAATATCTCCACCATAGCTTCTCCTATTCTCATATTACTTGTAACAAATAATTGCGGTTGCCTTGATGGACGATAAGCTTTGAGAGACGAATAAAAACTACATTGGTTAAGCGGTTTTCCCCACCTCCTCCTTCTCCTCCTCCTACTCTTTCTCTCTCCTTTAATGCGGCCTTATTGCCAAGCGAACGGCAAAATTGCCTTCTCTAATGTAATTGTTGATCATAAGGATGTTGTTACGCCCTGAAAGCTTGCTACTTGACACACTTTCTGCAACTCTTCAATAGTAGATATATAAGTTAGGGAAATTTTACTTCACCACTAGGCCAAAATGCCTCCAAAACATGAAGGTCTACAATTATTTCCAGTCAGGCGTTAAAGTAACAAGAAAAGTCCGCGCCTAGGATAATAACCGCGAACAAATTGCCGTTTTTATCACTTAGAAGGTGTCTGGTTCAATCAATTGTAGGTTCATTTATTAACAAAGTATGAAAAAAGTCGCTTCGCATTCCTCCTTGATTGACAGAGTAGAGACGTCTCATATGGGAAATTTTAATGCTTTTCCTCCCTGCTAATCTCCATTGGGCTTAGTACTGGTGAAGCCAGATCTGTGAAGTTGCGTATTTTTTGGTTCATGGCTTAGAGAGCGCGCCTGATTTACATTATGATAGAGGAAAAAAGAGTTTAATTCTCCACAAATGTTGAAGATTGTTCGTGATGTTAGCCATTTATAGCACTCCAACACTTCCCTAAAGACATAGTACTCGGGCAGAATATGTATTGTTAACGTGTAGAAGGTCTGGAGATTACCGGCATAGCCCGGAGGCCAGGCCGCTCAGTGGAGGCAAAGTGGTGGAGCCCCTATGCGGCCTCTTGCCAAAACAGGGAGTTTGATAACCAACCAAGGTATTCCGCATTTATGTAAAGGGGTTCAGCACTTCCCCCTTCCATCTCTGCTTTCTTCCCCTGGAATGAGAAGAGTGGTCTAAAGAGCGCTGGATGTGTACAGGTAATCAGGAATTAAAGGGGGTCGGAGGTCATTTCCTCCTCAGGGGTCAATATTGTTTGACCGGTCCTGTGGGATAGCCGCATCCCACCCAAAAGGTACAATCAACCAAACCCGCGTAACAATCAGTTTCCTCCGTCTCCGTTCCAAAGTTTCCTTATCCTTTAATTTATTCTCTAAAAGCGATTTCAAAACTGCACTTTCGGAGGATGGGATGGGCTGATTGTTAACAATTACCTGCTTTGCCACAGTATTCAGCATTTTCAGGGTAATCATCACTTCGGCTAGAAAAAAGGGAAGTATTTAGAAGGCGCCTTCTTTATTACCTGCATTAATTAACTTTGTGAAGGCTCCAAACAACTTGACGCTATTCAGTCCATAAAGGTGGATGACTATTACTTTGCCAACATATCTTCAAGTGACAGTCATTTAAGTCCTGCCATAAATTTTCTCAGATCCTAAATAATAAATTTTAAAGGAACTCACTTGTTACTTTGAATGGTTCATAGCGCTTGTAAGGCTGAGTTGTGTCAAGAGGCACCTAAATCACAAACAGTTGTCCCAACTCCTGACCAACTTGACAAGCTGCTCTCTGTCTCAGCACACCCAAATCGGTGCCTGTACTACTAACCGCCGAGAAGTGAGGTGAAGTGCAAGATCAGGTGGTAAAATGTGTCTAATTAAATTAACCTTCCAACCTCTGCGTGTTAGGGGTGGTGGTTCAGACGCAGGGAAGGTACTTATACTAGGGGAAACTCCTAAAGTACCTCTCATAATCGCTCCTCAGACAGTGGTGCGGTAGGAAACCGCATCTGTTTCCCTCGGACATTGAATAATTCCCTATTTTACTGTCTTAATTACAGGCTAGAGCATAATAGCCGGCGCCTTGCGTTTAACATAAAGCCTCTTTGTGCCTCTAAAGGCAAAGATGAATTTGTCCATTCTGGATTTCATCTGTACGGTGAATTAGTGTGCTTCAGGCTCAGCAGGCACACCGCTTTCTTCTGCTTTCGGGCCTTTATCTCGACTGTAAATCTCATCACAGCAACTAATCACTGGGGTCTAAAATTAACCGTACACCAGCAGCAATTAGTCAGAATGTTTTTGTCCTGCTGAAGTCTAGTGACTAGTCGGAGTCGAGGCGCTTAGCCCTGACGCTGGTATGAAGATGAAAGTAGGGAGTATGCATCATTTCCTGTGTAAAAGTGGACACATAACTGCAACTGACAAAGCGCCACGTTTAAGGCTTCTGTCGTTTCCTACCTTCATGCCTCCTTGTTAAAATAATCTCCATGTTTGCGTTGTTGGCACCGTGTTATCACCTCGACTGTCATCGGGTCGTTGGAGCACTCTGGTCAGTGCAAACGACAAGCGTTAATACATTATTATTCTCCTCCTCCCCCTCCTTAAGCTTGGAAAACAGGGAAGCGTAAATGTGACTTTTTTCCCCATGACTAAACTCGCTTTTTTCCCCAAGAATTGTGGACTCACCATCAGCCAAGCGTCAAATGGGCAAGAACCATTCTAGCATTTTACCGAAGTCGCCTTTTTGACCTCTAGATGTGGTGACTTTTGTAAGGGGTTGATAAAGGACTTAAGAGGTGTCATCTCCACGTTTCCAGTGGATTTAAGCCTCCTCGCTCAGGCTTTGTAGCGTCGAACGCATTTCTTAATGGCGTCACATGCATGTGACACTACGGCTTTCTTAGCTGAGCCCAAGATGACAAATATGTGATTTGGGTCCTCTAAAACAGACAAATCTTGTCACAGTCAGATTGGCCGAGTTTGAACAGTAAAATGGATGCAGATCTTAGGGTAAGCCTTTTTTCTTATCGTATGAGTACGCTAAATTTGGAAGACCCCAACTTCTAAAGCAGTTCAGTAAATCAATCGGTTTTCAGCATTAAAAAAAGATGGAATTTTGGGGACAAAGAATGCGTTATCATGATGAGATTTGGCCACACACGCTAATTGCCGCAAAACCTGAAGTTGCTTTTAGGCTTTCTCTTGGATGAAGCGTCTACTTTTGCAGGTCACGTGAGAATATTTCCCTATTTCTCGATTTTTTAGGTAGAAAAATGAGCATAGTTGTTTTACCTATCCCTATTAAGGTGACCATCTTCTTTACTGTCAGCTTACTTGCTATCATGGTTGAGAGGTCACTGGTACAACACTTGTGCTGCTAACAAGCCTCCAACACTTCCAGGCAAGTAAACCTTGAAGGTGTCTCTACTTATCCACAAGTGGTAGCAATTTGGAGGTAGTTAAGCATCAGACTTTCATACAGCTTAAAAGTGAACAAATTGACCCCCGGATTTCTTAATCTCATAGAGGAGGGACAGTGCGCTGATGAAAGGAGAGGGACTTTAAAGAGTAAAGGCTTTAGAAAATGCTTTAGCATGTAAACGAAACTCACGGATTGGCCAAGCCTATAATAGCTCAGACCACATGTTGTTGTTGTTGTTGTTGTTCCCTTTTCCATGTCTCTCTCTCTCACTCCCTCCACACCGGCGGCCTCTTTTCGTACCGTGAGGAGGAGCGGTGAATGCGGTAGACATCTATACACTGAAGTAATTTGCTTATATGCTTTGATATACATGGTAGCGCTTTTAAATCAACACCCAAACGCAGACTAAGAACTCCCTCTCCCTCCTTTTTATTCTTGATGAAAGTTGAAAAAATTCATGAGTCTAATTTGCCCGACTTAGCTCTGACTAGGTGAGGACATGGTAGCGGCTATTCCAGTGAGACAACAATGGGTATTTTCACATTTAAAGACCGAAAAAATAAAACTATATCAAAATATGAGTGAGTGCTTAAAGGAGGAGGAAGGCTTAATCGAGATTTTGTGACTCCTTGCTAGCTCTTTGCTAGGCAATCCTGATTGGCTGTGCTGTTTGAAATAATAACGATGGCAGTAAAAACACCTCCAGTTTGACATTTATGTTTTAATTTTTTAATTAAAAGTTGCAAAACATTGAAACTGAATTCCAGGACATTAAAAGAGAGAGGAAAGTGAGTGAATTGCCCATCGTCTACTATTTTAAGCAGTCAAATCTCTCCCTGGTGCATGTTAATCAACAGGCTGCGTCCCAACCCACCAGTAAAATATCGTTTATTTACTTCAAAAGGGATTTATCAACATTTCTTTAGCAATAAGTCCTCCTGAGGACACCATTTTAGGAATGATTAAGATGTAAAAGGCTCGGTGAAAATGTAAGGAAATATGGTGCTTCACACTTTTACCTGTCAGACGGAAAAGGGAGTCCAGTAGAGAATAGGCAAAGATATCACTTGAGAAGGGAAAGAAGATCTGAGGGAACCGTAAAACCCGATCTTAATGTAGCCAAGTCCAAATATACTGTACTTACCTCGTATGTACTTATTATTTGAGTCATTTCAAAGACAAACTTGAACAAGGGCAGAGGTCAGCCTCTCTCAAATTGACATGACCGAAAACAAAGCGGCCACGCAGTGACTAATGCGAACATCTTATAAAAGTGACTCCTCTTACCACCTACCGATGAGAAAGGAGTGCTAGAGGTTATGCGATCCCGAGATGCCCACTTGTTTTCATCAGTTTCAAATTATGCCCTCTCTCTCTCTCTTGTCGTGCACCATTGCCCTTCAAAGACTGTCTAAAAAGGTTTACTTATTCGAATCCGTTTAAAAAAAGGTAAAGTTCACACGTACATGAAGAGGAAGTCTCAGTTGTTTTACAGTGCCTTAGAGCCACCGAACTTCTCAAAACTCGGTTAATACTGCCTAAAGGCAGTTTTTCACTGACAAAATTGGGCCAAAGACTTTTTGGTGCCATTTTTCAGAATGGGTTAGTGGGAAGTGTACGAACCAACTTGAGTGAGACATTAGGTCGAGTCACTGGCAGAGCAACTAAAAGCTTCGGGAGTCTAGACCTCCCACTTTCCAATTGATAGAACCGCACTAAGAGCATTGTGACGTCAAACCGAGAAATGGAGAAAAGAACGGCTTCGATTAATTAACAACACTTCCACTGGTGTAAGCGCCTCCAGCAGTGAGCTCAAACCGCCTTTTTATTGAGGCATAGAAGCACGTCAATTTGTCCATTTAATGGGAATTATACGTCTAGCTATAAAAAGGAAAAAGGGAGAGGCTTTCCAATCAGCAACACCTATTGGATCGGATGATATGGCAACCCGCCAAATGGTGAAAGATATCGTCCGTGATGGGGACTAATTTGTGTTTCTTCCATCCGCCATGAATCCCCAGTTTGGCTTCTATGGCACCTATCGTGTCGACACCTTCACTGTCAGGTAGCCAAAGCCATCACCCCGTAGTTTAACACCATTTGAAAATTTTATTTAAGCATATGAGTTGACGCTTTTTTTAATGTCATCTGATTTTTATTGCCTACACTTTTCTACCTACAAAATTTGCATCGGAACATTTGGGCCATAAATATCTCATAACAATAAATCCACTTTTGATGGCGCTGATGGTAGTAGTGGATATATAACAGTATTTTTGCATTATGTAGATCAATATCACTTCACACCTTAATTTCCAGTGTGCACATCTAGCCCGGCTTAATGGTTACGGGGATAATCATCCACAAATCCTGAAATGTCTGTGTAAAACAATTTTTTGCAGAAGTTAGAACCATCTCGTGAAAAATTTCTAGGCATTTATTTTAAAACATTAGCCATCGGTGTCACACCTGTTACACCTTTGTTCTATCACGCTATGCTAAATGTGATCACACCACACCGTGACATGTAAGGAATAAATGTGCTTAAACAAGACAAAAATAGATTTAGGACTTAAAACATGTAGATTTGTTCTGACCATAATTACATTTTATAGTGCATAAGAGCCACGACTTTAAATAGATTATATGCTTTGTGAGCGATGGTGGTCGAAATCCTTTTTAGATTGCTTTGTTTGTGCAACAATCTTCTTTAATTTCCCATTCTTTTCACAAGTAAAAACAACACTTCTGCTTGTCTTTTACGCAATTGTACTAAGAAAACATATTTACAATGTTAAAAAGTGGACGAAAATAGAATAATGTTACTCTTACTTTTACCTTGCGTATTTTTCAAATAAAATGTTCACTTGGCAAGAGTGCATTTTTTGCTGAAATTTTCAAAACCCGGTTATAAAATTAATTTTACTAGTTCAACTAAATTCACTTTCAAAGCACCTTGACCAAACCGCACTAAAATAACGTCTTCGCAAACATTAAGTTCCCTTTGAACCGGCAGTGACACTTTATTTACTAGTCCATTCATCCGAAAATGTGGGAGCAAAAACATCATTTAAGGTTTAGGAACTACAAGAGTACCTGTAATTTGCGTGTAAATTGAAGTCTTCTAATTTCCACCTGCTCTATAATTTTCTTAATTATCCTGTCTTATTGTTCAAGGGTAAAAAGAAGCGATCGACAATTTGAGTGAAAGTTGCCTTTCTTCTTTTTTTATCTTGTTGCATTATTATTCCTTGAATATGATTTGTCTAAATTTTCAGCATCTTTGGATCTTTAAACTGCTAAATCGGCTTTGAGGAATCGCTTTTTAACTTATAAACCTCATTTAGCTAGAGCATTACTAAAATTATTTATCTAAAAGTTTATTAATTGTCAAATGGACACTTTTTAGCATGAAAAGTGCGTCATTCTGGTTCCTACCCCACTCTCTCGCACCCCCTCAATCACTACATAGACGTGGATGGAAAGGGCAAACCAACTCTGCCATATCATCAGGTCATCGATGCCTCCATTGCGGTCGTGGTAATAGTAATTGTCAGAGAGCAGGCCATTGAAAAAGATAGAGATCAGACCTGTCCAGAGGAAACAGCTTTTTCCTTTTTTCACCATAGCAATGGCCCGGAAATGGGCACAAATGTGAATTCAGTGTGGCCACGTATTGCATACCTTCACACACTCCCACATTATACGCCTAAAAACAGCTGAACTTTGGCTAAGAAGAGTTTGACAGTGCCCATTACACCGAATGTGTGGTTAAACTTGCAGACCATTCCTTTTTTGTTCACCACGTGACTCACACCCCCTGTAAAACTCCCTATTTTGTCGTATAATGATATGGTCAGTTGTTGAAGATAATAATTTCTTTGATGTATTACTCAGCCATGTGTTTTAATGGCCATTTACCATTCCTACTGCTCCACATGAGTCAAGTTAGGTCCAAAGGAAGGGAACTCCCCTGTTTATCATGAATGGCAGAGTAGAAGGGGTACACCCACTAAAATATTTTTTGGTAAATAGCCTGAAATCAGAGGCCTAATTGAGTCTTGAAGGAAACTGAAAACAGAAGGGGTCCATTCGAACTCCAAGTAGGGTATAAAATGTTATTTCCTAACTCCACTCACTACTAGCAACGCAGACTTATTACTACGATTTTCTGAATGAGGAGTGTTGAGGCTTTGTGAAGGAAGAATGAAATATTTTGACCGTATTATAAGTGTGATTTTCTGTGCATCTTGTGTGATAATTTGAAGTAACTTTAAGAGCACCCCTTAAGTCCACTTTGTCATTACCGCTTTGAGTGTATTACAATTGTAAAACTGACCCGAAAAGAAAACATGTCCTGCAAAGCTAATCTCAGATACTTGCAATCGCAGTTTCTTTCACATAAAAATAATCGCAGTCTAGGGACCTTGTTATTTCTTAACAGTCTATCATCAAAGGAGGGGGTTAATTACTTAAAGAGAAATCTATTCAATATGTCAATTTTTATCACTATCTTTGTTTATTTACTTTTTGGGTGGAAACCACTAATTTTAGTTCATCTCCATAAATGTTATGGCAAAGCGAATATGATAAGCAACTGAAATCCGTATTTAATAACTTTTCGATTGGAGGAAATCACCTCCAAAATATACCGGATCCTTTGAAGACTTGCGTTAGATTACACGATGTTATTGTAGGATGTGGGGACTTCCCTGAAGACGCAAGAAGACCTATGCATCGCCGACCTGGAGAGGGGCTAAGAGGATACTGGCCTGTCCCAGGGGCTATGCCACCCAACAAAAGTACAAAGGCGTAGCCTTAAATGCCCGCAAAACTAAAACTGAGAGTTAAACCAACAAAGCACTACATAGCACCTCTCCTCTTTTGAGCGTCACACCGGCGATCCCCTCTGTCAACCTTCCACGACCGGTCATCACGATGTAGTCGGTGCTGGAAGGAGAAGCACCCACAAACCTACCGAGCTAGTCATCGAATTCTCCTGCAACTGAGTTATCTGGCTGCAGTGTCACCGATCCCTCTTGGCAATTCCACTGGGGCTGGAGTTTTGCCCCATTTGCGAAATGTACTAAGCAAATGAAGGAATGCGTTGGCCACCCCACCCGTGTCTATCCCTAGTCATAAGGATACGGGACTAAAAGCAGTCATTTAATGTAGGGCGGGGTCTAAAATAGATTCATGGGGATTAGATTTTGCGTCTCTTTCTCCTTGCCAATTTGTTCTCACTTCAGTGCTCTTCAGTCATACCTAGCTGAGTCCAAACAGCTAGTAGAGGGGTGGAGGTGGCATCGTCTGTTCACTTAATTAATATTTTTGTATGGATACGGTAGACAGCTTCGCAACTAACTTTTTCAGATGGTTCATGGCTAGTGTAACTTCATTTGTTAATATTGTTCCTGCACAATGCAGGACTGGGCTAGATGGTGAAGGTGGACACTACTTTTAACCCTACTGTTAGGAGTCGATACAGATTTCTTCAACCGCAGCGCATTCCCCTTTCTTCATGCTAAGGTTTGACGCTCAGTAATAGAAGTAAGGCCAGTTGCGTTATAAAACTGGGTTTGCTTTCTGCTGTCACCATTGTAGGGCATCAAGGCTTTCCTAAAGACAAAGGAAGTCACAATATTCGGGTGGAATATGTATCTCTGACGTTCAGATGAGCTTGGGGGCTACTGGCATGTCTGAGGCTAAGTCGCCCTGACAAAGGCGCAGTGGCGGAGATCTACCTTGCCGCTTACACAAAACCGAGAGTTCAACAAGCTGTCCAAGTGTTACATTTAATGTGTGGTAGTCCGCTCACTCGGGACTGGATTAAACCATTTTTAAAAACTAGCCATCCAGACCCATTATTTCCTTGGCCTCTGTGTTATTCAGGCAATTGAAGAAGCAAATTTCAAAGCAACTGTATCAGTAGCTGATTAAAAAGGAATTTGCTTTCACTCTGTTTACAAGTCGGGATACTGAAGACTCTATGACAATGGGATAGACAACAAAAATGATAAAAAACTCCATTTTCTCAACGCTCCATTCTTAGACATTTATCATTCAACAACGGCTTTTTCAAGTTTTGCAATAGCTGTAGGGGATGTCTCAGCATCTTGCGTTCTTGTCCTTGTAGAGAATTTGTGTGCCATCGCTAAAGCTTTGCCCAAATCCCATCGCTGCTGCACCAAACACCTCTTCGTGAGTTTCATCTTCTTAATAAACACTTTTTTTGTTAATTTGTCGGCACTTATTGTCAAATTCCTGTTTAAAAAAGCGAAATTCCCCCCTACGAAACACTGGAAGGTCAATGTGTCCTAGCATTTCCCATTCAAGATACGCACATACGCCCAACAATTTTTGGTCATTTTGTTTGAAGGGGAACCACTCAACTATAACCATTTAAACCACCACCTGTTGGAATCGCTGTCAAGTCACCGCGGTTATCAGTGAAGGCAAGAGGTGTGGATCCGCCCAACTCCCTCAAATGAGGATGCGCCATAGGTGCGTGGTCTTAAGACAGGTGCGCGAGTAAACAAACTCTGGGACGAGGTCAGAAACTAAGGCCGCTAGGTGACATGAAAAATGGCCTTTTCACTTGTGGCTTGTGAGTCGGAGGAGGCGGAGGTGAGGAGTTGCGTCCAGTAATGTGGGAGTAGTAGGCGTGTCAACAAGAAAAGAGATGTCAAATAAATTTACCTTCACTTTCTTACTCCCTTCTCGTCCTGCTCACTCCTCCTCCTCCTCCTCCATCCTCCTTCTTCTCCATTCCGGCTTGATACGAATCACATCAGACTTTCCGAAACGTTTATTCGTGGTTGAGACGTGTCTCTATCCTACTGACATGATATTTACTGGGGATCCATACACTCCTCCTCATCTGTGGAAAGTGCCTGTACACTCAAAAAAGATGGCATTATTTCTAATTTTCTTTTTTATCTACTTCACACTAATTCTAAAGCTACTTGTCTTCTTAGCCAAGATGAACCGCGGGATTAAGAGCTTCAGAGTCATTGCTGTGCCTTAGATTTTTAACAATTTTCTGCTTTTCAGACTCCCAAAGATTTGACTGTAGATGTTCCACCTTCTTAATCCTTGATCAACTTGCATAGAATGGCTGTTTTGATCCAGTAAAACCTAGTATCTTCCATCCTGAGAATTTTTAGGTAACTGCGAAGACTTAGACTCGGTTTACTGAAGTGAATTAGACAACTTCTAACGAAGTTAAATGGCGCCTTTTTTTAGACAAAGATTGATAAAGTATCCCTCAGGATTCAAAAATCGACTGGCTGTCGAGTATGAAGAGAGAGCACCAGCATATCCCATTAACCTGAACCGATGGCGACTTTTTTAGAACAAAAAGTAGTGTAAAAGTGGGACCCTTATCCGGTTTACTTTCTTGTGAAGTTTCTTTGGTTAATGCATTTGCCATTAAAGTCTTGGGGGAAAATCAGTCACCACAACCCATCCGCTTGATTGTTGCATTGGGGCACCAAATTGACCAATTTAGCCACTGTTTAAGACCAAGAAATGTCTCTCCTCTCCAGAATAAGAAGATCCTACAGCTCTATTATTGTTTTGAACTCATTCACTCTGGTTGCGTCCTTATAAAGAACATACGTCATATGAGTGGGAATGTCACATATATGTGACGCTGGAAAAGAATGGACCAAACATAGAAAATGTTGAATTTGTTGCGCTTCTAAAGGAACTGCTTTATAGAAATTTCCCTAAATTTCAATCCAAGAATGCAGACTAGATTTAATAGACTCATCAGAAGGAAGATTGCCTGCAAACACGGAAACACTTCTTTATTCAGTACCGGTCTTAGAGGATGCCTTATGTGGGCTTGGAACAAACTCGGTGTTTAATGCTTCACAAAGAGCACCTTTCTCTTTGTGAATGCATAAATTTGCAAATCGTGTCGTGTAAAATCATTTTCTACGTGCGAACCTCTGCCTCTCTTCAACAGTCTTGTGTTCGTACTGCTGCCCGATTTTGCTGCCGAGAAACTAACATGCCTCGGTGATAATGAGAGGATTTTCCAGTTAGAAGCGTGCCTCGACATCAAGCCGAGTTAGGCCATTCATCAAGGCAAATTCAGGCAAATCTCGTGTCAACTTCTCAGCCTCTCGCCTTCACCCTAGTGAAATGCTTTCTGCGGCCCGAGTCAATGAGGGCAGACACATTGACGAGTATCAGGGGATAGTTATATGTCTATAAATAAAACTGACTCTCACTTGTTGTTCACATAGTTTTGGGATTTTTTCCTTTGAAAAAATATGGAATTTTAGTTAGCAGGTAATGTTTTCATATTGGCCACCCAAACAGTGTTTAAGACCTCATTCACACGTGGTCATCAATCAAGTAAATGAGTTTGTGCTTCATTAAAGAACAATAATTCCTCACATTGAGGCAGTATAATCGTTCGTTTGATTCCACCTCTTATGTTTCTTTTCGATGAAACACTAATTGGGTCCAAACGCCCACCTTTCCTTTATTCTTCATGATGTTTGACTTATTCCACTAATTCACGTACTGCCGCCTCCATCTCAGTAGAAGCAGAAAGCACTCATTGTGTGTGAGGGAAGGAGCGTTACCCTCTAGCATCTTTCCCCACCGCCTAACGGGAGAGTGAGACAATCTGTTTTTGTGTATAATGAGGTGTTTGGCTTTCTGTGGCCCAAATTGGGGCAGGGTTAAATCGTTTCAGAGCACTCAAGTTGTAAGGCGATGGACTCGCCACCTCTACTCCACTGTTCTCCTCTTCATCCGCCTCTCTTTCGCCCAATTTTTGCACGACCTGTAATTACCTGCTTAAGTTGACGCCCTGTAATTAACCCTTCAGGCGGCGGCGCATAAGCTGTGCCATCATTACTACCACTACTACTAATGCCCCCGTCCCACATTCACTCGGCCACTTCGCACCTTTCCATCCCTTCCTGTTACTTTTATTCACTTTTTCGAAAATAAAGGGGAGGAGGAGGAGTGATACTCATTCAATCCCCATTCTCTGCCACTTATCGGGAGAGTGACCCGAAACCTTCCACCTCTTCTCAATTTCCCTTGCATTTGGCTTTGTGACTGTCAAAATTAGCGTTAGCATATGTGCTGAGGACTTTTCTTCTTTTTGCTAAAAAACGCTTCTTACTTTGCGTGTTGTAAAGTGACTAAACCCCATAACGCTCTAGTTTATGATAAGTCCACAAGTTTTTTATTTTCCGAAACACTACTTCTCTCAGCGTTTAAGGCAAACCGGGACTTCTAGTTTGATATTCGAAGAAGCAAAAGAAGTTACATGAAACAAAATTGCATTTATGACTTAAAATAACCTTTCATGACATTTATGCATATATTCTGGATGTGAACCACTGCCTAAAAAGCAGCTTTGGAATAGAAGGAGTTGTAAATACGACCGAATCACCCACGGTAGTCTGGTCACTCCGCCATCAATACTTACGTTCCTAAATGACTTTATTCACCTTTCCTTCAAAAAGTAGCAAATCAGAGGTTTGGAATGAGAAGCTCAGCATGATTACTACTTATAACTGGGTTCTGGGAATAACTACGACCGAGTTCATCACTAACACAAGCATGGCCGCCCGTATAAACATCTTACTACTGAGAGACTAAAGGCCACACAATCGTACAGTGCTTAAAGTCGTCTGCAAGCGCCAGTGGACAGTCGCAGGTTGTACGGCTTCGGTAACAAAAACTGCTCCATGTACATGGCAGCAACCATTGCCTGCTGCCTTAATTGAGAGAATTTGGACTTGACCACAAAATTTGCACCTCTGAAATTGGCGAGCCCAGTTTGACTGCCCGACCCTCCACGGTCTTCCAAATCTAATTTTGGTCAGATTTTGTGAGCCCTTCTACTCAGACCTCAAGGCGAACTTTTCCGTTGTGGTGTCACCTTGCCAGAATCGTGAAGGCGAAGCGGTTACAGGTGCACTTAAGGAGATCCATTTAGAAGTGATTTTAGTGTAACAATTAATTAAAAATTTTTCTTTGATGAGCTTACAGACCAGAATAAAAACGCATCAATTTATTTTGTAGTGATATATACTATCTCTTTATAATAGACGGGTGTTTTGACGAAAAAAAGTGGTGCGAACTCTCAGGAGAAATACCAGAATAAAATATCATGTTTGTGGAAAGAATGGATACATTTGGAGGTAAAAAAAGTATGCTGGATTATGGAAGAAGGAAAGTTGCAAACCACTGCTTCAAATCCTACTTAAAAGTTATAAAATTACTCGATAGATAATATGCAGATGAAATGGGTTTATATGGCCAACATTGAAGCATATAACAACTTTTGAAAGTCAAAAAAAATCAGTTTTTATTCTCCGTTTTAAGGGACACTATTAAGTCATCATCGTTACCAGACAGGCTTTTGAATATTGCGTCTCGATGGTAAATTAATATGTTTTTATATATCTTTCCCCATGTAAACCTTTGGGAAAGAAAAGGGGTGATCATGGTCTAAGACAGTCTCATGGACCAGTCATGAGGAGCAGGCCTTGAACTAGCACTTCTGGTCTCCAAGTAAACAAGGGTGGAGTGGGGCGTAAAAAACCCCTTTTATTCCAGTCTGCCTTCAACTGACCAAATGGCCTTGTGATGTTGAGGCTTTAAATAGCTAACCACCCTGCGTGTCTAAATAAGGCTTGTGGGTGGGAGAGAATGCCATCACCTGAGTAGTTGACAAGTTATATATCAGTGCTATCGAAGAAATTAATTGTAAAAAGGCCGAAATGCAGGAGGTGGAGACCATTGTGACCACACACACACACATTCCTTGGCGACAACTCACCTAAGAATCGTGCCGACAAAGCCGTGATAGATGGCTGTCAAATTAATTAAAGTCTACCATTTCCTTCGTGCTGGGATTCTAGATTGGCCGAGGTAAGTATCCGTTACAAATGTAGAATGGCCTAACCTAAAATATGAAATAACTATTTCGGAAAATTGAAGCTCCTTGAGTCTTTCCTGAGGTAGAAAGAAGTTCTGATCCTTGAATAGAAAATGTTTTGCCGAAGTACAGAAGCCCTGGGGGGATATTGGCATCACCCTTAGGTCATGCTGTCGAGCGGCAGTACAAAGGCGGTACCTTAAGCGCCCGCAGAATCAAGACGAGGAGTTGAACGAATAATCAGAGCCTTACAGTACACTCGCTCCTTTTGGTTGTCGTCCCTAGCCAACCTCCCGCTTCAGCCATTACAACTTCGTCGCTGCTGTAAGGGAAAACACCCATGAGCCATCCCAGCCAGTCATCGAATTTGCGTGCGCAGCATCACTAGTCCCTGTTGGCATTTCAACTGGACCTAGAGTTCTATCCCGTTTGATAACTGTATTCGAGTACGAAGAAATGTTCTAGCCTACCTCCGTGCCCATTCCTAGTGGTGAGAATACTGGCCTAAAAGCAGTCATTTTACGTATGACAGGGTCTAAGATATTTTCGTGGTAATGAGATCTTATGTTTACTCCTCCTTGCCACGTTGTTCTCACTTTAGAGCTTCTCAGAAAAGAGGTGAAAAAAGAGGTATCGCGTGTCCGCTTAACATATTCATGTGGGTACCATAGATGCCTTCAAAGGAACTTTTCCAGATGATTTTACTACTAGTGTTGCTTCAGTTGTTACGAGAATTCCTGGAGTACATGAGAGTGGGGTAGTTGCCGAAAGTAGACATCATTTTCAAGCCTTCTGTTAGGGGTCGTCAAAGAATTCCTCATTCACAACCTATCCCCTTCTCCTGCCATATTGAGGCTCGGCTCTCAGTAATCAAAACTAGGGTAGTTATCCTTTTGCTTTCCGCTGCCACCAATGTAGCGTTCCCAGACTTTCCTGAAGTCGAAAGAAGTCACAATACTAGGGCAGGCATGTATTGTCGACTTGCAGAAGGAGTGGGGAGCTACTGGCTTTGCCTAAAGGCCAAGCTTCCCGGCAAGGATGCACTGGCGGAGACTTAAGTGTCCGCTTAACCTAAATGAAGAAATAGACGTCATAAATCTTGCCAGTTTATCTTGTTTCATTTCTGACATTCAGTTAGGATATGAAGATGCACATTTACACCTTTCCAACTCATCATTTTTGTCCTCTTCGACACTCTTACTTGGAAGTTATGCTGAAATAATCCTGCAGCGGTCTCCAGATTTCAAGAGGTTATAGGATGGCTCTTCGGATATTCCCTTTAAAAGAGGTTTTAAAAGTGAAGAAAAAAAACGTTGCCCATAGAAACAACTTCCAACACCTTCCCCTGGGACTGAAAACTTGTCCACCTAATTGCTTACTTGTTTTGAAGTTTTTTGCGTCTTTTTTTTCCTCTCCTCTTTAATATGTCCATCTTCGAGGCAGAAATATTAGAATCAGGTAAGATGATAAACCCGTGCTCTCAACAAAGTCTGCGACCTCGCTCTAACTCATAATACGCTAAGCCGAGTCTATATTACCGTGAGGACATTGAGGGTTTCCTTACGAAGGTTCTCCATTCAGCTCTTTTTCATTTTCCTCGCAAATCGTTTGCATTGTTTGCCTCTATGATAATAGTTTAAGCCCTCTGACCGTGGTTGTTTGATGGTCAGTTTTCTTGTTGTTTTTTGACCACCTTTTATGAAGTGCATTAGCTTTCTGTAAGATAGGGTACGGTCAGATGGTCCGACTAATAGATCCACAGGTAAGTTTGGACTGTAAGCCTTTGAATCAGTTGTAACTCTTGCTCAAAATTGATTAAAAAGGTGTTTTAAGCACACTGTAAGAGTGGACCGGTTCATGCCTCAAGCCCAAAAGCGGTAGTGCATTTGACAGAATTTTGTGGTAATAGTTATTAAGTGGAGTTTGTGGATTTGCCGACCCTGATTTATTGGCGGGGCTCTGAGTCATTAGGCGGTGTGGAAAATATCTCTAATGGCTTCCCAAAAGGCGAGAGGGAGGTGTCTATTAAGCAGTAATCAGGGTAAATAGCAGCGTTAGAATAGAAACAAGTCTTTTCTACTTTTCCTCTACTGTCTTACAGTGTTGGTCATTATAGTTCCGCAATGCGCCCACCGTAGTGGGTACAGATGCGGATATCTGAAATCTTGGTGTTTGGATGGTCCTTTAGATGGTTTACTGTTTGACATTGTGACTGTTCTGAAGAAAAAAAGGCACAATACTAGGGCCTGGAGGCTACTGGCATAGCCCGGAGGCCAGGCCGCTCGACGAAGGTACAGTGGGGGCAGCTCCTAGTTGGCCCTTTTCAAAAGATTTGAATCAACATTTAAGGCATCACACTTACATTCACATGACAAGTTAACCGAAATGTTGGTTTTTGTTTTTAACAGCTTTTAAGACCTGCACGAGTTTGGTGTTCTTTCCTTTTCCTTTTGATTCCATCCCTCCGACATTACTAATTACGCCGAAGTGCCTCAGGCAGAATATTCCCCATTTTCAAGCGTAACAACTTAGAAGAGTCTAAAAATGGCAAGTTATTATAAATTTTATTCCAAGATATCTGAAAACATGACTTTGTACCAAGAACTACTGATATTTCAAGTTTTTCACATTTTTTTGTCTATACTATTGAAAACAGAAACTGAGTACAACCCTGTTTGTAACCATTATTTTTTCGCCTTCCAAGTGAGTCATTATTGTATTTTTAAGAATAGTATCCCTTACGAATCCGAAAAAAAATACAACTAAAAGTGTGATATTCGCCCTTATTATAGTAAAAAATTTATTTGAAGTTCTTTCTCCGGCTATGATATTTCAGTAGTAGATGCGACCTAAGTGTTTCTTGAGAAGTTGACACGCATTGCAAGCCCTACTCTGCAAAAATCACGAGAAACGTTAACTCACTATACTTTCTCACCTGTCCCTTGGGGTTAGCATCCATCGTCTCTGGCAATTTCTGCCACTTTCTGACCTTGAACTAAGCCTTGAAACCAGATTCTAGTTACTTTTGCCTCCTTGAAGAGAGGATGCATTCTTTCCCATGCGTGGCAGATTTCATCTGCTACGAAGCAGAAGCATCTTTTAGTTAACGAAAAAGCTAGGAGAGATCTCTGATGCCATAATCTAACATGAGTCACTGGTAATGACAAATTGTCATCCACTACACCAGCAAATCAAACTACACGGCAGTGGAGCAGTTTGGGTTAATTTGCATAACACTCGCCTTCACCATCTGATAGCGTTAAACAGTTTCCGTAGGGAAAGATCGTCGCGTCATTTTAAAGCAGGCGACGTTGTGGGATTTATATTTTTGTAGATCTTTTTCTGGTACTTCTGATTCTCTGTCCCCCTCCCCCATCCCCCTCTGCATAAAATTTATCAACTTAAAGCATCTTGTTACAAGCACCTGCATAGCCCATCCCCCCGTATCCGCCCTGCCCCAGCAGTCAGCGCTGGTGTCCATTAGTCACTATCGTTGTGGCCTATCTATCTTTACGGCACTGCTACCTCCCGCTCTAATGAAGATGTGCGCACACATCCGTAGAATGGAGGACTCGTATTCTCTCGGCTTGCCTTTATTTTCTCCGAGTTGTTTCGTCAATACCTCCCCAGCCCATTGGTTGGTTGTCGGAGCCGGAGGATGACGCTTTTTGTGGTCTGCACCCACGGCTGAACAATGCGTGATGTAACGATCTGGAGGCTATATTTTGAACAAGAGAAATAGACGGTTTATTTCCCCTCCCCCGCCTTAAAAATTTCTACTAAAAGTGACTAATTAGGGCGGTATTATCCCCACAAATAATGAATTATAAAACTGGACATAACTCCTTTTTTGCCTAACACTACCGAGTTTGGTTCGATAGAATGAATTATGCCCATAAAGACGCTGATGCTGACAACCGTCTGTTTTGATGGGCTGCATCAAAGGTGGAAGGGCAGTCGGTAGTTGGCGTGTGAGGTCCTGGCCCGTCTGTCAACTGAGGTGCTGCAAATATTAAATACTTTCCATAAGGCAACTTTTCCCCCCAAATGAGTCACGGTCTGCAAAATCGTAATTTTGATGTATTTCTAGGTTTGGCCAACCGATGGATGAAGTGATAAGAACTGGTCTTGTAGACTTTGTTATTTTGAGAAAAACTTTGCCAAAAATTGAACAGATGATAAAGAAAACGAAAGTGTGGAGAATGGGGGTCAAGACGCATCAGTTTTGCATTTTTTTATCCTTTCCATAAGGTCTTGTCTTACTTTAAGAGGAATTAGCTGTTAGAGGCACAGTCGAATCCAGTCGAGATCACCATTTACGCGTTCAACAATGTCACATCTGGCTGGTATTAAGCCAACCGTTTTAAGCTTCCTTTCCATACTTTTTTGGAATATAAATTTTAACAAGGGAAGAGGAGGGAAAATGACACCCCAGTCCTTGAAGATGACGTTGAATGTCACGCCAGCCGCCGACAGGCGTTAAGTCTACACGAATCATCTTAGATACTTATAGAACTCAGTAGTATGTGTATTAGGGTACTATTGGGTGATGTCACCTGCGGATGCCAAGTCTCGACGACAAGCCTTTGCGGGTCAAGAAAGAGAGCTTTGCGAGGAGTTGGAGGTGCCCAATGTTGAATGGAACCCCTGTGTCAACCGTTGGCATGCCTACAACAACAACAACATTCTTGATCGCTACGTTGACTTGAAGTTCAAGAGTCCATATCTCTAAAATGCATCAGTTCTACTTTCCTCAAAATTTATCCAAATTCATCGTGGAATACAGCCAGTGGAGACAACCAAGTAAAGCGTTTTGGCTTAAAATTTTTTTCCCAAAACTCAGTACATCCTTTTGACTTTGACTACTACCTCTGTCTGTTAATGCCATCACTTAAATGCCAACTTCACTTTGGTTATGAGACAAAGTGTCGTTCAGTACTACAAACGCAAGAATATGCTCTCCTGCTACCAGAGCACCATCATGTTTAAGGTGTTTGTAAGGAAAAAGATAACTCCTACTTGTGAATGTGTAAAACGCAGAAAAGAAAGCACTCATAAAACTTGCCTGATTGTGTTCGCCGTTGGCTCTTTGTTTTCTTCTACCAATCACATCATCTACGATGATCTCCCCCGGTTTTTAAGTCCCCTGCAGTCCTGGGTGATGTGCTCTTCACGAATTCCAACACATCAAGTCCACGTCACTTCAATTCGTCAAGTTGACACGTAAATTGTGGCAGTCTTTTACTGTTCCAAGTTAGGTGGCCATTTAGTGGGAATTTTGCTGCATCGTAGTAGGCGGTGGGACTGCTGAAGGTACGACCTCCGATAAGGCCTTGTGAAAAAAGTCCTGAAATTCAAACTGCATTTAAGGCACATTCAAAGAAGCATGTGCTTTCGCAAACAACTCTTATAGACCGCTATTTTTGTGTCCGGAAATGTCACAGGTCTTAAACAGGTGGACTGTAGTGCAAATTCATTTGACAGCCGAGTAAACACAAAGCGATGGTCGGTTGAAAGTTCATATCCCAACAAAATGCTGCAAGACGAATGTTTTTACTAGATATTTTGAATAAGTCCCTCTGGGTGATGATCATGTCCACTTTTTTTCTTTTTATCACTGGATCCCCACCTTTTTCGTCTCGATGGCATGTAATTAAAATTTAGTGTTCCTTCCTTAGGTCGCTTTAATTAATCACATTTTGTTCGTCCTCTTTTAATTTTCATATAATATTTATAATTACAGAGTTAAAAAAATGGCCTCAACTTTGCAATCGCCATGATTAGAGGGAGGTCCTTACCATCCTACTCCCCATGTACCGTAAAATTAGATGATTTTCCACTTGACTAGATATTTGAAAGAATAAAATAAATTTATGTCTCCTATTTGGTGCTTTAAAGACGAGCTATTTTCCCTTTCTTCTGTCCACCTGAATTGACTGTCATGATATGAGTGGAGGGGGGTCCATTGTTATGACCTCCATCACTCATTCACGCCGACCTGATTCGCTGGGGAGGAATGCGGAATTGAGAGGCTTAAGCAGTTCATTTTAACACTATCTTCTGTCTCTTTCTACACTTTCAGAACTCACTAGGCCTTTTCTATTGGGTTGAATAAAAATTCGTTCTTAAGTAGCGAAAATTACTCAGTTCAATCTCAGTGAAATGCGTAGCAAATAAGAAAACGAAAAGTGGAAGAGTTTACAATGAAATCCACTTTTGAATGCAATTGAGCCCTGTCGAATCCTTTTTTGCATCTTCCGTAGTATTTGTCATCTTCTTATTCAAAAAGAAGGGTCTTATGCACTCCACTAGACAAACATAGGGTTAAATCCCGATACTACTGAAAACGGTCAAATCAAATACCTAGTAACATCTAAACCACACAACTTTTACTCCTTTTCTACCAGCACCACTTAATCATCCAGGCTTAGTTAATGCGAATTTGTTTGGCTAATTTTGAGACAATGGTTGGGTGGTAGACAGGATGTAATAGCCCCTCAAACGAGACGAGAAAGGGGAAATCTACCTATAGAGCTCAAAGTAGGTAGGTGCCTCATTCGGCACCACGCTAGTATCTCATAATGGTTCAAAGTCATCACATAAAGTTCTCAAAAGGAGTTTAAAAAATAACATTTTTAATGCTCCCAGCTCAGTAATCAAAAATGCATGCTTAATGGACAGACAGGCAGACAGGGAGCATGAGGCGAACCTTAGGACACTCAAATGCTCCCTCAATTCCCATGTGTCATGGCATGCACTAGTATTTTTCTAAGAGGGGAAAACAATTTTCTTTGTTAGTCACTCCTCATTCCTCGGTTCGTTTGTTCGTTCCTTCGTCCACGCCGATCAATCAAATGATTACAATCAACTCGAGCCTTACGAATAAGCCCTCTGGCACTATATTCCGAAAGAGGGAGAACCTGTTTGAATTCCCCATATTTGTTCAGGGTAAACACTGTTGCAGAGTTGACAGACTACTTCTGTGTAAATAAAGCCTCTTCTAATTGACTTATCCCTCCCCATGCTAAAATACGTCGGCAGCATGTGTATGCGGAGTGGGGGCGTGGAGGAGGAGAGGAAGAGGAGGATAAGAAAAGGCCGGTAGTAGACTGTCCTCATTAGGATAGCATTCTTTCAGCCCTTAAAATTTTTCCTTTTTTTCCTCCTCCTTGTCTATTTAAGAAAGGCGCCTAGGTGATGATTCAAGAGATAGGCACTTTATCAGAAAAAAGAAACAGCGGGAAATTTTTCTCCTCCCTCTTCTTCTGGTTCCCAGTCCAGGGGCTCACATGACATCAAAATGGCGAATTGAACTAACAATTAAGATTAAATTAAAGTGTCATTTAATTTCAGGTTCCCTTCAATTATAGTCCGCTACTTATTTCCCATGCTGGGCATAGTTAGCTCACTGCCTTCCCTCCCCAATCCCCATTCTTTATGGACTTCAGATTAAAGACATGATAGGTAGTATGTCCAGCCTCATCCTAAGTGCTTGAGTTGGAAATAATTAAGCCAATGCTGTTTAGTCTGTTTTAATCTTTGTACACTTTAATTTACTCTAGAATGTAAGTTGTAGAGTGTTTAGGTACCGTCACACTGCAGAGGGGTTAACAGAGAACCCATACTACTGTTGGAGCTGGCCTTTAGCAACAGAATCCTGTACCGATCCACTTTCGATATTTGTCAAACAGTTAAGATTTTTGGAAAGCCGTTTTGTACCACAGTAGATTAATTGTTGGTGGGACTCACGTGATTGTATAAGGGACGTACAAGTCGTTCTGTTGACTGCGGACGACCTTGATGGCATTGCCCAGTGTCTCCTACTGCCGTGCGTGCGCTAGCCCAATCCAGACATCATAAATGAAGGCGGTGAGCAATAGTACTTGCTAGTAAGTACATGCAGGTGATAATGGAAGATGTCTCCTGGGGACAATGAAGGCGGACGTCTCGAGACCCCCAATATGTTCTCCTACCTACAGAGTACTTCAAACACATCACCACACGGCGGTGGCACACTTGGTTGTTAAGGTGAAAGACAATTGAATGATGTCGATCTTTTAAGGCAGAAACCTCCAGTCTTAAGTCTGTCTGTCTGTGACGATTTCAGCCGTGGTATTTTCCACCTCACCATGTAACAGCCATTCTCAGAGACATTTTATTCTGACCTTGGAAGTCGCGTCAGCCCACAAGACACGAACAATCTTTCTGTGAGAAAGATGAAAATAACACACAATCTTGAACACAAGCACAAAAACAGAGAAGACTGACACTTATGAGGGGGATGGTGCATTCCACCAGGTAACATCACCAATGCCTGATGACGAAGTGAAGCAGGCTATTCCAGATAGTTCCACCTCACTGCCAAGTCAATCTAGGTCAAAGTCACTTTCTAGCTTCTAGGTAAACGTTGAGATAGATGCATAACTATAGGGAAGGACCGTGTGGACCTTTTCTTTTTTAGTTTAAACCCTAAAATCCCATTGTGACCGGAAGGTCACCTCATATTTCCCATGCCCTCTACCACCATGCAGCTGAGATCATAATCGACCGAAACTGGGTGTTACCACCTATTCTAACCCCATCGCGAGCCAATAAAAGCGGCCGTGTGTGTTTGTGTGTAAGGTGTCACCGTGGTTACCAGGCCTAAAGCAAACAAACGACCCTCCAACTAACCCCATCACTAGTCCAATTTCCCCCTTCTCATTCTTTCTACTACCTCCTCTCCTCACCCCTCCGCATTAAAACGCCTCGGAGAGAACGTGACTATTTACTTTTTAACCGTCATTATTGTGCCCAGGCTCGGAACGTGGCATAAATAGAGCAGAAACAAAACTTATGGACTTGTTATTGAGAATAAATTTTGGGGTACTCACGCCATTACACTTAATCCCATTAGCAAATGTAAATTTGCCATCAAGAGCCTTCGAAGAGTAAGTTTTGCTCTCAAAAACAGATTGCTGGAAGTGGTGTGATGGGTTTTGTCAATCCCAAGGCCACTATCAATGGTTAGTGGTTCAGTTCTTCATCTTTTGTTGGGTTTTCGACTTCTTTTTCAAATAGTCTCTGCAATAGAGTTAACATGGGCCATCAAAAGCCCTTTACGATCCAAAAATTACGTCCTGTTATTGCTGGAATCCTAATGGATCGACTGTTTGCTAATGATTTCGATTGTACGTCCGATGTAGTCCCTAATTCTCTAACACGATATTCGAATGAGAAGATGCTTTCTGTTCTAGACTACAACTAATAAATGTAGCCCACTTACTGCAAACCCGTTTCGCCTAATTGAACATAAAGGCTGTCTTGACCACTACCCGGCCCGTGGAGGAAAGCTAACCGCCACGACCCACTAAATAATCAAAAAAGTGTAAGTGTCATCCTCGGACACAGCCGTTTATTTTCACCTGAGAAGAAACGCACGTCAGATGAATGCGGCACTGGAAATTGAAGCTGTGCATCTGACCAAAAAGGGTCGCTAATTGTACAGAACTAAGCAAAGCTGCCCGGCCTTTTAATGGACACCGAAAACACCGGTGTGTGATGTAGGGAGTTGTGAGAATCACTTCTTTTCCTTTTTAAGTGCCTACACCCTGAGTTGATGAGTGTCGACGCTTTGACGGGGTGCAAGGTCTGTGACGAGGTAAACCCTATTTGGAAGAGCAAATTTGAAAAGCACCTTATGATAACAATGTAGATTTACCATGATTTAAATGGTGAATAACCCTAAAATTGGCGATTTTGTGATCCTACGACTTCTAAAACGGGAGAGTTAATCCTTCTGATGCCTTCAAGTGTGCAGTAGAAAAATTGTGCATAATTCCCCTTTATCTTTTACTTTTAGCCATAACTCAACACTAATATATTTTTAAGGAATGCCAAACGACGGCTTGGACTCCACTACGCCAATCTCAAAACTAGGCCTTGTGCTCTCAAGCTGTCAACCAAAGAAAGGTTCTACGTCACCCACATCAGGTGAATAGGACGCTGGAAGTTGAGGCCGTGCATATGACGAATAAGATGATAATAGATAGCCAATTGTGCAGAAGTAAGCAAAGCTGCTTGGCCTTTTGATGGCTACCGAAAACACCGATGTGCGATGAAAAAAGTTGTGAGAGTTACCCCTTTTCAGGTTCAAGCAACTACTCTGAGTTGCGGACTGTTGACACGTCAACGGTGTGTGGGATCCATGGTGAAGCATATCCAATTCAGAAAAATACAAATTGATGAGTATCTGCAAGAACGACGACGTTAGACGCTAAATGCATTTTAATGGCATAACTTTCAGAATAGGCTACAGATGCTACGTCTGTGGTTATCATTCTCGTGATCCTACGGCATCCGAAGCGGGAGAACCACTCTGTCTGATACATTCTAGTGCATCGTTGGGAAAAGGTTTACCTTGCCCTTTTATCTCCTTTCTTGACCTATAACGATCGCTAGAACTCCAGCATGCTTGACTTAAAAGAGAGCCTTTCATTCATCAATTTTTCGTGAAAGAGGCGCAGCACTGGTAACCGTAGCTTTTGGAGCTTTTTGGATTTAACATGCGTTCTTCCTACATAACTGTCGAAATGCACTTAATTAGTGACATACAGGAGTGAGGAGGCTAAAAGGCAAGAAGAAAAGCAGACAGCCATTCGTTGGAGCTTGATTCTGATTTTAGAAAATGGATAAATTCTCATTCTGGACCTTTTAATACAACCGCGTATTACCAAGGGGAAAGGATATTACCAATGAGAATTTACTAGATTTGGTCCATTTAGCCAGCATTACTCCCTTGCCAGCAGTTATACCAAGCGAAATTTAAAAATACAAATGGATTATGGACTTGTAAATTCACAATTAAAGTTGAGTCGACGCAAATGAGGAATGAGGAATGGACTCACTCTCAAAACGGAAATGCGGCAGAAATAAGTTCTCATGGCAAGAAAATCAGACAAAATTAAATTTGCAGATGATCGTCAGATTATTTTAAAATGGGAAGAATTCTTTATAAGTGTGATGAGTGCAGCTTCCTCTACCTCATTTAAACAAAATATGCTTCCAGCTATCCAGTATAATGCTGATCAGAAAAGTAACTTTTAAATTCATTGATAAATACAATCATTTGATCCAGATTGTCAGCACTGGGATCATAAACTACGAAAAAATCAAGCGGCTTTTGGCCTCAAGTATAGGCTATGCTTTATCCATCATTAGAGTCAGGAAATGAAAAAAAAACGCTTTATCAGCGCAATCAGTATTACAAATGCATTAAACAAGAAGACGCATTAACATTTAACCGATGAAGTCAGCTTACAGCTAAATTACGGCGGTGACGATGGCAGCTTGAGCATGGACTGAACGGTTCCATTGGCCAGTATCACGGCTATCTACCAGTTTGACATCAAAACTACCACCTCCTCTACTTCAGGGTGGTCAGGGCTACCCGCGTTCAAGTTAACGCTAATTGGACACACTTCCGTGACCCCGAGTGGTCGACCAATCCACCAGCAGACGCGGTAGAGCGCGCATGCACACACGCACCGAAGCACGCACACATGCACGCAAGCATAACCTGGCGTAGAGGAGTGACCGTGTCTACCTTTTTATTCCTCTTTCGTCTTCTCCACAGACGCCGAGGGTAAATCCCAATGACGGTCCAGTATCACCTCCTTCTCTGTCTCTTTCTCTCTCTCTGCCTTGCATGGCTTCCCATTGCTCTCTCCTCGTCTTGGCGGATCCCTGCAACTGAGGTGAAGTACAGGTTTTCGGAGAACAGTCCTCCGGGGCAGATTTTGGGGAATGTCGCGGGCTCCGCGCCACAGAAGAGCGTGACGTATGCATTCGGTGCGCCTTCACAGCTCTTTCACCTCGACCCCGTCACCAGTGAACTCTCCCTCAAGGCTGAAATCGACGCGGAAAAGCTGTGCGGCCTAGCCACGTGGCGAGACGACGAGAAAGGAGGTTGTTAAAGCTCTTGCTTCTTATATTATTCATGCATTTAATACTTCCGGCTCTTCATGGAGTGGTTTATGCTCAAATCTCGATTCCGTTACTTAAAATGAGTTCATTTTATGGAATCTATCTACAGGAATGGGCAATCATTCAGTTCCGAAGCATACGTTGCAGTTTATTGGCTTGTAATCCACTTTAATGCTTCACTGAAGGAATTTATTCATCCTCAAAGATGGTTCCTGCAGCCAGAGAGGACTATGTATTGGATGTCATATCTGTCATATTTGTAGCGTAGATCTGGTTTACGGTGGAATTTTGGAAGTCCAAAGCACCTCTACGTCGTACAAAATGCACGAAACCGAAATATAGCTAAAGTTATATTTTGGTGATTTTAATACCCGTTGTTAGCCTAATCCCACTGCTAACCACAGAAGCAATTACCAGAGCCCTTCTCGTGTATCGATAGCTAGAGTTAGGGTCAGAAATTTTAGTCTCTTTTCCAGCTCTTTTCAGGTTTTAAACTATGCTCCCTCTGGGGTACTTGTGGCTCCAAGTTCTAGCTTTGTGTTCTGTTTTGTACAACTTCATGCTACTGTGTTATTAGTTCGAACCTTGCGATACTATTAACGGTTTACCGGTATCCGTTTTAAAAGACAAACATGGCGCTCATTCCCCTGACCAATTATGTAACGGAAAACGGATTCGAACTTGAATTACTCGCTCAGCTATTGGTCGGTTTGTGGAGGGGAGCACTTGTCTGCGTTACTGGCACAAATGTGGTCAAAACAGGAGTTGGGTTTAAATTGTTTCGCTAAAGTGATTTTTAATTCCTTCAGAAGATTGTCTTTTTTCCACTACGACGAGATTTTAAATCGGTTTTCCCAAACTTTGAAATGGTGCCTTATTATTATCTTTTGGGAAACTTTGGATTTTAAAAACGATGATACAACAGTCATTTTTCAAAACTTACTTTTATTCTCTTGAAATTCACACTTTCTTGCTGCGGTACTTCCGTACTAAGGTTTCTTGTAAACCTTCTGAGTTATTATTTCTTCCCTTTCGTGATGGTCACTTCCCGACCTTATTTGCATTCTTCCACCATGTCAACCACTCAACAGCGATCAGTAGGATATGTGAAATGGAAAAAAGATTTCACAGCACCATCAAAACTTCATGCGTGTAAGATGGCTTTACCAAATTATCACCTCAATGCACTCAACGGTTGGTTTAGTCACAAAGAACAAACGTCCTCCATCAGATAGAAGCTCGTGGGGACTAAGAAAGGGAAGTATGTCCAGGGGTAGGGATTGAAGTGTGGCCGGTAAATAAAAGCATAATACTTTAAGGAACCCTTTCCGTACATTGGATGTCTAGTCGGCGACAGTGCACAAGTTGCAGATGGTCCAAAAAGGGAGCTTCCCTTGATTTTCCTCATTACGCAAGTGCATTGCCGCCATATCGGGCCATATCTACACCCGCCTACACACACTCTCTCTAGACACGTACTGAAGAAGCGTCAATTTATGCCGCGTTGCTCCAACTAATATTTCTTACCCCCTCTCTCTTGCTCTGCCTCTCTCTCCATCCCTTTACTCCACCCACCGGTCTCTCGTATCGTCGTGAGCAATGCGTTAAATGGACGGTGGGCACTTAAGGCAGTGGGTTATAGAATCGACGTACGCAGTTTAGATAGGCAGAAGATATGGCGTCAGGCTTGTCTCTACTCATTTTTGATTTCCACAATGGTAGAGCAATTGCCTTGTGTTAATAAATCAGAGGGTTTTCTCAAGGGAGTGCGCAATTTTTAATTAAATACACCAAAAAGTAGACTAACGAGCAGTTAAGACGTAGAGGCAGCCCTTTCCAGTGCGTATCAGGAAAACGGGGAAGCTTTGCATCGCACCTTTTGCGGCGTCTGGAAATTATCAGACCTCACCAACAAACTGACTAACCAAACGCAGGCTTGCTTCTATCCGATCACGACACGAGGTCAAAAAGTACGAGAGAGCACCATTTTCTTCTGCCCGTAGATGCTATCATAAAATCTGCTTTAACGGTACATTTTCACGGTCCTCCTTTCCTTAGAGACCGATGTGGACAATTTCAGACGTCTTTTTAACCCTACACTTCTCTCCTATTGCCAAGAAATCGACGTGTATTGTGTGTATTGCTTCATTGTCATAACATTTCATTGTTCCGTACTTTGTAACGATGACTTGTTGTTGTTGTTGTAGCTATTGTGTCCAGGTGTCTTTTAGAACAAAAGTAGCCAAATCCTCTTGCATTGTGTGCTTAATGGATTATACTGGCTTGTGGCAAAAATCGCCGCCTCTGGATGGCAGGGGTGTTTCCCCAACATAAGGGAGAGGGAGGCTGGTTGTTAGTTTGACAAAGAGGTGATTCACTGGCTTTATCTTATTCCGCCTTGCATCCATGTTTAATAGCCCTTTTGATTAGGTTGTGTACATGTCTGTCCCACCTGATGACATTCCCTCATGCAGCAAAATTAATCCAACTTCTCTTTTGACTACCAAAGGTAGGAGATTCTGGGAAAGAGTTTTCTTTTTCAAATGAAACTCTCCCCAAATGCATTTTTGGAGTAGGAGAATGCTCTACCCGTCTCCCTTTTAATTCCTTCGTACTCCCTGCAGCGGTCACGCCCAAATTAAAAACGGTTGTCTAGGCAACGCTGTAGTCTGCTCGATGCCACCGTATAAGTCGTGGGAATTTTGAAATTCGGTTTCGTCTAATTGCATCACCAATTCTTTCGCCCTCTATCAGCCATAGTAATAACCATCCCTCTCTTCGCGGAGGAGTGCTACCTTCTGAAATAGGAAAAAAGTTGATTGAAAATGGGGAATGAGGAGCCCACCTTTGATTGGCTAGACATTATCGATCGAAGGCCAATCACAATGTGACCGCACGGAGCTGTGCGTAAACCGCACGCACGGAGGGGGGACACCCAGAGGGGGAGGAGGTTGCTAATGTGTGCCCTGGTGCGCACGTACGTGTGTGCAGGCTCGCTTATCGGGGACAGGTACGCACGCACGCACCAAAGACATTAATTCATGTGCGGTTTCGGCTAAGCGGTCATTGGCCCAATCATTAATCTGTCTAGACCGCCATCATGCATAGGTGGGACTTGAATACACGACTCTTAAAGTTTGCCGCCTTCTTGTTGGCCGCACAAATCCCAATCTGGAAGAGAAATAGCTCTATTTTTGAATTGTGGCTTTTTAAAATTTACTCGTCTCTCGCATGCTTGGGCCTGGGAAGTGGCGCGCCCATGCATCCTGTTGTGATCCTCATTATTGAAGGGAACTTTTTAGTCGACGTTCTTCATCACTGAATCAGCTACTGGCGAAATCTACTCTAATCGTGCCAAGTCTTGACATACTGGCATCTAACTTGAATCTCAGTTCCATCTAATTTATCCCTTCTGTCCGAGAAGTTGATTTCACTATACTGCACGGCAGTATGTAAATTTTATGCCCAAGAAGAATGGATATAATAGCATTTCGGACTACCGTTTTGCATTGCTCTTCTGCCGACGTGTAAAAGGGTATAATTTTTAAAACAGGATATTGAAACCACTCAGCCAGATTATGACCGCCATTGCGTGTAGTTGTCGTTTTGACCGGTAGTAGTGCAAACCTCCTTACCTGCAATTCAAGAATTATCTCCAAAAACAAATTTTATAATGAAGCACCTCAGGTATGGTCGTCCTTATGCGGCATACCCTAAAGGAGTCATAAGACAACTTTACCACAGGCTAGGCAAACTCACATGTAACAACTTATACTGTTCAACAATGTTACATGCATGATGTTGTGCAGCAGTGGAGGTGGTCCCAACTTAATTCAACCCCCCAAAAATGAAAAGTATTCTTCTGCAGCGTTGTTACTAACTACAGAGAGTCTATTATGCACATTTACTCCAATTATTATTTAATAGGAGAAGGTCTACGGTAGTTAAAACCTTTTGTTGGGGGAGCTGCGGTTGGGTGGTCGTGGTCACTGCTCCTGCTAACGGTACATGCATGTAGAAAAGAGCGTTGAGTGGAGATACGAATAAATGTTTAATTTTTTTTTAAAAAGAGAATAGTTCTTAGGCCAGACTAGTCATGTTGAAATGATTAGATTAGGTATTTATCAATGCTAAATTCGTCGGTAAGATTTTGGTTTAGTAAGTACCACCACCACATTTTAAAGGATCTCCATAAGCGAAAAGGCCTGAGTACCTTAAGCACCGGGTGCACAAGACCTCAACTTATCCGTTGATTAGGTCAAAGATTTCTGCAACAATGCAAAGGTGATATCGATGTAGTTGTTTCACTTCCATTGGTGAAAATGGAGGCAATGAAAGTGTGGCTACGAAGTGACCTCTTAGGGAAATATTTATTTACTTGTCTCGTGCTAGGTAGTGAAGACAACAGCTGAAATAAGTAATTCACAAGGTTTTTTAATATTCCTTTTTACTTTTTTTACCACAAAGAAGAGGAAGTGGACCGTGGATTTTGAAGTCTGCAATGTGACACCGTCTTGAAGAAGGAAATAGTGCACTGTAGTGCACCGCAGTGGTGCTTAAGCAGCCAAAGTAATTAAATTCTTTATTTGACTAACCTATCTCCAAGTTACACTTAATTGCCAGGAGCATGTTTGTTTGTCTAGTGTTTATTGCCTCACAATACGGCGTCTAATGTCTTCTAATGACGGCATCCCTCTATCTACTCCATTTTCAGTAAGGCATCTCAGTCTGTCTTTTGCCAACCTTTTTGAGGTGCCTCATTAATGCAACAAAAACCCGAGATGAAAAAAAATGGAATGTTGCTTAGGCTTGATTAGGAGAGATGGGTTTATTGCTAATTTATAGTAGAGCTGAGAGCTAACTCAAGTGCAGCAACCCAATTGAAGAAACCCAAAAAGGTCAGGGTAGTTATCTATCCCACATGAGTGTCCTTCTGTCCCTCGCCGTGGTTCTTATTCCTCTTCTACCACTGCGAATCGTTCAGTGGATTAGGCTCAACCCCGCAGCAAGATTTAGGACCAAACGCTTTAAGCTCCTTGTTTGACTTGTGGAAGTCCGTGTTGGGAAATCAGTTAAGATACTTGCCTATTATTGTTTCCGTTAAGCTAAAATTGTCAAGGAAGAGGTTCATCTGGTTCGTAAGGCTAGAGACTGGACGACCTTCTGTAGTATAATCCGTATGCAAATTAATTAGCAGGAACATTTACCCAAAACCCGATGGAAGGTATCGTTTTACCCCATTCCACTCCAAATTAATTTCACTCCCGTCAATAAGTAGAACTTGCAGTTGTGTTGGTTGGAAAAAGTCGACTTTGGATAATGGGCCATTTATAAAAGTACCCACAGAATCAGCCATCCGCAGCGAGTGCCTTCCTTCTGTAACCTTCTGACCTGACATCAACCGGTAAAAAACCGAGTTGTCATTGTCACCAAGTTAGTGTTCACTTTGTCCTTGAAGACGTTTTAAAACACGAGAGCTTGAGAGATTAGTAGCGGCATCAGCAAATTACATCCTACTAGCTAGATGTACCTGATAAATTCATGCAATTTGTCGATAGCCCATCACAAACTATGTTTCTTCACTAATCGTCAGTTACATCCACATTTGTAGACCCAAACAACGACCTCACCGATATAGTCACCTGCACACCTTCAACAGGCGAGCTCTCCGTCCAGTTGGATGTGAACGCCATCCTGCCAGACGGTGGTCTCCAGGCCGTCTTTAAGGTGACTGTGGAGGTCCTCGATGTGGACGACAACCCACCTCTGTTTGACAACCAGAGAGTGTGGAAACGACACCTGCGAGAAGTATTTTACCGCAAGGGCCGAAAAATCGACCTACCCAAGGCGCGTGACATCGACCTGCTCCCTGAGCACCGACTCATTCGCTATACCCTCGAGCAACATTCACCCGCAGTTGAAGATACCTTTCACTTTGAAGTCAGCAGCAGGTGAGGTGAAATCCACGGTTGTCTTTTTAGGCGTTCAGAATTCCATGAGAAGGGAATGGATATCACAGAAATTTGTGAGAAGTTAGCTTCAGGTGTATTAGTGTCTTGTAGCTACTACCGATGCGATCTATCTGACATTGATGGGGTGCTTTTGACTGCTTTGTGAAGAGGTAAAGTCAAATAACCGTCTGTTCTGAAATGAAAGAAAACAAAAGCCAAGGAATGCTTAACTAACACTTGGAATATTATGACACGGAAAGATTAGTCACTATAACTCAACCGTCTTGTGAACGAATGCCAACGGCTTTCACCATTTTCACAGAAGGGTTTGTCTATTATGTCCATTCGTTATGCATCCAACACGTTGATTGGTCACAGACACGGTCTCCAAGCCTGTAGGCTGGAGAGCATCACAGCTAGTTATCACTGAGGGACAGACTCAAGGCCCGGCGTCCATAATTGGTTGACATCACTCAAATGTCTTGTCCTTGAGCCAACGCCATACTGTGCTGTATTTGAGGTCTCTTGTATTTACTGTTGGATATCGGCTGATTTGAGATGTACACCTATATTGTTCACCATCACATGGCTTACCATCTTAATTAACGATGTGTGGATTGGAATACTCCACAACATGTGTACCATTGCATATCACGAGTTCTGTCATTTTTTTGTTAAACGCAAGTTTCTGCCTTTAGTGAGACTCCAACGCTGGTTCTGCTAAAAGATCTGGACGCCGAGACGCAGGAATACTTCAACATGACTCTCGTAGCCTTCAATCCCTCCCGGAGCTCACACTATCACGGCATGTACGTGGGGGGCAGGGGTTCGGAACAGCTGGAATCCCGTCTTCAAGTGGAAATCTACGTAGTGGATATGAATGACAACGAGCCCTACTTCGAGGAACCCAGTTGCAACGTGACTGTACATGAGGATACTCTGCCTGGAACAGTCATCTTTCAGGTACGCCATTGAAGACTGTTTATCTCCATTCTGATGGCCTACAGTGGGAACACTGCCTGTCTGCTTGGGGAACATACATGACATGGTGGTAAGGCGAAGTGGTAGACCCTGTCAATTGTGAGTCCTAGGCCCTGTGCCCGCTTCTAATTGGCAAGATTTTCTGATGAACTCGACGACCAACACGATGAAGCTGTGCAATGGATGCAACTGAGGTTTATTTTTGGAGGAGTCCAACTTCAAAAACACTGCGATGTTTCTATACTTAGACTAATTAATTAATTAATGCTGAGGAAGATCATTTTATTGCTTAGAAAGCTCCTTTTATTAGTAACAATTAATTACCAAGATAAAGGAATAACTTCAGAAGCAAGTAACTTATCCCTCTGTTTATTTAATTCTGCTTCTTTTGATGCTTTAAATGAATGGTTTTAAGTATATTTAAATGGGGCCGGGGTGGTCAAAATTTTGCTTAAAAGCAAAAGTGATTTTACTTGCCAGGACTTCTACTAAACACCAGCTTCCGAGTAATTCAATTTCTAACTCGTCTAAAGTCATCGCTCTGGAGAAAGGTAAACTGGTTGCCATAAGTTGCGCGTCCCGAGATTTGTTTATCACGGAGTCAAATGTGGCGATCTCCTATAAAAATAAACAGTGAAGGGTTCAACTTGTACCAAAAGTGTCATATTCACACTATCATTGATGAGTTTTTATTCGAGTGCGCTCACTGATTAGGTGTTTCATTGTTTTCCCATAAAAGATATGCTAGTGTAGGTTTTACGTGTCTGTCAAGGCTTGTTTTATTGTGGCTGATGAAGATGACTTTTTCTGCTTGGTCCCATTCTAAGCTTTGCCATGTAAAATGAACGACTGGTAGCAGTTAAACGAGTGAAACTAAAAAGGATTTAGCGATTTCCAATCATTGCCACCTTTTACCACTCCCTCTCTGGATTTTACACCCTAAATAGTCAAGTATTCCATCGTCTTTGTCATTCCAAAAGCATTTGATTTTATAACAGAAGACCAGACGGCACCATGTCATGTAATCATAGTTGACTAAAGATGGCATCAAAAAATTAATGCAACGGAACTGGTAAAAAATAAGGCATAGCTTATTAGTCTTCACTTACTCTTGACGACAACAAGGCTACTAATAGAAAAGCGGCAAGGAATAACCTCCTTTACACGTTTTGGTTTTTAGGATATTTATAGAGGTAGCCGACTTGTCTTTTCTCTAGTCTAACTACAGATTTAAGTTTGGTGCCGCAATTTTTGATGTGTAGTTTTAATAAGAACTATTACTAATATTGTGCCGTTCCATCTCATTGTGATTGGTTATCTGAATGGGCTCCAACTAATCAGGCATTAGCCGACTTGCATGCAGGTACAGAATGGATTATTAAGGTCAAGACTATATTAAATTGTCCTCTAAGAATGCAGAAATTCCATACTAATTCAGTTTAGCTATCAGCTTAGGTTTGACTAGCTTGTTTTGATTAGTAAAACATCTCTGACACGATAAATAGCTTTCCAGGTCCCGAGACTCCAATTTTGGATTCACATTGTCATGTGACAATCGTCTCCTCCAAAATCGCAGGGGGCCACGCCAGTGCGGGAGGCGACTTATAATTAACGTACAAAAGGGGTTGGAGGCTATAGGCATGGCCGGAGGGCCCTACCATCAAGCAAAACAGCCTGTGGCGCATATTTAAAAGTACAATAAAATAAGTGTCGAACCTCAAGGTAGTCATGGCAGTCGAGAAGAGAGCATAACAGGGTTTCATTTATCGAGTGACAAGACTTGACACGATGATACGTGGTGGTTTTTGTGATTTTTACTAGCCAGTTTGGAGTGACAGGTATGTACTGCAGCAATTATCTCAAGAAAAAAGATCAACTGTTTTGAAAATTTTTGAATAACCCCAGCGTTACCACACAGTTTGACTACAAACTGTCAACAAGTATTTTCTTTTAGAAGGTGGCCAGTCGTAGTTCCTGTGGTCATAATTTGCCACTGCTTGCGTACGTGTCTTATGAAACATAGGTAGAAATGCCTTAGTTCAATCAGAACGGGTCTCTAGTTGTGTAGTCTTTAGAGTTCTACTTCATTAAGTCATAAGATGCCAGCTGAAACTGATGTGATCTATGATTGTCTGTTTTACTCGCTTCTCAAGCAATGGCAGTTAACTTCTTGTCAAAGCTGTTTTTATATGGCACTTGGAGAGGGTGTACGCTATGCGGCAGCAGAATAGACTTCCATATAGAAGCTATCAGAGATGACTCACATAAGGGGTGGAAGGATCACGTTCAGGGAGAGCTGCCATTCCCCACAATGTAGAACGTAGGTGACGATGAACAATAACGCTTTCATTAAGTGAAAGACCGGTAAATGGGTCTCACCCACAACCATCAGGCGTTGAAAATAAGTTTGAAATACCACAAGTTTGTTCTCCGCTTCCTTGGGTGTTAGCAACACTGGACAGTTTGCTGATTGCCTTGTGATGAGAAAAGTTGCGTAATTCACTATTAAGCGAACAAGCGTAGCAGTGATTACACCACCCCAAACGACACATCCACAACTCTGTACCCCTCAATTGGATGCAACTCGATTAGGTGAAACAGCAACGTCTCCTCGAGAAACAGCCAGGACTAGTAAACCAGTCAGAACAAAGTATTCTCGTAAGATCTTACATCTCCTATCGTAAGACTTCCTCGTGAGACCATTTGCTCCCTCGGTGAGATGCGATGGGAGGAGAATACTGCCTCATGCGCCTCTAATGAGACCTCTCCAGGCTCTTGACATTAGTATTTGACAATCGCGTGACCACATGTAAAACAGAACAGATGGATGGGAAACAAAAAGGTGGGACGGATAGATGGATAAAAGAGAGGCCATTGAGTCCACATTTTTTCTTTGTGTTTCGCCAGACAAAAGCGTTGTTGAAGTGAAATTCTCAGCCATCTCATGCTTCTATGGGAATGATTCGCTGGCTGTAATGGTGATATTTAAAAAGCCTTCTGCAGTAATTTACTTTTATTAGACAAAACTGCACAAACTTATTTGAATTCCTCATGTTTATACGGTCATTTTTGGAAAGCCGTCTCCAGAGCATAGAGGTGACTAGGTCTCATGTACATAGTCAATCCATCTTTTGGAATATCTCGGACAAGGTTGTCAATTAACTCACTTCGGTTAATTGTAGCCTCTTACAAATATCCCATGCAAGGTAATGTGGTCAAAAGGGAAAGATCACCACTAAAGTCATCTTGTGTTATATTTTTCAAGATAGGTATCACTGTGGGAAGGCGTCATTGGGGCCAAGTGTTCTTACCATTTACCCTGCAGCACCTCCTTCGTTGATGGATTTGACGAGTTAACCCAATTACAACGAATATTTCATTTATTTAACATTAAATACCTTTTTATAGCTACCGAGTAAACTCCACAATGCAAACACCTTTTTGGCTCTCCTCTTAATACCGTAGACAATGAAAGTAACCATATCGAACGCACGCACCATCAGCTTGATATTCTACTTATTTTACCAACTATTGCGCCTTTTTATCACAAAATTTCTCCTTTTAACTACCCCACGTTGAAGAGCGTGAAATGCATCCGAGCTGTCGAAATACCGCAAGGTACATTCTTGACAATGCCACTAATGGAATCCTTGGAGAATCCGTGTAACCGTTTTATTGGGAATGCAATTTCTGTCTGCGGTCAAACTAAATTATTATTACGTTTATTAATTTTATTTTTGAAACTCAGGAAAATATAATTTCCACAATAGAAGTAACAAGATGACAACATTTCCTGCTTACTTTGAAATGTGCACGGAATAGCAAGAGCAGTCTTTTAATCGCAACTTTGACCGGTACAGTCGTAATTTGGCAGCAGAAAGCGGTTCTGTCAATTTGTCTCCCATGCTACGCATTTCGCGACCGTCTCCTCCTAATCGCTAGATGTGCGATGCGTCACTCACTCGCTAGTGCGTTTCCGTGACCTCCACTAACCCCCTCACCCCGGCGCTCCTCCTCTGTCCCCTTCCCCCGGTTTCCGCGTCGCGACGTAATTCAACATCCACCACCATGTGACCGCTCAATAAACACATGTCGCCCTCAGCCTCCTCCTCCTCCTCTCCGGTGGGTGCGTGCGACCAGCACTCATCAGCCAATAACCACCCACCGCGGCGCGCACGTCTCCGCCAATAGAGTATCGACCTTTGTGTCACCAACCAGCACCATTACTTTTTCCTCCATTCAAGAGAAAAGTTTTTTTAATGCAATGAGAAAATATACTGCTTGGGAGCAGATCAGCAAGCAATTTTGTGAAGTGAGAATTCTTATTCTCACGTAACGTTGATGGAGGTGTTTCTGAGTATCCGGGTTTCATTCTACAGGTTGTTTTGATTCGAGAAATCGTTCTGTTACCTCAGTCTACTGGATGGTAAGCCCCTGTAAAATATAATCTTTGCTTTTTAGCCATCGTGTACTCTTAGGCACTCGTAGAGAGTAGTTTCAAGGGTCTCTTTAAAGTGCCAATCTAAATACCCTTCACACCAATAGATCACGTTTTAGTACTGAGACTGGGCTTTGCAAGTACTTCAGTGCCAAGGGCGATATGTAAAAGGTTATATATTGTTCGAAATTTCATGATTGCAGGCAGTTAGTCTTTTGGGACTTTTTGAAGGAAACGAATAATTTTTGTCAACTAATGGTGCACACACGCACGAACACAATTTTTAGGGCGGTTGGCTCTGTTTGTAGTACTAAGTTTACACGGCCACAGAACGGCTTTAGGAGGATTTTGAACCATCGCGAACTTGCAGCGGAACCGTTTTTCCAATTCTGGAACTCCTCCTTTAAAGACCTTGGGACAAGTGGCGATGAACTTGGGATCTATCGGATGTGGTGGAAACTTCAAGATTCCAGGGATAGATGAAGTTGGTAATGTCGTAAGGTAAACTATTAAGAGGTTTTTTAATGTCAGATTTTATAAAGGCATGTGCGATGGCATAAATATGGTGTCCATAGTCGCCTTTTCCGTGCGTCAATTTCCTTTAACAGATCACCATGGGGTCAAATGAAGATGTTCAGGCATACGGAAATCCTTGGAAATATTTAGAAATATAACAAAGTTTAATTGAAAATACTGACAAAAACCTAGTCATATTTGGCTCTAAAAATGTCAACTTCTAAATAATAGAAGCATTATGGCATTTAATGACCTTGTTTCAGCCACAGTCACCACTTATAACGACTCCAGAGCAGTTCCGTGGACCGAGAGAAATTTCGTTTGAGTCCAGAAATTGTACTATTTTTTACCATTACTAATTAGTAGAGTATTATAAAGTTTTTATAATGTTCTCTTTTTGTCTGGATCAAAATTTAATGTCTCTGTTGCACTCAGGTGTTTGTAGAGCAAAGTGAAGTCCTTCATTAAAACAGTTATTGCGATTTAGAATATTTCTACCTTTAACTACTTCAGCCTTCGCCACCTTTCTGACGTCCTTGCATTTAAACTGAAATAATCTTTAATGAGGAATAATTTACACGCATTTTATTAAGCAACACACTCAAAAACTGGTTGTAAATCGCAAGCTTCGTGCTCTATTGCACGTTATCAGACAATCATAATGACGTGGGGATGTTTTTTGACCATCCAACCAGCGACGTTTTACATTCACCAGTTGCCATGTCAAGAGTGTCAACACAGTGGAGTATGAGTGGGACAGATGAAGTAGTGAGAGTAGGGGACCATTAGTAGAAGGGGCTGGTGGGCGCTCCACTCGACTATATCTTGTCCTCTAGGTGGTGTTTGTTTTTGTCTTTTGAGTAAATAAATACATGATAGAGGGGGGACGGTGACAGACATAGGGGACAAAGGGTTGCGACCATGGTAACTGTCGATTTGGACAATAAGATAAGCGCTTTGGATTGTCGCCGCGACCATGTACGTGTGTGCTTTCAAAGCGTTAATCTCTACTCATTACAACAGTTCCACCTCTTGAGGTAGGTTCTATGATTTGGATGGAACTAATTGGCGTAAGCATTGAATTATGTCTAAGTTAACTACTGAGGAGGTTAAAATGGACCGGCTAAAGTGTGTTAAATAATACGTCACATATAAGCGGCACGTGTGCCTTAAGAGTTTTAAATAAGTGATTGCACCACTGATAATAACTACAATTCCTTAGTGAGTATCTGGATGGCTGTGGAGGTGGATTTTCATGAGACACACTCTCCTACCAAACGTGTTTAGGAGTACTGTTGTGAGATTAGAGGTTCAGCCATCCATTTCTGCTGATATAGCGAGAAGGCCATTCTTGAGCCCTGTCGCATTTTGCAGTTGATCGAGACAAACTTTCTTTGAAAAGTTACATTTAGTTAAGAATCATGCGTGAAGCAAGGCAACGTACAAGATCCACAGTGAACAGAGCGCTCTTGCAGGCAAGTTCAAACAGTATTAATAGTAGTAGCCAGAGCTGATGGACAAAACAGTGGCGATTTTATCATCAAACACTCCCGAAAAGGCGGGGTGGGGTCAGGGAGGGAGGCCGGATGAGGCCATTAAAGAGACGAAGGAAGGGGTGAAGCATAGGAGACGTTGCCACCGGTAGAGAAAATAAAGAGAGAGAGAGGGAGACAAAGCGGTGCTTTGCTGCCCCCCACCAGTCCATTATCGCTCTCCCTACTTACAGGCACTTATAAAAATCCGCGTATATTGCCAAGAGGAATGTACATTATGCTCAACAGTGCCGAGGCGAATTAGAGGCGCCAGAGGCATAGGTGCAGTAGGAATGACCCTCACTTTTGAAAACTGGAAATACCACCGACTGGCTAATTTAATCCATCTTTTGCATGGAAGGTAATCTGCGTCTTTGATGTCTACTTGCATCGTATACACATTCAAGTCGAGGTGGGACACCTGAATGTATCCAGGAAGATGGAAATAACATCCTTTTTTTTTCACACAGTTTTCCACCTTAATTATTTATCCATCTCAGTGTTTAAATAGCATCTATAAAGGGATTTTGATAGGGAATGATTCGTCAGTGAAGCTGAACAATCTGGAATAGTCTGTTTCACTTCATCATCCGCCATTTGTTCTGCTACCCGATGGAGTGCACCATCCCTCCCGAAATTGCCACCAGTCTTCTTGGCTTTTGAGCTTGTTTTTGAGTTCGAGTCCGTGTTCACCTTCCCCCACAGAGGGATTGTTTGTACCGCATCTCGTGTGTCCATCCGACTTCCAAGTTCAGTATTAAATGAATGGTCGTGGGAACAGATAGATAGATAGACATCAGGCCGAATGTCAGGGCTTCGAAAGGTCGACATTATTCAAGCGTCCTTCAAATTAGTAGCCGAGCTTGCCGCAACCGTAACGTGTTGTGGAGTGCTTGAGGTACTCTGTAGACAGGAGTAGATATTGGAGGTTTACAGTCCTACGAGAGACATCGTCCATTATCACACAGTGTTGCATACTGAGTAACGGTATCCATGCCGACCCAGTGTCCATACTCTTGATCCGGTAAAATCCCACTAAAAGATCCGGAGAAGTTAGATATCCTACTCTGATCTGAACGCACTTCTAATTTATGAAACTAGGCCAGAGTTTCTTTCGACATGAACCTTGGAGAGCTGGAAATTCACTCGAGCCAACAATTTTTTTGAGCTTAGAATATAAATGGGAGATCAGTGTTTTAAACAGAGGGAGAGTGAGTGGATGGCGGAAGTGATATCCCACGGGGAATCCGCCTGTAATTTGACGTCCCTCCATGATGTGTGTGTGGGAAGTGAATTAATGAGCGTAACCTCAGCCCGGATAGTCGTGGGAAAATGCGGCTATTCCTTCATTCCTTCATTCATTCGTTTGTTCTTTGACCGCAAAGGAACGAGTTCGTGGCTTGTTGGGATGAAATCTTTAGGAAAGCTGGCTAAACAGAGATGGAATAAACTATCGACAGGAATCGAGGTAATGGTGGTATGTAATTGGTGGAAACAAGTTTTAAAGCATCAGAAACACTTCAAAGCAATTTGGAGATACTAACAATCCGCTACTGGATTCACTACATTGGTGAGACGTTACCAGTCCAGCGCTTTCATCCTTTGCCTAGAGATAGCCCCAATTAGTGAGCCAACGAAGGACAGGAATCTCAGTCATTTGAAGTTTTATGCTAGAATGGTTGGATAAGTATCCAAGACCTAGAGCTATTAGAAAGAGGATCATTTATTTTTGCTTTATTCCCTTAAACAGCTCAAAGCCCACGACGAGGACAGGAACGCGCAACTGGACTACTCGCTAGTGGAGGCATCAGGCGGAGGACAGCAGGCGGTGGCGTCTATTTTCGAAGTGGAGAAGGGCGGGCGTGTGATACTGCGGCGAGGTCTTGATTTCGAGTCCTGCCAAAACTACATCCTCCCTGTCAGCGTCACAGACGGTGACTTCAGTGCTGAAACCACGCTCCATGTAACCGTGGCCGATGTCAATGACGAGGCACCACGGTTTGAAATTAATCCCATCCACCTTACAGCTGAGGAAGGCACCTCGGCCAAGCGATCCATTGGACAGGTAATGTCGACTCCCCTCTCTATTTCAATCTTGTTAGTAGTTTTTAAGGGTCCAGTTCGTTTATTGTTAGACCGTATGCAGGACTCGAGGTTAAGATGATTTTTGAAAGTTGATGCAGTTTCGACTACCACTTTGTCAGGAGTATGCAGGACCTACTTTTGCGACTTTTGAGGGCAATATTCCTGTAGCAAACAGGGTGGTGGATAACCACCCAAACTAGGTAATTAACCCATCAACCACCCAACCTACATCACAGTGGAAGCCTGTTCAAAGGTTACCTGACAATTAAATTGACCGGTTATCTGTTGTTTTTAAGAACTGGTCTAATGGTCTGGACAAAATTATTCCTCCCATGATGTGATCCGTGCTTTGGTGGGTTTCCGATTTCAGGCAGCTCAGTTTTTATTTCTCGAGGGAATTTCCTTACAATAGCCGATCCCGCCCAGGTGCTTGACTGTAAATCCTCTTCAATTCATCAAAAGGTAAAAAAAAAATGGAATTTTAAAGACAGTATTATCTCTGGATTGTCCGACTGGCACTACTAGCTTTGTTTAGTAAATGTACCGTCTCGAAATGTCTCGATGCTTCTGCTGCTAAGCCGATGGTCACGATATATGCTATTAAGAATTCACGGAAATTTCAAGAATCGCCTTTACTCCATTGTCACTAGCTGAATCCCAGGGGGCTTGAAGCGGCTAAAAGCACCGCGCTTCTTCATCAAGCGTGACAGTTTGGGCACTTGCCAAACAAGGCCTGGGAGGAGAATCATTGGCGCATCCTTGTCACTTTGCTAACCCCATTGCCATTCGGGGATGAGGGATAAAAAGGGAGGGAAGAGAGCTTGACAACAGCCGTGGCAGCGACGTCTTCCATCTTTCCCTAGCCAGTACTTTTATTGCATCTACGTTTCAACGACGGGACCGTCAAGTTATTAGTATAGGTGCCCAGTCATAATTGAAATTTAACTTTTGTATAAATCAGCTAACTCTGGAGATGGATTACTGCCTCGGAGAACCGGGAATCCAAACTGTCCAATTGTCGAGCGGGGATGGAGATGTACATCCTGACAAGAAAATGAGCCCACCTTAAAGGATGCGCGGTGAAAGTTAATCAAGTAGACTGCATCTCTCTCTCTGTCTCTCTTGCCCAAAAGAAAAGGAACAAGTATTTAGTTTCTCGCATGATTATTCCTCTTCCATGCTTAAATGATACCTACAGGTGGGTTGACAAGACATATCTACCGGTAGGTAGGATTTGCTCAGGAAAAGTGAAAAGAAAAAACTCAGCGAAAACACTCTTTCCCAACGCTTTAGTGTGAAGATATATTCTATACAAACTATTCCTAAGCACTTGTGATTCCTTAAATGTAAATATCCTCATGTACCTGACACATGTCAAGGCGAGTTTAAGGAGCAAAAAACCTGGATGAATTTACTTCCGATGTTGTCATTTTCAGGGGCCTCTCTAAATTCATATTCCCATTTTAAAACTATCTAGGATCCATTCCAAATGCTGCAATTCTTTTATACCTGCTCCAAAAAAGTGTTAGCATGCTGTTTGTTTTGCCTGTCAGTGTGCTAGTGAAGTTGGGAAAAATGTTGTAATCGCAGTAGAGATCATCCCATTCTGTGCAAATGGACGAGTTTATCTTGCATCTAAGTGCCTGGTCTGCTTACAATCAGGTAGGAGGGCCTTCACAACTTGATTGAAACGAAATAGACTGTAAAAACAGACTGTCCATTAATGGATGGTGTTGCGCCTGAACGAAATCTTCCATTGTAATGCCCCGAGACTTCCCTGAAGACAAAAGAAAACATAATACTCTGGTGCAGTATGCATTGCCAACTTATAGAAGGGCTGTGGCGGCTACTGGCCTGGTCCAAAGGCTGTGCCACTCAGCGGAAGTACAATCTCGGAGCCTTAAGTACCCGCGAAAGCAAATGGAAGAGTTAAATCAACAATCCAAGTGTTGCGCACCCGATCTCCTCTTCTGAGCGGTGTCCTCGATGGTCTCCTTGGTTTCCTCCTGCATCGCCCATCACAATGCAGTCAGTGATGTAAGGAGTGATACCCACAAACCAACCGTGCCAGTCATTAAATTTGCGTATAACTGAGAAGATGTATTATCAACGTATAGAGAGACTGGGAGGGGGCTATTGGCATGGCCCGGAGGCCAGGCAGCTGGGAGGAGCCCCTAAGTGGCCCGTCACCAAAATCAAGAATTAAACACACAATAAAAGTATTACGCTACCATGGGTTTGAGTGACTTTTATAGTCCATAAATTTATGGTGGGCTTGCATTTGTTGATACTTCTGGGGCCAAAGCAGTAGTGCGTCATCTTAAAATTAGTCTAATATGCAAATAATACTTATTAACTCCGATGTTAAACTATTTTCGAATAACTCATGAAAACTGGATTAACGGAAGCCAAATATTATTCAGGACCATTAGAGATAAAAATGTATTAATATTTTTATTGTTATGGTTTTGAGGCCTACAGACTTGAACGGCCAAATGGGAATCGTAAAATGGTTGTCTACTTACCCCTAGGCGCAGTTAAACACCCATTTGTTTTATCAAGGGATACTAGACAGTGCAGTCTTCTGTAGATACGAGCAGACGTTAGCAGAATCGAGCTGTTCGCCTTCGTAGTTCATAAGAAACATAGTCCATCTTCAAGTGGTGTTGCATGCTTCTCTCACTAACACTAATATCTGCCATCTTGATCACCGCTGTCTGGACTTGAATGGTCGACGACGTACCCGTAATGGCACTCGCTTGCCCTATATTTCCGCTCTTGATACCGCCATGGTGTCATGTCTTTTATGGCAGCAAAATTAGGGGCTGTTTGTGTGATTGCAGGTGCGTGTATACGATCCAGACAGCGTGGAGGTGAACGGGGTGGTGCGCTGTAAGGAGCCAGAGGAGTGGGTCCACCGACAAGTCCTACTCTTCACACCCGATCCACAGGCCCACCCTTCAGCGGGTCTCTACGACCTTCAAACTCGTCTCGAGCTGGATCGTGAGGGACCTGACACCCTCGCCGGTGGAGTGGCGCTGGTTCGCTTCATTTGTTGGGATGCCAACGAAGTGATCCACACTCCCTCTGCTACCTCCACATTCGGCGGCGCCGTACGCCGCCTCACTTCGACTCTCACTGCCACTCTCACCATCCGTGATGTCAATGACAATCCACCCACTTTCTACCAACCAGTGTATCATGTTGCTGTGGCCGAGAACAATCATATTGGAACAAAAATTATTCAAGTGGGTTGAAAGTGATAAGAATTGGACACTTAATCACAGTGACTAATCGCCTCAAGTATGACATTCTTATCTGTAATGGTGATTACTTCAACGGCTTCAATATCTAAAAAGGCTCCTCGCAGTTATTTGATTCTGGGAAAAAAATCCTACTAACTCATCTCAACTATGCTTCGGGTGCCGGAATCTTGAATTCCTATTACTTTATAAGTCATAATAACAGGAAATCCGACTAGACAAGAAGAATCAACCAGTAAAATGAAAATAAACCCAGCATTGAAAAGAGACCAGTGCAATCGAACCTAAAAAAGTCCAGTGCTTCATCTCGGAGTCAGACAAAGGGGTATGTAAGAGCACATATTTCCAGTGTGCTCAAAGTACAATGAATTATACAGTGCGGTCGGAATTTTGTTAATAAAAAACCGAAAAAGCTTTTTACTTTAATTTTGATGGGCGGTGGTAGTAAAAAAAAGCAGAAAATTGCTCAACTAGAAGTTAACATAAAGGAGGCAGAAGGCGGAGGGTAAATACAAAGGAACTGAGACGAATTCAGAAAAAGTGAATACTTCCTTTATTTAGCTACTTGCCTTGCCCTCCAGGTGCAAGCTCACGATCCTGACGATGGGGAGAATGCGGAGATCACCTATTCCCTCCTCGATCGTGCCAACTTTCATGTTGATCCCGTGTCCGGTTGGGTGACTGCGGCCATCGAATTCGACCGGGAGAAACGCGACTCCTACCAGGTCACTATTATTGCCTCCGACAACGGATCTCAACGACTGACCGGATCTGCTCTGCTGAATGTGACAATTCTTGATCAGAATGACAACCCACCCCATTTGCTGCCTTGTGACAAGGTCCCAACTCCCCTTGTTGTGTGGGAAAATTCACCCATCGGCACTTTTGTGGGTGACCTCATAGCTAGTGATGCGGACATCGGACGAAATGGTGAACTGGTTTTCCGACTGCCCAAGAAACTTGCCTTCACTTCACACTTTGAGTTGCGACCCAATGGATCCCTCTTCACTGCTCTACCTCTCGATCGGGAGCAAAAGGTTGGCAAGTTTTCCACTTTTGATGTCAACTTCTGGGCCTTCCTGGTAGGAGACAGTAGACAAGTTGCTGATACGTATTAAGCACCCCTCTTCCCTCCACCCCCAAGCTGGCATTTCAGTGCCATCCAGCCACCAATCCGGATTATACCCCAATTTACAGCATGAGGTGGTTCCAGATTTCCATATCTTGAATGTAAATAATCGTTTCTGATGGATGCATTGACATTTCTTTAGAGTCTACTTTAATTAGTGTGTAACTGGTCCTATTCAAGTAATGCTGGACTTGAGGTTAGGGTGAGTGCCCGGCCTTGACTAGCGCCGGTGCTTCTTCTTGCCTGTGTGCTGCGTGGAGACTTTGATTCCAGGCATGGAGGATCGTGGTCGCGATTGCATCTAGCATTGTAGAAGCGGTTTTGGCAAAACGACAATAAAGCTGGTAGTCTCGGAGAGATGCGACTTGTGTTGATCGCATTAGTTATTAAACTCATAAAGTGGATAAGATCTTTAAGTACTTTTTATGCCTTGAGCTAGTCGTGGCAGAGGGAAGCCTTATAGGCGAAATGTGGTGAAAGAAGCGTTTGTAGCTTTTTTGACATTCACAGTTATCAAGAGCCGTCAGTTAATAAGCGATTCTTCAGTCAAAATCTAATAACTTACCCGACTGTTTTACTTATTTCAATTCAACTTCTGTCTCAAAGATAATTTTATCATCAAATTATAATAGGCGACCTATGAATTACCGGTAGAGGTGCGAGATCGTGGAAGTCCTAACGCTCTCTCCTCAACAGAAACCATCTGCATCAAGGTGTTGGACGAGAATGACAATGACCCACACTTTGTCCTACCCGATCGGCTTTATTCTCTCGGTAAGTCCGAAACAGTTTCGTGGTACCAAGAAAGTAAAAAGTGGAGGCCAAGGTGTAGTTCTGCGGTACTGCCCTTTTCCTAATTAGAAGATCAACTGCCAGACACTCCTTCAGCCTACCTTCGGAAACGGGAATCCACCGAGATGGCCTCGGATGCTAGTGAAGGTGCCACAAAATTTGCCAAGGGTGCTTCGGTTGCAGCTGAAATGGGTGGCGGTAGAGGCGACGCAGAGGCGGCTGACAACGGCGGTGGCTATGAGCCATCATTGCGCATCTCCCTGCACGAAATGAATGGCCAATTGATTACGCGACTGGAGGCCACCGATCCGGACGAGGACGCAAATGGTCGGGTGGTGTACGGACTGCGACGACACACGCACTCGCGTGCCCGTCTGAACCGTGCTGCAGGCGATTTTCTCGGTGTCAACGGCAACACCGGAGAGATATGGCTCAAACGAACTCTGCAGGAAGATGATCTAGGGCCTCATTTCTTCGTTGTCTCGGCTAACGATCAGGGAACAAGCATGTCGCGTTCAGAAAGCAAGGTAGGCTCTAGTTCTCATAAATTTTCACACTAGACAATACCTTAGTATTCCAGAGATGTTCGTACTGTCTACTTAAATAACCTTAAGTAGCATCGTCTTCATACATAGGTTCTGCTAGTATCAGTAGAGGACATCCCTCCGCGGTCGTTGGACGTCGGCGGTGCAAGTTCTAGTTTCATCGCCTCATCTGAGGGCGGTGATGGCGAAGGAGGTGTGCTAGCCAATCTCTTTCCCTTTAAGTTGGGTGAAAGGAAAAATGTTCTCATTCTCGTCGGTCTCATCTCAGTCTCAGTTATTCTTGCTGTTATCCTCGTTGCTGCGATGATCTGTATGCTCAAACCCTGCAGGTAATGTAGACAGTCATCCTTTTCTGTTCTTCTACGAGATCCTGTGCACTTACCCCAGGAGTGGGAAGATGGTAGATGGATCTATGGACGGGTGGGTAGGTGGGTCCGAGATAGGTAAGAGGATAAATAGGTGCGTATATGGAACAGGAAGACGAATGAAAACAAGTGGGTACGTCCGGAATTGAAAGACACACGAGTAAAAGAAAGGATTGGTAAAGAGAAAGATCTATGAGACGTGGATGAATGGAAGTGTAGTCAGAAGAATGGATGGATGTATCTGGAATGGATAAGTCGAAGAACAAATTGGTAGATTCTGTGCAGATGCAACCGAAACGAACGAACAAATGGATCCGATTGGGAGGACGAATAAGCTGACAGAGGGATTAATGAATAAGCGGGTGCCTTGAAAGATGAATAGTTGAAGGACCTAATATTATATTTGATGCTTAAGTGGACTGATTTCTGTCATCGGTGTTCTGACAGATCCTCTTCGCGTCAAACTCACCGATTCTTCAATCAACATCGAATGTCCCAAGATGGAACGGTAAACGTTGCCACAATGCAGGCGCACACGGCGGCGAACGGCGGCATCATCTCACTGCAAGAAACGCGCCTCATCGACAACACCTCGGTGGACAACTACGGGAGTGGTATCGGTGTCGGTAATCACGACTACGGCTACGGCCCGCCTGTCTCGCCTGTCGATGTTGGCGAACCCGATGGCTGGGTGGGTAGCGACGGCAAAGGAGGCATTTTCCGTGTTGTTAACGCTGACGCTGACAGCTCAGTCAATGAAGAGGTAAACGCCGTCAAAATCCCATACACTGGATCTATACGAGTGATTCTGTTGGTTGAATAACGATAAAACATACGTTTTATAAATTCTTGGGGAAGATTTGGCGAGCTTTTAACCCCCCTTCCTTTTCTAGGCTACCAACAGGGTGCCTCAGATGTGGAACAAGTACAACTCCCTGCCACGAGATCGGTTCGAGAGATGCGGAAGCCCTCTGAGTCTCAACCAGGAGAACCTCTGCAGTACCACTTCTACTGCGGGTATGTTGATGACCCCACTGCGCGAAATCGGGGAGATCCCACCCGCAGTCAGATCACCCAACCACTGGGCTGCTGCTACACTCTCCCGGGAAACGGTAAGTCTGCCTCTGATGGATGAGTCAAGTGAGCAAGAGGAAGAAGCGCGCATAGTTAACCACTGATTTCCACGCAGAACTTTCAGAGCAACAGCACATCACACATCGCACTCCCTGTGACCCTCCTGCCTGCAGTATGTTTGCACTCCTCCGGAACGAATGTAGTGACGGCAAGTAACCCCTTCGCCCCCACCACCATTGTCTCTGTCAACTCCACCACCACTACCTTCCAGCCGACAATGGGTAAGAAAGCAGAGATGGAGATTCGACTGGCCGAACACGCCTCGGACTCTGGCCGAGGTGCCAGTGATGAGGATCTGCGATTTCAATCACAACCCCCTCCAGTCATTAATCTCGTACAACGTGAGTCCACCCTAGCCTAGACACGAGAAGACGAAGCTTGATTAATCGCTGACTATCCGGCGTTCCCATAAGTCTAGTAAAGATAAATATCGCACGTAGTTGAAGCGATTTACTGAAATCGTACGCGCATAATTTACCCGAGATTATCTCCTCCAGTTCCCTGTGAATTCAGTGAAGAGGACCCATGGAAACGGACAGTGGGAGGAGAGGCACCTTGCAGCGACGACTTTGTTCGGCTGCGGACCAGCACAATTCACCCCAGTCTCTCAAAGCACTCCACAGATGCCTTGGAAACGCAGAATTGTTTGCACTTCAGCGTTGCAGCTATTCCTGGCCAGGTCAACATTGTGCATCGCCGTCTACCTGCCTGCTAGACAGCACAACCTCTATCACAACCAAAAATATCGTATAATGTTAAGTAGCACTGGTATTTTGTAAATTATGACTCCTGGAAGGCGCGTACGTCGAGTGGGACGCCACACAAACTGTACAAATGGTTCACCAACACACACACACCACCACTACAAACCCCCCAGTTTTGCTTCACAATTCCGTATTTCCCACATCCTTTGCTGTACTCTTGATGTGTTTCTACTTCTGCATCGGTGGCTCTTTCTCCGTGTCAACAAAATGATCTCTTTACTACTGTACAAGTTGTGAGGTTAAGCAGCCACACATTTGAAAGGGTACGATTGGAGAGGTGGCGAGAGGTTGGGTCTACTCTTGGGTACGCATTCCCCACACATTGTTGGCGTCAAACTATTAAAAAAGGGTATAGCAAATAAAGGCGCTGCGTGGAAGGATTTTGAGCCACAGACTCGTGAGTAATTGGACTTTTCACAGGTAAGCAGAGCTTCAAAGAGTCCTAAAAAGGTTTTAAAGCATTTACTCGATGGATTTGCAAATATAATACAAGTCAATAAGAGCAATAACAAATCTAGGGCTTCTGAGGGATAAATTGTACGCAGATTTCGATGTGATAAGCCAACCCAGGTCACAAAAGCACGGCGAGCAAAACTAGTCTACATTTACACCCAGAAGTAAATTTTTCACCAACTCGGATAAGTGTATTTAGATGTAGAAGGTAGTTCCATCCCCTAATTGTCTGGACCTCTGTAGAGGAAAGATCTTTTACAAAACTACTAATACAACACGGGTTTCTTGAAATAATCAAATCCGGGAATCAAGTGAACAAAGACACTGCCTTGAGGTATTATAAATCGCATCCCTGAAAAAAACCTCCTAAAATAATTTAAAACAGGTTGCGGATCCATGATGCTAGCCCAGAAGTGTGACAAATCAAGGACTTCAGAACAATTGACTGTGGGAAGGAATGAGAACAATGCGAGAACACATAATAACCCGCTCGAGGTAGACAGTAAACATCTTTCAAATACATGGAGAGTTATCTATCGGAATACTCCAGTTCAAATGACTCTGAACAACGTTATATTCCTTCCCACAATTTTATGGGACATTAAAGGCTATCATAAATAAACCTAAAACACCCAACCAACTACTTTGTAATGGGATTTTGTGGATAAATAACTGTCCCAAAACATCCTATGAGGCGAACTTTAGCGGGACCAAAATTCCAGAACTAATTGCCACCAATCAAATGACAATGGAAAAATACACAGCTACTCGTAATAGGCTACGCCTTTCAATGTAAAGGATTCAACCTTAACGATTAGACGCAAATTACCAAGGGACCATTTCGGTAGGGAGTAAAAGCAGGATTCCGATATATCATCAAAATCAACCATTAAAACATCTTGCCGAGTAACCGAAAACTAAGTAGATATCAGTAAAAAAACCCGCGGTTCTAGGGGAATAAATCATATAAAAGCCCAAGTTATGATAAAACAAGAACTCAACTTCTTTCATACAAAACAGAGACATAAGATACACATTCCAAAATAATCCATTTCCGAATCGCACGATTACATTATGCCTGGGAGTTACTCAGTGTCAGTGACATTAGGAGCTACGTTTCTGTACTGATGTATGGCCTCAGCGAGCATAAGTTTTCCCACCGTCTGGCCGGCCAACTGGGCAATACCTGAGGAGTAGAGGTCCGCCTGACAGGAGGCCAGCGCCGTCTCCAAACGTATGGGCGCCAATTCCTTGATTCGCTGATCCTACGGGTTCAAAATCGTGGGACCCAATGAGACTATTTAGAATTCGAAGCGCAAAGAAATAAAACCAGCCAACATACCTTAGGGGCGGTCGATGTACCCGGCTTGCTGAGAGTTCGCTGATATGTGTACTGTAGCTCATAGATGTTGTCCAGACGTTGGATGAGGGATCGCAGTTGTTGCTCTAAGTCGCTGGCCATACTTAGATGAAGACCTGAGAAGCTGTTGCGGGACTTGACCTGAGTCGTATCAGCAATCTGCTCATCTGATTGGTCCACGATGTCCTTCAGAAGGATGCGGGCGAGTTTGGAATTCACCACACTAGTTGGAAGTTCTTCCAGTAACCGGGTGAAATTAGTCTTTCCGCTATGCAGAGAGGCGTCCTGGAGGAGTGGAAAAATGGTTTAGACCAAACGCAAAGACAAATAAGGCATGTCAAAAGTGGAGATAAATAAGACATACAAATTTAGCGTAGGGTATTTGCTGTGAAAAGAGGCTGAAGAAAGAACTATATGATAGTGGGGAAACCTCAACACTGGATAGTATTATGAGCCTTATGGCAAAAGGAATATTAAACAACCCATTCACGACAAGAAGTAAAGTGGCCTAAAGTCCTAAACACAAAAAAATAATTTTAAGTAAAGTTGAATAAGTTAAACGAAAAGTTGTACAACAGGAACTCACACATTCCCACGAGATTTCAGGATTCTAAGAAACAACAAAGGGTTAGATTTAATCTTATTTCTACAAAGATTTGCATCTAACAATTAAGGTCTAATGAAAAAGAGCAAAATACCTTTGCGTTCCCCATCAACCGCACCCGCTTCTCCGTTTCGAGCATAGCATCGAAAATGACTTTCGACAATCGGTAAGACTTAAGACCCTGCTGACCACGAGTGGCACAAGAGGGATCATAGGTCAGCAAAACAGCTTCCGAAATGAGTGTTTGATACTGGAAAAGGGTCTCAAGTAGGGAGCGTGTGAGAAATGAACATCCATAACCACCAAGGTAATATCCAACGCTGAGATAGTCGGAATTAATCTGGGTGAGAGAAATACTAGTGAAGAAAACAATTTACCTCGCGCATGTTTTTCATCATATCGAACTCATAGGCACTCAACGCTTCGCTTCCAGTCTGATCGTCTTCAGAGATTTTCGGCAGTGGGAAGCAGTTCGTTATTTCAAGAGCATTGCCGACAGCCAATCCAAGGAGTACACCATTTACATGCTCCGTAGCGAGAAGTGTTTCCTCCTCACAGTGCTTGATAATCTTTAATAAAACCAAGCCAGAAACCTTAACGCACGAGACCTGTTGCGTATCCATAGCTAGCCTCGAAGGTAGTCCAATTTGCACGCCTCACCAGCCAATCAAAACTTCCAGTATGTAATCAAATGTTCCACTAAAGCAATTAATTGGTTAAAAAAGTCAAATTAGATATTATTTTAAATTATGGTATATGTTATTAGTTTACTGATTGCGGTTCATTGACCTTACGCCTACCTAAAAATGCTTACACTTATTATACTATTAAATTGATTTATACTGAGATTTGAGAGGTGGAAGGAATAACCCAGTTTTGTTCATCGCAAAAATGGCTTTATGTGGACCAAATTTCAGTAATTTGTGCTAGGTTTAGTTTTTGAAATCATTTCTAATGGTGCTATTGCGCGGGTCATCAAGTGCACTTGGAAATAACTGGTCTTAACGACGAATTGGCTTAACAGTCACTAACTCTTTACTTCAAATTATATGTGACTGGTTTTTGCATCACATGTTTTCAAGCAAGGTTTTTTAAGTGGTGAATCAGCGTTGCTGCCCTAATCGCAACCATCTCCTCTTCCACTTTACTACTGCGAAACCAACGAATTTAAAGATGTTCTAATTGCAAAATTTCAACGCATATTTTGACTTTTAGCACAAATTACGTCTTTTTTTCTCAAGCTTAACCTACACTTATTCGTGCCTTGGTTCCCTACCCAAATAAATACTTGGGTTGAACTTGTCCCCAAGGCAAATAGCCATTCGCCTTGTTGGAGTGGTGGTGTAGCGTCCCGAGGCTTCCCAGAAGACGAAAGAAGACACAATACTCGGGCAGAATATATATATATTTAGAACAGAGAAGGTGTCTGGGCTACTGGCATGGCCCGAAGGCCAGCCCACCCAGCGAGGTACAAGAAGGCCAATTCAAAAGTGGCTACTAAACAATGCTGAAGGATAATCCATCATCGTATTACAGTAGTGTTGCTATTTTGAGGATGGCTGTGACAGTCATTATTGCATTATTCCATGTTTCATTCCGGGGTAATGGGGCACTCATGTGATTGAGGTCAATTTGGGTCTAATTTACAGTCATCGTAATCTCCATAAAATAAAATTAAGCCATTTATAACTGCAGCAGCAATCATCAATCCGATTTGTCTTCTAAAAATGACTTTTATTTTTAACCTGGAATGCTAATTTACCCACTGTGAACAGCGTTGAACCGTGGTTTCATTACTTTTTTAATTCCTAAAACATTTCGAACGATAGCAATAAATTGGTTACGCCTAAAGGCTTATCTGCAATAATTTTTGAAAAATTTTAGTTCACGATAGTATAGTATTGGCGTTAGAAAAATTAACGTTGATGTCACACTTTAACTTAAAGGAATCATTTCTGCTTCCCTATTTGTGGGGTGATTCAAGCAGGATAAGGAGCTACTGGCAGGGCCTGTAGGCCAGGCCTTTTTGCGAAGATGCAATAGCAGAACCCCTAAGGGGTCAATTACTAAAACTGAGGGTGTAATAAACCACCAGGGGACTGCAGTAGCCATTTCAAATAGTTTAAAATACATGAATAATACTTGAGTTTGTGTTTTATTTCACAGGCCAATCCATCGTCTGTTGCGGTTACGTCTGGAAGTGATTCGCATCTACCGGGTAATATCTGAGGAAGGAATTGTTATGGACTTAGTAAACTACGGTTTCCTACATTAAAAAGGTCTAAAAATTGTTAATTTGCCTCAGCATTCGAGTTGAAGTTATAAATGCCAGCTAATGGCTGAGTAGGACTAGGCTCCATATCTACGAGAATACATCACATCATAATTCCAGAGAATCTGAGACTCGTCACGTACAGTGCTGTGGTCCAACTTGATGAGGTGTGAGCACCAGTTGATAATTCAAATAAGCAAATCAAATTGCCCCTTACCTCAACGCAAACATCTCAAGATGCGAACGCAGGGCTTAAAAAGGTCTTCCGGCAAGGATTACGGCTTGCCAGAAATACAGGTCTATACAGTCTGCTTTTCCCGAAAACAACAGCTCTTTGCGTTTCCTTTGGGTTTCTTATATGTGAAAAGGAGATGTCTGCATACAGTGCACAAGTAGAGGGAAATTGGGAACTTTAAAAGTACCAAAACTTGACTAACTATTTACCTGGAGATAGTTGTAGGGACAGGGAGTAATGTTAATTCCCAAATGCAAGAGAATTTGAAACTGGTTCTCCAAACAATACTACTTCGAAATGTTTAGGTATAGGGCGGTGCCTTTCCCCTAACTTGACGTACGAACCGCATTACTCTGTCCTCAGGGAACTAAGCCAGCTACAGGTTATTCAAACATAAGCAGTGAATGCGAACGAGGTAGCTAAGTATATTAATTTGGTTTTTATGCCAAAACAAAATAAAAATTAATACACAAACCCTACTAAAACAGATCTGTTTATTAAAACAAGCATAATTCCTCTCTCAACACGGTACAAGCCATCACAGTTGCGAGAATATGAATGGGACTTTCCTCCAACTGGTTCACCAGTCTTGACAGCTTCTCACGAAAGGGTTGTTCGTACACACATTTGAGGTGTATCTTGTGTCGTGGATAGGTCTCCAAAGTAGTACATCACACGTTACACGGCGCAGGTCAATTTTTTGCGGATGATATGGCTCATGGATTAGAAGAATGTCTGTGTGTGTGGAAGGAGGAAAAGGTAGAGAAGGAGGTGATGGAAGAAGAAGAGGACGAAGACGAGCGGAAGGAGGGAAAAGCTAATGAGTGATTTGGGGGTACACACTGATGTGTTTGTTCGCTTAACAAACAGTATGGCATACACTATCATCGCCTTTCACAAGTCAGTCAGTCAGCCAGTCACTCAGTCTGCTAGCAGTCTAAAAGTGGTGCTCTTCATTAAGTGAATGAAGGAAGTGAAAAAGTAAGCTGATAGTCTTTCAAGTTTATAGGCACGAGTTAATTCATTAAGAGAAAATTTATTTACTTGGTGCCAGGCAATGGATGTAGGTGCAAACTCGGCGCATCATCATCACCATGACACATTCATTCACGTTAAATATGACCACAAGCCATCCTTGTCACGTTAGTCTCGAGGTATCGCTGTACGTGCTAGCAGAGGCACGCAGATCCTCCAGATGAGGAATATAGAGTCCTCCTGTACATCAGTGATTCGTCGTCACCAACAAGTTCTGCTACTTCACCCGCTTGTTCGTTGATAAGTTTTAAGAAGTTGAGTTGAAAACCGTGGAACAGAAGAATTCCAAAGGGATCAGACTTGGCCAAGATATGATGCTTGCTGCGGCCTCAAAGTAATGGGCAGTTGCATGTATGGGACACAGCGAAAGGCATGAATTGGTTGACATATTTCTCAGCCTATAAACAATTGGAGGCACTTGACCAGTCTTCGGTGGGAGCAAAGAATTGCTGGAACGAGATCACCGAAAACAGACAAAAAAGTTCGACCACTTGATTTTACATTTATTCAATCGCAAGAATTTTAAACAGTCTGGCAAGGGTGCTGCGAAAGCCGTAATGGTGTGTCACTCTGACAATAAGTACTTACCTATGACACAACTATTTACTCCAGGTCTAAGTTAAAATATTATCCTTTCGTAACTGTACTTCAGTCGGGAATAAATTTATTTGCTTGTTATTTTTCCGTCTGTGGAAACCTCCATTATTACCATTCCCTTACTTTTACCTACTGAAACATCAATTAGTAAAGCAGAAAAATCTTTAATGAAACGATTTTTGAATTTTTGGGAAAAAAACGGGCATTCTTTGCAATAATGCGGATGGACATGATGTTGCAACTTCGCATGACATTGACTCAAAGCCACATATCACCTTACAACAATGCTTCACCTCGAAGAGACGATGCCCTGGAATTCGAGCAACCCACGAAACCGCGTCGGCGGGCTTCAGTCTGTGCGACGCACGCGTGCACGGGTGCGCACGTGTGGGCTCGACGTCACCTTGCAGCCACCTGATTGGCTGGAAGGCCGTGCCAGTAGAATATTACTAACACCCAGAGAGCGACCTCGTGCCAAATAACCGCGCCGTCAAATAGGCAGCACTGTTGAAGTCACCCGTGGAAATACTCCTTTCCTCCGCTTACCTTCAGTACGTTCAGCATTGTCACCTTTCCTCTCTACTACCTTTATCACCCCACCCTGTTTTTCTTGCTTTATGCGTTGCGATTTTTCCTAATTCTTCAAGTTATTTTTCCTCGAGATGACATAATTTTTTTAAACACACAAAATTCCCTTTATGTGGGAGGTATTCTAATTTGTTTTCAGTGGGCAAGATTTATATTACCCCTACCATGGATACAGAATAATTTATTTTATTGATGGTACATAATTAAGCATGTCGCTTACATTCCAAAATGGGTGATATCTGTGTGTGATACCACCTAAGTGATAATACCTGCTTTTAAAAATATTAAAACAATCGCCGAAAGCCTGCCAAGTCGAATGAGTGGTGGCCTAGAGCAAACTAGTAGTTTAGTAGAGCGGCGGATAACTTACAGACATGGTTGATTTTCTGCAAACTTTGATCGGCTTAATCCCACTCCATTTCCCATCACCGGTGTTTCACATTTAAATAAGTTGTGCTTTATTTCCCACGGTAAATATTAACGTTTTTGACGGACTAAGCTGTCGTTTTTAACTCTCATTAAAGGCACCAAGTGAGTTTGTCTTCCAATTTTTTTTGCTTGGTACAATCATATCTAAGTGACTTTTTTATCTTTATTGGTTTTTTGCTTTTCTAAACCAAAGCATTGTATTAATGACTTAAAATTTGAAAAATTTTAAAGAGTCACCATTTCTCGGTGTTGAATTTTGACTACCCACCGATTATAAGACGCAAGTTGGATAGGAGAATCTGGCCAATTCCTAGGATTTTTTGCAAAAGTAATTGGTGCCTGACAATGGATATGATTACCTATTACTTTTATTTTGGTACCTTTGCCAATTCACCTCCAAAAAAAGTCAAAGAGGCGAGCACAGATTAAAAATACAAATGGCCCTGAGATACAGTCCATCAACCCAATTAACTGCCTAACTATTGAAGATATCATATTTCTTGATAGACCGCTCACTAAATGCGTTGACAACTCCCTCACTACAATTATCGAAGTGATCCCACCGCGATGAACCAGGTATCCTGTTGCAACTTGGCCAGATTAAAGTTAAAAATCACCGTGTATCTACATTTGGACTTCACAATGCAGAAACCAATGACATTTTAAGGAGTGATGGATTTTGTACATTCAATTTGATTGGAGCTTTAGTTATTGTTCAAAAGAACTCCCCAAAATACCAAACAATCTCGTAGCCGGAACGTAAATCAACTCACTTCGAATTGGCGGGAAGTTTATTCGCTTGTATACACCACTTCAATTTATGCAAACAAAGTTGGATAGGAAAGATATTCTATATCTTGAGTTACATGCTTTCGGTATTTAATCTCTTCTGATAATAATTTTAAATGAGTTGTTTGAGCCTAGACTATACTTACAAAGAAAAAGATTGGAATCCTTGTCAATCACTTAAAGGAGTGAAAGCTTTTTGTCATTAATTCTCGCCGTTTTTGAAGACTCTGCTGGTCAAAGGCATTACTATTCAATCAAGATTAAACGAATAGTTGGAACTCCATTTCTCGTTCTCTTAATCCTGTCGTAAAGTCACGGCGTGTTTGTCTTTTTCGGCGAATTCATTCTTATTTTGAGCTAGAAGTTGCAGAAGTTATAAAACCCAAGTATTGACTTCCAGAGGATTCCGATGGACCAGAGTTATGCAATCACAGTGCCAAAACTGGCAGCGTGAATATATCTTCCATTATTCCCACGTCTCAAGTACGGACAGTAAATATCTTGTTTGTCCACATTGTTTCTGTTGACACCTTATAAGTAAGAAAAAGAAACAGTTAAATGACTTTTTTTGCAAGGTTGTCCTAACCGTAATACTGCGCGTAATTTTGCGCCACAGATGCGACTATTTCGATTACGACACGAAAAGTCACAAAAAGTCTACCGATGCTTTGCTTGCGATCACACACTGACACGAAACGACGAACTGTGAACGCATTTGCGCACACAACGAAGGTGCGAAGTAGACTCTCCCTCGACCTCCTTGTTCTCTTCTCATCCGCCTGCACACACAGTTTGCCTATGCCCAAAAGTAGTGAACAGTCCTCTACCAGGTTATTGTCCTCAGCTAGAGAAAAGTTAATTTGGCTCATGACTTCTTAATGACTCTCATCTTATCATCTAGAATGCGTCCACTTACAGGCCATCCTGTCAGCAAAAGGGACTCTGGAGGGGTGGTTGAGTACGCCAGACGTCTCTGCCGGTCCATCACATCACTTGAATACATATCTGCACACTGATCTTAAGGCTTATAAGATGTTTATTTAATTATTTAAGACAATAAGTGAACCTCTTCACTAATTTTTACGTGTATAATCCAATTAAACTTTAATTCTGACAAGATTATCCACTTCAAGACGCAGATCTACGCCTTCGGTGGAGAAGGCACGAACAAAGCCTAACTACAACCAAAAATTAGACAGACCTCCGGTAAACTCCCTCGATTATTGAGAGGCATAAATTTGGACTCATGAATAAACATAAAGGAGGAGCCCCCTCAACGGCGCTTTGATGAAGGCGGATACGATCACGGCGATAATTCATTATTAGTTAAAAGAGAGAGAGGCCTACTTAGATGGGTAGGCGCAAGGTTGGATCTTTACCGCCGTTATAAATGGTTGATTTAATTTAGTAAGGAAATTGCACTGAATTTTCGGAGTTGTGAGTGTCTTTCCAGAGGAATGGGTGTGCAAAATTGCCACGCGACGCAGATGCGCACTAGGCTGAATAAAAGGGTAGGTCCAAGAGGCGACGGATTTACACGCCTCTGTTCACCACCCCTCGCCTCCTGCTCCTCCTCCTTTTCCTTCTCCTCTTCTTCCTCCCACTTTTACATTTGCAATTTAATAGGGAACTGTAGCTGGAGGATTAATGACACCCGCTTGCCCCCCTTTCTCAGACTTGGACGATCACTACCATCAACTGCCATGATCACATCAAGTGGGAGGCGGTACAGTCAATGATTGACGGTAGTGCCCAAATGATGAAATGACACCAGACTCTAGGTTGTTTTCAAATAGCGTTATCAAGTCATGTGAGCCCGAAGCAACTCTTGACGTTTAGCTTTGCATTTCTGCATGTAGATCAAAATTACTTCAGTTAATAGATTGCAGTTGAAAAAGAGCCCCTTGAGCCCTCCGCGGTTGTACTTCCACTAAGTGGAGGGACCGGGTCATGCCAGTAGTCTTCACCCCTTAGCCCTAACGCATAAACAGGCTAACCCTTTAGTGAGAATTTTGTGATTCGGGGTCAATTTATAAGCCTCAAATTTCCACCCATATCCAAAAAGACTTGAAGAACCACAGAAAGACATTTTTCAGAGCGATTCAATTTGTGGTACTTAGGTCACTGAGACCAGAAATTGAGTTGCTTGACATTGAGATAATGTGCTTCGTCCTTTTGGGTCACAAACTGGCTCTCACAAGCCAAAAAATGCTTAATTATGCTTTGACCACAAAGAGGATGGTTAGAAAGGATCTTGCAGGTTTCTTTTTGTGATTATATTTGACAGTCTGTGCCTATTTTTGATAAGCATGCTAATGTAGCGTCCCAAGGCTTCCCTAAAGACGAAGAAAGACATAGTACTAGGGCAGAATGCGCATTGCGGACGCACAGAGGGGCTGGGAGCTGCTGACGTGGGCTGGAGGCCAGACCACCCGCCGGAGCCCCTTAAGTACCCACTTGGTGTCTAACCACTGTGAAGTTGGCTGCGCCAATTTGTCCAAAATTGTTAAAAATAGGTTTTGAGTTAGCCTTTCTAAGCTGTAAAAGGGATCTATTAAGGGTTTAAATTTGGTGACGATATTTGGAAATTGTTTTCAAATGGTTTAGCTGAGGTCTAGCGGGTTATCAGTAGAAATCCATCTCCCCGTGACCTCATTCTGCTGGCTTTCCACGAGTAGAAAGTTTACATATTCCTTTGCTTTCCCCAAGGATAGAAGTGTTTAAAAGTAAATTTTATCACATTCAATTCATGATGATGCCTTTTTTACAAATTGCCGAAAAATTCACCTACCTGTATTGGGATCTGGTGATGTTAAAGGTCTAGCATCCATTCACAGGAGGTAAGAAGGCCACATTCAAATCCAACGACAAAAACCTGCAAAATAAAGTTAATTATATCCCAATTACAGGAAAAGTTATGACAGGTATTTGAACTACTTTTCGTCTGTGTAGTAATTCAGTTTCAAACAGCGTCATCCACATTGCAAAAGGCAGCAGCTCATTCACAAAAAACGCGACAACTCGCTCTCACCCTAACGAATGACAAAATTCGCAAAGCAAAGGATCCACTTGAGTCATTTATTTATTTACTTATAAAATCATAGATAAATAGTTTATTGCTGATTTCACCTCAACAGAAATGGTGACTCAAATGGTGAATCAGTCAAATCACTTCAGGGGGAAACTCTGGCTTCCATCTCAATGCTTGGCTAAGTAGTGTGCAGCCAAAGCAAAAATTAAGCTAGTACTGGACTCATACATGCTTTACACGTCTTGCAAAGACAAGATTTGGGAATCCAGCTATCCATAAGGTGATTGACGATCCGCACGCAATGATTGGGGAGACTCTAGTACCATCACCGTCCCCACTTTGCATCTTGTAGGTGCAGAGAGAGAGCAAGGAAAAGGCAAACGCATTTACTGGAACCACCTATCCGTCCATGACAGCAGTGATTCAGGCCGTGAAGTCAGGCACCTCGGAAGACCTCGCGCGACTGGTCCATCGAGGTGAGGAGGTGAATAGGACCGACGTGAATGGCTTTACTGCCCTCCACTCAGCCTGCGAGCGTCGGAAACTCAACGAACTTAGCCTTCTCATCGAGTACAACGCTAATGTCAACCATCCAACAAAGGTAGGCGACTGTTATGCATAATTTGGAGTCCCTTCTCCCACTGGCTTGAGTCTCACCTGAAGACGTTATGAACGTGCGGCAAGCAAAAGTAGTACCTGAGATGGAGGAGACAGAAGGAAACTGGTCTTGTGAGTTGTCTGCTAGAGAAGGAAAGTTGGCACACTATAACTAGCTGGGGGAGAGGTATCGTTGTTATCCAACCCTACATTTCTCACAACTAATTAACAGGCCTTATTTATGAACTCACAAGGAACGTCATTGGAGGACACAGTGAGGATTCTGTAATGAATAAATTCTAGCAGGTCTTAAGTGATTGTGCCTCGAGTGTGCCAGAATACACAACTTTTACAGTATCAACAATACATGCAAGTGGAATACCTCTACTCCTTTGGTTTGTTCCTGCAGATGGAGCAAGCCTGTCCCCTCCACCTGGCAGCGAAAGCGGGCTTTGTGGAGGGAGTGATTCGACTGCTGCAGGGTTATGCCAATCTCGAGGCTGTGGATAAGAATGGTCTCACGCCTCTCCTTGTCGGCTGTCGTGAATCCAAAGCCGATGTGGTCAGCGTTCTCATTGAGGCCGGTGCAAATGTCAATCACATCTCCTTCGTAAGTGTTCAGTCCCATTAGCCTAATCTTTTCATTGTCTCCCTGTTAATGGTTGACTACTACTTCCCAAAACCTTATTACTGAGGGCGGTAGTGTTTTTTTCGTTGACCATCAATGAAATTGGATGTGGTTGGGAATGAGAGACACTCACCGCTTTTTAGAGCATTCCTCCCATGCGTAATAGAGCCTTGAATCAGTCATTTTTTTCGCATCTATCCGACGGGTGGTAGGAGCCTAATACCTCTTCCACGGGTTCACGAAAATCTCGACTTACAACTACGCAGGAGGGCATTTGAATTTATTTCGTGAGTATTAGACTCTAGGACTTGCCTATCACGCTTTAGTCAAGCTGAGCACCACTTACACTACTGAAATTAAAAGTGCATTTACATTCACGCAAAGAATAGCAAAAGCTTGCTTTGTTGTTTCAAACTTAGGCAATTCATACACGACGTGATTTGGTCTAATCATCTATTACAAAGTGATAAAGAGCATATGTCACATATTTGTGACACCAAACTGAAAAGTGGAAATCAGAATGTCGTGCATACAGGCCACGTTAAGTGAGGGTGTTGTAGGCATCACATCTTCTGATTTTCTTCCTCAGCGATGGAGGGGTGTTGATGCGGGTGTTCAATGCAAGTCATCATTGTACCATCAATACTTCAGTTTTTGTTCTTGCACACCCATGTAGCTATGGCGACACTTCTCCCACCAAAGAAAAAGTAAAAATATCGGAATACCGGACCATTAAATCATTTCCACTGAGTTCTCTTAAATCTGTACGCACGCGAACATTCCTTTTTGGGTACAGTCGAGCATCTTGGAATAAATTATTCTCAGGGTGAAACGGGAAAACCTGTGTGGCCTGTGCTTTAGCTTCAAGGTGCGCTGATTTCTGGAGTATCTAGAAGGGGAAAAATGATACACATGAAAGCAATACTTTATTCGACTTCCATGAGAGGAAAAGATTAACTTGTAGTGAGATTTTGAATGAGCCTGTTTCCCAGTGCTTTTAATGCAATTACGCCAGCGCATTCCACCGTCCTCGTAGGCAAATCCCCCGAGACCACAGGATGGGCTGTCGATGTGAGGCTCCTATACGATTACAACGGTTCTCATGATACAGAAAATGCAGTTAACGGAACAGGAGCAGATCCTTCAACTCCTTGCCTCAATTTTGCAAATGGCAAACAGAAATAAACTATTGAGGGCTAAGAGCATTCCAAATTGCACATTTAAACAACAGGACATTAAAATCCGTCTTGAAAGTAATTTTTTGCCTAGAGGGAGGTCGTAATGGTTGAGGTGAGACTGGAGTTGCCGGATAAGCGGTAGAATTCCCTGCAACCTTAATATGACTAACACACTTGTTACCATGCCCTCTGAGGGAAATTGACTGCCACAGAGCGAATACGACATTGTTCTCACGTGGCACAATCACCAACGCACTGTCAAACTGTTCCCAACTGAAAAAGGTGTAATTACTCCCGGACCAAGGACATCTACCCATTCACTCCATGCGCCTTAAACTCACTTAGCCCGATTCCATCAAAATTCTGAACAATCAGGTACCAGAAACTGGTAAAAGGAAGCGCGCTGTAGTTTTGTGGTGCCAGGCTTAAATAGAAAAATATCTTATTTCTTGCTGAGGAAATTCTAGATTGTGACGCAAAAGGCTCAACCTTTTCGAAGTTGTGGCGCCGCCTAGCAATTCGCTCAGACCTCCTAACTGCGTCGAAATAACACCCTCTCAGAAAATCACGAAGAACCTGTAATTCCCAATTTAAAAAAGGCAAGCTCCAATTAAAAACTTTGCTAAAGATGACCACTCCTCGATCCCGCCTTATTCTTCATGATTTCTGCATAAATCCCCTCGAATGTGGGTACTGGAGACCATTGCCGTTACGACTGGTTTATACAAAGGACTCAAGAGTACGAAAATGAAACAGTAAAACACATTATTGCAAAAGTTCATAAGGAACTTTTTAGGACAGTTTTTTATTATTGGGGAAATTTGTAGCCTGTGGATCAAATCAACTTACTAACTTTTATTAGAAAAGTTTTGGCCTTCTTAACTTAACTTGGTACTTATTATTCAAATGTTTATTGGTACCAGCAATTAGTTCGAGCATTGGACAATTTAGTACCGCTTTTTCAACCATACGAATGTATTTATTAACGCAGAAAATTGGCTTACTTGGTCGAAGTCAAGCCCTCCATTACCTTTTGAATTACTGTATGACGGGATTTCATTAAAACCTGCATTTCCCTTTAATCACATATATGCGCGGAGTAAAATCATCGACTTATTGCTCTACAATGTACTCAAATAGAAGATAATGAAATGAAATTATAAAGTGACTACAATATTAAGAGAAGGGCTTCACCTGTGATAATTCATTATCACTCTCGAATGCTGAAATGTGACAGAATTTGTCCCTAGAATCGATAGGTCGTTAAAACTTGGGGCCTCCGACCTAGCTCTTCCTCTTCTTTATGGGTGAACTATTTAATTTACGTTATTGATGGCCTTTTGATCTCACCTAGTCAGAGCCATAACCGATTCACTTGTCTTTTATGGTTCATTCAACACAACTTTTTCTCACAAACACACAGCGTATCTAATTAGATTTGTAACTTAAAATATGTAGTGCAATTAAACCCGCCCCCGTCCCACTGAAAGACCACACTTGCGGGATTTGGAGGCGAGGTGCTCAGCAAAACGACCACAGTTTGGCTTGGAATGATGGTCATGCTCAATCCAACTGGTAAATGCATTTTCAACCTAAAGAGAGATCGCCGGTGATACTTCTGTTTTCGGCGACATGAAAGCACTCGGCTTTAGACATGCGCATGACATGTCAATTTTGGCTTTTAATGTAAGTCTTGTAAACGCCATTAGGGCTGCACCTATCCGCGGTGTTTGAAGTCCTACTTTCCACTCATCTGCATTCGTCATAATAGACACGGGACCTGCTGTTTCATCCACCCTAGGTAATTAGATCAAATAGTGTGACAAAGAACCTAGTTGGGATCAAAGCAACAAAACTGGTGTAGCATGTTTTAACCCTAACTAACAGACCGGCTGATTTGTTTTTTCAGATGGCTACAAATAAATCCTGTAGTGGTAAAAGGGAATTGACATAAAGACAACTGGACATTGGGGGTGGGTTCTCTTCCTTAACCTCAGTCCCAACTGCACGAGTCCAAAAATAATTTTCGCTAAGCTTTTTTGAAGCAAAAAAAAACATTGCTAAGGATTTATTCTACTCATCACAGGATTGCTTGTGATTTTGGGGACGGGTCGACATCTAAATAGCGCACGTGTTACTGCGATCACTATAGGAATAAGTCGTTGTGGGATTTGTTAAACAAAATTTGGTTGATATGATGTATTGGTAAAGTTGAAACGTAAGTGTAGGGATTAGCAAAAAGCTCTATGATTTACTAGGGAATATTCTTCCCTGTATACACATCACCCATTCTTTGTTCAAAAGACTCTGAGAATGATTATTTTAATGTGAAAAAAAAGCATTTCAAATGAACCCGCATTTTGCTTATTTCTTCTGCCGCAAGACAATAAGAAACGTATTGCACACCAGGCGAGTTAACACCTGGGTATGGTTTTATAATGGTGCATTTTTAACCTAGAAATTTTAATAAAATAAGTGTTGAGATTGTAATGGGTGTGGTGTTTCTCTCCGTCACCTCAGCCGTCATACCTTTGAAACAAGTAGACGAGTTAGACCAGGACATCTTTTTTTTCTTAGTGGTGATAATAAATGGGTACAGGTATCCCGATTATGTGTTCAGAGTAAGTTTCCTCCCTGGGGGCCGATAGCTTTCGCTCAGTCACGAGGCCAGGTTTACTGATAAACCCATGATTTTAGCTTCTTGATCTAGAAGGATCTGTTTAGATATTTTTATGGTATCTACTTCGCTTCCATGGACATGATTCATTAAAGTGTTAGAATAGTCCACTTTCTTTGTACGGACTTAGTCAGGCAGATCCTCAGCTCACTTTGGTTTTGTGACCTCCCTCTTATTCAGCAGGCGTTATATTTGTGACAGACCACCACGCAAATTGCTGCATAGCAAGCAAGTTTCGCCCAGCATGGTAAAAGTGTCATTTCCAAATGCAATCCTTCACGGCATTAACTGGATTCCATTAAATTGAAATTAACTGAGTTCCATTTGTCACCAGGAAAATCCACGAAAACCAGATACTTCGTGCATTTGTACTAGTCTATGCATAACAAGGTTGCTGATGTATGTGTGCATGCGGAATTTCGCCCACGTAGGAGGGCTACACAGCGTTGTACTACGCCATCTCCAACGGAATGGATGCCTCGATAGACCTGCTGCTACGAGCTGGCGCGAGAGTCAACGCGGCGGGCAAGGGAGGCAAAACCGCCGCCCACTTCGCTGCGGAGATGGGCCGCTGCAACGCCCTTCGACGCATCGCTCTCGAGGGTGCCGATTTCAACATCCGCAATTGGGTAATTATACTTCCCCTCTGACCTTTCCTCACTCTTTTCCCACTTTCTTTCCTTCCAAGCTTCTCTTTCCTCCACTATTTTAAACCGTAACTCATTTCTCACCTTACTCTCGTTAATTTTTACAGCTCAGTTTATTTTTTCAGCGCGGTTGCACTCCGCTGCACTACGCGGCTCTGCGAGGCAACGTGGAGAGCGCGGTTGTGTTGGTGGAGGGCAGGGCAGAGGTCGACCTCGAGGACTACAACGGCGCCACACCAATCATCAACGCCTGTCGAGCTAATCAATATGCCATGGTCACCTTCCTCCTTGAACAAAACGCCGATCCTAACAGACAGACTAAGGTTAGAGGCAGGTGCAGTCTTTGCTGGCATTTTCTGTCCTGTGTGAAGTGTAGGAAGTCTTATTGCAGCGGTGCAGAAGGGTTCGAAAGCCTCATTTTGGGAATTGTAACTGCCCTTAGACCCTTAATTCTACCTTACACCATTGAGAGTCATCATAAGATCATTCCTGGCTTAATATTGGTAGCTTTGCAGAAGCCGATATTGGACAGTCACAAAAGTTCAAGCGATTTTGATAACCCTCCTGTTGAGAGTCCACACAAATTTTAGTTTCAACTAGCATAATCTGGATTGCCGCCCTTTCAGAGAGGAGGCTGCTGACGTCACCATGGGTGCGGCGTCCGAGGTGCCTCCGGAGCCTCCTCGAAGTAATGGAAGCAGGAGGGAGCTTTGGCATTATGATTGGTTTTGGATGTATAATAATGGCTTAAATTGTACCAAACTTCCAGAGTAATTTGTGCGATCATTCTCAACCATTGGGTTCAGAGAACGTCAGCCGAATCGGAGCATGAGTGAATACCCACGACAGCTTGATTGACTTATAGGTATTTGTTCCCACCAGCCAGCAGATCAAACATTCTGTAAGGTAATCATAAAAGTGACTGCCGTCAATTCCCATATCCTTACAAATAACAAAATTTAAATGCACGAAAAAGACGGAGAAAAGAATACTTTGACAGTTCCCACAGAGGGAACATGGTCAAGCGCACTTAAAAACTCGCTGACGTCTTTGCCGTCGAAAAAAGAACATCTAAAGAATTGGCTTCCCGGAAGTTTTAAGCGCGATTTTAGAACTTAGCTTAAATATAATTAAATAGAACCCATTAATGAAGTGAGGTGTTTACTATTCGTATTAAATCTTGAAGAAATATAGGAATTCTCCATTTCCACGCATTAAAGGAATTGGGTAAACTGTAATATTCACCTTTAACGCTAAAAAAATTACAGCTAGCCATTTGCAATGTGTGAAAGCACACACACACATGGCTATTAAAACTCCGAGTGCCCTAAAACTTGGAAAGCAATAGTTTAACACGTTCGCTACCGACGTCACATATGTGTGACGCAATGCTTTTCTTACCCGATCCCTCATAATACAATGGATGAATCATTTAATTCAGGTGATTTGAAGTGGATTGGAAATCGAAAAGACTCAGCTGTTATGGCGATTTGGTTTCCTCTTAGATCCTCGTGGTGAAGGTCTTTATGTGATACCATGTGTTAAGTCAGTTCTGATGAAAGGTCGAGCAATTACCTTACCGGCTTTACCTTTGTAATTTGAAGTATTTTTGGTGAGTAAAGTCAGTAACTTTACAACTAAAACGGTGGTATTACTGCTTCAAGCCAGTCATCAATCCTCTCCTGCTTCGCCACACTGATGCAACCAGCTGGGCTCCCTTATTCGCGTCCTTGACCTTGGCAATGATGAGTGAGCTTTTTCTAGTAATAACGCATTAATAAGAACCATCTTTACAGGCTGCGAGGATATTGCTCGGGCAGAAGAGGCAGAACACTCCCTACTTTACGATCTTTCCCAAATTTCCCCTCCATCTTGGGATCCATAAATTGGTAATGGCAGCATTAAAATGCCGCTCCTCCTTCTCCTGTTAAAAGCGAAGAAAAAGTTCTCGAGAGGAATCAGTTTGATTGAATGTCAGCAACTCACATTCACACACACCGTCTCCTCAAGTCCGTAATTTCTTATCACTGAAGTACTTCTTTGAGGGATGAGTTTTTGAGGGTTTACATATGAAATCAAGTGACATTTTTCGGATATTTGTATTTTTACTTAGACGATGTGATGATTTGATGTCACTTGGTAGTTTTGTGCAGTCCAGTTGGTGTCTACAAGTTGCATCCTCGAAATTAGAGCAATTTTCTTTTGGTGGGTGAGGGGCTACCGGCGCCGCCGGAAGGCCATGCATCTGGGGGGAAGTACAATGGCCGTGCCCTTCAGCGTCAGGGTAACCAAAACAAAAAATCAAAAAAATAATTAGCGCATTAAGCGACCTCCCTTTCCTTTTGAGCTTCGTCCCTGGCTCTCTCCTTGATCAACCTCCCTCATCATACATTACAACGTAGCCGGTGCTGTCAGAAAAGCACTCTTGCACTCTTGTTTGGAGTGGTTACAGATTCTCCCATCCACGGCACATGCCCCTCTTTCCTCATGTCGGGGTTCAGCATTCAGAAATAGAAATCAGGTTAGTTGTCCTTTGGGATAAGATTCACTTTCCCTTTGCCACCAGTGTAGTCCGTTGACACTTCTTGATGGACTAAAGAACTATTGGCATGGCTCAGAGGCCAAAGTATTGCACTTCACCATCCAAAAACCCGCTAATAACAGGCTAGTTTGCTTGATTCCCTAACCTCATGACCATGTTATTACGTCCTTTTTCCTTGCTTACAAACAGCAAAACAAGCAATTGTTCGTTTTACCCAAAAACCTCGTCGTAGGTCACACCACTGGTAACGTGGAAGGATAGGACCAGTTCAATAAGCAAGACATCAAGGTGTTAAATCCATTCATTGGGGCAAAAGGAAAGATGAGAGATGAAGGAAGTAATTTCTTGGGGAAACTTGCCAATTATTGTCCTTTCCTTTTTTGGTCTTTACCTCTCAGAAATGCTTTAGCACGATCTTCATGCACACACCCACCAAAATCTGGCTGTCGGAATCCAAATTTGAACAAAAAATCGCCTACTTCTGACTCAGGAGATGCCACAAGGTGGTATTTTTTGTTTTAAAGTCCAATCAAGTCGCCTCCACACAAAATTTAAGCCATCACCCCTGTCACGAAGGCCCTGAAACGCCATCTCGAGGTGCACCACTTGTCACTCAAAGTCAGGTGGTATTATTTGCCCTGAAGCCACTGAAGTAAGCACGTCATCACGAACTGTCTAGCCACAATTTTTTATCATCTTGGCAGTTAATGTGTCACTTCCAGAGGTATTTACGGTGCCACAGGCTCCAAGTGTCACCTTAAAGCTACTTGGGGGTGAGACTATCTCCTTTCTACAGCATCCCTTGCATTTTGGCCACTCCAAAGACCTCAGCAGTGCCTTTAATCGTCATCTAATTCAAAGCGTAGTACATCCTGATGCGCACAGCCTATTCCAACGCTGTAGAGCGAGGCAATATCCATTTTGCTAGCATGAGAATGGTGCAAATAACTTTCTGTCTACAAGTTACATTCCTCCAACTCCCCCCCCCCCCCAATCCATTAGGTAACTTCTGATGAAAAGGGTCTAGATGATTAGTGGTGAGAAGTTCTAGCCAAGTCCACAGCCGACACACAGACATTCCAGATATCTTCACAGCGACATTGTTGAAGACAGCCACCCAGGTTTCCGTGTTTTCATACCGCTATAAAGCACCATCACTTTCCAACACCTGTCAACATGATCAGCAGTGCCTCGGGTTTGACGTGTGGCGGTATTACTTCGCAGTTTTAAAACCCGATACCAGAAACAATTCGAGTATGGATCTTGATTCAAAGCGCTGTGCAGTTTAAGACTGAGATTTTCATTAGTAGGAGTTTCCTCCTTCATTTTGAAGCTGAACATCTCCTTTTCCTGCATTCAACTATTGTGAAACTAAGGGATTTTTATTTTTGCGATGTACAACACATTTTTTACTCTACATTTGATGCCAAGGATGTCGAAAATTTCTTTTATTTTTTTAACAAAATGTTAGAACTCTTGTAAACGAGTCAAACTTTGCCGAGGATTGGTAGCATCGAAACGGTCCTAACTTTGAGGTCTTGAGACAGGCTACAAACTCATTTGCAAAGATTGTATTGATGAGCCTTTACTTTGTCCTCTGTCCTCTCTTTTCTCCTCCACAGCAAGGCGAAACGGCGCTCCTGATGGCAGTGCGACTGGGCTACCTGAGGTTGGTGCAACTCCTCCTCATTCATGGTGCCAATCCTCGCCTGGCCAACAACAATGGAACCACTCCGTTGCATATCGCTAGCAAACAAGGCAATGATGAAATATACAACCTCCTTGTCAGCTTTGGCGCCGATCGCTATGCTCGAGACTCGGTGAGTTTGCTTTCAGTTGAATGGAATATTCTCTAGTTGATAGCCCAGTCTTTCGCTAGGAGAAACTATTCCTCGTTGCTGTCAAGTTACGGCTTTCACTAGGAGATGTTGCAGATTGTCAGACGATGGGCATGATTTGAGAATTGAAGTGGAATGGGTCTCACCTGTCCATGTGGGTTGCCCCTCTCCTCTTTGAAGTTGTTTGTTTTCAGAAATGAGACATCCCCTCAAAGTGGACGTCGCATCGAGAAGACTTCCCTTCGAGAGGAATTATGGTTGCACCGGTAGATAAAAGATGATTGAAGAAGCTTTTTGTTGATTTATTTTAAAAATCACTTAGGATTATTTAGTTGCCTTATAGTTCCAACAGCATTCAAAGTAATGAAATGCTCAGAAACCATTGAATGGCTCTCGGTGGTGGTGGGGATTATTTAAATTAGCTCATTAAAATTCACTTTAATGCCTTCAAGTGTGTTTCTCAGCCTCGTTAAGCTGATGTTACATTCCACAACTTGGCGGAACAACTTAGGAGCGGCTCGGCATGGTTGGGGGACTGAATGAGTTGGGGATTTTCCACCTCACTCTTCCCGCTGAAAGATGTGGCACAATGTCAATAATTTGCCAAAATCTGAACTTACTGGAAACGACTTATTAAAGTGCTTAATTATTAATACCAAAATGTGAATTGCCAATTCTTTGATCTTTTCTGGTAGTTTAAAGACATACCTCTCTGTCACTTCCACAAAACATTTTTGAAGCGGTGGCAACTTGACAATATCGAATGAAGCATCATGGTGGTCATAAAGCGAGAACATCAGCCATCCAAACAATTTAATCAGCTCAGTTGGAAGACATGCTACTGTAGGTTCTTCCCCATTAAGTGGAAAATGGAGGATACTAGACGAAAACAGTTTAGTCCTTTGGAAATATTCGGGAATAGAAAATACAACTACATCAACAGATTTGGAAGTCGTATTAACAAGCAGAAAGAGTAGGCTAGACAGGAATGCAAAGAGCACAAAATAACAGGAGCGTAAATATTGATATAAAAGCATCAAGTGTGACGATTTCCATGGTACACTTATGTAATGAGAGGGCGACAGGAGCCAGCTTCGATTATCAAGCCCGTGATTGGATGGGCAAGGTTGGCCTGTGCTCAGAGTGCATTGAACGCGGTTCCATGATGAACGTAAACCGAGTTTGCTAGTTGGAATGTTGCGTACCAGCCACACTTTAATCTTCCCTTCTTTTCCATTTACGGTTCACATTGCGATCCGCAGCTTGGAGACACTCCACCCATAAGGCAACGTTTTATCTTGGTTCCACAATCAGAAACATCTCCAAACATTCGTCAGGCCTTCACGCTGCTTGAGCTTGTTAGCAAAGATCCAAATCTGCAGTTGGTAGTTGAAATAAACCTCGAAAAGCAGAACCTATGTGCTGACCGAATATCGCCCAGCTATTGGCTGAGAATCGTCAAGGTCGCTGCTCACGTACGCGGCTGCTCCGAGCCGATTGGCTGCACTACCACTTTGGTAGCAGAGAAATCCAGACTTCTCGAGGTCGAGGACAACAGTGCTAATCTAATTAACCTTTTAAGGTGAATCTTCTTAAAATACGGTGAACTAAAAGTTGCGGTAGCGTAACCTTAAAACCCCCAAATGAGTCGTAAATTTTGGAGAACAACTTGAAGTGTTAGATTGCTGCTTATGCATAACGTGTGCAAGGGAAAAAAACACAATAAATCATAAAACTGTCGGCAGTGGTCATATTAAGACGCGCGCGTGGAGTACGAACGAACACAAATGCGCGTTGGTGGTGCCCACGCTCCAGACGGCCAATCGAGACGCCCCGCACTAGCAAGAGCCCCGATATTTTAAGGGTAAGGCATCTGAGGGTTTCCTGATCGCTGACATGAGGATTAGCTATGGCCGGCACACACCTGACCATATTTGCCAATGCATCGATGTATTCAGATAGTTGGGTTCAAAGGATAGAGCTTCAATTTCTTACGCGGTCTAGCTTCTATCCGCCATAGTTTGTCCTCGTCGGGGTTCGACAGGCTCACTCAACCACACATGGACTAGATGGTGTAAATTTGCTATCAAAGACGAGATGGTTGTACCTTTTTTTGACGGAGAAAAGCTGGGAGGGGGATGTTGCTAAAGTACAACTGTCAAACTCTCAGGTGATGTTGGCCTAACTATCCATCAAACTTCCAACCATAGGTGGTCGTAAAATCAAAGTGCGTAAGAAGTGAAGAACAAAATTCATCCCAAAAGCACTTGGAATTAGGGTGTTAACAATCAGGCAATTATTTGGTTTAGGATCAAGATGTTACGTCTCTGTGAAGTATCGCGCCAGGGCGGTCGATGTCATGAGTGTTGAATTTAGTCGCCTGAAGTGTCTTTTCTTATCCAAAATCATCACTTAAAAACACCCACGTGAAAGCATATTTAAGTGAGATTGTATTAATTGCGTCAACGAAGGGTCCTAGAGTCGCCTATTTCAACCATAGCGCCGATTTACCCACGCCAGAGGGGAGAACTCTACGTCATATGCCATCAAATCCTCCGAATTGAGAGTAATCTTCAGTTGCAGCAAGTGAGATCCGCCTCCACCTCCGTTTTGGCAAGAATTTTCACTCCATGTGGTTACGTATGACTAGTTGACAGATGAAATTCCACCTGACAGGTATGACATTAGCTGAGAAACGAATTTTTAAATAAGAACCTATTAAACCTCAAGGTCAGGTCCTCTGTTTCTTCGCAAACTAACGAGATACCATCTTCCACCTTGATTATGTGCCGTGTATTCCTATCAGATGCAACGTTATGAGTTATGACCACTACTTTTGACAAGGGAAATGTCTAGGCAGGGAGGTATTCAAAGTATTGCTGTAATAAAGTTATATGAAGTTGTCAAATTCTGGAGGGTATTAATGTTATTTGAAACAGGTTGTTGCAGATAGCTAAAAAGCACAGTGCAGATGCATGAGAATGGAATGATTTGCTTGCTCAAATTAGCACTGATTCTGCTAGGCCCGAAAGTCTTAAGTAAATCAGAGCGGTTAATTTCAGTTGCGCATTTTAGCGAAACCAAACTCCTCGAGACTTAAACATGCTAGCCGGCCAGAATCGCTACTTCTCTCCATCGCCGCTGCTGAATCGTTCGCCCACACCGAGTTGTTTGTCACCACCGCAGCGCAGCTCCTCGCCACGTGGACAGGGGGAAGTGGCGGAGCGGATGCGCTACCTGCGTTCACAATCGACCTCGTCGCTGCGCAATCAGACCTCCCTAATTGCGTCTCTACGCGAAACTCGCTCCCGCGCCATGCAATCGCAACAGACTTACAACTTCAATCTATCTGCTCCGCGCGCCAACACCACTAGTCCCTTCAATGGCCGACCACGAGCTAGGAAACGTCCAAACGTCCTCGCGAGGTTTAACATCTCCAGTGAGGGCTCCAGCTCCAATTCTTCCCCTCCTCTTCTATCACAGCAAGTACCATCACAACCACAGGCGTCAAAATCGCCCTCACCGCAGATGAATGGAAGCCCAGGAGGGGAGAAATCTATAACAAGTGATCGGCCACCCATCGCCCCGAAGTACATCAAAGAGGTGAAATCAAAGTCGGGCGTTATTATGTGCTATGAGCCCGGATCCATCCGCGAGAGCTATCCCTATGTAGGTGATTTAAAAATCGACATCTCACATATCGCAACATTACGATTATTTGTTTGTACCTGTTTTTCTCTCAAGGAAAATCCCGATGCTCTACCAGCAGTTCAGAAGGGGGATGTGGAGAAGGCTACCGAAGCGCTAAGATGGGGAGCGAACGTAGAGGCACGTGACTGCCATGGCAACACACTTCTGTTGATTGCCGCGGAGGCGGGTAATTTGGAAATGGTTAAGCTACTTCTCAAGTACCAAGCTGATGTCGAAGCGAAGGATCTGGAGGTAAGCAGAGGTCTAAGCAGTGTTTTTAAGCTCATTTGCAAAAGTAACAAACCGGTGTGGGTGTTTTTGCTAGCTCCTCGACTCACCTCTACATCGAGCAGCGAGTGGTGGCTTTTACGAGATTGTGGCAGCTCTTCTTAGCCACGGTGCAGACCCGAACGCTCGAAACTACGACAAGGAAACGCCACTTCACAAGGCAATTCGTACAGACGGTGAGAAGTGTGTCAAACTGTTAATTGCCACGAAAGCCAACGTGAATGCGCAGGATGCAGTAAGCTGTTGAACTGGTGAAGCCTGGACACTGAATATCCTCTCTAACAGCGGTATTTACTGCTCTTTAGTTTGGTATTACACCTTTGGCTCTGGCTGCATCTAAGGGCAACCTGTACGCGCTCCAATTGCTGCTGCATTACGGAGCAGACCCGAGACTGAGGGACTATCGGGGAACGAGCCCACTTAAATGCGCCTTTGAGGCAAAGCGGTATGATATAATTTCTGCGTTATCGACCGCTGGAGCCGATGTAGAAGAGACATGCCTAGTAAGTCCGAGTGGAGTTAGTCAGTGCTCCTGTTTCATGGAGGATTTAGTTATAACCTAGGAAAGAGATTGACCATAAGTTAAAATTTTTTGCATCTCATAATGAAAATTAACAATGCCTACGGTTATGCCAAACTAAGGGCGATAATTCAACGACTAGTAAGCCAAGCATTTATGTGTAGCGTGGGCGCACAATGCTACACGAAGCAGCGGCCATGGGAGATGCAACGATGGTGCGAGTGCTGATTGAGGTGGGATTGCCGGTGAGCGCAACGGATGATCGGGGCAATACGCCACTTCATTTAGCTTGCAAACATGGCCAATATGATGCTGCTGAATTGCTCCTTGAGGCCTACGCTCCGCTGCATAAGAGAAATGAGGTAATTACAACCCATTCATTACTACCACCCCGCCATCATCAGTAATGAGCAATTCCTCTCCCAAAGGGTTATATGATGTAACTTTATAACCCCGGCATTATTGCATCTATGGTAGGGACTCATTTACTGATGCCACTAATGTAACGGGTGAGTGATCGCCGCACGGGTTACAGGCGCATAGTTGGAAGCCGAATCGCAAGACACCTACAAGGGTGCGGCTGCCACAGCCACTACCAACAACCTTGTCTCTTCCTTCTCTTCCCAAGCAATAAAACGCCCTCTTTTACCCTACTTTAGGCCGGAGAAACAGTACGTGATCTGGCCGAGAATTCGGGCAATGCTGCACTCACCGTGCTCCTCCAAGCGATGACCGAAACGGACGAAAGTGATGCATGAAATGCATGCCACGCAAACATACACACCAGCCCATCCTTTGTACATAAATGAACCGGCAATGAAGGCCGGAGGAGGGGTTGCTAAAACCGCCGTGAAGTTGGGAAAAAATAAAGATACTGTATAGTGCAAGGACTTTTTCATTGCATATAGGTCTAAAAAGCCCAGCTCAGTTCCAGCAATATTAAGTGGGCACCTTTCTACTTTACAAAACCCGAATCTTCTCAGAAAGTTGAGAAGGCTAGTCAACACGGTGAAAGAGATTACAAATTTCTCAAGCAAGTGAAAAGTGCGTCCCATAAAGCGACAACGATCCTACTCAGAGCATTTGGTGCAGCACGTTCCTCGCCTATCTTCTCCACTCTAACCCTTACACCCTTTGAATTAAGAGGTCGATTTGAGTAGAACCTGCTTAGTAGCTAGAGTTGACGAGAATCAGTACGGGTTCAGGGGATCGGGAAACTGAGCTCCTCCCTGCTCAGGAGAATACTGACCACCCCCTGTCACAAGGTTTGAGTTGCTTGCCAGAATCTCACCTAAAGAGGGTACACGCAAACAATATAAGTATTCCACTAGTCTTGTTCTCTTCATTTCTAGAAGCTGTGAATCAACCCTAGACTACCCTGAGGATGGAAGAACAAATAATACGGAAGGGATCAGGCCACTGACAAGGAACAAAGACCAGCCCATCCAACAGAAATACAATAGCGGAGATCCAAAGTGGCCCCTTCACCGGAACCCAGAGTTAAAAACCGACGAATCGCAACGTACCATTCGTCCACATAACATGTATTAGCTCCCTAAGTTTCCCCTGGAATCGTAATAACTGATGCCATCATTATAATTTACTACTAAGGTACAAAAGAGTTATGAGGTTGCTGGCACGACCAGAGTGTTATGTATTTTAGAATACTGAAATATACTACATTGCAAACCCACGTTGAGAAATCAACCAAAGTCCCACTTTCACTTGACACCATACATTAAGTTACTCTGCCCCGCTTTTAGCTAAAAAAGATATTTAAAGATTCATTCAAGGTGTAAATTCGTATTCAGTCTTTGTCATTTTTGTATCATCGTGAGTTTTAATAGTCCAAGATCATTTGCCCTCAAAGAGCATACAATTTTAAGTCACAATATATGATGGCGTGCTTAGGATTTTGTGTGATTTTGTCAAGCCTGTTCAGCCTGAGCTCTTCAGCACTCACCTGGAATGTAAATTATTAGGCTTATAGATGGTTTTTAGGTTGAAGTTGCAAAAAATCCCATGTGTGATAGTGAATGTCAAGAACGGTTCCCCAACTTGGTTTATGTGGCTTTCCGAAGCAAATTGTGTTCTATTCATTTTTTTGCGGCAGCTTCCGAGGTTCTAGGACCTCCTTCAGTCTTTGTTGCCAAAAGTTTGCAACCAAATGCGAAAGCTAGCATTAACTGGACGAGGTTACTTGATAATCACAAATATGAAGGCATTAGGGTTGAAAATTCTTCCGAATTTTATGGTCTAACTTATTTTTCGGTTAGTACCTTTTAAAGCCATAAATAGTCTGCGCCTTATTTGCTTATTATGGTTTTTTGTACTCAAAACTTTAGATCGTTGACTTTCGCGATCCAAATGGTCATGCTGACCTCTGGACCGCCAACAAAAGCAACAAGACTTTCCAAGAATATTATTTAACGCAATTGGAATACTCCCTTACTCGTGTTGATTTAAAACCAGATGAAAAACCGGGGTTGATTGAAATTATTTATCGGTCTGATCCCCGCCGTCGTCACAGACTCGTCCACGATGGTGGGCACATTGAAGTAAAAGTACGCACCTATGTTCACTATAATACGGTCTTTTAAAGTAACAGTGGTGTTTTTACCAAGAGCTTTGCAGGATTTTTGAATTTTTTAATTGGTTTGTCTTACAGGTGGCAGTTTCTGTCAGGGACATAGCAGCTCGGGGTCTCAGAGGTGGTCTCGCCTTTGAAAGCGAAATTTCATTCCACAAATTGACCATCCTCCATCCTGACTCAAAGCTCGGCGTTGGTGTTCTGCTATTTTCTAATCTTAGCCTCTCGCCCACCGGTGATTTCCTTGAGACTACTCATTTGGTACCATCATTGTCGCCCTCTAGTGAAAATGCACCAAAGAGGGTGTGTTGCTCATTCCTTTTGGTAGAACAATGAATTGGTCAGTCATCGATTTATATAACCTTAACCTTTAGCCCTAAAATCTACCATCTTTTTGTGCAATATGCACATGAAGCGTGTATTGGGTCTAAATAGCTCCTTTTGCCTTCAGCTAATTACTAAATAATAATATCAGGTGATCTAGAACGAAGTGAAACGGCAATCAATAAAGAATATGGAGGCTTATTGTGGCAAAAACCTTTTAAGGTGTATTTTTGTCATCCTGTGTCTACGATTATTCGTGATATTTTGTGGGTTTTAGATCTTATGAGGTGAACATTTTGACAGTGTCACTATTTTTTACGAAGTAAATTTCCGCTCCACCGATTAAGAAATGACATGTTAATCTTTTTGCTAAGAATCGATTCTGCCTTGAAAGTAGGCAGATTCTAATGAGGTGGGATTTGGCTCCTATGTGGTATCTACTGGGGCCTCAAAATAACAGGCAGTTAATAGTACGGGGTACAGCGAAAGGCTTGAATTGATTGACGCATGTCTATGCGCAAAGCATGATACCTATGAACAGTTGGAGACGCTTAACCAGTCCTCGCATGGAACAGCGAGTTGCCGCAAACCTCACGACCTCTTTGGCCGCCATTTATTATGGGGGTAATATTTAAGATCTGTGAATATGCCCCACAGGTGCTGTTGATTTTCTCTTTAGAATTCCTATTGCTTTGGTAATTTGGGTCAGTCTATTTATTCCTTCCTTTTATTTCCTCCTATGGGACGAGTTCTGTCACGGAGCCAATGCAGAGATACAGACTTCTCAAAAGATCCATGAGTTAAGTGTTTAGAGATGTGGAGATTCACATTATGAATGAGTGTTACGCTCCCCGGTGGTTGGAGAGAACCTCCTTTATGGTAGACTTCTAATCTTAAGATAATCCTGATCCCCTATTTAGATGGTTTAGTAAAATTTATCTTAAATCAGTTCTGGCGGTCGAAAGTAGATGCATCTCAAATTGTTTTCCCATCAACGTGGTTTGACATACGCTACCGTCTCATACATGAAGTGAGCAAGCTTGCTAATACTTATTATTTCCATACTAAGGAGACCCATTATCAGTTCATCATAGTATATACTCTGCTTGGTACACAGTTTTGATTGCGGTTTCTCAGGCTGGAGCATTAAAGCTGAGCGTTTGCCACGGTCCTAGAGTCGCGTCTCAACATGTTGGGGTGAACTGTTCCAAGAATGATTGTGCGAATGTGTAGTGCAGTTTGAGCAGGCTTTTACCTGTCCGGTGCAGGCGCCTTTTTGTTACATCTCGTCTGGCAGCCAACGTAGGCATGTCCAGTCTTGCCTGTTCCTGGTATGCGGAGGGGGCGTTTGTCTGTTCGAACTGGTTTTCTCTCCTAATGGGTATGTGTCTTAATGAGTCAGCAGTGGTCACTCCTTTTGACAAACTAATAAGGCACAGGATTTCGGGAGTTTTGCATTGCCTTTTTCATCCATTTATTCATGCAATATTGTCGATTCCTAATTTTCTTAATGTCCTATGATGAATCTTTGCAGTGTCATCAAGCAAGCCAAGCTAACATTAAGTCATCGTTCATTAGTCAATATTTGTCGATTCCCATAGGTTTTGAGTCCATATAAAAGGTGAGAAAATGGGTTCTTTTTCAAACTACCTTTTGGTTTCAAATTCATCATAATTGTCGACACATTTTGTGTTGTAACTCCCCGAGATTTCCCTGAAGACGAATGAAAACATAATACCGTGGCAGTGTATGTATTGTCAACCTACAGAAGGGCTTGGGGTCGCTGGCACAGGGTGGAGGTCTAAATAGTGCATTACCAGAGTCGAGAGTTAAACAAGATAACCTATTGTGTAGCCCCTCTCCTCTTTTGAGAGTCGCCCCAGGCGCTCCCCTTCGTCAACCTCCCGTGTCAGCCATCACAACGTAGTGAGTGCTGCAAGAAAAAAAGCACAAGTCAACAGCTGCTGTCATCATAATTCCATGCAAGTGAGAAGATACTTCGCCTTAAAGCCACTGATTCCTCTTGGCAATTCCGCTAAATCTAGAGTCTTGTCCTGTGTGGGAAGCGGATTCAGGGACGGGGGAATGCGCTGGCCATCTCGTCTGCGCATCGCTAGTCTTGGAAACACTGGCCTAAAGACAGGGTCAAATAACAAAGGACGGGATTTAACATAGTTCCGTGGGAGTGGAATTCCGCGACTATTCCTCCTTGTTGCTTTGTTCTCGCTTCAGTGCTGCCCAGCCATATCTACCTAAGCCCTATCCAGCTAGAAGAGAGGTAAATGAGCAGGGATTGCGTTTTCACCTCATTCACATCTTCGTACAGGTGCCGTAGACGGCTCCGTAACGAACTTTATCAGATAGTCTACGGCTGATGTCGCTTCATTTGTCGATAGCTTTCGTGTCGAGCACGAGAGTGGGGTAGCTACCGAAGGTGGACGTCAATTTCAGCCCTTTTATTGAACATCGACACCCATTCTCCCATCTGCAACATGTGCACTTCTTTTGTCGGGCTTAGGCTTATCACTTAGCCGTAAGAATCAGGACAGATGTTCCTTAGGATCGGGTCTGCTTTTAGATGCCACCGATGCACTACCCCACGACTTCCCTGAAGACGAAGGAAGACGTAATGCTAGGGGAGAAAATGCTTTGTCGACCTACAGAAGGGCTTGAGGGTCACCCGATTAAGGTACAAGAGCCAAGCCCCCAAGTTACCCCATTACCGAAACCAAGAGTTAAACAAACAATTGCCCTATTACAGGTACTGTAATCTGAGAAGTATTGCTCAAAAAACTATGAAGCGTAAGGACCCACAGATCAGGATCATCCGGCATTCGTTGGGCCTAATTACACCAAACCAATTCGTTTGTGTTAAAATTTGGTGTAATGAGTTACTGTAAACTGACGTAGAAGACACGTTATGTATTTGTGACACCGGGGTCAAATAAGAAAGTCGGGGCGCCGCACATTTGTGACCCTGGTGGTGAAAACGTTTGACCACTCACCAACAACGGATGTGCATATCGGCCATGTCCTCAGGTGAATGAAGCCTTTTCGATGATACTGAAATCCGTTCTGTTTCTTTTTGTTGAAAAAGAAACGACTCAATGGGAACGATTTTAAGCTATCTAATATGCCTTCACTTTGGATAACAGTTCCTCCTTCTCTTCGATTTCTAACGAATAACTAATGCTAAATTAAGTATGAAGAGGTTGTGGGAATCTCTAGTGATCTAATAAAACCAACTTCAAAAGTAGGAAGTGTGTGAGCCACGATTTTGAGTTAGCTAAGACATAATTAGCGGCTCTCCAGAATGGTCATAAAGAGCACAAGAATTGAATTTGTTCTAACTTTTTAACGATTTCCCTAGTTTATTTGGGCATATCCTCACAGAGATCACGTCGGGTACTCCTTTATGGTTTTTAGGATTGCGTTGTCACATTCAACATCTTGTAGGAATCGTTCTTTAATTCACTCAGCAACTAAATTTGTCTTGTCCCTGACAATTTCATTTGAATTATTTGGTCGGCAAAACACATTGTTCCCGTTCGAAAGAATAAAACGTGAACTCTCGCTCATACGGCAAAATTCGAAAAACTATTTCCGTTATTTATTGCCTCCTTCTCTACTCTCTCTTCCAGGTTTCTTACGTCCACCTGGAAAGTGAAAGCTTGAAGTCCGTATTTCCAGGGGCTGAAATAACCACATCCCTCGAGGCTTTAAGACAGCCCTCACTCACTCGCACTCCTGTCCTCTTTCGCCCGAGTCCTGTGGCTCACTTGAAGTCCGGGGAGGGGGGTAGCAAACCCATACTCGTGTTGGCGGGCCCGCGCTTACCCCTTGAAAAATCCAGTCAACGACGTCGACTGCATCACTCACTGGCCAAGGCACTCTACGGCGTGGACTACGAGCAGTCCTACCAGAAGACCCGCAGTGGTAAATGGAAGCACAAGCCTATCGGCATTCGCTTGCAGCACTTTGCGTTCTCAGTTCCTGGCCAACAGATGGCCGACCATGGGGCCTGGTGAGTACTTTCCTCATGGCACGTTGCATCTCACCCAAGTGTCACCTGATTATCGGGTTCGTCATCCGGCAAAATTTTTCCTTTTTATGAAATAACAGGTGTTATATTGAGGACTTTTGGTGCATATTCAAGTTCCCGTATTTTTAGAGGTGTTATTCTGTGGCATCCTTTCCAAGACGCATGTTTGTTCATTTTCCTGAAAATGAAGCTGATCTGAAGTGTTAAGAATGTCAAAATTATAGCCAAAACACAAGTTTGTTTGTAACTATGCGGATTTGTTTGAATAAACTGTTGAAATTTCATGTCTATAGACGCGAGATTTGGTTTGTCCTCCAGGTCGATGACTCTGACAGTGGACGTTGAGGAGAAGCCCGATCTCGCGACTGCGGCTCAGTCGAACCAAACAGCACAGGGGCTCTACTATTGGAGTCTCTTTTTAATTAACTGGATATCGTCGCTCCATGTGTAGTAAGGGTTCTGTACTGCAAAGCATGGTTAACCCACTTTTCCTATTTGATCTTGACGATCATCTCATACCCACATTTTCATCAATGTGCCTGTAATCCTCTTTCTCTATTTACTACACCTTTTCGTACTTAAAATTACTCAAATGAAAGTTGCTGCAGAGTATTTTATGTCTGCAAAGCTAATTTTATTATGGAGGAGGACAAGTTGAATTCAACTTTATATCTACAACTGCTGAATACGCGTCGACACAGATCTAACTCTCTATTGGGAACGCGTGAAGGGCGGAGTCTCAAAAGGTTAAAAGTAGTTATAAATAATTGGTGTAGGGTGTTAAACTTTAAGCTTCTACGCTGGATGGAGGTGCCGTTCAATGAATTTCTAAACCACCACTGGCGTGTGTGTAGCGTCCCGAGACTCCCTTAAGACGAAAGAAGACACAATACTTGGGCAGAATATATATATTCAGCACGGAGAAGGTGTCTGGGCTATTGGCATAGCCCAAAAGGCCAGCACACCCAGCGAGGCACGAGGGGG